TCGATATTCTGAATCAACTTATTCTTCTTTAAACTAGAAATACTGTCAATAAGAATAGGGAATTTCAAATGAAACAAGGAGTTGCTTTGGATTGGATTGAATTGGATTGGATGGATGATTGCTGGGAAACAATAAATGTAAGCTCACTTCTCCGTTTCTTTTATATATATATATGTATATGTGAAACTACCCTTTATTTTTTGTTTATACTTTCTCTATCAAATGGTAGATGTAGTAGAAGTAGTATATGTGTATAATATGGAGAATCTGTAGAACTATTTGAAATCGTCCTTTCTTCTCTTTAATTCACTTGATGTTGTATTTTAATCTATAAATGATGAAATATAACAACCCTTTCTGTAAAAAAAAAAAATTCTGTCTCGCTTTCTGGTTCTGACACTGGCTGACTGGCTGACTGAATATCTCTGTCTCTGTAGTGATTTTTGGAGAATCGTCTTTCTCTTTCTATTTCTCTTTCTCCTCCCAGTTTAATTTACAATAATCAAGGGTAGAATATCAATAATAATGGAAATCCAATGGAGACAAGATGATGGATTTATAAAAATAAAATAATAATCGATATGTATGAATATAACCCTGGGAGTGTCCCTCTGTTAATTAAATACAAGAAAAAGACAAAACAAAAAAAAAATATCTATATGTATAGCTAGATAGATAGATAGATAGATATTAATTTGACAAGTTTTTTTTTATTTAATATATTTTTTCAGTATATATATTTCTATCCAATCCCAATTTAATTATTATTCCTATTATTCTAACTATTCTTATTGTGATGCTAGTATTATTTTGAAAATTCCTTGAAAATCTCAAAACTTATTCATCAACTTCATCTTCAACTTCAGCTTCAACTTCAACTGCTTGACAAATAAATTTAATTTTGAAAAATTACACATAGCCACAGGGACACGACCCGTTATTTCTTTTTTTTCATTATTTTATTTTTTCCAACGCCCCCATTTAGTTTGGCCCCCCAATTTTTGTGCTATTAATTTCGTTGCTTACATGCAGGCCATGCATACATTAATTAATAATTAATGTAATCTTTTTTGAACTCAGTCCACACACACACACATTATCTTGTCTTATACACACTTTGTCTCTTCTATATGATCACCTCGTTCATTCGTAACTACTTGGGATAAGGAGAATCAGATAGTATGTGTGTGAGACATGATTGCTAATTATGATGTCACTGATCAACCAAAGTGAAAGTGAATTAACTCGTAAGACATCTCATCAATCTTCGTAACCAAAAGAGATCCTGTTCATTATTTCCCCGTTGACCCATTTTTTGTTGTTGTTGTTGTTGTTGGTTTTGTTCTTCTTTTTTTTTCAGCCAACTGTATCACCCCTCTCTTTAGTATCATACAGTACATTCCTTCGTGCTTGAATTAAATTTCATCTTCATCTTCCCGCCCCCTTGAACAATAAGATGGGCCTGGAATCTTGAATTGTCATTTATATTTTTAGTTTACGTCTTTGAATAAGAAAAAAAAAAAAAGAAAGAAAAAAAAAAGAAGGGAACAATCATTCCGATGTTGACGGGGCTACGAATTATATCCGGTGTATTATTTCCATACTTTATTAGATCATGTTGGAGATAGAAGATATTCACTGTTTTGTTGCCTGAATATGTTGTATGTATGACCCAATGTGTAAGTATGAGTATGAGGGTGAAAGGGTGAGGGTGAATAATCCGTAGTTTCATTCATATTTAGTATACAGCTCTTCGTAACGATGTGCAATCATAAATAGCAAATTAATCCTCACCGCTTTTTACACAAAATCTATGAAATGACAAGAGTGCTTCTGTCTGTACTATCTTTTATTAACACTCTTCATCGTTTTGCTTCATCTTTAAAACATGAACGATCAAGTTGAACAAATACAAAAAAAAGTAGAATCCCATTTCTTTGTAATTTTTGTTTTTGTTCTTAGTTTGTTAGTTTGTTCATTCGTTCGTTGTGGTCTGGTGACACAATATTACCTATGCTGGATAAAACAAAAGACTTGCCCACACTCAATCTCACTCACCATAGACATTGAACATTGGACATTCACCACCACCACCACCACCACTTTCTTGGTTAGTAAACTATTCTGTTTGTGATCAATAATTACGTCAGTGGCATATGTACACAGTAGACTACGCTACATAGACCCATCATCATTATTATTATTTTTATTATTGTTATATTTTTTTTTTCTAATTCCCTACTTCTCGGCTAAAAATTGGCAACACTAAGCAGAAATTCCGTTAGGAATTATTCATCCATTTCCAGTATGCATAACAGTACAAGTATTAGAGAGTTAAAAAGAACGTTAATATAATATACTAAAATAGAACATTCTACTATTACCGATTCCTTGATCTCTGAGTACACTCATTCACAAAGTCAGTACTTTTGATTGCTCTCTCTCTTTCTCATCAAGATATGAATCGGAAAAAAGAAAAAAATAATAATGATACCAATACCAATAATAATAATAATAATTGGATTTGGTGTATAGTTCCGCGAATCTTAGTTTAGTCAATTTCCGATACCCACACACACAAAGAAAAAAAAGAAAAATCGACTCATACTTAATTCATCATTGAATGTGAGATTTTTTTTTTTTTTTGTTTGTTTCCATTGCTTACTAATTTCGCAGCAATTTTTCATACATGAAAGAATCACAATTTCATGCAAATGATAAGAATATAGGCTTGGTCATTTGAGTATCTAATCATGAAATTGCAATTCAAAAGTATTTTATAATTCTGGTGTTCCTGATTCCTTTTTCCTTTTTTCTCTTTGACGAGATTAAAAACGGAAATATTAGTTGGTCACTGAAATGTGGTAGCATCGGAATATGAAAGTGGCAAAAATGTAATCAAGGACATTCGCCTCCCTCCCCCTTTTATCATGATCATACTTTAGAGAAACAATAGTAAAATTTAATTTTGAATAAGATGTGTTCTTGAACTATTGTGTAGAATAAGCCTTGAAATATTTGTGGTACTAACAAATATTGTTTCTTTATAGGGATATTTCTCAAATAAATAATTCATGATTCTGATATCTACCATTTCAGGAACTTTCTAGAATGGTATATATTTTTATATTTATTAAATCACACAGTGGAGAAAATAATTAAAGTTTGGTTAGTCTTTCAAAGGGGAAAATCATTGTTTTAATGCATGGCTTAGTTCTGGTCTCCAATACAAGTTCTGAATTTGTCCAAAGGTTCATAATGAATCAACATACTAGATATAATTTACTGTGTATTATAATATATGTTCTGCAATTAATAGAATACTATGCATACCTAAAATTTGCTCACACTTTTTTATGTTTATTAAACATTTTATAACAATATTTTAACCAAATTATGTGAAAATTCAAGACAGCAATGAAGTTAAAACTGCATATCAAACAAATCTAGAAATATGTTAAGTTTAACTTTTGACTTACTGTGAGTCTAGTAATAACTTATTTTTATGATTTAAAAAGTCATAGGACAAGGATTATCTCTCAATATCATTGAACATTCTCATTAAATAAGACAATCAAAACCAGACACTTGGAATACACTTTCAACAAAACAGCCTGGCTAGCTCAATCGGTAGAGCATTTGACTCTTAGAAATATTGGTCATCAAAAGGTTGCGGGTTCGAGCCCCGCGTTGGGCTTTTCTTTTTTCGTTATTTTAACATTGATTTGTTTTTTGCCATTTAAAAGAAAGATGGTGAACAGTAGGGTATTTATATAAAAGATGAAGATTAACTACCACCATGTCCATTACTTTTTGATCATATTATTTATGACAGGTACGACCAAGTTACGGCATTCCATTTCGCCGTAGTAAAAAAATTTTTTTTTCTATAACGTTTAACTTGTTTTGTGTTCACTGATCTTTTAGATAATTTTTCTTTTTTCCTCTCTTTATTGATCTTAAAGTATACCGAAAACCGGAGGACAACACCCACAGTTTTATTTGTCCGAAGAAGAAGAATGTGATTTCTATATAAACTCACAATAATATAAATTAAGCAAAAATAGAAAATTGTGATCAACTTTATTAAGTCTTTTCTATTATACATTATCAACTATAAGTTATGTTATCTCAGTTACCACAGGAAATTATTGAAATTATACTTAATAATCTTCATCAAGATGAATTACTTCAAGTTTCTCAAGTTAATAAATATTTCAGATCATTAACTTTACCGAGATTATTTTCTGTTGTTTTGATAGATTCAAGTCCTAAATTATTTAGAAAAGATACTGAATCATTAAAACAATATCAAGAATTAAGAGGTGTATTTAAATTAGAAGATAAATTTGTTCGTGCTGTTAATATATCTTCAGTTTATTGTTTAAAATTATTTTTCAAATTATTAGTTGATAATCCAGAATATGGGAAATTCATCAGAATAATTCATGTTGAAAATCTACCTGATATTCCTGATTTAGATATGTTTGGTTTTTTAAAAACAAGTTTGAAATTCATGTCAAGATTGAATGTATTTAATTGGAATCATGAATATCCCATTCCAATGTCTTTATTTATGAATAATCATGAATTGATTGCAGTTAATGGCAATATAACTAGTGATGAAACCACAGAGTTTAATAATTTTAAATTGAATGAAGCTGTTGTGACTAATAGTAAATTTAATGTTAATAATTTGGAAAAAATCACTATTAGAAATATAGATATGAATGAAATCACTGGTGATTTGACAAATTTAAAATCATTAACAATAGAAAATTGTACTAATGATTCATGTTTCTTACTTAATTTAGATGTTAATGCTCCACTTCTTGAAGAATTATCTATAACTGTTGATGAACAACCATGCTTAACCAAAATATTCAGTTCTTTGACTTTGAAAACTTTGAAATTATCTATCCTTAATCATTGTAATATCATTCGAGTTAGTCAAATTTTGAAAAATATTAATAACAATATATCAAGATTAGAAATAACTAATCAACTTGATAGATCAAGTTTTAAATTATTACTGAAATTTCATAATTTGAATTATTTACATGTTTCAATACTTGAAAAAGATATTTATGAATTACTATCAGTTTTAAATCATGTTAAATTTTTATCATTAAATATTCTTGAAGCTACTGAAAGAAGAAATTGTTTAATTGCTAATGAATATTGGGATTGTTCAACAATGATTGATGAAAATCAAATCAAATATACTGATTTTACATTAGAATATCATAGAAAATTATCATATTTAAAATGGATCCGATTTCAAGGAAATGATAATACATATATTTTTGAATGTAATCAAATTGATCCAATAATTTATAGAGAAGGATTCCATCATTATTTTGATAATTTAGTAAATACATTAATATAAAAACAACAACAAAAACAAGATTTGTCTTTAGAAATAACAAGAATGTAGATCATTTGAAATAGTCCCGGAATTACATCAATTATAATCAATTAAAATGATTGTTATACCAGGGTGGAGATGATCAGAAAAAGTATTTATTCTTCCAAAGCAAAAGTGTTCTCTTGAACCATTTTAAACTGAAAATAACCGAATATAATCAGGGTAAATGAGAAGGCTGTAAGCTTTGGGGGAGGTTTGAGGTGTTTAAAACTACAATTGATGACAGAATAGAAATGGTATGTGTATATATTGAACGTAGTATACACTGTTGTTGTTGTTATGGAACAATAAGAGAAAGAAGAAGAAGAACAAGAAGAAAGTGATAGGAACAAGTGAAAATTTTTTTCTTCCTTTAGTTTTCTGTCAGTTGTACATCATCGAGAGATAATGCGTGTGTGTGTGTGTGTGTGTGTGTGTGTGTGTGTGTGTGTGTGTGTGTGTGTGTGTGTGTGTGTGTGTGTGTGTGTGTAAGAGACACAATGTCGGAAAACGACATCGGATTAAAGGTGCCACGACATTGTACGCGTGTCTTTTGCACAAATGTCACAAAACCAGAAAAGACTCAACAAACGAGAATTGCAATTTATTTTTGTTGGTTTGTTGAAACAACAAATGCAAGAAAGTTGTTGGGAGGTAATAGACACACACACAGCCGAATAGCCAATCAGATTGCTGCTAATTCAGTATTATAGTGAACTAGACTTCTACACTGATAGCAACATCTTATCCTTGTATAGTAGGTACTACAAGGTGTATACACCCTACACTATCATTAACCCCCCCTGACAGTATATGAGAGGGATTCCTCGGAGTTTTTTTTTCCTTTGTCATTTTCGCGGTAATTTCTGATTTTTTTTTTTGGGTAAAACAAAGGCAGGAAATTTTTCATCCAGTACACTACAGTACAAAGAAAATAAAAAAAAAGCAACGGCCAAAATAAAATAGAAACAAATAAAAAAAAAAAAATTTAAACGTTTCCGTAATCTCCCACAATCGTATAAAAACAAACCATTATCTTTTTATCTAATTAGAAAAAATTTTCTTTTTTCCATTTTTATATTACTTTGAAACTTCTCTTGATTTTCAACTAATTCTACTTAGACAAAACCAATCATGAAGCCAGAGATTGAACAAGAATTATCCCACACTTTGTTAACCGAATTGTTAGCTTATCAATTCGCTTCTCCAGTTAGATGGATCGAAACTCAAGATGTCTTTTTAAAACAACACAACACCGAAAGAATCATCGAAATTGGTCCTTCTCCAACCTTGGCTGGTATGGCCAACAGAACCATCAAGGCCAAATACGAATCTTATGACGCTGCTTTGTCTTTACAAAGAGAAGTTTTGTGTTACTCCAAGGATGCTAAGGAAATCTACTATAAACCAGATCCAGCAGATCTTGCTCCAAAAGAAGAACCAAAGAAAGAAGAAGCTGCTGCTACTCCAGCTGCCGCCGCCCCAGCTGCTGCTGCTGCTGCTCCAGTTGCTGCTGCCCCAGCACCAGCTGCCGCTGCCGGTCCTGTTGAATCTATTCCAGATGAACCAGTTAAGGCTTCTTTGTTGATCCATGTTTTGGTTGCTCAAAAATTAAAGAAACCATTAGATGCTGTTCCAATGTCCAAAGCTATTAAAGATTTGGTCAACGGTAAATCCACTGTCCAAAATGAAATTCTTGGTGATTTAGGTAAAGAATTCGGTTCAACTCCAGAAAAACCAGAAGATACCCCATTGGAAGAATTGGCCGAACAATTCCAAGACTCTTTCAGCGGTCAATTGGGTAAAACTTCTACTTCTTTGATTGGTAGATTGATGTCTTCTAAAATGCCTGGTGGTTTCTCAATCACTACTGCTAGAAAATACTTGGAATCTAGATTTGGTTTGGGTTCTGGTAGACAAGATTCCGTTTTGTTGGTTGCTTTGACCAATGAACCAGCTGCTAGATTGGGTTCTGAAGCTGAAGCTAAAACTTTCTTGGATACTATGGCTCAAAAATACGCCTCTTCTGCTGGTATTTCATTGACTTCTGCATCTGCTGGTGCTGGTGCCGGAGGTGCTGCAGGTGGTGCCGTTGTTGACAGTGCTGCTTTGGATGCTTTGACTGCTGAAAACAAGAAATTGGCTAGACAACAATTGGAAGTTTTGGCTAGATACTTGCAAGTCGACTTGAACCAAGGTGCTAAATCTTACATCAAAGAAAAAGAAGCTTCTGCTGTATTGCAAAAAGAATTGGACTTGTGGGAAGCTGAACATGGTGAATTCTACGCCAAGGGTATTAAACCAACTTTCTCCTCTTTGAAAGCAAGAACCTACGATTCATACTGGAATTGGGCTAGACAAGATGTTTTATCCATGTACTTTGACATCATTTTTGGTAAATTGACTTCTGTCGACAGAGAAACCATCAACCAATGTATTCAAATTATGAACAGATCAAACCCAACTTTGATTAAATTCATGCAATACCACATTGACCACTGTCCAGAATACAAGGGTGAAACCTATAAATTGGCCAAGAGATTGGGTCAACAATTGATTGACAACTGTAAACAAACCTTGACTGAAGACCCAGTTTACAAAGATGTTTCCAGAATCACTGGTCCAAAAACTACCGTCAGTGCTAAAGGTAACATTGAATACGAAGAAGCCGAAAAGGATTCCGTTAGAAAATTCGAACAATATGTTTACGAAATGGCTCAAGGTGGTGAAATGACCAAGATTGCCCAACCAACTATTCAAGAAGATTTGGCTAGAGTATACAAAGCCATTTCCAAACAAGCTTCCAGAGAAAGCAAATTAGAATTACAAAAGGTCTACGAACAATTATTGAAGGTTGTTGCTGGTTCTACTGAAATTGAAACTCAACAATTAACCAAAGACATTTTACAAGCTCCAACTGGTGCTAACACCCCAACCGATGAAGATGAAATCTCCACTGCTGATTCAGATGATGAAATCGCTTCATTGCCAGATAAGACTGCTATTTCTCAACCAGTCTCTTCTACCGTCCCACATCAAACTATTCCATTCTTGCACATTCAAAAGAAAACCAACGATGGTTGGGAATACGACCGTAAGTTATCTGCCCTTTACTTGGATGGTTTGGAATCCGCTGCTGTCAATGGTCTTACTTTCAAAGACAAATATGTTTTAGTTACCGGTGCTGGTGCTGGTTCCATTGGTGCCGAAATCTTGCAAGGTTTGATTAGTGGTGGTGCTAAAGTTGTTGTTACCACTTCTAGATTCTCCAAGAAGGTTACCGAATATTACCAAAACATGTATGCCAGATATGGTGCTGCTGGTTCTACTTTGATTGTTGTCCCATTCAACCAAGGTTCTAAACAAGATGTTGACGCTTTAGTTGAATACATTTACAACGATCCAAAGAAGGGTGGTTTAGGTTGGGACTTGGATGCCATTATCCCATTCGCTGCTATTCCAGAAAATGGTAACGGTATTGACAACATTGATTCCAGATCCGAATTTGCCCACAGAATCATGTTGACCAATCTTTTGAGATTGTTGGGTGCTGTCAAATCCAAGAAGACTACCGACACCAGACCAGCTCAATGTATTTTGCCAATGTCTCCAAACCATGGTACTTTTGGTTTCGATGGTTTGTATTCCGAATCCAAGATTTCCTTGGAAACTTTGTTCAACAGATGGTACTCTGAAGATTGGGGTTCCAAATTGACTGTTTGTGGTGCTGTTATTGGTTGGACCAGAGGTACTGGTTTGATGAGTGCCAACAACATCATTGCCGAAGGTATTGAAAAGATGGGTGTTAGAACTTTCTCTCAAAAGGAAATGGCTTTCAACATTTTAGGTTTGATGACTCCAGACATTGTCAAATTATGTCAAGAAGAACCAGTTATGGCCGACTTGAACGGTGGTTTGCAATTTATTGAAAACTTGAAAGACTTTACTTCTAAATTGAGATCCGACTTAATGGAATCCGCTGAAGTCAGAAGAGCCGTTTCTATTGAATCTGCTATTGAACAAAAAGTTGTCAATGGTGATAATGTTGATGCTAACTACTCTAAGGTTACTGTTCAACCAAGAGCTAACATGAAATTCGACTTCCCAACCTTGAAATCTTATGATGATATCAAGAAAATTGCCCCAGAATTGGAAGGTATGTTGGATTTGGAATCCGTTATTGTTGTTACTGGTTTCGCTGAAGTTGGTCCATGGGGTAACGCCAGAACTAGATGGGAAATGGAAGCCCATGGTGAATTCTCTTTGGAAGGTGCCATTGAAATGGCCTGGATTATGGGTTTCATTAAATACCATAACGGTAACTTGAAGGGTAAACCATACTCTGGTTGGGTTGATGCCAAGACTCAAACTCCAATTGATGACAAAGACATCAAAGCTAAGTATGAAGAAGAAATTTTGGAACACTCTGGTATTAGATTGATTGAACCAGAATTGTTCCATGGCTACGATCCAAAGAAGAAACAAATGATTCAAGAAATTGTTGTCCAACACGACTTGGAACCATTTGAAGCTTCTAAGGAAACTGCTGAACAATACAAACACGAACACGGTGACAAGTGTGAAATCTTTGAAATTGAAGAATCTGGTGAATACACCGTTAGAATCTTGAAAGGTGCTACTTTGTTTGTTCCAAAGGCTTTGAGATTTGACAGATTGGTTGCTGGTCAAATTCCAACAGGTTGGGATGCTCGTACCTATGGTATTCCAGAAGATACCATCAGTCAAGTTGATCCAATCACTTTGTATGTCTTGGTTGCCACTGTTGAAGCCTTATTATCAGCTGGTATCACCGACCCATACGAATTCTATAAATACGTCCACGTTTCAGAAGTTGGTAACTGTTCTGGTTCCGGTATGGGTGGTGTCTCTGCTTTGAGAGGTATGTTCAAGGACAGATATGCTGATAGACCAGTTCAAAACGATATCTTGCAAGAATCTTTCATCAATACCATGTCTGCTTGGGTTAACATGTTGTTGTTGTCTTCTTCCGGTCCAATCAAGACCCCAGTTGGTGCTTGTGCCACTGCTGTTGAATCTGTTGATATTGGTGTTGAAACTATTTTGTCTGGTAAGGCTAAGGTTGTTATGGTTGGTGGTTACGATGATTTCCAAGAAGAAGGTTCTTATGAATTCGCCAACATGAATGCTACCTCCAACTCTCTTGACGAATTTGCTCACGGTAGAACTCCAAAGGAAATGTCCAGACCAACTACCACTACTAGACATGGTTTCATGGAAGCTCAAGGTTCTGGTATCCAAGTTATTATGACTGCTGATTTGGCCATTAAGATGGGTGTTCCAATTCACGCTGTTTTGGCTATGTCTGCTACTGCTACTGATAAGATTGGTAGATCTGTTCCAGCTCCAGGTAAAGGTATTTTGACCACTGCCAGAGAACATCACGGTAACTTGAAATACCCATCTCCAATCTTGAACATCAAATACAGAAAGAGACAATTGAATGCTAGATTGGAACAAATCAAAGCTTGGGAAGAATCCGAAATTGCTTACTTACAAGAAGAAGCTGAATTGGCCAAGGAAGAAATGGGTAATGAATTCTCCATGCACGAATTCTTGAAGGAAAGAACTGAAGAAGTTTACCGTGAATCCAAGAGACAAGTTTCTGATGCCAAGAAACAATGGGGTAACCAATTCTTCAAATCTGATCCAAGAATCGCTCCATTGAGAGGTTCCTTGGCTGCTTTCAACTTGACCATTGATGATCTTGATGTTGCTTCCTTCCATGGTACTTCCACTGTTGCCAATGATAAGAATGAATCTGCTACTATCAACAGTATGATGAAACACTTGGGTAGATCAGAAGGTAACCCAGTTTTCGGTGTCTTCCAAAAATACTTAACTGGTCATCCAAAGGGTGCTGCTGGTGCTTGGATGTTGAATGGTGCTATTCAAATCTTGGAATCTGGTATTGTTCCAGGTAACAGAAATGCCGATAACGTTGATAAAGTCTTGGAAGAATACGAATACGTCTTGTACCCATCTAGATCCATTCAAACTGATGGTATTAAAGCTGTTTCCGTCACTTCTTTCGGTTTCGGTCAAAAAGGTGCTCAAGCTGTTGTTGTCCACCCAGACTACTTGTACGCTGTTTTGGACAGATCTACTTATGAAGACTATGCTGTTAGAGTTTCTGCCAGAAACAAGAAGACTTACCGTTACATGCATAATGCTATTACTAGAAACACTATGTTTGTTGCTAAGGATAAGGCTCCATATGCTGATGAATTAGAACAACCAGTTTACTTGGATCCATTAGCTCGTGTTGAAAACGCTAAAGAAAAACTTGTTTTCAGCAACAAGGGTATTCAATCTAACCAAGCTTATACTGGTGAAAATGCCAGAAACACTGCCAAGGCTTTAGCTTCTTTGAACAAATCCTCTAAAGGTGTTGGTGTTGATGTTGAATTATTATCTGCCATCAACTTGGAAAATGAAACTTTTATTGAAAGAAACTTCACTGCTGGTGAAGTTGAATACTGTACCAAGACTTCTAGTCCACAAGCTTCATTCACTGGTACTTGGTCAGCCAAAGAAGCTGTTTTCAAAGCTTTAGGTGTTGAATCCAAGGGTGCTGGTGCTAGTTTGATTGATATTGAAATCACTCGTGACGTCAATGGTGCTCCACAAGTTTCTTTACACGGTGATGCTGCCAAAGCTGCTGCTAAAGCTGGTGTTAAGAATGTCAAGATTTCTATCTCCCATGATGACTTCCAAGCCACTGCTGTTGCATTAAGTGAATTTTAGAGTATGTAGTTATTAGAGTACGTTTTATAATTAGAATAGATATTACATTATTGTTGTCTAATTTAGAAAAATCAATCTGTGCGTGCAAAATGGCGAGAAAATTCAACACAACACAAAGGAGAAAAAAAGAAAATGGTAAAGGAGGAAGTGAGTGGGTTGTCTGTCTGTCTGCACAACACAAGTAATCTATTTTTTTTTTTTCTTCCAACGAATTTTCCTTGAATAATAAACAACAAACTGTAATCCTAGACAGAGAGAAAAAAAGAAGAAAAAATAAAAAAAAAAATAACAGTCAAATCAAAATTCAAGACAACACAATATTGTTTAGATAAGATCATCAACTCAATGTCGGAACAAGAAGAATCTCAAAGGACTGAACCTTCTCCAGTACCGAAAGAAAGTGTTGAATTAACCAAAGAAGAAGATACAGAAGAACAAACTAAAGGTGAGCAACAACAAGAAGAAGAAGGACAACCTGAAGAATTGGAGAATGGCAACAAAACCCTGAATGGCGTTGATTCTCATGATCCAGAAGAAATCAAAGATGAACAACAACAAATTGAAGATGATGATACAAGTAAGGAAAAAGATGAAAATGAAGAAGTCAATTCTAAATCAGAAGTTTTGCCAGAAGAATCCACTTCAAGTGAACAGCCTGTAAACATTGATAGTTCGGATAAAGGTGAAACAGAATCGTTGGACAATAACACAAAAGAAGTGCCAGATTCAGAAAACCTAGAAAGCAAAGAAGGCGAACAAGAAGCAAATGGCGAGCAAGAAACCAATGGTGACCAAGACATAAATGGTGAATCAGAAACGGCCATTGCTGAAACTAAAGACGATAAACCTGAAGAAGAATCAAAACCGGAAACGCAATCAACAGATGCACCAGAGACAGCTACTCCTGTACCAGAAACTGTAAAAGTGACATCACCTGAAGGACTGACATCAATTCCAAGCACTCCTGTATCCAATCGTAATCGTCAACATTCAATTTTGTCAATTGGATCCAGTGGAACTGTGGATAATGCTCAAATTTTTAAGAAAACTTTTGAAACTATTCTTGCATCTAAAGAAGCCAAAAAGGACGAGAACTTTAAGGCTCTTATTCAACAGTCTCTTGATTCCTTGAACAATTCCGATTCTAGAAACCCCCAGATCATTTTCAATGCTTTGAAAGCATGCTGTGAGACATCAAGTACCGATTTGAAATCCAAGGCTATTGATTTATTTGCCAAATTGTTTGATTATGCACAATTCGATAATCCAACTGAAAAAACCAAACTAACTAATGATTCTGTCAATGTTATATCTGCCTGCTTTGAAGGAGAAGGTACTGATCCTGAATTGGAATTACAAGTGGTTAGAGCATTGATGCATAGTATTCTTTTAATGCCATGCCATGGGGCTTCTTTGTTGCAAGCAGTAAGACAAATTTATAATGTATTTATCTTTTCATTAACTGCTAGAAATCAAGCTGTTGCCCAAGGTATTTTAACCCAAGTTATTGGTACTATTTTCCAAAGAGTTGAAGAATTTATGAAATTCAAGAGCAAGACAAGTAGTACTCCTAAATTAACTACTTCTTCTGAAGATGATGATGTGTTGGATGCCACTGTTGAACCTAATCAACCAACTGGGGAAAAACTTACTTTGAAAAGGTTGGAAAAATTAAATGATAGTCTTACTGACGCTGATCGTGAAAATAATTTTGCAAGTGAAACAGAAGAAGATTTAGCGGTTAAAGATGCATTTTTGGTATTCAGAGCCATGTGTAAGCTTTCCATTAAATCATTGGATTCTACCACTGTTGATATGAGATCCCATTCTGTGAGATCAAAATTATTATCTTTACATATTGTACACACCATTTTGAAGGAGCATATCGATATTTTCTTAAGTCGTGATGTTCTTCTTTTATCTACCAATTCCAATGAACAGATAAGATTAATTAATGCAGTAAGGCAGTACATTAACTTGGCACTTTCTAAGAATGCTGCTTCTGTCTTGGCTCCTGTTTTTGAAATTTCTTTGGAAATTTTCTGGCTTATTATTTCAAACTTAAGAGCTGAATTTAAAAGAGAGATACCCGTTTTCTGGGACGAAATTTATTTCCCAGTGGCAGAGATGAAAACATCTAGCCCCCACCAGAAGAGATATTTGTTATCGATAATAGAAAGATTATGTAACGATTCTCGTTGTATTATTGAATTTTATTTGAATTATGATTGTGATAGTAGCATGCCAAACATTTGTGAGAAATTGATTGATTATTTGACCAGATTATCGTTACAAAGAGTTGATGTTACTCCACAACAGAAATATGCTTTCCGAGAAAATAGAAGAAACGAGATTTCAGTTTATGACATTAACAAGATTTCCAATCTAACAAGTAAAACTATGTCATCGAAACCACCAGAACCAGAAATCTACAGTCTATTCCCATTAGAATATGCATTGAAAATGACATCTATTGGTTGTGCAGTTGCCTTTTTGCCTTCCTTATATTCATGGGCACAACGTGGATTGAATAATTCACCTACAAGAAATCCTTCTGTTGTTGGAGGGGATACAAACAATGGATCATACTTGTCACTTAGAAATAGATCAGATTCAACCAACACATCAATGAGTGCTTCTAGAAACCATTCTTTTGTCAATGGCGAATCTCTTGCATCTGAAAGTGATAATCCAGAACAGTTTGAAAATCAAAAACAAAGAAAAAAAGCATTGTTGGAAGGTATTCGTCAATTCAATCAAAAAGCAAAAAAAGGGTTGAACTATTTCATTACAAATGGATTTCTTGAATCTGATGATCCGGTTGTTATTGCTAAATTTCTTTTAGAAACTGATGGATTAGATAAAGCTGTCATTGGTGAATATCTTGGAGAAGGTGACGAAAAGAATATTGCTATTATGCATGCGTTTGTTGATGAAATGGAATTTGAAAACACCGAATTTGTGGATGCAATGAGACGATTCTTACAATCATTTAGATTACCAGGTGAAGCACAAAAGATTGATAGATTCATGTTGAAATTTGCCGAAAGATATGTTTTAGGTAACCCAGGTATTTTTGCCAACGCAGATGCTGCTTATATTTTGTCGTATTCTGTTATTATGTTGAATACCGATTTACATTCTCCACAAATCAAAAACAGAATGACTTTTGATAGTTTCGTTATGAATAATTCAGGAATCGATGATGGGAAAGATCTTCCAAGAGAATTTTTGGAAAAGATTTTCAATGAAATTCAAAGCAATGAAATTAAATTGCAATCAGAACAACACGCAGCATTATTAGCAGGTGATATTTCAGTTGCACCAAGCGGTGGTCAATCTATTAGTTTCTTTGGTGGACGTGATCTTACACGTGAAGCATATATTCACGCATCCAGAGAAATGGCTACTAAAACAGAGAAATTAATGAGAAATTTGGGCAAGAAATTGAGAACTGATAGTCTGGATGGAGTATTTTATGCTGCTACCAGTGTTTTACATGTTAAGTCCATTTTCGATACCTTATGGATGTCTATTTTGGCTGCTCTTACACCTCCATTCAAGGAATATGACGAGGATGATGTAAGTAAAGTTTGTCTTGAAGGTATTAAATTATCTATCCGTATTGCTTGTATGTTTGATTTAGACTATGCAAGAACTTCATTCATTAGTGCATTGGTTCAATTCCAAAATCTCAACAACTATCAAGAAATGAAACAAAAGAATGTTGAAGCCGTTCACATTATGTTGGATTTAGCTGTTTCTGAAGGAAACCATCTTGGTGGTGATGCATGGATACAAATTTTGACATCTATTTCTCAATTAGAGAGATTGCAATTAATTGCTCAAGGTGTGGATCAAGATTCTATTCCAGATGTTGCCATTGCCAAGTTAGTGACTAGAAATTCGATTGAAACCACCAGAACCAGCAGTAGTTTCTTTTCTTTCACATCTTCACAAACACCAGCCCAATCAGCTGCTAGTAAGTTCCACAATCAACATTTATCAGCCGAAGTTGCCAATTTATTGACCAAGACCGAGTTGGAAGTTGCTATTGATAAAGTATTTACAAATAGTGCCAACTTATCTGGTGAAAGCATTGTTGAATTTGTAAAGGCACTTTCTGAAGTTGCAAAAGAAGAGATTGATTCTTCTGGTCAAAGTGTTAACCCAAGAACATATTCATTACTGAAAGTTGTAGATATTTGTTACTACAACATGAATCGTATTCGTTTAGAATGGTCACATCTTTGGGCTGCAATGGGAGAGACCTTCAATGCTGTTGGTTGTCACACAAATCCAGCTATTCTGTTTTTTGCATTGGATTCATTGCGTCAATTATCGATGAGATTTTTTGAGATTGATGAATTGGCTCATTTCAAGTTTCAAAAAGAATTTTTAAAACCGTTTGAATATATTATTATCCATAACGATTCACTTGAAGTTAAGGACATGGTTTTGGAATGTGTCAATAATATGATTCTTGCTCGTGCTTCACAAATCAAATCTGGATGGAAGACTATATTTGGTGTTTGTACTGCTGCTGCCAAAGAAAACAAAGAATCACTAGTAATGAAATCTTATAAAATGGCTAACTGGATCAACAAAGAATATGTGGAAGAAGTTAGACAACAAGATTCGTTTTCAGATTTGGTTGTTTGCTTCACTGTATTGGCCAAGAATGAAAAGTTCCAAAGAATTAGTTTATTATCATTGGATGTGTTGTCTAGATTGATTCACGAAATTGCCCAATATACTGTTCTTAACGGAGCTCATGATTCCAACGGTAAATCGAAATCTAGTGACCCAGAGAATAACGAATTTTTGGTTAAATTATGGTTCCCTGTATTGTTTGGATTCCATGATATTATTATGACTGGTGAAGAATTAGAAGTCAGATCCAGAGCATTGACTTATTTGTTTGATGTTTTAATGAAATATGGTGAGTATTTTGATCTTGAATTTTGGGATGTCATTTGTCAGAACTTGTTGTTTCCAATTTTCCATGTTTTGAGTAATCATTGGGAAATTGGACTCGATGATCTCAACGATAAATTATCTGTTTGGTTATCGACGACTTTGATTCAGGCTTTAAAAAGTATGATTACTTTGTTTACTCATTATTTTGATGCTTTAAGCAGAATGCTCGATGGATACTTGGAGTTGATAATATCTTGTATTTGTCAAGAGAATGATACTATTGCAAGAATAGGTCGTGAATGCTTAACTTCTTTGCTTACTGAAAATGCTCAAAGTTTCAATAATGAACACTGGGGTAAGATAAGCGATGCTCTTGCCAACTTGTTTGAATTGACAACTGCTAAGGAATTGTTTACTTCTGATCCACTTCGAAACAAGAACCCTGACGAAAGTTTTGGTGACATGAGTAATGAAAATGGTCACGATGATAATGCTGATGAAATAGATGCAAATGATTCCAAGAGTAGTATTATTGATGATGCAGAAGAAAGATTGAAGAAATCCAAAGAGAAGTCTTCAATTGTGGTCAAGAGTGTTTTGCAATTATTGTTGATTCAAAGTTTATCCGAACTATTTGAAAATGACGACTTTTATGAAGGTGTACCATATGATTACTTGTTGAAAATGTCTGACTTGTTGAACAATAGTTATAATTTTGCTAAAAAGTTCAATGATGATTATGATTTGAGAGTCAGATTATGGAATGCTGGTATTATTGAAAGATTGCCAAATTTATTGAAACAAGAGTCTTCTTCCGCTGCTGTTTTCATCAACATCATGTTTAGAATGTACTGTGATGATGGTAAAGTTTCACCAGCTAACAAACAAACATTGATTAATAAAGTTGTTCCATTATGTAACACTATCCTTAAAAGATATTCCGAATTGGATGAAACTAACCAACAACGAAATATTTCCACCTGGAAACCAGTTATTGTTGAGATTTATGAAGGATATGTTGAGTTGGATGATGATGATTTTAGAAAACATGCTCCTGGTCTTTATTCATTGACCTTGAAATTGTTTTCCAAGAGTATTTCTGGAGATTTAAGAATGGCTTTGAAAGCATTCCTTACAAGAGTTGGTGAAGAATTTGTCAAAACATCGACCAATTGAATTTGGGCGCAATAAGATACAAATACATTGATGTTAATCTGTTCATATATATATATATATCTATAAACATGTGTGTATATTAAGTAAATAATAAGTATAAAACTAATAATTATAATATTATTGACAAGTAAATAATGTGAATGATATGAATGACATGCAAGTGATCATGAGTTATTTCCTTTAGTTTGTAGGTTACTTAATCATAGTGTATGTCAATCGCACCACAATTTCGTACCATTTGGGTTGGATTGGTGTCCCCTTTTTTACCCGGACTGGTAGTGCGTAAAACCACCACTCTAAATACTGCATATAGCCCCCAAAAAGGGAAGTCACTGAAAAAAAAACGAAAAAGCCAAAGTTCTGGAGCAAACTGAGCAAAAAAAAATTTTTTCTTTGTATTCTGGAATTTTTTTTTCAACGAACAGAAAAATTCAATACAATTTTTTTTCTTTCTTTCTTTTTTGGAAAGGAAGGAAAGAAGTATACAAAAAATGTCATTTCAAAATAAAGTATGTGTTAATTGAAATTGTCAAACAAGAGAAAGAAACATAAGAGCCATTGATAAAGGAGAGACAATCGAATTGTGGCTACGTTTTAATCCATAAGAATCAAAGTTAATGGGAGTTCTACTTTTTTTTTCAAATTTTTTTTTTTTTTTTTTTTGCAGTTGTGGAAAGAATTGGCAACAAGGGGGGGGGGGGAGAGGGAGTCTTAGGATTGAAAAATTTAATTGCATAAAACTATCAAGAGTAACTATTGGAATTGGAAAGAACATATGATAGGATGAATATTATACTATTGATTATCAATTCTACTATTTCATATTGGGGGATTTCTGTCAATTGAAGGAGGTTTAGTTCTTAAAGGGGAAGAAAGAAAAAATTTAGTACTGTCTCACGCACTAAGTCAGTCAGTCATTCAGTTCTGCCCCCGTCCATCGTGTGAGGCGAGCGAACATAAGAAAGTCAGGTCACGAGAGAAACGAGAAGTGGATTATGCAATCCCCCCATTTTTTTTTCTATGGGGGGGGGAATTTATTATTTGTTGCCAATTTTTGATTGGTGGGGTCATGTATTCTCCTCCTAATTTGATTCTTATTACAATCAATACTACTTTTGTTGATTTATTTATTTTTTTTCTAATTATAGTTTGGCTCTTATTTGTTTGGCACTAGTTAGAATGAATTGAGTTTATGTGATACTAACCATCGTTACTAGAATTTATACGACTTGTTGGGCAATGATGTCGAAGAAGATGTCGCTCCATCTGCTCCAACCAGAGAAGTTGTTAAGAAGAACACCTCTTCTAAAAAAGCTGATGTTGCTCCAGCTTCTGCTGACCCAGCCAAGGCTAAAAAGAAGAAGGCTGCTACCGGTAACGAAGCCGCTTTAAAGAACAAGTACAACAACAAGGATGTTGCTGCTCCACAATCCACTGCCACCAAGCACACCAAGAGACCATTTGACCGTCACTCTAGAACCGGTAAGACCGATTCCAAGAAGAAATTCCAACAAGGTTGGGGTCAAAGTGACAAGAGAGAATTGGAAGGTGAAGTTGAAGGTGCTGAAGATGCTGAAGCTGAATTGTCCGCTGAAGCTAACGAAAACGCCGAAGCTGCTGATGCCACTCCAAAGAAATCTTTGCAAGAATACCTTGCTGAATTAGAATTGCAAAAACAAGAATTAGATGGTGCCAAGAAACTCAGAGAAGCCAACGAAGGTGCTGAATCTAAAATGGACTTCTGAAGAAAAGATTGAAAAACAACAAGAAGTTTTCTTTGCTTCCACTCACGTCAAGAAGACCAGAACCAAGGCTCAAAAGGAAAAGGTTTTCTTGGACATTGAAGCTTCCTTTGCTGATGAACAACCACAATCTACCAGAGGTGGTTTCAGAGGTGGTAAGAGAGGTGGTGCCAGAGGTGGTGCCAACAACAAGAGAGGTGCTTCCAGAGGTGCTTCCAATGCCACTAAACCAGAAGTCAATGACAAGAACTTCCCATCCTTGTAAAACAAAAAGAGGATCTAGTTAAATTTTTTTCATCAGCAACAATGAAAATTTATACTTGAAAAGAAATTTTTTTGGCATATATGTATTGAATTCTTCCTTCATTTATTAATGTCCAATTAATGATGATGAATGAATGAATGAAATATTAGTATATATTAGTTTGTAACGAGTTGTCCTTTTTTGTTTTGTTTTATTCAATTATAAACTAAAAAGAACTAATTTACGAGTTATTGAATTATTATAATTATAAAGTTATCTCTAGTCTTACATTCGACATCTCTTTGAAAGGGTTCATTTTATCTTTTCATTTTAGTCCATGATGATCTTGACATTGAAAACTTAGTGCATCTGTATAATTTTTTTTTTTTTTTTCATATGCAAAGTTAAGTAAGTTTTTAATTCTTGTTTGCCATCTCCCCACACAACAACATATACTATTTATTGCTGGACATAATTTTTTTTGTTTGTTTGTTTTCAACCCTTGCATTTTTTTTGTTCAGATAAAAGAGCTGTTTTTTTCTTACTACAATCTTGCAACAACTACATCAAGGGTGTTTAATTGAGACAGGGAATTTGAAGTTATGGATAGTTACAGTGACCAACCAAGTGATATATTACAACAATCGGCGTCAATATCCTCATCTACATCATCTAGTTCCTACCGAGATTACGCAGTTGGGAAACTAAGCAAAGCAGTTGCTAAAGGAAATAGAATTGTTGAATCTAAACCTGGTAGTAAACGAGCCTTTGCAATGAATACAGCATCATCATTATTTGAAAAAGGAATAGAGAGATATAATTTAAATGGCAATGGATCTCGTCGAACAAGAAGTGGATCATATGATTTAACAGATGAACAAATTTCTCAAATCGAATCAATGGCAGATTCAGCAGAGGCTGAAAAACGACCTAAATCTAATCATTTTGCTGATCGAATGATTGAAAAATTATTGAAATCAGTATTACCTCAAGATTTACCAGAAAGAGAATTATTTGAGAAAAGATTAAATGATCCAGATAGAAATAAAAGACCAGGATTATCTGTAACTGTTTTAACATCCAATGTTAGACAAATGGCACGGAAAATGACAAATTTTTTTGCCATACAATATGAAATTATAAGAATAATCTCTTGGAAACAACCAACTAAAACAATCAGTGTTTTAATTTTATATACTGCTGCATGCATTTGGCCACATTTGGTATTGGCATACCCGTTGATATTTGTCTTATTTGGTATTTTGATCCCTGGGTTTGTATACAGACATCCAATGAGAAACCCTGATTTGATTAAGGTTAAAAAGAGAGGTCAATCGTTGTTAAGTTTTTTATTTGAATCACCAGATACTAGTATTGTTGAAGATTTGATCAATGAAGATTATCTTCGTGAAGATGCCGAAGTTGCATCATCCACATATTCCATTTCAGAGGATGTTTCTGAAGCAGCAGCTTCCTCTTCACAGATGGCTAGCGAATCAGATACCTCTGGAGGAGGAGGAGGGGGAGACAATAGCCCTAAAAAAGAGACCGCCAAACATAGAAAGTCACAGGTTGCATTATTAATTAACTTACGAGATTTTCAAAATTTAACTACAGATATCTTAAAAGGGGTCAACGAAGCAGAAAAGTTTTATTATGAAACTGCTGGGTTTAAAGATGAAAGATTGTCTACATTTATATTTTATGCAGTATTGGTTGCAACATTTGGTATACTTTTTGTTGGTCAGTTTATGCCTTGGAAATTGATTTTTATTCAAGCAGGCTGGGGAGCTGGTATTTTATCTCATCCAAAATGCAAAAAGTTCATAGTAGATGCTAGTAAAGCTAGAAAACAAAAAGCACTTCTTGCCAAATTGAATGAAAAAGAAAATGCTGCTGAATCCACTCCCGATATTGTAGTTGAAGATACAGATGGAGTGATTAAACAATTTGATCGAAACGATATTATTGTTGACGATTCACCAGAAGTTAGAGTGGTTGAAGTATGGGAATTACAGATAAAGAGTATTCTTAAACATTCATGGTCATTTTACAGATACTCCAATACAATTTTTGACAAGAATAATAAATTGAGAGTAGCAGGCAAGAGACCATCTGGTGTTGAGCAATTATCCAAAGTGTATCCACCGGTTGACTGGAAGTTTGATTTTGGACTTGAAAACAAATGGAATTTGGATTCTGATCCAGGTGAGTTTATTCGTCAAAGATCGTTGAATCCGTCGTTATTCATCATTAAAGAAGGTGAGAAAGAAGGGTGGATATATGACAACATGAAAGACATTGTTCATCTGGATATTGTGTATGAGTTTAGAAGAAGAAGATTATCGAGGGAATGTTACAGATACGGCCGTCCTCCAAAAGAACCAAGTGGGTATTAAAACCAAGGCGTGTCATTCTCTTTATATATATTTGCATCAGACTCACGACTATATATAAATACATACATGTAATGACTATAGATCATCGTCGTCAACCCCAGGCATACCAAAGAATAAAAGCTTATAACAAGGAGATTCTGGATCTGTAAAATGATCATAATTATTGGCTGTTCTTGAGCCACAGTTGAAACAAAAACTTGTCTTACATTCAGAACATTTCATTTTATTACAACCTTCTGTTTTTTCAATAACAGCATGACATCCAGGACATTCTCTAACATCTGTGCCCTCTCTTATTAATTGTTGGAATAATTGATCCATTTTGTATTCATCTATTGCTCTTAATATCACATTTCTACCATATTTTGCATTTAAAATTTTCTTTTCATGAGATTCCGAAGGTAAAAGTGGATAATTTTCTAAATCTTCAACGGGTATACCCAGGTATTTAGCATCTTCACTTATTTTAGTACATATCTTAAATCTAGCATGATAAGATTTCCTACAGTCGTTACAAAATGCATATTTGCATTTAGGACAAACAACTAATTTCTCATCTAAATCTTCTCTAAATATAACTTCATCACATCCAATTCTAGGACATGTAACCATTCTATTAGGTAATAATCTTCCAATTAATTCATATTGTCCTTTTTTAAATAAAGTGTAATATCTTTTTACTAATTCTTGATCTTTTAATAGTTTATTTAACATTGTTAATGGTACTGATGGAGTTAATAAATGGTTCACAACATCTCTTGCTTTTCTATCATTATTCATCCATGTATCCAAATTCATAAATTTGTTTTTTTCTTCAAGATATTTCTTTGTACATTCATAATCAGGACAATGAACTTTATCAATTTCTCCAGAAATAATACAAGATTGGAAATATTCAATTAAACAATTATTACAAAATACATGTCCACATTCATCAAATTTCGTACAGTGTAAACCTTTCAAATCAGTTTGACAAATTTCACAAGTAAATGTTTGCATGTTGAATTTTTCTACTTTGGTATCTAGATCAAAATCAATCACTTGGTAATATCTTTGAATGTTCAGAATATCTAATGTAGTAGATACTAGTTTATCGATATGATTCTGGGAAAGATCTTGTAAATAATCAATGACGTTAAATAAAACTTGATCTTTATATTCTTTCCAAATACCGTCTAGTTCAGTCGTCACCTCTTCCAATTTAGAATCATCTAACCAAACACATTTGATTTCAAGTTGTGGTGGGGAGTCATATGGATATGCGTCGTTCAACTGGAAACTAAGTTCAAATGGTGGCAAATAATTAATTAGTCGAGATGCCATAAGCGTATTGTCACTCAGATATAGTCGTACAGTGATTCCCTCTTCTATATTAATTGGTATCGATACAATTCCTGATAGTGTTTCATAATCAACTTTAGAATCGGGGTATATTAGTTTACATGATTGTAATTCTTGGATTTTAATATCATCTGAAAATTCAACATCTTGTTCTATATCATATTTATCATTAGTGGTTTCCATCTTTCATTTGGTAAATATACTGCCAATGATCTTTTCAAAAATTGTTCATCTCCACTGATATGAGTAATCTTCTTCAAAATTTCATTTTATATTTTCTTTTGTGGGAAAAAAGCTATGTGTCCTATATGCAGTCCCAAATCAAATTGGCTGCAGGTGGAAAAAAAACTGTAATTAACACGTTAAAGGTAATGGAGAGAAAGAACGAAAAAAAAAAACTAGCAATGGAATAATTCGTATAGCCAACAATCAGTCCCCATCACCACCACCATACACACACACATTCCTTGTTTGAATTAGAAGATTAAGTAATGGATTCATTTACCAACAAGGTTAGGACTTTTGATGCGTTCCCGAAAGTAGATCCAAATCAACAAGTAAGGTCACAAAGAGGTGGGTTTTCTACTTTGGTGACTTACATGTTTGGATTACTTATACTTTGGATTGAGATCGGTGGATACATTGGAGGATATGTCGATCGTCAATTTACAGTCGATAATCAAATACGTTCAGATTTAACAATTAATCTTGACATGATTGTGGGAATGCCATGTGAATTTCTTCATACTAATGTTGAAGATATAACTAGAGATAGATATTTGGCTGGAGAAACATTGAATTTTGAAGGTATTCATTTTATTGTTCCTCCTAGTTTTAGAATCAATAATCCAAATGATTTCCATGAAACTCCAGATTTGGATGAAATTATGCAAGAAAGTTTACGTGCCGAATTTAGAAGTCAAGGTGCTAGAGTTAATGAAGGTGCTCCTGCTTGTCATATATTTGGTTCTATTCCAGTTACTCAAGTTCGTGGTGATTTCAGAATCACTGCTAAAGGATTCGGCTATAGAGATAGACTGCATGTTCCAATAGAAGCATTCAATTTTTCCCATGTCATTCAAGAGTTTTCATTTGGTGAATTTTATCCTTTTATAAACAATCCATTAGATGCCACTGGCAAAATCACTGAAGAAAAATTGCAAACATATTTATACTATGCTAAAGTTGTGCCAACAATGTATGAACAATTGGGATTAGAAATTGACACCAATCAATATTCATTAACTGAAAGTCAACACGTTATTCAAGTCGATGAACAAACAAAGAGACCTAATGGAATTCCAGGTATTTATTTTAGGTATGATTTTGAACCAATAAAGTTAGTTATACGAGAAAAAAGAATTCCTTTTTTTCAATTCATTGCCAAATTAGGTACAATTGGTGGAGGAATAATGATAGCTGCAGGTTATTTGTTTAAATTGTATGAAAAATTATTATTGATATTATATGGTAAAAAGTATGTTGATAAAGGTAAAGAAAAGAAACAAGGTGGTTTGTTAGATAATGAAATGGAACATCTTCCTAAACGTGACGAATAGATTCAATTGTTATACATATAGTTCAAATTAAAAGAAAATGCATATACAAGTATAACAATAAGATCTCATACGCTGTAGATTGTTTGGCAGTAGATTGTTTGGCAGTAGATTTTGTGTTTTTGCAATTTTTTTTTTCTGTTGTTGATTTTGATAAGCCGGAATTATGGAAATTGGAGGTAGTTTCCTAAAGGGGAAAGTCGATGCGATACTATAAATTGTCCATAGTTATCTTTTATTTTCTATTCATTCATTCTTTCTTTCTTGTTATTGTACATGTAGTTTCTTTCGTTGTTTCTATTTTATTATTTTACTTTTCTTTTTCTTTTTTTCACCTTTTTCAGATTGGAAAATTAAAATATTACTACCAAAACATCATGGAGGAGAAAAAGAAGATCCGGAGAAGTCGTAATGGATGTCATAATTGCAAACGATTGAAAATCAAGTGTGATGAAAGAAAACCAACTTGTTCATATTGCATAAAAACCAACGCGCAATGTGATTACTCAATTAAACTAACGTGGGGTGGACGACCCTATAAAGTTAAGAAGAAGGAAAAACAACACAATTTCCAATCAGTACCAATCCCAGCTACTTCGTCAGTAGATTCAGTTATCAGTAACAAATCGAAAAAGGAAGAACCCGCAAATGGTGGGGCACAACAACAAGGACTGAACAATGACATTCAGTTTATTTTGCACGATTTCACAACCCCCCTGGTCACATCTCCACTTTCACCAACCGAGTCACTTATAACTCAACCAGAACTATTCGCATACTCCAACAATAGGAAAAGAAAGGCTAGTGATTGTAATAATGAAAATTTGAGGAAACGAGATAAATCAATCGGTGATGCAATATTCAATACTGAGGTACAATCGCCATTTTTGACACCACAAATGCCATCATCTTTTGTAAGTGAAGGAGACAAGTTACATTTTCTGAAGATATCTGACAAGAAGACCAATTCAGAATCCCCATTACAAGAAATGATACCGGAAATAAAAAATGGCATGAATCAATTGACTAATGCTTTGGCCGATATTGGGTTTGAACAATTTCAATTGGAGAATTCCGATATATTCAATGAATTTATTCAGAATCCAGAAAACTATAATAAAATCGCTCATTTAGATAGTAATTCAGAGAGCCTGGAAAATTCGTTTTTGAATAATTATTCTGAAGATATTACAAGAATAGAAAAATATCTCCCACGACAATCTACAAATATCTTTGGTGATAATACACCCATGAGACTGCTTTCCAATTTCTCTCGAGCACCAAAAATACAAGAATTAGAGTTTGATGATGGTGAAGAGCCCACCGATCAAGAATATTGGGAATCCATACCACCACTGCTTGTACCATTACCTACATTACTTTTGAATGTTCCCTTCTACAGAAATTTGATGCATTTTTGGATTAATGTTGCTGCAAACCATTTGGTTCCTGCATCATCAAGAATTTATTCTGACAATCCTTTCAAGATTTTGCTTACACAAATGGCAATGGAGTATCCATCAATATTGAATACACTTTTAGCCTTTTCAGCAAAAATGAGGTCAAATTTGATTGGTAAAGATGATACTCCAGATACGATAATTGACCAATTGCTATCCAGATCATGTTCTGAACTTTTACGGTTATTGAAGAACAAAGAGAGTGCTACATCAGATCAAACTCTTGCAACAGTGATGCTTCTTTCGTGTTTTGAAGTCTTTAATTCAAAAGATTTCAGTCGTCATAGGGCTCATAATATTGGAGCAAGACAAATAATTAAAGCAAGATCAACGACAGGGACAAGAGTTCGTATTCCTGATTCCGGAAAAGAAAAAGATATGGCATTTTTCTTAATGAGATGGTTTGTTTATACAGATGTCATTGGGGCACTTTCATCAACCACAAACTCGGGAGATTATTTATTAACCTCAAAAAATTCAAGTACATATGAACCATTGGAATGTATTAGCATATTAAGTGATATTGACAATATGCGTAATGATGAATACAAATGTCCTAAGAATAATATTGACTACTTGATGGGATTTGATATGAAGTTTCTTCCACAATTTGCTAAAATAACGATGCTTATTCGAGAGGTTAACATCCTATTGCAACAATCTAGAGAAACCTTACCAAATATTCCACTGAGCATTGTGCACAAAGCATTAGAAGTGAAGGAAGCACTATTACAAACTCGTAGACTTGATGAAGAACAGGTGATGAAACACCATGAACAATTAATGGAATTAAAAATAAAGAGAAAAAGAGGTATGGACCTTCCAAATCCCGATTCACCAGAAGAAGTTTTAAACCTTATTCAGGAGAATGACATTTTGAGATATACCAATAAAATATTCTGCGATGCAGGGCTAATCCATTTATACCGTCGTGTCTTGTTGTTACCAAGAGAATCAAAATTGGTTCAAGATCTAGCTATGGGAATAGGTGAACTAGCAAAAACCCAAATTGAATCAAGATCACCAGCAGAAATCTGTTGTATATTTTGCTTTTTCACAGCAGGTTGTGAAGTGCTCGATGCAAACATGCAGCAATTCTTTCAGTTAAGATTTCAGAACTTGGCTGAAATGGGAAATACAAATGCTAGAAAAGGGCTTGAAATTATGAAAAGATGTTGGCAAACAAAAGAAGATTGGATAACAGCTGCTAAAGTGTTGGATCTTGATTTAACATTATTGTGATATACTGACGCGTGTTACGTAGGCGTGTTTGCGGTAGTGTAGAAATTAACAATAAAATGTGTCTGACCTTGATCCAGAGGAAGGGGAAGGAAAAAAATAATGAGCTTGAATTTTTTTTTTTTTGTTTCAAGTTCATCTTTCTTTTCTACAACAACTACAATCATCATCATTATCACAACCCATACTCATCATCAATTATAGAGTTATTTAGATTGATTAGTCTATTCTTTTGATTTATTTATATTTATTTAAATAGCTGTTACCATTGACATTTGTGTGTGTGTGTGTTTGTGTGAGTGTGTACTGATTCTTTTTTTTTATTATTATTTTATTTTACTATTATTATTTTGTTATTTAAGTTTACTTTTCTTTTAAAAGTCGTTGTATATATCTTTTAGTTGTTGGTAATTTGAGTAGCGAAGATGTCTAATCAACTTCAACGAGTCGAGACATCTAATCTGCTTCAGCGAGTAGAGCAGTCTTTCAAGCCTCCCGAGTTTGATAGTTTATCTAAATTAATAACAGATTCTCTACGTGAATCTAGCTCCAGTCCCATTCATCTGCGTGTACTTAAACAAACTGTTGATTACTTGAACAAATACAAAGACAATCCTCATTGGTTCTGTGATCCTTATATGCAACCAATTGCCAGTAATTCGTTGCTATTATTTTCATACGATACTAGTCCCGTTCTTGCAAATTTGAAAATTCCCATGGCTAGACCATTACAAACTTGTCCGAATTGTTTGGTTGGCTTTGCTGAAGCCAAAGCAAAATTGAGAACCCGTTTCATTGTTCAGAATCAGACTCCCATCAGTAATGTTCAAAAGTTTATTAACTCGATTTCGCGATGGGAAATTTCATTATTAACTCCAATATTAGATAAAGTGATTTTACTGTTTAATTCCATTGAAAGGCATTCTGATGCACTCGTGATATGTGTCTACTGGTGTATGACCAATCCAGACCTCCTTAGAGATAACTTGTATGTTAAGGAAAAGTTTTATAAAATTGCTGAAGGTCTTCTAAATATTGACAGATTTCCAAATCCACAAGAGTTACTTCCTGGTTTGCTATATGTTCTTTTTGAAGGTAACTCTGAACTTCAAAACTGGGGACGTAAATGGATAGAGTCCTTGAAATGCAACAATGTCAGATACAACAAGGAAACCTTATTGGAACTGGTAGTGTTGGAATTTTCAATTCAACTTTACAATGTTCAAGATGCTAAATTCTTTAGCGTGAATTTTGCTAAGAAATTTTGGGATACATTTTTTGATGTAATTGATTTCATTGATGACGAATCTTTCATTCTCCGTTTAAACACACCGAAAGATATCAATCTAATGGGCAAATTTAAAAATCTCCAATTCATTTCGTTTGTTAGATTACTTTGTCGTTCTTTGCTTTCTCGTTTGTGGGTTCAAATTCCTAGCATTTTCAACGTGTTTGATAAATTGTTATACCGATTGAATACAAAATTCTGGACACATGCTTCAGAATTCAAATACGAAGTTGTTTTGAATGAAATATTTGCTGAACCAGAATATTCCAAGCAATTGCTAAGTGCATCAGAGGATGATTTGGGGACATACTTATCTTGGATTTCACCATTTAGAAATTCTTTAAGTGCATTACACAGTGTGAAGGCAGCCACGAAAATTGGTCCGTTTTTGTTGAGCAAGACTAATAATCATGAAAATATTCGACTCCGAAGAGTTAACCAATTACATGAACTAGGATGTCAAGTTCTCTATACCGCATTTAATGATACAGGTGTGTTCAACGACCAGGACGCTGCAGATCCAGAAATTGCACTTAATAATGCATTAGAACTTCGATCAAAAATTGAATATGATGCAGATGTGATTATAAGATCTGCAATCAGTTCGGTTGGTGATACTTCTTCAAGGGACTTGTTGTGCAAATGTTTGCAATATGACATGATATTATTGGTTCACAGTTCTAAACTTCTTTTGAACGGGGATACACCAAAGATTTTTGACTGTTTTCCTACATTATGGGATCTGCTTTACAAACTTAAATTAAATTCAAATATCACTTTAGCAAAGTCTGTAATCAGCTGTTTTGCACCAATATCACGTGCAATCATGTTCAAAGAGGTTAAACATGGAAGATTGGCAAAAGAACAGACTGCAGCTAGAAAACGTCATAACGCAAATATGGCAACCATCACAAACTTACAGAAAAAAGTACTTGCATCTTTCAGTCTTGGTGATCAAGAGAATACTCTTGAAATTTTAAATGATCCTGTTGCCATGTTGTCAATTTGGGCTTGTGTATTTTCACCATTGCTTAGTCAAGCAGCATTAGATTTTATTAACGAAGTTTACAGTGCCAGTGGAAGATTGGAGACTTTCAGAGAGTGCCTTTCAAAAAACCTTCAACTTTCATTGACTGCTATTAACATCAACTTGGATATTTTCACCGAGTTAAAGAGTTACGAACAAACCCCAAGGACTATTAGAATTTTAATGGACATAGTACAGGTTTTAGCTGATCCGGTAGAATCTGCATTGGCATCATCTCCTGAAGAATGTGATGATGAATTACTCATGTTGTGGAGAAAGACTTGGTTATTTCTCATTATGATTTTTGTAACCACTCCCCATTGGGCACAAGAATACCACCTAGACGAAATGAGGGAATTCACTCGAGATACTTTGGACATGTGTCATTTGCTTTTGGATTCATTTAGAATAATAGTTGACTCGTTCAAGAGTCCATCTGCTAACAATAGCCTGGGGGCTTTATTTGAAGTCTTTATGCAAGCTTTCCCGCATTTGATTACTTGGTTGAAATTAGGAGATACCACCCTTTTGAATATGTGTGTTAGTTTAGTACTCAAAGGATTTAACTTGGCACTTGAAGAACAGTTCCCCGTTCCAGACCTGTTCATTACTGAGATTGTAAAATATGGTAAAAAGGCAAAGGGTCATAATAATATTTTGTCAGAGCCACAAAGATTGAGTTTGATTGATAAAGCAAAAGAACTTAATGAAGATATCATCGAACGTCTTGAAATAGCAGAAGCTGACACCAAAAAACCACTTGCTATCGCTAATGCTGCTTTTGGATCAAGATCATCATCCTCTCGCTCTCCTACCCCATCTAGCGCCACTACACGTAAATTGGAACCAATTGTTAAGAGAGAAGCTAATGATGATAGTTTTGATGATATTAAAGAAATTTCCCCAGACGAGTTCCGCCAGAAATACGAAGCACCAGTGAAACAACAAACATTGACTCAATTTTTCAAACACGCAATCCTGGCACCAACAGCACCCGCTCCAAAAGTAGTCAAAGGTACTGACAGTATAGCTAACTTGCGTCAAAAATTGCAACAATCAAGATCTTCTGTTACACCAGCACCACAACCAAAATTCAATCCGGCTCCTCCTAGACCCGCGGGCTTTAATCCTAGAAAGCCTGCCACGGATATTAGTGTGCCATCAAAGAGAGTGAAAATGAAGAAGAATACTGGTGACGACTCGTCATCTGAAGAAGAAGAGCATGATGCAGATTTCTCGGACTTGTTTGTCGAGACTAAGAAGAAAGCACCTAAAATTACCCAGCTTGATTTAAATATGAGATCTATTGAAAATAATGCTTATGCTAGAAGAAGAAAACAAATGTCTGATGAAGAGCAAGCCAAGGAAAGAATGAGACTTAGGTTGAATGTCAATTTGAAACCTTTGTACACACAAGTGTTAAAGTGGAACTATAACTCGACTGATGATTATCCAAGCAGAGACAGAAGTATCTATAACCAGATTAAAGATACCTATAAAGATGTCAAGGAGTATGCCAGTGTTACTGAACCTTTATTGATGTTAGAATGTTGGCAAGCCATACAGTCGGCGAAATTGACAGTACTGGAAAAGCCGTTTGACCTATTGGTTGGTACTAGATCGCTGGTAGATGGTTTCTTTGATGTATTTCTTTCTATTGAGAAAGCTGTGTTACAAGACAGAAAAATTTCTGATACTGATTTATTAGTTCTTGCTGTTAAAATGGAAGGGATTACTCAAGAGTCAGAGATCAGAAAATACATCAAAAGTCCAAATTCCCAAACTTGTTTGGCCAAAGTCCGTGAAATCAAGTATACTAATGGGGATCACTGTGATTTAACATTGAGAGTGTACCCCTCAGGTCCAATGGTAGGTGCATTAACACCTAAATCTGTCATTTCTGCAATGCGAGTTATGCAGATGGTTACTATTGAAAGAGAGTTTTCTTCATTGAAAGGATTGCCATACTACGATTTGGCTGACTCTATTATTCTGGCAACACCAAACAAGCCAATTGAAATTAGCGACGACGATGCCGAGAACATGCGTAAAATATACCGTGTTAATGAATCACAAGCAAAGGCAATTATGGGTACATATAAAAGTGATGGCTTTTCATTAATTCAAGGACCTCCAGGTACTGGTAAGACTAAAACAATTTTAGGAATCGTTGGATATTCTTTGTCTCACCAGCGGTCCAGTAAAGCCATAGAAATTCCAGGAACCGGAGGAACCACATCCACGACTCCAACACCAACACCACCTCCATCATCTGCATCTGCAAATAAAGGTAAGATATTGATTTGTGCTCCGAGTAATGCAGCTGTTGATGAATTGGTATTGAGATTGCGTGATGGTGTAATTAATTCTGCTGGTGAACATATGCCGCTTAATGTGGTAAGATTAGGTAGAAGTGATGCCATCAATGTTGCTGTAAGAGATTTGACGTTGGAAGAGTTGGTTGATAAAAAGTTGAGTGAGATAAAAGGCAGTGACGTAAGAATTGACCCAAATATCACAAAAGAACTTACTAAATATACTGAAGAAAGAAAGGCATTAAGGAAGAGACTCACCACTGAAGCTTTGACCGACGAAGAAATCAATAAATTGGAGGATGAGATCCACGAAGTTCTGAAAAAGAGAAGTCAACTTGCTCTGAAACTTGATCAACAGAGAGAACAAGCGTCTATTGCTGCCAGAGCTAAAGAAACCAACAGAAGAAATATCCAGAACCAAATTTTATCAGAGGCACAAGTTCTTTGTTCGACTTTGTCTGGTTCTGCACACGATCTTGTTGCAAATCTTGCAGTTCTGTTTGATCAGGTGATCATTGATGAAGCATGTCAGTGTTTGGAATTATCTGCAATTATTCCACTTAGATACGGTTGTAAAAAATGTATCATGGTTGGGGATCCAAACCAATTACCACCAACTGTTTTGTCACAGGCTGCTGCTTCCTACAATTATGAACAAAGTTTGTTTGTGAGAATGCAAAAGAATAATCCCGAATCGGTTTACATGTTGGACGTGCAATACAGAATGAATCCTATGATATCTAAATTCCCAAGTGCTGAGTTTTACGATTCCAAATTGAAGGATGGTGAAGGCATGCTTGAATTAAACACTAGACCATGGCATAAAGACGATCCGCTTACTCCTTATCGTTTCTTTGACATATCCGGTAAACATCAGAAGAATGCATTGACACAATCTTTATTCAATCGTGATGAAGCTCGAGTAGCCTTGGAGTTGACGGAAAAATTGATGCAATATTTGCCTGATGGAGAATTTAGTGGGAAAGTTGGTATTATTTCTCCGTATAAAGAACAAGTTAATACTATCAAGAGGGAATTCATAGCCAAATTTGGTCGAGTAATTTTGAATGAGATTGATTTCAATACTGTTGATGGGTTCCAAGGTCAAGAAAAAGAAATCATTATTATGTCGTGTGTTCGAGCTAGTGAATCCGGTAGTGTTGGTTTCTTAAGTGATTTCCGTCGTATGAATGTTGCTCTTACCCGTGCAAAGACCACACTTTGGATCCTAGGTAATGAGGATTCATTGAGGAGAGATGCTGTTTGGAATAGACTTTTAGCAGATGCCACTGATAGAAAGTGTGTTAGTAAAGCATATCCGGGATTTTTGGCGCAAAATGGGAACAAAAGGAAAGCTATAAGTAATACTAAAGATCAAGGGTCGAAAAAGACAAAACCAAATCCTAATACCAATACCAGTGCCACTACTACTGAACGTAATGTACAAGAAATCAGGAACAACAATTCCAAACCGGTTCCTCGTCCAACAAATGCTGGATATTTACCGAACAAGAAAGAACCATCAACGATCGGAAAAAACGAACAAGTGGAAAAGAAGAAGCAAAGTCAACCAAAAAAGTCCAATAGCTTAGCTGTTCCGACAAAGAGACCACGTTTACCAAAAGATGATCGTAAAAAGACAAGTGAACCACGAAAAGAACAGGATAAACCTTTAAACTCTAAAGCTGCTACTGCTACTACTCCAAAGCCTTATATTCATCAACCAAAACCCTCAGATGCATCTGTTCCAAAACCGTACGTTAACCAGCCAAAACCCCAATCCAATTCTGTACCTGGCCCTACAAGATCAGGAACACTTGTTAGACCGCAATCAAACACTAATAAGGAATCTACATCACCAGCACCAACCCCTCCACAGACTAGACCTTCAAGTACATGTCCACCTAAACACACTCCTTCATCATCTGGAGTGGTGAAACCTCCACCAAGTATGTTTATTCCAAGAAAGAGAAGAAATTAATTTTCATAGATTATAGTATATATATATATATTCACACTATTTATCACTTTTTTTTGACAATACAGTAAAATCATTATTCTATCCTTATATTAGATTTCACATCAGTTTTATTCACTTGACTTGTTGGTTTGGATGATGACGGCATTAATGAAGAATGTAACCTAGTAGAGTCAGGTAAAATCATTGATTCCTCATTTGTTTGAACAATTTTGGTAGCTTCTTGTATGGCATTATATTCATTGTTTATCAAATCAAGTAATAAATCACGTTGTAATTGATCATCACGAGATCGTATAGTTATCGAATTCACTTTATTCATGTTTTCTTTCAAATTCTCCATTGTTGAACGTAATATATTCATAATCAGACTGCTTTCTCCATTGATGATTGATTCATTAAGAGCATTTTCTAATTTTTCTTCTTGTAAATCCATTAATTTAGTTACATTTTGCCAAATTATACCAAATTCATGAAATAAAGCAGCATTAAGTGATGTCAGTTTAGTTAAATCATGTAATGCACCTACTTTATATTCCAAAAATTTCATTATTGGTTCTAAATCCAATTTTTCAGTAATTACATTAGATACATCATCAACATTTGGTGGACCTCTTATTGTTGGTGCATCTGGTGTTGTTATTGTCAGTTGTTCTGGTAATGAATCAAAAAACTTTCTAACAAAATTGTTCATTTTTGATTTGATCAATGTAGAATTCTGTGTGCCCTTGGCATACCCTCTTTCAAACGGTGTTGGGCCATGATCATGATTCATTGATAATAGATCTTGTGGCTTTTGTTCTTTGTCATCTTTATTTGTTTCTTCAGGAATAATAAATGGCTGCATTCCAATATTCGTATTTATAGATATATCCACGGATGGTTTTTCTTCTTCAATGGTTGATGCGACAATCTGGCTTGATGATCCTCTCTTATTGGCATACTCTTTGAGAATGGTTGCTTCAACAGGAGAATATTTTACTATTGAATCAATGTCTTTTATGGGAACTCCATTGGATTGAAGGAAATTTAGTATTGATAATTTACCTTGTTTTTCCATATTTCTAAAAATATCAACATATTTGGAAGTCCTGCTTTCTAAAACACTACTTGTATCTTCAATTTCTTTACTAACAATTGATTTTTTAGATTTCAATTGTGCCAATTTGTTTTCCAATTGAAGAATTTCTTGATCAATTTCATTTGATTCATCCAAAAGACTGAATAATTTAGCACCATGTTTATTTGAATCACTCTTGATAGATTTCACTTTAGTAATGACCTTGTTTCTCTGTCGATCCCATTTTTTAAACGATTCATGCAAGTTTTGGGCGTAATTTATATCTTTGTTGTACAATTCACCAAGGGAGTAATAACTCTCAGATAATTGATTATAATTCTGTACGATTTTATTTCTTAATTGATATAAATTACTATTTCCATTTTGTAAATAATCATTGTATTTCAGTGAGTCTTCAAATAACTGCTGGGTTAATAGTTTCACACGATTTGAAAGATACTCTACAGGTGATTCTGAGTTGTTGTAAGTTTCATTGAACTTTTGAGTGGGGAATTTTATCGAATTTATCATTATACTATCTTGAGTATATAACAATTCGCTATCTCTTAATGAATCAAACGAACTTTTTGAAGAATTCTTCAAATTCTCAATCGTACTTTGCAATAAAGCAGGTGTGTCATCTCTATTTGATATTTTATTCAGATCATCTTGTACACGTTGCTGTTGCTTGTTTACTCCAGTAGATATGAATTCTCCTGGATCTAGTTCGTCATCTTCCTCCTCCTCCTCCTCCTCATCATCATCTTCAGAAGTGGATACAGGGATCGATTGAAGTTTCTTGATGGGTATTGTTTCATCATGTATTGCTGGAAGATCACTTTGAATGGTCGAAGTTAGATTTATAGATTCAAATCCATTATTCAGAGTCATCGTTGGTGTAGATCGGTGATACAAGGGGGTGGGGGGAAAATTTGTAGATATTTGGAGTTTGGGTGATTCTTTTTTTTTTCTTTGTCGCACGCTTATCTATCTGTGGGAGTATGGTTTGGAGGCGACTTGGTGATACACTACAAATCTCTAGGTAGCAAGATGTAACATCCAATAGCAGGTTTGTAGTTATAAAGATATAGAGAAATCAAACATTAATTAGCATGGGGCGGCAGGTATACAAGATTGCCAGTATTCAACTCTTAGATGTGCCAAGTGGATAGACACAAGAAAGAAAGGGGTCCCTCCACAGCTAGTGGTGTATATCACTGGAATGCACTAGTATAGCCATCTCTATATGTGTTTATCCCTTAGCAGAGTATATTATATCTGGTGTAATCTAATTTACTATCATTAGAAGGAATCAGATATCCAAAACTGACGCGCGTTGAATTTTCTGTGTTTATTTTGGAATCAAACGAAGAGCAAAAGGGTTGGAAACAAAAAAAAAAAAATTCCAGATCCACGAGTTGCAAAGCTTACAGATACATATATTCCATAAATACTAGAACGAAATCATTATCTACTACCTATAGATACTAGGCTGCATTGATAATTATACATACTACAGACCCAATCTATTCTATTTACTATGAGGATTCTTTGTGTGGCTGAGAAGCCATCTATTGCAAAAGAAGTTTCCCAGATTCTTGGAGGAGGACGTGTTAAAGTTCGTAATAGCCGAAGTAAATACATCAAGAATTATGATTTCACTTTCAATTTCAAACCAGAAATAGGGAATTGTGAAGTAACCATGACTTCGGTTGTTGGGCACATAACAGGTCTTGATTTCCCACCAGAGTTTGGTTGGGGTTGTTGTGCAGCAGGGAAATTATTTGATGCTGCGTTGACTGAAATAGTTGACAAGGCAGACGTTTATGACAATATTGCTAATGAAGCAAGAAGAATTGATAAGTTAATGATTTGGACAGATTGTGATAGAGAAGGTGAATATATTGGGTTTGAAATATTCAATGCGGCAAAAAAGTTCAACCAATCTCTTGGGCTAAGTCAGGTATGGAGAGCAAAATTTTCACATCTTGAAAGAAACCACGTAATTCAAGCAGCTAAAAATCCTATAAAACTAGATATGAGAGCAGTGGCGGCGGTTTCGTGCCGTATGGAGATTGATTTTAGAGTCGGAACGAGCTTCACACGTCTATTGACAGATACATTAAAAGCCAGAGGAATCATAGGGAAAGGTGAAGTGGCGTCGTATGGGACGTGTCAGTTTCCGACATTGGGTTTTGTGGTTGATAGATACAAGAGGGTCAAGAGGTTCAAGCCAGAACCATTTTGGTACATTGAAGTTGAAACAATGAAGGAAAACAAAAAGACTGTATTTTCTTGGGTGAGAGGGCACTTTTTTGATAGACAATATGTTGCTCTTTTATATGATAAATGTTGTAAGAGTGGAGAAGATGGGATCATTAGTAAATTGGAATCTAAGAGAAAGAATAATTTTAAACCATTCCCGCTAACTACAGTCGAATTACAAAAAGATTGTGCTAAATTTTTCAAAATGTCAGCAAAGCAAGCTTTGGATGCGGCTGAAAAGTTGTACAACAAAGGTTTCATATCATATCCAAGAACAGAAACCGATAGGTTTCCAAAGGAAACGAATTTTCAAGGTTTATTACAACAGCAAACACAGTCCCCTGGATGGGGTTCATACACAACACAGTTATTGAGTGATGGATTCGTGACACCAAGAAGTGGTTCTCATGATGATCATGCGCATCCTCCAATCCATCCTATCAAGTATGGTGTTGGTAGTGCATTGGGTAATGCCCAAGAACAGAAAATTTATGAATATGTGGTACGTCGTTTTATTGCCTGTTGTTCGAAAGATGCTGTTGGTACACAAACACTGGTGACAATGAAATGGGGAGATGAATTCTTCACAGCAAATGGATTGATCGTTCTTGAGCAGAATTATTTAGAAGTTTATCCGTACAGGAAATGGAACAGTTCCCAGGAATTGCCAAATTTTACAGAAGGAGATAGAGTTGCATTGTCCAAGGGTGTACAAAAAGAGGGTAAAACCAGTGCACCAAATTACATGACAGAACCCGAGTTGATTGCATTGATGGATGTTAATGGTATTGGTACTGATGCCACTATTGCTGAACATATTGACAAGATCCTTCGTAGAGGATACATCGCCAAATCCAAAAAAGGACAGAAAGAGTATATTGTGCCATCAGCATTGGGAATGGGTTTAATTGAAGGGTTTGATAAGATGGAGTTTAGGGATGTATCATTATCGAAACCATTTCTTAGAAAAGCTTTGGAAAGGTCATTGGGAGAGATTTCTAGTGGATCACGAAATAAAGTAGATGTTTTGAACGAAACAGTATCGATATATCGTGAAGCGTTTGCTGTTTCATCTCAGAAAATGACAACATTAGTGGATGAATGCAGAAGTATTATACAGGCAAATAGTAATTAATTAGATAAAAAGTTAGATCAATTAATTGTCACACGCGGTAAAGAATCCTCCCTTTGGTAACAAGGTAAGGAGAAAGTGTTTTCTCTTTTATTTTTCTTGAAAAGTATTGTCTTCTACTTCTTGTTGTTGTTGTGTCAATTTTTTTTATATATGAATGGGTTTGAAGACGTTTGACATGAAAATTTTAGAGTCTTGTCCCGAGTGATAATCTTTAATTTGCGTATGATACAGAACAACGTAAAAACTGCAAACTAAAAATAAAGGGAAAAAGCAAAACAAATTAAAGTAAGCATCTCTAATCATAACATCTAAGCATTGTACGCAAAATTTGGCATTGACATGCATCAGCTATGAATTGTTATTTTCCTAACGAAGGCCTAATAAGACAATACTAGTGGAGGGGACGCCGAATTCTGCCGAAGAATCAAAAAGTAGGCAGGGCATAGGAAAAGAAATTTAGGAAAATAGGAACAATTGCTGCAATGTAAAATGTACCTTACACAAATGTATACGAGTTAAACCGAAACGAAAATAAACAAACAAACAAAGGAAAGAAGATATATATATATATGAACAATAAGATTACATCAAGAACTGTAACAAAAATTGAAAACAACCCTGCCCCACTCACCAAATAAAATGAATTTGAGTGTAAGAGAAATGTTCACATTCGAGGCTAGTAGGTTTTAAACGATCTTTATCACTAGGTTTGTAATTTGAGTTTTAAATTCGAATTATACGACAAACATCGTGCATTCATACTATCCGAAACAACAACAACCACGACTCTAATTCTTGCTACATTTTATTGAACACGGAGTTGTGAATAAAGAAACCGGATTTGTATTTTTCAAGACAAAGGAAGCTTTTTTAAACCAGGCTAAAGAAGAAGCAAGAAAATCAAAGTTCGTGTTGTGAGTGGTTGTGCTACTGGATATTTTTCACCACCCACCACCACCACCACCTATAAAAACAACGGCAACAATATGGTTTGGTCACTTTCACCCAAAATGCATTTTGTTTTGTTATCCTACTCTTTTTCTACCATGAGATTTGCAGTTTGCGCCAAGGCGTAGTGATGCATCACGGCACGTAGGTACCAACAAATGAAGTCTTCTAACGCCTAGTTTATATTACATCTGTCCTTTCTTGTTTATTTTTTTTGCTTTTGTTCCTTCACTTGGTATCAGAGTATGATATAAAAAAAAGTGAGTTATAACTGCAAAGTAAGGGCCCCGGTAAATAAAAAATTAGTTCAAAAAAAAAACCGAACTCAACTATTACAATCTTTACATTTCCCAAGGTACTGAAACGATCAGTAAGCTGGCTGTTTTCCACTGTGTGTTCGTATTTACTGTTTTTGGTTTTCGATTTACTTTCTGTTTTGTTTAAATTTACAAGATTTTCAATGCAAATTAAATATGAAATTTTCACTTTATTTTCCGACGTTTCTTTGTAATAAAATCCCTCATATTCCTTCATCGATAGGAAAACAAACTTTTTTTTTATTTTTAATTCCTATTACTTAATTTGTGTTCATAATAATGGAAAGCTTACTTAGCCTGAATAGCTGTAATCTATTAGTTACTACTCCGGCAGTGAAAGCATATTGGCCTAAAGTTTTTTTTATTTTTATTTTGTCTGTCTTTCTTTCACTCACAGCTTGCTCCAGCAGCAATATTACAAAACTAACTAACCAACAAGTACAAAAGTGCAAGAAAAGCTTCTTTTTGTTTTTGAAATGACAAACGATTTTTAACCTTCATTACGCAAATTATCTTTATTTACTTTTTATTATTATTGTTATGATAATATTAGTTTTAGTATTTTTAGTTAAATATAAGAAGATTGACATTTTTAAATCACACACACCCACACGTAATGATCCAAGATAATATTATGGGAATGAGAGGTTGTCGTTTTTCGGTTTGTGGTAAATGAGATCATCGTCATATTATTAAAAAATGGCTTTATTGTATTGTCATTTACTCAATGAATGCAAATATGGAAAAACCCATTACTTTTCCTTCTCCTTGCTTTTCTCCGATACACAAAACGGAAAAAAAAGGTTCCACAAGAAAAGAAGAAAAAACCCCTTTATAATCCACAGGGGGTGTGCAAGTTTTTAGCAGTTACTGTGCTGTACTCAGTTTTCCAGAATAATCACAAAACAGCAATATGTACAACAAGTTATTGAAAAGTGTATGCATACAGTACAAAGTATTAAATTCTCTTTAAGTAGGGAATCAATGAAAAAATGAGCAGACAATTTTGTCCTGGAAAACTTCCCACTTTCTTTCACATCCTAGTGATCAAAATTTATACACCGGAAAGTTACTCTTTACAATTGAACTAAAAGGATTACAAAATATAATCGCTTATGCATCATCGCTACATTGTGCGATACTTATGTTAGGCTAAACAAATTTTAATCCATACGTATGCTCATTATCTTTATTATTACCTCCTCAAAAACGAATACCTGACAGGTATTGAATAAAGAAGAATAGTCTCGGAAATTAAGATAATCAACAATGAAAATCGAATAAGAGAGAGAAAGGGAAAGAAAGGTAGGAAAAAGAAAAAAGAAAGTTGATACTTCCATTATTGCTGTTGACTTTTTATTTTCATTTCGGTGACTTATGATTTACTAAGAGAACGGAAATCAAAAAATATTGTTTTCAAGAAAATAAATGAAATCAAGGGAAGATATCCCATCATCGTAATCTTTAAAGATGTGCAGACACAGCTCACTTGTTTCTTTTGTTATACATTTATCTTCGAGACATGCCAATATAACTTATGATCCTATCGTTGATTGACAAACAAGAGAACCTTACTACTGAAGAATTAAATTGGTTAATTTCCTTTTTAATGTAGTAGGACGATCAAAAGATCGACAAAAGTACAGCACAGCACAGCACATCCCTTTCTAACTTTTCTCCTCTTCCTTTGATATCAAGCAGGTCATTAACCTGAAACAATAAACTTAATTTTTGTAACCATTTATGTTGTTTTCTAATTGCATACATACACCAAATACAAAAGCAAAACGATGAAGATGATGATCACTTTTCTTTTAGTTAGAAGCTCGAATGAAACTAAAGGGGAATAATAACAACACAATGAATCCATGACAAAATTATTTGTCAGCGTTCACTTTTCACCATAAATTTTTTTTGTACCACGCCAAATAGAAATGTAAAAAGAAAAATTTTCTACTAAAAAATCTTATCGCCTACACAACCCATTTCTTCAAATTTTTCAAAAGACGCAGTGTAGAACGTTATATATAAAAGGACTTGGAATTATTCCTCCGGTCCCACAATTTTGGCAGCTAACTGAAACGAAAAACCAACCCACACCACACCAGAACAAAACTATCTCAATCCAAAAAACCATAAAGGCAAGCAAGAAAGCAATTCCTTAAAGTGAATTTCACTGACACCACATATCTCATTCTTTACCCCTTTCTGAAATAAAGGAAAGTTATTATACATGCATCAATCGAACATACATTGTTTATCTTTCTGTACAAATAATTAAACAAGTAGAACCTCAAAAAAAAAAAAAAAATAAAGACAGAAGATATAAAAAGAAAGAAAAAAAAAAGGACAAGGGAGAATGAATGAAGATCACGAGCATACCCAATCGTCCCTCATGAACACATCAATACTGTCTAACAAGCGCAGTAATTTTCAGTTTACGTATGATTCAGAGACTAATTTGCTTTTGTTGATTCACAAGTATAAGGAAGACATATTCACGAGGGGAAATATCATTAAAACATGGGAAAAAGTATTGCAAGAGTTTAATGAACAATATAATGCGAACATTATACAAAGCAGAACTATAAATCACCGATTTCAGATCTTGAAGAAAAATTTAGAAAACAGGTTAAAACATGAGAACCAGCCATTGGATCAGCTATCCCTCAATGAAAATGAAAAACTATTAATTGACATCATAGATTATATGTACAAGAATAACTATACCGACGTGAACCCTTATTCCTTAGGGGGCGGCGTGATCTCGGCAAATGAACAGATGCATCATACATCAACATCGGCAATCCAAAATCAACATCAACATCATTTATCAACCACAGATATCACTCAAATTAGTCCGAATACTTTTACAAACAAATTAAATCAAGAAAGAGCTCAATATTTAATGTCTCAGGAATTTGATCAATCTGTTAATCAATTCCAATCTGGAATGGGGATTTCGCATGCAATACAACAGCAGACCCAACCTCAATCGCAACCTCAATCACAACCTCAACCACAAACTCAGCAACAACTGGCTGCATCTACTTCATCAAGTCATCTACAACAGCATCCTAGTTCACATCAAATTAGTATCTCCAAGGACATTGTTCCGGGGTTTCCTCCACCACTTGCTCAATCGGAAATGATTGATGATACAAGCCGACTTCCGACACAAGCTGGGGCGCTTATACAAACAAGCAGCCATTCCTCTCCACAAATAATGTATAAATCAGATGTTAACCTTTCTAGTACAACATTGCAACAAGATCATATAGCTGTCCAATCTGAGCCTGCTCATTCCAGCAGACACCTGGCTACCCCACAATTACCTCATTCACAACCAGATCAACAAATACAACAAGATCCGCTGATAGAGCACAGGTCACGTCAGCTCTCAACATCACAACTATCTCCTACAATTCACTATGACACTTCCCCTCAACAACACGCAGAACAGCAACAACAACATCATCATCCCCAACAACATCAACATCAGCACCAGCACCACCATCATCATCCTCAACAACAACAAAGTTCCATTAATTACACATACACTCTGAATCCTCAGCTTTCTCAACACCACTCAACTGACACTCAAGAGCCTTCAGTAACTTTTTTATTACAACAACTTCTAGTTTCTCAAAATCAAGTCAGTTTATCAATTAATGCCCTTAGGGATGATTTAAGAAATTTTAAAGTACAAACATATCAAAGAATTGACGATTTAATTAATGCTCAGCAATTACAAAATAATAATAGAATTTATGAAAAGTTAGATACACTAATAGAGATGCTTCGCAATAGATCATTAAAGAGTAATAGTAGTAGTTCTGGTGATGATGAAATGACTCAAGAAGATCATTCAGGAAATAGTCATGAACAAACAACAAGTAGTGAGTGAAATTTCCAACCATGATATCTACTTGAGTTTTTTTTTCTTTTTTTTGTACTTTCCCATCTCATTCAGATATCATTATTATACATAGATAAATATTCGTTCCCCCTTAACTCCCTTTAGAGTTTTCCTTTTACAGGACACATTCAATCTCATTTATATTCTATTTCTTTCTTCTTACTGGTGAATTATTATACAATTCTTTTTGCTTTCGTTGTTTTGTCGTTTTAGGAAATGTCATTATTACGTTCTGATTTATTCATATTTTTTTTTTTCCTTCGTCAGATTTTGCAACCCACACAAAATTAGACGACGAAATGGTTGATGACCATTGTGATCGTCGCCATCACTTTCTTGTGAACTGCATGTTGGGCTAGAAGTGATGAGCGGTACAACACCTTTTTGTAACAGGGGTCTCTGTATCATCAAATAGGTGAATACTTGCATTTGATGGGTTTGTTCTCTACTAGCTTTTGGTCCAGTATCAAATTATAACTGCACGTGATGACTTCTCATGTCAAGTTCTCGCTTATCCGATCGCGACTTTAATCGGGTTGTATTTTTTTTTTCCTCGTTATCAATCCAAACCAAACCAAAAAAAATCTTTTTGCTGTGAGTATATTTTCTTTCTTTTTTTATTCCACTTGGTTGCCTTTTGTGCTCTCACAAGATAATTGAAAACTCATACTACCAAACACGCCATTTTCATTTGGAAATATTCATCCATGTTAGACACTATATTACATTCTTTAGGACTGAATGATGTCTCGACATATTCCGATGATGATATGATTTATAGACCACCTTCCGGCCGAGTTGCCCGATATCAAATTATAATTGCATCTACTTTAGGCCTTATAGCAGTACTGTTATTTTCACTTTTACGACTAAAATATCCCAAAATTTATGTGGCCAATTTCAATGATTTAAATTTTAGTCTTCATTCGACATCTAGAAGGAATTTACCTAAACTACCTTCAAATTCTTTCTTTGGTTGGATACCTACTGTGTACCGAATCTCGGAATCGCAAATTTTGGAATATGCTGGATTAGATGCAGTGGTATTTCTTGAATTTTTCAAAATGTGTATTAAAATATTAACTATTTGTCTTGTTTTTGCATTGGTTGTGATATCACCTATTCGATATAAGTTTACTGGAAGAGTCGACCATGATTACCCAGACGATAATGTCAATGGTACAGCAACTTTTAGAACACTTGCAAGAGAAACCACTAGAATTTCACAGAGTGATAGTGATGGTAACGGTGATGACAAAGGACCCACGTACCAACAATTTCTTTGGTTATACACGATATTCACATATGTTTTCACTTTTGTTGTGGTGTATTTTTTGTTTCAAGCAACCAATAAAATTGTCAATATGCGTCAAAAATACCTTGGCTCTCAGAATTCTGTTACTGATAGAACAGTTAAGATTTCAGGAATTCCAGGGCTGTTAAGAGATGAAGTAACATTGGCACGACATATCGATAGTTTAAACATTGGAGAGGTTGACTCGGTTTTGATTGTGAGGGAGTGGCAAAATTTAAATAAACTATTCAAGATTAGAAAAAGGATTCTAAGAAGACTTGAAGAGAGTTGGGTTGAGTATTTTGAGAAAAATGGACTCGCCGATAAACTTGAATTGTTGGCACTACATCCACATGTAGGTGAACTGTATATATAGAAAACAGATACACAGACGTGGAGCCTGAAAATGACTACTCGGATTGGGCAAATCAGGCAAATGAATTATCCGCTGGGTCAATCACTGATCAAGTGTCTGATAATGGTGCATCGTCTTCCGTGGAATCTTTGAATCGATTATTAAATGATGAACTGAATACAAGACCATGTTTTAGAAAAGGGTGGTTTGGGTTATTTGGTCCTAAAGTTGATGCCATCAATTACTATAGCGAGAAGTTAGAAATTATCGACAAAGAAATCAAGAGAGCAAGAATGAGAGAGTATCCTGCTACTTCGAATGCGTTCTTGACCATGAAGAATGTTTCTCAAGCACAAATGTTGGCCCAAGCAGTGTTAGATCCCAAAGTCAATCACCTTATAACTAACTTGGCTCCTGCTCCGCATGACATTCGATGGGATAACATGTCATTAACCAGACAGGATAGAAATATAAGGATATTCATGGTTACTCTTTTCATTGGTTTGATGAGCGTTTTGTTAGTGTATCCAGTGAGATATTTAGCCAGTCTTTTGAATACCAAAAGTATTTCCAAGATATGGCCGTCTTTGGGAAGAGCCATTAAAGATCATAAATGGGCAAAGACATTAATCACAGGTTTTTTACCAACTTATCTTTTCACGATTTTAAACATTGTTATACCATTTTTTTATGTTTGGATATCACTGAGACAAGGGTTTTTATCTCATAGTGATGAAGAATTATCATCAGTGTCAAAGAACTTTTTCTATATATTTGTCAATTTGTTCTTGGTTTTCACCACATTTGGTACTGCTTCATTAGTGGATACAACCAAAATAGCATCTGATTTGGCAAGATCATTAAGAGATTTATCATTGTTCTACGTGGATTTCATAATTTTACAAGGATTGGGTATATTCCCATTTAAATTGTTGTTACTAGGAAATTTACTTCGATTTTTAACACATTCTATATTTCGATGTAAAACTCCCAGAGATTACTTGAAGTTGTATAAACCTCCAGTGTTTAATTTTGGTCTACAATTACCTCAACCGATTTTGATATTCATTATAACATTAGTATATTCTGTGATGTCATCTAAAATCTTAACTGCTGGTATACTTTATTTCATAATTGGATATTTTGTTAGCAAGTATCAATTATTGTATGCGTGTGTTCACCCTCCACATTCTACTGGTAAAGTTTGGCCCTTGATTTTTAGCAGAATTATTTTGGGATTATTTTTATTCCAAATAACCATGGTGGGAGCTTTGGCTCTTCAAAATGCAGTTACCTGTGCGTCATTCTTGGCACCATTGCCCTTGTTGACAGTTTATTTCTGGTGGAGTTTTGAAAAACAATATATTCCATTGTCAATGTTTATTGCTTTAAGAGCCATTGAAAATAATGGGAATGATGACAACTCCCAAGACGCAGACGTGGAACAAAATGGTGATTTCAACAACAAGACACTTGATGAAAGAAGGGAATTGAACACGAGGTATGAATATCCAAATTTGGTAAATGATTTAGATGGACCAATGATTGCATTAGAAGGTAATGATATGCTCCTTGTTAATCAAGATGGTACAACAATACGAAAAAGACAGACATTTGATTCACAATGGGATTATTAAATAGTCTAGTAGTTGAATATAGAATTGATGCATCACATCCATGTAAATTTCCTTAAAATCAAACAGTAGAAAACATCTTAATAATGCCACTAAAACCACATTTGAAATAATATTCTTGATTAACATAGACAATGCCAATGCAAACACAATCTTTAAATACTGACAATTAGTAACGATCTTTAATGCTTCGACAATATTAACAAATGCAATAATATTTATAAACTTTTTTATTATGGCTAGATTATCATAAGGCCAAATAAACATTAATATGGGGAATAATTTAATAGATCCAGATACAATCACAGTTAAAAATAAAACTATAGTTTTATAAGCAAACAATTGATTTGATTTAACATTCATATTAACATCTTTATTATTTGTACCCCAATGATACCAATTTCTAATAATTAATTGAAGTGAAATATTTAAAACAATATTTTCTAAACCTAATTTAATAATGAAGAATAAATATTGAAAAATTATTCCTTTTTGAAGTATTAAATTTATAAATTTTGAATGAAATGATGAAATTTCTTCATTTGCCCAAATTAAATAAACTTCTAATGATAAAATTAATAAAAATAATCTAAATAATTTAGAATAATCTGGTTTTGATTTATTTGATTTATAAATTATTTCTTGTTCTATTAAATTAAATGATAAATGTCTATAAGCTTGTTTTTTCAATAATAAAATATCTAATGATAATATAACTGAATCATATTCAATATATTTATCGGCTATTTTATTACATTTGGGACATACTGTTAATTTAATATATTCACTTTTATATCGTGAGTATAAACAATCTATTCCTTTATAACCACATTCGATACATATCATTGGATAGGAGGGAAAGTTGAATCGTTGGTTATGTTGTAAGAAATGACTTGTTGTGTTGATGTGGGTTTCGTTATTTTTTTTTTTTTTTTGGAGTGCTGTCTCGTTTACGGCTTTTACACGAAATGGCTGTAAATACTTCTCTATAGGATTATGATTTTATTCAACTGACAGTGTTTTTATATCAATTGTTACAAACTCTATAAATGCTAATTACATAATGCAGGTGGTGGTGGAATATCAGGAATATTCCCAAGGCTAAACATATTGGACTTGAATGCCTCTAGTATTTCTGGTGGGAAATTTTCAAGATCTTCAGAAGAGACTGTAGAAGTGTTATTGTTAGATTGAGCAGGTGGATTTTGTTGTGCTGATGTAAATGAAAATGAAGGAGTAGTTTGTGAAGGTTGACCAAATGGAGAAGCATTGGATTGACTAGACGAACCACCACCGAATGCAGAACTGGTTGAATTAGAAGCACTGTTAAAAGCAGATGCTGCATTAGTTGCACCAAACGGAGAAGATGTAGTTGTAGTACTGCCAATTGCAGATGGCTGCGTATTGTTCGTATTTCCAAAAGCAGATGTTGTTTGGGTAGAGCCAAATGGTGATGCAGTCGCTTGAGTGGAACCAAATGGTGATGCTTGAGCTTGATTAGATCCAAAAGCTGACGTATTTGATTGACCAAATGGATTGGAATTATTAGCAGATGTTCCAAAGGCTGAACCTGTACCACCACTCCCTCCAAATGCAGATGTTGTTGTAGTGGAGGCTTGACCAAATGGACTTGGGTTCGAATTCGTAGTTGTACCAAATGCAGACGGTTGGTTACTTGATGATGATGAACCGAAACCAGTACTTCCAAACCCAGATGAAGTATTCTTATTTACTAATGAACCAAAAGGCAGAGAATTGGCATTATTGTTTGCTGACAGCAGGAACCCTGTTGACCCAAATCCTGACAGACCAAATCCACTTGACGTTGTTGTTGCTGCTGCTGCTGTTGGTTTATTTGCTGTTCCAAACCCGCTGGAACCAAACGCACTTCCTGTAGTTGAAGCTGCTGGTTTATTTCCAAACCCACTACTTCCAAATCCTGAAGAACCAAATGCTGAAGTTGTATTAGAACTACCAAATCCAGTTGATCCAAATGCACTAGATGTATTATTAGGATTTCCAAATCCCGAACTTCCAAATCCTGATGATTGTGATGACGATGATGATGGATTGTTAGTGTTATTGGTATTAAATCCAGATGATCCAAATCCACTGCTTCCAAATCCTGAACTTGATGAGTTTGTGGCAAATGGGTTTGATTGATTACCAAATGCTCCCGCTGAACTTTTATTTCCAAACCCACTTGATCCAAATGCACTAGTATTTCCGAACATTTGTGTGTAATTTAATTGAATATACTTGTTGTAATAAACTTCGATGCGTGATTATTATAATTTTTTTTTTTTCTTTCTTGCTGATTGTTTAAAAGTTTATGTATGCGGAAATATCAAAATCAACAAAAAAAAAAAAAAAATATAAATCACGAACTCAATATAAACTGATTCATCACGACGAAAACAATGAAGCATTCTTACAATTATACAAAGAGATTCATCGATGATCAAGTCAATATCCTTAATGAACCGTTTAAGATTACACCACGAATGATATCAGTAATTGGTGGTAATCTAACAGAAGATCAATTGAAGCTGATTTTAAATAAAATAAACAATGATTTACAACTACATAATGAAAGACTATTCCCAGCACAAATCAATAACCAAATTATTCTGCAGATTATGAAACTTGAGACACAAAAATTGAAAATCGTGAATCAACAATTATATAAACTAAATGCTTTTGTCAAGCCTATAATACTACCTGATTTTGAAAATCTATCTAATTATGATCAACATGAAAAATTGATAGATATGATAGGCATGATTGATGAGTTACCTGAACTGAAATATTTATTTGTATCAGAAGATGGAATTACCAATGTTGAAGATGACTATAGTATTGATGAAGATGAGACGAACAATGTTGAACTTGATGACAATACAATTCAAGACACGGAAGAGCAAGTTGAGTCTCGCAAACAAATAAACAAGGAATTTATTGAGGAGATAATTGATGAAGTTAATGAGTTAAATGAAAGTCCAGAACCCGAATTAATAGAAAAATATGACAAGTTACGAATGGATTTAATTGAAATCAGTAAAGCGTTAAAATACAAGACTGATAAAATTGAATACTTGAACAATTTGCAACATAACATAAACCAATTGTTCAATAGAAATCAGCCACAGATGAGGTCAGATTCAAATGAACTATATGATAGTGATGAAGAATTACATGAAGCTCCAAAGGTCAATAATCTACAAAATAACCTTCAGTTTAAAAATTCTGCTACCGAGACGCGTAACTTGGCTAGTGAAATAAATAGATTTCGCATACTTGTGGAGCAAATATCATATAAGGTCAATACTAAAGGTATAACTGCATCAGAATTACGTGATAAACTACAAGAGTTAAATCGCTAATGAAATTATTAGTATAAGAAGATTAGTTTATAATACATTAAATAAACATGCAAAATAAGAATAATAATAAAACCCGATATAATTCATTTTGAAAACCAGTAAAGGTGACAAATATATAGTCCTGAATTTTAATATTACATCTAATCGAATAAACCGAAACCCATATCATCATCAGATTCTTCTTTAGCTTCTTCTTCTTTTTCTTCTTCAGCTTCGGCAGCGGCACCACCAGCAGCGGCAGCGGAACCAGAAGAAGCAGCAGCAGCACCACCGGATGGGACAGAGGCGAATTTAGTGTTACCTTCGGCAATCAATTCTTGCAAGTCTTTACCTTCCAATTCTTTCAACAATAAGTCTAATTTGGAAGATTCAACTTCAGCACCAACTTGTTCCAATAAAGCGGAGATGTCAGAAGCAGATGGGGAAGCGTTACCACCTTGGACTAATAATAAGTAAGCAGCTAAGTATTTCATTGTTTCAATATGTTATCTGATAATAATAGAATAATCACTTTTAAGCAAACTATTGGCAGACTATCCTTTGATAATATAAGTTCTAAAAAGAGTAAAACCAAAAATCAAGATTACGAGAGATGTGCAGAAGAAAAAAAAAGAGAAAAATCCACATAGTGTTAACTCCTGTAGTAAGTAAGAGAAAAGTGAAAAATTGTGTGATAATAAAAGACTCCTGTATATAGTATACAGCTTAGGGTTGCAGCCCTAGTTGAAGTCGCACTCTCTTTGTTAATGTGCAGTATTTTGTATGTCGTGCAGACAGGAACTAAAAATTTTCTTTGGAATTTTTTTTTTTTCTCTCTCTCTCTCTGTTGAGTATGGGCGCATAGTACACCTTAGTCGTAGTGCGAAGTGAGGAACTCTCACGCCAATACTGAGAAAAACACTTTTTCAATAAAAAAACTGCTTTTTCTATATTTACACATAATACTCTAATCATCAAAGAACAGCAACAATCATGAGTGACGCTAGTATGTTATACTGTCAAACGAATATTTTGGAGAATGTACTAGTGAATAGATGGAACTACGAACATATAGAAGATCAGGATAGAAGGATTTTATGGACAAGGGGGTAGAACGATGGACTGGAAAATTTTATCATTACAAGATGAACAATAATGGAAGAACAATCAAAATGAAATAATATGTCATGAATATTCCAAGAAATCATATACATTGCAAGATATGAAACACGTAGATGACTATATTAAACTAGTAATATTTTTTTCATAATACTAAATAAGAATATGGAATTTTTAGAATACTAACATACTTTATTTATAGCTGCTCCAAAAAAGAGAACCTTCAAACAATTCTCATTCAAAGGTGTTGATTTAAAAGATTTGGTTGAAATGCCAACTGAAGAATTCACCAAATTGTGTGGTGCTAGAGTCAGAAGAAGATTCTCCAGAGGTTTGGACTCCAAACCAATGGGTTTGATTAAAAAATTGAGAATTGCCAGAGCTAACACTCAACCAAATGAAAGACCAGCTACTGTCAAAACTCACTTGAGAAACATGATCATTGTTCCAGAAATGATTGGTTCTGTTGTCGGTGTTTACAATGGTAAAGTTTTCAACACTGTTGAAATCAAACCAGAAATGGTTGGTCACTACTTGGGTGAATTCTCCATTACTTATACTCCAGTTAGACACGGTAGAGCTGGTAACGCTTCTTCTAAATTCATGCCATTGAGATAAATGTATTGAGTTGTTATTATAATAAATATATGTACAGTATTTTTCCCCTTTCATCTCCCACCTATCCTATAATTTATTTAGGTTAATATAAATTAAAAAAAGTGTTAAACAGGATTTTTGTATTGCCAGTCTAACGTTGTAGCTCCTTTTATGCCCATTAACTCGTATCACGTGACAATTGCCGAATTTGGTATCTCTTCGAAATTTAAGCGCCAATATTACAATAAATGAAAGAAAGAAAAAATAAATGAATAAATTGATCTATATTAAACAACGTTGAAAAAAAAAAAAGAAAAATTCTTTGCCTCGTCGTGCTTCCATTGGATTAATAAATAAACTATGGATCAAGATAATTCTCAACTATCATCTAGTCAACATGAACAGATTCATCCTTTAAAAGAAATCACATATGGAGCTATTTCAGGTATGGTTGGGAAATTAGTCGAATTTCCATTTGATACAATTAAAGTTAGACTTCAATCAACTTCATCTGATAAACATGTTAGTACTTTAAAAATGATTCAACAAACTTATCAAAATGAAGGAATATTTAATGGATTTTATAAAGGTTTAAAAGCACCTCTTGTTGGTGCATGTCTTGAAAATGCTATACTTTTCAGTTCTTATAATACTGCATCAACTATATTTGTCAATATATTAAATGATAAACAAGAAGGGAAAGTAGTCTATAACAATGATACAGTACCATTTTGGACTAAACTTGTATCGGGAGGTTTTGCTGGGTTTATGGCTTCATTTGTATTAACTCCAGTTGAATTGATTAAATGTCAATTACAAGTATCTAATTTAACAAATTCCAAAGTAGAACATTCATATGCAAGTATAATTAAATCAACATTACGGAAAGATGGGGTGATTGGATTATGGAAAGGATTAAATTCTACCATACTTCGAGAAGTAATAGGAACTGCTATTTGGTTTGGTACTTATGAATATATCAATGAATATTTCAAGACAAAAAAATTTAAGAGTTCAATCTTAGGTAATGAAGATATTCAATTATTGATTAGTGGTGCTATGGCAGGTGTCACTTTTAATTTCTCCATGTTCCCAGTTGATACAATTAAATCAAATATTCAAACCAATGATCTTCTAAATCATGGACTGACACATAATGGATTTTGGAATACTGCAAGAGGAATCATATCAAAACCTGGTGGAATTATCAATTTATATAATGGATTAGGTATAACCATGATACGATGTATTCCAGCTAATGCATTAATTTTTTACACTTATGAGTTTTTAAAACAAAACTTTTGAATGTATATATATATACATATAATTTTAGACATATATAGACCATTCTAAAGTAAACAATTATTTATTTAAGGAAATAATTCCAGAGCTTTTTTCAAATCGTCAACATTCAATAAATCAGAACCTAATTGGTAAAAATCTTGTAGATGAGAATTTAATAAATTCCAAGGCCAAATAATATCACCCCAAATTCTAGTTTTTAATCCATATTCATGTGCTTTATCAAATATTCCTTTTAATTTATCTTTTTGTTCATCTGTAAATGTATTCTTAGTAGTTGATGGATATAAATCATCACCTAATAAACTATGTAATGAACCACTTGCAACACGAGATAATTTAGACCATTTTTCCAAGAATTCAGTATTGGTATTATCAGCAGTAAAATTTTGTAATGGACCATCTAAAAAGAAATACCTGATTTCTTCATCGATTACTTTTTCAACTGGTAAATTACCTGTTATTGTTAAAATCAAAGGTCCGGGATAAAATTTATCTTCTGTAGTGTTATAATATGCAAGATAACCTTTATCTATAAATGGTTGTAATAATGGTTTCAAAGCATCATAAGTCAGATTAGGGTTTGTTTTAAAATCAAACCAAAAATAAAGTGGTTGTTCAGCATTATTATAAAAGACACTATTTTTAACACTATCATCACCAATCAATGGACTTTCTCCTCTTTCATGTTCTTGTTGATCGATAAAAGTATAAGTAGGATTGGCAAACTGTAAAAATTGAAAAAGTGGATTTAAATATAAATTAAATAATGTATTTATAGGACGTAAAAATTCTTGATTATGTCCAACATAAATCTCACCAGTTCTAAAAATCAATGTCTCATTAATCCCAGTACTCATTGTACTTGTTCTATTCAAAGTATAATTTCTATCAAATACCCAAATGTCACTTTCAACACTAACACAACCAACACTCAAAGCATCAAACAAAGGTTGATGTCTCCAATAATCATTATGTGAATGTAATGGTTTAACATATACATCTCTATTAAGTTCCTCTATAGTATGATTAAATGGTAATACTGGTATCGTACTGGTGCTTCCATTAAATTGTACTAATTCCGGATCATATAAATTTATGGTTGTCGGTGGAAAAGTACGTTCAACAATCGGTTTGAAAACACTTATCATTGTTTCTAGGTATAAAGAGTGTGTAGTTATCAATTTGAATGAATGGTTAAAACTAGAACAATTTGTACACTTTCTTGAATATATATATCCTGTGAAAAACGTGGGGCCCTCCTGTATGTCCTCTAACTGACAATAAAGAAAAACAGCCGAAATTTCGCCAAATTATTCCGCGCTCAATTTTTTGTTGTCGAAAATTTAGAAGCAACTCAATAGAAGTGGCGGGATTCACGTGCAATTGGTTGCAAATTTTTCTTTTACATTATTTTTGCTTGACTAATCGTAAGTCATTGGTACATAATAATACATAATTATAGCAGTATAGTCTATAGATACACTATACATCGTTCTAAACTTTATTAACTAGAATATCATCAAGATTTTGATTTAGTTTGTTTAATCTTTGTGTGGTAGCAGTCATGATTTCTTCATTGCTATAATTCAATTTGAATTTAACAAATTCACATAATGTAGATAATTGACTCAATATAGATGATTGATTAAATAATTCAAGAACCAATTCATCTTCCTTGGTTTCAAATTTGATCTCTGGAATATGTTTCTTTAGACTGATTTCAATAAATTCAACAACTAGTTCATTTGAGCCCGATTTATGAATCTTGAGATATTTCGTCAACACGGCTAAACTATAAGCCAAGGACAAGATCCCGGCAGTAAATGATAATACATAAACTGGCATTTTAGTCCATGCTTGTTTGACTGTTGATTGGAGTTCAGGAGTATCCCACCAATCCGACGAATTATCAATCACATCTCTAAATGTTTTCGTTGACTGGACCGCGTCATTGGAATAATCATCTAGCGCGGTAGGACCAACTACTACCAAAAAATCTTTTTCATATTCAGACAGGGGCACCAATTTGAGAAAGTCGACATATTCATGAATGGATTTAATTATTTGTAAAAGACATTTCCATTGTTCAGTAGATAATTCTTGGAGTTTATCAGTGAGCCCTTCCAGAGTTGAAATCTCACTACTGATTAATGGATTTTGTAATACACCAACTCCACTAGTAGCCCATGGATCATTAGTAGCATTATGATTAGAATCGTTTGAATCATTGTTGGCATTAAAATCATATTTGCACATTTTAAATACCATGACATCTTGTAGGAAATAATTAAACTCAAGAATATCACCCATGCATAATATAATATTCGAAAACCAGTACGACATGTTAATCACCACTAATTTCTTATCTTCCAAAACTTTACTGTACAAATTTTTGATTTTCTTTTTGAATTCAATTGTAGATTGTTCCGGTTGAATCAAATCCTTCAACTTTAAATCCTCGTTGGATAACTTTGATAAAGAATGTTCAAATGATTTAGCTGCCAATATTAAACTCGTACTATCTGATGGTACAGTATTTTTCTCGTATAATTGACTCCAATTACTTCTGTTATTGACTAATTTTAATGATATGTAATCAGTATCCCCCATAGGTAACAAGATATTATTAGAATAAAGGTCCCTTTCATAATCGAATTTGAAGCCATCTAATATAGATGATAACTTATAATATGGTCTACCTTGATGAAACCGCAACAAGATGATATTATTAATATAAAAACTCCAAATGATTTTTAAAATCATTTCACGTTCGAAATTCTGTCTTTTAGTTCCAAATGTAGGCGTTGTTCTTGACTCTTGAAATTCAAATCGTTTTTGTTTATATATCTCAACATATTGATTATTGTTGACGGTTTCCCAAAGCTTGATGTTAAGATCATTAATTTTCTTGACGTTGAATCGGATTGAGGTACATTTACTCATTAGTTTGTAACAGCATAGTATGCCCATATCATTTAAATTATCCCAATATTTATGCATTTTGTTCAACCAATACAATTCATCACCAACTAATCCAAGAGAAGGTTCCGTTTTGGAAACGATCAAGCATGTAGTTGCAATTATTGCATGAATAATAGAAGCATCGGTAACCAATGCTAAATTTTTAATAAAGATGGATTTCCCAGGAAACAATTGATGACCAGGATGGTTATAAATATAATAATAGTTGAACACTTTATTCAATACCTCCCATGGTGGCAAGTCATATTTAGCTAATTGTTCATCTGTGAATGGCGCATCTAATGTTAGTTTCTTTTCATTTGGTGGAGGTGGTGGTAATTTTACCAGTGGAGTTTCCATGTAAATTGGTTTTTGAGGTGCGTTAGAAATTTTCACGGATGATCCTGCCATACTTACATCATTAGGATTCGACAACGATGATGACAGGGAAGATCTGGATAGATTACTTGGAGGCAGTGGCAGTGGGGGTCCTCTGCTTCTACTTGATTCATTATCGTACGTCGAATGATTCTTAGAATGGCTTCTATGACTTCCCAGATGATTGCGAAGATGCTGATGGTGATGGTGATGGTGATGACTATGATGACGCTCATATTGATGGTTCATATGTGGTGGAGGACCCTGAGGTGGAGGACCATAATGATATGGTTGTCCTGGAGGTGGTGGAGGGTGTGGTCCACCAGCTATTCCTGGAGGCGGCGGTGGTGGTGGGAACCCAAATCCTGGTGGATGATGCATATGTGGTGGAGGAGGTGGAGGTGGATATCCATAATAATGATGAAGTAAATGTGGAGGTAATGGAGGGGGTGGTCCTCGTGGGGGTTCTTCCATACTATGATGCAGGGACGTTGTTGGAGGAGGAGGAGGATGAGGTAGATGAGGACTATGATGAGAATTATTGGATCCTGAATGTGGTTTTGGTGGTGGAGGGGGGTGTGGTTGTTGATGAGGAGAAGTTTGAGTAATACTAGGCAAATGTCCTATTGAATTGGATGAGCCTAAATGTTGTGGTGGGAAAGGAGGAAGGCCAGAGTAGTTTATTGAGTTTGATCTCTCCGAAAATGCACGATTCGGAAGCTGTAATAAAGTTCCAGAAGGTCCCAGTAGACTTGAAAATGAAGAAACAGATCTTGGGAATTGGTTTTGCTTATAAGGGTCCAGTCTTTGATAATCCAATGTTGCTTGACTAAATACAGGAGAAGGTAGTTTTTTGGGTATTTTCCCATCTGAAATATAGGAACTGAGTCTTTCTGCTGATGATGATACATCGTTATTTTGTTGCTGTTGTGCCGGTGGAGATGCTTGTGATTGTTCGTGATCATATTGGTTTAAATGTAATGATTTTGATTTTTTTATGTCGGGATCTAAATCTGTACTGTCGGGATCTCGTTTCTTTCTTTTCCCACCTCTATTACTTTGAACAAAGACACATTCTATATCTAAAAAACGACAATTGGAGCAAGTTCTAGTTCTTTCCGGGATTATTTTATTAGTTCCATCAGCACCAGTGACAGTTATCATTGGTTCTCCGTCACATTTTATTTTTTTCTCTCGACACGATAGACAAGCACGTCTTGCAACCCTTCGTGGTTGAGATTGATTGGAGATGGTTGACATAAGTGAGTTCAAGGGATGGTAGTGGTGGTACTAAAAGGAGTGGAATATGTTAATGTGATGGTGATAATTGGTGATGTCTGGTTACTAATAATAATACTAAAAATAAAAAAAGAAAGTTGTCTTTGAAGAAGAAGAGAATGAAATGAAAACTGAATTATAAATTTTTTTTGTTTGTACCGTAAGTAGCACTTTTTTTGTTTTCTATTTTTTATTTTTTTTCTTCCTTTTATAATTTCAATTTTTCCTTTCCTTTGCTCTTGCTTTTGGTTTTGATTTTGGTTTTGGTTTTCTATTAAAACAAAAATGATTGTTTATTTCAAGTTTTCTTTCTGGAATTTATTTCAAGATTGATAAAGCATGAAGAAGTAACCACTTTTCATAAACACGAGTGAAACTTTACCAAATAATTCAAAATAAAATATCAACAAAGTAGTGCCCCAAGGTCAGTATATTTATAGAAATTGTTAATGTAGTAATAGAGAAGAAGAAGAAGAAGAAGAAGAAGACTATAAGTGGCTTAAATTTGTTTTAGGAGTTCACTAAAAAAAGAAATTTTCTTCTAACAATAGACATAGGCTTTTGTTGTTCCTTCTTCTTGTTCCCGTTATTACTCCACTCTCTCAAGGTATTAAATGTCCCGATTATTGTCGATTTTAGTACGAATTTGTTTATTGAAACCGGTTTTATGTTTGACGGGACAAAAGAACAATAGCAGTGGTGACATGGGCTCTTTCTTCATGTTCTGTAAACTTTTTTTTATGAATAGGCAATTAACAAGTTATTGGCTTTCCGACGTTATATTAGCTGATCTAAATTTTTTGTGGCTTGTTTCCATGTACAAATACTTCTGTCGCTACAAAGGAAATGAGAACAAACAAAATGCACGGGTAAAGGCGCAAGGCAATTTTTCCCTTACAATTGGTTTAACTGGGCCAACTGGCTAGTAGGTTCAGCTCTACACTTTGTCTTGATAATAATTCATTTCTTCAATACTTTGATTCTAATTTATTTCTTGTCTTGTCTTGTTACATTTGTTTTTTAAAAGTGTGTCTTCATATTACACTATATACTTTGACAAAGTTTAAAAAAAAAAGGGGTACTTTGCTATCAGCTGAAGAAAGAATTATTAATCCATTATTCTTTATCCATTTATGCTTTATCCCTCCCTCCCTTTCTTCCTCCAGTAACTGCTCTTATATGTAATGCAATGTAACTTGCAGTACTAACTAATTATGTTGATGCAGTATATGTGAGAATCAGAAGAATAAGAAGAATGTTTTGGAAGAGTACCCCCGATGAGTGTCTCCAGCGTTTTCATTCACTTTTGTGCAACAACAAGAGAGACCGAACAATCCCGAACTATGCATTTTACATGAACTTGATTTGATATTGGGAATCCATGTGAACAATACATACATAATTCAAATTTATAATAAATAGCCAGTGGGTATCAAAGTATAACTTCGTGTGGGTTTTATTTTATACTTAACTTGTTGGCTTAGTTGTTGAGAGGAATTCGAAACAATAGAAATATAAATTATTTTTATGATTCTTCCTCCTTCTCCTTCTGGTAATGCCCAAGGCTCACAACATGGAGTTAAAGCTGTACTGATTACAATAGAAACAAAGAAGAAATCAAACAGATACGTGCCTCATGATATCAAAAAAATAGGACCTTTTTCATTCAAAACCCATCGTACTGAATGCCGAGTTACTGTAACCATTGTCATTTTTTTCAGCAGACTTTTTTATTTTTGTTTAACATTTATTTATTTGTTCATTTGTTTGCGTTGTTAAGTGCTTAACGTGAATGGGTTACTAAATCTACCTTAATTGACACCTCTTCATTGGTTGGTATTTTTTTTTATTTCTCTCCACGGTTATGTGACATCGTCTACTTGTTATTGACATCCGGTTATGAAACTTTGCACTTTCTAGTGTTGTTTATAATCTTTCTTTCTTTTGGAATTCATTTCTCTATACAATAGCTAAGCGAAGGAATTGCATTTGTTTATTAATAGCGCAAGTGAATTTTTTATTATTCCTCTTTGGGTTCAATTCATGGTGCTGCTAAAAATAAAACATGCATACACGGTTTCTACTGTATCAACAATTGTATAAAATATCACAACAGCAAAGTACAGAATGCATTATGAGATTAATACGAGCCACCAACAAAAATAAAGCATTAGTAATCACAAGATCTCGTTTCTATTATTATTACTATTTAAATCGAAAGCATATTCAATACGTTCACTACTGTATTATTATGTAGTATCTTATTGCAATAAAGAATATGAAATTACCTCTTCTCGGGAATTGAAAAGATTCTGAGAAAAATAATAAATGAAAAAAATATTGCAGCGCAATTCCCAGTGAGAAAGAAAGAACGAAAGGGTAAAAAAAAGAAAAGAAAATTTCTCGTATTTCAACAACCGTTTCCAAGATTTTCCTTGTCCATTTCCTAAACCAATTATTCATTATACATTGCTTTCAAAGTCTTCCTTTGTGTGTTTCACATTTTTCTTCAAAGACTTGTGGAACCAATAGAATATATGGCTGTTGGAATGTTCTTCGTATTGGTCCACTCCAGTATCTCAATTGTATAATCTGTACAAACTAAAACCTGTAGCCGCCTAAAACTAAAGTCTTGTCTAGTCTAGTCCTTTGAGTTGTAATTTTTTTTATTTGGCCGTGCGTGTTTTACTGCTTCGGAGTTAACTATCATCACTTTGTTTTGTCCTTCCTATTCTTTCTATTCTTCATCTTCTGTTCATTTTATTGGTGGTATGAGGTTGCAAAATAAAAATCTTGGAGGGAAAAGATTGTGTTATGTGTTATATCATCATCTTGCATGAATGTTTCAGTCCCCAAGAAAATGACAAGATTTAACTGATTCGTAATGTGAAATGTCATCGAGCTGAAACATCAACAACAACAACAACAAAAAGATATGAGATGATCTCCCACAATACCTAATATTTATTTCAACGCCCTCGTTGTTTTTCAGTGTAAACTGAAGTAGATCTTCTGCAATGTTAGCATGACGTGTGGACTTGATTTTTTATTTTTAGCTTTTTATTTTATATTTTTTTTTTTGTAAGGAGGCTTGTAGATGCATTCAGGAATATATTCATATACACACGTTGATTCGGATCAATTTGTGTTGAATAATACGGAAGAACCATTCCGTTTCCAATTTGTGATACGGATATTTTTGTAATCCGATGGTTATTTGATTTCGCTCTAGACTTCCGATTACCTACTATTGTTGCAACTACTGCAAAAAGAATTTTTTTTTTGAACAACCAATTCATAAACTGTTTGTTTCACATCTAGTGTAAATTCTACTTATACAGTCTACGTACTCACATTTTCTAAACTTGAACAACTGGGGATTTGAGTCCTTTTCTGAAACTCAAAGCTCTTAAAACTTCAATCAATTTAACACTTCCACTGAATAATTCTTCTTTGAAATAAAACAAGAAAGCAGCAGTTGCAATAGATTGAGTTACTTTAACAGCTAATCCAGCATATAAACCTTCTAAACCTTCTTCTTTAATAATCTTTCTTATTTCTTGAATCATCGATAATTGTTCTTCTTCATCAACACCTTTCAAACCCTTCTTCTTAATATGCATTCTGGATTTCAATGTAATATATGGATAAGTTAAAGAGGTGGCAATCAATTTACCAAAAGCACCAATGAAAAATGCTTTAGCTGCAGTAAATGATTTAGCACCACCTTTAGCAATGATCACATTCTTAATTTGTTCAAATATAGTATATTGAATAATTGGATTAACAACCAATACCAAAGCTGGTAATACACCAGCAAATAAAGCTCCAAATCCATCATTTTCAACAATGTCAACCAATGCTTTAAATGTAGAATTTGATGTTGGTTTATCTTGATCTTCTTTACCTTCTTGTTTCTTCTTTTGGGTCATCATTCTTGTATTTGCTACCCAGAATGGATTTGATCCAACACATGTAAATGCACCAGCAATTGCACCAGTTATTATCGATTGAATAGTACTTAATCCTTTACGTTTATTTCCATTTGCTTTAATAAATACATTTGATGTTAATTCATAAAAATAATAATAGATGAAATTCGTTAAAGTGATACCATATAATGCACTTTCTAATCCAGCATATAAACCAAAAATTCCTTTCTCTTGTATAATTTCTTTAGCTGCTAAATAAGCAGGATTATTAACAATTGCATAATGAATTTTTTCTAAAGTTGTTAAACTAACAGTTGGTTTTAACTCAGGTTTATTCTTTTCTTGCTCCTCTTTCTTTTTAGCTGCGGTTTGAGCTATGGTTGATAACGTAATTAAAGGATAAGTGATCCCAAGAGCTAATGCTCCACCAACTGCTCCTGAAACAGCATGGGCAATTTCTTGATTGGACATTAATAAATAATTAAACTCAAAAAGAATAAATCAAAAAAAAAAAAAACGATCAACTAAAAAAAAAGAAAAGCTCTATCTTTTTGTTGAAACTTCGAGAAAGCGAACAAGAATAACAAATCAGAAGGAATGAATATTTATATATAATATAATATGATATTTTACCACTTATGTATAACTCGCGTCGTGTTTTTAAAGTTTGATGTTTTTATAGAACAAGTTCCTCGGTTTTGATGGATTTCTCACATGCGGGTTAAATCAACAACAGGGAAAAGAGAAAAAAAAAAAAAAAAACCAAGAGAGGAAGAAGAGAAAGAAAAAATTTCTTTAAATTATGTGGGGTTGAAAATTCTATTGTCGTGTATTCTAGGTGAATAAATAAAAAAAATACTTGTTGTCAACGCGTATAATTACCATATTAGGAAATCAACAACGGTGACTATTAATATATCAATAAATATATAACTATTCTGGACATGATTGGTTGAAATCGAGGTAATATGAGTATGTCGATGATAACTATGAGATATCATAGGTTCAGGTGGGTGTTTGGTGTTTGATGAAATTTTTGTTCATATTTTCAATCGAAAATTGAATTAAAAAATAAACAAGGAGTAAAACTCTACAAGCTAAAAAAAAATATGATCATCAAAGTGTAGTGTTGACAAGTTATCTACACTAAACATCCCTTATATAGATATCTTCATAGTAGACTATTGCAAACAGCTTATGCATAACTTATTAAGGGAATATTTCAAATTCTTTGATACATCAGAGATATTAGTGTTCTACAAATCAATGAATTATCTCAAAAACTATCGAAAATATACATTAACAGAATATATAAATTTGAATGATGCTAGATAGTAATACATTTTTAGTTACTACAGTGTGGCAATCCATATAAAATACAGCTAAGGTGCAAGACAAGGATCCCCTTCCAGCCCTATCATTTTCTTGATAATGATATACCCTTAAGTTCTTCAAAAAGAAAGTGTTGATTTGCTTTTTTTTTTTTTTTTCTTTACTGCTCTCCCTGGTCAATCTCCTATCGTCAACACTCAATGCTCTTTTTGTAACATAATACACGCACATTTTATTGAATATCGATTATTGGTAATAAGAATAAAAAAACATAGATATCTAATCTAATCTAACAAACTATTTAAAGATTCACGATAATTTACAACTCCAGTACAAAGACCCGCTTCAATATGATTTTGTAACCAATCGGCATTATTATCAAAAAACAAAAAACATCCACCACATCTACCAGATTTAAAATTTCTTTCCAGTGATTTAGTACCTGCTGGATAAACAAAATGTAATGCTTTTAAATGTGTTTTAAAAGTATCACGACGACTAAATCCTCCACTTGGATGACATTTTGAATCTTGACCATAAAATGGACAAATAAATGTTTTATTTGCATTGTGCTTTTTAAGATGACGAGTTAAATAACCCTTAACCTTAAAAACACTATTACAATCTGGATGTGGACAGAAAAATAAACTTGTAGTAACTCCATCAACTGTAGTTGTTGTGGTTTTCTTGACTTGAATATTATTGGTGATAGTTGTTGTGGTTACGGTTGTTGTTTCCTTTGGTGGTTCATTTCTTTTCTTCTTGGATAATCTCTTTGTTGTCGTTGTTGTTGTGCTACTGGTAGTTGATACTGAAGTGGATGATTTTTGTGAAGATGATGAATTAGTTGTAGTTCTGGAAAGTGGATTTGAACAAGGAGATGATGGTGATGATTCTGAAGAAGATTCAAGTTTTCTTTTTCTTTGACGTGGTTGGTCATCAGTTGGTTCAATTTTTAATTTGATTTCTTCAACTGGTTTAATAGGTAGTTTTCCTTCTTCTTCTTCTTCATTATGAAAACAATGTTCGTGAAAATGTTGATGAATAGAAGAGTTTGAAGATGTACATGAAGTAGAAAGTTGTTGATCATCATGTTCAAATGATGGATGATAAGAATCTGAAGAAGAAGTAGAAAGAAGTCTTTGTATTGGTGTTTCATTATTATCACTTTGCAGAAGTGGAATTATACCCCCAAGTATTTCATCATCTAATGGACTGATATAAGATTCTGATGAGACAGTAGATACTTCTTCTTTATTCTGAGTAATGAAATCATTAAAGTAATCATAAAAGTTTGTGGTCAACAATTGTGGAGTTCTATCAACAGTGTTAGTAGTTGGTCCAGGAAGTGTAAGTTGAACTGGTTGTTGTTGTTGTTGTTGTTGTTGTTGTTGTTGGTGGTGGTGGTGTTGTGAGCTAATCATGGTAACTGGTTGAATAACATCTTCGTCATAAGTAGGAAGTTGATGATGATGGAAATGTGTATGGGTTTGAACAGAAGGAATTAAAAATTCATCAAAAGTAGGTAATTCAAGGTGTTGTTGATGGTGGTGGTGATGTGGTTGTTGTTTTTGTGGAAGTGAATGTGAATGGTGATTCTCGTGATGTCCATGATGGTTATTAAAAAGTTCAATTTGATCAGATTCACCAAATCCCAAATCTAAATCATCAGCAGCACAATTAACTGGGAATATAGTTTGTTGTTTAGTATTGGTGATTTTTTGTATTTTATCAATAGGTGGAAATAATTCTTGATATCGCTTGGTTCCATAAATTAATCGTTGTAAAAATCTAACGACATGGAATTTGAAAAGCCCAAGTCTTGTAGTTGTAAATGGTTCATATCGTTTATATGGATTCGACGATAATGTATACAAACTCACCAGTGGTTGATTATGGTGAATTAAACCAAGTGTTAATACAGACATGGTTGTTGAATCTTCTTGTTGTTATTGTTCTCCGCGTTAAATGATTGTGTTTCTCCTAGAAAATGATATCTTCTTATACAAATAGTATCCAACTCGTTTGTCTAGGAAATGACAATTCAAATACAAAAAAAAAAGACCTTAAACTGAAAGGTTCAAATAAAATACAAATAATGAATGCAAAAAAAAAAAGATAATATAAAATACAATCAATAGAAAAAAAAATGAATATTACTGGTGAGTTATTTTTCTGTTCTTTTTTTTTTTAAAATAAAAAAAATTTTTCTTTCTTGAAGAGGAGATATGCTTAATTATATGTAGGTTAGGAAATAAAAAATTCAAAGAAAAGAACAGAACAGAACTTGAAATTGGAACACAATAACAGGATTTGTCATTTGATCAAATAATTGCATCTAAAAAATTGTTGTCTTCTGTGGAACTAGCTTTTTTTTTGTTTTCTTATCAATTCATGCACCTCTAACTGTAAGTTATTTTCCGGGTCTACAAAAAAAAAAAAAATATTGCGAAATTCAAAAAAAATTGGTGCCGTATGAAATCAGTTACATGCAGTACAAACAACTCGGGTTTAAATACCCACTAGTAATTTTATTCCGACGGATGGATTATACAAATTGTGGTGGTGGTGGTGGTGGTGGTGGGTGACTATGATGGCTTAAATGCTTTGTTTTTTTATTTTTTTTTACCTAGGTCCAATGAAATAGGAGATGAAAAATGATTTCTTGTTATACTTCATTAAAAAAACGGAACCATTTAAAGTATTAAACATTCACCTTCTTGTACGTTTTATTCGATTTCTAGTACTTTTATGATTTAACTCAAAAGGTTAAATCGTCTAAAGCCTCTGAGTTAAGCGCCAGAGAGAGAGTGACAGATCATTTGTCCCCCCACTTTCTATTGGAAGATATCTTGTGGTATTGCGTTTTCAGCGGAAAAATTGAGTCAAAGTGGAAAATTTTTTTTTCTTGGAAATCACTCACATAGGAAATGCATCAGATGTGTCTCATTATCCGACTAGACTAACAAAAAGAAAAGAACCAAAAAGAAAATGGGATCACGATTTGACTGATGATTTGCTTGAACAATTTAGTTTTTGGCTTAGCTGCATAATCATTTAATAATAATATCTCACAAATTTGTAAGTTGGACTATTTTTTTTTAAACTTTTGTTTGTACTTGTTGCTAGCAATAGAGGAAATAAGAAATGCCTGATAAACAAGATAGGTTACGTGCACTTCAGAACAAAAAAAATACGGGGGGGTTAACCAGATAGATAGAGAGATAACATTGTAATTGAAGTCAAACACTCTAATCACATTTCAAAAAAGCTATAGAAAGCGAGGTAAGTCCGATATAAGATAAGCAAACAAACAACGGATGATATGGGATCACTTTTTTTTTTCAAGAATGAGTTCTTCTTTACCACTCATACCTAAACTTTAATGAATCTACCTCTACATTTGAATTTAATTATAGCAAATTGAAATATTAGTAAGTACACATTGATGGATAATTTCATCTCAGCAACTCCACAATTTTTTTCACCTCACTTGACACATTCGTTATTTATCAACTGTGTCTTTCTCCTCCTTTTGTCTTGCAAAATTGCCTTTCGAAATTTGACCGTATTCTATCGGGTTTTCTTTTGTCCCATATCTTATACAATCCACAATCAAGGGTTTTGGACTCTTAGCAGAATGGTTTTGCTTTTATGAACTCAAATATATAACCTTGATTATTGGTAATAGAGAACCAAAAGGGTAAAATAATAATGACTTCCGGTAATCCTTCATTATAGCTCAGAACGCCGTACGAAAAATAGTTCATTGTTATACTATTTTGTATCTTTTTTTTTTTTTTTTTTTTTCGCGCGTTGTGGAGAAGGTAATACAGGGTGTCTAAACAACAATTACTGTGGTGGATTTATCATCCAGTTTTATTACAGAGCAAGGTTATTTGAAATAATAATACGTCCTTATTGTTTAATTTTAAATTGTAAAGTTATTTCAATAGAATTCCCCATGTTGATGGAGAGATCGGAGTGGAGGGAAATTTCAGCGCAATTTTTTTCTTTTTTTTGACATTTCATTGAACCATTGTTCTTGTTAAGTAATCCATAAAATGTTAAATTTGATTGGTTAGTATCGTTTTCTTCAGAATCCTTATATCTTTTAAACCGATAGATCGATTAAAAACCATATGACGTATGCTATTCAATAAAAAGGAGCTGTTATCAGTTATGAGAGAAAAGAAAAATAAGCCGCATTTAGAATTATTTATCATATTGTTCATTTTTTACTAGATTGTTATCTTCAATACTGTCCTTCTAAAGCTCCGCTGTTATCCGAATAATCGTACAGATATCCGTTTATCTCGATAAGCAAGGGGCTGAAATCTAATTTTCATTCATTTGGACTTGGGTATATATCTCATTGAGCCTTACCAAAATGGTTAACCAAAGTCATTATTAAGGAATGCCATATTGAAACATCTTGCAGAGTATTAAACCTGAAATTAGTAAGATTGACAGTTAATGTTTTATTTTCCTAGGATTTGTTAACGCTTTGTTAATTGTACTACCGACCCTAACTATAGAATTCAAAGTAAAACAGTAATATGCATTTATAAAACAAAGTAACTACAAATTTAAGAGAAATAAGGAATGTCCTTTTATAAAGAAGTAACAACAAAAACACATAAAAAAATAGAGAAAGTCGACCATTTAAATAGATGACGACAATAACCAACAATTTACAACCAAATATAAATTGGTCGTGTAGTAACTAAAATCCCAGAAGCAAATATCAAATATTCACGTGACTAGAGACACGTGTAACATTTGTGTTATCGGTGATTATTTTTTTTTTTTTTGCTTAAGTGATACGTGTTCGTCGTCGTTAGTGCACGTAATTTTACAACCAACCAAGGCGATGATGACCAGCCATTTGCGAGTTATTTTTTTCCCCCTCTGTTACTAAAATTGGCTAAAAAAAAAAGTCCAGAAAAGAGAAAATTCTCAACAACTTTTTTTTTCATCATCATTTTCACTTTTTTTTTTTCTTTTTCTTTTTCTTTAAGAACAAAAACTTCTGCCTACTGTTTACAACAACTACAACAAACACAAAGTATTCAACTATACAATGTCTGCCTCATTAGATAAATCCTTAGACGATATCATTTCTTCAAGTAGAAAAACATTTAAATCAAGAAGACCAGGTGCTAAAGTTGGCGCCAAAGGTGGCAACCAAAACCGTGTTGGTAAGAAACTTGGTGGTTCAAATAACAAAAAAAATATTGTTAAATCCAACAAGAAACCTGCTGCTGCTGCTGCTCCAACCCCTGCTTTTGATTTGTCTTATGCTACTAAAGTTAATGTTTCTGGTTTACCTAGAGATTTAAAACACGAAAACATTAAGGTATGTTTTTTCTGATCTCAAAGGAATGAATATGGAAGAGAGATCAATAGATGGAATAAAGAGTATAACAAGGATCTGATTTTTTATTTTTAGTTTTAAAAGAATAATCAAGTAAACTTATAAAAAATGTGAAGGATTGATTGCAACTGATAAGAGAATGCTACCGTGCAAATTGTGCTAATATAATAGCTTTTATTCACGACTATCTTATTTATTTCATCATTAGCTGGTTTAATGATTAATAATGCACCAATTATTGTGACATCCTCACCTTAATTATAAGATGATTTGACAAAACAAACTGCTCATTTATTTGCATTCAGTTTGGCGTTTGGCTTGGCTTTTTTTTTGACTGTTTTTGGAATCTCAACTATTAAAGGTAGAATGATTATTCCAATTAATTTTGTGAGTAACCTTCTTGGAAGTTTTTGTTTTTCTTATAAAACCCGTATTGTTTTGGGCACACAATATCGGATTCATTTCTTTGTGTTTGTTACACGAGTATTCCAAATTCACACCAAAAAAATATAAAACAATGGGTAAAGTTATCACTAGGTCTGATTCATCCTACAAGATCATACTGAGATTTTTACCGCCCTAGCCAATTTGTCTATCAACTTATCGTATTTCAATATACTATTGTGCATTATTCATGATATCCTTCCATTTTTTTGTTTGTTTGATTCTTCGAAGTTTCATCCTGTCTTTACTTTCTTCCTATTCAATCCAATTCAATTCACGATATATATAGAATAACCATGACTAACATTTAATTATTTTAAAGGAATTTTTCCAACAAGCTATTGGAGGTGTTCAAACCGTTGCCTTAAGTTACAACGAAAAAGGTCAATTCAAAGGTTTTGCTACTGTTATTTTCAAATCCAGCAAGTTTGCTAGTACTGCTGTTGAAAAATACAACAATGCTTCCATCGATGGAGGTGCTGCTAAATTGAAATTAGAATTGGTTATTGACACCAGTAAAAAACCATTATCTGCTAGAATTGCTCCAAACGCTCCTGCTGCAGCACCAAAGAATGCTGGTGCCAAAAAAGTTGCTGCTGCTAAAGCTGCTCTTAACAAGAAGAAGGCTGGACCTGCTAAAAAGCAAAACAAACCAAAATCAAAGCCAAAGCAAAAGAAGAAGACTATTGAAGAATTGGACCAAGAAATGGCTGATTACTTTGATAACTAATCGCGTAGGATTTTAATTAATCTTTTATTTTTTATTCTATTCATTATTAAGTAGTTTTTATTGTTTTGTTGTATTATTAAAATATAAAAATAAGAGAGAAAAGGAGAAAGAAGCTAAACACAGACGTGTATCTGTTTCTTTGTTCTACTTGTTATACTTGTTAAATAGTTTGTTGTAGATGTAATAAAAATTCAAATTATTCTATTGTTAATGTTGTATGTGTTTCTCGTCTATTTCTCAACGGTTTTATTCTCCTGCATGTGGTGATATATTCTCAGGCCAAATTTGTATTCCCAAAACAAGGCTAGAATGAACTAATAAAACATTGGGACAAAAATCAGAACGCGGTATTTGAAACAAAATTACGCGGCTTGGATACTTTTAATTAACAACACCAAAATGCAGGATTCAATAAAGAAAAATTTTGTTATAACATTCCATGTGACACGATTGTACAGTAAAGTAGACAACCATTTTTTTTTTCTCTGTGAAGTCCCTGTTGTGGTTGTAAGAAAAAAAAAAGACGCATTAAAAACAAAAGAAAAAAAAAAAAACCTGAGAGTATAATTGTAATTGATTTTTCTTTTTTTTTGATATTGACAACATATACAATACTAGTTCAACATCCTAGGGCTTATCAATTACCTTCACGTTTGCCACAAATAAACTACTGTCCAAATGAAGAACATCGAATACATTGTCACAGCCGAGTTTCACATTGATAAAGGGCCATCCTTGGTTTATCAATATCCAAGCAATTTGCCAGGGCTCGAAAAACTATATTTTTTACCTGAATTGATGTTACCTGATCAAATTCATAAACGGTCAGAAGATTATACCTTGTTTTTATTACATCGAAACACCCATAATGGTGAATTTCAATATCTTTACGATAAGAGCTGTTGCGAAGAAGATCCATATTATTTATATACAATTGTTAATAATCAGAAGAATGACGAGTTTAAACGTGGCTCGAGAATCAAATCCATATCTATAATAACCAAATTGCCTTACTTCAAGAATTTTAAACCTTTGTTGTTGATATGTTTGGATTTATATTTTAGTGAGAACAACATTGAGTATTTAAAAGAATTATTTCGTGCTATTAATGACAAGAATTTCAAGATCTCCAATGGTGATGAATCATCTGTGTCAATTATCAAGAAATTGTTGATTACTTCGATTTTGGATTTACCTATAAATGATAAGATTTATTACGATGAAGCATTCAGGAATAAACTATTGGGAATAAACAAAGATAATCTTATAAATGAAGATTTATTCATCAGAAAGGATTTGAGTTTCAATTCCGTGATTACGTTTAATAAAATGAATATTCCTATTAAAATACCTTTGTTGGATTTGCCCGATACTATTGGTGACTATTTAAACCCTACTGATTTGAATTTCAAACCTAATTTGATCAATATTTTACAAGCTAAATTAACATCCACTGTGCTAAATAACGAATTGACTATATATGGGTTACAAACTCCGCCGATTATTATCTTGATCAATGCAATTTTAACTGGTAAGAAGATTATATTCTTGAGTTATGAAAACTCTTCTGGTTATATCATTGATCATATTTTGTTGGTGTTGAAAATTATCACCGGTGGAGGTATATTAAGTGGGATTTTAACAAACTACAATGTATTTCCCATGATTGATGTTTCCAAGATTGACTTACTAGAAGAATGTGATTCGTTTATTGCTGGTACAATAAACCCTTTCTTTAAACAAAATGACAAATTATGGGACTTGATGTATGATTTGGATGCAAATGAGTTTATTTTAAGTTCTCAATTACCACAAAGCACAATCGAGTTTAAGAATTCCATCATTGCTGAAGATGCCAAGTTTTTATCCAATTTACAATTGTCTTTGTTCAATTATAATGATGATTTAACAACTATTCAATTGATTTTTAGAAGACACATCAATGAGATTATACGAATTTTATTGAGTTCTAAGAATTTCAACAATAACTTGGCTCCAAACAATAGAGATCTTATTTTATTATTGGATGGAATTGGTTACTACTGGGCAAGTGATACGAACAAATTACTCGAAATTTCTTGTTATCAATTAATTTCTAAAAAATTCCAAGACTTGTTATACAACGAGAAGTTGGTGTATAATCTATTATTACCCAACCTATCTAATGAGTTAAACTTGATGATTGATTTACATTATCATTTACAAAGTTTAAGTTCAGTAACCACCAATAATAAAGTCAATGAGAGAGAAATCTGGTTTAATATTTTGAAGTTCTTAATTAGTGGGAGATCGTTAGAAATATTCTTATTAGTTACTTATTTGATTCCTCCAAACTCATCAACGAGTCTACAATCTTCTTCAGCTCATGGGGGTAACCTTACCATTTTTGATAAAAACAAAGGTATTGAATTGTTGCTTTTGAATTTATTTAATCAAGATGATCAGGTTAAATCAAACATCATTATGATTTTACAGGAACTTCAAGATAATTTCTTATGTGGTTGGTGCCTTGATAAATTTATCAAATCAAATCTCATCTACGAGATTGCGTTCAACGATTTGATCAATGAATAGATTTAGTTAATTACGTTAAATATCTGTATTATTACTATTTACAATTACAACAAACTCAAACCACACACATTCTCTCTCTCACTCTTTTAATACACAACTGTAACTTATTTGTCAAGTTTATCTTCTCTACTAGGTGTATAATATTTGCTTTCTTCAGCTTCATCAGAGAGCCATTTTGCTTTAATAACCTGGAATAAGGATAATCTATCTCCTTGTCTTCTCGAACTAAATGCATCTCCACTACCAACATATTTTGATTGTCTATCAGGTGAAGTATAATCCAAATTTGGATTAGTTAATGGGAATCCTCTTCTTTTAGTAACATAACCAAATTCTTCTTCTTGTTGATTAATTTCATGTTTTATACTTGAATCAGATTCTTTATCATGACGTGCTTGTTTTTGATATGCTATATGTTTTTTACCAACAATAAATAATCCAATAGCTATGGAACCAAAAATACCAAGCTTTCTCAATACGGTTCTTCTAGATTCAGTTGAAATTGCAATATTAACTACCATTCTTGTTATGGATGAAAGTATGTACGGGCTATGATTGAGAGAGAGAGAAAAAAAGAAAGAAGAGGAAATTTGTTGCTTATATTTTTTCCGTTCCTTAGTGGAGAGATTTTTTTCTTTTTCAACTAGTCGTGCATCACATACCAAAAGTTTAATAGTTTTGGCAACCAAGATACTTAGAAATAAATACTGAATTGTCTATAATTAATTATATAATCTATATTTGATCAAGATCTATTTGAATGGCGACTCTCAATATCATCCCAACTCTCCATAACCATAGTATTCGTACCCCTTGTAGTTCTGGAGTTATTGCTATACATATACTTTTGAACAAAATAAGCAATATCAAATACAACGGTACCTGAACTACCTAAAATATAAGGTAATTCTTTGATTATGAATTCATGTTGTACTGCTCCACCTTCAAAAAATTCACAGCTCAGTAGGATGGATAATGTATAAGTGAGATTTCCTAATAAAGCAGCACCAAATAACAACGGTGAAATGCCTTCAACAGATTTTCGTTTGTAGTTTTTATATAATTGAGGACATCTTGATAAACAATATAGCACAGTGCCTCCCCAAGCTAAGAATAAACCTAAAGAATCATGTGAATCTGACGAGGTGATAACTGTTGTTGCCGTGCTTGAAAGTGGCATCGCAACAGCTTTTCCAGCTTGCAACATAGTACCAACTATAGATTTTTTAATAATTCCACTACCACTAGTACTAATGTTTCTACCTCCCTCTTCATTAGTTGAGTCATAACTACTCGGAGACGACGTTACGTAATCTTCACTAGTACTATGTTCTATATTCTGTGCATGACTTATCCTGTGAATATCTTGTCCCTGATATAATGAAACGTCTTCATTATCCATAGGTGTCTTCGGGAGTTCTTCCCCGTCATTGTCATCTACTCGCCTTTCATTTTGAGTTTCATCCATTTCAACAGAAGTGTACCTTGTATGAACATAATTATAATGATAGTATTGGAAACATAAAGCAATATCATTACAAAGAAAAAATACACTAATATACAACTGGAACTTTAATACTGTATCAATATTGACTAAACAACTGGTGAAACTTAGGAAATCACCCATAAACCATAATAACAAAAAACCTGGAGATATACCTTCAGAAGATTTATTGGTGTAATTCTTTATAATTTGTGGGAGTTGAGCAAATATCCAACTTACTATTGATATTGTACTAAAAGTGCTCGATATGAATGAAACCGTTGAAGGACACGTCGTCATATCAATATGGTACAAATAAAGACAATCAGTGTTGGTATCCTATAAGAAAAAGAAGGATTAGGGAATGGATAGATAATGATTTACTAGTCAGCTGTAATTATCAACTATTATTTTGGATTGTAAATCAAAATAATAAAATAGAAAAAAAAAATAGAAAAAGAGTCAAAGATCTTATCAATGCATTTATCTGTCATTACAATTTTTTCTTTTTGTTTTCTACAATTTAGGCGATTTTTACCGCGCGTTGCGTTTGTATGTGTTACCACCATACAATCCTTGAATATTTTGCAACGACTTGGTAACCAGGAAATCTAAAAAAAAATAAAGGCACACGATCAACAGATAAATACAAGTATACATATACAATTTAGGAATTAGTTTGTATCTAAATTTTATACAAAGTATCTAAGAATGCTGCTATTAATCTATCAGCTAGCCCAGCAGTATGAACACTACCAGCAATACCATACAAAGCAGCAGTGTCACTTTGTTTCTTTTTGATATTGCCATTCCTCTGCTCTTCAGCAATTCTTACAGCTTCTTCAGTGCATCCAGCCAAATCTTCAATCAATTGGTCAATCACTGGCACAGTTAATCTGGTAATGGCAAAATGTAATGCTGAAGGATTTTGTAATGTAGAAAAATGCCAGCCTTTTTTACTTAATAAATCACTGATTTCATAAATACTCAAGTGATCTTCTTGATCTAAACGGACTTTAAAAGCAACAACTGATCCAATTGGATCACCAATGATTTCTAAATATTTAGCTAATGATGGATTCTCTTTAATTGCACTTTTAAGTTTCATCGCTGCCAGCACAATATCATAACAGAATTTAGTGTATCCATCCTTACCAATATTAATCAATGTAGCCCAACATCCCACAACTAATGCACCAGGTCTAGATCCTGCTAATGTTGGAGAACCATACATTCCACCAGTCCAATCACTTGAAATATAGTATTGACATTCACGTAATTTAGGATCTCGGTACATAATTATTGAAGAGCCCTTTGGTGCAAAACCGTACTTGTGAGTATCACATGAAATTGATGTAACCCCTGGTAATCTAAAATCAAACAATGGTAGTTTCTTATCCTTGTGAACTTTTGATCTTTCTAAAAACGAAACAATAAAAGACCCCAAACATGCATCTACATGTAACGGAATGTTATACTTAACAGCCAAATCAGACAATGCTTGGAAATCATCAATGATACCATGAGGGTAGTTTGGTGCCGAGCCGCACAACAATACAGTGTTACTATTGATTAATCTTTCAACTTTCTTCACGTCAACCTGATAGGTAACTGGATCCAAATCGACTCTATGTAGTTTCATACCAAAATAAAAACATGCCTTTTCGATACCTGCATGAATAGTAACGGGGGCAATCACTTCAGGTTGAGTGATACCTCGGTATTTTCTTCCATACTCTCTAGCAGCTAACCCAGTTAACAACAAGGATTCAGTACCACCTGAAGTTGTGGCACCACAACCTGTAGAAGGTGCATTGAAAATATCCAAAACCATATGCACCACTTCGGCTTCCATTTTACGAACACCTGGAAACACATCTGGATGTAATTGATTTGCTACAGAGTATTTATCATATGCGTCTACTTGTAACTTTAACAATTCGTCACCTCCATGATAAACGGCACCACTGACTCGACCATTCATCCAATCGGAATGTTTTAAAGTTTTCAATTTGTCCAACTCTTGTGATATTTCATCCTTGGCAATTCCATCCTCTGGTATATTTGGAAATTGCAACAATTCATCATCATTCTTCATGATTTCTTGTTCCATTTTTAAAATTGTTGATTGTAATTCTTTGTCAATTTTAGCTTTGATTGGTGGCAATGACATGACTTTGGATGATATTGACGAACTGACATTATTATAGACTTGTCTAAGACATTCAAAAATTCCATAACCTCTAATATATCTATAAAGTTTAACTAATTGGGAGTAAACAAAAGAAACAACAAAAACATCTCTAAGTAATCTAACCAGTCCCCATGCTATGGTTTCAAAACTTGCAGTGCTAGTGTATGTGTCGGGGTAGTATGTGGAGAAGAACCATAACTTGAGATTAAAATAAACTTGTAGAACAAATAATTGAAATTCCTCTAAATTTCGAGGGATTTCAAACGATGTCAAATCAACCATTGCTAATGAATGAAAATGAATGAATACAGTTTAAAAAGAACAACAACAAAAACAAAAAGAAAAAGGATTGATAGAGTTGGTGTTCTAGTTTTTTTTCTTGTTGAGTTTTGTTGGTTAATTCTTTTTTTTTTTACAGAGTCTATTGTTCTATTTTTATTTGTCTCATGGGAATTTCGGATAATCCTTGGTGATTTTTGTGCCATTCACAGGATGTCAATAACATAACCGTCAAAAAGAAACTAGCAGATCTCATAGTCTCGAAGACTCGTCAGTGTAGTACTCCCATGATTCTCTTATTAGACAGACAGAATTGCTTACATGTGTGTGGCTACATCACATTAACCATGCATTGGAGGGGAGGGGGTGGGGGAAGATCATGTTTTGTATGAAAAGAAAATCTCCACATTCCATCCCTCCTTTGAAATACGCACCAGATTAACGTTTTTGCATATCATCCGCCCCTTTGCTCATCATCTACAACAACAACAAATAATACTCTTTCTATTACACTACACAATTAATAACTCATAGGATTCGTTAACTATTTTTCCTATTTACATTGGAGTGGATGCTCGACTTATACGATTACTTGGTCTACTACTAGATCCGGAATTATCAACCAATTGTTGCCTTTCTTGATATAACTTATCAATTCTAGCTTGGAAAAACAGTTGAATAAATCGGTTTTCCATTTTAAGCCTGTTTAATTTGGTCTCATAACCTATCAATGTATCCTTGTTAATTAATTCGGGTAATTGACTCAAGCCAGGCCCTGATATTTTTTGTTCTAATTTTTCGTTCTGTTGCTTCAAGTTACCCAATCTTTGCGATAATTGCAAAGCTTGATTAGAAGAAGTCTGATATTTCTCTCTAGTTGTTTCAGACTCTTCGTGTATTTTATCATATTCTTGTTGCATTTTATCAAGTTCTTCCTTTAAGTCATTTAATGCTTTGGTCTGAGCAATGAGCTCCTCCTCGGTCACTTCACTATCTTTAATTTCTTGTAATTTTTCCAACTGATTATCAATCTCAGTACACTTTTCTTGTTTCTTAGTTAAATCATTATCTATACGTCCCAATTTACGTTCAGAAAAATTGGCATCTTCATTCAATTTCTGAAGTTTTCTATAATTTTGAGCAATCAAATCCTCATCATCATCATAGTGACCTTGTCTTGAAGTTTCATGTTTGCGTTTCTCGTGTATTCCTTTTTCCATACCAAGCGACTTCTTTTCTAAATCAGATAATTTGGCATGTAACGACTCAGCTAAGCGTGATTTAAATATATGGTAATCTGCAACATCGATTTGATCAAATCCACCATTGCCGCCAAGCGAGTAAAATGAATTCAATTTTTTAATCAATTTTTCATCAGAAAACAGCAATGCCAATTCGTCATTATATTTCTCTAAAGACTCTGACAATTTCTTTGGATTATCCTTTAACAATTCGACAAATTTACTCATATTGGTTCCATAATTTTCCACAAAAAAGTCAGCAGACAACTCTCTCAAATTAAACAAGTTCACTGCTAATGTATTTATACACTTTACTTTCCATTTATACAATGGGCTGCCATTGTTACCATGTAAATCAGTAAAATTCAGAACTGGCGGTTCTGGGAAATATTGTGAAATGATTTGCTGCAACGAAAAAACAGGAACAGGGATTAAAACTGGACATGGCTTATCACTCTTAGATCTAAGCATTTCAATACTAGGAACGCTGGTATCTAATTTTGAATCAAACGAAAGAATAAAATCATAGCTATCATCTTTATCATTGTCATTGTCGTTGGAACTATTAGTTGTGGCAACATAATTGTTATACAACTGTTGTGATGATATTAAGTTTATAAATAATTTATAACTCGAGGAATCTTTCAAATTTGGAATAGGTTTCTTATCGTCGTATAACTTTGCACTACTTGAGTTTGTATAATATAATGTCTTTCCAAGAATGACCCCTTCTAAAAGTTCTAATTCCTTAACGTTATTGGAAACAACAATGATCCTATAACCATCAGGTTTGTGTTCTTTAATCAAAGTATCAACAATTCGGTTAAAAAGTTGTACTTTTCCACTCATATTGAGTTGACGTTCAATTGTTTCCAGTAGTAAAATTTTCTTGGGAATGAAATGGTCAATGATCAAAGATGGATGGTTTTCGATGATAGCTAATTGTTCAAAACATAAAGATATCTTATCTTCTTTAGAACTATTGTTAATGTTATTGTTACTATCGTTGATGACATTCGATGATTCAAGTAAGTTATCAATACTGGTTTTCAATTTCTTGGCTCGTACTTCATTAAGTAACTCCGAACTAAACAAATGTAATACCAATTCAATCAATGACTCTTGTAATTCAGTTAACGTTGTTGGTAAGAAAATCACCTCATTTTTTGCTGTAGCTGTCTGACTTTGATTATGAGTATCAGCGATACCATTTCCAGCGGAAATTCTATCGACGATATCGTGTGAGTTACTGTTAACACTAGTACTATTATTATTGCTGTCAATTTGTTGGTCGATATCCTGACTATATAATGAGGATGGTGGATCCTTTGACAATATATCCATAAGATTCATCTTGGTGTTTTTCTTTTTATTTTGATTTGTTTATTTTTTTGGATAAAAAGTTTGGAGAATGTAATCAAAGTTGGCTCTAAAGTTGAATATTTTTTCTTCTTCTTCTTCTTCTTCTTCCTGTTTTTCTTTGTTCGAAGCATTTATTATTGTTGTTGGGAGCATGTCTTTGAACCCGCCCTGTATAGAATGGTCGCGCGGTAGTGCACCAACTAAAATAGGTAATCTAGATTATGGTCCCAGCTACCGGTAATGCCATTATTGTTGAACAAACCTTAGTTAGTTAGAGTAGAAGAAATATTCAATAAATAAACCGTTATACAAACATATACGTAGTTATAAATTTATCTAAAGTACGGTCCATACATATTCCATATCTTACGAATCAAATCTAATTTAGTAGCAATATTGTATTGACTATCATTCAATGCATTCAAATCATCAACCCAATCGTCTTTCAATTCCAGTGGGATAAGAGCATTGGAACACACCAAAAGATTTATAATCTCAATTAATAACTCACCTTCATAATTTGAATGTTGTTCTGATTCCAATAAAATTAATAAATTTTCTATGTTGTTTAAACATTTCAAACAAATGATGTTCAATTGTTTCCCATTCAATACAATTGGCTTGTCCGCAGTTAAATATTGGTACAATTGGTACAAAATGTAAATAGATGGACTGATGGAAACAATTCCAAACACCAACTGCTGTGACTTCAATAATTTGTCAATACCATTGATAGCAACAGCTCCATCAACTTTACCCTTCTGTATTTGGATCAAAATCAAACGCAACAAGGATCCAGAAATCAAGTATTTGATAGGGGATTTGATTTCATCTTCGTATCTAGACATGATAATTTTCAAATCGCCATTCTTAACATCTTGACTAACTTGTACGGGTGTGGTTTCAATATGATTATCTTTTGCAAATTCGTAAACCATATTCTCCAACGAACCAACATCAGATTTCAATGAGTCCTTTGTAGTTATAGTAATGTCACTATCGCTTCTTAATATGTCCAACATATCGTATAATGGTCTCACCACCCAATTTTTAAAAAATCCAACTACAGGTTCAATGCCATTATATTTAATCCAATGAATTATTTCATCTCTATTGGTATAAATTTTTCTACTCTGAGATGGTCCATAGAAAATAATAAACGCAATAACTACCCAATACCTAACAGCAAATGAAGGCTCTGCTGTTTCAGTGTAAGACTTTTGATCAAATTTAATTGTATTATCAATTGCTTGCAAAACTTGATTAGAACTATCTTTGTCAATATCCAAGATATCCATCAAAGAAGACAAATAATCATCGGGGTTGCACTTAATTAATATGTCAATATTACTGATGTTATGTTTGATTTCATATTTAATCTGTCTCAACTTCAAATGCACATCTTTGCTTACAACAGTAACAGGGAATTTGATAACAAACTTGATAGCATTTAAGTACCATTGGATCGAGTTTCTCTCAATACTCAAAAACCCAATAGACGGAGTGTCTTGATGCAAAGCCTTTGAGAATGTACTATAAATAGCACGAGAAAGATTTTTGACAACTTTCCAGGAATAATAAATATAGTTATCTTCTTCTGTGCCTATAGAGTGATTGGTAACTTGATACACATTATCTTCCAAAAGTTTCTTGGTTTTATTGAATATTTCAAGGGCAGAATTGTAAAATCTAAATGGTGATGACTGAACAAAATATATTAACTTGTTTACTGTAGAATTGTTGACAGATTCCCAATATACATATTGGCTTTTCAACACCAAAGTTTTGTAGATCAAACTATCAGAATTCTTTAAAGTGGTAGTTAAAATAATGTACTTTTGAATAATATCCATAATTGTCTTGGAAAGATTGTCCTCCTCTGCAGTAGTAGTCACATCATTGAGTCCATTGACTTTCTTATAAAGAGCCTTCAATTTTGTCAAGCTTACATAGCTTACTTTTTCAAATTTGAAATTCTCACAGTCAAACAAGTAATACAATTCCTCAAACGCTTCCAATAAAGTATCATTTACTTTCCCTTTCAATTGTTCTTCAGCTGCTAACTGATTAGCAAGGAAGGATTTTGTAAACGAATTGAGTTTTTCAAATTCATTTTTTATCGTAAGTGAAATTCTGTTGTTGTTAACAAGTCTTAAAATCTTTTTCGACCTCCTGGGAGTCAATCCTAACGAAATCAAATCCATTTGGTATCTCAATTGATATTGTAACTAGTTAATGAAGGTAGTCTGCTTTCTCTTTTTTTTTTTATTTTTTTGATCTAAAAAAAATTGCATGAGAGCAACTTTAATGAGTTGGAGAGAAAAATCCCACTTTTAGCCTTTGGTTATAAAGTGGACTTATCTCCGACAATTCACGTGATTGATCTGGATTCCTAGTGTTGCTTATTTTCTTTTTCTTAGTTCATTGTATTGGGGTTTAATCCAATTGTATGTAATTTATATGTGCTATTTATCTAAAGAATAATAAAACCTCTACTCATCATCAGTATTCTTTTCGTTCAATACACCAGATGCCTTAATTAGAATATCAATATCCTTGTCGTTCCAAATCTTGTGTAAAACTTTTCCATTTTTGCCCAAACTCAAAGTAGCAAATTCTAATTTTTCACTATTAATATTTGAAGCATCCATTGTTTTAGATAAAACCTTGATAGCCAATTCACATGCATCCTTCAAAGTCATATCGTCCTTGTAGTCCTTCTTCAATAAGGTTTGCGCAGCAGAATTATTGGCACCAATACTGGTTGCCTTCCAACCGCTGTAATTACCAGAAGGATTAGAAGTGAATAATTGGAATTGATATCTGTCATCATAACCTGCATAAAGGAAACTGACACCAAATGGTCTCAAACCACCATGTTGAGTATAACCTTGTTTGATATCACACACACTATTAATCAACATCTCACAAGGGATTTCTTCATTATATGTTTTCAAGTATTGTTGGGCTCTAACTCTTGCACTGTTTACAAGAATTGATGCGTCTGCAGTCATACCAGCAACAGCACAGATCATTTGATCGTTTATAATGTACAATTTCTCAGCAGATCCATCATCATCCAATAATTTAGAAGTCACTTTCTTTTCACATGCTAATACTACACCTTCGGAGGATAAAATACCTATGGCTGTACCAGCATTGGAAATGGCTTCTTGTGCATATTCAACTTGGTACAATCTACCTTCTGGTGAAAAAATGGTTGTTCTAGAATCGTATCTTCTTGACATTTCTTTATATTGATTACTTTATAATGATGTGTTATGGATATGAACAACAAAAAAAAAAAAACTCAATTGATATAAAACCTATATGACTGGGGAAAAAAAGTTTAACTGTCTAGTATCTTTTAGTTTGTTTCAATTGAATTTTGGTAGTTCAAAAGTTTTTGTTGATTGAAGGTGGCGATTGAAAATACTGGAACAACAATTTTTTCTTTTTCTTTTCGTTAACATGTTGAGACTGCGAGGAAAACGACATTGTAGAAACACCAAATGTCGTGGAATACTTTGTTGATGATGCGACACAACAGAATTTCGTAGGAACTGTTAAATGAATGAAGCAAGCCAACCACACCTTTCAGAATTTCATTACAACCCAACAACTCATCATGGCCATTTTTATCAGTTCTACTAATGTACCTATAGGTTATATTGTACCTAGTTTCCCTTCATTGTTTTGGCCCATCGGACCAAGTCGAAGTTCTTATTTAAACTCATTTTTATACTATTCATGGGATATTTGGCGATTCACGGTGTTCTGGTCTTTGCTATTATCGGGTAGTCTATATGGGATAGTGGGGCTTATGGCAGCAGCAAGTAGTTTTATGAATAAATATAGACACAATTTGGAGTTTGGGGCAAGTGGTTTAGCAACATGCATCTTTATCATCATTCTATATGTGTTTGCCGGTCTACTGAAAGGGTTCATTGGTGGTGCGATTATAGGAATAATACTTGCTGCAATATATCAAGCTGGTTCTTTGACTATGAGCACATGGATACCGTTCACTTGGGCAGTAGCTCAAGTATTGTATGATATTATTTCATCCTACCTGACGAGTCTGACAATTTTGTAGTCAACAATGGTAGAGTATTTTGTCACGAGTCGTTTACGATTTATACAATTCCCAATTACCACGGTTAATAGAATCAGATAGTAATTAATTTATAACAACGAATTTATCGTTAGTGTAAAAAGTTGATACTATGAATTTTTATTATGTATAATCCTTACGAATACACAAGGGTAGGTAGAGAGAAGAGGGAGAGATAGAGACAGAGGGAAGAAAAAAAATCAAGTAAACTCGTCAACACCAAATTCAAATCAAGCATCAACAACTTATTCTTCCCTACACAACACTTGTTCAGTACTGACAAAATGACGGATAAATTTGATGTGGAATATTTGGCGATTAATCAACTAGCTTATTCGTTCAACAAATTTACCCAATTAAACTCGTCTACTGATACTCCCCATGATTTGGTTGAAATCGCTACTAGAAGTTTTCAGCTCATGAAACGATATGAAGTTGTACATCCACTTGCTGAATCATTGTTACAGTTTTTATCCAACCAAGGTGTGTCGGTAGAAGAATGCAGCCACGAATGGGTATCAAACACGCGTTCATTGAATGAAGCGTACTTATTACAACTAGATCATGACATGAGGCGTGCTCTTGATCAAGCAATGGAGGCATTATCTCCTGTACTTTCAGCTGCCTTGTTTGGTAAGATAAAGAGAGCAATCATCATAACTGCAGTTCAAGGAAGTTACGAAGAAGGATTGGTATTATTAAACAACTATCTATCATTAGTGGACTTTTCGTCTCAGCCAAAAACAAAGGAGAAGTTTATTGAGAATAGATACATGGAGTTTTTGTTTTACCAGTATGTTTTGAATAAATTTTCATTGATTTGGTTTCCAAATGAAGATCTCGAATCACGCAGAACATCCTCCCTGTTTAATTCTGGGAAATACAACAAAGTTACAATAACCAGTAATTCGTACAAGCCAATGAATCAAATATATTCTAAAACAACAGCCTACTATCAAAAAAATGAAACCTTGTTTTCTTCCTCAGATATAGAAACACAGTATTACTGGAGTATAAAGTTTTTGCATTTGACATTAATGTTCAAGCAGTTCAAGTTTGTTGAGTTTTATGATGAATTCGTGGAGTATTTCTTGCATCAAAAAGAGCCAATTGATCTTCTCACAGGTGATCTTGCTATTCTCAAGACGAACTTATTGGTGATGTTTGGAATTGCATCAATATTCTTGAAACCATTCAATTCATTGACGTTACTGGGAATTGGGAGAGATGATGTGTTGGTTGACTTATTGGGCGAAGATCCCGATAGCTTCGAGTACAAATTTTACACCCAAGTGATGATTCCATTATCCAAATGCAATTTTAGTCAAGCCAAAGCTTGCTTGGAAAATCATTCATTCGTGAAAGAAATGTTGGCAAACTTGGAGTATAATTTCCCTGTTTCATGTAGAACCACCGATGGAAGTTATGGCCCATCATTCATTGTTTATTTGAAGTTAATTATAGATATGAAGAACTTTTTCATGATTTTAACTAGTTCAACACAAATTTCCAAGTCAAAATTATTTCAATTGTTAGGGTATTCTGAGAGTGATTCACTGGATGACATTCATGATTTGAATAGTACATTTATTGGTGTTATTGTTGCATTAGACTTGGGTAGATACGGTATCACATATGATGCTGGTGAAGAAGTATTTTCACATCAACCAGTTGAAGACTCCTCCAAAGAAATTGCTACTTTACAAGAGAATATCGCAGACTTACAAAATGAAGTTAAAGCAGTCACACTTTCTAACAAAATGACAGAGTTGCTTTTAGAAAAGTACTTCAGTTAGTTATATTTTCTGGTGTTGTCGTTTTTTTTAGGGGTAAGTCTATTCTCTAATTAGTCTAGATACTAATTTCATAATATACAATCTTGCGTCTAAAGGATTAAATTTGACATTTTTTATATCCAAACTTATCTCATCATGAAATAACAACTGGTTAATCAAATAACAACTAATCATAATCACATAAATACCGCAATCATCAAAATTCTGTTGCTGATCACAATTTAGCATTTGTATTTTAATCTTTCCATTTACAAACGAATGGCAATCTTGAAGTTTCTGTGCTAGGTTCTTCAATTGAGCATCCGTTGATTCATCGTCGTCAATTTGCATCGAGTCATAAACATACAAAGTGTTATCTAGTAATGATAATACCCCAAGTGCCCAATGGTCTCCGTTATTATCATCTTCTAAATCCACGTCTAGTTCATCAAGGAAATTAAGTGGAAGAAATATAAGTTTCAGTTTCTTCAAATCGTCAACTGGTAACAAACCTTCGACATCACCAGGAAAATGCATTAATAATTGGATAACTGAAGGAAATAGAATTTGAATCTGGTTGGAAAATTTTCTCCCAGATTTGATAAACATCTGTATGATTAATTCATAAATTAATGAAATATTATTATCGTTAAGCCATTCACCTGGTAATATATACTCTAAGTCTGATTTATATAATGCAATTGAATGATATTGTAAGATTTTGGAATCAGTTTTTCCGGATTCACACTTCTCTTCAACTATTCTATTAAATAATGATTTTAATTCCCGCTTGGCCATGAATGGTTTAAACTCGGGTATTTTGGAACCAACTCCATTGGACGCTAATTCTTGTTCTCTCTGTAACTTCTTTCTTCTAGATGCATTCGCTTTTTTCAATTGTCGAGCTTCTCTTTTTTCCAGTTTACTGAGTTTCTTGGGTGGTGAAGTAGGAGTAGGTGATTTCGATTTCTCATTGTTTTCTCTATCTTCATCATCGGCATCTTCTGGTAAGTATAGATCCCAAGGTAATTCTTGTAAACCGTTTGTTACAACGACATCTTTGTTTGGTTCTATTGGCTCATCTGGCATACAATATCCTTTATAATTTACATATACCACTGAGGTCATTTTCTCATTAATTTAAGCCCTCAATGTATTTTGAATACAGAAGCTCATGATGGATTTGTTAACTCTAAATATTTTTTTTTCTTCTTCTTAGTTAACTGAGCAAGTGGTTCCGCGATCTTACCAAATTTTCTGCACCAATTGTCAATTGTTCTTCCTTCGAGAAGAGCGCTTTTTTATTTTTTCAACACACAATATCTCCAGTCAATCTGCCATTTTTGTTTCACGGCATATAACTCTTCCACCTTCCCATATGAGATCACGGATTTTTAGCATTCTACCAAAAAGACACCTATTCACGGGTCAGAGATTATCAACAGTGTTTTCTGCAGGACAACCCACATATGAAACCAGACCTCATATAATTACCAAGCCGGGGGATTTGACTCCGGGTATATCAGCTATGGAATACTATGAACGTCGATTAGAACTATCAACCAAATTACCAGCAAAGTCACTTGCTATAATAATAGGTAATTCCGTAAAGTTCAGCTCTGGAAGTGTTTTCTACGATTTCCAACAAGATACAGATTTGTACTATCTTACTGGTTGGTTAGAACCAGATACTATCATGGTCATTGAAAAGAAAGGTGATAACGGTGCCGATGATGTATTGTTGCATATGTTGGTTCCACCCAAGAACCCAAAGAAAGAATTATGGGAGGGTCCTAAAAGTGGTTTGGAAGGAGCTTATAACATTTTTAATGCCGATTTGGTGGAAGATATTAGGAATGCACCACAATATTTAAAACAATTAATTAAAGATAATAATCATATATACTGGGATAAGAAGTATAATCTGAAACAAGAAGTTGGGTTCAAGCAATTTTTTAATTTCTCGGAATACGACAATTTGAATGAAATCATTTTGAAATCAAACAAGCATATCCACAAATTGACGCCGTTGATAGCCGATTTGAGAGTTGTAAAGTCATCTGCAGAAGTGGCTGTCATACAACAAGCGTGTGAAATTTCCAGTTCAGCGATAAACAAAGCAATGGCTAAAGTTGGAACGGACGATCCAATTACATCAGAAAATGTTTTGGCCAAATATTTGGAATACGAATTTGCTAAAGGTGGCTGTGAAAAGCATGCATATATTCCTGTTATCGCCAATGGAGCTAATGCATTGTGTATGCATTACACAAGAAATGATGATTTACTATGGGAAGATGATTTGGTTTTCATCGATGCTGGAGGTAAATTAGGTGGATATTGTGCAGATATTTCCCGTGCATGGCCAAACAACCAACAAGGGTTCAGTGGTCCTCAAAAAGATATATACGAAGTGGTATTGGCTACAAATAAGAAATGTATTGATTTGTGTAATGCAACCTTGGGTTATTCTTTACATGACATACATGAAATTTCTGTAAACACCTTGAGACATGAATTAAATAATCTTCCAGAGTTTAAAGGGGTCACCAACAGTGAGGTGACAAGAAAGTATTACCCACATTACATTGGTCATAATCTTGGGTTAGATCTTCATGATATACCTTCTGTTTCCAACAACTTGCGTTTGCGTAAGAACCAAGTTATCACCATAGAACCAGGTTTATACATTCCACTTGATGGTCCAAAATCATATAGGGGAATTGGGTTGCGTATAGAAGATAATGTTGTTGTGGGGCAAGATCATGCTGATGATAAAATCAACTTGACCCGTAGTTGTAAGAAAGAATTGGCAGATGTCGAAGCATTGATTAGCGGGGGTTTGTAAATAGACAAATAGATCACTAATAAATATTCATCGTTACAATCTTTTAAATCAGTAATAATACTCAAACAAAGAAGTTTCGTGGCTAACAGGGGGCACAACCATAATGAATCGTTTTACATCGAGTTCAAAAATATCAATCAAAAAAAGGTATACATAAAACTAAATTAATAAAGAACTAAAACTATAAAGGAGCACAATAAAAGGAACTTGACCTACTCTTTACCATAATCAAACCGTGGGTTCAGTGCAATCAAGTCTTCCACATCTTCATCCATCATTTCTGTTATTTTCTTATAGCTAGGATTATTTCGAATCATTCTACTCCATTTGGCCAAATGTGGATAAACTTTTCTTAAGTCTCTCTTTTCCCCACAAATCTCTCTAACACCATCTGGATTATCGAATACATTTTCATACACGGGGAAACTCAAAATCACATCAGCACCAGTTAATTTGTTCCCGACAAAATATCCAGTGCCATTTTCAGCTAATCTATCTTCAAGGTATTGGAAATTCAAATACCATTCATGCTTATAATACCCGTTGTTGATTGCTTTGGTGATAGTATTGACAATTTTTCTTGTTCCGAATGGAGCAACGTATTTTGAGACTGAGTTTATCAAAAGGGCCATTTGAATATGTTGTAAAGAACCTTCAGCATAATGTAAGAAATAATCCACTTCTAGTTGTTGATCTTGACTTATAGGATTCAAGATGTTGTCTGTATCATAGTATCGTAACAAATACTGAATAATAAATCCCAGTTCGGCTATTTTAATCGGTGGTCTTCCATCAGCAAAAATAATCTCCAATACTGGTGATTTACCTAGTTGGTGAACATCAAAAAGTTGTAAAGGACCACGCCAAGTCTCTGGATGTCTCAAATAAATCTTGACTTCATAATCTAGTTGAAGGATTTCTAACAACCAAAGGATTCTATGAGATCTAGAATCATCGAGCCTAGTTATCAACAATGGTTTTGTTAGTATCACATGGTTATCAATAATATGCATCATGTAGATGCAGAAGTTCATCAGGGCGTAGCTACTACGTACCAGTGTAAAATAAATCTATCTTCAAGACCCTTTGGATCAGCCATGGTTATGCGATTTTATTTTATTACAAATGTATGGAGGAACTGATAATAATAAAATGTAAGATGAAGATGAAATTTGCATACGATGAGTGATGATGGAAAGGGGGTTTATTGATCCCAATTTATACAATCAGATTCCATGTAGATACATTGATAATGGTCAGGGGGTTCGTCTATTTCCCAATTAGGAAATTAATAAAAAAATAATAGTCAATACGATTGCCATTGTTATTGATGAATGGATGCGCTATTGTTCTTCCAAGATGCGGGGCTCGTAGGACAAAAAAAAAAAAGACAAAGAACTTCTGGGTTTTTGTCAAATTGTACTAATTAGGAAATATTCACCATATTAGTCAATGTAATAATCATGACTATTGGAGGAGTGATATTTCGTGTTACTGTAACTTTGACAAGTTTTAACGAATTTATTACGCTACATAAAGCAAGATAAGAAGACGTTCTATTAAACAGAACACATTGTAGAATACCAAAACGGGAAAGAAAACCAAACAAGCACAATTCAATATCCACCAAATGAAGAGAGTGAGTAAAAGTTTAAGATGAGAATTAAGCTTCTTTCTATTTTTCCCTTGTTGTACCCACAGTCTCAACTCAATACAAAAAAAAAACGATGTAGGAATACATCACTTATAATATGTGATGCATTTATTAAAGAAACCACGTTCGAAGGAACTAACTCTTAGACCAATCATAAACTCGGAGTTTAGCTTATGTTTGAGAATATTCACAAATCTATCAAAATTATCATTGGAGAAAGTGTCCTCGTTGATCCAGATTTCCTTGATAGTATCAGGTAAATATACATCTTCTAGAATTCCATCTATTATATTAAATGTTCCAATTAGCTTGTTAATATCTCTCAAATCAAGTTCTTCAAGATTTGGGAAGTGATTAAAGTTACCGATGATGTTTGCTTGAGAATCTTCAAGTTCGAGTGAGATTAGTGACTTCGGTAATTTGTCCAATAGAATATTCAATGTGCCACTCGATTCCATGAAACGTATATGGGAGAAGCGCAACTTTCTTAATACTGTACAGGCCGAAAAGTTAAACTTTGAAAAATCAGGATCACATTGAAACGTATTTCCTTGTATATCTATCTCTTCCAAGTCTGGGGGAAACTTGATCTCGTGATTTAAATTCTTAAGATCATTTTCTATGAACAAGAACTCTTTAAGACTGGATGGAATTTTTGGAAACAGAGTCAATGATTCATTCATGAACGACAACAGTACCAAACCTTTGGGGAACCTGAATGACAGTTCAATTCTTTTGATATTGTTGCCTTTTAAATCCAACTCTTGAACACTTTCAGGAATACAAAGGGAGGAGTCATTCACTCGCTTAAGCTTATTGTTGTGTAATACTAGGAACTGGAGGTTATCAGCATATATCTTGATTGTCCTAAAATGACAATCAAGTAACTCTAATTGCAACAAACTAGAAGGTAACTCATAATCAAAATAGTCTTGCGATTTGTCAGTCAAAGAAAACTGAACTAAACTAGACAAGTTCTTCAAATCATGATAATTAACACCTCGAACATGGCATAATTTTAATCTTTTTAAAGACCTTGGGAATTGACAAATTCTTTTTAGCCAGGATATTCCCCTTAAATCCAAATTAGTTAAATTTTTCAATACCACACTCTCTGAATTTGAAAACAATTGAAAATCCAAACTAGCTGCTTCTAATGCTTCTCTTGTAACCCCGCCATTTTCCAGCCAGCCCTCCAATTTTAAACGTTCTAGCATTGAAGGAAATCTAATCACTTTTATATCATCCTCTTTTCTCTGTTTCTTATTAATATGTTCATCTGATTTCTTTTCTAAAGCACGATTAATGCAGTATTCTACAAAATTGGCTGCCCCTTCGATAACTTTCAAACTGGAAGGTAGGTCATGGAGTTTCTGATATGTGAAGCCATTATATTTCGTTACCTCTAACCGTGGGCATTCATTTATTATTTGATCTAGATCACCACCAATGGTTGCTTCAATAGACTTTAAGTTCTTAGGAAGCTTCAAATTAGAAGGAAAATCTGAATGCACTTCTCTTAGATTTTCCAAATGAGATATATCGCCAAGGTATCCTGAGGTGTTTACATCTGTAGCTTCAAAAGAAATACGCAAAGAAACCAACCCCATTGGTAAATTCAATCTAGTAGACTCGGATTCGGGGCTCTCCATAACAGAACACGACAAATGCTTCACTGATTTGGGAATGCAATGTAAATCTTCCATGTCAATAGCATAATACAAGTCAAGATTTGTTAAATTTGTAAATGCCACCAACTTTTTGATTCCCAATACTTCTTTGTTAGACATTAGTCTCGCATCCGGTAGTTCTGTTCGACCCGGAATATAAAGTACGGTAGGGTTGAAAGTACCGTAAGAAATAATCTTGACAATATTATACTCAAGCTCAATACATTTTGATATAATGCAATTCACGTCCACATCAGTCGTAACATCACGAAGATAGCTGAAATCAATGGTTATATTAATATCTTTAGGCGCTGATGGGAACTTTTCACGCAAATGAAACAAGGCTTCAGGATCTTTGATAATAATGTGTTTGACAAATGAAACCCTCGAATCATTATTCATTTGAAGAAATTGATTATAGGAAATGGTCCATGGTCGATTATTTCCGGTGTGAAAATATCCAGATATTGGTTTAGCGTTGTATTTATTGCTGATTAATGTTTCTGTTTCGTCGACATCAATTATCACTGTTTCATATAAAACACTCAAGGCAAGCTGACGAAGTTGCGGAATGTCCTGCAACCTCTTTACTGTTTCAGTTGGGAGAAGCTTTAGTATACGGATGATAATTTCAAATGGAAGATCAAGTAATCCTAGTGGCATCGTTTATGAAGAATCGTAATTGTAGAAGTCATAAAAAAGGACATGATATTAATTGAATTGACGAAGTTGAAAGTGGGCAAACAAACAAAAAAAAAATCGTACTATCGGTTGGACGCGTTTCAGGGGTACGGTGTGTACCTGAAACCAAAATACCGTCCTAGAGGAATTAAACTCGCCAAATAAATACTTGTAGATACTCGGAATCAAAATCATAAAAAATATATATAACCACTATCTCATTATATTTATGTATCCTGATATTCATTGAGGATACATTGGTGATACAAAGAAGAGAATAACTATTATATTATATGCAATTTCTGTGAGTTACGGTAACCGTCCGCCAATATTCTATACCTCTCATGTTTATTTCTGAATCCTTGGAGAGATTCAACAATTTCTGGGCCAGATTTCCAAAGTTGATATTTTGATCAGTAGCTACTAATGACTCAAAGCAAGGAATTAGTTGTAGCAGTTTTTCTAAATTTTCGAATTCACGTGAGTCAAAATGATTCTTTGTAATCCATATCCGTTTTATCGTGTCAGGAAAACAACAGTCTGGCAACCAATACTCCTCAGTAACCGCTTCTCCAAACATTTCAACCACTGCTTCGTTGTCTCGTAAATCAACTTCTTCAAGTTGTGGAAAATATGGAAGAGTTCCAACAATTGATGTTGCATTGCATCCCCTAATAGAAAGTGAAGTCAATGATTTAGGAAAAGAATAAAGCTCAACAACAGTTGGTAATTGATCCAAATGATATCCTCCTCGGATATTAGCATTTGATAAATCTAACTTCCTAAGATAATGGCATTTTAATAGATTCAACCCCGAAAATGGAGTGTTGCCATTCAACTCATTACAGTGCAAATCCAACAGTTGTAAACATGTTGGAAAATCAAATATTTGTTCCCTTCTACCAATATGATTCATTGCACAAGAAAAGCGTTCCAACATAGGTGGTAATTCTGGTATGACTTCCAATTTGTTGTTCAGTAATGAAAATTTTGTCAACTGTCTTGGGAAAATAAAAGAAGAATCAATTAATTCAATCTCATTATACGACAAATCTAATTCTTTGGTACTTTCTGGAATTTGAATAACCGTGTTATCAAATTCTCTGAAACTATTTCCTTTCAATATTAAGCAATGGAGGCTTTCCGCTGTTACTTTAAAGGATTTGAATTTGTTATCTTTCAATTCCATTTGATACAATGTTGGAGATAGTATAAATTCAAAATGATCATGATGTGTTCCCTGAATTGATAAATAATGAAGATTTGACAAATTCTCTAAATCATGAAAATTTACTCCTTTGCAATTGACAATGGACAATTTTTTTAACAGTCTTGGCAATGGCCCCAATGATTTGCAATTAAAATACCATCTGATTTCTAATTCTGTCAAGTACATCAAACAATCTTCCAACGAATTTGAAAATATCTGGTAATTCAAAGTTTCATAGTAATGCAGATTTCCTTCAACTATCAATTTTTTCAATCTTTTTGGAAATTTCACCGCTTTAGCATGTTCATTGATTTTTTGCTTTTTAGTCGCCAATCCATCATGTAATAAATTCAGTTTGGCCAAATAGTCAAGACCTCTGCTATTAAACTTCAATTCTTTCAATCCAGATGGTAATTCACAAAGGTTTCGTGGAACATCAAGTTCCAGACAATTCAAAACTTCCAACATTGGACATTGTTCAATTACCTTTTCTATGTTCAATGGTAAAAATGTTTTTAGGGATCTTAAATTTCTTGGTAAAATGAAATATTTAGCTGAATCACATTTCAACAGCTGGAGATTTTCCAAATGTGTCAAATCAACCATATATTCTTCATCAATACCTGATACAACCACATAACGAATTTGCAAAGAAATCAACAGTTTAGGAAATGTCAATTTATCCGGAATATGACCTTCAGAACGACAAACCACACAAGTGAGATATTGAATGTTCTGAGGAAGACAATTAATAAATCTAATATCAATTGGTTGGTTGAATTTAAGTGTCGTTAAACTCTTGAATTTAGATTGTGTAATGGCCTTCATGACATCGGCAGATTCATTGATAACTATCGACTTTAATCTATTAAACCAACCAGAGTTATCTCCATAAACCAAAGGATTAAAATATCTGAATGATTCAATGGCCATGATATCATAAGGAAGATTCATAATCTCTTGGTAAAACCCAGTGAAAGCATGTCCCCTTGTATACATATCAATAGATTCAAAAGAAATTGTAATTTTAGCATTTGATAATACTCCTGGATACAAATTATGAATAGCCCGTAAGTCTCTCGGATCGTCGAAACTTATTTGTTTAATGTACCATACAAGGTCCTCATTGATTATATCAATCAACTTGTCTAGGGTTGCCGAAATCGGACAACGAAATACTTCGTGATCTAATTCAAATGATTCCAGAACAGATATTTCAAGGGGAGCCCTTTTTAAACTGTTGTGAACATTCACTGATTTATATAATTCTTGTAAAGCATAAGGTCGTAATTGGGAAATACTTTGCAACACATTTAATAAATGATTAGGAAGCAGTTTAAAAACTAGTGATATGATCTCTGGTGGAAAGTCAAGCAATAGAAGTTTTGACATTATTTGGTTATTGAATTGATATACTTCAGTGTATCAGAAGTAAATAAAAAGAAAATAGATCATATTAGTTCAAAATATAGATTTTTTTTTTGGAGGATGATTAAATACAAATTCTAGACCTTTATGTGGTTGTATATTGATTAATTTTGATATTTGGTGCGGACACTATTTTTACTAATTTCCAATTCCAAATCGGATTTACAACTTTATTCTTTCCTTGTTCAGTATTTGTTGACATGGAGGAAGAAAAAAAAAAGCAATGGTATTAGAAGAACAGGTCGAAAGCAATATTAGTTGAAATTACTCACGCCTTGACACTCTGGGATTTTAGAATTGTTGAATAATGCACTCCATGTGTATTTCTAAGTTGTATCTACATACTATATGAGTTGATTATCATACCATGTCACTTTATTCAGTCACATGGAATAATTCAAATTGTGGCCTTTGTTTCATTATTTCAACAATACTCTTTAAAGCTAATGGATGACAGTACCTTTCACTAATCCATAACTTTTCTATGCATTCAGGCAAGGCTGGTGCTACATCCATACCGTCATCGCTGTTGTTAACTCTGTCATCTTCTTCGTAAGCAACTGTTTCGAGAAACCACTCCAGCCCTGGATTCCCTTTCAAATTCAATTCTTTAAAGCAAGTGAACTCTGACAAATCACCTAGTATTACATCTGCACCACAGTCTTTAAGACTAAGAGAAGTAAGAGATCTTGGGAAATCATCTAACAGAATTCGTGTTGTTGGTGCCCGAGGATCCCTTTCAAGCCTTATATTAGAAAAATCTAATTTCCTAAGGTTCGGACATTTTAGTAAACTCAACTTTTCAAATCGAAAATCAATTTCATAGTCATTGGCACGAAAATCTAACTCTTCTAAACTTTCGGGAAACAACATGATGTCATCTGTAACACCAAGCCAATTACTGTAGCATGATAATCCTATCAAACCTTCGGGGAACTTTGGTAAAGTGCGCAACCGATTGCGCAGTATTGATAAATACTTTAATCCGGAAGGGAACTTGAACGACAGATCGATGGCTTCAATACGATTACCTTCAAGCCTTAACTCTCGTACACTCTCGGGAATACAAAGAATTTCGGGTTTTAATTGCTTGAACAAGTTCCCTGAAAGTCCTAAATATCGCAAGTTTTCAGCACAAATCTTGACCCTAGTTAATTTGTTATCAACCATTTCAAGTTCCAATAAACTATTTGGTAGATCAAACTCAGCGGCTATGTCTGTTACGACGCGAATTGAAAGACGCGTAAGTTTGTTCAAGGATTTTAACTCACTGTAGTCGATTCCTGTAGTATTCTTGATGTTCAACCAGTGTAGTGACTTCGGTAATGGTCCAATTTCTTTGATATTAGTTATACCATTCAATTCCAAATATGCCAAATGATTTAAAGCTGTTTCTGGTAAATTTGAGAATAACTGAAACAGTAGTCCAGTACTAAAATTTTGCTCCACTGATCGATCTATGACTAGCTTTTTCAAATTTGTAGGAAATTTAACAACGTTAATGGTTTTGTCTACTTTTTGCATCTTATTTGAGAGTACATCAGTGGAAACGAAACTTTCTGATGGGTCAGATGCGATTTTCTTCCATTCTAGCGAGGATATTTTACAAATCAGCTCTGGAAGTGAAAAATCTTTGCAATATAACTTCTTTAACGATGGAAACATGGTAGACATATAGACTGTATTGATAGGCTGAACGGTATCTATAATTTTTATTGCACTTGGAAGATTAAAATTTTTAATAGAGTCACACGAAATTTCTTCTAATTTCTCTAAGTGTGATATGTCAGCAACAAACAAAGATGGTGGTCCTCTCAATAACCGTAATTCAATCTTCAAAGACACCAAATTTTTGGGAAAGTCAAACTTAACAGGCAGTATTTCTTCCTTATGAGTTACTCTGCAGTCCAAGTGTTGAAGCGTATCTGGAAGGTATTCTAATTCATTACTGTCAAGAGCCGACTCTATTTTAAGGCTAGTCAAGTTTTCAAGTATCTTCAACTTCTGTAAAATCTCAGCGCCGCTTGCTGGTAGAATGACAATTTCAAAAGATGTATCAGTAAATATCAAGGAATGACAAAAGGACTTAAAGCATACATCACCACATGGAATTTTTGCCAATTTGTCAAGAAAATCCAAAAGTTCATTTCCTCTGAAACAACGTTGATAGTCTGAAAACAATATTGTAATGTTTACATTTCTCAAGATATCTGGCTTTGCTGTAAATACTGTCAACAATATCAGGGGGTCTTCAAAAATGATGTTACGAATACATGCTAGACGCTCGGGTTTTAAATCTATTAAATCATCACAAGGTATCCTTTTTCTTGGTTTTTCATCTTCATACCCGATTCCAAATCGAAACCTTGTGTCGATGACCAGTGTACCTAGCCATTCGTCGTCATCACAAATTGAAACGGTTTCATATATTGTTTTTGTAACAAAGGGAAGAAATGCAGGGATTTTTTCCAATTCGTTTAATGTACGAAGTGGAAGGTAGCTAAAAATATTCGTTATCACTTCATCAGGTAGACTAAGTAAAGAGGGTTGTGACATGTGTATTATCTCTTTGTCATTTGAATAATGTGTTGATTGCCCTTTTTTTCGTTTTTGTCTTCTTTTTATGAGTTTCTGGATAATACGCGCTTATCAAACTGTATTGGAGATCCCATGCTAAGACCAAAATACGTTTTTCTCGATGATTAGTTTAAAGACAGAGTTTAACAGTATTTGAGCCTGCAGATAATCTTGAATACCGTGCCACTGATAAAATCAATGAACCAATTGCTTGACAAAATTGAACAGTATTTTGTACAATTTTGTTTGTTAAACTTATTTTGCATCAAATTTACTAGACTTATCAAAAAAAAGTCGTGCAAATTTTCAATTTCCCACAACTCTAACAAGAGTTTGCCATTTTTTTCTTATTGCTTTAAGCAATTCTCATTCCCCGTACTAAAATATCCTACTTCCAGTATTGACCATTACTTCGATCACACATACACAATGTCACAAAGATTTGCTGATCTCATATCCAAGATTGCATTACCAGCTGGTTTGACCATTGCCTTGGCACAAGCATCCATGTATGATGTTCCAGGTGGTAAAAGAGCTGTGATCTTTGATCGTTTAAAGGGGGTTGAACAAAAAGTCATTGGTGAAGGTACCCATTTCTTGATTCCCTGGTTACAAAAAGCAGTTATCTTTGATGTCAGAGTAGAGCCTAGAGTTATTACCACCACCACTGGGTCTAAGGATTTACAAAATGTCTCATTAACATTAAGAGTTTTAAGCAGACCAGAAGTGAGAAAATTGCCATTTATTTATCAAAACTTGGGTTTGGATTACGCGGAAAGAGTGTTGCCTGCCATTGGTAATGAAATCTTGAAGTCCATTGTTGCCCAATTTGATGCAGCAGAATTGATTACCCAAAGAGAAGTCGTTTCCGCCAGAATAAGACAAGAATTATCAAGAAGAGCCGATGAGTTCAACATTGAATTGGAAGATGTTTCCATCACCCACATGACATTTGGTAAAGAATTCACGAAGGCTGTTGAGCAGAAACAAATTGCCCAACAAGATGCAGAGAGATCCAAGTATCTTGTTGAAAAGGCTGAACAAGAAAAGAAGGCAGCTATTATCAGAGCAGAAGGTGAAGCTGAAGCAGCTGATCTTGTGTCGAAAGCATTGGCCAAAGCTGGTGATGGGTTATTGATGATTAGAAGATTAGAAGCCTCTAAGGATATTGCCACAACATTAGCCAATTCTCCAAATATTACATATTTGCCAAATGGTGACAGTGGTAAAGGTGGAGACGGATCAAATAACTCATTGTTGTTGAACATCGGTCGTTAAAAGATGAATAGCGCATATGTATTTTTTTTTTATTATTTGTAGATAGTAATATATTCAAGGATTTGTATTAACTAGATGTTTGGAGGACAACGGTTGACTTCCGCTATATTTTATCTCTATCTTTTTTTTTTTTTTTTTGCAAAAAATTAGTTAGATTTTTATTGCAAACTCTTGGATATTCTGTATTATTAACCGGTTACATTGTTGATAACAAAGTTGTTTTGTGTTGAGTTAGTGTTAGTTTCAGAGAAAGGTAAACACATAATGTTTCATGGAGCTATGTAACATGTTGCTATGAGGGATGTATTTTACGATACAAATGGGTCCATGATTAAGATTTTCTAGACAAAGCTAACGGTAATCATGGCTGAAGATGTACAAACAGAGGGACCAATGCTTTAACTGTTAGACAATTGATGTGAATGAAACGATTTGGGTGTGGCCATGCATTAACTTAACCAGTCGTCAAAAAAAAAACAATAATAAAGAACAGGCAGATAATATTCCTGAGAGAAAGCAATAATGATAAATGAATTTTGAGATGAAATTCCTACTTTCTGAGCCAATGAAATGCTGTCATTAGTAGAGGTTGGTGGCGATGGTGAACAGGTTTCGTCTAATAATACCCGCAATATTCTGTTGCAAAATAAATAAAACGAGAACGAACAATCAAATAAGGCGGTGTTTGGATAATGTGAGGCAGATCGAACTCATAATGAGATCAGTCCTCTGAAGAAAAACAAAAATTGTAACGAATGAATGTGAGGCAAAACAATACCATAAATATTAGAAAAGACAAAGAATTGCCATATACAACACTTCAATTAACTAGACACTAAAAAGAGTATCGTCAACCATGAGTAATCCAATGGTGATGTTATCAATTAGTAAATGTAATTCAGAAATATGACTTGTGATGTTTTAATTGTTTTAGTAATTTACTGCCTGAAACAGCAGCATACACAAATACAAAGGAAGAAAAAAAAAATCAGTGGAACAGCCAACATTAATTAACTAAGCAAAGAAAAAAAAAAAAGAAATAGTCAGTGATATTTTTTTTGTTTAGTTCATTATTGTAAAATTTAATTACAAGAGTGAGAGGTAAAAAAAAAAAAAAGATCAACTAACATACAAAAAAAAAACTTTGTTTTCCCTTGTTTCCATTCCTTCTGTTCTTTTTTTCTTTTTTTTTTTTTTTCAACAAAAGATTCTTTTATTTTTTTTTTATTTGATTCATCATAACATATTCATCTTCTTCTTTTCTACTACTATATCATTTTGATTTGTTGAAGATATAACCTATCCCCCCCTTAGATCTAACCCATTTCATCAAAAAGATTATTTCCTTGTTTTTTCTTTCCTTCACAACCGCTTAAAGAAAAATCAGCAAGAAGCAAAAAAAAAAAAAAAGAAAAAGAGAAAAACCAGAGAGTAGGAAAAAAAAAAAGCGAAGAAAAAAATCGAATCAACACGACACTTTTTTCGTCCATACTTTCACTACATTATTATTCTACCATCTGTTCCCTTCAATAGAGTTAAGTGGTGATAAACAAAGATTGAAATATATTTGGGGAAGTCTTTGAAACGATTTGAATAGAGAGGATTTCTAATTTTGTTTATTCATATCCACCCAGTTTATTTTTGCATATACGAGTATTGAATTTTTTATTCTATTTGTTTATTCTTTTTCTTTGATCAGAATTTATCAATCCATTGATTCTACAATCTTTCTGGATTCAATTTACTGACAAGAAATCAAAAGACAAAGAAGCAATTCAATACTTATAATTGTATTAACTTTTGTTACTTTCCTTATTTTCTTTGCATGTCCAATCGTCAACAACTGGCAACAAATCCAGCCGCCTTAGCAGCAGCTCAAGCATCACATAGTAATCCAATAAACAACAACAATATAACACCAAAACAAATGAGTCACCATCACTCCTCACCAGCTAATGGTGGTAATGCATTATCAAATTCAAATTCCTCAAGCAACAACTCCTCAGTGGTTGGTTTACACTATAAAATAGGTAAAAAAATCGGTGAAGGTTCCTTTGGGGTTATTTTTGAAGGTACAAACATAATAAATGGAGTCCCTGTGGCTATAAAATTCGAACCTAGAAAGACTGAAGCGCCTCAATTACGAGACGAGTATAGAACCTATAAACATTTACAAGGATGTGAAGGTATTCCAAACGCATACTATTTTGGTCAAGAAGGATTACACAATATATTAGTTATCGATTTGTTGGGTCCTTCATTAGAAGATTTGTTTGATTGGTGTGGAAGAAGATTCAGTGTCAAGACAGTCGTTCAAGTTGCAATTCAAATGTTGAGTTTAGTTGAAGAAGTCCATCGTCATGATTTAATCTACAGAGATATCAAACCAGATAATTTCTTGATTGGTCGTCAAGGAATGCCAGATGAAAATAACGTTCATTTAATTGATTTTGGTATGGCCAAACAGTACCGTGACCCTAGAACAAAACAACATATTCCTTACCGAGAAAAGAAATCTTTGAGTGGTACTGCTCGTTATATGTCAATCAACACCCATTTAGGTAGAGAACAATCCAGAAGAGACGATTTGGAAGCATTGGGTCATGTGTTTTTCTATTTCCTTAGAGGTCAATTGCCATGGCAAGGATTGAAGGCACCAACCAATAAGCAAAAGTATGAAAAGATTGGTGATAAAAAGAGAACCACTCCAGCTGTTACTTTGTGTGACGGTTTACCACTGCAATTTGCAGAATATTTAGATTCAGTAAGATCTTTACCATTTGATGCTGAACCACCTTATGAAGAATACAGAATGTTATTTATGTCTGTTTTGGACGACTTGGGTCAACATGCTGATGGGGATTATGATTGGATGCACCTTAATGGTGGTAGAGGTTGGGATGCAGCCATCAATAAAAAACCTAACTTACATGGATACGGTCATCCAAACCCACCAAACGAACGTGAAAGAAGACACCGTGATCAAAGAAGAAGCAGACAACATCAACAGCTGCAACAGCAACAACAACCTTCACAACAACAACAACTGCAACTGCAATTACAACAACAACAATTACAACAGCAACAACCATTATCAGCAGCTCAATTACACCAACAAAAATTACAGCATTTGGTTAACAGACCATTACCTCCAATTAAACAAGAATCACAATCTGCCATGCCAACCACTAGTGGTCAAAACGATCTCATGCATAACGACGGAGTTGATCAATCTGGAGCTAAATATGAAGGCTACAACAATAGACAAGAGCAATATCAACAACAACAAATGGTTAATGATAACGAAGAACACAAAGGATTCTGGTCAAAATTATGCTGCCATTAAAATTTTTTTTTTTTTGAAAATTTTATTAACATCATTTGAAAGAATTCTCGTTCTTGATTACATTGGAATTTGTTCTTTAATAACTACTTTATTTTAGTTGTTATTATTTGTTATTTTTAGTTTTGACATCTACACATGATTGCAATTGATAAGTTATTATTTTTTTTTTTGTTCCACCCTCCCCTCCATTTTTTTTATAGTTCTTCAAATTTATTTCGATACATATAATTATAGTTATAATTTAAACATATATTATTATTATTAGTACACATTAAACCAACAGGGCGATAAACCAAACTTTAGTAGCAATACTCTTCTACATATCAGCGTATGTTTGACGTAAATAGTCTTCAACTTCCTTTAATGCTTCACTTGTTTTAGTTTTATCGAATTTACCAGAATCCGAAAGTTTTTCAGCATTAATTAAATCCAACTTTTCCTTCATCAACTTAATTCTATAATCAATCCAGTCACTATAGAATTCAGTATAACGAGATCCCCAATTAACTTCGGGTTTAACTGTAGACAAAACGCTACCATCATTAATTTTAGGATTCTTTGCACGATAAGAAGTAACCATTGTAATTCTTTCACTCATACCTAAAGGTAAAGGAGCAATATGTTCAATTAACCTACCTTGTAAGACATTAGCAGAACCTTTAATTGGACTAGGAACAATGGCAACATTACCATTACCCATTCTTAAAGAAGTTTCACCACCAATCATATTAGAAGTATCACTAAGCATCAATACACAAACAAATGGATAACTATCATAATGCCATCCAACAACAGCAGGAATATCATCACCTGTTGAACCACGACGAACTAATTCTTGTTGATGTTTAATACGTTCTTCTTCTGCTTCATTTGAAGATTTCATTGATATATTGGTATGAGCAATTTCATAATCCATAATTATTTCTAATTCAACACCAGCCATTCTTGAAATCAACTCCATAGTTTTAGGATGAGTCCAAGCTGAATAAATAAAAGGACAAATAATTTCTTCTTTATCTTTAACAAATCCTCTAATAACACAATCCATTCCTGATGTTGAATTATATGAATATCTTGCATACTTCATAAATGTTTCTTTATGTAAAACTTCTTTTCTCATAATAGTAATAGCTTCATCTGTAAATAATTGAAACGGATCACTAACTCCAATATCACTAATTTGTTTAGGATTAGTTAATCCAAGTTCCTCCATTGTTAATCTTCTAGTTGATTCATAAAATGCTTTTGCATTATCACCATTAGCATAATAAGTTAAATGAATCATAGGATCAAATTCAGGAGTTGGAATTGTTGGAGGAATTAATTTCAATGAATCATAAGCTTCAACTGGGATGGTTTTATGAGTATTACCATCTAAGATAGCTTGAATATCAGGAGTAGCCATGTTTTATTTGCTGTGTTTAATGTTGAATGAAATGAACTTAAAAGAACATGAATCAATTCATCTGGGTGGGTTTATATAGACAAGGTATTGATTCTAGATTTGATAGATAAGCAAGTATTATGACTGCAAACCAATGTACGTAAAAATAACCATTTTTAGTATCCTGATCCATAGAAAACCAAGAGCAACTGCAAAAAAACAAAAGATAGTTAGACAACTGTGACAACAAAAGATGCTTTTTTGCGTTTCTTATCTATAAAACTGAATAATTGCGAAATTATGCAACTAAAATGCTTTTCTTTTTTGTCACAATGTAAGGGTGAGACAATTGATGGGTTGCTTATCTTTTTATCTTCATTTTTATAACTAAAATACATTCAAAGTAATGGATCAGATTTCTGTAATTGGGTATCCATAAAACAATGCAAGTTGCCTCATTAGTTTATGCAATTTGATTCCAAATTTGGCAGTTATTTTTCGATATGTAATTATAGCATCTATGCATGCAATGTGGTCTACGGATGTGTATATATATATATATATACGTTCCTGAAGGTTGTAATTACGGGAATAACAAAAAATAAAAAACAATCTAATGACTAACCCGTTGTTCATCATGAACGGAATCATCAACTTTAAACAATTGATACTATTTATTGTAATTTAAACGGGGTTTGATTTACTCTTTTCTGCTTCATCCGTCTTGCCAACCCTTTTCTTCGGAAATACGTCTTACAACCGGAGAAAACAGAACGAAAAAAAAAATACGATGTACAAGTACCCGAATATAAATATTCTTTTATTTCTCTTTTGTATCTCCACCCCAACAAGTGCTCTTTCATCATTATTTTCAAACACGTCATCCACAATGTCAAACCATAAAGAAACCGTTGATGCCAACTTGGCTATTTTCAATTCTGAATTTGCTATTAAATATGATAACAAAGAATCCCAACAAACATTAGCACTTTTATTTGCAAAATTTTTATTAGAATATGATTTCAAAAATCCAACTACAAGAAAAACCCTTGAAGAAACTGAAAAACCACTTGGTGATCCTACTAAACCATTAAATGGATTTACTAGAGAAAATATTTTACCTGATCCAGAAACATATTTACAAAAATATCCAGATACAATTTTTAAACCAGGAATGAAATTATTAGATTTTGCATGTGGTACTGGTATGGTTACTGAATTATTTGCACCTTATGTTAAAGGAGGTGAATTAATTGGTATGGATATTAGTAGTGTTTGGTTAGAAAGATTTAATGAAAGATCTAAACAATTTAGTGATCCAATTATGAAAAGTTTTGTTTATGATGTATTGGATGAATCAAAACAAGAAGAATTGAAACAATTTGAAGGTGAATTTGATGGTATTATATGTACTATTGCATATCATCATATTTTTAATTATGAACAAGTTACTAAAAAATTGGCAACTTTTTTAAAACCTAAAGGTTGGTTATTTATCGTTGATTTTTATAATGAAGATGTTGAAAAACCAGGTGTAAATGTTTCAAAAGCAGTTCAACATATGGGTGGATTAAAAGTTGATAAATTGAATCATACTTTGAGTGATATTGCTGGATTGAGTAATGTAAGTAGTGCAAGAGAATTCAAAACTTGGATTTGGCAACCAGAACTGTTTATCAGTACACATTTAAATCAAGCAACTATAGATAAATTAAATAACGGTGAGTTGCAAAAGAGAACAGTTGCTGATGGCGATGTTGAATATTTAGTTGAATCAAGTTTGATCTATGCCGTTGGTCAAAGGGTATAATAAAATAGAAAAGTATTAGATTTATTATAATATATATAAATGTATAAATGTACAATTCTACATAATAATGCACAGTCTTTCTGTATTACTAGCAGCATTAGCTAGTCTTGCTCTTTCTTCAGGATCTAATTTGGAAAGATCTATTTCAACATTTGTTCCATCATTTTTCTTTCTTTCGTTTTGTTCATTTAATAATTTCAATTTTTCTTCTTCAGCTTTAGCAATGTCAGTACGATTTTGCGCCACTAAATCAGAAAATAACCTAGTAAACCTTGGATTTTCTTGATTATTCCAACGCTTACTATCTGCAGCTAGTTTCTTTTTAACTGCATCTGTAGTTTGAATCGATCCTGTTGTACTTTCATCTCCAGTCATAAATGATAATAATCCAGTTAATATAGTTGCAACACTCCAAGCAGGATTCCATGTATCTGGATGGTAATCACTCATACTCAAACATAATCTAGTATTTGTAGAAAATCGTCCATTTGGAGTGATTATAGAAATTGCAGGTGGTTTAAATGGATAATCAGTAGGAAATCTAAGAATACCATGATATTGTCCACCTTCATATGGGGTACCTTCAGGTCCAGTGATAACATAATGCCATTCCAAAATATTTTCATCATTAGGCTTAGCAATAATATATGGTGGAGGACTATTTTGTATTGATTTGAATTCTTTTTGAAGACGTTTAGTTGCTTGTCTACTAGCCATGACTAATCCTAACTGTTATCTATGATGATTCAAAAAAAAATGGGAGATATGGATAAATGATATTGCGATCAGGAGGGGTAGGAAAATGATTATTCTAAAACCTATTAAACTTAAGAAATACAATAAAACAAACTGAAGAGGTTTATTATTTTCCCTTGATCTGTTGATGTGTAACTGATAAGATTTCTTGTTATCAAACGAAAAGTATCAAGTGTTATACAGGTTTTGGTTATTTTTTTTTCTCTCTCTGTCTCTGTTTTTTTTTTTCCTTCAGCATTTTTTTCTTCTCTCGTTTTCCTACCATGGATTTTCCTGTATTTCCAAACTGATTGTGTGTCTATGTGTACATAGTGCGTGCATACACCAAAATCAGATATCTGCAAGATCACACGACTAAGAAAAACGTCTCGCTATCAATCTCATCAAGCAGGTACTATGAACACGGAAATATGACCACAAATAATAATAAAAAAGATTGCAACTACAGACAAGACATCAATTGTGGTATCCTACATTTATCTCTCTTCCATGAAGGAATAATTCTATACATATCTTTTTGGCGAGTTTTCTTATCATCAGTTCTTTTTCGTTTCTTTCCATGATGGCTCGGCTTAAACCTACGTCTTAACTAAAAGAGTGGCGGGTGTCATTGTTGTAAAACGTTTCTTTAGGGATGAATTAATCTAGAATACAGTGCATCCGCATAATCTAACCCCATCGAAGAATGAAATTATCGATTGCTTAAAATTTATTCGAAATCGAAAATAGAATATAATATAAAACTTGAGTTGAACAAATATTAGCCAGAAGAATTCTTATATGAAACAATTAGTTTGCAACTTCAGCATTTATATTCCCGTGATTCCCATATAGTATTAAATATTACATAGGATATCTCAGCAATAACACAATACAAGTGATATTTGCAATCAAAAAAAAAAAAAAAAAAATTCAGGGGGTTGGGGAGGTTAGAGAGAGGGGCACTAGGGAAATTTTACGACCTTATGTAATCGGCAGTTTATACTAAAATCTAATGAAAGCAAATCATAAACTGATTACTTGCTGGTTGTGCAATTACTAATTCTGAATTAAAGCAATAACGAAACAAATGTTGCTTATCTGATCAATAATGTCGTAAAGTACGAAAGGTATAACGGTGTTTGTACATTCTATTGAAAAAGAAAATGATCATTCAATGTATTGTTACATAGTATTGGCAATTCATAAACATTCTTCAATCAACCAGGTTAGAGAATGTTGAAAATTATTTTGTTCAAATAAAAGTACGAAAAATTGACGAAAAAAATAAAAAGTCAAACTTGAAAGAAAATTTCACTTTGATTAACTTTATTGCGATTTTATACTTTAGGCAAATGAAAGAGAGTCTTATACCACCTCGTGGTATACCAATCTCTCGACGCGTTTATTCACAGTAATGTATAATTCAGTAGGATTTTCATGTCTTATTTTTGTTGTGTTGGTGAAAGTGAAATTGACAGTGAGAGTAAATTACGTGTAACTGCATCGTCAAGTACTGTAGATTAAGAATATAATATTTGCATGTATCTGATGCCACGACATTTTTTTTGGCGGGATTGCTTTGGATTTTTATTATACACCCAGGGCAATACAGATTTAAAACACTCACAGTTGATAACCTGGTCTATAATAAACAGTATTGATGTAACGGTTAGAGTTTTGGGAACAAACCAGTAAGACGTAATGGTACCTGAAAGGATTGTAACCGAACTAAGAGAAAGATGGTGAACGTGTGAGAGGGTGTGTGTAAGTGTCGAGAAAAGATATTAGTAAGATTGCTAAAAATAGACTAAATAAAAATAACGACTGCGGTGTGTGTGTGTGCGAGTGAGTTAATTGTTCTTTTTTACACGAAAGATCTAAGTTTGTACATCATTACACAAAACTACCATTGTTTATGTTTATTGAAAATTTTCGCATTATAAAAAAAAAAAATTGGTGGTTAAATTTCAAAGGGTTACGGTTTTGATTGGAAAGGGGGAAGGGACAGACCTTAGTTACGTAATCCCTGATTGATGATGATGAAGGTGATGTACCTTGAAGGATAGGTCGCTTTTTGTTCATCTCTTTGTTGATTTGTAACCAGTAGTGACAGAAGAATAACAAAGTAAAAGTAAAAAAAAAAAAAACTTACCAAGGGTAGGAGATGTTAAACGTACTAAATGATAAATTTAAAGAGGGTGTTGATGTACAGAAAACACCACAAAGTTAATACAAATGTATACTATGTTTGAATTGGGAAATTTAATGAATGAATTCATCATACAAGAAACGAAATACCAAGGTGTATTTTGGCTTGAAAGTAGTAGGTACAGCACTACTTGACATGAATTAGTAAATTCAATATTGAAACCAGGAAGAACAAACAAAAAATAATGGTAAACAATAATCAATAAACGATCTAAAAAAAACATCCACAGCCAAAAAAAAACTACCCTCCTTTACTGGTAAATTTACCGCCCCATCGATAAACTCTCATCTCAACACGTTTCACAATTGTAGAATGAATTTCAGGAACATTTAATAACTCACATTTCTCTCATTATTTCCATTTGAACTTTTTTCTGTTCTCTTTTGTTTCGATAATCACTGTTTACTTCTTAAATCAATTCTAGATTCAGTTACAGATTAGACAAGAAACTGAAAGTCTACATTTATACAACCAGCATTTTTTAATTCATCGGTTCATCTGGCTTCTTTATCCTCCCCCTCAAACTCCACCTCACATAGCAAAATAAGTACTTTTCTTTTCTTTTTTGTTCTTATTGAATTGTTATTGTTTTTTACGAGTTTAACTCACCATACATTATAGATTTCTTAAAAAATTTGTTACTTCCCAAATTAGGCGGATAATTCCACATTGTTTTGTTTTAATTATTACCATACTTCCCCCATCTTACACGCATTAACTCAACCACAACCACCACAATTGGATTATTCATCGCCGATTTCAAGCATTCATTTATATAAAATATCAATTTCCACCTGATTTTTTCTTTTACTTTTTCTTAGTGTTGTTTTCTTTTCCTTCAACTTATCAACAACAAGATTATACTCATTCTTCAGTTTGATTATAATTGTGCCATTATTTTGTTTTAAATTTCAACCGATCTTACCCGTACATTTTTCTAACTTATCGAGTGTTGATATTATTAGAATTGACAAAAAAAGTCGAGCCTGTTATACTTTTGTGGATCACGACATTAGGACATAACAAACTAAAAAGAAATTAATAAAAGAGACATCGACCGACATTCAACAAACAGTACGACATTCAAGGTTACAAACTAGCACGACTTTATCCATCCACATTAAAATAAAAATAAAAAGAAGAAGAAGAAGACGAAGAACAAAGAAAAAAAAAAAAAAGCTGTACTGTATAATTTTGTGTGAAGTAAGAAAATAGAGCAGTTGTCTATTGAAAGAGAAAGAGAGAAAAGAAAGGAAGAAAATTTTTTTTTTTTTTGTTAATACTTCCCCTTTGTACGTTAATACGAAAAAGGTAATTATTCCCATTCAACAAAGTTCCCAAGTTGACCACTGTTACAACTACGACCAGTACTGCTACTGCTATCACTACTGTCACAGCTGATACTGCCATCCCACCTGCTACTTCCACAAATTCCGCTGGAATCACAACTAGATCTGCACCTCCAACAACAACAACAACACTGTCCAAAATGAGCAGCCATCCATACCGTCAAGTTTCAAATGCTCCCTATCCAATTCTGGATAACTATACCCAAAGTGATCCTTCCTCATCAAGTTCTCCAAGCATGACTGAAGTCACTTCTGGTTTGGAAGATTTGCATTTACCTCCGAACAAATCATACCCTTCCGATCAAAATGGCGTTCACGTTAACAACAATAACAACAACAACATCATCACCAATCACCACAACAACAACAATACTAGTCAAGAAAATATTGTCACACAAACCGTTAATGTTCCACGACAATTGATTCCTAACTTACCTCAAGAAGGTTCTCCAAAGGATTATAAACAACATCATGCAGTTGGATCAACATCAAGAAAAACACTGCCTCATAGTCAACAACATTTTTCTCCAACTATCAGAAGTTATGATGCACCATACTCCCCGTTGGTGAATGAACAAGTACAACCACAACTTATCAAGCAATCTCCAACTTTAAATGCAACACCAATAAAGTCACCACCACAGATGAATGCTCCATATCCAGTCTATCAATCACTGACTCCACCACCAGTTTTTGCATCAAAGGATAGCGTGGTAATTTCGCCACCTTCAGTTCCTTTATCTGCTACTTCATCAGTCACCAACTTGAACTTGAATCAAGCAGATATTTACCAATCTAAATCGGAAAATAACTTGTCCGTGACCAACAACAAGTTTGGCCATAATAGATCGGTTTCTTCAACTTCATCATTTTTTTATGATCGTAATGATAATAGTTCCATGATTGATTTCAATCAAAATGTCATTCAACTGTATTTAGGCCAAAACTCAAGTCATTTAATGCCAAGAATCAAGACTTTGGAATTGTATCGTAAGAATGCTAAGAAATCCACTGATCCTAATGTCTTGTTCCAATATGCCCAATACATGTTACAAACTGCATTATTATTGGAGACTGAATTGCAAAACATGGTTGCCAGTAATGCCAATGTTGGTGGCACTACGTCTTCACAATCCTCAGGTTCACAAAATGGTACCAATTCTCCATTTACCAACAGATCAATTGAAAATTCGCCTAGAAAGGGCCCCTTGGATATTAAGAATGGTGGAGGCCATAAAAAATCTAAATCGATTGATTTTGCAAATATAGAATTAGAAGGTAACGAAAAGAAATTAAAGAAGGCTTTGTTGAAGGAAGCTATCAAGTATCTTAAGAGACTTTCTGACAAAGGTTACGTTGAAGCACAATATTTGTTGGCTGATGCTTATAGTTCCGGGGCTTTAGATAAGATTGACAATAAAGAAGCATTTATTTTATTTCAAAGTGCTGCCAAACATGGACACGTTGAAAGTGCTTATAGAACATCATATTGCTACGAAGAAGGTTTAGGTACCGGTAGAGACGCTAGAAAAGCAGTTGAATTTTTGAAAATCGCTGCTTCTAAAAATCACCCTTCTGCGATGTACAAATTGGGTGTTTATTCGTTTTATGGAAGAATGGGTTTACCATCTGATATGAATACCAAGAAAATGGGTATTAAATGGTTAGGAAGAGCTTCTAATGTTGCTACTGAATTAACTGCTGCTGCTCCATATGAATTGGGTAAATTGTACTATCATGGGTTTGAAGATATTGTACTTCAAGATAAAAAATATGCATTAGAATTGTATGCACAAGCTGCTGCTTTGGGTCATTTAGAATCAGCTGCTATTTTAGGTCATCATTATGAAATTGGGGAAGTTGTACCTCAAGATTCAAACTTGTCTATTCATTACTATACACAAGCTGCATTAGGAGGTGATCCAAACTCCATGTTGTCTATGTGTGCCTGGTATTTAGTTGGGAGTGAACCATACTTGCCAAAGGATGAAAATGAAGCATTTGAATGGGCCAAGAGAGCTGCTGTTTGCAACTTACCAAAGGCACAATTTGCATTAGCCAATTTCTACGAAAAGGGTATTGGATGTATAAAGAACAATAACGAAGCACAAGTTTGGTATAAGAAAGCAGCTGAAAATGGAGATGAAAAATCATTACAAAGAATCAGTGATAAAGAAATGGTTAGAAAAATTCAAAAGAATTTAAAGAAAAACCCACCAAACACCAATTCTATTAATGGAGGAGGTTCAAGTGCTCAAGATAAAGATTGTGTTATCATGTAAACGAAAAGAAAAAGACAAACATAACAAAACAAAAAAAACTAATGAAATCAACGATTTATAAATAAATCCATGGGTAATAAATAAAAGAAAACAACAAAAGGGACAATTTTTTAGGGTAGAATCTTTTTCTTTTTAATCAAGAAGGGCAATATCAAAAACTAAAAAGAAGGAATTCATATAAACATTTATTATTTTATTATTATTATTATTATTATTATTATTATTTAATCAGTATGTATATACAACTTTTAATATTTCAAGTATATATACGCAAAACACTATCTTATTATAAACCTTATAAACTCTGTTATATTTAGAAGTAATAGTGGCGGTGACCTTTCACACGTGACCCGATCAAATCAAGTTCACGCGTTTCATTTTAAAGTGTCTCAAAAGATTTAATGATTTTAGAATTTCTTTTTTTTTTTTATTTTCATTTTCTTCTTCGATTCGTTTCAGGTGCGATTTTGTGGATACAGAAAAAAAAAAAAGAAAATCACATTACACGTGACATCATAAAATGATACATTTAGCCGAATATGAATGTAACCAACAACAGCATCACCACAACAACGAAAACAATAAGAAAGTCAAACTCTAAATTCACAAGACGAGTTGGTAATGGTAGGCTAAGTAACGTCATACCTTTATTTTGTAGACAAGCAAACTATAAAGTATGAAAATGGTTACACAATTTGTTCATTGTTGTTTCTAGAATATATGTGGATATGGACGTGTGGAACTCAATTTTTTTTAGAGAAAAAGAAGAAGAAGAAGAAGAAGAAAAAAAGAAAACTATTGTAATTGCGTATCCCCTGAATTTGATTTCATAAGGGAGTTCACAAAAATAATATTTGCAACTGGTTCAAACAATCTTGAATTGTGTGGATGTGTGAATATATTAACATGGCTTATGCGATTGATTGATGGCGAGCGTTCAATTCAGTGTGATTCCGGTAGTCGGTGTTTCACGGCATTTGCATGAAAACCAAAAAAAAAAAATAGAATTCATTTTTGAGTTCTCTGATCTCTTCCGTGTAAGCATGAGAATTTAAAATGAGAAACGGGGCTTATAAACTGTGTTGTGTTGAAACGATTATGATTAATGATTTCTTCTTTTTGACTTCTCTGATTTCAAATTAACAATTGAACCGTTGATATTTAATATCGGATCGATGATATCGTGTAAAATTGGGGGGAGTTTCAGGTGTAAGAGAGTAAAAACGTGGAATGTAAACGTGCATTGTCTTATTAGTTAGAGGGGATAGAGGGAGAACAGAAAAGAATATTAAAAAAGAAACTTTTGATTATACAATTTTGTCCCTCATTTTATATTTTCAATTTTTGTGGTTAGATATTTCACAATTGGTTGATTGATTGATTGTCTGTTTGTTGAATTTGAATGTGGGCTCCGCTTTTGGAGCAGAAAAAATTCATTTGCATTCATCATCATTCATTTTACTCTTTGCTGCTCCTACTCGTACTGATTTTGCTGTGGTTGCTGTTGTTCAATTTTAGTTCTCCTAATAAATTTTTCATCACTGCACAATAACAATTCATCCCACATATTCATTTTTCTTTAAAACGTCCATTCATATAAATACTCCTTTGATTTCCCTCAATTGATTTTTTATTACATCTTTCTTCTTCTTTTTCTTCTTTTTTTGATTATTACAATTTTCAATTACAAACTATAACTACAATTAAACATGTCTGCTAACGATTTCTATTCTTCCGGTGATCAATCCGAATACAAACCACAACAATCTTCTGGTAACAACAATGACGGTCAACAAGATAGAGGTTTCCTTTCTACTGTTGCCGGTGGTCTTGCTGGTGGTTACGGTGGTCACGAATTAGGTGAAAAAGCTAACCACAGTACCTTAGGTACCGTGATTGGTGCAATTGGTGGTGCTGTTGGTGCTAACAAATTGGAAGATGCTTACGAAGACAGAAAAGACCACAAAAAACAAGAACAACAATACGGTGGCAGAAACGACAACCAAGGTGGCAGAAACGACAACTACGGTGGTAGAAACGATAACCACGGCGGTAGACGTGACGATTTCGGTGGTAGACCAAACGACAACTTTGGCGGTAGACCAAATGATAACTTTGGTGGTAGACGTGACGATTTCGGCGGTAGACCAAACGACAACTTCGGTGGTAGACCAAATGACAACTTCGGTGGTAGACGTGATGACTTTGGTGGTAGACGTGATGACTTTGGCGGCAGAGATGACCGTAGAGATGACCGTAGACAAGGTGGATGGTAAGCTTACGATATTTGATTTCATGAACCAACAAAAAAATAAAAACAACAATCTTTATGTCTTAGTTTAAATTTCGTTATAGTTTTTTATTTCTTTCAGCAATAATATAATTACAAAAAGAACAGAAATTATTATCCCGCATGTTCATGTATTTACTTCTCTATGTCTCCTATAAATCATTAGACACTTTTGATGCTGCTTGTTTATTTAGCAATGGCAATTTCGACTCGGATAATGTTAATGAAAGTCTTCGATTTGAACTACTCAATGGTGGAGATCTACCTCTTTTCAAATCCGTTGATAATCTTTTATTTGTAATTCTGCTACCATTGATATTTAATGCTTGTGGTGGGGAATCTAATTGAGGATCAAATGGTAAATCCAAATCCAAATCAATATCTTTGAGTATGTTGTTCATTTTAGGTGGACTATTTTGTGTATCATCGAGATCAAATCTTATATCAGAATGAATGATTGAATTGTTTTCCTCCATACTTGTATCGTATAATAAATCACTGGTACTCTGTTTCTTGAGTTTACCATTACTAGTCACTTGCTTGACACTCTTGGGTTTCTTCAACACTCTTGGTGGTGATATATCTGTTTTCTGTTTCTTGGTAGGCATTCCATATTCGTCATGATCATCATCAATTTGCATCATACTCATATCATCAGGAGTTTGTGATTCTTGTGATAACTTTGTTTTTATATACTCCATAGCAAATTGTTCCATTGCGGCATCAAATTCTCCATTAAGTAAATTCTCCAATCCTTGTTGAATATCAAGAAGCAATTGTTCATTAGGATGACCATTTAATAATCTACCAATTGTATTTGGTACATAGAAAAATTCAGTCAAGTTATGAATCAAATTATCATAAAGTATACTTGAATACAACAAAAGATCCGTATGTACTTCATTCTTCATTGATTCAATCGATGTGAGATAAATCTTGGTGTGGAACTCATTCCATCCATCCTCATTTTGCAACCGTTTCAATGTTTGCGTGGCCGAATCTTCTAAAATGTAATCTAAATCTGTTGGTTGTCTATATTGATGCTCTAGCTGTGGCAATTGATTTGAAACTTTAATTAACAACTGTTCACATAAATCATAAATGCGCAAGATGATATCATTGGAGCACTCATCCTCTGGTCGGTTATCTAGAATCACTTCTGAATCAATCTTTTGAAGTAGTAACAATTTTCTTTTAGCTAATAAGAAATATTTCTTCCATTTTTCTTGACTTTGTTTAGCTAATGATTTTTTAGTCGATTCAAGACTTTCCAATAATGTTTGGAATACTTTTTTTTCTAAATCTTTCCTCTTGCTAATGGCAATATCAACAACTTTAGATTCTCGGGCACGCAATTCTTCAATCTCTTGTTTTTGCTCTGTAATCATCTTCAAATAAGAACCAACATGACGATCCAAATTGTGTTGATTTCTAATCAATTTTGTTTTTATCTCTTTGGCTCTATCTGCATATTTTAAAGTATTTAATGTCTCATCATAATGTTGTGAGCTTGGTGAAACACAAACAATCATAACTGTCTTACAATTCCCACCTAATGAAAATTTTAATAATCTTGTCAATTTCGAATCTCGATATGGGACATGGTTTCTTCTTCTTGGATCACATAATGCATTAATACAATTACCCAATGCTAACAATGATTTGTTTATATTTGCCCCTTCATTCAATCGAGCACCTCGATTTTTTGTAGCTGCTGCACGTTCACTACCAGCTAAATCAATAATTGACAATGTTGCAAATGTATGCTCTTCAGTGATATCTCCAGTTCTTCCCTTTTGTATAACATTAATCTGTAATACTGCATGAGATCTACTTGACGTAGCATTTGCTTCTGTAGGTGAAGATGTTCTATTCTTATTTCCTTGGACAATCAATTCCATAACTTCTTCTACTGAATGAGGTCGATGACTAGATAAATTGGCAACTGATATTTTATTATTTGCATCTTCTCGAATAACCAAATTCTTGCATAATGTTGCAGGGTTTAATAAATCTCGAATAGTTTCATTATAAATCTCAAGATACGATAAACTAACATCAAATATTTTTGTATCACTTAAAGATTCAATTTTTTCATACAATTCCTTCATAGTTAGAAATATAACACCTGGATTTTCAGGTGTTCCAGATATAGTATGAGTTTTACCACATCCAGTAGCACCATATGCAAAAACAGTGGCATTATATCCATCTAATACTGAATCCAATAATGGTCTTGTAGTATTATTATAAACTTGATACTGACTTGAATCTTCATCAAATAATCTATCAAATACAAATCTATGTTCTCTTATCCTTGACCCTTTAAAACTATTAGGAAATGCATTTTTTTGCATCTTGGCTAAAGGATTTGTTTCTGGCGGATCAAAAATCAACATTCGTTCATCAACCACATTTATAATCTTTCGTAACCCCCCAGTATTTATGATTGATCTTTTCATAGGTCTATTAGATGGTGATCCCGTGGATGTGGAATTGGAATTAGAATTGCCCGTTAAACATCCATCACCAAGAAATATATCTTCATTATCTGCTTTAACTAGTTTCTCTGATTCTGCAGCCGTGAAAGGACGTACACGTACTGCTACTGATATTGAAGATTGTTTAGCTTTAGGTACAGATGGTGTACTACTTGACAGTGTTTCTAAACTATTACTACTAGACATAACATAGGATGAGCCGATAATGTCGATGGTTATGGAGTTGGTATTTGTGGTTGATTTCTGTGTTTCATATTAAAAAAAAAAAAATCAGCAGAAAATTTTTTTGTTTACGTTTCTTCCTGATTTCACACACACACACTTTTGTCTGGCTGTTGCTGTTTCCTTAAAACTACGGAGAAATAACACGCGTCAAGTCGTGCTACCAATCGAGAGATGAAAATTAATACAAATTGATCATAAAACACTTCGTAGCATTCCATGACAAGTATATTAACCAAACAACAATGCAGAGCGAAAAGACTTTATCATATATAAACTAATTCATAAGTTATTCTTAAAGAATAGAAAAAAAAAATATAAAACTACTATCATAATATCTAATATACATAATTAATACCTAAAGGGAAAAACAAACAAATAAATCAATTGAAAGTCCGTAACTTTTTAAATTCAGCAAATCAATTGTCTATGATTTTAATGTCTCTCTTTTTTTTTAATTTAATTTAATTATTTATTTATGCTTTTCTCTCTTTCTTTTCATCAAGAGTAGTTTCTGATGAAGAACTGAGAGAATCTCTATCATCGATTATCTTTTCTTCATCAAATAATTCTTCTTCTTCGATTTCATCATCTTCATCATCTTCATCGACAACATTCTTCTGCACTTCTTCCTCATCTTCGCAGTCTGCTTCCTCGGCTTCGTTGACAGATTCAATATCAGTATCGTCTTCATCACTTCTGACATCTTCGGCACCTTTACCAGTGATGACCTTGTAAGCAACTTTAAGAATCAAATACATCCAAATACAGGTGATAATTTGTAAACCACCTAATAAACCCATAAAGTAATCAATAAGAGCAGGGGTCCAACATCTCTTTTGTGTGTAGCCTTCAACACATCTGCCAGAGGCCATCAAAGTAGTAGCATTGTTCCAAGTGTGGACGTAAATATAATTATAAAGACCATGTCTCAAAACAATCCAACTGACCAAGAATACAATAAACATAGCATCACAAGCAGTCGGGAATCCAGCATACTTCAACATCTTAGCGCCACTCAAGGCAATATCAACACTATCCATCAACATCAAAATCAAATGACCAATTCTATAGAAATAATAGTAGTAGGACCCAACCATTAATAAACAAGTGATAATATGGTGACTAAACATTTGATAATGATCTTTTCTTGGTTTTTCAACATTTAAAACAAAAATTTGTTGCAACCAAAAACCCATAGATATCAAATAATAACTTTTAAATTCAAAAAACATAGAATGATTTGGCCAATTGATATAAACTTGATCTAAATTATTGAAATAAGGAGAATGCCAATAGAGATAAACCCCATAGATAAAACTAAATGTATAATAAGTGAAAGACCAACTTTGTTCTGCAAATCTAGTTTTAGCCTTTTTACTATGAATGTCACAGAATCTAGAAGCAAATGGTTCAAAACAATATTTCATTAAAAATGATCTTAAGAAAGTAATAACAATAATCCAATGAAACACATTAAAGGCATCACTTATATCAATGTCATAAATCATTTTACCAGTAGTTTCATCAAATCCAATGGCATTTTGCAATTTGATGAATTTTGTAGTGTACTGATGGATTATATTGGAATTCTTGGTGAAAAAATGTAAAGAATATAATAAAATCAACAAGTTTCTTGACAAAGGGATTTGATTTCTTTCAATCAATGCTAAAAATGAATCGTGATACTTTTGATCTTCTTCAGAAAGTACAGATTCCTTTTGATTCATATTTAGCACTTCATTTGTTTTTTTACTTGTCATATCTAGGAATATTTAACTAAAGCGAAAGAAAAAGTAGGCTGGTTGAAGGAAGGGGGGAAATGATAATGAAAAGACCACGGGTTAGTAAGTTAGTTTGTTGTCCTTGATGATGAAATGCTTAACAAAGGTAAAAAAAAAAATAGTAAGGAGAAAAAAAAAAAGAACAAATAAAAAGAAAGGTACTGTATAATGTATAATTATGAAGAGAGCGAGAAAGTGCGAAGAAGCAAAAAAAAAAAAAAAAGAAATTTCATTGTCTGGATTTGGCAAAAAAAAAAAAAATTTATGTAAGTAACAAATATGAGCCTAGCACAAGTACACGACAGTGCTTAAAAGAATCAGCCATTAATTAAACGGGATTCATGTCGGAATTCATATCTGCAGTTAAAGAAAAAAAAAAGAAAGAAAGAAAGAAAGAGAGAGAGGCAGTCATCATCATGGTACGATTATTTATTAGTCGAATTATATCTTAATGAACGATATCAGAATAAATACATGGATATAATTCCCGTATACATTCTAATTTAAACTCAACTAAGAAAAAATGAAACAGAAAACGCGCCAGAACAAAAGGCACGAGAAATTAATAAAAAAAAAAAAAATCCAACAACTAAGAAACAAGTGTAATCATCTCACATACTCTCTCTTTTTCTTCCCCTCCACCTCGACCCATAATTTCGTTACGACCATCGGTATAGAAGAAGAAAAAAAAATTTACGTCGGTTCTCCCGTCCAAGGAATTGATTTTTGAAACGGCAGGACGCGATCATTCAAATTCATAATTATTCCGAGGATGACTCTGCTCTTTTGTAATTTAAACTGTCAACTTGGTCAATCACCACAGTAGTCTATCCGATGCCATTATTTCCGAAAGATAAGTCAATCGTTTATTTTTAGTAATCTCTCACAAAGAAATTCTTTTTTTTTTCGATTATGATCTTATTCGTTGGCATTTCAAAAGAAAATTAAATCAAAGCCAATTACAGAGAAAGAGAGGGAGAGGGATATGTTCTGCACAATAAAAAGTTTATTGACCATTCTTAATTGTAGTACTTTTAATTTCTTCCTCTTATTATTATTATTATTATTTTTAACTCTGTATCGTTTGTCGACCTTCCCACCCTTATCGGTTTTATTCATAGACTTTTATTTTACTTTGCAATTGAACCGACACACTAAACAACCCTCGTGGTTCGTACCGATCTATAAACTGTGCTATTGGCGAGAGAAAATGACAATCATTTTTTTGAAAACCTCTAACTTTAACTGTTGTGAGTATTATTCTGTTTAACCGATTTACATCCTATTTAGCAACATTACTTGTAATGCCTTTTTGACACCTTGTTCGTTGTATCTATTCCATAGAACATACATATTCATCATATCTTGTACAGCTTCAACAACTTCATCAAGATTAATATGTGAATGTTCCAAAAAGTTCATAAACTTGTTGATTTTAATAGTATCTTCATCCAAAATGTCTAGATCGAAATTATTCAATTGATCTGTATTTGTCTGTTGATTTTGATTTTGAGTTTCTGATTGGGATTGTTGTCCATTGTTGGTACTATCAATATCCATCTTATCATCACCTAGTTTTGTGTTAGTCACCTTGGTCAAGTTCATAAGATCATCGATATTCATTTCTTTACCATTTTCTTCATTCGATTCACCAGTACTTGTAGTGGTGTTGTTTGTGGTATTGTTTGTGACTGTGTTGCCCCCACCATTGTTATTACTATTACTACCACTATTATTATTATTATTAACAGCAGAAGAAGAAACAGCGGTATTACTATTACTATTATTATTACTTTGTCTTAGATGTGACAAATTCTTTTTCAACACAATAGTGATGTAAATTGCTGCTATGGCTATAGTATGAGGAGGTAATAATAAATGAACATCTGTGATATAACTATCATTGATTAAACTCCAAGCATTTTGTAGTTCTTCTTCAGTCAACTTGAATCCATAATTTGCATAGTTATTTTTTAAGAAATCTCTAATTTGAATTAACGATTTATAAGGATGATGCAACAACAAATAACTATCCATTTCTTCAATCAAATAAAACTCAAATTCTGCTAATTTAGTAACATCATGAGGAATATATTCCGGCCATATATTTCTTGCTTCTGAAATAATCAATCTTATATGTTGTGGACATTCTTCAATTTTACAAGCAACATATAAACAAGTGGTTATCAACAAATACACATTAATTTCTTTGATGGAGACTCGGGTGAGAAACCTAGTAAGATAGATTTCCGCAGTTGCAAGAGCTAGTTGTCTGATATTTAGCCTTCTTCCTAATTTTATCAACAAATTATGTAGATATATTCTCATGTTGTAGTCATAAATAATATTTGGATAATCCTTAATCAATCCATTTTGAATCATTTTCCTTTCTAGTAATAAAACTTTTCTTCTGGCTTCTAATAATGAAAACCTGGTAAGTTGCCATTGATTTCTCTGTGATGAGTTCCAATAATCTGCAGACATATTGTTCTTTGAATGTAATGTTGACTGGGTTGTATTTGATTGTTTCGAAGTTGAAAAAGTTGTTCTCTATGTGGGTATGACTACGATTTTTTTTTTCTTGGTTTGGTTCGTCATACAATAATGTTACTCTGGTGCGCTTGTCTCTGGCCAAAGATCTGTGTCAATTTTGTTGTCCCTCCGCACCAGAAAACCAACAGATCTGGACTACAAAGAAAACCATACTAATTCAATGGATATTATCATTATAATCATTATTAATATTATTATTATTACACCTACTCTAACTCTACTTATATATCATTAGCATATCTATTGGTCAACTCCATTAAAAGCTGATCAACGTCAAAAATGAATAGTTTCTTCCGTGGATTATTTAAATCATTGACTATTTCACCATTTGGATAATCATCTTTTAACTTTTGAATATCTGTTGATCCAGTTACTTTGATAAAATTAACATTCTCTTTTAGTTGATATTGTCTGTCATCTGTTGTTGTTATCAGGATATCATCGTCATTGGCTACTCTTGGAATGACCGCAGAATATGCAACCAGGATTATTGCAAGAAGAACTGACACTTTCATCGTTATAACGGATTAAAATGTATTGGTTATGATAAGGATTAAAAAAAGGGTATGATGGTTATTGAGAAAATTTACTAATAAGTGGTTAGAGGAAAATTTAACCTCTTCTTATAGTTGCAACCAACAAGGGAATTAAAATTTTATATTGGTTTCCATATTGAGGAATTTAGTTGCATGGCTAAGAGGGTTACTCCGCAAAAAAATAAAATTAACCTAAAAACAGCAAAGAATATTTAAAACAACCGTTTGTTTTACTTCTCCTTCTATTATTCACGGGAAGATTGAAGTGAATCTAAATCTAAATCTAAAACGATTAGATCAATTCAATTTGTAGGATACATGTCTGATTGTGAAATCTGTGCCTATTTGTGATTCAATAGATTTACCACCATCAAATGACAACGATTTCTTTTGAACTAGGAGTGAAGAGTCTGATCATGACAAAGGATGTTCTTCTCCTGTATCGCGTAGCTGAAATCCAAGACATGGATTCCAGTATGAAACACAACAAGAATTGTTTGCTGATTTTGCAGGATGAAATTCAACTTTACACGGTTCACGTGTTTGTAAACCTTGGTTCTAGATTTTTTTCTATCAGAACCCTTACATGACCCATAGAGTTCCTGCTCTTGATAAAGATAATTTCTTGATTATACAAAGGTTACATCATCATGAGTAGTGATGTAATTAGTATTCCGTTTCCAGTAATTAATTTTCTTGCGACAACAATTAGCAACCTTAAAACAAAGCAGCATGAACTCTATCCTGTTATTAGAAAACAAATGCTTCCGTGGATAGAACTGACAACTAACCAATTCTTTATCCAAAGATTTTTTTTTTTTTACATCATTCATGACTCAATATTTCTTTCACTAAACTCAGACCTCCGAATGATTACTATGTTTTTGTAGGGTGACTCTAATTTTTCTCCGTTAGAATGGACTGGGCTTAAGTCACCCACTACCCTCGTTTAGATCTCCAGATTTTTTCCAACCAGTTTTTTCTTTTCATCTTTTTCCTCATTTTAAGTTCCGTCCAATTTTTTTTTTTCTTTCTTTCTTCTTTCCCACACCCAACAATCGATCAAACCAAAGCAACAACCAACAAACCATAGTATAGAGTTGATAATTAGAGATATATAATCATACAAACAATGACTCCTCCACTGCAAAAGAATTTCCATACAGCTAATCCAGAAACAGAATCAGCAATTGATCGTAGTATTCCGGAATTTGAAGCTGCTAAAACCTCGGATGAAGATGAATATTTTAAAAATCATAAACCACCTTCATATTTATCAGAAATTGAAAAAGAAGTACAAGAATTTATCAATTATCATCTTAATACAACTGGTAAAAGAATTGCCCTTGTAACATCTGGTGGTACGACTGTTCCATTAGAAAATAACACTGTTAGATTTATTGATAATTTTAGTGCTGGTACTAGAGGGGCTACCAGTGCTGAATATTTCTTGGAGAATGGATATGCTGTTATATTTTTACATAGAGAGTTTTCATTATTACCTTATTCTAGACATTATAGTCATTCAACCAATTGTTTTTTAGACTTTATGATTGAAAAGGATAATAAAATTGAAATCAATTCGAAATTTGCTGATGAAATGTTGATCGTTTTCAGAAAATATAATCAAGCTAGAGATTCAAATTCATTATTATTATTACCTTTCACTACAGTTAATCAATATTTATATACTTTGAAAACCATTTCGGAAAATTTACATATTATGAAATCAAAAGCATTATTTTATTTAGCTGCTGCTGTTTCTGATTTCTTTGTTCCACAATCAAGAATGCCCCAACATAAAATTCAAAGCTCAGCAACTAATGATGGAGAATTGGTTATTAGATTAGCACAAGTTCCTAAATTTTTAAGTAGATTAGTTGATAATTGGGCTCAAGGTGCTATGATTATAAGTTTTAAATTGGAAACAGATAATAATATTTTAATTAAAAAAGCAACTAGTGCATTAGAAAGATATCATCATCAATTAGTCATTGGTAACTTGTTACAAACTAGAAAGAAAGAAGTTGTTTTTGTAAGTCCAAATAACCATGAAGAATGGATTAAACTATCACCACAAGAAATTGAGGATAATGTTGAAATAGAAAGTAAAATGATTCCAGCAGTTATAAAAGTTCACGATGAATGGATTAATAAAAACCAATAGGTATTCTTCTAATTTTATTTATTTGTTTATGTATTTACATGTATGAATTAGAAAAAGAATACAAATCTAAAGATACAAAAAATTAATCTATAAGAATGATACACCAATACCATACTGTATACCTTTTCTAAGTATATCTCTTTCATGAGTAATCAAAGGTAAAACAAAATTCAATTCAAATCTAGCCATAGGGTGATTGAATAAAATACCAATACCATAACTAACGGAAAATTCATTACTCAAATGTTTAAAATTATTAATTAATCCAATAGATTTATCCATAGGTATAAGTTTTCCAAAATTGATAAAGTTATGAATTTTGAAATTAGATTCTTTATATTTTGGAATATCAGATACCAAAGATACACCACCATTCAAGAATAAATCACCACCAATACAAGAATTATAATCCTTTGGACCTAATCCATTCAATACAAATGAACGTACATCATTTGGACCACCAATATAAAATCGATCTAATAATGATGATTTGTCATTCAATGGGAATAGAACTCCAATTTTATTAGTAAATATTAATTTTGAATTTATCCATGGAAGATATTGTACAAATTGTGTCTGAGCAGCAGACTTAATATATGGGAATTTATTAAATTTAAACAATCCATTATATTCAATACCTAATTGGAAAAATTTCCCAAAATTAGGTAAATGTTTATTATCTCTAGTATCATAAATCAAATTATATCCAATGGAGGATTTATATTGTGATCCAGATTGTTGAATAACTTCCATTGATTTACTTCCTTTATTATTCAATATTTTCCAAGTATTTTCCAAGATCAATTCATGATTTAATTTTGAATTATTAAATTGGGTATAAATTTTATTAATCATTCCTCTACTTGTAACATTTGATTGTAACCAGTCTAATTTTCTAGTATTTAAACTTATGATATTTTCAGAAATATAATTAACATTATTTAAAATTGGTTGATTATAGTTAAGTAAATAAGATGCTTGAGTTTTAGTACCTGTTATAGCATCAAATATTAAATTTTCTCCACCTCCAAATAAATTTCGAAGTTGAAATTGAATGTATCCATCACCTTCTCCATTTCCTATATTTGTTCCTGTTTTAGCAAAAAATCTCTTTACTGGAATAACATTAAATACAGGTACAACATACATCGATTGATTTTTAGTAAACATTGGTGGATTAACTAAATTAGTACTAACTAATAAATTTTCGACTACACCTGATTTAATTAAATTTTTGGAAATATCATTAATTGATGCAAGATAAGTTTGTAGGGATAGTACAGGAGATGCTAATAATGGTTTGAATTGAGTATGTAAAAATCCATCTCTATAAGATTGACTATTTGTAATTTGAACATTTTTAATACGTATAGGTTGATTTTTATTTTCTTTGAATAATTCTTCAAGATATCTCTTATTTTGTTCGAGTAATTGTTCTTGTTTAGATTGTTGAAGTTGTTGTAATTCCTTTTCAGCAGATGTTAGTGTCAGTGATGCTGTTGATGTGGTTGATGGTTTCATGGAATCCATGAATTGATCATGTTCATTATCTAATGACATGATTGTTGATTAATGAAGACTTCTGCTGGTATTGGAAACAATTGAATTGTTATATAGAGCGAGATTTTTCGTTTTTTCTTTTAACCTGCAGATCTTGTATAATTTTCTTGTGCATCCTACACGACTAACTTGAAAGTGGAGAGTATAAAAAGGGCACAAACTGAATCCCATAAAAATTAAGAACATATTCTTTTTTTTCTTCAAAGTATGATTGTATGTTGTGGAAATAGATTCGTGGTTTATTTCAAATTTTTTTGGTTCAAAAGAGTACTTATTTTGTTTACTTACAATCTGTTTACTTCTAGCATAAAGTTGTGATTTATATTTTGAATATATATTTATTTGTTGTGTTGTTATTTTCTAGACTGAGAAAATCATTCGAACTTGTAGATAAGTTGATTAGTGGATTAATTCGTTCAATTAAAACAAACTATAGACAAATTACGAAAAAAAACTGGTCAACTAGTAATATACCTCTTATCCATTCTGAATAGTACGTTGTATATAATCTTAAATGTTTTTCATCATTATTGTAGATTATAAGTTATTCCTATTGCCTACTATTTTTAGTGAAATTCATCAATACACATAGATTATGTAGTAAATATATATATATATATATAAATACAAACACATAGAAATGAATTAATAACTAAACTATGAGTAAGTTGATTTTGAAGAGGATGAGGTTAGCAATTGATCATCATTGTTATCATCATCATCATCGCCATCATCATTTCCTCCACCTCGATCCACATCTCCACCATTTGTGGCTTCTTTAAGTATATTATTTGAATTTTCTTCTTCTAATAATCGTTTAACACATTGTTTACCAGCTTCCGTTTGGAAATGTCTTCTTAATGCATCAGCTCGAGCAAACAGTTTCCCACATCCCCATTTGGTTCCATCCTGCAAGAAACCTTCACATTTGAAATTTTTAACACCTTGATGTAATAATTCATGTCGTTTTTTATCATGCAGTCGAGCAAATGATTTCCCACATCGTGAACATATAAACGGTTTCTCTTGTGTGTGCGTTCGAATATGTGACTTCAAATTATAAGGTCGAGTAAATCTCTTCTCACATAAATGACAACCATACAATGACGGGTGTTTTTGTGTTCGTTTTGATGAACTTGTTGGTAAAGCCAATTCCAACATTTTTTCACGAGATTGTAATTTCTCTTCACTTTCATCATTTGGAGATTTGGACCGGGGTGAAACACTAGGATTGGATTTAGATGCATGACTTTTCCTTCGACCACGTTTCATGGATTGAAATTCCTCTGGACTTAAAGAGTCTTTATTATCACCTCCAGAATTTGCTGAAGGTGACAAAAGTTGTGAATTCGGTATAAGGCCATTAGATGAGTTATTATTATTACCATTATTATTGGTATTGGACTCAACATCACTTCTTGGCGAATTATGCATAGATGAATTTGCTGATGAATTACTAAACAAAGACGGTGTTTTGGCTGCAATGACTTCGGGAGCTTGGTTAATTGAAATAATGATTCCGGTTGCATCACGTTCTACTTCTAAATTCTCATCAGTTCCTTTACGCAGCTGCAATTGATTATAATTTGTTAAATTATTCTCTGTCAATAATTGATTTGAATTATTGGTAGCAGCAGTACTCATGATATCAAATTGACTACCTTGTGGTGGAAATTGTTTAGATTCCAGTTGCGGCGGAGGAGTAACAGTAATGTCAAAATCAAAGTTCATTTGTGGATTTGAAAAAATATATTGATCACCTTCGGGTTCGGTTTTGAATTGTGGTACCGTGAAACTTTCCTGATTGTAAGGTTTATTCTCCATAAAATTCAGATTTCCGAATCCATCTTGCTTTGCATTCTCCATCGCTGGGAGGTTTGTTGAACTTATTGATCCACCAAGGGCAATTTCAGCTGTCAAAAAATCATTTACTGTATCAAAATGATTAGGAACCAAATTATTATTTGAGCCGGGAACTCCTCCACGATTAGATCCAACATCGGAATATGCAGTTGGAATATTTGGTGGAATAAAACTATTGTTACTCACATGTGAAACAGCGTCCAAGTAAGGTGATGCAGGTTGTGATGAATTTTCTGAATACAATGAATGAGTGGAATACTGACTCGGAGATCTAGGATTAAGCAAATTACTATTGCTGTTATTGTTAACATTCAAATTTGAATTAACTTGAAGAAAATCTTGCAGTGATTGTTGGTAATGACCTGGAGAAAATTGATTACTTACTTGTGATGATGGTGATAAATAGTCATTAGTCGTAAATTGTGGCAAGTCTTTTGTATTCAAAGAAATATCCGATGCATTATCAGTCATATATATACCACCTGAAGGCATACTGAAGTTTGGTAATGGGTCAGTTGTCAACTCAACAGTTGGTGCTGGAGGTGGTTCGAATGATTCAGAATATTCCTGATTTTGTTGTAGATGAGGTTGTTGATGAGAACCCAGTGGGAATGATAATGCTTGAGCTTCATTATATTGATAGTAATGCATTTGATTCGAATTCTCGGGTTGCGATAGTATGGTTCTATCTATAGATTGGTTGGTAGTTTCTTCTTTAATTGTAATCGAGGGAGGAGATAGGTTGAACACATCATATATTTGTTTATCCTCATCCTGACGGATATTATTGGAACTCATTGTAACAATGAACAGTTGAAAATTGACTAAACGGGGGACTGAAGATAATACTATTTACCTTTACTAGAAGTTTTGGTTTATTTGTCTGTTTTTTTCCTTGGGTTATTAAAAGGTGTTATGAATATATTATCAAACTTTTTAATGATGCGTATGTGGATAGTAGATTTCAAGGGACTTGTAATTAATGTCGCGGGTTGTGGAGGTTTATTCTTGTTTTTTAAAATGCACGTGTGTACTTTGAAATTACTAGCAGACGAAGGGATTAAAATAAATAAAGGTATAAACACGCAATATAAGTCAATTCTGTTGTTGTATGTAGTTCTGTTAATGGACAAGAATTGAATTATCTACTATAATGGAATAAAAAAAAAATTGAATTGTACCTGATGATAGGATAATATTATATTTTTTCTATTGCTTTTTTTTTTCTTTCTTTCTCTCACTCACTTGACTTTCTTGTAATTTTAGTTAGAAAATAAGCTAGGTCGTGTACTTTTGTTTAGTAGTTATTACTAAGACAATAAAACAAATGAAAAAAAAAAAAAAAATGTTTTAAATTAAATAATACAGTAACTGAAATGCGGAATAGGAACTCTCACAAAGAAAAATAATAAGATGATTTTCCTCGAACTGTTAGCAAGAAAGGAATTATGGACTGGAAATAAGAGAGTGGCTCAGAATGAAGTACTTTAAAACAAATAAAAAAAAGAGAGAACCATCCCAATTTACTTTTTTTTTTCAGATATTTCAGATCATGTGTAATCTTCGGCTGGTTTTATATATAAATACTCTAGAATGTTATCATTCAATGATCATTATTCCTAACCTTCTATTATTTGATGTGATAGAATCATGACTTTCTATAATTAATTCTTTTTTCGAAGCTTATCTATACTTTACCGGTGACTTCCATGACTATTGTTAAGAACATTTACTTTCTTGAAGTCAGTTGAATTATACTTTTTATTTTATTATTATTCTCTATAAAAAAAATTGATCTAGACTGATTAATCTTAACCGCATCGGCATTATTTTCTTCCCTTGATTTAAACGCTGTTATTATAAATCATTCCAATGTTAATATGAAAAGAAGGTCTTGCAGTTTATTTGCTTGTTGTACACAAAGCATTCATTTAAACTAATTCGGTGTGTGGTGGTTGACTGATTGCGAAAAAAAAAAAAAGAAAAAGCTACGCTAAATTAACGTCAATGGCTGCTGCGCCTTTTTTTTTCAAAGTCTCTTTGTGCATTATCACTGTGCACTAATAAAAAAAAAAAGAATAGAAAGAATCGTGCATTACCCGAAAAGCAAGCCTTGTTTTTGTTCACTTGATTCCCCGGTTGTTCTTTCAACATTTTTCCAGAATCTATTCAAGGTTATACCTTGTACAACAAGACTATGTATTGTGGTTATGCATTATTACTAAAGCAAGAAACTACAAGTCAAACCCTAATGACCTTCTGGTATATTACTCAACAATACATTCTTCAATTGATAATTCATTCTTTGTATACTTCTTGTTTTTATTTTTTTTTTCTTGATATTATTGTTTTTGATATATAACCCTAAACTACGCATTGCAGGAATCCCGGATTAGAAGAAATTTGTCTTTAATACACAAGTTAACACCCGTTAATTAACCAGTTAGTTCTGTGTTTGGTAATCAATGTATAATGCACTAAGCTCTTAATACATGAATTTTGTGGTTTAGATCTCTTCTTTTTCCTTTCAATAATTACTACAGGAATATTATTCTTATTTGTTACTTCCCCCCGATTGTCAAGCCACCCCCTATTGTTGTAGACGTTAAGTGGTGATCACGTAAATTTTTGGTAAATACAGCCTTATTGTTAAACCGGTTAATATAATTGTGAATAAAAACACGAGATTCGTAAGATTTTAAACAACAATGGGGTATGTGAAAAGTTCAACTCATCATGAGAGTCATGTGGAATTATTTGAAAACCGTTGCAGGGAGGGGGAGAGGGCAAGAGAGAGAGAGAGTGGATTAGTTAAATCCCGTGTATCTAGAATGGTCATCTAATCAATTCAAAGTTCTATTTATAATATCTATCACTATATGCCACACGTCAGGAGCAAAGGTTTTGACCTTTTCTAAATATAGAATTTCCCCTTGATTAAACTTCTTTTGCACTTCACATTGAATTTTGGAAAACTCATCAATATGAACATTTTCATGAATATGAATTGTGGTGTCGATATTGGATTTTTCTCTTAATGCATCAGCAATCCCCCATGACGCCTTGGAACTTGGTAATAATCCCAAATTGATATGACTGATCGACAAACTATGATCCTTGACATGTTTGATTCTTTCTGGGATGTTTTCATTACTTTCAATAAACAAGCAAGCATCAACTGTCGCTAAATCTGAGATATCAAAAGAATCGTCATCTCGAGTGTATATCTTGTAGTTGTAACCAGCTTTTTCAAGACTTCTTCTGAACCCTTCAATTGACCAAGGGTTTAATTCCCAACATAATAATTTCCCACCATTCTTGAGATAGGATAATGAGAAGTATCCAATTCCACAATAAAAGTCGAAAACAACACTTCCTGATAGCTTTTTCCAATTATCCATCACTCGTTTCTTTTCTTTGATATTGCCTCGAGAAAACATTGTATATTTCGGAGCCCATGTTTGATATATTCCATTTTGTACTACTGAACACCAAAAAGCTTGCTTGAAATCATCATTAGTGGGTGTTTTGTCCATTGGGAAGTCTGGTCCAAAATCACCAATTATAGGTATCAAATTATGTGGACGTCTCATCACATCAGATTCAATAATTGGCTTATTCAATGCAATATGAGTAATACTTGATGTTCCAAATATATGTTTCTGTTGTGATAAAACCGATTCCCAGAATTCGTGATGTTCTTGATTGAATATATCATCATTATTTGACGAATTGAATAACACCATTGGAGGATAGATTGACCACCGTTTAGGAACCTCCAATTGGTTAATATGTTTATTATTGCAATAATTTTCCATCATTGATGAAAGAGTAATAGTTTCAGATGTTTCATCTTTGTATTGTTCAAATTCATGACCAGTCAAATCACTAGGCAACTCATCTAGATGTGTATAAATATGGAATATATTATCATGTTTCTGAATCTTGTATGATTTATTTAGCAAATTATTTTGTTCCAAATACAGTTTAATCGGTTTAACCTGCCGTGGTTCTTTCACAAATAGTTTTATGGGCATATGTTTGGATTGTATGATGTGTGGGGGGATATCAGACGATGAGATGATAGCAAGACGAACAAAAAAAAAAAAAATTCCATCGGCGTTAACTTTCTATTCTGATAGACGCGACAGTTGTGCGACATATGAAAAATGTTTCAGTTGATCTTAAATGGGGAGAGACTTCGCAACCAATTCAGCAAATAAATACACGAGAATACACAAGTGAGCTATTGCTTATATTTTTATGGTTGTATCTACTGGAAGAACGATATTCAATGGATTTACAAAACAGTTGACAGTTTGTTTTCCCAGTTTTATTGATCTCACGACCACTGTACCTTATTTGTCTGGAAAAGCCAGACTCCAGGCATTTCAACCAACCAAAATAATTAATCAGTGCTATATCACTTCTTATGAGCCAAGCAATCACGCTCCGAGCTAACTGTCCTTATTTTCCGACACTTCCATAAACCTATTGAAAGCTGTCCAAAAATACTATCCCCCCAAAAAAAAAACTGAAATCGCGACAACGGATTTCTCCACTAAACAAAACAACCAAGGAAAAATGAGTTGATTTCTCTTTTTTTTTTGTTTTTTTTTTTTTTCGATATTCGGTTGATAAGGGAACCGAAACTACAACCGAGTTTAGTATTATTCAATATACATGAAGAATCAGTACTGCCCTTGTTTCCCTAATACAACACGATGGTTTCCTTCTCTGTACTGTACATGCGTATTAATGAAACAACAACAGGTTGTAAAACTAACCAACCCACAATCGAAAAAAAAAACAATGAGTAAAACCCAAAAAATCTACTTTGTATTGGTCGACAATTTATTTTACCACACTTCTTGTTGTTGTCCTCATCGTCGCAGTTCTCGTCCTGGCATTAAAAAAAATGCTGTCTTTGTGGTGAACACTTTTCTTTATTTGATTCGTGTGTGTGGGAGAATAGAGAAAAAAAAAATTGTTAGCAAATTAGTGAGAAAGTTAGAGTGAACGAGTTACCGAAAAAAAAAATCAACAACAAAGTAATTCTCTCTTTTTTTTTCACATTTGACCATTTTGTTGCCTTTATCAAACATCATCCTAAAAAGAAAGACAACATAGAGTAAAGATAGTTCAAATCAATTTATGATTAACTGCCTTTATTAAATATAATCCCACTCTTCTTTATCTTCCCCCTTTTTTTTATATTACTCCTAACTTTTTTTTTATATCATATCTATTTTTGTTTTTAGTCCTCCAAAGAAAAATCAAGAAAAAGAAAATTGTTTTATAAATTTTTTATAAGAATCCATTTAAGTTTTTATTTGTATTTCATTTAATTTTTATTTTTATTGTTATTATTATTATTATTATTATTTAAGACAGAATCATGTCAGAATCATCAAAACAAGAAGAACAACCTCAACAACCAGTTGAAACTTCAAAGGCCGAATCTACTCCAGAACAAACTTCCCAAGGTGAACAACCACAACAGCAGGAAGAAGTTGAACAACAAAGTGTGCCAAATCAAGATGATGAACAAGCTGAACAACAGCTGTCCACTTCAACACCCCCAGAAGAATCTTCATTGACTCCAGCTTCTGCTACTGAAGGTGGTCGTGAAATATCCAACACAATCTTATACGTTGGTAATTTACCAAAATCCGCTTCCGAAGAAATGGTTAAGGATTTGTTTTCTGTTGGCGGTAACCCTATTAAAACAATTAAATTATTGAATGATAAGAATAAAGCTGGCTTCAACTATGCCTTTATTGAATATGATTCAAATGATACCGCAGATATGGCTTTGAATACATTGAATGGTAGAGTGATTGATGAATCTGAAATCAAAGTTAACTGGGCTTACCAATCTGCTGCAATTGCTAGCACCTTAAATAGTGAAGAACCTTTATTTAATATTTTTGTTGGTGATTTGAGTCCTGAAGTTAACGATGAGGGTTTGAGAAATGCTTTTAGCAAATTTGGTTCTTTGAAACAAGCTCATGTCATGTGGGATATGCAAACTTCTAGATCAAGAGGTTATGGTTTTGTTACTTTTTCTGAACAGGCAGATGCTGAATTGGCCTTGCAAACCATGAATGGTGAATGGCTTGGTGGTAGAGCTATCAGATGTAATTGGGCTTCTCATAAGCAACAGCAATACAATAATCAACACGGTAATGGATACAGGAATTACCGTAATAACAATCGTCAATTTAGACAATATAACAATGGTAACAACAACAACAAAAATAATGGTAATGGTTTCCAACAAAATATGATACATAGTAATCAGTTTATGAACCAACAAGTACCACCACCTCCACAACAGCAACAGCAACAACAACAACCTCCTCAACCAATGTTACAAGGTATAAATAATGGAAATATTGCTCAGGGAGCACCAATCAATGGACAAGGAAATATCAACAATAATGTGAATAATGGAGGAGCGTTACCAGTGATGTCACCTCAATCATTTGACATAGTTTTGAGACAAACCCCATCTTGGCAAACTACAGTATATTTGGGTAATATCGCGCATTTTACCCAACAACAAGAAATAATCCCACTTTTACAGAATTTTGGTTTTATAGTTGATTTCAAATTCCATCCAGAAAGAGGTTGCGCATTTGTTAAATATGATACCCATGAAAGGGCCGCCTTGGCTATTATTCAATTAGCTGGCTTTAACCTTAATGGTAGACCATTAAAATGTGGTTGGGGTAAAGAAAGACCACCACAATTTCAAAACTTTCCAAGAAACGGAAATGCTCCACAATATATTGGGGGACCTGGAAGACCTTAATCAGGAGAAGGAGAAGAAAAAGAAGAAGAAGAAATGTGGATAACTCCAGTGACTAAGGGTATTTCAAGCAAAAGAAATGAAAAGTAAAATGATATATAGACTATCTATATCTTTTTGTATGTTTGTATACTAATCCAATTAATTAATATTGTCTTTCTACTATTACGGTTTTTCTTGCAAACTGGAGTTGTAAATGTCGCGTGATTGGTAACACGTGTTTTTGTCACGAAATTTTGTACAAAAAGTTGGAAAACCTTAAAAAAAAAGAAACTTGATTTTGCAGGAAAGGAAAAATTTTCTTTCTCTGAATTTACCTTTTTGTCTTTTCCAATTTACATCACTGTATTTGACAACTTTTCCCTCGAATTAGAATATAAACTACCAAAATCAGTTAGGGGAAGAGGTATTGTTATTTCTTTGGAAAATATTCAATTCTAACTATATTATCAAAAGCAAGTAACACTTTAGAGTTATTGCAATTTCTACATTCATTTTCAATATAGAGTTTAGACAAAAAAAAAAAAGAAAATATAGCCCAAGGTATATAAACAAAGGCGATTTATTAGACAATCATTATAGAAAAGACAAATCATAATCTAAACTATCACGCTTTGAAGGAATAGAGAATAAAAGAGATTGAAAGACAATTAGAACATTCATTTTATTTGTATTTGTAAAAAAAAAACCATCTTCTTTTGTTCCTGTCTACCCTTTATGTTTTTTTCTAAAAGAATTCTTATATTCTTAATTATCAATTTTACATTATTTTTACAATTATTCAAGTTGACTTTATTTACCAAGAATAAACTAATTGCTACCGTTTCAACATCAATCTTAGTCTTATTTTCATTATACTACTTAACAGCATCAACATTAGGTCCCAAATTCTCATCAGCATTCAATATAATCCCAAAATATTTACGCAACATTATGAACTATTCAAGATTTGGAAACGGGAATGGAAATTATTCAAGATTTAGTAAGCAAAATTCCGAAGAGAGAGAGTTGGCTCTTAAAAATGGAGGATTAGTTGGTGGGTTAAGTAATGATGGGAATACATGTTTTATGAATTCTGTTATTCAAGCATTGGCTTCTTCAGAAGAATTTTTAAAATTCATTGATTCTTATTTGTACCTTGATATTGAATTAGATAAAAAACCAAATGGTGAACCATTAACAATTAGATCAAATCAACCAAAACCAGAGTTGGTTTTCACTAATGCTTTGAAAACTTTGATGGATAATTTAAATGGGAAGTATGGTAGTCAAGGGAAAACATTTGATACTAAGAAATTATTAGCAAAGATGCCTAATGGTCCAAAAAAGAATTTCTTTTTAGGATATAATCAAGAAGATGCCCAAGAGTTTTATCAATTGGTAATGAGTTTATTGGAAAAGGAATACAAGCAAATCAACACGTCTAGATTACCTACTCCCGAACCGGATGCAAATAGTAACAAGTTTGTTGATATTAGAGAATTAAAAGATAAAACTCCAAAAAATACTGTCTATGTTCCTGCAGCAGAAGTTGATCCAAATTTAGAAGATGCTGAACATAAAGTCATGCCATTGGAATTGATCACCCCTGTTGATGGTATTTCTGCCGAAAAGGTTCTGTGTCAGACCTGTGGAGAAATCGGAGGTACCAGATTCAATGTTATCAGTGGATTGAGTTTGAACTTGGGTAATAACTATTCGAGCGTAAGTTTGGATGATTTATTGGCCGATTGGTTCAAACCAGAAGTTATTCATGAAGTTAATTGTAACCGTTGTTCATTGGTAGAAACAAAAGAATTTTTAGAATCCAAATTGAAAGATTTAAAGGACAATGAAAAACTTAGTGAACAATTTGAAGCAAGATTATCTCAAGTAGATGAATGTTTGAGTTATCCAATGGTATCAGATCAAGTAGTGGAGAAATTAACAATCAAAAAAGTTAAGAGAACTAAAGAGAAAGTTACATCCTTGCACACATTGCCTAAATTACTAACAGTTCATATTAACAGGAGTTGCTTTGATCCTAGATCATGTTCTATTGTCAAGAACCAGGCTGCTATTTTAATTCCTAAGTTGTTATATAGTGACCATTATTCTTTAGTGGCGGTCATCTGTCACTTTGGTAGTCATCATTATGGTCACTATATAATCTATAGAAAAATTCATGGCCTCTTTTATAGAATATCTGATGAGGTTGTCTATCCTGTTAGTGAGGAAGAAGTTTTGAACGCTCAAGGTGCTTATATGTTCTTTTATGAATTATGTAATTAATATATATATTTATATATATTATTGTTATTATTATTATCGATCGTCATGAAAAAGTTGTAATTGTATTGTACTGAAAACAGGTAGTCACGTGTTGAAATTCATGTGATATAGAGTATGTTGGGTGCAAAAAAAATTGCAGAATAATATCACTGACTAATCCCCTACAATTCGATATTGGATTTCAAAACCGGAAATCAATATCAACTACTGATGGTGGTAATTTTGATTAAAGGGGCATTTTATTCTTATCTTTAATAGAAATATGGTTTGGTTGGGCAATAAATATTTGGTAAATATTTGTATTAAATTTGAAGTAAAAAGTTAAGCAAAAAAAAAGAATGATTATATACATATCTAAATGAATACCCGTATGATTACAGTAATAGTTTTCTAAAAACCATCATACTCAACAATCACTGTATGAAGTTAGGGTTGTTTCGACATAACTCGAAGTTTTTTTCATTTCTATATAATCTACACTTATCTCTCATCCCAGAACTTGCTTAATACTTCACCAGCTTCCTTGTATAATTTGATATCATCTTCAGTCATTATAGGGAACTTTCTTCCTACTATTATTTTATCCAGAACTTTGCCCAAAGAAGTCAATTCATCAATGTAGTTTAAAATATCAGCAACACCAATAGTATGATATGCTCTTGTATTCTTTCTTTCTGTATATCTTTGATTAACCCATTCACTTTGAAGTCTTCTTGAAGGTAAGGATATTTTTGCCGTTAAATATCTACTTAAAAGAACAGCTTGGTATTCAAAAATTCGAAATGATATCCCATCAACTGGCACACCAAGAATTGTAATCAATGGTTCATTAATCAAAAAAGTATGTTGATATAAATTGGTTACAATGTTACCATCTGTTAATTTACCATTTGTTAATCTGTTTAAATACGGATATGAAAACAAATATCCAGTACAATAGATTATAAAATCTGGATTCACTAAGATGGAACCATCTTCAAAAATAACCCTAACGTTAGACCCGTCAATCTCATATCTTTCAATAACGGGTTTCTTGATGATATTGCTTCTATTCGACAATACAAATGTATTCTTATAATTTCTAATGGATTGGTAGACGGTAGTTCCCGGTTCCCGAGAAATAAACTTTGTCAAATCAGCTCCAGATGCTCGTGATCCAATGATAACAACAGTTTTATTCTTATAAGTTCTTGAGTCCCTATAAAACTTTGCATGTTGGACTTTTTCTGGAAACATTCTCTGAACTTCTTTCAAGCCAGGAACAAATGGGATAAATGGTACATGATAATGACCAGCAGCAACAACTACTGTATCAAACTCTTCTTGATACCATAAATCATTATCTTCATCCTTGGCACTTCTAATAGTTAGTTTAAACCTATAAGGTAATTCTGCGTCGTCATCTCGTTCAACCCTTTCAACATCTTCAACGGTGGTACCTAATTTCAACTCAACACGAGGATCCTTTAAATTCCTTTCGATGTAGCTTTGAATATAACTTTGAACAATGGTTCGATCAACATATTTCCGTTGTTCATAGTCCCCATCAACGTTCCATTTATTGACATCACTATATGTCATCATTTTCTCAAGAATATTTGTTTTCATACCACTGTAACTTGGGGTTTCAATAAATCTCTCCTGTGTATTTCTAGGTAAAATCACTTCTTTGGCAAATGAATTTAGTTTCCCATCATGGAAAGGATTGGCCAACTGGGGATCATTATGATAACTTCCTGATTTGATAAGGTCGTTTGGTGTTTCTCCAATTTCTTTATTGAACAACCAAATTCCACCCAATTTGTTTTGTCTTTCATAAAGCACGATCTTCTCGATACTAGATGGTTCCTTTAACAAAGAATCCAATATTATTGCTCCTGATGCACCACCTCCGATAATTGCAACTGTCTTTATTTGCGTTTCTGAAAGTTTAACTGGATTCTCATAATCCAAATCTGTTAAGAATGGCATTACCTATTGGTTGTCAAAAAGCCTAACATCATTTGATCTACATCAAGGATTTATTCACATATTTATAATGCAAAACAATTAATCAAAATGAACCACACTAGACCTCCTCCCCCCCTTTTTCATTTTAGTTTTTGAGTGATTTGCAGCCACAATTGTAGTTAATTATTTGAATGTTTTTTTTATCAAAAAGAAAAAAAAATAACAATGGAGAGGTGTGATATCTATTCCAAGTATGCATTAACATGTCTAAGTGGGTGACGTCTGGTGATTAATATCAAGGGTGTATTCTTTAAGAAGAAACATGATATAGCACACCAATAGAAAGTTTATATATAAAGCAGTGGGGGTCGCTGTGTCGAGGTGATCTTCATTCAAAAAAGCGATTTAACAATCATGTTGCACAGGTTGTGACAACCCTTCATGAGTATACCAATATTCAAAGAAAAATCGATGATGAATCCACTGGTATCATTTCAGCCAAGTCGTCAATATAATTTACCTCGTACTCTGCTACCAATCGATTTTAGTTATTGGAGTGTCATTTTCATATTAGTAGTATTTAATGATTTTCTGTTTCTTTTTAAGAATTATCATGACAGCACATTAATTATAAAGTAAATGTATTGTCGTGTGGAGTAAGTAAGTAAGCTCAGAGAAAATAAATTACGTGCAACAAGGACAACGCGAAACAAAAAGACAACAGTAAGCTGAAAAAAAAAAAAAAAAACATATCAAAGTGAAAAAATGCCAGATCAACTCGTTGTTAGTACGTGTTCAAATTTTCTTTTTTCTTCCTTCACCGAATTAAAAAAAAAAAAAAAAAAATTATTTATTTACAGCCATTCTTCCTTTTTTCAGTTCTGACTTCTTCTTCTCATAAACAACACAATTCAAACTACCCTAAAACAAATCACATATACATAAGAAATCATGGCTTTACAAACACCAAGACAAAGAGCTGCTAACGCTAGATTTGAAAAGAAAAACACCAACCAATGGGGTAAAGTCAAGAAAGTAAATAACAAGACTGAATATCCAGTGTCAAAATCATGGTTGTTTGTTTTATTGTTCTTGGTATGTGGTGGTGCTGTATTAGAATTGATTAGATTGCTTTTCTAAGTTGTTCTACAAAATTAAGTGATAGACCGGGTTGATTCCTTGTTGTTACAAATAGTAATAAAAATAACATCATAAAGATCTTTCTTCTTTTCCCACCAAACTACCTTCCCCCAGGTCTGTCCAAAAATTTTTTTTTCTTTCTTTCTTCGATTTTCCCATTTGATGACAGATCAACAAACACAGCTTAAGTTCACATGTATAATAATATTTCTGGTTTTGGTTCTACTTGTTTTTTTTTTCAATCCTTTATTCTTTTATCTTACATTTCCTTTCTTATTGGTCAAATAAAATATAGCTTCCTTCTTAATACTACAAGATGATTTTTTTAAAAAAAAATATACGTGTCTGTATTATTACATAAATTGTCGCACTGGGATCGACATGTTTTAGCGAGATGTAGAAATCTAAGCGCCATGTTTCGAATGTAAATGAAAAAGGAACTCAACCCCATACTACACAAACAAATAGATAACAAAAAGAACTTAAATTATTAAATTCTATATAAACTAACCAGAATGAATTAACATTCAACCGAAAAATAATCAGTACAGAAAAACAAGAATAGGACAAGAAAGTAAAAAGGGTATCACAAAATATTGATATAGACCAAATGGAAGGTTCTGTAAAAAAACAAAAGGCTTAAATAAGCATAAATAAAACAACGGCAAATCCTGAGATTAATCCACCAGCTGGTAAGTTTCTTCTAGCAAACCCTTCATAACTGGAAACTTCTGGAGTTGCAGTGGCTTCGACACTAGTAGAAAGGAGACTAGTCAAGGATTCGGATTCTTCATACATCGTATCTCTCTTTCCTTTACCAAATCCGAAGAAAGTAGGTGTTGCACAGGCGAAACCACCTTTGTGTTTGAAAATCTTGATACCTTTAGTTGGACAATAAGTAGTATACGTAGTAATAGTTTCAGATTCAGTAAGGGTGACAACTGTGACACCAGTTGTAATTGTATGATGTCCACAACTATTTTCGGAGCAACTAGTGACAGTCAAGGTTGTAGTCAGTGAGACCGTATATGTATCTGTGGAAGTACTCAACAAACCAGATGATTCATCAGATGTAATAGAAGAAACTAATGTGGAAGATGAAAATGAAGACAAGCTTAATTCTGATGATTCAAAACTTGATGAATTTGATGAACTTGATGAACTTGATGAACTTGATGAACTTGATGAACTTGATGAAGCAAAGCTGCTAGATTCTAAAGAAGAAGACCCGGTGGATGTAGTAGAGCCATATGATGAAACAAAACTAGATTCAGTAGTTGAACTTAATTTCAAGGAAGACTCAATAGATGAAGATGGACTAGCACTGTATGTAGTTGATGACAAAGAAGGACCAACACTAGATGCAGTTGAAGACGGAGAAAACACTGATGGGTGTGGATGGGTTGAAAATAAACTTGAAGAAGAAGCAGAAGATTCAACCAAAGACACATTAGACGATACAGAAGATGATTCAATGGATGATGGTTTAATGAAACTAGATCCAGTAGACGATCCGGTAGTAAATTCAATAGATGAAGAAGATTCTATATCCGATGAGGTGGAAACATCAGTTGAAGGGAAAGTAGATTCAAAAGTAGAAGTGGTTCTTGTGGATGATTCAACTGAAGAAGTAAAGCTCGATGCTTCTGCAGATGATGATTCAGTAAATGAAGGAAAAATCGAAGATTCAAATTCCGAAGAAGAAACCTCAGATAAATGACTAGATGATTCTACTTCTGAAGAGACATTGGTTGGATAAGTAGATGATTCAGATTCAACGGATGTAGAAGACTGAAGTACATTGAAACTAAATTCTGAATAACTTGAAGCCGAAGTACTACTGTTGTATCCAAATGATGAAGAAAAGACACTAGACGGTAAAACAAATGATGATGAAGTAATGTCCAGTTCACTGGAGAAAGTCTCAGTATTTGATGATTCTCCTGATTCAGTACTTGAAGTAGCAAATCCACTTGATGATCCATCTGTGTTTGAAGTAACAAATTCCGAACTTGATGTCAAATACTCACTCGAGAATTTAGAAGTGGAATCCAGAGATTCGGCAGAACCAGCTGAAGATTCACCAAATGTGGATGAGAAATTAGATGATTCAGAACCAGATGGGACTAAAGTAGACTCTTCAGATGATTGATAAGCGGTAGATTCTTCAGAAAATACAGAACCAGTTGGAGCTGTCGTTGATTCAAATTTGGAGGAAACTTCAGTCAACTCAGAACCAGAAGTTTGGTAGCCACTAGATTCTTCAGCATTAGTTGTGGTGGTCACAATAGTTTCTGTTGACGTCAATGGACAATATGTGGTAATAACGGTGACGACTTCTTCAGTAGTTACAGTGATAACAGTTACACCAGTAGTAATGTGAGTAGAACTACAGATATGTTCAGAACATTCAGTAGTGGTAATAACAGTGGTGGTATGAGCAGTGTGAGTAAAATATGAAGTTGACAATTCGTCGGTCACTGTGCTTGACACAATATTAGCAGAAGATTCAATACTGGATTCATCGATAGTTGAACTAATCACGGAAGATTCATTAAACCCAGTCAAAAAAGTACTTGAAGTAATGCCTGTGGTGGAGTTATAATGGGTTACAGACGAAGGTGCACTATGATACTCACTTTCATAGCTAGAGGAAGTGATCTCTGATGATGGGAATTCTGAACTGAAACCAGATGATGTAGTGAGAACAGTGGTGCTGGTGTTGAATAATGGATAACCGGAAGAAGTTTGACTTTCAACGGAAGATGGCAATATACTACTACTGGAATTCAAGGAGGCAAAACCAGAAGAAGAAAGAACTTCACTTGAGCTTGGATACTCGAAGCTGAAACTGGAATTCAAAGAAATGTATTCCGATGAAATAGCACTAGTTGTTGTCACATACAAGGTAGAACTTTCAAATTCAGACGTTGATGATAACAACTCGGTGGTGTTGTATGGACCATGACTTGATGAACTTCTAACAGATGCGGAACTCAATTCGGTTGGGACAATAGAGGAAGAGGAGTTGTGAGCAGTAGTAGTGACAAAGGAAGTCGAAGCATTAAATCCACTTGATGGCAACAAATAAGAACCGGATTGCTCTTCAGTCGTAGTGACAAAAGATGTTGAAGCATTATATCCACTTGATGGAATTGTTGAACTGGAAATCAAGGATTCACTATCTGGAGTTGAAGCAACAGAAGAGTTGTATCCAGTAGATGGAAGTACTGAACTAGTGGAGTTGAAAGCAGTGGTAGTCACAAATGAAGTGCTCAATTCAGTAGATGATTCACTTGTAGTTTCAGTTCCTGGAATAGATGGTGTTGATTTTATAGTAGTAGATCCACCGCTGGACATAATTACTGTCTCTGTTTGGGTAATTGGACACCATGTAGTATAAACAGTTTCAACTTCACTGATAGTGATGGTGGTAACATAAACACCTGTTGGAATTGTCGTCTTGTGACATCCATCATGAGCACAGTGCGTAGTGGTAATGATAGTGGTTGTTTCAGCAGTAGTAGTAATATAACTTGTAGACATAACTTCATCGTTTCCTCCTGTGACTGAAGAACCGTCACTTGGAGATGTACTGGAGGATGTGACAGCTTCAGAATCAACAGACGAGGTAAAAGTAACAGTTTCAGTAGTTGTCAATGGACCAAGGGTGGTGTAAGTCGACATGGAACTTGATGTTGGACCAACCGTAACAGTGACAGTGACAATTATAACACCAGTTAGGACTTCTTTAGTAGAACATCCGTCTGCACCACAAGAAGTGGTTGTGATTGTGGTAGTAGAATCAGCTGTCTTGGTGGTTACTGAAGTAACAATTTCACTGGAAACTTCTGGTACACTGGTAGTGGCACTATCTGCGGTACTATCTTTTGAAGTGACTTGAGAAGTGATAGTCGATGTAAGTGGAACCAAACTAGTGTAACTGCTTTCTGTGGTGCTTCGACCAACAGTGATAGTAACTGTTATAACATTAACACCTGTTGTAATCGATTCAGTCGAACATCCTTTAGGACCACACGCAGTAGAAACAATGGTAGTAGTTGATTCAGCAGTAGAGACAGTAGTAGTCAAACTTGGAGAACCATCATTGAAAACTGAGCTGGAACCAGTAGATGTTGGAAGTTCGGTAACAATAGTTTCAACACTGGTTATTGGACCATAAGTGGTGTAAACAGTTTCTGTATTAAGCACAGTGATAGTAACAACAACAATACCGGTCTCGATAGTAGTAGCAGTACAATGACCATTAACACAATCAGTTGTAGAAATCACAGTAGTTGGGTTGGTATGTGTAGAATATGTGGTGGTAATAGTAGAGCCAGAACTGGTTTTAGAAGTTTCTTTTTCATATGAAGAAGTAACAGTTATAGTGACAACGTGACCATTAGATTCTGTGCTTGATTTAGTAAATATTGATGTTTCCTCATCAGTATTAGAAGATGGATTAACTGTGTAAGTAACAGTTACAACTTGACCATTAGATTTAGTACTGTGTGATGTTACTTCAGTTTCACTTGATGGAACTTTGGTTTCAGTTGGAATAACTTCAGATGAATCTTGGGATTTGAATGAAGAGACAGTAACCATATCATCAGAAGATGGGGCATTGGTTGAAAATTCAGAAATCTCCAGTAATGTGGATTCAACAAATGAGGAGTCAACAACAGTGGATGAGTTAACATGGGCGGAAGATGACGTAACGTGTTCTATAGACGATAAAATGTCTGTAGAAGTACTGTTGGAGTAACTTGAAGGAACTTCCGATGGGACATACGAAACAGTGGAAACTGTAACATTTGAATATGAACTTGTAACAAGAGACGGAACACTAGTGACAATTTCAGTGGTGTGGTTGGCAAAAGAACTTGGAATAGCTGTTGATGAAATAGATGTTGTATTGTAGTAAGCAGTTGGTGTAATTGTTGACCCGCTGGAAACAATGGTACTTGAAGTATTAACATAAGCACTCAAAGATAAACTGGAAAGAACAGAAGTAGTAACATTCGCATAGGAACTAATTACTGAACCAGAAGAAACAGCTGAAGCACTTGTAGAAATATTTGAATAATGACTAGAAGTGACCAAAGATCCACTGGAAGTAACATTAGCATAGGTACTTGAGCCTGGGGCTGTTGAAGTGGTGGTGTTCACATAAGAACTTAAACTTGTAACAGAACTAACAGCAGAACTACTTGCTTTGGTGCTAAAACCCGGCAATGTAAATGGAAGTTTAGTAAGATCACCATAATCAATTGAAGTTTCACTTGGTGTGACAAAGGAAGTAGAATTGTAAACTTTCCCAGCTAATGTAGATGTAGCGAAAGCACCCAATACAACAACAGCAGATTCAACTTTCATTAGTCTAGGATTTGTTCTTGGTTTATTATTTTGGTTAATGGAAGAAACCCTTTTGGCAAAATTTTGATATATTCAACCAGAATTCTTTGCTTTAAATATCTTTTCATATCATCACCAACATGAAACCTTTTCATATTCAAGGGATAAATTTAGCAACTATCTGGGATTGTTTTAAGGGATTAGAATTAATTGCAAAAACTGACAAAAGAAAACAATCAACTGGCAAACAAAATGGGATCTACATCGGAAAAATATCTGGTTGATACAGTTCATTTGTTTCTCTTCACAATAAATATAAGTTAATCAATAAGTCAAGGAGTTTCCTTATTGGATAAAGGATCGGCAAATATCATTGTTGGTAATTAATCATGACTAATCTGTAGTAGAATTCTTTCTCTTGGAAGAAAATTTGTATAATTATGTAAATTTTTCTGGAGAGCGTGGCTATCAACCTCGATCGTGTTTGTAGAACTCATACGAAATTGGTAAGTGCAAGAAGTACAATTGAATTAGCATGGTTTTCGCAATTCATGTTTGCTATCCAGTTGAAAAAGGCGAGGCCGTATACAATACTGAGTTGAAACAACATTCGAATGTACCAGTTTTATTAATGATGATACAACTAATAGAATTTACGAAATGTGTTGTATTGCCCAATGGTTGGCAGGATGGGGCCGGTAGAATTTGATACAGAAAATAAAAACGGGATTTACGATTGTTTTGAAGCGGGATTTTAAACTCTTCAGGGTTCTAATATATGTGTCTCTGTGTTTCAAAAGTCTTGTAAATTATAATATTTTCCTAAAACCTATAATAGTTTGACTAATTAGGCTATCAAAGTATATGACAAACGTAAGATTATCGGTCTAATAAAGAAATTGTTGATGAAAAATAGAAAAATCAAAACAGATCTTCAATTGGAACATGTGGGAAAATCAAAAAGGAAATATATATGTGAAGTTACAAGAAAGAATTACAACCTTTTTTTTTTATTTTTTGCAGTCAAACAAATTCAGACTTGTAAATGGAAAATATTGATTAGAATTAGAGTCTATTTGTAACTGAAACACGCCACCAGTGAAGAACTTGCAAGTCTTTTGACCAATAATCCTTAATATAGAGGAAACCTTAGTTTTTTTTATTGTTCCATTGTTCACATCTACAATGGTCCCGATTTGCGACCTACTTTCTTCAAGTCTTTGAAAGATCAATTCTAACGCGAAACAGAACAAGAAAACATAAACAGCCACCAAACCCTCAAAACCATTATCCAATAGCTAATGAAGATTACCTGATAAGAACGAAGAAGAAAAGGAGGAAAGAAAAAAAAAACATGCTGTTTGATGAGTATTTTTGTTATAGATGAAACAACCAGCTGAGACTTACAACAGGTTATAATTAGTTTAATTAAGACATAAAATTGTTTCAATTTAATTAATCCAAAGTGGAAAACAAGCCATTGTAAAAGAAGAATATTTCCAATTTGCATTAATTAAATTGAATATGACGTCAATAAATCAATACTGAAAAATATCAGTTCATATATACATTAACAAACTACATGCCTAGAAAGAAAAACCAATAATAGAAATAAAAATGAAAAAAAAGTGCACTAATGATTAATAATAATAAAACTTGTGTATGTATAATCATCCTCTTTATTCAAGAGATCCTATTCTCCATATTTCTAAACCCTTGATTTTGAACGAACCAAACTTTATATCATGCTCTGAAGAATTCAAGACTTCATTTCCAAACGTTTCACAACTATAGCTGACTCCTTTCAATAAGCTCTTGTCTATGTATAGACCATTTTGACCATTTGATGAACCTATTGCTATAAAGTCATGGTTGGAATAGATAATGTTATCGTTAATCCCAGTGTACATGAATGCCTTGAATCGAACTTCAGATTTAGACTTTTTATCAACCGCGTGATCTAACTTCGAAGGGTCATAAACTTCACATTTCCAAAGAAAACATTCACCATTTCCATAATATCTTCTGTGTTCCATTGGTTTAACATTTTCATTCAAGTATGCTCCAAATTTGTTGCCATGTTCATCCTTAATAACAATCACATAAGATTGCGGTCTTTTTGTTTCAAACAGATATCGCGAGCTGGGAATATCACCAACAACCATGCTTTTCACCACCGACTCTGCAAAACCGTGTTCTTTCCTTTTCTTCTTGAGCAATTGAAGTTGATGCTCAGGGTCACAATTACGGTACAATGTATTCAACGAAATCCCATGCTGTTCTAATGAGTATACCAAATCCCAATCATCAAATAGTTGCAATCTTGCTGGTATGAGGTTACGAATATTGTTCGCCAATTCTGGATCTAGTAAACGATGGTGAGTGGATTCTTTATATCCATTGAGCGCTAGAGGGCTAAGTGGGGGTAACTTATTAAAACTGGATGAACTTGAACTAGTGGAGTTGAGAGAAGTTGTAGATTCGTTCTTATATCCATTAGCTTTAAACCCTCTAAAGAATGACCCTTTCTTCTTGACAGGTGCATTTTGATCTGGGTGTTGTTTTTCATTGTTAGTAGAACTGGGGGATTCTTCTTTCTCGTTGGATGGGATTTCACGATTTGATACGTCAACCTCACGGCTTTGTTCAGTTGATCTTCTAAAAAGAAATGACATAATGTATAGTGATTCAATTGAAGTGGAAGAAGAAGAGTTGTACGAATTAGGGGAAACCTAAAAATATATTACCTTTTTATTATACGTTGCTTTTTTTTTCTTTCTTTCTTTCGTTTTGGGAAAATATTTTGACCCTTGCCATTATTATTTTTTTTTTCTATTTCTCTCTCTTTGCCTAAGGTTTCTCCGCCATCTGTGATGTTATTAAATCTGGTGAGCAATCTCTCTAGCAACCTATTTTTCAAGTGTCAGCTATTTTCCATGCGACGAATTTAGCCCACATAGGCTTACACATACACCACACAGAAATATACAATTAATTGAAACTTGATATATCATATGCTAAAATGTTTTGAGAAACTGTGTTTATTATGATTTAAATGTGGGCTGAGGCATGTTTGGTCGGGAATAACTAGGTGTATCTCGTATATCAAGTTCCGATTACAATATTTCCAGTTACATTTTGAAAATCCTTTGGTTCAAGAAAACTGACAAAGCAATGATATATAGTACCATCCATTAGAAGCTTTACTTTCTATATATCAAGTTTAACAAAGTTTCGTGTTGAAAATTCTAGAATGAGTGTCCAACTTGCTTTTTATTTTAATCACTATAGAGATGACACAAAATCTATTTCATGATGCAATCATATTCTCTCTATCAAATCGAACTAGACTTTCCAAAAACTGAACTCCGATTTTGACACTATCTATAAACTTTATTCCTGGAAAGGTATTGCCAAGTTTTTTATCCAAGCCTGCCATACCAGCACAACCTAATAAAACACATTTCACATCTTGATACTCATTGAGAATATTTTTTGTAACATTAAATATTTTTGCAAATTGTTCCGCATCCGCTAAATTTGTTACATTAAAATTTAACCCTCTGGTCGGATAAAACTTTTTCAAAGGAAACTCATCTGTACCAACAAAGTCCATGACCCCTTTATCCAAAACCGGCTCCCAGTCACTTGTACTAGTAAGAATAAACAGTTTTATACCGGGCATCAGTAATGCGTATAACAAAGTTGCTTGCATGATACCTAAAACAGGTTTCTTAGTAAAGTCTGCTAACGATTCTACCAATGGGTGGTCAGAATAACAACATACTAGAAATGCATCATATTCTTTTAGCGATTTTCTCTCTTTAAAGTCTTGCAAAACTGCAGTTTCTGATAATTGACTATTTTTTGGGGTGATTTCGGTTGGTGAATTCTGGGGTGCAGTGTAAAAGTGTAATTTCACAGATTCTGGGGAGCCCACAGTTTTCTGAAGGTTGTTTGTAACTTTTTGTGAACTGTTAGGATTTATCACTAGTATGTTCATCATAGTAAAGTATCACGAATACAGCTATGTCTAATGATATCCATCGAATGTAAAGAATAGCAACCCAAAAATATATACACATATTTCCAGGGATTAAGGAACGCGCCTATTTATATACAATCGAGAACTACAACAACAAAAAAAAAATTCTTCTCTAATCTCTTCTAATCTTGATCGGAGTAAACCGAAATGGCATTTGAAGCAGAAATAGGTGTTAATAAGCACAAGCTTATGTGGTCTAAATCGATTGCATCACTAGCGAGTATAGCAGAAACAATCACTTTTAGTATTACAAAGGATTCTTTATCATTATCAACCAACAATCTTACCAAGACCACACATGCTGAGATTATCTTCAAGAAATCATTTTTCAGCACATATTCTGTTGATTTTAAAAATATACTTCCAGAAGGGTTTAATGAAGGAAGGGTGGATTCAGAACTGACATATTCATTTCTTGTGAATTCACGTCATTTAACTACCGTGTTTAAAGGTTTGGATTCAAACAGCATGAAGTACGCGTGTATTAGAATTAACTGGTCACAAGAAGCACCAATAAATCTGAGATACAAATTATTCATTGAAATGAAGACCAAGAAACTTATTGTCAAAAAATTCCAAACGAGTTATGTTCCAGCGACAAAACACAATATTAGAGTTGCAAGTGTTTACAAGGATGCGTTGTATGCACAAAAGGAGGACAATTTTGATGAACCAAATAGAATCAACCATATTATGATCGATCAAGTTATACCTAAACAATTTCTAGAAATGGTACCAGCATCTGCAGAAGATTTCAAAATAGAGATTAAGTCTGATAGAGTACTGTTTTCTGGGTACACCAAACAAATCATAAAAGACAGAGACTATTTGAAGCAACCAATGGCAGTAACAGTCACAATAAGTCTTGAGGAATTGACTGACACCAATCTTCTTCTGTTGAATCCAAATGATAAACCAATTAGTAAGATGATCAATTTTGGTATGCGTGATTTCAAAAACTTTTTGAATCTAGTTAGTTTTTTCAATTCTTCAACTTCGTATTCCGAACAGCTTGATGAGGATTTCATCACTGTTGCCAACAATGATTACTTTCATATGTTTTTCAGGAATCCAGGTGATCCTATCTTGTTTGACTTGCAAAACAACCAACACATGGAGGTACAATACATCCAGATCACCTCAGAAGATAAAACCGAGATGAATGCCAAGGAAATTAACGCTGATACATTAAAGAAGGATTTACTAATAGAAGGCTCCGTGCCACAGAAGGTGGACAACGACTCGGTGGACCAATCTAGGACACCAAGCTTGATAAAACCTATTGGAAGTACTACATTTGGAAAGCCGACAATTGCTAGAATTCCCACTACTTCAGAGAGCGGTATATCCCAGAATGATCCATCACAATCATATGCTGTAGGTATAACCTACGAACAAGAGTCAGAGGAAAGACAGATCCCCGCAGGAGTAACCAAGACGGGTGACGAAACAGATTACAGTGATGAAACAGAGGAGGACGAAGATGAAGGGCCACCAAGAAAAAGAATGCTAATATCAGATGAATTAGGACCGACACAGTTGACAAATAAAGCAAAGTCCATCTTTTAATTTAGGTTATAAACTAATTATCTAATCACGTACAAGCTTCTTTTTTTTTGATCGATTGTGCCGCCTTATGATTATACAGTAAGCATATATGTTTGGAATGAGAATTTTTTTTTTTTTTTTTCATCATTATTAATTGTAAAGGCGAGTTCTTCTGATGACTACTCTTGTAAACCCCTTTTTCTTAAAAGATTAATTTTAACTCAATGAATATGGGAGTTTTTAATTGTTTCATTTGAAATGACCATGTATTCTATTTGGATGTTCTGGCATAGCCCATAGATTTAGAGGAACAATGTGAATTACAAATGACAACCCTGTGTCAGAGCTCTAAATTTTGTGATTTCTACCCCCCTTTAATTTTGTGTGCATTGCCTTTGGAACGAACAACTGAATCACTGAAATTTCGGAGCTAATTGCGAAATCATTTAGCTTTTTTTTTTTTATTTGCTACAAGGAACTGTATTACGTAGCCCATTTTCTTTTTTTTTTTTTTTTTGGTCGGTATTTAAGAAGTTCTTGATCCTTGTTATAATATTGTCTATTATTTTTAACAAGTTTCATTGCTAACAACCATTGAAAATGGCTATTTCATTCAATTACCAGAATAACGAAATTGTCTCATCACCAACAGTAATTGTTTCAGGCTCTACATCAACCGGACTTGCTAAAGGTGTTATTTCATTTGTTAACAACGATAACAAAGTATTTCCTCCACAATATTTTGAAGTTAATAATGGCCAGTTTAAGGCAATTGTTCATGTATCACCTAACGAGAATAATGTTTTTAAGGTTGAAATTCTGGATAATGGATATATCAACCAATTTGGATTTGTTGAGTATGCAAAAGGTCAACCTCATATAGTTGATCGTGGTGAATTAACATTGTTGTTCTATCCATTACCAAACAATAAACCAGTACATTTATGTATCATCCGTGGGAAAGATTCTAATAATACTTATGATATGCCACATTATAGATTAAAAAGAGGCGAAGCACCTACACTTGAAAATGCTATCAAGAAATTGAAAGTTGCTGGAAGATTAATGCAAGCGTATACTCAAGATGAAATGAGATCCGTCGGTTTCAGTAATAGATCATTTCAATTTGTTGAAGAAACTGTACATGATCAATCGATTTTTGGTTACAAGGTCAATTCACCAACTCCACATCAGGAAGTGAAAGTTCACGTGTTGACTTCCCCCAAAACAGTTGCCGAATTAAGAAGTCCAGATTTGGCCCAGCAAAACCCAAAAGCAAAGGATAGCGGTGGTTTATTTGGTCACGCAATGGACTTGGTCAGAAAAACTCCTGAAATTTATAATAAGCGTAATGGTACTGCAGTTCAATGTGCTTGTATCTATATTGATTCAACATGGCAAAACAACTTGATCCTTACCCATGCTGCTTTGGGAGGTGGTGGTGATGACATCAAAATGGCTATTTTTGGATCTCACGGATTACATTCATTCCCACAGAACTTCCCATTGGTTACGCCATCATTCCTTGATGCCACGCACTTGTCTATCAACGAAGTTGCAAACGATTGTAATCAATGTGGTACATCTTGGGAATGTTTGAATATTTGTCTCGGTGCATTTATGCATGAAATTGGGCATTCCTTAGGTTGTCCCCATCAAGTAGATGGTGTCATGTTGCGTGATTATATTTGGTTTAACAGATCGTTCATGACTAGAGAAAATGAATGTTTGAGAAGAAAAACACGCGGAGAAGCTATTGCCACCAATGGAACTTGGCCAAAAGTATGTCATTGGAATAGATTAGATTTGCTTAGATTTTTGTTTCACGACTCGTTTGCTTTACCTATAGATAGATTTGGTAAAAACTTCAGTACCACAATTGAACCAAATGACAAATACCAAGATAACTCAGCTCCTAGTCTGTATGCTTTACCACTGAATGGTTCACTTGTCAAGTCTAGTTGTGGGATTTTCATGGTTGAGGTAATTTGGGATGGACTTGCCAGGTATCATAAAGAATTTTTGCCTCAAGAATATGGTGGTCCCGGTTTGCAACATTCTCTTGATCTTGAATTTGAAGATTTGTACAATGGCTTAAGAAGTCGTAAAGGAGACGCCAAGGACAGTTTTAATATTAGAGTTTTATCCCTTGGAGGTGATTTAAACATAAATAATTTTAAAGAGCATTGCTCCCGCCAACATCAGCAAGTAATTGAAAGTGATTTCGGGTTAGGCAGGGGCAAATTAACAGGATTTAAGAGTGCATGTTTAGGTCGTACTGATAATTTAAAAATGGAATATGTCGGTTTTGATCTTAGAACAGTATATAAAATCAGAATTTACCATGGTATGGCATTAGATGGTTTTAAATTGCACTATAGAACCGGTGGCTCCTGCAGTAATGGTGCACCACCAGTACCAAAAAGAGACTATTTATCCAAATTATTTCACGGTGGTTCTCACGAACAACAGAAACAACAACTCCATGGCGGTGAAGAAAGAACAGCATTGGTGGGGAAAGAAACGCCAAATTATTCTGATTTTGAATTGCAACCAAATGAGTATATAACTTCGTTCAATTTTAGAAATGGTGGTTGGATTGATGCTATTCAGTTTGCAACCAGTACTGGAAGATTTTCACCGATGTTTGGTAAAGCTTCAGGTGGACACTTATCAACATTAGAACCTCCAAGCCAGGACTTTGATATCGTAGGCTTCTACTTTTATTTAAATAAATGGTTGAGAGGAGTAGGTATTATATATAGTTCAAAAAATTAAGTCATCTTCGTCTTCTTCTTGTTGTTCATTATTATTAGTAATAGTATTGTCGTTGATATTGTAGTCATTGCCATCAAACTGTCTCTCCAAAACTTTATCCTTTGCCTGGTTGTACTCTATTGGAAATTTCTGCACAACACCCAAATGCTGTTTGCCCTTAAGAAATGGAATTGACGATTTACCCTTTGCACCGTTTTTTAGTCTTGCAATTCTTTGTTCTATATTGGTGATATCATTTCTCATTCGGTCAACTCTATTCTGTTTAGCATCTTCGGCCATACCAAAATTCTTTCCATATAGTAACTGTAGATTCCTCAATTTTTCAAGTAACAATTCCTTTTTCTCTATTATCTTTTGATTTTCATTGTTCAAGTTACCACTTATTTGTGTTTCAAGGACTAAAGATTTATCTATGTCAGCACAATCCAATGCTTGTGAAAGTGTGTCGGTGAAAAACTTGACATGATCCGCCATATTTCGAGATCCTGGTAAACGTGCATGCTCGAGATCATGACTTAGAATTCTACTTAAATCTTCATCGTCACTTATTAGGTAATCATCATCATCGTCGTCGTCATCATCATCATCATTATTATTACCTTCAGATGATGAATGTATCAGGTCTGTGGTTCTGTTTGGATAGTCTTGTGGACTTTCTGAAATTGATAAATCATCTATATCGCCGTCGTGTTCCTCGTCTGGGAATCTGTTAACCGGATGGTCTTGTGTATTATCATCATGGATCTCGGATTGACACGTTTCTCCAACAGGTGTATTTGTATCAGTTCTAGATTCCAGCATTGTTGACAGCTCTCTAATCATAAACAAAACATAGGATCGCCGTATACCCTGTAATGTAACAAAACAAAGGAAACGCAAAAAATAAGGCTACAGAATCCATACAAAAAAAATTATTAAACCTCGAAAAGCAAAAGAGAGAACGCTAAAAAAAAACGAGCGTAAAGAAAATCACCAACACCAAATCGGTCAATTTCCCTTTTTCTGTTTTTGTTGTCTACCTGGTAACACTAATTTCATCTACTTTAACATTAACCTTTTGCATTAATTGTCCGATCTTGGATTTTAGTCATGTCATCATTTCAATTACAGAATTCCGAAGTGTTGGCTCGTCTAAAGCCATTTGGGATCCTGTTTGAAAAATCACTTAACGATTTAATTAAAGGTATCCGAGCACACTCCAAAGAATCACCGGAAAGTTTGGCAAACTTTTTAGATGTAGCTATACAAGAGTGTCGAAATGAGTTAAGTACAACTGACTTGGAAACAAAGGCAATTGCCATTCTTAAACTTGCATACTTGGAAATGTATGGGTTTGATATGTCATGGTGTAACTTTCAAATTCTTGAAGTAATGTCTTCAAGCAAGTTTCAACAAAAAAGAATTGGGTATTTGGCTGCTATACAATCATTTAAGAACGAACAAGATTTACTTATATTGGCTACCAATCAGTTTAAAAAGGATCTTAATTCCCATAACCATGTTGATATCGGCTTGGCTTTAAGTGGAATTGCCACAATTGTTACTCCTAATTTGGCCAAAGATATTAATGATGATGTATTGATGAAGCTAAACCATTCCAAACCTTACGTTAGAAAGAAGGCTATTTTAGCAATGTACAAGATATTCTTACAGTATCCAGAGAGTTTAAGATTAAATTTTCACAGAGTCATTGAAAAATTGGACGATGCAGATGTGGCAGTGGTAAGTGCTACTGTTAATGTTATTTGTGAGATATCTAAGAAGAATCCAAATATATTTATTAATTACTTGCCAAAATTTTTTGCAATTTTGGAGGATACAAAAAATAATTGGTTAATCATACGAATTTTGAAATTGTTTCAAAGCTTGTCAAAAGTAGAACCAAGAATGAAGAAGAAAATTCTTCCAAGTATTATTGATTTGATGGTTAAAACGCAAGCTTCATCCTTAATTTACGAGTGTATCAATTGTATTGTCAATGGAAACATGCTTTCACATGATTCCTATAAAGATCAAGAAACTGCTAAACTTTGTGTCAACCAGTTGATGAATTTCTTCAAAACCAGGGACTCCAATTTGAAATTTGTTGGGTTGATTGCATTGATCAATATTTTAAAGATATTCCCAGTCTTTATGACCAATGTGGATGGTGTTTCTGCAGTTGTCTTGGATTGCTTGAATGATCGAGACTTGATTATCAAAAGGAAAGCATTAGAGGTTTCGAATTATCTCGTAGATGAAGACAACATCACTGACGTGGTTAAGACCATGTTGCTTCAGTTAGTTCCAAGTGATGCCCTAGTTGACGATTCGTTGAAAGTGGAAGTAACAATGAAGATTCTTCAAATTGCATCTCAAGATAATTATGCAAACATTCCAAACTTTAGATGGTATGTTGCTGTATTGAAAGATATTGTGAACTTGACATTATTACCAGTACCAAACTCCTCTGGAAATACTGGTGCTATTTCACCTGTGGTTGCAAATGAGATTGCTGTTGCGCTTGGAAATGAATTTAAGAATTTGGCAACTAAAGTTCCATCCATTAGGGCATATTTGTTGAAAAAAGTAGTCATAGAATTTGTGCAAGATGTAAGAATTATGGAATCGTCGTCGTTGATTCTTCAAGACCTTTATTGGATATTGGGTGAATATATTGGCGAATTGAATATCACTAGCGAAAATGATGATGACGAAGACAATGATGAAGAAGAACAAGAGTCGGGTTCGGTCCTGAATTTAGATGAAAAAATCAAAGTTTTCAATACGTTGATAAACCACAAGATTGACAGTGACTTAGGATTGACGATCAATTCCCATTTTCCTATCTCTGCAGAACTTGTTAATTTACCATATCAATCAGTCATAACGGTTTTGATACAAAACTTTGGTTAAGTTGTATAATGGTATTGTAACCGACTATACCAGGCATTTTTCTGCTAACGACCAACTTCCGGTTGTGAAGTACAATGAATTATGCTACCATTTATACCGTCTAATAGGTTTCTTGAGTAACTACGAAAGTCATCCGAATTACGAAGTACAAGAGAGAGCAATGTCATGGTTGGAATTTTTGAAATTGGGATTAGAAGCAATGGTAGATAATGACCTTAGTGCTATCATGAAACTTGAGAAGACAGATTTAGAATATTACAAGCATTTGAAGGTAAGACGTACAATCCAAGCAGGATCAGACTCTGAATCTGGTTCAGATGATGATGAAGAAGAAGAAGAAGAAGAAGAGGAAGATAGCGATGACGATAATGAAGAGAACGCATATAGTGATTCGAGTAGTGAAGATGAGTATGAAAACTTGGTGTCTTCAGATGATGAACACGAGGAAAACAGACCTGCTCCAATGATTGAAGAAGAGTATAATCCGTTTGCAGAAAATGAAACTGTGGAAAACCATCCAGTTGGGGAAGAAGATGTTACTGAGAGTTGTGATGTTGGATTTAAGAAATTACCGATGTTGGTTAGTCATATCTTACCATCATTTTTTTCAGCATATGCACTCAACCCAGTTTCTAAGAATGCACAACGTAATATTGTTATTCCAGATGATATAGACTTAACTACTGAACTTTGTTCACCAGAGTTTGTATTGCAGAATTTTGATACCGATGTATCGGATAATTATGATTTGTTCTTATCCGAAGAAGAGCAAGAAATTGATCAACCATTGATTCAGTTGACTAGTGACGAGCAAAATGAAAGTAAAAGGGAAAGGTTGGAAAGAATTAAAGATGATCCTTATTATATTGAAGACTCGATCAAACCAAAGAAGAAAACCAAATCCAAGAAAAGGGCATCTGCTAGTGTTAGTCCAGATACTCAAAGTGATATTATTTCAATTTCAACCAATGAAACCAAGCAAAAGTCTAGCAAAAAAACATCCAAATTGAAAAAGGAAAAAGTGCTTATTTTGGACGAAGAAACTGTTGCAGGAAGTCCTAGCATTGACACACCTTTGGAATCTATTAGCGTTAAACCAAAGAAGAAATCAACAAAGAAGAATATGTTGAAAATTGATTCTTCGAATTTGGACAATTTTGATTTGAATGTAAATGACAATGAAGTAACAACACAGAATGACAACGAATATGAAATAGATTTGGAAGCTCTTCGTGAAAAATTAAATCAAACTTCATTAGCAGAAGGAGCAGAAAAGAAGAAAACAAAGAAAAAGAAGACCAAGAAGTCAGTTGAAGGAGCTAAGGTAACTCTTGAAGGAGAAGCTATTGCTGTTAAGCCGAAGAAAACGAAAAAGAAGAAGAAGGCGGTCATTCTAGAATAAAATAGTACACTAATATTGATCATTTAGTTTACAGTTACGAAATGCCAGTTATATAGAATATAAATCAAAAAAATAAAAGAATTAAATGATATATCACTGTTACAAATGTATCAAGGGAACATCTACAAACAAACAAACAAACAAAAAATGTCTAAAAACTATAACAATGATTAAACACGCAAGTCAATGCACAATATACAAAATGTATCACTCTATTATTTTGATCCATTTAATGGGGTAGTTTCAGTTACAATTTCTTCGTCAGTAGTTTCATCAGCTTTAGGTGCGTATGGGTTTTGTCCTAATTTTGAGATTGGAGTTCTTGAATAACCAATCTTCTTCAAGGTTTTGACCATATCATCTCTGATATTGTTACAAAGGTTGGTGACATCCTCATTGGATTCAATATTGGCTGTAGAAACAGGTGGTAAGACTTCGATTTTAATTTCACCCGTGTTGAAAATTTTTCTCTTAGAATTGAAAATTGGAGAAGTGTTGGATACAACAACTGGGATAATTGGGATACCTGCTTCTTTGGCTAAATGGAAAGCACCTTTTTTAAATTGTAACATTTCCAATTCTTCTGAACCTGATCTTGTACCTTCTGGGAATATAAACAAGGCTCTTCCTTTATCTTTCAATTGGAGCAAAGCACTGTTCAAAACCTTTCTAGCAGCAGCACTCTTGCTTCTATCCAAAAAGAAAGTTCCCGATAAAGCCATAAACCAACCCAAAAATGGTACGTATTTCAAAGATTTCTTACTAGTGACAGTGTAACCTGGTTGGAAAATTTGACCCAAAACGAAAATATCCAAAGCAGATTGATGATTTGAAATAACAATAGCTGGGAGATCTTTCAAGTATTTCTCATTCTTCATGGTAATTTTCAATCCCAAGAATAAGTTAAAGGTATAATAAAATGCCCTGGCAACAGTATATTGAGCATATTCACCTTTACCGATAAGTCTTAAAATTATTGATGCAAACACACCATACAAGGCACACCCAGCAATAAGGGTTCCAAAGATCACTGATTTCAAGTAGAATTTAACCTTACCAAGGAAAGTTGTTTTAAGAACTGACATAACTCTTGCAATTCAATAAAGAAAACCAAATTTGTAGATATAGTATAAGCACAGTGTGATGGAAAATGAAGGATTGAAGGAGTAGAACAGAAGAAGAAGAGAAAAAAAATCAAGAGTTTATATTCAGACTCGGTAACTGTTTGCGTGTGTGTGTGTATAATTTTTCTTCTTTTCTACGGCGTGATAATCAGCCCAACAAAATTGTTGTCTTTTTTTTTTCTACAAAACCCAAAAGTCGTGCAGTAATGTGATAATTTCCTTTTTCAGATATTAATTTCAAAGCATGGAACTGGGTAAAGAGATATACAATTTAATTGTCCTGGGTAAGGCAACATAAACAATGATTATCAATGTGTACGTTTGTAAATATATTTCTGAACTATATGATGTTTATATACGAAACAAGAAGATATCGTAAGTTCTTAATTTCATTCTCGTATCCAGGCAACACCAACAATTCCTACTTTGCTTCAAATGCTGCAATGGTAGCCTCAGTGATTTTCTCAGCTGATTGTGGGTTAACACCAGTAACAATTCTATCATCTGTGACAGTGAAGCTTTCCCATGGTCCTGATGGTTCGATGTAAGTAGCACCTTCTTTTTCAGCAACTTGTCTCATGGTTAACAAAGTTATCTCTTTTCATTTATATCTGCAACACCCCAAGATTTCTTCACCAATATCGGTAAACCCGGTGATTTTCTTGCCTTTGATCAATGGTTCACCTGTTTTCAAGTTTTTCATATTGTCAAAAATAATTGGTCCGTGACACACTGCAGCAACAATCCCACCTTTATCATAAACAGTCGAGGCGATTAATTGTAAGCTTTTTGACTTTGGATAATCAAATAAAGTACCATGGCCAGCACTTGCAAAAAAAATATCATAATCATTTGGATCGAGATCGGAAGCCTTTTTAGTCTTCTTCAATGCCTGGTTGTAATCAGAATTAGGATCTTCAAATATCTTTCTATTTTCCCCATTCAAAAAATCAGGGCTTATTCCGTAATCGTCATAACCGAAAGAGCCAGTTTCAGAAGCAAATTGAACCTCGTAGCCTTTCTTTTTGAACTCTTCAAATGGATGTAACGCTTCGATAGTAAAAACCCCGGTTTTCTTACCATCAGGATAAAAAACGGGATCTTCAGATGTAAGAGCAAGTAAAACTTTGACCATTGTATAGATGATTGTAATGAATTAATAAAACAAGAAAAATGGGAAACTGTCCATCTTGACATGGAAATTGTAACTATTTATATAGTTTGTGATTTGTAAGCATTTAAGAAAAGTTGGTGGAAAATCTTTGTGGAGAAGAAGAAATGGGGGTATGGAAAAATGTTATTTCATGTTGACGGAAAAATGTTATTTCAGGTTCTATGTATGGAAACAAAACTTTTTGATTTGTAAGCAACACAAACAGCAACAGGAAGCGTTGAGTATATAGAAACAAGTCGTGTCGCTCAATTGCGGACTAAGATCGGCTCTATGGGTTATGTCTAAATGGGTTTATGAAGCAGTGTTGTTTGTGTGACGAAAAGATCAAAGAAGGGGGCATGTCACCCAATATTAAGTCATGTTTACATATGCCTAATTGGTCAAGAACCTGGTCAGGAATCAATGATTTGTAGAACTCTACGACTAAACACATGTAGTGAGAGTCGACAAATACAAACTGTTGTTCGATATTGGAAAACTATAAAAACAAAAAACAACAATTTGTGTATATATTAATTGTGCTAGAAATGGGGTGAACTCATGAAGAATTCAATGTTAGTATCGAATACGGGGGGGCCTGACAGGGACATGGCTGCTTTACCGCACCGCCCACATTCATAAAAAAGCCAAACGGTTAACAAATTCGTACCTACAACTCAGAGACTCTTTAAACCTAAAGGCTGCATTGAACGTAAAGTAAAGAAGATGATGCAGCCCAAAGTTCATTTTGATTTGACTGGTCGTGCGGGGAGACGAAAACAGTTTTGTACACGTGATATATTGTGACCTGATAGACTTGGTAATGATATATTTGAAGTCTAAAAGCAGCACATCAGTGGAGTAGGGAGGACGACCGTAAATAGTATACCTATAACAAGAATATTAACGTCTTAATATATATCTATATATATATATTGAAATCAAAGTACTAAAACAAAAGAAACTAAACTACTTAAGATTCATCTTGTTCATCCAATGTCTTGAAGATCATTGGTTTGGTACCAGCAGGATATTGAATACCATTAGAAAGCAATTTAGAGAAAGCCTTGGCAAAGTCTTCAAAGAATAAATCTTGATCCTCAGCATACATCTTGACATACTTCAAAAAGTTGGAATCTTCCTTCAAAGCCATATCAGTTGGCAACATCATAAATTCGTTGGTTTCATCATCTTCATACTGTTTCTTACCATCCCATTTCTTAACATGCCAATCACCCAACAACATGGTATAAAAGGTGTTAGTAAAAGCATTAAAAGAGGGACCCCATGCACCATCATAACCAGAGAAGTGGCGGTGACAACGGCCAAGGACGTGTGCCCCAAGAAGAGCTACGATTTCCCTATCGTTGAAACCCTGGCGGTCAAAAATCTTTCGGACATATTCTGCATCCTTAGAGGCATCTGGAAGGCGACCATTGGGTGGGACGTTGGTCGTTTGATCCACCCTTCCTGGACTCCAACTGATGGAGGGACCTCCAGACTCTTGGACGGCGCAAACGCCACCCAAGGTCCACAAGTCGCCTCGTGAAATCCATGGGAACCTAACCAAAAACTCCTCTAAGAATGCACGACCAATTTGTAAACCAGCATTTTCAGGGTCAAACTCTTCTGGGGAGAAAATCATAGTACCACCGTAAGAACCACCAGTGTTGTCGGACTTGTCATAAGTTCCAGAATTGTGCCAAGCTAATCTAACCAAAACCCCGTAGAACCCATCGTTGTGATCAAATTCCAAATTTTCGCTTATCTTAGTAGCGATAGCATTGTAGACTTTTTGGTAGTCTTCTTGAGTCTTTCCATCTGGAACCTTGGCCAATTTCATGTTTGGAACAGTACCACCAAACAAAGACATCAATGTCTTGTTAGAAGAAGAATTGCCATTCTTGTTGTTGTTGTTGTTGTTGTTGTTGTAGAAATACGTAGCAATTGCGGTTGAACCAGCAACCCCTAAAAATACTTTGGCAAATCTGCCGTAATTGAGCCTAGTTGAATTCTTGGAGACTTTACCAATATTTGCAGCAATTGAAGCCATTGTGAATAATGATTGATAAAGTAAAATTAAAGAAGTAGAAAAGGCAGAATAGACCGAAAAATGGGGAATGCTCAGCTATTTATAGTTTTCTGTTGAAAAGATTTTAAATGGGGGGAGAGATAATACAGCGTGATTGTTTTTGTTCGAGAAAATTAAGAGAAAAAAGAAGATTTCCTTAGTCTGGTATTACATGAAGGGGAAGTTTCATGTAGAGTTTGTTATTGTTATTTAACAATAGGGAAAGGTCTTTTCTTATTTACTTTTCCCGCATTCATGCACCGGGTTAGTTCTCAGATAATATTCTTACTGTCTAGATCATACAAAAGTTTAGTAATCAATAAAATACAATTTAGGCTCACGATTCAACAAATCCATAAACAAAGAGCTAAAGGCCCACAAAACCAGTTGAGCTCAAAATCAAAATACTCTAGAATTTTCGTTGAATTTATAATTGCGATGCGAGTATCACAACCAAGACCACAAGATATCTACATTTATCATATTACAGTAAAGGATACCACCTGGTGCCACGTTGATATTACTGAGCATGTTATTAATGAGATAGCCTTACATGGTTGATGTTCTAGATTTTTTTTTTTTGACTGGCTTCCTTACATTAGTAAATCACGCAAAATTTTGCAGCACGAATTTTTCTTATTTTTTTTTTCTTTTTTTTTTCTCTCACCCCCAATTGTTCTCTCCTGTTCCATGCCAAAGATAATACAATTTAAACCAGCGCTGATTGGCTCTAATACTTTGTGCTTAACAATATTATTATATATATATATAATTACAGAGTACACCATCACTTATACATTTATACGGGCTTCATCGCCTTCTGCTAACTTCTCATCAAGCAATTTCTCAATAACCGTAGCATCTGTGTATACAAATGACCCTTCTTCATTATATGTTTTAGCATTGAGACACATTTGTTTTAATTCGGCAATAAATTCTTCAAAAGATGCAAACTTATCTTGATTCAATTGTTTTTTCACTTGATTGATAGAAACTGGTTTCTTGATAATCAGGTAATAATCTGGGTACAATTTTCTCGATGGCAACTTGATGAAAATATCACTCAAGTTGTGTCCATCATTTTCATCAGTCAAAGCTGTGATTTCATCAATGACCCCTAAACATTTAGCAACAAACCCATCCACGACTTCCTCCTCTTCTTCTTCTTCCTCTTCTATCCCATTGACGCCATCTTCAATATGAGGTAATGGAGTTCGCTCACGACGTTGTCTTTTGCGTGGTTGGGCAGCTTCTGCAAAGTCAACATCGTCTTCTTCACCAACTTCATCATCCTTAATGTCTTCTTCCAATAACCCTTCTCTTATAGCCTTGTTTCTCTTTCTCTTGGCCATTCTGCGTTCTTTACGTTTGATGGCGTCTTCAACAGTGTCATTGTCATCATCCATTGCTCTAAGCCATTGTTCTTCACTCAATCCATCATCATATCTAACACGTTTTTTCTCTCTCATTTTAGTCAACTCCTTGTTGTCCTTTTCAAAATGCTTTGAAATATCTTCAGTAAATACACTAGGCAATTCATCTTTTTCAATCAATCTCGACTTGAGATTAACATCATTGAGTTTTCGTTCTTCATCCATAGCAGCAAACAACGCCTTCTCTTCTTCACTACGTGCCAAAATTTCGTTCAATTCATCGTCCTCCAAAGAGTTGTCTTCCTCGTTAACGGCATCAGTAGCCGATGCTGTGATTAAACTCATCAACATTGCTTCTTGCTCTTCGGGTGTGGATTTATTATCAAACTTACCAGCTTGAATAACTTTACCATCAATATCCAACTTCTGGTGTGCTCTTTCCAAAATCATTTCTTCAACAGAATCATTGGTAATCAATCTCAAAATACGCACCTCATTCTTTTGACCAATACGATGGGCTCTATCTTGAGCTTGCAAATCTTGATGAGGGTTCCAATCGGTATCAAAAATAACAACGGTGTCAGCTGTTTGTAAATTCAAACCTAAACCACCGGCTCTAGTAGACAAAAGGAAACAGAAATACTCAGAATCAGGGGCGTTGAACACTTTCAACATATCTTGACGGTCTTCAGCTTTAGTACCACCATCCAATCTCAAATATTTCATATTTCTCCATCTGAGAAAATCTTCCATAATATCCATCACTTGAGTCATTTGGAAAAACATCAAAACACGATGGCCCGATTTCTTGAATTTGGGTAATATTCTGTCCAATAGCTCAAATTTACCTGAAACTCTCCAAATGAGATCGTTGGTCAACCTCAGTGAATTTAATACCGCCTCCACTTCTTCAAAAACAAACGGATGGTTACATATTTTTCTTAATTGCATAATCTTGTTGTTCAAACCTTTGATACCACTCTTGGCACCACCAACATCGGCACCAACAAACAATGCATTGTGTTTCAACATCTGTTGATACAACACGTATTGCAACCCGGACAAATTACATTTCAAAACCTTTTCCACCTTATCCGGCAAATCTTTCTCAACATCTTTCTTCAATCTTCTCAAAAGGAAAGGTCTAAGAACTTTGTGCAATCTTCGAATGATCAACAACGATTCTTCTTCTGTCAACTCAATCTTCTCTTGATTACCTGTATTTGCAAATGGCGTGTTGAACCAATCATCAAAGGATTTGACTGAATTAAAAATACCCGGCAAAACAAAATTCAACAATGCCCATAATTCCGGTAAATTATTCTGCAACGGGGTACCGGTTAAAATCAACCTATTCTTGGTCTTGTAATAAGTTCGCAAAGTCTGCGACAACTTTGATTGTGAGTTTTTCATTCTATGACCTTCATCAATAATCATGTGTGAATAATGAAATTTTGCTAACAAGGGACGTTCACGGATAATATACTCGTATGTGGTCAACAAAACTTGGAAATTGCCATATCTTATTTCCGGTTGCAACGATCTTCTTTGTTGTTGTGAACCTTTGTAAACAATCACTTTAACAGATGGTGCCCATTTTTCAAATTCCAAAGTCCAATTGGTAATCGTAGAAAGTGGCACAATGACCAAAAACTTGCTTTCATGTTTCTTTTCAATAAGATAAGTAATCAATGAAATCGATTGAATGGTTTTACCCAAACCCATCTCATCTGCCAAAATACCGTTAAGATGATTATTATACAACGACACCATCCATTCCAAACCTTTCATTTGATATTCCTTTAATTTACCACCAACCAAAATTGTTGGTTGTTCTTCAATCTTTTCTTTAATCTTATGAGCAACATCATAATAATCGGTCTTTTCACGCAAGTCGGCTTTGTTATCGGCAACAGCAGCAGCAACGCCTCCAGTCACATCAATAGTAATAGCATCAGGACTTGCGCTTCTTGGTGTGGCAATTGCACTGCCACCAGATTCCTGTTGTTGAGCTTTAACTTTCTCTGTCAACGAATCCAAGAATTGATTAGTTTGTTTCAAAAGATGAGTAATTCTATGGTCCTTAGTTTCGTCCAATAATTTAAGATATGCGTCTTCATCGTTTGCACGCAAAGCTTGCAATCTCTGCTTGGCTGTTCTTTCCAACTTCTTACTTTCTTCCTTTTCAGTGGTTTGGTGGAAATTGTTAATTTGTTTATGCAAATAATGGCCACGGTATGTGTCTCTGGTGAACTTCATGGTACCTCGTTGGATTGAGCTTTCCAAAATTTGTTGAACTTTTTCAATATGCTGTTGACGCTTGACTTCTTTAGCCTTTAGTTTCTTGGACTCTTCCAATTGTATAGCCAACAATTGTGGATTTCTCTGTTCTATTTTTGGTCTTACATTAAACGATCTCTTCTCCAGCAACGCAAGTGGGGTGGATTTTAAATCAGGGTTGACATATTTCACTTGTTGTGATTCATGAACCAACACATTATGTCTCAAAAGCTTCTGCTTGGCTAATAACTTGATTGCCTTAAGTTCAATCAAAGCTTGAATCTTCAAATTATCAACTTTAGTGTCATCCCCAAATGTCCCGATATTAGCTGGTAAATTCTCCAATTCTTTCAATCGTTGAGATATCTTATTACTGATTATTTTTTCAGCTTCTAAAGTACCCAATGCAGCTGATGCCGGCTCATTTTCCTTGGTAGCTTTCGCTACACCAAAAGCTTCAGCTTTTTTCTCAAAATCGGTTTCCATTTGCAACAATTTCAGTAAGATTTTATCTACCAAGTCATCTTTGTTAACATTACACTGAGTTTCTTTAAATTCAGATTGTAAACTCTCCGGAAGATCGTAGTCTCTACTCAACAACAAGAGCCCTGCGATCTGCTTCTCAAATAACTCATTGTCAAAATCCTTTACTGTCTCGGTGGTATCCACGGTAAGTATTTCATTCATGAACTCTTCGTTTTCTTTGACAAATTGATCATGTTCCAAGCTAACTTGACCTAATACTTTTTCTATTTTCTGTTTGAATTCAATATTATCATCTTCAAACTTCTGATCTTCCAGATTTTCAGATTCACCTTTAAGTTTCTTGGTTTCAAAAAGAAGTTTGTAATATCTATCTAATAAAGTACCTAATTGCTCTTTGGTACTTGGGTAACCAATTTCATTTGATTCTTGTTTTGCAGTGGGAGATTCAGGTAGATTCTGAGTTGATAATGCACCGCTTGAACCATTACCATTCATAATAACAGTTCCATTCATGATGTTCTATTAGTATAATAAATAACAGTGCCAAACTATCTTCTTCTTTGTTCTTTTTTTTTTATTTTTTTATCAAAAACAAGTACTATGTAATGAGTGTACTATTTGATTATAGATGCTATTCGTGTAAATAAAAATACAATTAAGAATGGGGAATTATGAAATACGCCAAAGCAGTGTTTCAAAATAAAATAAAAAATTACAGTATTAAATAATAATAAAAAAAAAAACTGCAAACGTCTTTGCCTTTCTATGTATATCACAAAAGGGTGTGTGTTGGATGCTTGGTGGCTATTAAATCTTGAAAATACCTTGATGGATTATCTTTGATTTCAATAGTTTGGTTGTAAAAAAAAATTGTTGTTGTTTTTGTCTGTAATCTGAATATAGAGGTTTTTTTTTTCGTTCATTCTTGTTTTTTTTTTTCGTCCCTTCTCAGTTCAGAATTCAACCAACAGAAAAAATGTGCCAATGAACACTACCTGTGTCTTTTTTCATCAACTCCAACTGTCCATGTAGTATTATAGGACTTCCTAGGCATATAAATGTATGAAGATGATAGATTTTATGATGTCAGAACGATTTGGAAGTATTTCTAACTGGTATACAAGAAACCACATGTATAAAGAGAGAAAAGACTATTTTCTGAATTGAAGAACTTTGATTGGTTCCTTCTCCGGTTCGGAAATGTTACCTGATGTCTCCTTTTTCTTAGAGTTGTGACATCCATTGACCATTGAGTACTATTGAGTTCATTTCATGATATCCTCATCATCTGTTTACCTACTACAACATCTGATTATGGTCGATAAGAATGGAATATAATCGATCCCATAATCATGAACGAGCACGAAGAATACAAAAATGCGAAGTACAGTTTTTTTAAGTGAATTTTTTAATTTTTTTTTTTTTTCAGAATAAGACCACTCCAATTCATATACTCTTCTTTTTCTTTTATAGTTCATACACACATATCAGTTTCTTATTCACATCCAACTATGTTTTCATTAGGAGTTCAAAGCAGACTTATGACCAGAAGATCATTATTTAGATCATTCAGATTTAACTCAACTACTACTGCTCCATCAAAATTAACATGGGTTGATTACTTTCAAATGAAAAAGCAAAATACCAGAATCAACACTATTGCTGGAATTTTCACTGGTTTTGGTGGTGCTTTTATTACATTGAGTTACTTGGGTAATATTGAAATAGATGTTGAAAAACCAATCATGGGTTTTGATCCATTAATGATTATGGGAGGTGCCGTTGTTTTAGGGGGATTGGTTGGATATTTAGTTGGTCCATTTATTGGTTCATTTGTGTTCCGTATGAAAAACAGAGCTAATTTGAAACAATTTGAACTTAGAAACAGTGAATTTTTAACTAGACTTAGAGCTAACAGACCAGATCCATCATCTCAAAGTTTCTCCAACCCAATCCCAGATTACTATGGTGAAAAAATATACTCCTTGAAGGATTACAAACAATGGTTGAGAGATTGTAATGCTTTTAGAAGAAAAGCCAAAGAATTCCTTTAGATGGATGTCTATAATGACAATATCAAACGAACCGTGTATATATCTATATTACTTTCGTACTTCAATACATATTCGGGAAAAATGTCAAAGTGAAGAATTACAGAACGACTCAAGATAAACTAAATATACCGAATAAATTCAATTATACTTTCTACAAAGCCGAGATGTCTGAAGAAGAAGTGTACTTGACTTGAGCCAAGGAAATGGTCTTATCGTCCAAATCATACACAATATAAGCTCTTCTTAAGAAATTATCTCCCAAAATGTTAGCATCATTTCTGGAAATTCCAAAATAGCAAATTGAGCTGTCACTGTCTTTAAGAATCAATTCGGAAAGGGGAACAGTAATTTTAACACCTTGATCAAAGTTGAAAACTGCGTCACCAGAAAGGTCACATGAAGGCAAACGGTAAATTTCGTTTCTGCTATCCCAAGTGGCCCCGACAATTCTAGCAAACTTGTCAGCAGTACTTTGCGAAAAGTATGTAATTGTGGTACCAGAGTCCAAAACAACATCAGCGTTGGTAGAAACGCTTGTTCCGTCAAAATTAATGGAACCCAAATGAACTCTTAATTCAACTGATGAAGTCACAGGTAAAGCAGTCAAAGTCCCGGTATATTTGGCATTATCAACACCGCCAAAGATGATCTTACCAGTAGAAGCATCTTCAGAGTTCAAGTACAACGAATAGGCATTCTTGTTGATGATACCTTGTTTCTTCAAAGTAACTGGCACATTGTCATACAGATTGTATCCAGCTTCATCAGCAGTGAAACCAATCCCCATGATACCTTGATCAACAGAAGTTGTAGTGACATCAGCAAATTGTTGATTCTTAATAGAAATACCTCCAAAACCAACGGTGTCTTTGTAAAAACTACCTTGAGACGAAGTCAAGTCTCCATACTCAATGGAGAAATCTTGGTTCAAGTTTTGAGCAGAACTAGAAGAAGATGGATCAAAGGTTCCTTCTTGTTTGCAAAAATTGTTGGTTTGTCCAGAGTAAGTAACTTGGCACTCGGCATCGGTATCAACAACCCACAAATCAGAAGAACCGGTGTCAATGACAACAGTTTGCTTTTGTTGGTTGGAACCAACAACAATATCAGCAGCATATGATGGACCCTCATTGATCAATGTAGTTGGCACATCACTTCTCTTTTGAATGAGCCTATGAGCAGTGGCATTGAACGGTTTTCTAATAACAGTAAAATCCAAAGAAACAACCTTGTCGGTTCTTTTCTCAATACCATCTGGGATAGTAAGACCTTGAGCAAACAAAGCAAAAGCAAGAGCAATAAAAACGTTTTTAGTGAATAAGAAAATGGTAGCCATTTTTTGTGATAGTAATAGTAGTTAATAATGGAATAAAAATTAGAACCAAATCCAACCTTGAAATATGATTGGGACATGGGTATTTATATTACTTTACTTTGACTTCCTTTTTCATTAATTCCGTCACCTCCTAGTCCTCCATCTACAATAACAACAAAAAAGTGGAGCCGTTCATTTCTATGGGCAATACTTGAATAATTGTGGTTCTAGTTTTGATATCAAGGTTAGCTTATCGTCAAAAAGAAAAACAATGAAAGCATAAACTAAAACTCAGATTATTTAACATTTTATACATGAACGTTAATTATATAATCCGTTTTGTTGAAAAAAATCCAAAGAATTTCAAATACAGGAGATCTGCATTCTAAATGATAAGAAAATCTGGTAAGGCACAGCACCATGAATTTGGAGCGTGGAGAAATGTTTAATGTACGAATATACTCAAGATAAAGCTTTAGAGAACTGATTGCTGCAAAATAATGCACATGTTCTTGGTAATGTTCTCACTAAATAATCTAAATACCCCCCTGCCCCCACATAAGAAGAGATGACAAAAAAATGAATAACCCAGTTTATAGAATTTCAATTTGATGCCTCATATATGCAAATTGTTCTAAGTTTAAGGGGAAATCAGTTGCACCCATCGGAATAAGGAAAATAAAAAAAATATCGAATCACATCAAATTATCATTCGGGAAGCACCCAAACAGAAATTTGTATCACCTTTTTGATGCCGTTCAATTCAATTTGTAATTGGTGTGAATTTCCAAACCGACTTGCGCAATTCATGTTTGAACAATAGGTATGAAGAGCAATTCATTGTGTATACTTGATTCCACAAAAGCATTCAGTTCCTACTTTGACTTTCTTCTCTCTCGCCCCCTTTTTTTTACTTGGCACGTCAAAATAAAAAGGTAACTCTATGAATCTTGATGTCAAAACTATACTACCACTTGTATGTTGGTAGAATGAAAAGAACTAACTTGCGGAATATCAATTGTAGACAAATAGAAACACTATAGCACAGATAACTAGATTTCAAGGGTGAAAGGCAACGTCTGTGTCAATCAAATCTAAGCCACAATTTGGAGCACGGTTGCGCGCTGCATTTTCTGAAAAGCAAATTACTAACAAACACTTCCGAATAGGTGTATCTACAAATGTTATCACAAGATATCCATGGTTGTTTAGAGTATTGTATTGTTTGATAAGTGCTTTTAATAAACGGCATCAATATTTACCGTATGGAATGGCATCAATATTGCACATCAACTAAACTCAGCAACGCTTAATTGTTTAATATGAACACACTTTTTAGTATCATATTTCAACAAATTTATGATAAAAAACGCAAATATTGGATAATTGAATAATCAAAGATGTATTAGAATATTTATTTATGTCCCACGTTTATTCCAGTAAAAAGAAGAGAAATTTACCAGTAAATAATAATTTTCACATTAATGACCACTCAAGTAGATGGGTGACAAATGTGTGATTTTTGTATCGGTTTTAAGAGAGTCTATTAAGATTATCTATATCTGTTAAGGAATTGGTTTTGAAGAGTACTTACTTTCGATACACGATTGATTTGTTTACTACACCAATAAATGTTGTCATAAACCACATGTGTTCAAAGCATCACCGAACTATTCAAATAGTTCAGCGGTTCTTACCAAGCTCCGTAGTGTAGTGGTATCGCGCGAGGCCCATAACCTCGAGATCCCAGGATCGAAACCTGGCGGAGCTATTTTTTTTGAATGGTTTAACTTTTTGTATCATGTTGTAGTGCAGTGAATAGCTCTTTGAGTAACTCTTACTTTTTTCTCTTTTTTTCTTATAAATGTGTTTGGTTGATGGTAGCCATCGAAGGCGCACCAATATTTATGGGTTCTTACCGCTTATGATTCTGTCCACTAGTTTATTACGACTTATGTTGGTGGAGGGAAACGTCCAATGTGGAATGGACCAAGAGTGTAAGATAACTTGTGGTCAATTATACTAGGTGTGCTTCGCTTGGTTGTACTTTATTCATGTGTTAATGTAAATTTTGTCAATAGTTTGTTTTGGTAGAAGGGCGTGCACACTTTCAATTTCCCACAACTCTGACAAGAGTTTGCCATTTTTTTTCTTATTGCTTTAAGCAATTCTCATTCCCCGTACTAGAATATCCTACTTCCAGTATTGACCATTACTTCGATCACACATACACAATGTCACAAAGATTTGCTGATCTCATATCCAAGATTGCCTTACCAGCTGGTTTGACCATTGCCTTGGCACAAGCATCCATGTATGATGTCCCAGGAGGTAAAAGAGCTGTGATCTTTGATCGTTTAAAGGGGGTTGAACAAAAAGTCATTGGTGAAGGTACCCATTTCTTGATTCCTTGGTTACAAAAAGCAGTTATCTTTGATGTCAGAGTAGAGCCTAGAGTTATTACCACCACCACTGGGTCTAAGGATTTACAAAATGTCTCATTAACATTAAGAGTTTTAAGCAGACCAGAAGTGAGAAAATTGCCATTTATTTATCAAAACTTGGGTTTGGACTACGCGGAAAGAGTGTTGCCTGCCATTGGTAATGAAATCTTGAAGTCCATTGTTGCCCAATTTGATGCAGCAGAATTGATTACCCAAAGAGAAGTTGTTTCTGCTAGAATAAGACAAGAATTATCAAGAAGAGCAGATGAGTTCAACATTGAATTGGAAGATGTTTCCATCACCCACATGACATTTGGTAAAGAGTTCACGAAGGCTGTTGAACAGAAACAAATAGCCCAACAAGATGCAGAAAGATCCAAGTATCTTGTTGAAAAGGCTGAACAAGAAAAGAAGGCAGCTATTATCAGAGCAGAAGGTGAAGCTGAAGCAGCTGATCTTGTGTCGAAAGCATTGGCCAAAGCTGGTGATGGGTTATTGATGATTAGAAGATTAGAAGCCTCTAAGGATATTGCCACAACATTAGCCAATTCTCCAAATATTACATATTTGCCAAATGGTGACAGTGGTAAAGGTGGAGACGGATCAAATAACTCATTGTTGTTGAACATCGGTCGTTAAAAGATGAATACCGCATATGTATTTTTTTTTTATTATTTGTAGATAGTAATATATTCAAGGATTTGTATTAACTAGATATTTGGGGTAACGGTTTCGTATTTTGCTACAGATTCATTTGCCTTGATGAGCTTTGGTTCTTTGGAAATATCCTCTGCCCATTTATTCAAATTTGGATAATCCCTCTTGAGATCACCAGCACCCATTCTTTCAACAGCACCTGTGTTTTGAAATAAATTAACACAGAGTGGAAACTGTAAAATAATATCAGCTGCAGTTAACTTATCACCAACAAAGTATTTACTACCTCTATCATGTTGTTTTTTGATAATATCATCCAAGAAAGATAAATTCTGTTTAACATTTGGAATGTAAAATTGACTATCAATTCCATGAACCAATAATCCCATTAAAAACCTTGTACCAAATGGAGCTTTTGTTTTTGCAAATCCGTGAACTAACAATGCAACCAAATTTGGTTGTAAAGTACCCTCGGTATAGTGCAAGAAATAATCAACTTCGTCTTGTAAATCAGGATCAACAGGGGTTAAAATATTTGAAGTATCATAATTTTTCAAAAGGTAACTGAAAATATGACCCGTTTCAGCAATAACTTTGCTTTGACCTGTAGTGGTGTTAACAACTTCAATGACTGGCGATTTACCTAATGGGTGGATCTTTTCCAATTCCTTTGGAGCACGAAATTCTTTATTTCTGAGGTAAACCTTTAATTCATAAGGAATGTTCAATTCCTCTAATAACCAAACAATTCTTTGAGAACGGGAGTAGTTTAACCTTTAAAACAAGATGTTAGTAAATTGTTTTTCAATATCAATCAATTTCCAATTTCTCGAGATAACATACCAATGAACAATAATTTTAGTATCTGACATGATTCTTAGTAGTTGATAATATGATTGATCCTATATTTTTGAGTTGTTGAAAACTAGGAATAAGTTAGCAGTATTTATATCTTTGCTTGCTTAGGATTGCTTGTGAAAGAAGAAAATGAGGTCAATACCGCAATCTTTCTTTTCCGTTATCCGCATAATAATGCGGCGGAGAATTACTTTTTTTTTCCTTTTCTTTTTTTCGAGAAAACCGCAATCTTCAAAGATTAATATTGTTTGTGATCAAACTAGAAACATGATTCACTGTAGTGGTTTCCGTGTATTCTTAATGTTTAAGAATCGATAAGGACAAAAATTTACGAACTTTCTTTTAGGATCTTTCATAATCGGTAATTTTTTTTTCTTAAATCCTTATTGGTGTTTGCTATAGAAATGACTTCGATGAAAGGTTTGGAATCTGCCACTTTCTACGATTACCAATTGGACTTTGGAATTTGAAAAATGGGCACCATCTGTTAAAGTGATTGTTTACAAAGGTTCACAACAACAAAGAAGATCGTTGCAACCGGAAATAAGATATGGCAATTTCCAAGTTTTGTTGACCACATACGAGTATATTATCCGTGAACGTCCCTTGTTAGCAAAATTTCATTATTCACACATGATTATTGATGAAGGTCATAGAATGAAAAACTCACAATCAAAGTTGTCGCAGACTTTGCGAACTTATTACAAGACCAAGAATAGGTTGATTTTAACCGGTACCCCGTTGCAGAATAATTTACCGGAATTATGGGCATTGTTGAATTTTGTTTTGCCGGGTATTTTTAATTCAGTCAAATCCTTTGATGATTGGTTCAACACGCCATTTGCAAATACAGGTAATCAAGAGAAGATTGAGTTGACAGAAGAAGAATCGTTGTTGATCATTCGAAGATTGCACAAAGTTCTTAGACCTTTCCTTTTGAGAAGATTGAAGAAAGATGTTGAGAAAGATTTGCCGGATAAGGTGGAAAAGGTTTTGAAATGTAATTTGTCCGGGTTGCAATACGTGTTGTATCAACAGATGTTGAAACACAATGCATTGTTTGTTGGTGCCGATGTTGGTGGTGCCAAGAGTGGTATCAAAGGTTTGAACAACAAGATTATGCAATTAAGAAAAATATGTAACCATCCGTTTGTTTTTGAAGAAGTGGAGGCCGTATTAAATTCACTGAGGTTGACCAACGATCTCATTTGGAGAGTTTCAGGTAAATTTGAGCTATTGGACAGAATATTACCCAAATTCAAGAAATCGGGCCATCGTGTTTTGATGTTTTTCCAAATGACTCAAGTGATGGATATTATGGAAGATTTTCTCAGATGGAGAAATATGAAATATTTGAGATTGGATGGTGGTACTAAAGCTGAAGACCGTCAAGATATGTTGAAAGTGTTCAACGCCCCTGATTCTGAGTATTTCTGTTTCCTTTTGTCTACTAGAGCCGGTGGTTTAGGTTTGAATTTACAAACAGCTGACACCGTTGTTATTTTTGATACCGATTGGAACCCTCATCAAGATTTGCAAGCTCAAGATAGAGCCCATCGTATTGGTCAAAAGAATGAGGTGCGTATTTTGAGATTGATTACCAATGATTCTGTTGAAGAAATGATTTTGGAAAGAGCACACCAGAAGTTGGATATTGATGGTAAAGTTATTCAAGCTGGTAAGTTTGATAATAAATCCACACCCGAAGAGCAAGAAGCAATGTTGATGAGTTTAATCACAGCATCGGCTACTGATGCCGTTAACGAGGAAGACAACTCTTTGGAGGACGATGAATTGAACGAAATTTTGGCACGTAGTGAAGAAGAGAAGGCGTTGTTTGCTGCTATGGATGAAGAACGAAAACTCAATGATGTTAATCTCAAGTCGAGATTGATTGAAAAAGATGAATTGCCTAGTGTATTTACTGAAGATATTTCAAAGCATTTTGAAAAGGACAACAAGGAGTTGACTAAAATGAGAGAGAAAAAACGTGTTAGATATGATGATGGATTGAGTGAAGAACAATGGCTTAGAGCAATGGATGATGACAATGACACTGTTGAAGACGCCATCAAACGTAAAGAACGCAGAATGGCCAAGAGAAAGAGAAACAAGGCTATAAGAGAAGGGTTATTGGAAGAAGACATTAAGGATGATGAAGTTGGTGAAGAAGACGATGTTGACTTTGCAGAAGCTGCCCAACCACGCAAAAGACAACGTCGTGAGCGAACTCCATTACCTCATATTGAAGATGGCGTCAATGGGATAGAAGAGGAAGAAGAAGAAGAGGAGGAAGTCGTGGATGGGTTTGTTGCTAAATGTTTAGGGGTCATTGATGAAATCACAGCTTTGACTGATGAAAATGATGGACACAACTTGAGTGATATTTTCATCAAGTTGCCATCGAGAAAATTGTACCCAGATTATTACCTGATTATCAAGAAACCAGTTTCTATCAATCAAGTGAAAAAACAATTGAATCAAGATAAGTTTGCATCTTTTGAAGAATTTATTGCCGAATTAAAACAAATGTGTCTCAATGCTAAAACATATAATGAAGAAGGGTCATTTGTATACACAGATGCTACGGTTATTGAGAAATTGCTTGATGAGAAGTTAGCAGAAGGCGATGAAGCCCGTATAAATGTATAAGTGATGGTGTACTCTGTAATTATATATATATATAATAATATTGTTAAGCACAAAGTATTAGAGCCAATCAGCGCTGGTTTAAATTGTATTATCTTTGGCATGGAACAGGAGAGAACAATTGGGGGTGAGAGAAAAAAAAAAGAAAAAAAAAATAAGAAAAATTCGTGCTGCAAAATTTTGCGTGATTTACTAATGTAAGGAAGCCAGTCAAAAAAAAAAAATCTAGAACATCAACCATGTAAGGCTATCTCATTAATAACATGCTCAGTAATATCAACGTGGCACCAGGTGGTATCCTTTACTGTAATATGATAAATGTAGATATCTTGTGGTCTTGGTTGTGATACTCGCATCGCAATTATAAATTCGACGAAAATTCTAGAGTATTTTGATTTTGAGCTCAACTGGTTTTGTGGGCCTTTAGCTCTTTGTTTATGGATTTGTTGAATAGTGAGCCTAAATTGTATTTTATTGATTACTAAACTTTTGTATGATCTAGACAGTAAGAATATTATCTGAGAACTAACCCGGTGCATGAATGCCGGAAAAGTAAATAAGAAAAGACCTTTCCCTATTGTTAAATAACAATAACAAACTCTACATGAAACTTCCCCTTCATGTAATACCAGACTAAGGAAATCTTCTTTTTTCTCTTAATTTTCTCGAACAAAAACAATCACGCTGTATTATCTCTCCCCCCATTTAAAATCTTTTCAACAGAAAACTATAAATAGCTGAGCATTCCCCATTTTTCGGTCTATTCTGCCTTTTCTACTTCTTTAATTTTACTTTATCAATCATTATTCACAATGGCTTCAATTGCTGCAAATATTGGTAAAGTCTCCAAGAATTCAACTAGGCTCAATTACGGCAGATTTGCCAAAGTATTTTTAGGGGTTGCTGGTTCAACCGCAATTGCTACGTATTTCTACAACAGCAACAACAACAACAACAACAAGAATGGCAATTCTTCTTCTAACAAGACATTGATGTCTTTGTTTGGTGGTACTGTTCCAAACATGAAATTGGCCAAGGTTCCAGATGGAAAGACTCAAGAAGACTACCAAAAAGTCTACAATGCTATCGCTACTAAGATAAGCGAAAATTTGGAATTTGATCACAACGATGGGTTCTACGGGGTTTTGGTTAGATTAGCTTGGCACAATTCTGGAACTTATGACAAGTCCGACAACACTGGTGGTTCTTACGGGGGTACTATGATTTTCTCCCCAGAAGAGTTTGACCCTGAAAATGCTGGTTTACAAATTGGTCGTGCATTCTTAGAGGAGTTTTTGGTTAGGTACCCATGGATTTCACGAGGCGACTTGTGGACCTTGGGTGGCGTTTGCGCCGTCCAAGAGTCTGGAGGTCCCTCCATCAGTTGGAGTCCAGGAAGGGTGGATCAAACGACCAACGTCCCACCCAATGGTCGTCTTCCAGATGCCTCTAAGGATGCAGAATATGTCCGAAAGATTTTTGACCGCCAGGGTTTCAACGATAGGGAAATCGTAGCTCTTCTTGGGGCACACGTCCTTGGCCGTTGTCACCGCCACTTCTCTGGTTATGATGGTGCATGGGGTCCCTCTTTTAATGCTTTTACTAACACCTTTTATACCATGTTGTTGGGTGATTGGCATGTTAAGAAATGGGATGGTAAGAAACAGTATGAAGATGATGAAACCAACGAATTTATGATGTTGCCAACTGATATGGCTTTGAAGGAAGATTCCAACTTTTTGAAGTATGTCAAGATGTATGCTGAGGATCAAGATTTATTCTTTGAAGACTTTGCCAAGGCTTTCTCTAAATTGCTTTCTAATGGTATTCAATATCCTGCTGGTACCAAACCAATGATCTTCAAGACATTGGATGAACAAGATGAATCTTAAGTAGTTTAGTTTCTTTTGTTTTAGTACTTTGATTTCAATATATATATATAGATATATATTAAGACGTTAATATTCTTGTTATAGGTATACTATTTACGGTCGTCCTCCCTACTCCACTGATGTGCTGCTTTTAGACTTCAAATATATCATTACCAAGTCTATCAGGTCACAATATATCACGTGTACAAAACTGTTTTCGTCTCCCCGCACGACCAGTCAAATCAAAATGAACTTTGGGCTGCATCATCTTCTTTACTTTACGTTCAATGCAGCCTTTAGGTTTAAAGAGTCTCTGAGTTGTAGGTACAAATTTGTTAACCGTTTGGCTTTTTTATGAATGTGGGCGGTGCGGTAAAGCAGCCATGTCCCTGTCAGGCCCCTCCGTATTCGATACTAACCTTGAATTCTTCATGAGTTCACCCCATTTCTAGCACAATTAATATATACACAAATTGTTGTTTTTCGTTTTTATAATTCCTTTATTACATTTGTAAATTTCTCTCACCGCATTGCTAACCTTGAGTTCTTCATGAGTTGTAGATTCCTATACCCTACATTTCCATCTCCCATAAACTTTTGTGAACACCTAACAATAGAATCTACTAGGTCTGTAGCCCTAACGCACGTGCTAACATACAGGAGAGAATGAAAAATTGTTTTCAGATGCTACCACGCGACGAGGCATAATTTTTTTTTCTTCTCTCCAGACAGGCGCATCGGCCGTCTGAGCTTTTAAAAAAGTGAAATTTTTTTTTGCCTTGTTTCTACTATCTGTCTTTTTCTTCTTTATACCATCAGACATAGTTCCAAAATGAAGTACATCCAAACCGATCAAATCTTAGAAATCCCAGAAGGTGTTACCGTTGAAATCAAAGCCAGATCCGTCAAGGTTACTGGTCCAAGAGGTGAATTGACCAAAGACTTGAAACACATTGATGTTACCTTCAACAAGATTAACAACAGAGCCATTAAAATCACTGTCCACAACGGTGACAGAAAACACGTTGCTGCTTTGAGAACCGTCAAATCTTTGATTGCTAACTTGATCACTGGTGTCACCAAGGGTTACAAATACAAGATGAGATTTGTCTATGCGCATTTCCCAATCAACGTTAACGTCATTGAAAAAGATGGTTCTAAATACGTTGAAATCAGAAACTTCTTGGGTGAAAAGAGAGTTAGATTAGTTAAAATCACTGAAGGTGTCACCATGGAATTGTCCACTGCTCAAAAGGATGAATTGGTTGTTTCTGGTAACTCTTTGGAAGATGTTTCCCAAAACTGTGCTGATATCCAACAAATCTGTCGTGTCAGAAACAAGGATATCCGTAAATTCTTGGATGGTATCTATGTTTCTGAAAGAGGTACTATTGTTGAAGAAATCTAAGTTTTAACGTGAAGTTTCATATTTAATTTTCCAACTATAATAATAATACAACCATTTTTTTAATAATTTTCATTACAATGTTATAATTGTATATAGTTTTGCAAGGGTTTTTCTTTTTGGGTTTTAATTTGTCTTATAATTTTTTTTATAACTTCACCGTGGATCGTTACAGAGTCTCAAATATTAAATAATAGAGCCACCTACGATCACACACTTTTGCAAATTTCTATTTCTCTATTTTCGTGCTGTCATAAAGTAAGGCAACTCTTCTCAAATATGACCAAATTACACTACCGAGATTCTTCTAGAAAAATGTCTAATACAAACAATTGTCGGAACTGTTAACACTTATCCAAAACCAAATACCAGCAAACATAAGCAATTACAATGCCTTTCAAACACTTCTCCTAAATGTAGAAGTGAAGCATCAGAGTCCGATTGTATACTAAATACAAATCACAGTTCGGAGTGTCTCACTTAGAACAAATATTTTAGAGTAAATATTACAGTCGCCAACAAAAAGTTCATGAATTTTTTTTTTCTCGCATGGGGTAGTGGACTGTACAGAGCAAAAATTGTAAACAAACTCTTAGTTCGTGCACGGATCAAAATTTATTTTGCTAACAATTACAATTATTTGGCACGTGACCAGTTTTTGTAAAAAAGTACACATTACTTCATTCAAGAGATAAAGGAGACTATCACCTAAAAATACATTAGTTAAGTACTTTATATGTTCTTCATAATCTAATAACCGAATTAAAACTATATATAAAGGTAGAGCGTTCGGCAGAGTACACTTGTTTGTAGATAATTAATCATTAACAGTATCATTATTCTCTGTGCTCGCTGCGAGAAAAACGGGAGAGCAAAATCTCTTGTTTACCGATTTCTACATTTTTGCGGGCGCGACAAAAAAGTTCTCCAAACTTTTTGTTGTCGACTGTAACTCCATACCAGATCATCAACAAATAATGTCGACTAAAGTAGCATTCTTGGGTCCACAGGGAACCTATACTCATCAGGTATGTCATATTAATTAGGATCTACGATTATAGTTGTCATCTTTACTAACTCCTAAAAAGGCTGTTATTCAACAATTTGGAACGGACAATATTTCCATATACCCTCAACAAAGCATAGGTGATTGTTTCGAGGCTATTGATTCTAGAGATGTTGATTATGCAGTAGTACCGTTTGAAAATTCAACCAATGGGCAAGTTGTTTTCACCTATGATTTGCTTCGTAATTGGTTTTTGGAAAAAGGTCAACACCCACAATTCAAAGTTGTGGCTGAACAATTCGTAGCTATCCATCATAATTTATTGACCAATGCATCAGATATAACAGATATCAAAACAATATATTCCCATCCTCAAGTTTGGACACAAGTCAACAATTTCTTGAAAACAATCCCTAAAGAAGTAACAAGAATAGATGTGGGGTCCACTTCGAAAGCAGCTGAGATTGTTAGTCAGGATACCACAAATGAATCTGCTGCCATTTCATCATTTATGAGTTCAGAACTTTATAGATTACCAATACTACAAAAGAGCATAGAGGATAATTCTAACAACACAACCAGATTCTTAATTTTGGGTTATTCACAACCTCCTAATGATGACAATAATTCAACTTCCAAAAAGGTTTCTTCAATCATGTTTAGATTAAATCACGATGATCCAGGGGCATTATGTGATGTTTTAGTTAAATTCAAAGAATACGGAATCACGTTAACATCGATCAATTCTAGACCAGCTAATTTACAACCATGGCAATATGTTTTCTTCGTTGAGATGATTGGTGATATCCATGAAGGCAAACTTGTTGAAGAGATCAAAGAGTCGTGTTTAGATTTAGTTATTTTAGGTACATTCAAAAGAAGTTGGAGATACGATAACACTAACTAGTTTACATAGACAATAGTAGTAATTTAATAATCAAAAAAAAATTTATATTCAACACCAAGAGAAAAAGCCATCCGTTATACTTTAGAAAGCCCAAGAAAGAAATACAAATCATTACAACCCCGACTCGTCATGACAATAACATTTAATTACCAAACTTTTGATACGTCCAGTCAGTGTTATCCAAAGGACATGCATTTCTTGTTTTCAACCATCTTTTAATACAATGTAAATGGAAAGCATGATTACATACACCCCAAGCAGGAATACATTCTTCACTAGTGGTTCCCATTGAATTAGGTTGACATTCAATACATGGTTCCATTAAATGATTTCTGCAAATGGCACAGTTTTCAATTTGCATATCCCAAGACCAAAACGCCACAGCAGTCCATTTCTTTACTTCAAATTTAGGTTTTGATGTTGATTTGCTAGGTTCTTTGACTTCAACTTCTAAATAATTAAAATTGTTAGTATACTCAGAATTGACGTGTCTGCTCGTTTCAAATTAATAAACATACCATCGACATCCATACGATCTTGATCTTCAGCCATCTCTAATTTATATGTTTAATTTATGTTATAGTAAAATAATTGGTGTGACAACTAACCAAGTGTCAGGATTGTAATCTATACAGGTTATTAATGTTGATTAGAAATTGCAATTTTTCTTCCTTTCTTGGTTGGTGATTTTTTTTTTTCTATTCCTTTGTTTTCTCGGTTATTCAGTGGCAGGGGAGTAATTCTCTCGCGCGACACAACTCGACCTGAAAATCGCCACATTGCGACCCACTCACACACACAAAAAAAAAAGACATCCTGAAGAAAAATAAACATCACCAACAACAACTATACCCCCTAACAGAATGTCTAACGAAAACGAAGATCTAATATCGTCATTGTATCCTCCACCTCCTCCATATTATAAATTTTTTACTCAAGAAAACAAACGAAAACTCTCCGAATGGGAGATTGAACAGAAACAGCAGCCAGGCGACGAAACTGCTATTCCTCCTGGTGAGTTAAGATTTTTAGTACCACCAAAGCAACCAGATGGTACCCAATATAGAGGTTATGGTAATATTTGGTTATTTGAGGATAAACTTCCAAGTTTAAAGGATTCTCAATGGGAACAATTATATGTTGATGATGATGAAAACATTACTTCAGAAACTAAGATTAAAGAATTGCATAAATTGATGAACTCATTATTGTTGAATTTCTTAGAATTAATTGGAGTATTAAGTATTGATCCAAGTAAATTTGAAACTAAAATTAAAGACATAAATTTGATATTGATAAATCTTAATCATTTATTAAATACTTATCGACCTCATCAAAGTAGAGAAAGTTTGATTATGTTATTAAAAAAACAGATTGATCACAAGAAGAATGAAATCGCTAATATAGATCAAGTTTGTAATGAGATAAAGAGCAAAATCAAGAAGTTATTTGATGAACAGATCCCAGATGTGGCACCTGAAACTACCAATGTGGATATTGTTGATGAAAAAGAACAGATGAAACAAGACATAATTAATAAGCTATTACAGTCGGTTTAATGAGTAGGTGCCGTTGATTTTTTTTTTTTTTTATTATTATTTTGTTCGTTTTAGATTTCTATAAAATAAAAGTAACTTTATTTAAAAAAGATCCAAAAGATCATTATTGATATTCGAGTTTTTATTACTAGTAGTTGAGTTTCCAGAAACACTTAAGTTTTCAAAACCATGTGTAGATTGTTGTTGTTGTTGTTGTTGTTGTTGTGTTGGTTGCTGTTGGGGTATAGTGTTGAACAAACTCAAGATATCGTTTGTAGATGAAGGGACATTTTGTTGATGTTCATTATTTTGAGGAGCGCCAGGTGGTGGTGGTGTACTGAATAGATCATTCAATTCATCCAACAAGTTACCAACATTTCCACTACCAGTAGCACCGTTATCAGCATCACCTTCATCATCGTCATCAAAGTCAAGTAAGTTGTCATCTCTAGAGTGATTGATAATTTCTTCTTTTGCCATATTCTTCAAATCTTCAATTCTAGACTTGTCTTTAGTTCCAACTGGAACTCTGGAATATGCTGATGGATCAATAAAACTCTTGGCTGGTTTATAATACACCGAAGACAATGTAGTCAATTCATTCATCAACGTTTCCAAAAGTGCAGGACTAAATGATGAAATTGTAGTTTCAATTGGTGGCAATTTGGTCAAAACAATCTTTTTCTGTTGTTGTTCAGTAGATGATGATGATAATAATCTCCAGTAGATGTATGCTTTATCTCTAACATCGGCATTCTCACAATCTTTAGTGGCCAATTCCAAAATTCTTTGCAACAAATTAGAATATTGACCGCCTGGTAATTCCAAATTGATCTTCACAACTGTGGTTAAGATATTCAATTGTAAAATAGAATCATATTCCAAAAATGAGTCAATCAAAGAAGACAACTTTTCGTGCAATCCGGAAAAGTATTTTGGATACTCACCCAACAACCAGATATAACCAGATAAAGCTTCATTCTTGTCCAATTCATCAACGTGGTTAGAAATAATAGGAATAATCAAGGTTGCTAAATCATTCTTACCAGGATAACGTCTTAAAATATTGGTCAATCCAACAACAGCTTCATTGATAATTAAATCCCCTCCTCTTTCATCAATAATTTCGTTTAAAAGATTGACAGCTTTAACAACACTGTCTTGAAGTTTAATTGCAACAGCACCAATAGATTTGATTGCCTTGGTGACCAATGCTGGTTCAAACTCCATAGCATATTCCTTCAATTCTCCCAACAAAAGAGCACTATTTTGTTCACTTGCCAATCTGATCATGATTTCTAATTTTTCCAATTTCAAGTACAATGGGTCGGAATATTTTATAAAAAACACTCTTAATTCTTTGGAGAACACATTTGGATACTTTTCCAAGATTATTCTAATGTTCTTCAACCCAACGTATTGTGCTTCAGGAATTGAAGTACTGACTAACGAAACTAATGGTGCAGACAACTTCTTCAAAATGGTGTTTCTTTGGGCTGTAACTGGAATGGCTTGTAAATGGTGTAAAATAGCCTTGATGGAACTCAATACAACTGATGGGTTAACGTGTTGCAATTGCGGGATAACTCTTTCCATTATATGATTTGCTTCTTCTGGATCACTAGTATCATACTCAGTCAAGGTAGACAAAATTGTAATTCTCCCCCATTCAGTACACTCATTAAGACACAATAACAAACTATTGATGACTTCTCTATTCAATGCCAAGACAGTCAAGTTTGGATCTGTATTCATGTCTCTGATTTCGTGCAAAGCATTAATAGCATTGGCAACAACCATTGGATTAGAGTCTTCCAATAATTTCTTCAAATCATCCAAGAAACCATATTCAACACACATTTCTGGGTTTAAATCAAACAATTTTGCCACACATATAGCTGCGGTTTTTCTGACATACGGGTTTTCATCTGCTATTGTTCTATGCAATGGAATTTCCAAATATTCTACCATTTTAGCAACTCTAATACATCCCATAGTTCTGATTGCCAAAGCTCTAATCAATGGATTTGGGTCTTCAGTGTCTTGAACAAAGGTATTAACAGCCAAAATACATAATTCTGGATTAGATTTGGCATAATTCATCAAATACAAATAGACTAACTTCTTTTGTTCCAAGTCATAAGTGGCAATGTTTTTCAATACATCGGGGAATAAGGAAGAAACATCTTTACCAACGGTCATTGCTTGAATAACTCTTTGAATGGCATCTTTACGTTCGTGTTTATACTGAGATACTAATGCATTTTTCAATTCAAATGTTTCACCTTTCTTTGGACCAACTAAAAACTTTCTCAATTTCTTTTCAAGTATACTATTTACCTTGATAAAGTTTTTATTGATTGTCTGTTTGTATGACGTCGACATAGTTTGTTATACAAATGAGCAATGAACAGGTATAAATGATTGTTAATGATAATAAAAGAAAAAGAAAACCGGGCTATCGTTCTCCAAACAATGTTTCTGTTTTGTTGTCCCAATTTTGATTTTTTTTTCTCTCTCTCTCTTGATTTTTCTCGCTACGTTGCTTTGATTTGAAAAAAAAAAATAAACAATGATCAAATGTCGTTTCAATGTCGTCATTCACGTGTATGTCGTGCTACACGGTATAGTAGTGTTGGCTCATCAAGCTTCTGGTCAGTAGTAGAACTATATGTGTGTGTGTGGTCGTTTCAAATGGTTTAAAATATACTAAATTTGGTTTACTATATTTGGTTTACTGATTTTGTTGTAAAAATTTGTAACAATATTTCATTAAAAATTTAACTAGTGGTATTTGCAACTATATTATCAATATTCCATCATAATTTATTGAAGTGATCATTATTTGCTGATACATAGCAACAACTTGTTAATAACACTTTTGTTATATATCTACTTATTTACTACAACAGTTTACTGGTATTATTCAAAACGATGACAATTTCAAAGTTGGTTTTAGTTACTAGCATCGCCTGTACGAGGTGCAGAAGTAAAGAAAATTCATACACCCGACGTTTAAAGAATTATATGAAGGATTAATATAAGAAGTACCAAATGAGGCAACTCCTCATATCCAACCAGAGGTACACAACTGCTTTCAAAACCACAGATGTAATTCATTAATGGAGCTACCAATTAGTGATTGGCTTTCACACGACTCTTGATAATGGTATGTTTTTTTTTAGCGATTTTTTTTTCTCTTCATTTTTTTTTTTTTCAATTCCGTACCGTGAATCAGACTCCATCCTTTAACAACCATAGTAACCGTGGTATACACCTTCTTGAAAAACAAATGAGTAAGGTATTACTTATAAGAAAACCTTACACAGGATCACTTTCCAAAATACGAGCGATTCCAGCTCATTCAGTTGTGCTACGATGTAATGAAGCTCGTTATTTTTCAACCAATCATGGCAGTCTTCTTTCGCAGATATCATCAACACCAGCGTATTTAGAGTATATAACACGATCAGCAAATAAAGAGTCCCCAAATGAAAGAACACATAAGAAACCCAAGTTTATTATTGAACAGTATTTGACTGACAAATTCACTAAAGAAATCGTTACACTTGTTAAACTAGGTAAATTACAGGATATTGTTGATAGAGCAGAGAGATTAACTCCAGAATTGATTATTTATGTGATTGAGAAAAGTATGGCTGATTGTCCGCCTATGCCATCAAATGCAACCAATGTTGAAGTTCCGTATTTTATAAGTCATAAACAGTTGAGATTCCAAAACCCATATTACAAATTTATAAATTCAAAAGTTCCATATTTATATGACATGGTGAAAAGAGCCAGTCCAGCTCCAGTATTGTATCCATATTATATCTGGTTATATTATCACATGAATGACACGGAAGGTATAGCGAAACTTTCAACAGTGATTTCCAGAATGAATTCCCGTACGATTGTTTATTTCTTATCATCTTTTATCCATAATTATGAATTAGAAACATTCAAAAAATATTTCCATACTATAATAATCAATAGCAGTAAAAACTTACCAAGTTCATTACTTGATGGATTAATTCCACAATTAATTGGACACAATATTGTTTTTGAGAATTTATTTTTTGTTTTCCAATTGTGGATGAATTCTCCAAAATGTGAAGCACCACTGGCAGAACTGATTAGTTTGATCTTACTTGAATTCTATAGATTTGGAACAGCTCATGAAATTAAAGAGTTTAAAAGACTAATAAAGAAATATAATAATCATTACCTTATAAAAACTATAGATTATCAATTTGAAATCATCAATAGGGAGTACTTACTGTTCAAGAAGAATATAACACAGGAAGATTTAGATATCATAGCATCCATGCAACCTCAGGATAGAGATGTGGAATTTTATTATCGTTGGTTATATTTTATGATTCGATATTCAAATATGGACAGTATAAACTTTGTTTTGAAATTATACAAAGATTCAGCAAGTAATGTTCAATTACCATCAAGATTCTTCAAAGTATTACTTGATTATTATGAAAAACATGATAAATTTATTCCTTTGTTACAATTACTTGAAGCCTCGAAAGAATCTATATCATATGATCCATCCTATTTGTCAACTATAGTTAAAACGTTTATTTATTCATATTCAAGATTTGCTCCCCAATTTGTGTCAAGGTTGAATGAATGGTTAGGTGAACCATATTTCAATCTAACCCAATTATCTTCCCAATTTTATCCCTACCATCTTCATAGTAGGATTAATAAATGGAAATATAAAGAACCAGAATGGCAAGAAGTTAAATTTTCACCAAATAGAGATGAGAATTATTATCAATCTCAAGTTGACTTTAGGGTGCAACATGGTTTTAGAAATTTATTAGCTCGTGGAGTTAGACCAGATTTTAAAATGGCATTAGATACTTTTAGATTTGGGAATTTGGATGATAGATTATATATCAAGAGTTTATTAATTCAAACAAGACAATATAATCATAAAAATCAAAAGACATTGGAGTTACGATCATTGAAGCATCCAAGTTTAGAAAAGGAAGATTTATTAAGATATTTTGAAACAAACAAGGATCAATTAAATGATTCACATAAATTTTATTTTGTTCGTATGTTGATGGATTATGATTTATTAGAAGAAGCCAAGTTTTTAATTGATTCCATTGATGATTCATATTTGAATGATAAAAATAAAATGTTTAAAATCATATTGGAATTAAGGATGTGTATGATGGCCAATGATTTTGAAAGCATGGCGGAAGTACTCACGAGATTCAAATTACATGATGATCAACTTTATATTTCTCCATATTTATTGAATCAAACTTTAAATATCGAGAATGCATTGTATAACAAACTTAGAAAGAATCAACAAACAATGGATCAAGAAATGTTAATTTCTGGTAAAGATTGTTTAATGAAGTTAAGATTATTCATTGGTGATGTTAAATTATTATTAGAAAAAGATGAACAAGAAATGACTCAATTAATTGATAAAACAATTTCAATTCTTAACCAATGGAAAGAAAACGGTAAATAGACTAGAAAAAGAAGAATAAGACAGATGTACTTTTATAATTGTAAATATATATATATATCGATCTATCTATTCAATCATATTAAATTCTCCAAATAATTTTCTCAAAACTATCATCCAGTAAATCATATACAGTAAATTCGTTAAATTTAGCATACATATTTCTAAGCAATAACTTTCCATCATCAAACTGGACATAATAAGGAGGATCAGGATGACGTCTATATTGAATATCCATCATTTCTTTTTCATCTTTAACTCGTAATAGTCTAAAATGATCCAGATATTGAATAGGTATAGGAACACTTATATTCCCAATAACATAAAGACCAATAGGACCGGTGTTAACTCTTAAATTATCATCATCATCATTATTATTATCATCTTGATGAATCATGAGTTGTTTTATACCAGTTGTTCTATCATATTGAATCAATGATAAAATACTACGAATATTACCACTTATCATTAATTCAGCCAATTCATCTGTATTTTCAAATGAAAAAGATTTTGATCTAGCATTGATTTCATTTTCTTCTTGAGTGAAATATAATCTATGATAAAATTGAGTAATGAAATAATTATCAGGATGATTACTTAAATTTGGACGATTTGTTAAATCATATATGATTTCATCAATAGTTGAAACATTAACAAATTCAATTAATGAATAACATTCTTCTGCTTCATCTTTAGAAATCCCAGCATCCCCAGAATAAAGTTCCTTAAATTGAGGTTGATTACAGTTGACTAAATAGAAAAGATATTTTAATTCTTTATTTGGTAATGGTGGAAGAAATAGATCTTGTTGAGAATAGTTTAATTCAGTCATAGCTATGATGTGGAGTTTAAAGAGAAGAAAGAGAGTCTAGTTATTGATACTTCCAGCGTACCTTTTAGTGTTTATATATACGCCACTGTGTCTTGACATTGAAAAGGTCGGTGACTTTTTTCTTTGTTTGTTTCCCCCTTAACCTTAATTTACAACCATGCTTGACTATTTGTTGCAAAGTCGTCACTTACAACTTTAACCAAAAAAAAAAAGAATGATGATGTACGCGATTATCCGAAAGTTAAAAATCCGAGGGTGAATCACGTGCGACACTGCATATAAATAGACACATTTTTTTTTTTTTTTTTTTTTGAGTTAAAAGTACGAATGAGTGTGATTAATGAAACCAGAGAAGATTGTACATACACACAACATTCCGAGTTTGTTTTAACATTACTTGAACAAGGAAAACCCAAAAGAAAAAAAAAAAAAAGAAAATCTAAACATCACCAGAAGGAATCATATAATCCACTTCATAGCAATCGAATCTTAATTATTTATTGTTCAAGTAGTTTGAAGATGGAAAATAGTCAGGAAAATTCAAGGATGTGGGAATCAGTAGTATGTACACATTACTTTGTTATCTATTTCAATTATTATTAACTACTATTTTGAAGCAATAGAAAAAAATGACACCTATAACAATGCAACAGTTAGCCTTATGATATTATAAATTTGGACTTTAATTTTATTATTATTTGCTTCATAAATAAACCATGCTTAAGCGAAAAGGTGATTGAGAATACTAACATGTTAAAATTAGGATCATTCTTTAACTGCCAGTTTATTATCAAAAATAACATCAACGGTAGAATGTACAATATGTTCCGAGATCATGGCTGTTCCAGTCACGGCTGAATGTGGACATTCATTTTGTTATGATTGTATATATCAATGGTTTTCAAATAAAGTGAATTGTCCCACATGTCGTCATGAAATTGAAAATAAACCAACTTTAAATTTGCAATTAAAAGAGATTTGTAAAAATTTATTAGATATGATTATTGATTCTCGATTAGAAAATCATGAAATATTGAAAAATCATAAATTAGAAAGTGAGAATAATTATAATTTGGATGTACGAAACAAATCCTTATTTGGAGACCTATTCAATACAACAGTAACACTAATTGATACTTCTGATGGTGTGCCAAGATGTGGCAATTGTCATTGGGAAGCACATGGACCAGTATGTCAACATTGTGGTACTCGATTTAGAATTAATCCTCAGTCACGTTTTGGAGTAGGATATGATGATGACGATGATGAAGATGAAGAAAATTTCCAGGATGTTATAGCTGGATATCATAGAGCAATTGATTCATATGATTCAGAAGATAGCTTTATTGACAGTCGAACAGCTAATGAAATACCCGTTGAAATCAGTAGCGATGATGATGCTGATGCTGATGCTGATAGTAATAATAGTGATGTCCGTGTTCATGAATCTGATGATTTAAGTAGTGATTATAGTGCCAATAGTGGTAACAATTCACTCCTATCTGATGATGATGATTATCATGAATTGGTATTGAATGATCATGTTGCTGATGAATGGCACGGATTTGAAAGTGCTAGTTCGAGCATGATTGATAGAGCTATTTCAGCAGATTCAGAGAATCAAAGCCATATGCATTATGATGACTACGATGATCAAGAAAGTCATACACAAGAAATCGAAGATGGAGACGATAGTCCTGAAAGATATAGTTTATCTCCTTCACCATCCAGTGATAATGTAATACAATTGAGTGGAAATGAAGATGATTCATACTATGATTCTGAAGAAGTACGAGAAGCTTTAGAAGATATGGATAATCTTGAAGTAAATATAAGTGATGACGATGAATTTACAAATGGTTACGATTCAGGCGGTATGGTGAGTGAATTAGAAGGAGATTTCAGTGATGATGAATATTAGAGCTAATAACATTAAAACATTTTTATTCTATTTTGATTTACTTTCATTTGGCTTATAATTTTACGTGGTTAATAAATAAAAGAAGAACATGTTTAAATATGGGTGTATTTCTATTCTTATCGTAGTTTTGCAAAACAAAATCTAGCGGGTATCGTGATCATCGTGCGTGTACCAAAAAAAATGCAAGTTTTGTTACGACCAATGGTAATGGACTTGAATGAAAGACCATAGGAAAAAAAAAAAAAACCCAATGAAAAAAAATGGCCTCATTTGATATTCACTTACCCACTATAAAAACAGTAAGTAATCATTACATATAGTTTTACAATTACCAACAATTGTTGAATAAAATCACTAACTATAACAAACAATAGTATCATAATGAACCCACAAAGAATTATTGAATTACAAAAACATTACCAAAACACTCCAAAACCATTATGGTTGAGAGGAAAACAATCTGCTTTCTTGGTTTACCCATTTTACGCTTTATTCACTGTTGCTACTGTTGTTCCTTTATACTACACCGGTAGAGCCGTTGCTGGTTTGAAAGACGAATAAATGTATTGATTTTAAGAATACTATGAGATTATTATTATTACATCATCTAGTTTGTTTTGAAATTACATACATATTCCCATTAACTATTTAACATATTCATAAATTAAGAGAAGAAGTTTTTTTTTAAGAAAATGAAATAAATATACAAGTATGTTTTATTATTAATTGAATATGATGAAATTTTTTTTATAATTTATTGATCAAATTACATACCATTGAGTATAATCCTTTATTTGAAGATTCTAGTCGGGCTTTGAATTCAATCAAGTTTGAAATGAGATCATCATTTGAAATGGACAAATTTGATTTGTGATTAAGTTTCAAATGTGATAATATGATTGAATTATAACCTATGATGTATTGCCTAGATTCGTCATCTCTTTCAATCTCTTCAAGTTTTGGAATTTGTTGGTTGATTAGATCAATATGACGAGACAACAATCCCCAATCAACAAAATTTAATAAAACTGCCAATACGCAAAGTGTTATCTCTAACGATTCAGTGTTTGTTGTTGGTGGTGTCATGTGGGATATTAATATTGGTATCCAGTCGTCATCTAATATCGAGGAAACCAAATTCTGGGACGATGTAGTAGTTAAAATTGCTAATATCTTCATTAATTTAAGGTCAGTCTGTGCATATTTTCTGGATTTAATATTGTTAAAACAGGAATTCAACTTTGGTTTGAATTTGATAAGATCATTTTCATTGAACTCTTCTTCTGCAGTGTCTAGAAACTTTAAAATCAATTCTAATCCCAATTCCGATGTCGCATCATCTAATTGTAATAAGCATATCCTCTTACTAATAGTTTGTTGATCAATAAGTAATTGCAAAAACTCAACATCATGTTTATCATGGATTAGCCTTTGAATAATGTCTCGATAGATTTTTGCAACTTGACCACTCAGAATCGTCAACTTCAAACCCAACCAAACAACATGTAGCTTATTCATGTATTTACTCATTAAACTAGGATCTCTTCCAAAAGTCTGAAACACAACTATAGATGACACATATCGTATGATTTCCTTTTCACAATTAATAAGTTTAATCACATAGCTTAACAAATCTCGTGCATGTTCATTATCAAGCAATTCTAATAATGAAGAAAGTTGCAAATTAGTCAAACTAGAGGCTAATCCATCAATAATATCTTGAAACTGATTCAATTTCCCAGCTTTTCTTAAATCATTAACATTTATAACATCATCATTATCATTATGATCGTCATTTCTAAAATCATGTGTATGACTAATCCTTTCTCCTAATTCTTGTTTGACGTCGATTATTTGATCTTCAATTAAATAACTACGATCTTGTGAATATGTTTTTGTTTGTGAAGTTGTAAGTTTCTGTAGAATAGTTATTGGTTGTTGTTGTTGCTCCTGCTGAGTGGAGACAGATTCATCTGGAAGATAATCAAAATTTAAATCGATATTCAATGGTAACTCAGAAGACGGTTCAGTTGAACCATCACCATCTTCATCATTCTCCAGATCAACATCTAGTGATACTTTTGGAAGTTCAATTGGAATGGCATCTATATTATTTAATAAATCTCCCCATAGATCCACTTTCTTTTTACTTGGTGGTTGTTTGGATTTTGGTTTTTTCGATTTAGAGTCCTGTTTCTTTGAAACATATGTGTTTTTATTCTTCGGGAGTGTTACTTTTGGTTTTTTCTCTAATGTTTGTTTCTTTACCTTGGAAATAGTTGGGTCTTTGGGAACATCTATATCAGGGAATATATCCAGAAGTGTTTCACTTTTATTATCATCAATTTCATCAAATATACTAGGCGTATTCAGTTTTGAAGAAGCTAGTCTAGCTCGTTTTGACAAATTACTTCTTTTCTTTGCATAAGTTGCCATTTTGTATCGAATGCGGCCTGCAACTCGTTATCAAAGATTGATGTCCTTGTTGATATTTGCTAAGACGAGTCGGTTTTCTTTTTTTTTTTTGTTTTATTCTTTTTGTCTAATGCGTGTTTGACACAAAAGCGAATTATTGAAATTTGTACACACAATGTGTGTTGAGCTATGAATAATTTGCAATTTCTGTTTCTTCCATTATGTCCATTCCGAATATGAGTATTTAATGTCACACTATCTAGTTGTATATAAAATGTTGAATTTCACTATTAATGTTACAATAGTACTCTATTATTTTGGATTTTAGTATAAAAATGCTTGTTCTTAATTTAGGACATTGAATCTTCCATCTTGTAATTAACAAAAACGCAAGAATAAATTGATCCAAGAAAATTAGAAACTGTAATATTGAAATATAGGATTGCCCATCAACATTGCACAGTATCAAAACCCATCCTCTGGAGATATTGAATATAGAACCCAGATCATTGTCAAAATACACCACCCATGAAAAACAACTGGCATAGCTCATGTTTAATTACTAAAAACTTATCAAGAAGCGGCCCCAACTACCGCTGTCAAATAACTACTATTATGTAAAACCACACATCCCTAATATTACAAAGGTCTAGATCAGCGCTACCCAGATGATAAAGTTTAATTAGTATTTTTTTTTCGACTCGTGTGACATTTGAGAGCAATAAAAAAACCTTAATAAATAAACAAAGAAGAAATAAATTTCGCCGAGGAATAATATTAGAAATAACAAATTAACATAATGATGGACATGTAATTATCAACAACAGAGAGATGGTCCATTTGGTGAGTTTATTTATTGTTGCTGTACCAAGTGCAAAGGAATGACATTATGAGGGAATTCTTTTTAGTTCTAATGGAATTCCTCCTCTCGCCCCCTTTTTTCCCGTCTCTCTAAAATAAGATGCACGTTTTACATGTAAGCCCTGATGCTGAAAATGAGATAGAGTAGAGTAGAATAGAGTACAGTGGGCGGGGAGGAGGGAACAAATGCAGTGTATGAATGTGGTGACTAGTTTAAAGGAGAAAACGAAATTCCCTCACAATAAATGAAATGAATAAAGCTGATTGATTATTTGGTTACAATCACAAAATAGGAAATTTAATTAATTAACCAAATCTCAATTTTATTATATTTGATTTGGCGTTGATGATGTTGTTCAATTTTGTACTATTAATAGCACTTACGGTAGTAATCATATTTGTTGAGGGGGTGAGCGATAATAACCCACCAAACCAATGAACCACTGAATAGCACACGATACAACATTGTAGTTAATAAAAGAATAGGTAGTGTGATGGTGCCAATAATTGTCATGTGTTGATATTCCATAATCCATTATCATCAGAATGAGATATGTGCTCTATGAGTGGGCAACGTGGTTCAATCTCTTTCCTTTGTCGATGTGTGTGTGTTTCTTTTTTTTTTTTCGTATGCTGCGAAAATACAGTATCAGCAATGATCCTACTGATATTACATTATGTATTCTATTAGAATTGCTTTTGAATTAACTCATAATCATCTATTACATAAGTCCAACTGTCATATTTGTCTTTCTTTCTTTTTGTTCATTGGCTCAACCTTAAGTATAAATATATTAAAATTAGTTAAACGAATAATTGGTTATATTTCACCTTCATCAATAAGCCACCTCTGTTATTATTGTTGTTAAACTTAAATAAACCCATGGTCGTGTACGATGTGCCAATCATATTTTTTTTTTCTTGCAAATTCTTTTGTCCTAATTGATTTAACCCACTTTAATTTCGAAGTGAGAGAGACTGAGAGTGAGTGTCATCTCCCGCCCTTCCACTGTGAAAAAAAAAATGTATGAATATAAATCTCCTGCTTTTCTCTTTGAAAAAAATTTTTTTATTGCAATAATAGATTACATTTTGTAAATAGTTATACCTTTTTTTTTATTTAAATTTATCTTTATCATTTATGATATACCACTGGTATTGTTTAAACAAATTAACTAGATTTATCCCTTCATTTATGATCAACAGAAGTTAGTTAATTTTTTTAGTTTTAATTTTTTTTGTTCCTTTCTCGTTATCCATATCCCATCATATCATCATCAAGGGTTTATATTTAGTTTTATTAAATCAATAGCAGTATATCGTATTACCTTATTTTACAAAGATTATTATCAGTATCTATTACTCATATCATCATCACCCAAGTATATCAACCACCTAGAAGATTATCATAATCTAAAGCATTACATCCAAGCTATGATCACTTCTTTGAACTAAATCAATATTATCCATAATTTATTTATTCAAAGAAAGAAAGAAAAAAAAAAAGTGATTTCCATTTAATTTAAGCATTACATTAATAACAGACACACTCATATATATACACACACAAGAGATAGAGCAACAATGTCTGACACTGAAAGCTACTACCAACACACTGGCAACAACCACGAACATGAACCTATTCCAAATTCAGATGAAGTTTTGAATGATCACAGACATCAAATCCCAAATGAATCTGCAATTAGTGATGATGAAGACCCTCTTCACCAAGCCCCTGCCGTATCAGCATCGGCATCAGAATCAACCCCTGAAAAGAAGAGACTGACACGCAAGAATTCATCAAGAAGACCAACCATTAATGAAAAAGGAAGCTCCTCAACTGCTGGTGGCTTACCACAGCAACAACAAAGAGCTTATATGACTTCTTTACGTAAAGATTTTTACCTAGGAGAAGAGGACGACTCACTTCCAATTCCAATCATTACCAATGCATCCAAGTCAAGAAGAAAATCTCAATTGGACTCCTTGCCTCCAATCACCAAGAAAAGAACTGGTCGTAGCAACTCCAATAATTTTGAAAATGATTTGGTTAGTCCAATGACTAAAATGAAAACCAATGATAGTGAGGATGTTAAAGCTGGTAGAAGAACATCCCGTTCTTCTATTGATAGTGAAGCCGACTCTCATGCTTCAAGAACTTCCCAAGAAACAGAAGAAGATGTTTGTTTCCCTATGGTTAGAGATCACATCAGAGTTAATGGTATTGATTTTGATGAAATTGACGAATTTATCAGAGAGGAGAGAGACGAAAAGGAAAATCAACAACAATATATGGCTAAAAATGCCCTGAGAATTGAAGAATTCCAAAGTCTTTCGGCTACTACAAGTTCATCTCGTCACAAACAAAGTATTGGCTCAACTGCTGCTTTGAAGTACACACCAAAGAATATTTTGAAGAATACATTTTCTCGTTTTGAAGAAATACATGATACTTCATCATCAGATGAAATTGAATTAAAAGTCAGAGATGATGGTTCATCTGAACAAGTTAAATTTGGCGGTGCTAGAATATCAGATGGTAGCAATGGTTCATTACCTGATAGATTTTCCTTTTTCCATTCTGAATCTGAAGAAACTGTTCATGCACCAGATATCCCTTCATTGGTTGCCCCTGGCCAATCTGCTCGTGATTTATTTAAGAATGGAGAGGAAACTTGGTGGTTAGATTGTACCTGTCCAACTGATTCTGAAATGAAGATGCTTGCTAAAGCGTTTGGTATCCATCCTTTGACCGCAGAAGATATTAGAATGCAAGAAACTAGAGAAAAAGTTGAATTATTCAAGAGTTATTATTTTGTTTGTTTCCATACATTTGAACCAGATAAGGAATCCGAAGATTACTTAGAACCAATCAATGTGTATATTGTTGTTTTCCGTGATGGTATTTTGACATTCCATTTTTCCCCAATCAATCATCCAGCAAATGTCAGAAGAAGAGTCAGACAGTTAAGAGATTATGTTGATGTTAGTGCAGATTGGCTTTGTTATGCCTTGATTGATGAAATTACTGATGGTTTTGCCCCAGTTATTCATGGTATTGAATATGAAGCCGATGCTATTGAAGATGCAGTATTTACAGCAAGAGATACTGATTTTGGTAGTATGTTGCAAAGAATTGGTGAATCTAGAAGAAAAGTCATGACTTTGATGAGATTATTATCAGGTAAAGCAGATGTCATTAAAATGTTTGCTAAAAGATGTCAAGAGGAAACCATCTCTGGATTTCAAAGACAACAACAACAATTACAGGCTCAACAGCAACAGCAACAACAATATCCATCTACAATGTCTCCACTTCCATCTGCTATGAACCTTGCAGGCTTAGAATCCGTTACTGGCGGTGTTACATTTGGTCCAGGCCCAGGTTCAAGCGGATCTCCACCACCTCCATCAGTTGCTCCACCATCTTGGCAACCGCCAAATAATAGCGATAATGCACGTCCTCGTGCTGATATTGCATTATATCTTGGTGATATTCAAGATCATATTATTACTATGTTTCAAAACTTGTTGGCTTATGAAAAGATTTTCAGTCGTTCTCATTCTAATTATTTGGCTCAATTACAAGTTGAATCCTTTAATTCTAACAATAAAATTACAGAAATGTTTTCTAAAGTTACACTTATTGGTACTATGTTGGTTCCATTGAATTTAGTAACGGGTTTATTTGGTATGAATGTTAGAGTACCTGGAGAAAATGGTGGTAATTTAGGTTGGTTTTTCGGTATTGTTGGTGTTTTGATTATTATTATTGTTTCTTCATTCTTTTTCGCCAAATGGTGGTTAAACAAGCTTAACCAAGATAATGATCAAGAAAGAGGACCAGTGTTTAATTCAAGAAGATCTATCAGAAGTTTGGGATTGAAAAGACATTCTGCAAAGTCTATTGTCAGTTTCCCAAATAAGTATGAATAGAAGATTTCTAAATGATAATAAGTTGTTGATTTTAGTTTTTTGTTTGCTTCGTTTTATATTTTTGTTAATTATTATTTCCATTTTGTTTAATTGTATTAATAGAGATTGATTGTTTTGATTTTGAAAAAAAGGGTATTTTGTTTTATAGAAAAGTATATATATATAAAAAAAAGAAAATTTAATAATAATAATAATAATAATAATAATAATAACTAATGATAATTCAAGTATACCTCTGAAATGATGTAATAATTTGTATCTAGTTACATTTACTCTCTGAAGGAAGAAATGCCGCACTTCTACTAATTTGGTGATAATTGCAAATTTGTTTATTAAATGGCGAGAAGTTAATATAAAATTATTTTTTTTCCTTCTGAAATCCAGGCTTAAGTTTAAAACTGTGGCATCAAGGACGAGATGTGATAATTGGTCAACACCAGTATAAATTGTCATACAATTCCACTAGAATGATCTGATTTAGTCTAGTATCCAACAAAACACAAATTAACAACCAATGACAGTTACTTCTAAAAGACCAAATTTCTTAATTATTGTTGCTGATGATTTAGGATTTTCAGATTTATCACCATTTGGAGGAGAAATTCATACACCAAATCTTCATAAACTTGCAACTGAATCAGGTATTAGATTAACTGATTTTCATACCGCATCAGCATGTTCACCAACTAGATCGATGTTATTAAGTGGTACAGATAATCATATTGCTGGATTAGGACAAATGGCAGAATTTGCTGTTAAACATGAAAGATTTAAAAATAAACCAGGTTATGAAGGTTATTTAAATGATAAAGTAGTTGCAATATCTGAAATTTTAAAAGATTCAGGTTATTTTACTTGGATTTCTGGGAAATGGCATTTAGGTTTAAAAAAACCATATTGGCCAATTAATAGAGGATTTGAAAAAAGTTGGACTTTATTACCAGGAGCTGGAAATCATTATAAATATATAGTACGTGATGAAAATGGTAATCAAATTCCATTTTTACCAAATTTATTTGTATCTGATGATAAAGAATTAAATCCTGAAGAAGATATACCTGATGATTTTTATTCAACTGAATATTTCACCAAAAAGGCTATTGAATTTATTGATTCAACTCCTGAAAATAAACCATTTTTTGGATTATTAACATATACTGCTCCACATTGGCCATATCAAGCACCACAAGAAAGAATTGCTAAATATGATGGAGTTTATGATAATGGACCTGAAGAATTAAGAAGAAGAAGATTATCACAAGCAATTAAATTAGGATTAATTGATGAAAATATTATTCCTCATCCAATTAAAACTATTCGTAAAAGATGGGATGAATTAACTGATAAAGAAAAAGAAATTGAAAGAAAAATAGTTCAAACTTATGCTGCAATGGTTGAAATATTAGATGAAAATGTTGGTAAAATTCTTGATCATTTAGAATCAAAAGGAGAATTAGAAAATACATTTATTTTATTCATGTCTGATAATGGAGCAGAAGGAATGTTTATGGAAGCATTACCATTATCAAATCAAAGAATCACTGGATTTATAAACAAATATTATGATAATTCCTTAGAAAATATTGGTAAATATAATTCATTTACATTTTATGGAGATCAATGGGCTCAAGCAGCAACTGCACCTCATGCAATGTTTAAAGCATGGTCAACAGAAGGAGCAATTGTATGTCCATTAATTATTCATTATCCACCATTATTAAAACCAAATCATGGTAAGATTTTTAAAGAATTCACCACTGTTATGGATATTCTTCCAACTGTTTTAGAATTAGCTGGAGTTGAACATCCCGGTGAACAATATAAAGGAAGAAAAGTAGTTCAACCAAGAGGTAAATCTTGGGTAAGTTATTTATCTAATAAATCTAATCAAGTTCATGATGATGATACTGTTACTGGTTGGGAATTATTTGGTCAACAAGCTATTAGAAAAGGTCAATATAAAGCAGTATTTATTCCAAAACCATTGGGTCCTGAAAAATGGCAGTTGTATAATATAATTAAAGATCCTGGTGAAACTAATGATTTGGCAAGTGTTGAACCTAAAATATTGGAAGAATTAACTGGTCATTGGGCTGTATATGCTGCTGAAACTGGGTTGATTGAATTAGGTGGTGAATTTTTTGAAAAGGAAAAAATTGAAGGTGAGGATAATGAAATTATCTACAGAACTATTCTTGACAGTTAAACGTATTGGTTATATGTATACTATATACTATCTATGAATGTGATTTTCTCTTTTTGTCTTTCTTTTTACTGTGTTTCTTTTTGGATTCTACTGGTTCTGAATCATCAGGAATCCAAATTTCACCATCTTTTGCCTCTTCGGGTATATGAATATTTCTAAATGTTTCCTTTTTCCATTCTTCCAAATGTTTCTTTTTGGTGTATTTTCGTTTATCTTTCATTCTTAATTCTTTTGCTCTATAAGGTGCAAATTTCTTAATACCAATGAAATTATTCAATTGTTTATCATCAGCCAATAAGATATCTCTAGTTGTCAATCCAAAAGCTTCTGGAGAAACTTCACGATATTTAAATTTAACTTCACCATCTTCTTTAGCTCTTTGACGTCCTCTTTCTTCTTCAACTTCATCTCTAATCTTTAATGTATTTGCTTCAACAATGGCTTGTGCCTTTTCTTTAAGAGCTTCTTTTTCTTTCTTGGCAGATTTCTTTTCTTTAAGTATTTCTTTCTTGGTTTTCTTTCTAGATGGTCCTTCTTCATGATCGTCTTCTTCTTCCTGTTGTTGTGCTGAATATTCTTCGGCATCAGCATCTTCTAAATCACTATCATCATCAGCATCATTACCTTGATTAAAGTCATCCATGATGTCATCATCCCAGGTAGGTTTTTCTATTTCAGCATTATAATATTGTTCATTGAAAATTTCAGCCATTTTGCTATCCCAATCAGCATCATCAAAATCATCTTGTAATAATGCATCACCAAACACTCTTTCAATAGTTTCATCACTAACTTGATCACCAACGGCTTCTTTGATTTTTGTCAATCTATCCAAAACTTTATTAACTTTAGAAGTCTTCTTCTTTTTAAGCATATTTTGAACAATTTCTTCTTCTTGACGTTTCAATTCTTGTTTCTTTTCACGTTGTCTCTTACGAGAATTTGTCTTTGATCTTCTTAAAGTAGCTTGATTACGTGCATAACTGACAATTTCGGCAGAATTTGGATCTTCATATCTAAAATTATAAGCATTTTCGAAATCTTCTACAGCATTATCAAAATCTTCTTCATCTTCTTGATCAATTCTGTCTAAGTTAATAACTTTATCCCCTTTTTTAGGAATCCATGCTTGTTGATCAAGGAAAGCAGATAAGAAACCTTGTTGATCCTTTTGTGGATCTGGTAAATTAGATCCCGGTGCAACAACTTCTTCTTCCTTTTTCTTTTCTTTAGGTTCTTTCTTTTTCAAAAATCCATCATCGTCGTCTTCTCCATCTTGTTCATTTTCTTCCATTTCTTCATTAAATGCATTTTTAATTTCTGCCAATATTTGATCTTTTTCTTCTTTTTGAACAGCAGCAAATGATTTTTGTCCATCCACTGTTTCCTTTTCATCGAATTCTTTATATCCACCATCCAATAAATTCATACGATTATAATCACTTATATACAATGGTTTATGTTTTTCCTTCCTGGCTGAATATTCAACTTTTTCAGGATCTTCAAAAAATTTAACTTCAGGGTCTAATAATTTAGATGGATCTGTTCTAATGGTTTCCAAAACTTTATTAATACCTGTTTCAACATCTTCTGTAATCAAATCACCAAATTCATCCTCTTCTTCAGATGATGATGATTCAGGCTCATCATCATATTCTTCTTCTTCTACTTCTTTCTGTTTTGGTTTTTCATCTTTAGCAGGTTTCTTGATTTCTTCTACTTCTTCTACTTTTGGTTCGTCAACTGAAGTAGGCTTATCATTTAGTTCATTTGCTTGCTTAGCAGCAGCTTCTCTTGCCTTCTTGGCAGCAGACTTCTTTCTAGCCATGTTTGATTAATTTTTGATAGTGGGATGAGATGTGATTAAATTATTTTTTTTTTATTTTTTTTTTTTATTTTGTCTCTTCGCATTTTTGTTCATTGCACTAAAACCGATCAAACGAATGCTACCAAGTACGCGTGCATCATGATACCGATTATAATTGAAATTTTGAATCATTTGCAATTATAGTTGTCTAAATCTATTGGAATTGTATTTCAGTCTGTTAATCAAACAAATATGACATATATTATTTCTCTTGTCAAACTATCCACTACAGTTTTGGCCTTTTGATGTCAGACCAAGTGAATATATCAATACTAAGTTTTAAATTTTGTCACATTGTTTTATCATTAACCCGTCAAACATAGAGAAAGGAGAAGAAAAATAAAATCGATTTTACAACCCAAAAAAAAAAAACATAAAATAAAAAAATCGAAACCTATTTCTTCTAACCTGATATTGACATAACCATTATAATCAATATGTCATTATTACCAGTCAATCCTAATAAAGTCGCTATAAATCTTCTTAAGAATACCAATATCAAAGAATTACCGAATGATGAGAAATCTCCAATCTCAAAATCAGTTTCAATTATAGATAACACACAACAAGATACAGATGATGATTCACTTAAAGTCTTAGCTGGATCTAGTAAATATTCCCTTGGTTCATCAAACATGGATGATGCATCAACTAGAGGATCAATTAAAACTACAGATGGAAATAAGAAACCTTTTGGTAAGACATTTAAAAGAGTTTACAAGAAGATATTCAAAAAGCAATACACAAAATCAATTACTCAATTAGAAACTCAATCTATTCCAAATAATCCAATCAATATGAATTCAGATATGTCACCTAAGAGAAATATCAACTATCGTGGACAATTGCCAAATATTAAAGGAAATCCAACATTTACAGTATTCAAAATTAGTATTTTTGCTGCTTTTATCAATACAACTTTGTCACCTTCATCTCCATCATTGATTGCGATTAAATATTTAGAAGAGTTACAGGATAGATTTCTGTTGGATTAGATCATGAGTAAAGACTTTTTTTTGGGAAATTTATGATGTGTTTATATTTTCTTGTGAGTTTGGTTTATCTTGCTATCACTTATTGTATTCGCTTTATTGGGTGTATAATTAATGTAATATTATCTTTTTGGTCATATGTAATGTTGGTTAGTATTGTTGACCTTCTTGTAGTGTTGGGAGTATATCACTTTGTTGAATTACGTATACGCGTTTTGACAAAGTGAAATATATTTCCGTAATCCAGGGATTTTACATGTTGAACGTACTGAAATTATTATTTGGATCAAGTAATTACAGAATTGAATCTGCTGAAAAATTCTTGGAAAGAATACGTTCCAAGCATTACCAAGTGAAATGACATTGAATCCATTTACTAATTATTATCAAATATCTCTCTGTTTCCCCTCCATCTAATGACTTTCCAAATCAATGACATAGCAAACCAAGCAATTTTAATCATACTCCTCTTATTATCATGACAAATTGCATTGGTCTAGAATTTAACCAATATAAAGTGATTATAACAATCATTTATTAAACGGAAAGTACACACAAAGAAACTAATAGGAATACGGTTCAGAAACGGCGGAGATTCATTAATCCCTTTGGTGATATCATTATTTTAATGGAAACATCTACGGAAGAGAAGTAAAGATGAACCTTATTGTTCTTTTTGAAGTTAGTCATAGAGTACCATGCGTTAGACTGGTTAATAATTTGAAGGTTAGGTGTTGGGTATTGTTTCAACTCCGAATTATCCAACGTTTTATAAGGAACCACTGAATTAGTCACATCTTTCACAAAGCGTTAATAGCCCGGAAATCCTTCTTCTATTGTTTGTAAGTTCACTAACAAAGAACTTCGCACTTACTGATTTGGGTACCGCCCGAAACCCGAAAATGGTATTTTCTCCGTCTCGGACAATTTCCCAATATGGCACAGATCGCACTTCTGAATGGATTAATTTTAGGAAGTGCATTCGGGCAGGGCGTCGCTTCGTATTTGGAACAGTTATTGGTTTCCTATAATATCATATGCTTAATAATTTTAATCGCATTCTTTGCTAAACCCGCGCGTTTGACAGAAATGTACTGGTACTATTATGTGAGACATCTGTGTAGTTTGCACGTTTCACGGATGAATAATGCGGCAGTTCGCATTTTATCTAGACTTTTCTTTTTCGGTTCTTTTGCAAAGTGATGATTAATGCTGCAAAGATTTTCCGCAAACATAAGAAACAAAATGGCAAAAATTCCACTCCCCTTTTGGCAATAACCATGAATATAAATATAACCATCAGCCCTTCTTGGCCAAAAAAAAAAAGAGTTATTTCTTGTCAATCATTTCTCATTCATCAATCAGTTATCCATCGTATCATCATAAATCAATTTTTCCATAATGCATTATAGATTTTTCAGAGACAGTTTTGTTGGTAGAATGGTTTACCATTTATCCAAACATAAATATTTCAGTCATAAAGAAGAATCCCCTGATTATATCGTTCCAGAGAAATATCTTTCTGAGTTCAAACAATTACCTAGATCAGAATCAAATCAAGAAAATTTCGATAAAGATAAAGAATCTGATTTAGAAAACGCGTCTAATTCAACAGCAACTGGAGATGTTGATGATGGTAAAATAATTGTTACTTGGGATGGTGATGATGATCCTGAAAATCCACTTAATTGGCCATTTTATCAAAAAGCTTTTTTTATTTTCCAAATTTCATTCTTGACTACTTCTGTATATATGGGTTCTGCAGTTTATACTCCTGGTATTGAAGAATTAATGCATGAATTAGGTGTTGGTAGAGTTGTTGCTACTTTGCCATTAACATTATTTGTTCTTGGTTATGGATTAGGTCCAATGATATTTAGTCCAATGTCTGAAAATGCCATTTTCGGTAGAACTTCAATTTATATTGTTACATTGGCTATATTTGTCATTTTACAAGTTCCAACAGCTTTGGTGAAGAATATTGCAGGATTATGTATTTTACGTTTCTTGGGTGGATTTTTTGCAAGTCCTTGTTTAGCCACTGGTGGTGCTAGTGTTGCTGATGTTGTTAATTTTTGGAATGCTCCAATTGGTATTAGTGTATGGAGTCTTGGTGCTGTTTGTGGACCTTCATTGGGTCCATTTTTTGGATCAATTTTAACAGTTAAAGCAGGCTGGAGATGGACTTTTTGGTTTATGTGTATTATTAGTGGATTTTCATTATTCATGTTGGCATTCACCCTTCCTGAATCTTTCAGTAAGACTTTATTGCGTCGTAAGGCTCAACGTTTAAGAGCAGTTACTGGTAATGATAGAATCACTAGTGATGGTGAAGTTGAAAATTCCAAAATGACAACTCATGAATTGATTGTTGATACTTTATGGAGACCATTGGAGATTACAATCATGGAACCGGTTGTTTTGTTGATTGATATTTACATTGCTATGGTTTACAGTATTCTTTATCTTTTCTTTGAAGTTTTCCCAATTTATTTTGTTGGAGTTAGAGGATTTACTTTGGTTGAACTTGGTACCACTTTCTTTTCCGTGTTGATTGGTATTGTTGTTGCCTGCTCTATTTACTTGCCTATCATCAAACGAATTTTCACTGATAGAATTCTCAGAAAAGAACAGGTTTTCCCAGAAGTTTTCATTCCATTAGCTATAGTTGGAGGTTGTTTGTTAACCGGAGGACTATTCATATTTGGATGGTCAGCAACTAGAACTACTCATTGGATTGGGCCCTTATTTGGTGCTGCAGTTACCTCATCTGGAGCATTTATAATTTTCCAAACATTATTTAATTATATGGGTGCATCATTCCAGCCTATTTATATTGCATCTGTGTTTGCATCTAATGATTTATTTAGATCTACAGTTGCTTCTGTGTTCCCATTGTTTGGTGCTCCATTGTTTAATAATTTAGCAACGCCAAATTATCCTGTTGGTTGGGGTAGTTCAGTTTTGGGATTCATTACACTCGTGATGATTGCCATCCCAGTGTTTTTCTATTTGAATGGTCCAAAATTAAGAGCTAGATCCAAATATGCTAATCATTAGTTTTTTTTATTTAGTTGTTTGTGTTATCTATTAATAGAATGATACAGTGGTTGAAGTTCCACTCGTTTAATATATAATAATATCTATTTGCAATTTTTTTTTGTGTTTGTGTATCAAAAGTTTCGTGCTGAGGAAGTTACTCGTGTGTATGTATGTGCGACCACGCACGGCTGTATGCTTGTTCAAATACGATAAGCTTATCTACAAGTGACTCAAATAGTTAAAACGTATTAATAGAATTGTATATTTCTTATTTTGTAAAATGTATATTTTTTTTATAATTTTTGAAGTAACCAAAATAATTAACCTATTTGAATAATTGGATAAATGAATGAATAAAGAACAAATGAAAATGAATAAATAAAATACAAGAAGAAAAGAAGAAAACAAGTAAAAAAAAATTGAAAACTAATAAAAAAATGAGAAAAAAACCATATGATAATGACAATGTAACAATGTAAATTAGTTAATTCTGTGTGTTTGAATGTGTGTGTTTCCTTTAATGTGCATGGATGGATGAATTATCTAGTACTTACCACCAGTTCTTTCTCTTCTTAATTCATTTTGTTGTTTTTCGGTTTCAGCGTCCCATAAGATGAATTCATCTAAACCTTTACCAGCTGGAACCATTGGCAAAACAGGAACTTTCTTTTCAACAATAACTTCCAATAAAACTGGTTCTTTGGCATCCAAGAATTCTTTAACACCAGAGACCATTTCTTCTTGTGTAGAAATTTTAATACCTTTAATACCCATAGCTTCAGCTAATTTCATAAAGTTTGGATTAGATTGATGGGTGTGGGAGTATCTGTTTTCGTAGAATAATGATTGCCATTGAGTAACCATACCTTGTTCTTCATTGTTCAAAACACAAATTTTAACTGGAGCACCAGCTTGAACAGCAGATGACAATTCAGTCAAAGTCATGTTGAAGGAAGCATCACCATCAATGTCAATAACAATGGCATCTGGTTTAGCAACTTGAGCACCAATGGCAGCTGGTAAACCGTAACCCATAGTACCTAAACCACCAGAAGTGATCATGGTTCTTGGTTTAGTCCAGGTGAAATGTTGAGCAGCCCACATTTGATGTTGACCAACACCAGTAGTAACAATAACTTCTTTATCATATGTCAAAGCTTGTCTATTGATTTCTCTAATGACAGATTGTGGTTTGATTAATGAACCTGGAGTTTCTTCTTGGTAAGAGTATGGGTATTTTTCTTTCCATTCGTTAATCTTAGCAAACCATTCTGGTCTACCTTCAACAGCGTCAACCAATTCAATAAAAGTCTTCAAGTTGGTAGTAACATCACCTTCAATGGCTTCAGTGGCTTCGACAACTTTGTTGATGTTCTTTGGAGAAATCTCGAAATGTAAAATACCACCTCTTCCTTCAGCGGCGGCTAATTTGGTTTCTGGGGCAAATTTGGCAATGTTACCAGTAACTCTATCATCAAATCTGGCACCTAATGCAATGATACAATCAGCATTTTGAATAGCAGTGTTGGCAGCAGCAGAACCGTGCATACCCAACATATCCAAAGATTTTGGATCTCTTTGGTCAAAAGCACCCAAACCTTGTAAAGTAGTGGTGACTGGGATGTTGGCTTTATCAGCTAATTGTTTCAATAATTTTGGACCTTCTTCATTGTTCAAAATACCGGCACCGGCATAAATGATTGGTTTTTTGGCCTTGTTTAAAATCTTGGCAGATCTCTTGATAGCTTCAGAAGTGAACTCACTGACAGCCTTTTTAGTGATTTGACTCAAAGCATTGGATGGTAAAGTGGCATTGATTGGGATTGATTCTCTTAAAATGGCAGCGGTAACATCCTTTGGCAAATCAACCAAAACTGGACCTGGTCTACCAGTAGTTGCAATTTCAAAAGCTTCATTGATTCTTCTTGGTAATTCCGCCACGTTTTTAACCATGACATTCCATTTAGTACAAGATCTAGAAATACCAACAACGTCAGCTTCTTGGAAAGCATCAGTACCAATGGCGGTGGTTGGAACTTGACCAGTGAAAACAACCAAAGGAACACCGTCCATTAAAGCATCAGCCATTGGAGTGATGACATTGGTGGCACCTGGACCAGAAGTAACCAAAACAACACCTGGTTTACCACTTGCTCTGGCATAACCTTCAGCCATATGACCAGCACCTTGTTCATGTCTTGGCAAGACAAACTTGAATTTGTCAGAATTGTAAATAGCATCGAAAACTGGCAAGATGGCACCACCAGCGTAACCGAAAACAGTGTCAACATTGTGTCTAAGCATCATTTCGTGGAAAATTTCACCACCGGTCAATCCAATAAATGAATCATCCATTAATGGTTCTTTCTTGGCCAGACGAGCAAATGGTTGCTTATGAGTTGGTGCTATGTTTTCATCAGCATCAGCTGTGTTGAATGCTGGAGCTGGTTGTGGACGAGCTGCTTGAGCGGTAGTAGCGGCTGAAGCTGCTTGAGTATTGATTTTTGAAATTGATCTGACTTGAGATCTCATGAAACCATACATGGTTTTTCTGGTAGTAGCTTTCAAATTACGAGAAATCATTTCTAAAGTTTTGATATTCTAGTAAAGTAGGGAGTTTGAAAGGTGAAGTTTGAATATAAAAAGGAAAAAAAAAAAGAATGGGACAACCAAACGATATAAAGACGAAGGAGAAATTTTTTTTTTTTTTAGTAAAGATATTTCTTGAATGGGTGAAAAATCTACATTATATATTTTATGGAGAAGAACAAAAAATTTCCTTAGGGAAAATTTTTCTGTTGAGTCACTGTAGGATGCGTCAGGGAAGAAACCGCTTGTTTCTTTTTCATTCACACCACTACCGACCAAATGCAATTTTTTTGTTTGTTTGTTCGGTGGTACAATTCCTGATCCGCTGCGAAACCGCACCACCATACAATCTTATGCTTTTTGTGATTCATCCTCCGTTCAGGACCAACGGAGCTTTTTCCAAATAATTAAGAATTTCAATTTTTTTTTTCTTTCATTCTCATACGCCTTAACAGCAGCTACTATATACACGTGACACGTACAATTATTACCGAAATTTCTTAGCTAACAACCTTATAAATCACTTTGTATTATTATGAAATCTTCTAAAGTAGATATTATGCTATAAATGTATATCTAAATAAAATAAAAAATAAAAAGGAATAAAATATTTTGTGTGGAGAAGAACTGAACATGTGAATGGTTAATTTTTTTTTTTTGTTTAAGGATCAATTCATTGATTGGATCCCCCCCTGTTTTTCTGTTATTACTTAATGAGGATTATATGCTCTTGGTTCGTTTTTTTCATGTTGTAGACTATTCTCGGTCGTAGAATTTGAATCTTCTGCTGTTGCACCTTCAAGTACATCACCAGCATCAAGGGTAGCAGGTTTTTCTTCAGAGGGTTCATCATGATGATGATGGTGCTCTTCACTGATCAGGTTTTGTAAAGTTGGGTTAACGGTTGGATTACCCCAGTCCAAGAAATCTCTTCTGACTTCAACATAATCATAAGCAAATTCACCAATTTGATCTTCATCAACACCAACTTCTTCACCATTATAATCAATTCTAAGGTGCAATCCAGGAATCTTATTGATAACAAAACATAAAACAGCAGTGACAGCACCGGAATAAGCCATGGTTGCCAAAATGTAGACAATTTGAATGTACAATTGTTTCCAGTTGTGGTCAATCCAACCACCATGATGATCAGTGACACCATCGTATCCAATAACAGTAGATGATCCAAAGATAGCATTGAATATTAAGCCGACAACACCGGCCATACCGTGCTCAGCCCAAACATCTAGGGAATCGTCAACACGGCACAAGTATTTGATCTTAGTTGACAAGTTACAAACGATACCCGCAGTAATACCCAAAACAACACTTGCCCAAAGTGGAATAACACCGGATGATGGAGTGGCAGCAACCAAACCAGAAATACAACCAGAACAAACTGCAACCATGGACCATTTGTTTTCCAATCTGAAATCCAATAAACACCAAGAAATAGCACCAAAGGCACCACAAATGTGAGTGTTCATCATAGAATATGGAACTTTAACTGATGGATTACCACATGAGAATCCATTGAAGAATAACCAACCAACATACAATAAAGAAGTGCCCAAAAAGATGGTGGAGATATTATGTGGACGATAGTTAATCATCAAGGTTTCATTTCTTCTTCCCAAAAATGCAGAATAAACAAAAGCAGTTACACCAGAGAGAATTTCAACTGGACCACCACCTGCATAATCCAAAGCACCGGATCTCCAAGTCAGAGCCCAACCGCCACCCCAGATCCAGTAAACGACAGGACAGTAGACAATAGTTGCCCAACAAAACATAAATACTAAAGCTGGTAAGAATCTACCTCTTTCGGCAACACAACCACCAGCAATAATGGCCAAAGTGACCAACAAGAATTGTGCTTGGAAAAGAGCAAATGCAATATCTGGATAATCTGTATCATCAGCACTGGCTCCTAATAGATTTTTAAACCCAAAGAAATGTAAATCACCAATGAATTTATTAGATGATGTATCACTGAAAGCTAATGAATAACCCCAGAAATACCATTGGAACATTCCAACAAATGAGGACATAATGACAATCCAAATCATGGATAACGCAGACTTTCTTCTGGCTAAACCAGAGTATAAAAATGCTAAACCTGGCACCATAATCCAGATCACGGAGGAGGCAATAGTAAATAGTAAGACATAACTTTCATTGTATTCATTGTTTTCAGTAAATAGTTTTCTTCTGTTGATGTATTTTATCACTTCTTCAACAGCCATTTTGTAAGTGTAATTCTAGTAGTGTTGGTAGTATTTGTAGTAGTAGAATATATGTATGTACAATGAAAAAGTTAGTCCCAAAAGAATTGAATAATCGGACAAGTAATGAAAATAGAAGAAATAAAAAAATAAATAAATATAAAATTAAAAGAAACGTATATTCATATAAAAAAAAGAACCATCTATTAATACAAAGGGGAATCGTTACAGTTTATATATGAACAATCATGTCTTGCTTTTTCGTGTTCTCTCTCTATTTTTTTTTATTAGCATAATAATGAGTTTGATAAATTTTTACTGATTGCAATATTTTGTGCAAATTGATTTGTTTTAGATAATGTACATTTTTAACTACACAGCAAAAAAAAAATTAAGAAAATAAAAAAAAAAAAAAAGAAAAAAAAAACGAGTCATTCTACTATCAATTCAAACTACCCTATCTTAGCCGATGACATTTTTTCTTGTTTTTCTCAGTGTGATTACGGTGAACATAACTGTAGCATCTCATGAACCAACACATCTTATGTTTCATAGGAACGGCACATGGATGACTACTTTTAAATTCGGGATTGAATTCCCTGCCAAAAATTACACTAACGTTAAATTTCCAGAGTCATCATCAGCCTACACAAAAAAAAAATTACATGCTTTCCTCTTTTTCCCCCCTGTTACTGTCCTCCATAGTTAACGAAGAGTCAGCGGTGCAAAAAAGATTGCAAAATTAAATCCAATAAACGACACTCCTGCACACAGGTGCAAATTTCAAATGGGAAGGCGTGGCCAGCTCAATAGAAAACAAAAAAGATCCTAAAGTTAAACAGAGAAAAAAAAAAGAAATTTTAAATTCACTCTTTTTTTTTTCGCAATCAATCACATTCTCATAATCCAACCAATCAAATCTAAGTATTTCAGCGTTATCGATATCAAATTAAATTTTACAATTTTGCCTACGGATTTTCTAGAAGTAAAAGTACACTACTTTAAATAATCAGCATTGTCCTGCATCAACCAAATGAATTCTTTTTTTAAAAAAAAAAAAAAGAATCACAACCTGTGATTATTACGTAATCAATATACCAAATTTAAGATTTTTCTTTCCTTATCTATACACGAGATCAATTTCTATTTCAATGTTTCTCTATCTATCCGTTAACCCCCAGGGGGTAAAGAATGAATGGGTCAATCAGCCCCGTTTTTTATAATCAAATTGCAGCAACTCACTCCACATTTTAAAATTATCATGTAATTAGAACATTTATTTAAATTTTTGGTTTTTCTAGTCTGAGCTTTGGTTGTTCGTAATGGATTTGATGGGTTTTTTTTTTTTTTTTTTTGCAATGTGTTGATAACGGAATTGAACTAAGCAAAACGCCTTAACAAATTTTGCTTTGCTTTAGTGCCGGTCCATACTCAGCCAAAATCCCTAGGCGAAAAAAATAGTACGACCTGGAAAAAGGAAGAAGTAGAGGCAAAAAAAAGGCTCATCTCATGGAAGACGCAACCCGTAATAATCCGGGTTTTTGAGCCCTTCAATTTGACACCTCTCATACTTTTATTGTTTTTGCAACTATCAAAAAATAATTGTTTCACAATTAAAATAAAAAAAAATAACGACTTTTATTTATTCCAATATAATAAAAACAAAATATATAAACGGAAATTTTTAAAAACTAACGAAATTTACATAATCTAGAAAGAAACAAAAAAAACGATATGTAAGAATGAAGAAATTAAGCAAACAAAAAAAATGTGGAAAATCAAATGTAAAGAATTATATCTAAATGAGCATGTAACCAAACAACATACCAATTATCCATGAGTAACCTGTAGATAATTCATGAGCATCACCTTCATAAATTGGAACTGGTGGTGGTGGAATTGAAGTAGTAGATGTTGAGTCAGCTGGGTAAGTTTCGACACCTTCAGTACCAGGTGAAGATGTACCAGTAAAAGTAGAAGTAGAAAGGGTTATAGTACTGTAGGAAGTGATAGTAGTAGTTGAAGATTCGGTACTTGATGGAGTTTCTTCTTGTGGTTCAGCAGGTGGGATAGTCTTAGGAACCGGAACAGAAGATTCTTTAATACTTGAAGAAGCTGTGGTTGGTACTTGTTGTTCAGAAGTGACAGACGTGACAGAAGTGACAGAAGTACTGGCAACTGAAGTATTAGAAACTGGACTACTAGCAACTGGACTACTGGAAACTGGACTACTAGCAACTGAAGTACTAGCAACTGAAGTACTATTGACGGGAGTAGTAGAAACTGGACTACTAGAAACTGAAGTACTAGCAACCGAAGTCAAAGATGAAGAATTAGAAGTAATACTAGAAGTTGCTTCAGCAGCAAGACTGGTAGATCCCTTAGAAGCAGAACTAGATGCAGTTGTTGGTTCAGAAACTGAAGTAGAAGAATTGGATACACCTTCAGATAAGTAGATAGGAGATTCGTGTGGAATAGTAACTGGGTAATATGGTTCTTCTGAGCAGCTAGATAAAACAATGGTTTCAATACTGGTAATTCTAGTAGTGTATTTAGTAGTAGAATCTTTGAAAGTAGTAGTGACAATGGAATCAGTGACAAAAGTAGTAGTTTCAACGGAAGTAACCAAAGTCTTGGATTCAATAACTTCACTAGTTTCTTCTGATGGACAATGAGTAAAAGTTTGAGTTTCATAACTAGTCAAAGTACTGGTAGCTTCAACAACTTCACCATCTGAAGTAGTAGAATAAATAAATTCACTGGTTGATGGAATGGTAGTAGTAATGAAAACTTCTGGGAAATCACAAGTGGAAACTTCAGCAACGGAGGAAGATGATTGTTCAAAAACTTCAGAATGTAAGCATTCTTCACAAGTGGTAATAATTTCAGTACTGTAGTAATATTCAGTTTCTGTGGTTGAGTAAGTTGTTCCTTCCAGGGTTATTTCACTAACAACTTCAGTAGTAGAAGTAACAACATTTGTACTAGTAACAATTTCTGGTGGACAATCACTGTTGGTTTCGTAGTAAGTTGAAATTGATGTTTGAGTATAAACAACTGGAGTTTCATCAACGGTAGAGGTTTCAAAGAATTCAACTAGAGTGGTTCTGGTAAAGACTGGAGTACAGGCACTGTTGTTGGAGAGTGAAGTAGTGGTTTCTTCAGATGGACAGTCACTGTTGGTTTCGTAGTAAGTTGAAATTGATGTTTGAGTATAAACAACTGGAGTTTCATCAACGGTAGAGGTTTCAAAGAATTCAACTAGAGTGGTTCTGGTAAAGACTGGAGTACAGGCACTGTTGTTGGAGAGTGAAGTAGTGGTTTCTTCAGATGGACAGTCACTGTTGGTTTCGTAGTAAGTTGAAATTGATGTTTGAGTATAAACAACTGGAGTTTCAGCAACAGTAACAGTTTCCAAGAATTCAATTGGAGTAGTTCTGGTGAAGATAGGAGTACAAGCACCGTTTCCAGTAATTGAAGTGGATAAGACTGAAGTAATTTGTGATAATGAAGTAGTGGTTGGGTTGACAACAGTGGATGGACCAGCAAGAGAAGTTGAAGTTGGTTGTTTACTGGAGGATGGAGCTTGCTCGGTAGAAGTAGTAGTTTCTTCACTGGTGGTTTCTTCACTGGTAGTTTCTTCGGTAGTGGTTTCTTCACTGGTGGTTTCTTCACTGGTGGTTTCTTCACTGGTGGTTTCTTCGGTAGTGATTTCTTCACTGGTGGTTTCTTCGGTAGTAGTTTCTTCACTGGTAGTTTCTTCAGTAGTGGTTTCTTCAGAAGTAGTTTCTTCAGTAGTGGTTTCTTCAGAAGTAGTTTCTTCAGTAGTGGCTTCTTCTGTTGTTGGTTCTTCACTGGTGGTTTCTTCACTGGTAGTTTCTTCAGCGATAGTTTCTTCGGTGGTAGTTTCTTCTGTAGTAATTTCTTCACTGGTGGTTTCTTCTGTTGTTGGTTCTTCAGAAGTAGTATCAATAACTGGAGTTGAAGTAGTTTCTGGTTCACTGGAGGTAGTCAATTCTTCAATTGATGGTTCAATGACTGGTGTGGAAGTTGGAGCTGGTTCGGTAGAAGTAGTAGGAATGTCTGTTGGGGTCACTTCATCTAGAAGTGGGGTAGTAACAAGTCTAGGAAGATCAGAAGTTGGAGTAAATGAATGGTTCACCCTCATGATAAAGTTGTAGCATAGTCATATCTGGGCAGGTGACTACTGTTTCGGTGATGGTTTCACGAACTGTATAAACAAGTGTTTGAATTAAACCATCAACAGTACTTGTAATAACTTGAACGTCCCAAATTGTTTTAGTAGCCACGTTTGTGATAAAATAGTAGGTTGTATAAGTAGTGGAGGTGCTTGTGGTAAGAATAACTTCACCTGGTACAGTAGACTTCTCTGTGACATATGTAGTTATAGTAAGGAATTCGAGTGGTCTTTGAGATCTTGATTTTGAACTACTCATAATGGAAACAGGAAGAACCAGAGACGATATTGGGGTTTTTGATTTAGTACAACCTTCATCACAAGATGTTATTGTGGTTTTTGATACGCTTATTTTAGAAACATCCAATGTAACCATAGAAGACGGAATTGAACTAGTGGTGTAATCGGTTTGAATCAGTGTTGCGTAATCTTCCTTAGTAGTAGTGGTAAAAGTAGTTCTAATTTCAACGACTTTACTAGTTACTGGAGAAGAAGTAAAAAATTCTGTCACAACATCGACATCATTCTTATGCACATAACAAGCTTCATCATCACACACAATAGGATAGCAACCAGTATCATCACAATACTCATCCCCATCTTCATAAGCCTTGGTAGCAGTAACCAACTACAAAAAGAAAATCAAATAATTAGCAATCATAGTAAAAAATTAGAATATTTGGTAATAGCAGCAGTAGTTAATACAAGTATGACCAAACAATCAAAGTAATTCTCAAGATGTGTAGAATAATGATTTAAAAAAAAACAATTAGCATCCAAAACTAGGATAATCTTCATCATTTTATATATTCTTCATTTCTATAAGAATGGACGAAACAAAAAAAAAGCAACTAATAAACTTTAAACATAAGTTGAAACAATAGTAGACAAACCAATCCACTATAGTATAACCATTTGCAATTGCATTTGAACATTGTGCACCCTTTCAATAGGATTGATAAAGTCTTGAAAGTTTAAAAAAAATTTTGAAACAATTTTTAACATGAGTATGATGGTGCGAGATTTTCTTTTTGAACCAATGTACACGAAACTTTAAATTTTAAACATTTGATTGCAAACCATATAAAATGGAGCAACACTTATTTGAATTGGTTCTAATTTATGTTTTGTGTTAAATTTTTTTTTCTAATTTATCTAAATGAACTTTGGATTAATAATATAATATGGAATCTAAAGAAAACCCAAGAAAAATAAAAGGTATAACAGAAAGGGAAGGAAAAAACGAGGGGGTGAAAGGGGGGAATACTATAGCTTCTCTGACTAATATAAGAGGATAAATGATGTTCAATGGATTAACTCTGAAACAAATTGCATTATAATATTAGGAACAACGAAAGGGCATTATCAATATATGGGTTCTAGAAAAAAAACTTTAATTGCTAATTCTTATTATACATGAACTATATTGCTACATTATAATGAACTTCGTTGATGACTCTGTTATAGTTCAATTATTTCTTTCTTCTTTCTTCCGGTTTATTGTTGTCGTAATTGGAATGATCCGAATGATCCTTTGTCGTCGAACTTTTCTCTGAAGATAAACAATACCAAAGAGGTAATTCTACAAGAAAAAGTATACAATGAATACCCAAACCAATGAATTCTTAGATGGTTATATGATCTGTGTTTCACCATGATTGGATATGGTTATATGTTCTTTTTAACATGTGTTTTTATAAAAACTGCTCTAATGGTAATTAAACCAATGCACTATTTCTAAAATAAATTGTTCCAAAATTGTTTTGGGTTACAAAACCAATTAGAGTTGATTTTTAACATGTTATTTTTTCGGATTATCACTAAATATTTTTTTTTCTTCTGTTCACCACATCAATACGGTAAATCACAACCTCGTACTAGAATCGGACATTATTTTTATTAGCTCTACTATATTTTAATTGAGGTAAGGAGATTGGGTCATTTAATTGCAGAAATGTTGATGAGACATGAGGAGAACTCTACTTATTAATTAATCTTACATGCATTTATTAATTAAGAACAGGCTATATACAGGAAATATAAAAAATAAATAAATAATATAGAAGCAATCAATTAGAGATAATTAATTAATGCTACCTATTGGTTCATTTCTTAGCATTATTCATTACATTTACCCCCACCACATTATTTCGAGAAGATTACTAATCATGTTTAACGCCGTTTTGTTTCTCTTCATATTTCTCATAGAAATGAAATGTCTCAAAACAAACTTCTATTACAATTAACCAAATAATTATCCATTCTAGTCTTGTACCTTTCTTTTCACTTAATACACTCAAAAATGCACGTTGTTCATCTGTTGCATAATCTAATTTTCTATTCAATATTGAAATTCTTGAATTTATATCCAATATTTTAGAAATACTATTATAAATTTTCTCTAATTTTGGTTCACTCCAATATAAATCAGGGGTATCAATTAATTCACTGTAAAGATTCAATTTTCCTCTCAATAAGAATAATTTCCCAGTTATTTTTAAAAATTCATGTTCTGACGTAGTTATTTGTTTCCCATTAGCCAAAATTTCTGAATTTTGTTTAGTCAAGTTTAAATATTCTTCTAATTGAGCCTCTAGTATGGATAATCTTGTTGATCTAGATAATCCAATAGCAAATGCAGCCATATCTAATAATCGTTTTTCTTTATCTGGACCCTGGACAATCATAATTTCTCCATGAAGATAGGAATACCCTTTATTTAGTGGTGTCTCCGGTAATTCTTTCAATTCTATCCAATCAATTTCTTCACTTTCAAAAGTTTCACATTTACTTTCAATACTGCCTTCTATCACTGGCAAGTAGTTGACAATTTCATCTTCAGTTAAATTCCACCCTACAAGAGTACCATTTGACAAAATCATCAAATTTGAATCACTTGTACTTATGTTGATGACTTCCTCTGGAATAACAATCTGAAATTCATAACCTTGAATGCTTGGAATCAATTTATCAAAATCAATTGCATCACCCACGGTCAATGATGTGACGATATTGAAATATTTCTCCAACACTTTAGGTGATACTTCTTCTTGTCTATTTTCATTTAATAAAGATAATATATAATTTGTGGATTCATGTTGGAATTGTGAATTATCTGTACGACGTAACTTCTGGGCACCTATCTTCTTTTTAGGGACATTTTTGACTCGATTGATAGGCTTGTTCTCCAGCTTTATAGGAACAGTAGAATTGAAACGGCAGATCGGTAGTCTTTGAAATCTCGCCAATTGTATGGTTCTGGGAATTCTCTTTATCATGATAAATAATAATGTGAATAGCTAGAGAAATCAACTGTAATAGAAACTAATCATATCCCTGGTGATACTAATGTTATTCTTTTTTTCTCTCCCTTTCTCTTCATCCTTCGTTCCACGGATAAAGAACTTGCCAAGATCTTGTCCTGTTGTACACGACTGGTTCACGTGTGTTTGTTCACGTGAAGGTGTTTCAAAAAAAGATGTTGACGAGTTAAACTTTCTGAAACTTGGTCTAAATTTGAAACCTACAAGAGAAGAATATGTACATTATAGTGTTTGTATCAAGAGTGCTAGTCAGAAAATGTTTCGAACCTTACATCAGATTTTCCATCTAACGAAGTGTTTTCTTCTGTCGTCAGTTCTAAAATTAGATCACACTGTTTTCTTGATTACAAAAGCCATTCCTCTACAACGAAAAATCTGAAAAATTTTTCTGTTCATGAACTGCTTCAACCTTTTGTACCATAAAAACAACCGTTTAAAAAAAAAATATCAGTCCGAATAGTACAGATCAATGCCCACGAGTTTGTTGCCCCCGATCTTTTGTTCCGATTATTTATTATTTTGAATAATGGGAAACTAAAAATAGGGTAGAGGCTTACTAGGATGACGTGGAGGAGATTATATTTTTGGCTGTGTTAACTTGGGATATTTTCCCGTCCACGGCAGTATTCACCGTTTCTCGATTCTTAAAAGATTACATGACGTCGCGTTCCTGTAATATTTGGGATTTTTAGACATTTTTGGTTGAATTTCATCATGAAATTATTCCACGATTTTGATCTCCTTCGTGTTCATTAATTGATTTGATTTGATTTGCTTTGCAATGAAATGAGCTTTCAAGAAGAAGGCAGAAAACAATAAGCCTTGATATATAGTTGCTTATTTCTTTTCGTAAACCGTCATAATCCTTATCTTTCATTTACGAAAAACATAAACAAATCAGAATAAGGAAAGTTGCAATATATCAATTGCTGAAAGATAGATAATTACATAAGAGGTGAATGAGTGACCATGTATTTTGATTAATCTTTTGTCTCGATCCTCCCCATGTGTTCGTGACCCATTCTTTCAAACTGTGTCTACTTGAAATTGTAACAAAAAGATTTTTCTTTTCTCACTGCAAATTTTCTTTGAGACCTTGACGTGTGTTTTTAATTTGTCTGTTTTAGGAATAATTGGTTGATTAAAAAAAGTCGCATTATAATGTCGCGTTCCTGACTAACTGTCTCTCTGTGCTAGGTCATGAAGAGACATAGAATCCTGCCCATATGTGTGTGTTATATAGATATAATGTTTGTCTTGATAATATCATGTATAGAAAGAATCAATGTAGACTAAAACAAAGGTTGAATAAATCCTCATGTATTATGTAAGTCTAGAATTGTAGTGGCAAAGGGTGTTGGTGAATGTATGGGAGTATGCTGAGATCATAAAATGTCCAAAAATAGCTACAAAATTATCTGCAGGAGACACTAAATTTTTTTTTTTTCTTTCTTTCTTTCTTTTTTTTTTTTAAAAAAAAATTAATTGTTTTTGTTTTGCTTCTTCTTCTTTGGGGGCGTATGAAAATTCAGTTTGAACATTTGCAGTATACAGGCTATATAAAATATATAAAGGATTAATTATATCACACATACTGAAAAATCATTTCAAAAAATTTTTCTCTTCCTTTTTTTTTTCTTCCTCTTCCTTTGTCTATCGTGAATTTTTCTTTTTTTACATTGATTTTATTTTTAATTTAATTTATTTTTTTTTCTTTTTCAGTATCTACTTGAAAGAAAGTCTTTGTTATTACTAGATCACATTTGCAAAAGAAAACACTTTCGCTTGATAAAAAACAATTATAAACTTAAAGAACAATGTGGTATGTATATCTTGTTGTACATTGATCCTCCCACCTCGGAGTGAAACACCTGTTCAGATCAAAGATCATTGACACTGTGGCAATAGGTGGGACTTCGAGGATTTTTTAGAATTTTTCTCAAGATGTATGAGAGGATGTATATGAGTAAAAAGTGAATTCATCAATACTAACAATAACGTGTCATTATAGTGGTATTTTTGGTTATGTCAATTTCTTGGTTGACAAGACAAGAGGTGAAATCATGGACAACTTGATTGAAGGTTTACAAAGATTGGAATACAGAGGTTATGATTCCGCTGGTCTTGCCGTCGATGGTAAAATGATCAAGGATTCCAATGATGAAGAATACATGGACTCAATTATTGTCAAAACTCCAGGTAAAGTTAAGGTTTTGAAACAAAAGATTATTGATGATCAAATTGACAGAGATGACGTTTTCGATAACCATGTTGGTATTGCTCACACCAGATGGGCCACCCATGGTCAACCAAAAGTTGAAAACTGTCACCCTCACAGATCAGATCCAAAAGCTGAATTCATTGTTGTCCACAATGGTATTATCACCAACTATGCTGCTTTAAGAAAATACCTTTTGTCCAAAGGTCACGTTTTTGAAAGTGAAACCGATACTGAATGTATTGCCAAATTATTCAAACATTTCTACGACTTGAACCGTAAAGCTGGCGTTTTCCCAGACTTGAACGAATTGACTAAACAAGTTTTACACGAATTGGAAGGTTCTTATGGTTTATTGGTCAAGTCATACCACTACCCAGGTGAAGTTTGTGGTACCAGAAAGGGTTCTCCATTATTGGTTGGTGTTAAAACCGACAAGAAATTGAAAGTTGATTTTGTTGATGTCGAATTTGAAGCTCAACATCAACCAGAAATCAACCACAATGCTGCCACTTCTGCTGAATTGGGTTTCATCCCAGTTGCTCCAGGTGAACAAAACTTGAGAACTTCCCAATCAAGAGCTTTCCTTTCAGAAGACGATTTGCCAATGCCAGTTGAATTTTTCTTATCTTCTGATCCTGCATCTGTCATTCAACATACCAAGAAAGTCTTGTTCTTGGAAGATGATGATATCGCCCACATTTACGATGGTGAATTACATATTCATAGAGCTTCCACCAAGTCTGCTGGTGAATCTACCGTCAGACCAATCCAAACTTTGGAAATGGAATTGAATGAAATCATGAAAGGTCCATACAAGCATTTTATGCAAAAGGAAATTTTCGAACAACCAGATTCTACTTTTAACACTATGAGAGGTAGAATTGATTTTGAAAACTGCACAGTTACCCTTGGTGGTTTGAAATCTTGGTTATCAACAATAAGAAGATGTAGAAGAATCATTATGATTGCATGTGGTACTTCCTACCATTCTTGTTTGGCCACTAGATCTATTTTTGAAGAATTGACTGAAATTCCAGTTTCTGTTGAATTAGCTTCTGATTTCCTTGATAGAAGATCCCCAGTTTTCAGAGATGACACTTGTGTGTTTGTTTCTCAATCCGGTGAAACTGCTGATTCCATCTTGGCTTTACAATACTGTTTGGACAGAGGTGCTTTAACTGTTGGTATTGTCAACTCTGTTGGTTCCTCTATGTCTAGACAAACCCATTGTGGTGTCCACATCAATGCCGGTCCAGAAATCGGGGTTGCTTCCACTAAAGCTTACACTTCACAATACATTGCATTGGTCATGTTTGCCCTTTCATTGTCTAACGATTCTATTTCCAGAAAGTCAAGACATGAAGAAATCATTAAAGGTTTACAAAAGATTCCAGAACAAATCAAACAAGTTTTGAAATTGGAAGATAAGATTAAAGAATTGTGTAATAGTTCATTGAATGATCAAAAATCCTTGTTATTGTTGGGTAGAGGTTATCAATTTGCCACTGCTTTGGAAGGTGCTTTGAAAATCAAAGAAATTTCTTACATGCATTCTGAAGGTGTTTTAGCTGGTGAATTGAAACATGGTGTTTTGGCATTGGTTGATGAAGATTTACCAATTATTGCTTTTGCCACCAGAGATTCTTTATTCCCTAAGGTTATGTCTGCTATTGAACAAGTTACTGCCAGAGATGGTAGACCAATTGTTATCTGTAATGAAGGTGATGCTATTGTTTCTAATGATAAAGTCCATACCACTTTGGAAGTTCCAGAAACTGTTGATTGTTTACAAGGTTTGTTAAATGTTATTCCATTACAATTGATCAGTTACTGGTTAGCTGTAAATAGAGGTATTGATGTCGATTTCCCACGTAACTTGGCTAAATCAGTCACTGTCGAATAGATAAAGTTGGTGTATGAGTGAGTGAGAGAGAGACAATTCAGATGGTTAAATTAATATAAATAGATACATTAATCAATTTCAGAAACAAGGGAGGACTTAATTTGTTCTTAAACTTATTCTTTTGTTATATCAGATTCTTATTTCTTCTTCTTTTTATTTAGTTGTTTTCATAATTATATTATTATTATTATTATTAGGATTTATGTAATTTTTTTTTGTCTTATTGTTTGTATGTATGATGGTGATACCCAACTCTGATAATGATCTTGATTAAATCAACAATTTCAAGAAAAGAAGAAAATATATTGATTCATTTAAATATATACACACAACATCAACGGAAATGAACTAAAAAATAAGGACAACTAAAACAATCATTAACTTTACAAAGATTTTTTATTTTCTAGTAAAGTATTGAGAATTACCCAAGAATGCAGCCGTGTTATCAAATACTGATTCACCAAGATTTAAATATTTAGTAGCATAGTATTGAACATCTTTACTTTCAATTTTATCTAAATTTGGAGTTAATCCAGTAGTTCTTTTAACTCCAGCTAAAAACCCCGATACTAAAACCAAATCAAATGAAATATGAGCTAATTTACCAATCATTCTAAACATTAAATGAATACTAACTAGTGAAACAAATAAAAAAAAGATAAGGAATTGATATGAAAAAAAAAAAAAACCTAAGGAAAGGAAGAAGATCTAATAAATAAAAATAGAAATAGAATATCAAGGGAATAAGTAAGTAACTTTGAATGAAGTTAATTTGCTGGCTTGTGGTGATGGGAAAAGTGGCGATTCCTGAAATTTTTGAATACGAATTCAAAAAAATTTTCTTTCTTTCTGATCTGGTTTTAATTTTTATTTTTTCTTTACAAGGAATGGTTGTAAACAAAAGAGAATTTTGAAAGACGATTGAGTGAGTGTGTGTGTGTGGTGTCTACTTTTCTCTTTATAGAAATTCTTAGTCGTGTAAATGTGATCGGTGTTTGAAACAGACAGAAGAAAAAAGAAAGGAAATTTATAATATGTGAGTTTGTCTAAGGGAAAAAAAAGTTCTTATTCTTCTTTTATTTGAAGCAATAGCCTGTATTGTTATTTGCAAGTATTCCCTATATTAAAGGACGATTCGATGTATTGATAAAAAGCTGGTTAGATCACTAGTGAAGAAGAGGATAACTCCAGAAAGTTGACAACAAATCGAGGTATTTATTGTTATTATTATTATTATATAGAGATCATTTAATAATGGCGTTCATTTAACAAGTTTCCCAATGTATCAACATTTATTGTCGAACCACGGTATTGAAGACGGATTAGAGTACTACCCATAATATCTGAGATTACTATCAGACTAGTTCATCAAGATTCTAGATAAGTTTTTCAAAGGTTTTTGTATTGGACAGCAGGTAACAGCCAATGTGCTAACTTTTTTTTTAGGTATTTTTTATTGACTTACTCTCTCTATTTTCTACGCTTGTAAAACAAAAACAAACAAAATGTTGCTGTTCGCTGTTGCTACTAGCTGGTCTATCAAGAGATGTTATTTGCATGGATTAATGAATTCATATTCCGGGCATTATTATTATTTCCTTATACTACATTAAGTCCAGCCTATTGGGATTCCGTTCTACCACCAAGAGCCAATTACACAACAAAAACTGCGCAGTTTTTGAATTTTTGGTTTTTTCTTTTTCTTTTGCTTTATTTGTGAGACTCATACTTTTTTTTTTCTTGCAATTTTTTTTTTTCTTTTGGCTGGCCCATTTCTTTTCTTTTCCAACAATTATTAAGTGATATTCATTGAAATCATGTCAGGTGGATTTAGACCAAGAGGACCTAAGAATCAACAAAGCGACTTCCAAAGTCGAACTTCACATCGTTCACAATATAGGGATAATCGTAATTATCGAAATTATCCGCCTCCAGGTCCAAGGAGATTTGGAGTACGAGATAGTTACAGACCAGGTCAAGGAAGACCTTCAGCAACAGAATCAAATAATAATCAACAAGAAAATAGACCAGATTCAGCATCATCAGTAAATTCATCAGATTCTTCTGCAGGAACAGGAGCAGGAGTAGGAGTAAGAGGAAATGGAACCGTATCAGGAGGGCGTAATTATCAACCAGGACAAAAACGACCATTGCCTTCGGGACCGGCAAGTTTAAGGAAACGTCCAGATAATAGACAGTCGTCATTTCCAAGAGGTCCAAGGGATAGACATAATGATAGAGGAAGGGAAAAAGTTATAATTCGTCAATTGTATCCCGATCAGATTTACTGTATCAAATCAGCAAAAGCACCAAATGTATATGAACGAGTTCTGCAAGTTGGGGAAGGTACTTATGGGAAAGTTTACAAAGCCAAACATAAAATAACTGGTGAATTTGTTGCCATGAAGAAATTGAGATTAGAATCTGAAAAGGAAGGGTTCCCAATTACTGCAGTTCGTGAAATTAAATTATTACAATCTTTTGATCATGAAAATGTTGTTGGATTAGTAGAAATGATGATTGAAAGTAATCAAATTTATATGGTTTTTGATTATTTAGACCATGATTTGACTGGGTTATTGACACATCCTGAGTTGAAGTTAGAAGAATGTCATCGAAAGTATATTTTTAAACAATTGATGGAAGGATTGAATTATTTACATAAAAAGAGAATAATCCATCGTGATATTAAAGGATCTAATATTTTATTGGACAATATAGGTAGATTGAAAATAGCCGATTTTGGACTTGCTCGTCCGATGAAAGTTGTCAATGGCGATGAAAAACCAGATTATACCAATAGAGTTATTACTATATGGTATAGACCACCAGAATTGTTGTTGGGTTCTACTGACTATGGAAGAGAGGTTGATGTATGGGGTGTTGGTTGTTTATTGATTGAATTGTATTCTAAGATGGCTGCATTTAGAGGAATGGATGAAATTAGCCAATTGTGCAAGATTTTCAATATCATGGGTACTCCTACTTTGGAAGATTGGCCTGAAATAGATAGATTGCCATGGTTTGAAATGTTGAAACCAAAAATTAATGTTGATAGTAAATTTGAAAAGAAATATGGTGAAGTTATGTCACCTCCGGCATTTAAACTTGCTGTTGAATTATTGCAATTGAATCCATCTAAAAGACCAACAGCAGAAGAAGCTTTGGAACATGAATATTTTAAGGAAGATCCACAACCAGAGCCATTGCATTTCTTGAAGGAACTCAAAGGAGAATGGCATGAATTTGAAACTAAAAAGAGAAGACGTGAAGAAAGAAAAAGAATAAAAGAAGAAGAAGATGCTGAATTGGCTGCTAGTAAAGCCGCCGCCGCCGCCGCCGCCGCCGCCGCCGCTGCTGCTGCTACAAAATCAAATCAAGCTACACAAGAAAGTATTTGAAGTAGGCTATGATTACTATTGAATGTATTATTAGGATTAATCTTTTTTTTTTGATTTTTTTTTTTTTTTTTTGGCATGTATTTATTTTTGTACGAAACATAGAAATTCAATCAACACAAAGTGATAAAAAAAGGTGAATCATGAAGTAAAAATGCTGCTGCAAAAATGGGAAACAAACAAACAAAAAAAAAAGAAAACTCTTGTTCGGAATTCTTATAAATATCAAATAATGCAAATATCTGACAAGTTGAATATGAAGATACTCCTATTTGGTATAATTGCATTTGGTATAATTATAGATTTTTCCAATTATACTCCGATATCAATTCCAACTATTACATCTTCATCATCATCTTCTAGTGGTACAATATCAAATCATGTAGATGAAGGTGAAACCTATCCTTATTCGTCAATGTTTATGAAAAGTATTAATGATAAGAGGGCAATTGAATGCATGAAATATGTTGAATCAACATCATTTAAATTTAAGAATTGTACTATAGTAACTAATCATAATTCATGTATTTGTTATTTTATGAAATTAGTTACTCAAGAATGTGAAACTTTACGTGATGATCAAGATTGGTATTTAGAAAATTTAAATCATTCTGAATGTACACCGATTTGAAATAATATCAAATAATCAACAACAAATGATTCTATGCATTTTATTAAATGTGTCTACGTTATTCTCCCCCCCCTCTTTTTTTTTCATAATTAAATATCTGTATAATTGAATCATAAATAATGTAATCGGCCGAATTAAAGCAAAGTGATTACATACAAATTCGGAAAAATGCCAAAATGTAAATCCGAAATTCCTGATAGTTTAAGAATACAAAAATGAAAATTTATTTTTTTTGTTTAATGATGAATTAGATTTCAGTCGTAAAAGCAGTAACAAAGAGTTGAAAAAGGACAATAGGATAATTTTGTTATTATTATTTTAGTTAAAAGAAAATAAAAAGCCAGGGCATTCTAATTCAAGATGCAATGACTATCGAATTTTCAATTTAATTTGTAGCTTCTTGGCCCTTTCTTGAATGCTAAAACAAGAGTTCATTATTCCGTTTTTGTTACTTTTAGTATTAGTAATCAACAATTACCTGATCATGCTAAATATTCTTGCTACTGTCAAATAGAAAGAGATTATGAGTTCTATTGTGGAAAGTGGAGGAGGGGAGGTGAGGTCATCACCAAATAAAATAAGTATGACGAAATGATTGTAGTGGCTTGGGGGAAATTTTGCTTCCCATAAATATGCCAGTACAATTGAACAAGTAGATAATGTATAATGTATGTACTATGAAAAGAAACGACAATAGAAGCACAGTAAGCAGACTTGAATTATTTTCAATCATTATTGTTTTTCTTTATTTTTTATTTTTTTTTTTGCCTCAGTGATGATAGGCTGGTATTGAAATGCTCGCTTAATTGGTGAGAGAGAGAAAGAGAGAGAGTGTGTGTCTGTGTGAGTGCAAGTTTGATAGGGCCGTAAGATTTTGTTTCATATTCCCTTGGTAACACATACACACACGCGATGTCTCTCTCTCTCTTTTTACTTTTTTTCCACCCCCTTGAATATCTGCACAGAGATTAGATTAGAGTACAATTCAAGGCAATTAATTTAGTATTAAGACCAATCAAATTGTGTAAAACAGCCAATAAACTTGCATTAAACATAATCATCGGTTGGTGCATTAAAAAATAAAAAGAAAAGAAAGAAAAGAAAAAAGGATTATAGAGAGTATTGATTGATCCCGCGTGATTTTAATGATAAAAATTGTAGTTTTTTTTTATTTGTCAAATAGTATTGTATAATAATGATTTATTCAATCTTAATCTTGTATTGAAAACTAAACTTTCTTCTTGTGATGATATTGTTGAGATGTGCTTGGAAAAAACAGACAAACAAACATGAATCAACCATTGAATTACAGTGCAAGTCTAAATAAATAAAATTGTACAGTAAACGAAATTTTCACAACAACTGATTGTTCATTATACAAAATTTTAATTGTCACACAAAAAGCTTGATTGAGGAATTTTGGTTTTAGCACACCCACACTCCTCTCATGTCTCTCATACATATTCACTCGCTTACTTAGTACTGGATAGTGGGTATTGGACAGTGATGACTACTGGGTAATGATGAATACTGGAAGGTGTATTGTAAAATTATGCATTAGTTTTCATTTTCTTGAGAGTACAGATGCACATGCACTGTACACTGTGCAAAATACATTGCACAATAACATTCAAAGTACAATACAATACAATAGAAGAGAGTATAATATACTATAGTATTTTACATTTTAATCACCTTGTATTATTTCATCTACTGTCTTTTTACTGTACTATTTATTTTCATTTACTTTAACAACAACAACATCAAAATTTTTTTTTTTATTTTTCAACATTCATTTTCTTTTTTTTTTTGGATTATCACCCACTTGACGAATTAATTATCCAGTGTATTGGATTTGAAATAATTAGAGTCATAACCTAATTAAATCATCACCATCAGTATTATCACGACTACTACTACTACTGTTACTACTACAAGAACCAGAATTAACACATATTCCATACTCCACTTGTTTCCCTCGTCCTACTTCTCGCTTTCTCTCTCCCTCCCTCCCTTTTTTTTTTACCATATTGTGTGTTTATTATATTCATAATTTTTTTTTTGTTTCTCACTTTCATTCATCCATTCATTCATTCTTTGTTTTTTTTTCTTAGATTGATTTCAACATTATTACACGATTATCACCATGGGGTTCTGGTACATCAAAGTCATCAGAGACTCCTAATACGTCCAATCAGCAATCATCCCAATCAACTCAAGCAAAGCGACAACAACAACAACAAAAACAAACAATACAACAGAAACAGAATCAGCAACAACAACAACAACAAGATTCGAATACTACACAACAACAACAGAAAGGTCAAGCACAAAATCAGGCCACTTCAAATGGTAAGTTGAAAGCAGGCTCTACTTCCGAAACAACAAAACATCCTTCAACAAGTTCAAATACTGACCAATCTCAAGATTATTCCACATCCAATAATGTCAATGAAAAGAAATTAATCAATGACCCAGTAACTGCTGCCGCACAATCAAATCCAAACAAGGAAGTTAAAGTATTATTATTGGGTTCAGGTGAAAGTGGTAAATCAACAATTGTTAAACAAATGAAAATATTACATTCAAATGGTTACACTCCTGAAGAATTAGAAGAATTCACCCCATTCATATACAAGAACATCCTAGACTGTATCAAAAACATTATAAATGCTATAATTGATTTAGACCCAGATTTAGTTAAAAATCCTGATGACGATTCTCTTGAAGATGAATCTCAAGTAACTGGAATTACAAGTGAGAACAACAAGATTGCAACCTCTAATGGGACTTTACGCAAACATATTTTGGATTATAATACTTTAAATGAAATTTTGGATTATGAATATTCTTTGGATACTATTGAACCGTTTAATTCCGAAATTGCCATTAAAATTAAAGAAGTTTACAATATACCAGAAGTTCGAAATTTCATTAATAAAAGACAAGGGGAATTTTATTTGATTGATTCAACTTCTTATTTCCTTTCTAATATCGATAGAATATGTTTGAGTCAAGATTATCTTCCAACTGTAATGGATGTTTTACGTACACGTAAAAAGACTTCAGGTATTTTTGATTTCAAATTTGATATGGGTAATGGTTTAAATATTCATTTATATGATGTTGGTGGACAAAGATCAGAACGTAAAAAATGGATTCATTGTTTTGATAATGTTCAACTTATTATTTTTGCCGTTGGTCTTTCTGAATATGATCAAGTATTACTTGAAGAAAATGGTCAAAATCGATTAGAAGAAAGTCTTTTATTGTTTGAATCAATTTGTAATTCTCGATGGTTTTCCAGAACTTCAGTGGTACTTTTCCTTAATAAAATTGATGTTTTCAGCCAAAAACTTGCTTATTCACCTTTGGAAAATTATTTCCCTGATTATAGTGGTGGTGCTGATCTAAATAAAGCTGTCAAATATATCTTGTATCGATTCCAACAAGTGAATAGAAGTGGCTTGAAAATTTATCCTCATGTTACTTGTGCCACTGATACAAGTAATATTAAATTAGTCATGGGTGCTGTAAAAGCAACAATTTTAGAAAATTCCCTTAAAGACATTGGTATTGATTAAATCCCAAAACAAAATAACACTTTACAAAACAAAACAAAACAAAACGAACCATCATAGGTGATTTAATGGATGATTAAAATGTACAGAATGTAAAATAAAATACTTGTTTTTCATTTTATAAGAATCTATACGTGTAGTAATAAATAAAAATAAAGACAAAATGGAAAAAACAAAAAGTTCAAAATTAACAAATTACATCAAAACTATAATTATTATAATAGTAATAACCTATGAGACGTAGATATTCGACAACTCACAGAAATACAATAAGATTATAAAATACACACACACATACGCTCACACAAACTGAGACAACTAAATACTATAACTTTTAACTTTTAAAAATAATCTTGGGAGGCTCTTGATTTTTAATGTTTTGTTTTATGCTGTATTTTCTTCAGATGGTTGTTTTGATCTTACATAATGAAGATTGAAATTACCTGCACCAGAACCAGAACCACCTCTACCTCCACGATAATATCCTCCTCTTGATGATGCTCCACGATAATATCCACCTCTACCTCCTCTTCCACCACGACCTCTACCTCTTCCTCTTCCACGACCTCTATATGATGAAGTAGTGGTAGATGGATCGTGTTCTTCTTCACCATCATCTTGATTATATGATTTTCTAAAATAGTGTTGTTGTTGTTCAGTGTCATTATTATCAAATCCTTTTGCATGCGTTCTACTTCCTGATGATGAGGATGAATTTCTACTATTATTTCTTTTTTGAACCAATTGATCTAAATTCTTAAAGTTTGGTCTATCATCTGGAAGTTCTTCTGGTTCCGGAATAGCATCTGATCTTGCAATCACTTCATTCTTTCCATTGATCACTTGATCTTGAATGTCCAATTTCTCTAATCTAGTTTCAATACCTTCAACTTCACGTGTTTCTTCTTTTACTTTTTCTTTTTCTTCTTCTTGTTTCAAATATTCTCCTTCTTTAACAGTTAAATCAATTTGTTGTGTTGGTGGTGACGATGGTGTCTTTTTCTTTAATATAATTGGTTTAGCTACTGGTGTGGGTTTCCCATTGCTATTGTTTCTTGGTGTCCTTTTACCTCCCGTTGGAGAGCCAGACATCATATCTGATTGTTCACTCAATAATTGTGCCAAAGATTTACCTGTTCCATTACTTGGATATGAACTTGGGGATACAGAAGCTGGAACCAACAGTGGTGATTGGCCCGAAGGTTGTTGTGGCTGTGGTTTTTGAGGTTGTGGATGAACTGGTTGCACCTTCTGTTGATACACTGGTTGTTGTTGCTGTTGATCAATTGAGTCTTTTCTCAAAATTGAAACAGATGGTCTCTTTTCTGTTGATGATCTTCTGGAACCGAACGAAGTTCTTCTTATGGTGGGAGACCCGCTCTCATGAAATTTTTTGATCGTTGTTTCAATATCAACATCTTCTTTGTCACCCAAAGTTTGAACGGTCGTTTTATTCAAGTTGATCAATCTCTTCTCAATTTCTTCTTGTTTGGATAAAGTATCCACTGGTTTTGCAGCCCCAAATGGATTTGGCTTAGGTTTAGCCGGTGGTGCTTGTGTTTGCACTTGTGCTGGCTGTGACAGTGGCACTGCTGCTGGTGTTGGACTTGAAAGTTGTGGTTTTTCCAATGCTGGGAACAGTGTTCTTCGAGGTTGCCCATGAGTAGGATATTGTGATGTGGATGGTGCAACACGTTGATGGGAATTTAATCCATGATCAAATCCTGGATCCTTAATACGTTGTTCGTGTGATTGTTGGTGCGGGTGTAATTGAGCTTCAAACGAAAGTCTTCTGATATGAGATGATTCATTAACCGGAAGACTATAAGATTTTGATCCCATTCTATGGGAAGCTGGATGATGATATCCATGATCTTGTTGATAATTATGATGCTGCTGATGATGATTATTTTGTTGACTTCTTTCAAATTCATCCAACAATGCCATATGTCTAGGTTGTCGTTGTTGTTGTTTTTGAGCAATGAAATCTTTTTGAATGCGAAGAATTTCATCATGATGTTCTTGATTAAATTGAATACAATGTTGAAAATCATTGAAATCCGCAATTTCAACAATTACTCTTCGATTAGCTTTATAATATAAATCATGCCACTTCAATGCTTTTGACATATCTTCCGCAGACTCCAATTCAACAAAGGCAACCTGTTTAATTATATGAGTCTCCAAAATATTTGATATTGGATCCGTGAGAATCTTTAATTTAATAAATGGGAGTGAATCTACTTTTAAATAAATCTTCAATAAATCCATCATTGGCAGTAATCGGTAAATTCAATAGTTTGACTATAAATGGAGGTCCAGATATTCCTGCTTCTCCTGATCCTCCATGTCCTTGTTGATGATATCCATCTCCATTATAATAATGTCCTTTTTCAATTGGAACTGAAATAGACGACAAGTCCACATCAGTATCTGCCCAGGATCCTCCAAAGGCTACAAATAATTAAAACGTTAGTAAACTGATAAACTCACAAACTACTCCTTTAGGTCAGTAAAAAGACAAATACATACATTCATCCTCGAAGAATTCCTGTAAACTCATTTTTTTCGGAGGCACTAAAAACAAAAAAATGGGGGGAATTTGTTAGTATTTATATTTATATTCATCAATTCATCCATACAAATCAAATCGTCGAATTGAATTTCATCGTTATGTTCCATCAATTCAAGATAAATTCCATTTCTAGTATTGATGGAAAGAAATTCAAGACTTTTTAACGTAATTGAAAAAAAAAAAAAACACGAAAGACATACCCATGATTGTCCTTGATTTCTCTTTATTGGTTGAAATTTATTAGGGGAAAATTGGATGATGTGTAATTGATTAAATTGGCTAAAGCAAATAAAAAAAAGGGAGTAATGGCTAAACTATAAATAGTTGGATAATAATAGATATGCTTAGCTTGATTGGATGTCGATTTTTATTTTCTCTCCTTGATGGGGGAATATTTGATATTGATTTGATTTGAGTGTGGTGTGTTTTTAGTTCTTTTTTTTTTTTCTTTTCCCTCTCTCTAACTTTCACTCTCAGCCTGTCTGCCTGTCTGCGTTTGTTTTTATTTTATTTTTTCTTTTATTTTTCTTGGTGATCATACAAATTCCTGCATCTAACACAACATCAATATATCCAGGAGCAAAGAGATTGGCACCAAAACAAGTGTGGAGAAAATTGTTAAAATTTTCATACAAAACTCATTTATTATTACTATAAATGATTTCCAATAAATCCTGTTTACTTTTGTTGTTCTTTTTGTCCTTTAATACATACAAGTCTGATACCTATTCTATAAATCAACAAAATTGTCATAAGTTTCTCTCCAGTTTTTGAAGAAACCATAGAAGAATTTAATACCTAAACCAATATCTTTACTACCAAGAGTAGCTCTAATAGAATGCATGGACAATTGTGGAATACCCAAATCAATTGTTCTGGCACCAGTTTGAGAGGAAATAGAAGGACCAATGGTACCACCTGATCTGGAATCATTTCTAATTTGGAAGTATTGAACTTTATCGCCGTTCTTTTTGGCAAATTCTTCAGCCAAAGCAAGACCAATTGAATCAGTAGCCATGTGTCCATTTGGATCCAATGCTAAAGTGACACCAACATTTGGTAATGGTTTATGATGTTCCAAATAAACTTCTTTGAAATTTGGATTAAACAAATGGTTGACATCAGCTGACAACACAATAGAGTTGGCATATGTCAATCTTAAAGTTTCTTGGACATCGACACCATCTGGGTTAACAAATTCTGAAGATAAAACTCTTGAAACAACCAATTCTAATAATCCCCCTTTAGCACCTTGTCTAGTTAAAGAACCAATTTCTTCATTATCGTACAATCCAACAATTGAGAAGGAATCATCAGCCAAAGTGCCATCAACAGTGGATTCAACCAAGGCATTAAGGGCAGCAAATGAACAAGCTCTATCATCAACTCTTGGTGCAAAAACAAATTCCTTGTTAAGACCACCTTTAGTACCCTTTTGAACATCATAAAGTTGTAAATCCCATTGCAAGATATCAGAAACTTCAACATTAGCAAGTTTAGCAATATATCTTAACAATTTCAATGGATGTCTACCATACAATGGAGACTTCTTTTCATCTTCAGTAGGTTCATCTTCTTTCTCACCTTCACCAGTAAATCCAATAACTGGAATAGCTTGAGTCTCAGTATTGAATGGACCAATAGCTGGGGCACCAAAATGTGGAGCAAGAGTAGGAATATGGGCAATTGGATGTGGAGTAGAATCAACTAATTTTTGACTAACTTTACCTTTGCCATCCTTAACTAACAATCTACCACCAACACCTAAATCTCTATCCCACCAGACATCACCTAAAGTACCAGCATAAGGAGCAACTCCCAATAATTCATACCCATCAACTTTTTCTTTAGTTGAATTTGGTTTCAAGACAGTAGTAAGAGAGTCAATATGAGAACCAATGGCACCAACACCTCTTGAAGGTTTCCAATTTTTACCAATCACAAAAGCAGCAAGAGAAGAACCGTTTCTAACAGTAAAATATTTACCAGCTTTCAAATCGGACCAAGAACTACTTTCTGGAAGATAAGTGAAGCCTTTCAGTTCAAGTTGTTTTTTGAAATGCTGAACAACGTGATAAATAGTTGGGTTCTTGTAAGTGAATTCAATATAATCATCAGCAGCCTTATCGAAATATTCATTGGTGAATTTAGCAATATCAGTAGACTTTGGTTGTGGAACCTTTTCAATAGTGGATTGTTCAGCCAATTGAGCTTCTTGAGCTTCTTGAAGACGTTTTAAGGAATTGGTAATTCCAAGAAGGATATCATCAATGTTTGACATAATTGTAATAAGAAAACGAACGTAATCTGGGGGGGGGGACACAATTGAACAGAAAGAGAAACGATAAAAAAGTAAAATGAACAAACGATACGGAATTTGCTCGGAATTTATATAGCGCGGAGACAGAATGACTGTGGTGGCGGCGAACAGCCGAGACAAAGAAAGAAAGAAAAAAAAAAAAAACGAACCAGTTATCTTTTGACTTATCCAGCACTGTTAATAACCAGCATTTTGTGTATCTTGTAAAGAAAATTGGTGCCGTTCAATCAATGGTAAATGTCATGGTTTACGAATATCTATCCATCTATTTAGTATCTATTATACATGCTTTTATTATTTTCTTATATAATCTAATTTGGTTTTTCACTAGCAAAAGTAGCGGCAACAATCAATGGGAACACCAAACTGACATCTGCATAGACTTTAACTGAGTGAGCTTCAGCTTTAATCTTACCCCAAGAAACAGCTTCATCTGGTCTGGCACCAGCATCAGAACCATCAAATTCTTGACCAGTGTTGATATAAACAGCATAATCAGCACCATTTCTCATTAAACAAGCATTACAAATGTGATGTTTAATCAAACCACCACCCAAGATAATCATACCTGCTTTAGAAGCTGCCATTGACATGGAGTTGATCTTTCTGATATCAGCAACAATATCCAATCTCAATTGTTCTGGAGAAGCTTTGAAAGTATGGAAGAAAAGCATATCACCAATAGAACCATCAGTAATAGCAGGACAGAAAACTGGAATTTTGTTTTTATGAGCCCAATACAAGACAGAAGATTCATCATTAATTTCTTTACCTAAACGATCAATCAATTTAGATGGAGTCCAAATAGCGTCAGAATCAGCATTTAATCCGTCTGAACCTAATTTCTTCATAGCTTCTTGTTGTTCTTCTAAACATTTATCTAAAATTGGAACAATCCATTCTTCAAATTTACAATAGTTATCATTTGGAACCAATAAATTACCAATTCTATTCATACCTTGATCTCTTAATCCTTTACCTGGTAAACTAAATTCACCCATATAAGTAGGAGCTAAGACTTTAATTAAATCTTCTTCAATACCACCAGCAGTGGCAACAATAGCACTAACCATTTTATGTTGAACCAAATAACGTAAAGTATCTCTTAAACCAGAAGAAATCAAATTAGAAGTATAACCCATAAAAACAGTAGTTCTTTGATATCCATCATCATCAAATTCCCCAGTTCTTTCATGTTCTTCTAATTCATCTTTATGTTTACCTTTCCATGTTCTCATTTCATCAATAATTTTACAAGCTTTAGATAATGAGGAAGCTTGAAATCCCATAGTTGACATAGATTGAATCAAATCTTTAGCTTTCATATTATAAGCATTATCTTTGGAATAATCTATACCTTTAACTTCTTCGAAATCATCTGGAACTGGAATAGAATGTTTCAAAACAGCATCGGATGCTAATCCTGGTAATTTACCACTGGTACTCATGTTGTATAGTTGTTTGTGTGGAATATTAAAAAGAGGGTTTAAAAGCAAAAAAAACCCAAAAGAAAGAAAAATAGCCTAAATTTGAAAAATTTTCAACCATGAGACTTTTTCCGCAACCACTGGTGATTAGAGAGATCGTTTTCGCGATAGTTTAAGATGCGCTTTTCCGATAGATATTCGTCGGTTAACCAAATAAAGAAACCTTTCAATGGATATTTGAATGTTACAATCATCGATTAATACTTTTCTAAACTTTTCTTTTTTTTTATTATTATTAATAAATGAATATATAATACCAAATAACTAATGAAATAACAAAATGATAAAGCGGCAAAAGGTCAAACCTGAATAGATCGTATCTATCCTTTTTATTAATCAATTACATCCTCACTTATGTTATTCTTCGTAGTATTTTCTCCTCCCCGATTTCTTGAACTTTATATATAAATAAATGCATCAACTTCCGTTGATATCGTCTCAACCTTCAATGTCAATTTCTCCCTTTCTTTAAACTCTTTCTTTAACTTGAGGTGTCCATGACTGACATTTAGGTTTAGCAGTATTATAACAAACATAAGCACCTGGAGAATTAGTAAGGTTTGGTTTATGTTGAGCAGGTAAAGGATATGCTCTAGTTGTTTTTTCATCACCAGTTAAAGCATTAGGTGGAGTATTAGTACCATAACCTAACCAATAATGCCAACCTGGTTCAACTTGTGACATATCTTGATTCCATTGATTATATTCAACCCATCTAGTACGTAAATGAATTTCATCAGGGGCATCAGTTTCATAAAATTTATTACCAAAATCATCAATTCCTACTAACCAACCACTTTTGGTATCATTATGATGTTGAATTTGCCATGCGGATCTTTTCAATCCAGATTTATAAATGTTCTTTAATGTACGGAAAATTGAAGTAGACATTATTACTATTAGTTATTACTAAGTCTCCTTGTTGGTTGAATATAGCAATTTGATTTTGAATTGTTATGTAGGAAATTTTTCTGTCTGGTTTGATTGAGAGAAAAACCAAGAGAAAGGAAAAAAAAATGCAAATTGAATAAGGATTGATTGGTTGAAAGAATGTAATGCGGAAGGACCATAACAATTACTTCCCAATATGGAAGTCTACGCGGATAGACAAAGAAAAGTAAACAACTTTCATGAATTGTACTTTTTAAACAACAACAACAACAACAACAATAACTTATTCTTACCAACCATGTCATCCAACCACACGAAAGAACTTGAAAACTTGCGTAAATTACGAGCAACATTAGAAGCTGTGAGAGAATCAACTGAGAAAATCCTTAAAGATGTCAACACCATCAACAATGTAAACAATCCTACGCTATTACAAAATTCAAAAGATTTTAAGAATGCATTGGATCAAGTATAAAAGAAAAAAAAAAGAATTTTGTTACAAAACTTATTCTATATACAGTGAACCTATTTTGGTGTGATTGTGAAGTTTGGAAAGTACATATGATGAGATTTAGTAATATGCAAAGTGTACTTGCCTTTTAAGTTCAAGTCATCTTTATTAGATGAAATGATTTTAGAAACCTGTGAAATATTTTCATTCAATTGCTCAATAGTTAATAACAATTCCTCATACCATCTTGTTACTAAAGAATCTTTCAAGAAATTATCATGTCTATCGCGTTCAATGTATCCCAATAATCCTTTATATTCGACTTCAATTCCCTTGAGATTGTTTTTGATGTTAGCTAATAATTCCAAAACTTTCATAAGGGTAGGTTTATTGGATTGTCCTGGGAGTGTACTGGATTTTAATTTAGCTTGATATTGTTGGAATGTAGGGAAATTAGGAATTCCAATAGATGACCAAGGCTTCATTCTAAGATAATATAAACTTTCCATGGAAGTTAAATTGTTTCGTGGACCTTTTGTAAAATCGATGATTTGCAATTTAGACAACACAGCTAAGTAATTAGAATGACATTGGATTAATGTTTGCAACAATTGGAATGATTTTATCAAATAATCTTGGTTGAAATTCAAAGTTGCTGTTAATTGTGGGATTATAACCTCTTGATTATGTTTATTTAACTGTTTCAATTGTTCTTTCTTAGGACCAGCTTTAAGTTTTTTAATCTTTTTAGGAATGTTTGTTTCAATATAGTTAATCTTACCCATGATGATTTGACTTACTCGATTTTGTACATGCTCAATGATATTTTGAATTAAATAATCCGCATACCAATACACGAGATACATTTCAAAAGGTTTGTAGATTTCCAATGGAATTCCATGCAATAGCAATTCAACCATAAACTTCATCTTTGAATAGTAAATATATGAAGTGACAGTAATACTCAAATCTCCAGATGCAAATTCATCCCCAATACTGAAATTTTTGTGTAACTCATATTCAAACGATTCCCATGAAACTTGTAAGGTATCCCATAAGATCAATCCCTTGGATATAATTTGTTGCAGACGACATGGATTACTGGCAAATGAAGTCAAAATATGATAACTTCCGCTTTCTAAATCTTGTAATGCAAGAGTATATCTTTCTAAAACTTCTGCTTTAACACTATCTTTTAATTGTGATAAACTATTTTCAAAATTACCCAACACAATGGTATTTTTGCCAACTAAATTTTCAATTATGTTGATCATTAATACCGGTAATGTTATTTCAGATGATCCAAAAATCGATTTATCGTCTCTAATAAAGAACAATTGAAAAATACCTCTGGAAAATACCGAAAACTTTTCAATTGGGTATTTGACATTGTTCTGCAAAAAGTCAAGTAACTGGTTGGTTGTTTTGATGGAGTTGGCTTGATTGGCAAATTTATAAACTGTTTCAAATATACCACCAAGATGCGACCAAGTAGTTTTCATATCAATGTGACCTAATTCAGTTGGGATGTTTTTATTTTCCAAATCAACTTGAATGAATTTAGAGAATGATCCTTTTGGGATAACTGAATCATCAAACTCCATATTCAGCAACCTCTTGACTTGTTCAATAGCATCATTACAGAATTCATAACATGGTTTGTTTTGCCCTGGTTGCATAAATTTGATGTCTAAAGTCGATGCTGAAAGACTTCTTTCGAGTTTGACCAAATTGGACACAATTTTCAATTGAGTTATCAACACATTTGCTTCTACTATTGTCTCGTGGCTTAATATCCATTCAATACAATCATTTATTTCATCAATGAAAAACTGAGGCAGTAACTCTTGGAAGAAATTAAGATTCATTGATTTTGTAGTTAAATCTTCTTCTTCATACAAGACTGTTCTGGATAAGTAAATTGTAAATCCAATGAACTTTGATAATGCCATTACAAATGTTTTTAATACTTTATGCACCATCAAATAATTCAAACTATTGGTATCATGATCTGTTTCTGGTAATCTTGAATCGTAAAATGAAAATTGGCCAACGGTTGAAGTATCACAGTTCAAGTAATTAACTAGTATGGTTTGAACATATCGACAACTCAATACAGTAACTGGTAGACTATCATTTTCTAACCAATTAATTAAATTGGATAATAATTTGGTTTGAATATTAATGACAACATTTACTGGTTGTGGTTGACTACAATCAAATTTCAATTCCTCTGTGGATAATTCTATCAATCCAGTGTCTAGTCTAGGGTTTAATACTTCCAATGCTCGTGTACCTTCTAATAACTCAAACTGTGAAGCTTTCACTACTTTATTGTCGGTAATACTCAGTACTGAGTCAAATAATTCTTTTGTGATATCAATTAAATCATCTTCTTCACGATAATCTATGTCCTTATCATAAATTTTTAGTTTCTCTAACGATAGTGGAACCATTACTCCTCTTTTTTTTTGTTTCTCGATCAACAATGGGGGCTGTATAAGGAGGAGTTATCTGATTATTGAATACGTCGGTTTATGTACTATATTCAAAGAATCAATAGATCTATCAAACATAGTGGAACGAAAAAAAAAAGAAAAATTTACTTTCCTGTACGTTTGATTGAATCGACTCTCGCACTACCACACTTTGGATCTGTAGGTTTGTGTGTCGACGTGTGCGTGCAACTGTCATAAAATTGTTCGACCAGAAATCAATTGATTGAACTAATTTTGCAACTTTTTAATTTGTTTGAACCCTGTCTATGAATAAGACATCTGACTAGAAGTTTTTCATTTAATGATCGCACAATTCCACCTATTGATGAAGAGAGTCACGAATTGCAATTATTTGTTTTTAGCATGAGGTGTTTCGAGCACGAAAATATTGAATTAAATATGATACTAACCATATCATATCAGCCCCGGGGTTTTCTCTTCTTTTTTATTTTAACATAGTTTTGTGGAGTGGCGTATTTGTTCATATCAGTGATAATTACTACATCATCATCTAAGGAAAAAAAAAGAACAAGACGATAGGACTAGAATCGTGAAATGATTACAATCGAAATGAAACAAACAAAAAATAAAAGAAATAAAAAGGAATTACAAATATCGTAACCTTCTTAATGTATGCGGTATTTAAGAATTAAAATTCATGACCGTTGAAAAAAAAAAAATAAAATAAAAAACAATAGCACGGGAAACGGAACAACTTATCGGAACAAATAAAATTGAAAATTGAAAAATAAAAGAAATGGAACAGGAACAGAATAGAATAGAATATAACAGAAAACGATGGAAAATTGAGAGTATTCCTAACTCATGGTCCTGGAAACAAACAAAAAAGGTGGAGATTGATTAACAATGGAGTAAATGGCGTATATGCCTTTGTCGCTCGATTTGGAAATTATCCGTTGCTGTTTAATGTGTATGTATCTGACATGACTCATGAAGATACATATACAATGTGAATAGATAGACATTGCAAATTGTACAGCAATAGCTTGTAATCCTTTTTGTGGACAAACGGCTCGAACCAAAAAAAGCCATTTGTTCTTTAAATCGTGCTATTGTTGGGGCAATGGACAATAGGAGATGAAATTGAATCTTCATGATCTCATACAGTAAAAAAAATCAAGAACGAGCCAGAATATTTTTTCTGTCCAGATGCACGTCCCTCCTCTGTCGCCCACTTGCATTCCCCCCACCTCCCGTCCATTCTCTTACGACAGACAACGTGAACAGAAAGGACGAAAAGAAAAAAAAATTGCTTACTAATTATATAAGAAGACACAGGATTTCCTTTTTTTTTTCTATCATAACTAAAATAAAAAAAAAAGACAACATTCAACCAAACTCTTTTTCTTTCTAAGAATCACTGTTGTTGTCACATTTTTAATCTTAAATTCAGTGTTGCAATATCAATATTGTTTTTGAAATTCATACAAATATCAGAGAATCTTCCCTCCCTCCACTATCTCATAGGATTCCATTTTCAAGTTAGACAATCTCACAGCTTTTTTTTTGCATACAAATTGTTGCAGTTTCATCCCTTAATTGCAGAACAAACAAGAACCAAAGAAAAAAAAAATTCACTCAACAAACTAGAGTGAAATACATCAACATCGAATCAGAAAGAACGAGTTCCTACCCAATCATCATATTAGAAGACGCGTAAATCAAATTAATTTAGTCCGTAATAGTATATTATAATAATCTGGTTATAATAAATATCCTAAAAAATGACTGATGTTAAGAGAAATTTTTCAGATATTGCGTCACCAGCAAATCTAGATGAAAATAAAAAAATTCATACCCAAACCAAAGTTGGAAGAAAACCAATAGAAACCGAACCAAAATCCAAAAGAACCGCACAGAACAGAGCTGCTCAAAGAGCATATCGTGAACGTAAAGAACGTAAAATGAAAGATTTAGAAGATAAGGTGAAATTATTAGAGGATGCTAACGTAAAGGCTGAAACTGAGACTGATTTCTTAAGAGCCCAAGTTGATATCTTGAAAAGTGAGTTGGCCAAATATAGAGGTGGAAATACAGATTTTCTGGACTTGAACTTGCCTACAAGAGTGGGTCATTTGTCACATCCTAATAGTGGCAATTATCAACATAGAAGTGAGAACACACCAATGAGTTCTATCTCCTCTTCAAACTCAATTAAGAGTCCCGATATGGATAAACCTTCTAGTGCTTCTTCAGTTTCCAATAGTTCTCCGGGAATTGCTTTTGAAAATCCTTGGTCTAAAGATAATTTGCAAAAATTAAAAGAGCTCCAACACCAACAAAAACTAAAAGTAGAACATCAACATCAGCACCACCACCACCAACAACAACAACAGCCGCAAAGAATACCGCAACAATCTCAACAGCAAACACAACAACAGGGATGTCCTGATTTGGTGCTGGGTTCATCTTCATCAACTTCTCCGTTAAATGATAATTTGTTGGTCACTCCTGATTCATTAACTTCGGGTTCAACTAATAACAACTACAACAACAATGTGTCTATGAATTTTGGGTTTTCTAACGATTTTGATGAACAAGTGGATCCATTTTGTGCTCTGTTGAATGAAGCTTGTGGCACTAGAAAGAACCCGGTTCCGAAGTATAAACGTTCTGATTCTAAAACAAATACGATGACTCAAAGTCATGCATCGCCATTTTCAAATTTGGTCACTCCTGATGCCAATGGGAATGAAAGTGTTGCCAATGTCACTGATTATATGAATGATCCATTTTTCAATAGTATGGCAACAGATTATAATTTTAATTTTAGCGACAAGAAGAACCTTGGACAAGATCAAGATCCATTATCTTTCCTTGACAACAATTTTGATGTTTCCTTGGCTTTTGGAGACCCTAGTCCCGAACAAGTACAAGACCCAATTTCCCTTTTGACTACAGAAGAATCCATTTACGATCCAACAGTTGATATCACAACAAAGGTGGAAGATGTGAATACAAACTTTAATTTCAATGATTTTATCAAGAGTTCATTACCTGAGAAACATACAAAACTACAGACAAATAACAAGTTACCTAGTCGAGAAGATGACGACAATGAAATAGTTCCTGCTCCTGAACAAACATTGAAATGTAGTGAGATTTGGGATAGAATTACTGCACATCCAAAATACACAGAAATTGATATTGATGGATTATGTCAAGAATTGAAGAATAAAGCTAAATGTTCTGAAAAAGGAGTGGTGATAAATACTGCTGATGTTAATCAATTACTTGAACAAAGTATAAAACGTTGATTAGATGGAAATTTCTGAATATTCTCCTTTCCCCCCTCTTCTTGTTTATAATGTGATTAAGGTTCTATTTTTTATTTTGTTCTTTATATGCTTTTTATAGCTTTGTATTTTTTTTTTTTAATATTTTTTATTATTATTATTATCACTATTTGTTTATTGATGTTTTACGGATTATTTTATATATAAATATATTACTACTAGATGAATTACATTATGTATTTTTTTAGTCTTCACTCATTGAAATATCTCCATAATCTACCTCATCAGCCTCTTCCAAAAGTTTATCAATTTCTTCTAGCGAATTTTCAATATCAGCTGCTTTATTTGTCTCTTCCTCATCTTTAATCTCTCCATGAACCGAACCTTTAGTTGTGTTCTCATCATCTTGTTGATCAACATCTACTTCTTCAGGTTCGTCATCATCGTCATTATCTGACAGTGGTTGAATATCCATATCATTTGACTCATGATTAATAGTAACACCTTCTTCAGTTTTCAATTTCACTTGACTTTTATCATCATCAATTTCTTCTAATATAGAATTAGTATTACTTCTACTAAACAGATTTTTAAAACTTTCTTCTTCTTCTCGTTTCTTTGAAATTTCCAATTTTTCTTTAACTAATTCAATAAATGCATCAAAATTCCTCTTTGAAGTTTTATCTAATAAGAAATCGGGATCATTTGAATTATTCTCAAATAATTCTTGAGTTTCTTTAACTGAATTATTCAAAGCTTGTAATGTATTTGAATCCAAATATTCACTAATATAAAATTTGTTCAAGTTATTAATAATACAACGTTTGACATTTCTGGATTCCACTTGTTCAACAACTTGTAATAAATAAACACATTGATACATATGACTTGTAGACTTATTAATAATGTCTTCAGATACTTTAACCAAGTTTCTTGGATCACACCAGGAAATCAACTGTGGAAGTATCACACTTGGAGAAATTGATTCATTCTCAAATTGAGTGAATAATCTAAATATCACGTCTCCACTAACATTGGCCAAATTGATTTGATGTTGTGGTTTGGAAAATGAATAAACTGGGATACAGAAGGATAGAATCTGTTGCAATTCTTGGTTACTTCTGGTATAAAGATTAAAATAAATCAATATGAGTGCTTCAAATAAATTTCTTTCGTGTTGCAAAGAATCGTTATCGGAATCAGTGTCATTTTCCTGTTCTGCTTGTTCGTCATCTTCATTGGTGCTTTTCTTTGGTTTAATTCCACCTTTGTTCAAAATATCAGCCAAGAATAGTTTACATAAACCTTCAGCTACGATACATTGTATTTTTGGTTTATCATAAGATAATAATGATTTGTAGAATAGTCTTGAATATCTATACTTGGAGTCTTTATCAAGAATTTCCATTCCATAAGTAGCCAATATATCCATTATTGCTTTCATTCCAATTTCTCGAACTTCTTCGCCTCCTGTCAACATAGCTATTAATATCGTGCTACAAGAAATTTTGGCAATTTTCTCGTCTATCAAAGAAAATAATTCCAAACAGGTCAACCCTGCAAGGTACAATTTCTTATTGGAATGGTTCTGGATGGCATAGTTCACAATACCACTATAAATAGAACTTAACGAAAGGTGGCTATCCAAAGTTTCGCTAACTAATTCTAAAACATGACGTGTAGTGACAAGACATCTGAATACAATGTCATCAGGTGGTAAATCAGGCTCTACCCTTCGTTTTTTAATGCTTGATTGTTGAGACTCATCATCAAAATCTCCATCAAATGTAGCAGCAGCTGAATGGAATTCATCTTCTTCATCGATAGAATCTCTGATATCAGTAATTATTTCAACAGCCATGGTTACAAAGTCTTTCTCGTTGATCGAGAGCTCCTTCAATACTTTTAACCCTACTGCTATCAAATTCTCTGGTAACTTGTCTTCAGTTAAAGTTGTCCTGATAATTTGCAACATTTTTCTTCTACCAATTTCATCACCAAAATCAAAGTCTTGGGCAATAAGCAAAATCTGGTGTATGACAAACTCTAATTCCTTCAATGTTTTCGAAAATGGAATACAATCTTCAGCATGTTCTCTTTCAAATTCCTCTAATGCTTGCTGCTTGGCTTCTTTTTTCCTTTCAAGCAACGGAAGGAAAGTGTCATACTTTTCTTGTAATTCTTCCAATTTGGCAACCAAATCTTCCTGTTCCTGTTTGAACTTTTCAATGTCACTTATGACTATTTCCAACTGTTCTTCTAATCCTTCTTCCAGAAGTTTTTCAATCTCTCCTATTATGGATTCATTTTCATCAGTCACTAAATCATCAAGTGATTCCTCGCCATTTTTCAATCGTTCCATTCTCTCTTTCAATAATTCCATAGCTGTTTCACATTCAGTTACATCATAATTCTTGTTGGCGGCATTCTTACGATGTGATTCAGCATCGATTGCAATTCTTGCCAATTGGTTCTCTAAGGAAAATATTTCATTATCAAATGTATCCATTTTTTCATCGTGGGCTTGACACTCTTTAACGATATTTTCATTCTCTTCGATCACTTTCAATCTAACTTGCAAGTATTTCTCTAAAGTTTCTGCTAATTCAATTAATTCCGGGAAATTTGAATTAATCAAATTGTATAATTGTTGGTTATTACAATATTGGTAAAAGGATCTTACTAAAAATGCCTTCTCGGTAGAAAGATTCTTCCAAAACGATTCGTCAATCTTCAATGTTTCCAACAATTCAGGTTTTGATTCAAAAAAGACTGTTAAAGCTTGATCGGCGATTGGACTTTCAATGACATTCAAGTGCTCTATCAAATCTAACAAATCTTGATTAACTGAGTCATACCAGAAACTGCTCAACATCTTCGCAGCAGCAGTTTGAACAGATTGATCACGATCATTTAACCCCCATTTTAACAAATACTCTCTGTTTTGAGTTCCCAAATCATCTAGTTGACCTAATTCACGTGAAATCTTCGAGTAAACTAATCTTCTATTAATGGAGTTGGTATCTCTGGCTCTTTCAAGTAAAAACGGTATGGTTTCTTCTGTTCTTAACAAATTCATTAAAGCGGCTCTTCTGACTTCGGGACTCTCGTCATGTTGTAAACAATTGATAATCTTTTTCACGACTTGTGCAGTGGATATCTCGTCATCTTCAAAGTCGTCATTCTCTCCTTCCATATTAAAATCAAACTGTTGGAAATGGGACATGGCAACCACAGCATGAATTCGAATCACCGACTCTTTATCTTGTAGTCTATTGTTCAACAAAGTGTATAATGCTTCAAAAGTGTTGTTATCGTGAATCTCAGTTACAAATTCAACCATGTACGCCAATAATTGAACCACTCTATAACGAACCAGTTTATCTTTGGCCTCAATTCCTCGAAGTAAAAACTTGATCAAGTAGGATATAAATATAGATACTGGTGTTTCCTCTTCTTCAACATCTTCATCGCTATTATCATTGTCGACATCAACATCTTCGCTATCATTCTTGTCGTCGTCCATTTCTTCGTCACTATCTTTTTCGTCGTTTTCCTCTTTGGTGGCTTCATTTTTGGCACGCTTTGCTTCGGCTGCATCTTTTACAAGTCTATTTGCAAACAGAAAAGTAAATTTTGCAATTCTATCACCAGATAATTCTCCTCTTTTTAATGGTAAAACTTTGGATAATAATTTAGTAAACCACATACAAAAGTATTGAGTTTGATTCAATTCAACTGCCTTATGAAACACGCTTTTAAGAATCACAACCAATTTTCGATGTCCTGCTAAACCCATCTGGGCATCCTGGAAAACATGTGTCATGGCATATCTCAACTCATCGCAATTCTTGAATTTCTTTATCCTTGCTAATGTGGGTTTGGGAGGTACATCCATGGTTATCCTATTAATGGAATGGGTTACTCGTTGCCTTTCCAAATCAATTGTTTTGATTTTGTTGTTGTGTTTTTCTTCCTCTTTTCATTTCATCGCGCGTGGGTCGTGCAAAATGATAAAACACGTGACTCGGGTATTTATATCCAGAATCAAAAGAATGATGAAAAATTCAAAACAGAACAAAATAGGAGCAAAACGAACAAATTACGATTTCATGACTGTTGAAATTTTTAATCTTGATCATGACTATCCTTGCGGGGTGATTACATAGAAGAAGAATTGGGAGGCTGTGACGTAAGCGAAGTCTTTCTCGTACAGCTTGTTCTAATCAATGGACTACCAGTGCTTAGGCAGGAATTATAGTGATCGAAAAGAATAAATCCGAATGCAAGCAAATCTAGAATATATTCATCTTTCGAGAAATTGTGCCCCCCCCCCTGAACCTTATCTACAATAGTCGTATAAAAAAGTAGCAATTGAATTTCCTTTTGACCAGTCCCGTGATCTTTAATGCTAATTTTGTGATCAGCCCTAACGTATAGATTGAATTATGCACTGGAGATCAGTTGTTGTTCTTTGTTTAGTCTACGCATTCGTCGTTTAGTGGAAGAGAAAAAGAAAGCAAACAGAAGAAAAGAAAATGAAAACATTATACGACGAGAATTGCTCGTTCCCGTGGGTGTCAATGGCGGGAACGAGAAACGATGAGAGTACACAAAAATGTAACTACAACCAGACGCGCGCACGAGATATCTCAAGCGTGTACAGCACGGTACCACATATACACAATAAAACTTGTGTACCGTTTGTGTAAATTTTCAGTCCTGTGGTTCGCCGTCGTTAAAATCTTTTTGAATTTCTTTTATTTAAATTAAGTAACAAAATTTTTTTTTTTACGTTTTCACGTTTTTACGTTTTTCGAGATTGAAATATTTAATAAAGATTCATTCCTGGTCCTTTTTATTCTGAGTTGTTGGCTTCTTTTTTTTTTTTAATTTTTTTTTAGATATCAGCAAGACCTTTATTACAATTTTCAACAAATCTTCAACACTAAGATTCAACTCAATACATCATGTCTTCAATTCAATTAAATGAAAAAGATTTCGAAAGAGATCAAAAATTCACCAAAGCTATGCACGGTGATTCCTACAAGAAATCCGGTTTTGCTGCCTTGATGGCCAAATCCAAAGATGCCGCTAATGTCTCTGCTGAAAGTTATTTCAAACATTGGGATGGTGGTGTTTCTGAAGAAGATGAAAAAAAGAGATTGGGTGACTACTCTCAATTAACCCACCATTACTATAACTTGGTTACTGATTTCTATGAATATGGTTGGGGATCATCTTTCCATTTCTCAAGATACTACAAAGGTGAAGCTTTCAGACAAGCCACTGCTAGACACGAACATTTCTTGGCTCTTAAGATGAACATTAACGAAAACATGAAAGTTTTGGATGTTGGTTGTGGTGTTGGTGGTCCAGGTAGAGAAATCACCAGATTCACCGATTGTCAAATTGTTGGTTTGAACAACAACGATTACCAAATTGAAAGAGCTAACCATTATGCTAAGAAATACAAGTTGGACCACAAATTGTCCTATGTTAAAGGTGATTTCATGCAAATGGATTTCGAACCAGAATCTTTTGATGCTGTTTATGCCATTGAAGCCACTGTCCATGCTCCAGTCTTGGAAGGTGTCTACTCTGAAATTTACAAAGTTTTGAAACCAGGTGGTGTCTTTGGTGTTTACGAATGGGTTATGACTGACAAATATGATGAAACCAACGAAGAACACCGTAAAATTGCTTATGGTATCGAAGTTGGTGATGGTATTCCAAAAATGTACCCAAGAAAAGTAGCTGAAGAAGCTTTGAAAAATGTTGGTTTTGAAATTGAATATGAAAAGGATTTAGCTGATGTTGACGATGAAATCCCATGGTACTACCCATTGAGTGGTAACATTAAATACTGTCAAACTTTGAACGACTACTTCACCGTTTTCAGAACTTCCAGAATCGGTAGATTCATCACTACTGAATCTGTTGGTTTAATGGAAAGATTTGGTTTGGCTCCAAAAGGTTCTAAACAAGTTACCCATGCTTTAGAAGATGCTGCTGTCAACTTAGTTGCTGGTGGTGAACAAAAATTATTCACTCCAATGATGTTATTCATTGCCAGAAAACCATTAGATGCTAAGGAATAAACCTTTACACAGAATCAACTAGATTAACATTTAACATTCAGTTCACATATATTTATTCACGAAAAAGTTATTTAATGATACATATACGTATATATATTGGTTTTTTATGCTAATGTTTCAAGATAATATAGATTTAATAATATTTAATGTATTGTTTCCCTTTTTTTTTCTTATTTCTCAATAATCTACACACGTTTTTGAGGCTATAGCAATAAGGTTATATTAGGCCCCCATTTGTATCCCTAATGAGGCGATGTAGTCAATTCATAACTGACTATGACTTAAATAATTAGTGTCTACTATATCTATTTTCTTGTTCCCGATTATAATGGTTTTTTATTTTTCTTACTGTTTATTTGTTCTGTGATTACGTAATGCATAGAAGTAGAGAACAAAAGAAAATTTCTCTTTGGCGCAATTGTCAATGAATTTCAAAATGGATCTGAATTTCAGCAACCATATTTAAATTAATTGGTTTTCATGTACTTATCTTTTTTCTTTTTTTTGTCACTTTTGATAACTCTTTTCTTTCTATTTTTCAATTCACTTTAGGAAATTAGTTTAACTCATTATCAATGTCTTTCCCACCATTAGAGAATCCAAATTTGGAAGGTTATAATGTCGCACGTGCTATGTGGCTCGAATATTATAATTCGCATGAAGGCACCTATGTTGCTCGTAAGAAATGTAATGGGTGTTATAACGAGAATAGATTTGTTGTTTGGGCTGTAGCTGTAGCATCTCAAGCAATTGTTGATGCAGCTAGAATTTATCCTGAATTCAAACCATTAATTGCACCAGCTATTCAAATATTCCAAAAATACAAGAATAAAACAATTAAGGGGTATTCTGCCGCAGAAAATGCCGGGAGTGACCGTGATATTTATTACGACGATGATGCACAAGTTGCTAGTGCTATAATTACTGCCTATGAAGTCACAGGTGATAAGAAGTATTTGGACCAAGGTAGAGAATTGGTTAGGTTTTTAATGAGTGGTTGGAATAGTAATCCAAATGCTAAAACTAAAGGGGGTGTTCATTGGCATATCAGCAAAAAATATTTGAATGCTTGTACTACTGCCGAAGTTGCTAAAGCATGTTTACAAATTTCTCAATTTCTCCCACAAGAAGCTGGTGTTTATATTGATTTTGCTGCAAAGTGTATCGATTGGCAAATACAAGTCTTGCAAGATCCTGGTGATAAGTTGATCAAAGATGGTGTTTCTGAAAATGATACCAAAGTCAATAATGTGAAGTGGACCTATAATGTTGGAACAACTTTATCTGCTGCATCTCATTTGTATTTCATTACCAAGGACCAAAAATGGAAGAAAATTGCTGAAGAGTTAGCCAATGCCGGTATCAACCGAGGTGTATTCTTCTATGATAGAGATTTCCCTAATTCAAAGCGTTATTGGCGTGATGCTTCATATTTCAATCAATTATTAATTGAAGGGTTGGCTGATTATTTGTTGTATTTGGGCACTGAAGCTCCAGAAGATTTAGCAAATAGAATCCATGAAGAAATCAAAAGACATTTGATTATGTTTTATGAATTTATGAAAGATCCAAAAGATGGTATGTATATTCAAAGTTTTGAACCTCATAATACCTATCGTGAAGTTTACGATGCCAAATATCACAAGCATTTTGGTGATGAAAAAGGTTGGGGTTTGAAAGGTGAAGATAAAGATGATAAAGGAAACCCACAAAAATGTTTAATGGGTTTCGGAGCTGCAGCCAGAGTTTTCTTTCAAGGGGCTCGTGTTGTCCCTAATATTGAACCTTATGAATATTAAATTATTATGAACAATTTCTTTTTTCTTTTTTCTTGTCCCTTTATTTCTATTTGACATTTATATAAGCTATGTAGAACGATATTGTTTTTATTTAATGCAACCAACTCATGTCTCTTGTTTTAATTATTATTATTATTATTCTTAGAACTTTATCTTTGTCAAATTGAATGCTGGGTTGGTCTTCAAAGAAGCATATGGCCTTTCAACAATGATAACTTCGTTTTCACCAAAACTATCAACTCTCATAATTGGTCTATATTTATCAGTAATCCAAAATGGTTTCTTAGCTTTGTTTGAATTATCTTCTTCATTTTGTATCTTTTGTCTCAATTTATCAATTTCACTTTGTCTTAAGGAAGTTTCTAAAATATCAATATTGTCTTGCTCTTCAACATCATCGATATCTTCATCTATGGATAACCCATCATTGTTTCTCTTCTTAGAAGTAGATGTATTTTTGTAAACTTTTGAAATTGGAATATTCATGTTCAAATCAAAGTAACTTAACCATGTGGTACCATATATCCATAATCTATCTCCTTTGACAAACATTCCTTGTGGTTTATCTTGTAATGAAGTGAATTGTCTTGGCAAGAATTCACTGTTTCTTCTTGACCAAGGTGTCAACAATTGACCATCCTTATTATTAATGAAAAACTCAAATATTTTGTTCTCTTCATTGAGCACCACAAGTTTATCATCATCAACACATTGAATCAAGTGTGGATATGTTGACAATTTTGTGAGAACATAAGCTTCTTCTTCTTCTTCTTCGTCATTATTAACTGGGTATACTTCAATTGACCCATTGAATCGAGAAATAACAATTCTCTTCTTATCTGGAGTCACTACCAAATTGTTAATACAAGACATGTGTTGGTTCTTACCTTGAGCTTGTTTGGCAGCCAACAACTCAATTTCGTCACTCAACTTAACTTTACCTTCATCAAGATCAATGTCAAATGTATACAATTCTTCATCTGGAGTCATAATCAAAACTTTTCTTTCATCGATGAACTTAACCTTCTTGGCACCTTCAATTAAAGAATCAAAATTCTCATCTCTAATCTTTTGCACCTTGAATTTATTTTCCTTGATTTCTTGCAACTCGAAAAACTTGACTGAAGTTATTTTAGCAACAACCAATAAATTATCTCTGAAATCAACACTAGTAATGTTTTCATCATCAGATAAAGTAATTTTACTCATCAATACATGTTTGCCACTAGATAAAGTCTTCCAGATTTTAACAGTCTGATCTTGCCACAAGATAACCAATTTAGATTCTGGCACAATTAAAGTATTTGAAATTTGTTGATTTATTAACAATTTTTTGTATTTTCCATCATAGAAATGATCAATGTTTTGTACCACAATTGCTCTTTCGACACCTCCACTGACTAATAAATTGTGGTTTTTGTTTTCGAAAATAGCCAATGATCTGACATCATTAGAATGCAATAATCTGTTGAAACTATGAGTCCATTTAGAATTGTTCTTAGTGGCTAATAAATCAAATTGATGGATCTTTCTATCAACACCGGCACTGAATATCTTTTCTTCTTTGACATCGTGAACCAAACATAAAACATCGGCATCATGGACTTTAAAAGTTTGCAATAATGTATAAGTTTCCAAATCCCATATTTTAATGGAACCAGTAGAATCACCACTAACAAATTGTTTCTTATTAGGTAAAACAGTCAATGACCAAACCAAAGTACTTTCAATTTTTGCCTTATCAACTTTCATAGTTGCCATAATTCTTCCTTTTGTTTCACCATCACTGCTCCAACTTCTAATTCTTCCATCGGCACAACCTCCAATGATGTGATCATTATTCACCCATTTCACACTCAATACTCTAGCGTCTTGTCTTTGACAAATTAAATCATATTCCAATGATCCTTTACCTCCAGATATGTCAACTATAACAACTGAACCGTCATCACAACCAACAGTTAATTTATCATTCTTAGAATTAATATCAATACACCATATGATCCCGGCATTACAATCATAATTAATTAAAGGTTTGCCTGTAGTTAAATCCCATTCAGTAATATAAGTTGATCCTCCAATGGTGAATAATCTAGGTGGTTCAGAAGGATCTTCTTCATGATTATAACTCCAACATAATCCTTCGATTGATCTACCTTTAGATCCTGGTAATGTCAACTCATGGGTCCAATTAAGTCGAGGATTCCAAATTTCTATATCTCCATTGCTTCTACCAACTGCTAATCTAACATCTCCAGAAGGTGGAGAAGTCAATGATGATTTATGAGAAAATGCTAATGAGGTGATTGTATGGGGTGTATAATCAACAAATCGACAACGATGAATATCCATGCTTCCTAATGTACAGTAGTTTTTATTGTTAATAAGTTTGATTGTGAAATATTAATCCAATGCCATCTGATTTTATTTTAATTTTTTTTTTTTTTTTTTTTTGAAACTTCCTTTGAAAAATTTGAGTACAAGCGATGAGAGAAGATGTCGCACTTCAGATAAATTTAAGTCGTACATAGAATGTCGTAAGTATACACTTTCTAAAAATGCAGGAGTTCATTCTGTTAAATCAAGATGACATACACATCCATAGATATCCATGTTGAATATTATTACCAATTAGACAAACCCCACAAACCTATTAATGAAGCTCAACAATCTAATGAACCATTTGTTTTCATCTGTGTTTAAAACCATATTGATGATCAATTCCTTCTTTCTTTTGCCAGCAGTTCCAGATGGTTGTTTAACTAGGGTCCTTTCAACAACAACATTCTTTTTGATACACCAAACAATAAACAAAATAGTAATTGATGTAACAGCAAAGTTCTTTACGATTCTTAACGCATTCCATCCAACGACTTTTAATATACTTATAATCTTGCGTTTTCTGATTTCAAAGTCATCCAACCCTTCTTGCTCTTCTTCATCATTATCTCTATTTGCGTTATCTTGTCTTGACAAAGCTTCTCTTCTGCTACTAACGAATTCTCTAGTTAACTTATTTATTACCATGTTGACTTCACTTTGCCAGTTCTTGAAATCTTCAATGACATTATTGGAAGTTGATCCTAATCGACCCGGTAAAGAATAAACAGACGTAGCACCAACACCTGTCCCGCCGACAGCACCGCTGCCAATGGTTGCCGGATATCCACCTGGCTGAGAGCCTGTCTCATGATGAAAATTCCGACGCTGTTGTTGTTGTTGTTGTTGTAACTTTTGTTGTTGCATATATTCGTTAAGCGACAATGTGGTGTTTCTTCTAGAATGCGAGTAGATGTTGTTTAAATCCCGACCACGCGCTCCAGTTAAGCTTGGGGTTCTATTGGAAAGTCTATCAGTTTGACTGAAAGTAGGCGATCTAGAAGGTAAAGGAATCTGGTGTTCAACTTCTTCATCACTACTTGGTAAATCTTTGATCTGATCCCATAAATACTCCAACTCACTCAATAATTCTCTTGCTTCTAGAGTTCCACTAGCATAAACTCTCATGGTTTCTATAAGATAAGAAATATATCTCTTCTTGGCTTCAGTTTTACTGATTCCTTCTTCCCGTTTCCAAGCATCCCATTTCTTCTTGGCTCCTTCGTCTTCAGGAGTAAACCCAACCGGTCGTGGCATAATTCCGTCAACATCACCTTCTGTGGCTTGTTTGTATAGACCATATAATTTGATTCTGTTCTCTGCAGGTGGTCGGGGTAATGATCCATAATTTGAACGAGACGATAACGCTCTAATCGTGGATATTGCTTTAACAAATACTCGATCTGATAGACTGTTAGTACCAAGGAAGAACAAGGAAAAAGTTGTCTAAATCAAAATAAAAAAAAAAATGATTTACATACCCACACTATCAGACATGCTTGTATGTTACTCTCTGTCTCCTTTGTCGGTTAATATATTGGAAAATAAACTTGAATGTACAACTTGAATACCTCTCTGATGGTTAATGATAAGATTGAATTCCCTTGATACTATACCTGATCAGTCTGTGATATTTTTTTTTCTTTCTGTATTGCTTTTTCTTGTTCGGTTTTTTTTGTTGTTGTGGTTGTCAGTAGTGGTGCCGATTCGTGTTGCCTTCTGTCATTTTCTCACGCTGTCTCTCTCCCACACCCACATCAAGATTCCTCTTTTTTTCTTGTTGTTCATTGTTAAAGTGGAGAGCGCAACAAAATTAAATAACCGAATAGATTTTGCACGTGAATAAGCTTTAAAGAGAAGAAATTCTACAGTCGATGAAATATTAAAAAGATTTCCTTGGGAATAAATGATAATATCTATTGTGAAAAACAAAAAAAAAAAAATGAAAAACAAATGAAAACAGATGTAAGCTAATGAAATGGACCAAGTATATCCATCAAAATGTTGGATATACTGGTGAGTAGTCAGCTTTTACCGTTCTAGTTTGCACCAAAATAGGAACCAAATATGGCATTAAATTAAATTGCAACAAGAAAATACATTCTTAAAAACAACAATCCAATGATTTGGCACCAGAGTGTTGGCAAACATCCTTATTGATAGGCTGGTCAATTATTTTGTTTTCATTGTTCACTTCTTTTTAATATCTTTCACTTATTATCAAATTATTCATCCCCAAATACTCTTCTCTTTCTCTTTCATCAGTACAACAAATAAATATTTTTCAAAAATATCGTTAAATATTAAAAACCCTATTAAAACACAATTTTTATTACAGAATGATAAACACTTAGTTTTCTGGAACATCGATTTCACCAGCGTTGATGGCGTCAATGATGTCGTGTGGGTTCTTACCGTTAACTCTACAACCGACAGATTGAGCAGTACCTAAGATTTCTTTAGTAACAGATGCCAAGTTCTTACCAAATGATTTGTCTTGCATTTTTCTGGCAATTTCGTAGATTTCTTCTAATGGAATGTTACCAGAGTGCTTGACGTTCTTTTCCTTCTTTCTGTCTCTGACTGGTTCTTTCAATGCAGTGATGACTAAAGATGAAGCAGATGGGACGACGGAAGCAGTAGCTTGTCTGTTTTGGATTCTCAATTGAACAGTGACTTTAATACCCTTGAAGTCTTTGGTGGCTTTAGCAATATCTTCACCAACCTTCTTTGGGGATAAACCTAATGGACCAATTTTTGGAGCTAAAGCGGATGAAGCACCAACTTCACCACCAACGGCTCTTAAATAAAGGAATTTAACTTCATTTGGATCAAATTTTGGAGGCATCTTTGACTAATTTGTATGTGGTCTATGGGAAAGAAGTTCTTCTAAAATCCTTGTAATGTTAACAAGAAAGCGAAATGAAATTTTTTTTTGTTGATTGTGCGAGTGACAGTCCGTGCAAACTGGGAAGAGTGCGAAGCCTAAAAAAAAAAATAAATGAAGACTAAGAAACGAAAAAAAAAAATCTCTCCTCTATTGTTACACAAAGATGAGTATAATATGTGACTGCATGGTGATATGTTAGGGTTGTAGCCCTAATTTCGATTTTTGAGACAAACAAATTTTGGTAGAGAACAAACTGCAAATTAATCAAGTATTGCAACATTCATAAAAATACGTATACATTTATGTTTATATATTGTAAAAACTAAAGTCATAAAACATATACTAAACGTTACAATGTTCCTCCAGGTATATCTGAACCAATTCTTGCATCATCATAAATAGCACTTTCGCTGTCCTTGTCTGAGTTAGTAGTGTCTGCTAATTGTCGAAGCATAATGGCTGGATGTTTACCTAACTCCTGTAGCTCTTTGAATATTACAACAGGTTTCTCTGCAAGCTTCAAGATCCTTTCTTTATCTCCATAACAAATAACCAAGACATATCTTGACCAATCATCTCTAGGTATATGATGACGCTTCATAGCTTGTTGCAAAATCTTCAAACACGAATCATCAGTAGAAGCTCTAAGCTGTTTCAATGGTTCTGAGCCGGTATTCTGTTGATACGAGTGTGACTGTGGTGGCGGTGGTGGCTGTTGTTGTTGGTGATGATGATGATGATGATTCATTGGTGGTGGCATCTGCTGGTGCGATGGTGGTGTAGCAACTTGTGGTACATAGCCACTTCCAGTATGGCCATTTGCAATAGAAGTGGACGCAGATGGTGGAATACCAATTGGTGATCCAACTGTGTGCATTGATGGTGACGATTTGTTATCAATCAACCTTGGTCTTAAAGTATTAGCACTTGGTTGTTGTCGGTCATGTGTCTCTAAACTCTTATTTGAACTGCTTCGAGGAATACCCACTTTTTGTAACTTGAACTCGTTTGCCATTTTGTTTTCGGAGTATTTGGGTATCGATTGTGATACAATTTTCCCAGTTCCCATAGACAATAACGATCCAGATGAAAATCGATTTGATGCTGGACTTGGCATACTAGTAGAACTCCTGCTGGTGTTACCGTTGTTGTTGCTGTTAATATTATTACTTCCATAGTGGTCGTGGTTACCACTAGCAGACCGTGATAAACCCTTCTCCGGTGTTTCGTGATCAATAGTATGATGTGTAGAAAAATATGATGGCGAGTCCATCGATGCTGCTGGGCCAGGATCCAATGTTGGGGTTGGTAAGGGTTTTGAATCCTTCAAAAGTCTGATAATTGGTATTAAATCTGTCTTTAACTTTATAAAATTGTCATTCAATCTTTTCATCTCATCGTGCGTAGGGGAAATTGGGGACGATGATGCAATTATTGATCTCTGCTCTTCTAAGTCAAAATTGAACTTTTTCATCATATCCTGCATCAACATTGTTGAAAAATTTAATGTCTCCACTGATGTGTAGTTACTGTTGATATTAATATGATTGAACTTATACTCCGGATCATGCATCGATCTAGGTGGATTCTTCTGGTAATGAGCTGAAATCAAATCACTGATCCCCTTTTTAATCACAAGTCTAGTTTGTAAAGATATGATCCCAATTTCTTTCAAATGTTCTGTTGTTATAAATGGCAACAATGATCCATCAATATTGTTATCTAAAAACACATTGCCTATGCGTCGTTGATCACTAGGCAAGATTGAGCCTATATATGTAGATACCTGAGCAGCATCCCACTGTAGGAATGAATCGTTACTGATCGGAGATGTCATGGTCAAAATGTAATACGTGTCTTGCGCATGAATCAAAGTGCGGTTGGGGATATCAAATTTGAAATAATGATGATCAGAAGATGAAAAAAAAAAGATGGTAAAGAATGTAAATTTGGTTTATTTGCCAAATGGTGAGTAGATATTCTAAAAATATAAACAATCTAACTTCAGCTTATTTCAAGAAAATTTTGTCTTTAAGTTGATCGTCAAAGGGGGCAAAAAAAAAATACCTGATTCCAATTAATGTTTTAGTCTATTTTTCCTGAGTTTGTTTTTGGAACATGTTTGGAAAGAAAATGTAAGGCGTGCGAGAATCAAAAAAATAATAATAATGTAACAAAATGGAACAAAAAAAAATTGGTTGATTCGATTGCTGACGGTATTAGTGTTGATAATCTATCGACTTTGCTCTTACACTATCTTTTAATTCTTTTTAAATACTCTTGACAATGTTTGATGGTTGTCACTTCAGATAGATATTTTATTCAGGAAATCCAAAATCTTGTCCCTTATTGTAAATGAAGAATCAAAGATTTAATCGGCATTGTTTCAATGCTGCTTCATAAAACAATTTTCGCAGAGTTTAGATGACAATAACTACAAACAATGATGTTTCAAAAGTAGCTTCATTTTGTTTACGTTATTGACTAACTATCAAAAATAGTTTTAATCATGCACTATTGTTGATGGATGGTTTTTCATGTTAACCTTAGCTCAATCATATTCCTTTTTTTTTTTTGCAGTTTCCTGGAAATTTCAAAGCATGGAAACCAAGTCGGAATTGATTTTCCCTCGCGCGCCACAGCAACTGAGTGATAAGAGGCAAATATCAACGTTCGATCGAAAAATCATCCAATTAACAAATACCTGATACTATTGCTACACATAGATTAATAATAATAAAAGCATGTCTTTGAGTAAAGTACCACAACAGAAAGGAATCCTTCATACATACGGTTTCAATTTGACAGCATTTGAATTCACTGATGATTCAGAGAATGTTTCTCCAAATATTTTGCTTTTCATTGGTGGATTAGGCAATGGGTTACTAAACGTTCCATATTTACCCCAATTGGCACAAGCGGCTTCTTCGAAATTTAGTAGCAAAGATGGTAATTCCTGGAGTTTAGTTCAAGTATTGTTATCTTCTGCTTATAGAGGTTGGGGTACTTCATCCTTGGACCGTGACATTTCGGAACTACAATCAGCAATTGAATATTTTAGATCAGAACGTGGTGGGAAGAGACAAAAAGTGGTAATTATAGGACATTCTACTGGGTGTCAAGATGTTATTCGTTATTTGACTGAAACATTGTACAAAGAAGACTTACCGGAATCAGCCCAAGTTCAAGGTGGGATATTGCAAGCACCAGTATCTGATCTGGAAGCATTTAGATTGGGTCGTGATCAAAAACAATTTGAAGAATTGGTTCAAAATGTTTATGATGAGTATATCTCACAAGGCAGGTCTAAGGAAATTTTACCTGAAAAATACAAAAGAATTGCTTTTAATGTTCCAATAACCGCTTATCGGTTCTATTCGTTGGCTAGTCAAAGAGGTGATGATGATTATTTTTCTTCTTATTTGAATGAAAAGGATTTTGAGAATAGTTTTGGAAAGATTAGAAAACCAGTTTTAATTCTATATGGTGGAAGTGATGAGTTTGTTCCAAATTATGTTGATAAACAAAAATTGATATCAGATTGGCAAAAGGCAACCTCGCCAGACTATTGGAGCAAGTATAGTGGCATAATTAAAGGTGGTAAACATGATTTGGGTGACGGATCCGATGAGGGGGCTATTGATGACTTAATAGAAAAAGTTACATCTTTTGTTAACGACTTATAAATATACAATCTTTTCTATACATGGTAGTTTTTCACTTGTTTCACCAAGTTGTCATAATACTGTTTCAAAGTAAGGTCATCGGTGATTACTCTAGTTTTGTTTTTTGAAGGTTTCAAGAAAGACCAATAGCTAGAACTCTTGTTTATATCTAATTGATTCATATTTGGAATGTCTTCCTCGACTGGTCCTAGTCTCGATAATAAAAATCTTGCTTGTGAATGATTTCGTTGTGTGAAAACAACTTTTGTAACAATCTTTCGGTCTTTGAGTAGATCACTAATAAATTTCCAAGGCAAAAGCTCATTTCTATCTTCAATCATAGCATCATTGTTTGATGGATGTAATGGCAATTTGTCATCTTGAGAATATTGGTAGTATACTACCAACAAAAATCCAGAATCTAACACTAAGAATGATTCACTTTTAGCTGACTCCAAGCAGCTTGAATCTAATGGTAATCTTGTAACTTTTTCTCCTTCTACGTTGCACAAAACAGGTTCTATCACGGTTAATGATAATTCTGAATTCATTCTTAAAAACCACAAATGACAAAACGCAGTTTCATCGGGACTGGAATTGAAAATTTTGATTAGGTTCAAATTTCGTTTTAGGTTGTAAATTAAGGAAGGTAAAGCCCTAAAATTTTCATTGATTTCATACATGGTTCGCAAACGATAATAAGGGTTGGATGACTGTGGCTGGTTTGAATTGACCGAAATCCCACCAAAATGATAAAGAAGTTTTATCATCGTTCTATCAATAAGATGTACTACTTTGTCAAAGGATGAATAGCCAAGATTTGTATCAATTTTATTGATTATTAGTCTGGCTAATAAAACTACCCAAACTTTTTGGTTGAATCCTAAAAGAAACTTGTGATCTTTATATATCTCACTTTTACGATTAGAATCAATATTCAAGTAAGCTAGTGTTGTTGGTTTCCTTAAGGTGGTAATTCTTAATATCCATTTTCGTTCTTCTGGGTCCCAGTATTTAATCTTGAATTGGATATATACTTGAGATATACCAGATTTCGTCAATTCAGAATTTGATCTAATGGTTTCCATTTTGAAAAATAACGACAATGTATCATCCTGGGATAACTCATTAAATTTCCATTTGTTTGTAAACCCACCTTTGAATTGAGGAGAATCAAATTCGCCTAGCTCGTCATCAATTTTATCATGATACAAATGGTGGAATTTTGAAGCCCTGTGATATGACGAAGGAAGCGCATAATTTCCATTAGATATTAATTTTGAAGTTTTCAAGCCATTCGATGTAGATACCTCTAGGGTCACTTTCCGTTTAGTTGAATCAATACAACTGGAAATCATCTGTGGAAGTAAGTAGGAGTCAAATGTTTCTAACAAATAAACTATTCCTGAACTGTTCCCAATGAGTGGTTTCATTTCGTATGCCCCAACTTGATCCAATGAACCCACGATTAGATTAACTGACCAAACAGGAGCTATTGGATCTATATCGTACTTTGTTGTTTTCAAAGATGAAGACTTGTAGATTTCAAGAGACTTTTTAACAGACTGTCCACATGCAATGTACGAAAGTAAAGTATAATACTTGGAAGATGCAGTAAAATTGTCTGCTTCTAATGCATATATATCCTTATGAGTTCTCATTTGGTCTTTTTCACCAACAATTTTCCCTGGAAATTCTGTGCAAGGACCACTTGTAAAGAACAAAACCTTCCCCATGAAATTTCTAAACCCGAGTTGGGAAAACATAATGGAATATACATAGTGAGCAAATCCAGTACATCTAGGAGGTTTGAAACTCTCCGTATATAATCCATTCAAGTTTCTGATATAGTCAGTTATAAATCCAATGCTAGACGGGTTTAGTTCTATCAAATATCCAGCATCTAATAGTTTATTCTCATTTGAATCCATGACTCGTGGCAGGAGATTTAATTTCCTGAGCAAACAAGTAATAGTTTCTTCTTGGAATAATTTAGTATATGAAGTTGAAGTTAAAATATCACCTATGGAAACATCAATCATTTCGTTTTTCACCATATTGTGAATTTGGACACTCTTGTTGAACGTCATTAATCCTATTAGGCTTCCAAATGGTAGCTTGTGAAGTATCTGAATGATTGATTTAATCAACGATTTGAACGACAAATCCGCAAATTGCTGATAAGTGTCTATAACAATATAATATACTAATGGTATATTATCATTTGTTGGGGTTGTAATATCTTCAGGCAAATGATAATCTATAGTCAGACTAGTTTCTCGCATTTCAATTGGCCAGTCGTTAACACTGTTGATTGCTTCTGGGATGGGCAAATATTCTGGTAAATATGATCTCTTCTCACAAAAAGGACACCACCACATACCATTCTTTCTATCTAGTTTAATGAATGGATTCAAGTATGTTTGACATGACAGGCACGTAATAGGTAGATTTGTTGTATGGGGTATGGCTTCCGTCTCGTTTGAAAATGGAGAATATAGGCAACCTAAAGGGGCAACTATTTGAGACTCTTCAAGTCTCGTGACGGGTAAAACATTCCAATTGAACTGAATTGTGGCAGTGTGGGGTTCCCCTTGATTTGACATCATGTTGTTGATTAACTGTCGTTATCAGTTGCACCTTACATCAATGACAAAAAAAAATAAAAAGAAAAAAAAAACTCAATTCAACTCTCACCCGATCTGCAAGATAACCCTTTTTGAACGGGTACACTAAATTTCGGAGATATCTCCCATTATAGCCGTGCCAATTATTTTAAACCCAAAGAAAATGGATTTCCAACAAGTAATTGTGGATGTAATAGCAATTGGTAATAGTTTATTTGTTTATTGTTGTATCTAATATGACTCAAAATGGAAGCATAATTATAAATCGCTCGATTGTGGCAGCAACTGAGTTTGAATTTGCAATTAATCGTAAGTAATTAGCAAAATTAAGTTACCATTATTTAATTTTACTCCAACTTTTAAGGATGATTTTTCTGCGAAGGACAACATTGTATTGTCCTCCGACCGTTTGTCCATTTCTCAACGTCTTATGCTTTGATAGATATCTCAAGCCACATTACGATTTGCATTACTAATTGACTAATTTTAGGGTCAGTTAATGCTAGTGATAAATCACAATGATTATTATCTGTATTGTTGTAAAATTATTATTATAGCTAAAATAGAAATACACCAAAGAAATGGGTTTCATATTGGTGATTTAACTTGAAAAGTGTGGTAATCATTTTTCGCAGCCACAATTTTTTTTTTTATTTTTAAGGTTTTACTATTGATTGAGACCTCTTTTTTCATGGTATATAAACCAGACGGAATCTCTAAGAGGATATCTCCAAAATAAACCTAATTATCACAATCAAATCAATCAAATCAAACAAAAAGCAAACTCTAAATAAAATGCCAGCCCGTTATGTTCAAGTAGCAAAAGCTCTCTTCGGTGGAAGTAGTCTTATCAGTGACGAAAAGGGAAATGTTTCTGTTTCTCCAAAAGCTGCTGAAAAAGTCAACAAGGAAGCTCATAAATATCTTCCAACTTGGTCCAGATCTGAAAATTATGAACCATACGAATTCATTGAGTATCATGATGCTGCTCTCAGAGCAAATAAGGACTTGGTGAACTTGTTCCCAGAAGGTGGTGATTATGAAACCAACAACATTTCTCCAAAGTTAGGTACTGAAATCAAGGGTATCCAATTATCTAATCTTAGCAACGAAGCTAAAGATGAATTGGCTTTGTTGGCTGCTCAAAGAGGTGTTTTGGTATTCCGAGACCAAGATTTCCTTGAAAAAGGTCCTGAATTTATCTCCAATTACGTTAGCTACTATGGTACACCACATATTCATCCAACTTCAGGTTCACCAAAAGGGGTTTCTGATATTCATGTTGTTTTAAGTGGTAATACAGAAGAAGATCCATTTGTTAACAGAAACAATCTTGTTGGTTTCCACTCAGATGTTTCTTATGAATTAAACCCAACTTCACTCTCTTTCCTTTCTGCTACCAACATTCCAAAATCTGGTGGTGGTGACACTGTTTTTGCTAGTACTACTGAAGCTTACAACCGTTTGTCCCCATTGTTTAGAGAAAAATTAGAAGGCTTGAAAGCTGTCCACAGTGCAGTTGATCAAGCTAATCTTGCTGTCTTTAAAAAAGGTGTAGTTAAGAGACACCCGGTTGAAAATGTTCATCCAGTTATTAGAACCACTCCATTGGGACAAAAGGTTTTGTATGTTAACAATGGTTTTACCAAAAGAATTGAAGGTTTGAAGGAAGAAGAGTCGGCTGTATTGTTGAAATTTTTGCTTGACCACATTTGGAAAGGTCATGACTTTCAAATCAGAGCTCATTGGGAACCAAACACCGTTGTTATCTTTGATAACAGAGTTGTTGCCCATTCCGCTATTCTTGACTTTGATACTACTGACTCAAGATTAATTATTCGTTCTTCTGCCAGAGGTGAAAGACCTGTTGCGGATTTGAAGGATTTAAATAAACCAGATGAAAATTTGATTTATCATGGTCCTGAATACTTGGGCGACAGATTGGAATCGTTGGCTATTTAATTGATTTTTTTTTAGATGTCTAGTTTGTGTATTCGGTTCTTTTCTTTTTCTTAACTAAGTAGTATTTATTTATACTCATATATCAATTTATGTTTTGCTCCTTCTATTAATGCGCAATTTCTCATATCTTGTTTTATCAAGCCTCCTTCGGGTCCAATATCAAAGTCAAAAATGTCCATTGGAATTCCAATTGTGGTACATGCATTAGGAACATCAACAATTCCTGCAACATGCCCTTCAACTGGAGCACTAGAAAGCAACAAATAAATCTGGTAATCATTGTAACCAAACTTTCTCAAATACTCTATAGCTCGAATACATGCCTGTCTGTAAGCAGTAGTAGCACATAAAAACTGTTGCTTTCCTTCTTCATCCACTGAAAAACCTTCAAATGTCAAATATCTTGACGGACCATAATGATTTTGAACATCCCCAGGAATGAAAATTGGACTCTTTAAAGATAACTTTTCAATCCCTCCCTTGATAATTCTGGTTTGAATCGTGATAACACCAGGCATTTCAATTGCGCCACAAAATGAGATTTCCCCGTCGCCCTGTGAGAAATGCAAATCACCTACCGAAAACTTTGCACCAGGGACGTAAACTGGAAAATAGCATTTGGATCCACGAGAAAGATTCTTTATATCACAATTACCACCGTTTTCAGGTCTTCCTGGAATTGTTCTGGCCCCTTCTTTTGCAATTTTTGCTGCTAATTCAGAATCAGCTCTACCAGCATGGGCATTGGTCTCTAACGGGGTGTTTGCAACGGCAGTGTCGTGATTATGTTGAATTTCTTTGATCAATCCAGCTTCTCTACTATTCCATTCTTTTAATACTTCTGCAGAAGGGGCAGTACCCATGATTCCTGGGTGTATTAATCCAGTGAACTTGACATGTGGAATGTGTCGAGAAGTTGCATGAATTCCCTCTAAATCAAAAATTGCTTTGGCTGCCTCAGGATAAAACTTATCTAAAAAACCCCCGCCATTTTTTTTGTGAAAGATACCACAATATCCCCAAGGCTGTCTTTCTAACGGTTGCACATCTTTGATCTCTACCACTAAAGCGTCTCCTGGTTCAGCACCTTCAATGTTGAATGGACCAGATAAGTAATGAATTCTGGTCAAATCAACATTCAAAATATCGTCAGCGGTATCATTGTTCTTAATCTGGTTTCCTGTCCAATCAAGGCATTCAATTTTAACGGTTTCTCCAGGTTTGATGGTTTCAGAAAATGGAACATCAGGGTGCCATCTATTGTGCACCTGTGGTTGTTGATCACCAGGCTTGGTAAGATCTACTTTTGTAACATAACGGATTGGATCAGTTGGCATAATTGGTCAAGCTTGAAGAAAAGAAAAGCTGTGTAAATATTATTGGTAGATATCCAACAAAGGGAGATTTCTTATCTTTTCAAGAAAAATAAACCAATTAACTGATAAGCTTTTAACCGAGTTTACGGAAACTTTTTGCGAGAACGAAAAAGCGATTCAAATATCAAACAAGGAATGATGTTTCTTGAATATAAATGTCAGCAATGCTGTTTGGGTATAATTGTCGTTGAAAGTTTATCGTTGTTTAGTGATAATGTATCAGATTTTAGACTTGCAGTTTTGTATGTACGTTTTCAATGGGAATTATTACAAAATTACTGCTAAAAACCCGAATTCCCACACAGCACATATAATTGAACTTTGATAAATTTAAGTAGTTGCTAGAACCTAAGAAACAAATAGGATTGACAATTTATTGTTTTAATTTTCAGTTCTGGTGATTAAGACATAAAAGCATAACTTGAGTTACACTTAAAATTTTTAAGTAGAGATGCGATAAATATTTTCCACTTTCAACAAATTTCCTTTATAGTGTAGTGGCTATCACGGTTCGCTTTCAAATCTTCACAGGTTTAAAGTTCCGAGCAGACCGGGGTTCGATTCCCCGTAAGGGAGATTTATTTTTTTCTAATTTTGTTAGACTTTACTTTGTGCACTTTCTGTTTACTAGACAAACATTTTTGTTTTAGTTTCTCATTGAGAAGTATTTTTTTTTTTTCAATTTAGTTTTTTTTTTTTGCACATCTCATCACTTATCAAGTTCCACTTCTTTTTTTAATATACTGACCAACAGAATAGTATACAACAATGGCACCAAGACAATCTAAAACAGCAAAGAGAAATAAGAGTCAAAATGGAACCAGGTCGATAGAACCTGAGGTATACTCAGATTCAAGAGCCATGAACTTATTAGAAGATCAACCAAAACAAAAACAAAAATCTACAGTAAAGAAAATGTCAAAATCAGCAGTCAAGAAACAACAGGCAAAGATAAGGTTATATGGGGCTAAGAATGGTAAAGATTATAGAGAAGATCAATTGAATATACCTACATTAAACAGAGCTATTGTTCCAGGTGTGAAAGCTAAACGTGGTAAAAAAGGTAAGAAATTTGTTGCCGATAATGATTCCTTAACATTAAATAGATTGGTTAAATCAATTAATGACAAATATGACCAAGTAAATGAAAGTAAATTAGAGAAAGCAAGAAGATTAGAAGAAATACGAGAATTGAAGAGACAAGAAATTGAAAGAAAGGAACAAGAAAAGATTGATAAACTAGAAGGTAAGAAGAAAGAACTTAGGAGTAAAGCTTCTGTTGCTCGTTCAGCAAGAAGAAAGAACGCAAAGGCTAGAAGAGCTGAAGATGATGCTGATGAAGAAGCTCCTAAACACAAGAAAAAGAAAGTCTCATTTGCTTGAGTACCTAATAAATATACAGTATATACAATGGAATAATAGTTATAAAACAACAGGTTATTATTTATCTCTAAAAGCCTCTAACAACACGTCTTCTATTGATCTGTTCCTTTCTCTTTCTATTGTACCAATAACCATAGGCCAAACCGATGATACTACCACCAAGATGGGCCGCATAGTCAAAAGTACCCCATCTTAAGACAGTACCTACTGCATTCCAAACCGTGGTTCCAAGAAACAAGGTCCAAGAGCCACCAGGGATCGGAATGAAAAAGAAACCAACTGGAGCACCTGGGAAAAGGTAAGAGAAAACACCGAAGACACTGAATATAGCACCAGATGCACCTAATGAGGCAACCGATAAGGATGAGCCCAAGAAAGTTGGGATGGCCAAGGAAGCAAATGATGAAATAACTGCAGAATTTAAGTACATTGTGGTGAAATTGGAGACACCTAAATATGCAATCAAAGTAGAACCAAATGATTGCAATGCAAGCATGTTGACAAAGAAATGGAAAAAGTTTTGGTGGGAGAATGCAGATCCCAACAATGACCAAGAAGATTGAATATTATCCTTGAACAAGATTCCGTATTTCATTGTGAACCATTGAAAGCGTGGAATCCTCCACATTAAAAAGACAGCACCGTTTATACCAATGATAGACCAAAGGAGTGCTTGCGGGTTTCTTTTAAAATAAGCCAACGGGGTGTAGTTGAACAAATATGGTGATACCAATGTGGCGGCAACACAGAATGCAACAGTGAACAAGAATGGTTTTTTCAATTTGTCCCAGTTCGATCTATTATAAAACTGATTATAACTTTTCCAAGTCGTACTTCTTCTAAATGGTGAATTCAGGGTCACTTGGTACACAGTACGCTTTATATAGCCACGGAAGGGAATGAAGTTTGATTGTAAAATTTGAACATTAGAACTGAAAGAAGACACCTTTTGGTGTCTGATATTTTTTAATGATAGCGATAAGATATTACTGTTACTAAAGAAATGATTCTTTAAGCCTAGGTTGGTGGTAAATAATCTAAATGGCAACATTGTTGGTTTTGTCAACGTCAATTGAATAGAGTGAAATGTTTTGTCTGGGATTTTTTCTTTTGCCTAATTCATTTTTTTTTTTCTTGCTCTTAATTCTACAACTCAATCTAATAGAATACATTATCATCAGATTTAAGTGTTATTGCTTTGTAAAATCACTTTATATAGTACTACTAAATAATGTCAAAACTATCTATTGAAAGTCTGCATCAAAATCGTCGTCCTTCCCTTCCAAATCAATCTTACCCTTTCCTGTCAATCTAGCTGCAGCCAAATTTTGAGTTGCAACTTGCTTCTTTACCTTCTTTGTCATTCTTTCGATTTCTGCTTCAGCATCTTCAGCATCCTTTTCAGCATATTGCATAACCAATCTTCTACCAAGTAAATGTACACCTTCTAATTGGTTCATAGCAGTTTCAGCTTCTTTCATAAGATTAAACTCAACAAAAGCAAAACCACGTGCACTTTGATCGAATTTCTTTGGCACTCTGACAGATTTCAACTGTCCAAAAGCACCAAATAATTCCAAAAGATCTTTTCTTGTGGCTTCGAATGGTAAATTCTTGATAATAATCTTGGATGATTTCTTTGACTTCTTGGTTGAGGATGCAGAGGAGGAAGTAGTACCACCTTGTTTGTGAGATAACTTTAATTGTAGCTTGTGTCCATCAAGTACGTGCCCATCAAGTGTAGAAATAGCCACGTTGGCTTGATCTTTTGTTCTGAATTCAACGAACCCGAAACCCATACTCAAGGTCTTTCCTGCATTCTTTGGATCTGGCTTAGTCTTTACTGTGGCCACAACAAAACCTGGCAAACCTTTGAAAACATCTGACAAAGCTTGAACTGTAGTAGCAAAATTCAAATTCTTAACAAAGATAGAAACAGTAGGACCTTGAATTTCTTCACTTGCATCATCTTCATTAACATCACCCAAAATTTCACTTGCAGATACTTTAGCTTCGACTGCAGTTTGCTCTTCCTTCTCGGCTGGAACATTGACAACTTCATTTGTGGTTGGTTCACGAGTAAACAAATCCTTAGGACCCTTCTCCAAATAAAGAATAGTACTCTTGAATCTCTTGTATGCTAATCTCGTGAAGGCTGATCTTGCGCTTGGTGCATCTCTGAATTCAACAATTGCAATAGTACCGGCAGGTGGCATCAACATACGTTTCAATTGACCATATGCTGCAAATAACTCACCAATTTCGTCAATAGTAGTACCAAATGGAAAATTCTTCACAAGAATGATTTTATCATCTCTTTCTTTCTTGTCAAAAGTAGTTAAATCAACACCTCTGTCTTCAAAATACTTTCTGACATCTCCGATAACATGGGCTTCTGCCAATGCCTGTTTCACTGCTGAGCTAGAATTTTCAGGATCAATCAATTGAGACTTACTGACACCCAATTTTGCAGCAACCGATTCCAAAACGGCATCACTATTCATATAAAGAGAGTTCCAACTGAATTGAGATTTAGAAGCTTGTGCCTTCTTTTTAAGCTCACGCTGCTTCTTCAAGGGTAAATTCTTCAAATCAAATTCATCAAGTCTATGGTCTTTCTTTTTATCAGCAGGTAAGATATGCAACAATCTACCTTGGAAGATTTGCTTATCTAATGACCTGTATGCTCTAACTGCATCACTGCTTTTTACAAATTGTGCATAAACAAAACCTTTTGATTTACCCGTTCTTGTATCAATAGCAATGTGGACTTCTTCAAGTGGTCCATACCCCAGAAATAAGTCTTTGAAATCCTTTTCTGTGGCGTCATAAGAAATGTTTCTAATAAATAATCTTCCAGTTTCTTCGATTTTTTGAACTGTTTTCTCTTCAGGAGTTAATTCTGGTTCAGTTTCTTCATAGTTTGCATCTTCTTCTTTTTCAACATCTTGACTTTCCTCTTTTTCATTTTCAGGCACTTCACCATTTTCTTTAATACGAGTACTTCTTGACTTAAGCCAATCCAAATCTGAAACATTTGTATCAGCTGCCAAATTCTCTTCTTCTTTCTCTTGTTCTTCTCCCTCTGATTTCTTTTCTTGAGGTAAATCAGATAAACTCATCATTTGTTCCTCTTCCTCTTCATCGTCTTCTTTCTGGTTATCAAATCCCTTGAAATCGTTGTATTCATCATCACTTGCATTATCTTCCGCAGTGACGACGTCGTATTTTGATCTATCTATTGGCTCATCTCCAGTACCATTCAATGCATCTTCCAAATCTTTTGCAGAAGGACCCCCAGAACCATCAGCAAGGGCATCATTTGCCCATGATTTTACTTGATGGGAAGGTTTCATAACTTCCATATACTCTCTTAACTTTGGATTGTTGGAAATTTCGTCATCAATTGAAGATGATGGCTTTACTTTTTGTCTTTTTGCATCAGCTCTATTCTGTTGCTCGATAAGTCTTTCTTGCTCTTCCCTTAATCGTTCTTCATCTCTTCTTCGTTTTTCTTTAAATGAAATTGGTACTGTTGGATCTGAAAATGTTTTAGCAAAATCAACATCAATTCTAGCTGTATCTACGAATGACTTGTTAAAAAACTTGACAGCTCTTTCCGCTGCTTCAGCAGATTTATATCCAATAAATGCAAATCGTCTTGACTCACCATTTCTTTTTTTCATTAATTTGACATCGGTGACATCTCCTTGTTTGGAAAAATGTTCTCTGAGTTTATCCTCAGTAAAATATTTGGGAAGCCCTTTAACAATTAAACGTGACATATTTGTATATAGATAGGAGTAAAGGTTATCTCTTATTCTAAGTAGAATACAGAAAAAAGTGGATTGAGATGAGTTAGAAAAATAGCTATAGAAAAAAAAAAAAAAATTGAAGGAAAAACAAAAGGGGACACAAAAATAAATTAAAATGTCGCGGTGCAGTTCCAAAATTAAGACAGATCCAGTTCTGTTCTTTTCTTTTTGTTCCAGTTTTACAACCAAGGTTGAGGATTTAGCAAATGGAGTTCATTGATCATTTAGGCATCAATTTAGAGACAGATCAAGAGATTCAATACATATTTATATGGATTAAAGGTCTATTTTGCTTGACGATACTATTTGTTTACATACTATTCTATCAAGTAGTTGCATTGATTTGCACTTTGGCATCAATTGTAGTACCAGACACTGCAAATATGTTTAGGAACACTTGTGGCAACTTCTTTTGGGATCTAGCTTTGTATTTTATGGTATGTATATTAAAAAAGATACAACTAACAATTAGAACAATTACTGATTAATTTTTTTTTTCTTAAATACAGCATTTAAACAGAGTGAAGTTTAGAATATTTGGTGATACAACAGATTCAACACCTGCTGTTGTTATCAGCAACCATGCATCATTTGCTGACTGTTTTGTAATTCAATATCTTTCTAGAATCTCAGTACTTGGTGATAAGTTTAATCCATTACAACCACGAGAACAATTTTCACTACCGATTGTTAATTTCTTTTCATGGTTCTTGGTTTGGCGAGTGCCAACGTTAAAGATTTTGCTTCACATGTTAAAATGTGACGAGAACTGGGAATTGGAAGAGAAATCACTATCATTTGTATTCTCAAGGTTAATAAGAAGTAAGTTTTGCGAATGGGTAGTACTATTTCCAGAAGTAAATATCTGGTCTTCAACAGGATCAGCATTACAAAAACAAATTAGTGAAAAGTACTACTTGCCCAAGTTCAGCCATTTGCTATATCCCAGATATTCTGCTTTTTACAATATTATTACTGCATTACAACAGTTTGAGTCACATCCTTATTTGAATTTGTATGATGTCACTATTGTATATTACCGTCAGACAGATACCAACAGTGGTACAAAAAACTATATCCCACCAAAGTTGTTAGATATATTTGCAAGTTCAGAACCAATTACAGTTGTAATTTATGTCAAAATTCGACCAGTATCAAGAATACCAGCACAAAGGAAAAAATTAGAAAAATATCTAGAGCATTTATGGCAACATAAAGAGAAAATAATCACAGAATTAAAATCCGAAGTCCCTGATAATCAACAACAACTTCGAGTTCGTGATAACTTTTCCCTGAAACAGGCAAAATTAAATAATTAGTCTAAAAAATAGTTCTAATACAAGCAAATGATCCATTAAATGAACTAATCATCTTGAATCCTATTGATAGGTAAACTATAGATACGTGACTTGCTAGTTTCATCTCTTTGAATTCGGTAGAAATGATCTGTGAATCTATCAGCTTGCATATGAGTTAAAAACTTCTGGTCGTGAGTAATAACAATCAATTGGAAATTTGCTTGCGCTTTTCTGTACTCAATAATTTTAGTCAAAGCGGCTGCTAGTGCTTCTGAATTCTCTGCATCCAAATTCGTGGTCGGTTCATCTAATGCAATCATACCACAATTGGCACCAAAACATTCAGCCAATGCCAATCTGATCAAAATACTGGCCAACACTTTTTGCCCTGCAGAACATCTACCTCTCATATCCAACTCACTAGTATCCTTTATCATGACTACTCGATAATTGTATGATCTATTACCCTTTGCTTGTAAATTTACATCACTTTTAATAGCAATTGTTGCAATATCCGATCCTCGATAAGTCTGCGACCAAAGCTCAGTTAATATTCTATTGATCTCTTCCATTTTGATACTATGATACTTCATAATAGCATTATCCAAAGCCTTTGAATAGTTTTGAAGGTCATTGGAGACCAACAAGTTTGTTTGAAGTTTTATCCATTCCTCATGATAATTCTGATTCACATTCTTATACTCTGTTTCTAACTCTTTCTTCAATCCCGATATCTGATCTTTGATCTGTTTAACTTCTCCAATTTTACCAGCATGATCTGCAGTCAAAGAAGATATAGCCTCTCTCAATTGTCTCGACTTCTCTTGGTACTCATCTTTTCGAGTTTGTGCATTCTCAATGTCCATCGAATTAAGTTGCAACTCCGCTTCGTCTAATCTACTGAGCTGTCCGCGGTAGTCTATATTGGCAAGAATATTATGTTCAACTCTTGAAGCATCCATCACTTCCTTCTCTAATGACTTAATTGAACCCGTATATTCTTCAATCTTCAATGTTAAAGATTCACATTCATGTGATACTTGCTGCATCTTGCTCGTGTTTTCTTCTAATTTCTTAGCAATGTGTGCTTGATAGTAAGAAATCGATTCGTTGAGTGAAGAAAATGAAGAATACAAGTCTTGAATATCTTGTACTTTCTTTTGGATTCGTTCTTCTGATTCTTGAATTTCATCCTGTGCTTTTTTCAAAGCTCTTTCCTTTGTTTCTTTATCTGATCTCAATTTCTCCAAAGAATCCTTAATTTCTTTTAATCGATCTTCCAATTTTGCAATCACTTTTTCAGTTTCATTAATATTATCTTTGATGTTGGTTACATCAGCAAGTGATCTTTCTAAATTGCTTATTTGTAATTTGATATCTTTCACTCTATTCTCTAATCTTTGTACTTCCCTTTGAACTTTATATTTACTCTCAGTCCACTCATTCAAGTTTTGTCTCATATCCTTGAGCTTAATATTTGTGTCTTGTTGTTGCTTTTGTAATTCACCAACTGATGCGACATTTGAGCCGAATCCTGTCAAATCTTCATTCAATTCGTCAATTTGTATATCTATATCTTGAACTTCCAAGTTGATTCTAGTAGCATCTGACAATGGTTTCTTTAACAGCAATGCAGCATCAAGCAAATCTTTAGTAGCTTTCATATCTTTGGTTGCTTCAGTTAGTTCTTTATCAATGGAATAGGAATTGCTACGTAAGTCTTTGATCTTCGATTCAAGTTCAGACACATTTGCAAGACATTCTCTGTAATTTAAGATCTTCAAGTTGACAGACTTTACTGAATCAAGGTCGTTCTTTATTTCAACTGCCCTTGATTTAATCTCTTGGATCTTGCTTTCATCCACACTTTGCTTTAAATCTTTAATGAATACATCAAGACCACCTTCTTCAAACAAACGTTTACATAATAAGCAACATTTACTCTTTTCTGCCATTTGAATTGCAGATCCCTTGAAATCCTTAGTAACTTCCGCAGTATTGACATCTTCCAGAACGTCTCGGTAATTTTCTTCCAATTCCTGAACAATACTTTCATATTCGTCAATCTCGTCTTCCTCAATCACAGTAGTAATAGCTGCTTTCAACGATTCAAGCTTAGCACTGTTATCTTTTGCATTCTTAAGAATTGATTCAAGTGTCTTTTTGTTGATCTCTAATTCAGATTCTAATGACATCACCTTCTTTTGTTGGTCTTCATGTTTTATTTGCAAATGAGAAATCTTTTGGTTTAACAACGAATCACCAACATCTATATCTAACTTTGACCCAACAACCTCTTGATAGTTATCGGTGATAACAGATATGATCCTGGAAATTTCAGCATTTTTTGACTTCACCGAGTCCTCCAAAAATGTCACCTTGGACCTAAGTTCAGATTGTTTATTACTTGTGGAAACTTTCTTGGCTAACTCGTCCAACGAAAATTCCAATTTTGAAATCTCGGAATTGGTTTCCATAATCTTATTATCAAATTCCTTTACTTCATTCAAGTCTCGCTTCTCTTGAAGTTGTTTATTTGTCAGATCTAGTTCAATTCGCTTTTCAATTAATTCAGTTTCATCGTTACTTCCAGCATCAACCTTCCTCCTTAAAACCAAAAGCTTCTGGTTGTTAGTTTCCATATCATTTGTAGCGTATTCAAAATGTTGCTCTTCTCTAGAAATTGCATTCAACACATCTTGTAACTCCGACTGTTTTTCTGCCTCTATGCGTTTGTTATCAGTTAATAACCTCTTTTGTTCGGAAAGTATTGCTTTATGCGCCTTTTCCAATTCACCTTTAAATTTGGTTATGTTGCTCTGAGTATCTTCCGAGAGGCTAACTCCCAATGAATCACCATAATCATTCATTATCTGACTGATTTCTTCTAAGTTTTGTTCATATTCCACTTTCTTACCCTTTAAAGAACCATCCAATCTTATCAAGTCGTTGTAGTTTTTGGTTCTGTCTTTCAATTTTTCATTCATTCTTGAACTCTTGGTTTGCAAATCTTCAATTGTACGGCTCTTTTCTTCCGTGATGGCAGCAAAATTCTCTTGTTTATTCATAAGTTCTTGGTCAGAATCAGGAAGAATTTCAATAGATCTTTTGGTTCTTTCAATTTGTTCTTCCAATGTCTGTTTCTTAATCAACAAATTCTCGTAATCACTTAATGTCTTCTGAAACTCTTGGTTGGTTGCAAATAAATCTTCCGCTTCCTTTTCTTTTCTTTCAATTTGAATATTAAGATCAGCAATTTCTTCAGTATATGTGTCAGCCGATTCTGTCAATTCTGTTAATCTATCTTGAACCTTTTTAGCTCTATCCTTGTCGATCTTCAAATGGTTCACACTTTGCTCAATCAATTTGATATCAGTAGTCATATCTTTCTTGATAATTTTTAAATTATCTAAAACTTTGGTGAACTTGGATGCTTCAAATATGTCATCAAACTTTTTCTTCAATGCAGATGGCTCACTCAATGGCCATAAACTGTCGTCTTGATGACAGAAAATAACATTTTCCAAGATTGCCGGTGATGCCCCCAAATAAATAGGAATCTGAGTATCTAATTCTGAATTCTTTGACGAAATACTAATTTTCTCTCCTCCTTCAATCATAGCAAGCTGTCCTTCTAAAGTCTTAAACGTGACAGTGGCCCCAGAAGCACTCTTGGTGGATTTCAGATTTGCTTGTACGGATCTTGTGGTAATCATAGATTTTCCATTTATGTTCTTGTAAGCCAATTTAATCTGACCATTAGTAACTGAACGTGAATCTAATGTAGGATCGTGGACAAATGCACCACCTTTAGAATTTGGAGGTAAACTACCCGTAGTTGCATATTTTAAACACTCAATAATAGTTGTTTTCCCACATCCATTCTGACCACAGATTAAGGTTAATGGAAACCCAAACTGAATTGTCTCATCTGTTTCCTGCTCAAAAGCTCTTATCCCCTTAATGGATAGTTTATATATACTGGACATTGTCCCTTTATAAGTAGGTCGATGGTTTAATTGATATTAGCAAAGAAAATGTGAATAATTCATTCCCATACGCGTTTCGTTCTGCCTTTAAAAATGAGAAAACTCAAAGTTACGTACTTCTCATCAAACGAGAAAAAAAAAAAAAAAAATAAAAAAAAAAACTCCAGGGTTTGTGTAATTAAAGTTTCTATATATTATAAACTCGAATTTATTATAATCTATTTAATGTGGGTTTTAGATAATTCGTCAGCGATATCGTCAACTTTGGAGTCTTTGGATTCCAATGAAACACCAGCCAATTCTTCTTCCAATTCATCTAAGTCGAGGTCTTCTTCCAAAGTATCTTCATTACCTTCTTCATCTTCTTCGTCTTCTTCTTCATCACTATCAAGTTCTTCCAATTCGTCCAATTCGTCAAGTTCACCAAATCCTCTGGTTTCAAATACTTCGTTAATTTTATCAATATGTTCTGAATCTTCTTCAAATCTGTTACCGTTTAATTCCAAGAATTTCAAGTTTGGCAACTTGCTTGCAATGGCATCAGCTAAAACTCTCAAACTGTCAGTTTCCAATTCATTATACTGTAATTTCAAAGTAAGCAATTTGGACTTTTCATCACCGGTGTGGAAAGCTTCAACTAATTTCAAAGACCCTTTGTTTTTCAACAATGAATCATTAAGATTCAATTCAACCAACTCCGGCCAGTTGGATAAGGATTCAGCAATATGAACGGCCCCTCTAGTGGTGATGGTATTGTCTTGCAAGTCAAGAACTTTCAAATTCTTGTTTCTTGATAAACCTTTGGAAACCAATTTAGAAATACCGGCTGGTCTGATACCATTTTGATACAATCTCACGATTTCCAAATCTTTGTGGTTTCTTAAACCAATAGATAAATAATTCACTGACCCATTTTCTAATCTATTTCTTCCACAGATGAATGTTTTCAAAGATGGTTTTCCAGCACTATTTTTAGCTTGAGCTAATTTAAACAAAGAACCACCGATTCTTGAGCCAGCAAATGGTCCCATACCGTTATTTGACAAAATCAAATGTTCTATTGAGATAGCCTTGGCCAAGTAAGCTTCGATTGGATCAATGGTTTGCAAACCAAATGCATTATCACTCAAGTTGATTAATTTCAAGTTTGGCAACTTTAACAAAGCTGGTAACAAGTATTCTAATGATTGTGGAATTTCGGTATTTAATCTACCAGTATATAAATCAGAAAAGTTGATTTCAACAATAGTATCTTTGTGTTTCAATAATGCTTCACTTAAAGCTTTTGATGCTTCAATACCAATAGTGTTACCTGAGAAGTCAATTTTGGTGACATGCTTCTTCTCAGTCAATTCCTTAATATAAGGGGCAATATCCTCTTCGGAGTTAAATTTCAACTGCTTTCCAGCAATAGAGTATGTGGTTTCTGGAGTAACTCCTAATTCAACATCAACGGAAGCCATGATTTATTGGGATTTGAATAATGGTCTTTATTAGAATATAATGGAAAAGAGATCTGATCCTATTTTTTTTTTTTCTTTCTTCCTTTTCTGCTGTTCTTCTTCTCTTAGTGATTGTCGTGGAGATTTGCCAAAAAAAAAAAAAAAAAAAAAAGAGAATAAAAAATTGAAAGTAAAGAAAGCAAACGAATCGCACGAAAAATTTTCAACGAAAAGAGAGCTCTTAGCTTTGAACAGTATCGCAAACACCCAAACCATATCAATAAACATGTCAGGAAGATTCCCACCACAAGGAGCTAAAGAAGAGCCATCAACTTTTGAACAAATTAAAAAGTCTCCAGCTTTTATCGTTGGTACCCAAGCTGTCTTATTTGGACTCGGTGTTTTGTTCATTCAATCTCCATTGATGGATATGTTGGTCCCACAATTATAAGTTTTGTAAAACAAGCCCACGATAAAATCGAGGTTAGGTTAATCAAGAAGTATAGTTATTATTAATGTTTTGGATTAATGAATCCATATGAGCTTGTATATATATGTATATCTGTCAAGAAATATAAATTTATTCATTTATTTTAACGTGAAAACCAATGAGAACACGGATGTTTGGAATAAACTTGTGCTTTGCTAAGTATTTCCGGCCCGTACAATAGGGAGCAGGAACAGATTTCATAAAACAAAAGAATGTATTAAGCAGGAGTTACATGTGGAAATGTGAAGTTGCAATGGAAGCAGCTCTTGATAAATTCCTGTGGAGCAGTACAAGTTATTCTTTACAAAACACTAACCGCTATGTAAGAAAGCAACAGATGGCGTGATAATGTACTGTACTTCAACTTTATTACTAAATAAGAACACGACCAATGGATGGGGAGTGGTCGTCTATGTGTCTTCTGTGAGTTAAAATTTCCCCCCTAGAATGCATTATCCATTCCGATAGTATATCTATAGCATGAGCTGGTTTTCAGTATTCCATTGAAATGACAACTGGTTCTATTAAGTTTCAAACTACGAACTTGTACATGTTGTCTTTAATAAGGGATGAATAAGAATAACTTTTTATTGGCGATTTTTTTATTTCTAATCATTTATTATGGTGCTTGGTGATTTGAATTAGTTGCAAAGTACTCATTGGGGGGTATATATTTCTTCCTGTTGTTTCAAGAATTGGTCAATTTTTTTTGCCAAATATTGCTCACAGTGCTTTATTAATGCAATGACTCTAATGTCCTAGAGCCCTTTTATAGGTTTACAGTTACATATACATTATTAATATCGGTAGAATATCATTTGGAGAATCGGAAATACATGAAGACCAAAATCAGGTATTCAAGCATATATGGGTTTAAACTGACCGTTTTGATGATCGATCCTGAGTTACGAACTGATCTCAGATGTTCATTATATTCTAAGTTTAGCTCTAGACTCCGTGAAAATAAATCTTAAATTTTGCATCTACGAACCTTGCATATGAAGTAAGTCTTTATTCATGATTTTTACAATACTTATTCCTTGTTTGTTTGTTTAGGTTTTGTATCCTTTATTTTTGTATTTTTTCTTTGTTTTTCATTTTTCATTTTTTTTTTTGATCATATTCTGACTTTACAAAACAGATAACAATCTCTGGGATTGCTTAAATTCAATTAGTTTATTCAAAAAGCAACTTCAAACTAACCTATACGAATTTTACACAAAATTGAAAGGGGGTAGAGAAAGATTATACTTTTTCACTTGAGAAGCAAAAAAGAGGGGGTTATTGATTCCCTTCTCTTATTTTATTTACTATTTTTAAATTTATTCCTTTGACTGATATTTTCTTAGATTCTCTCAGGTATTTTTCCCTTTTCTTTTTTCAACCTTTCATTTAAGCAGTATCTTGCCATCCTGCAATCACCACGCCCATTTTGATGTTCCTTACATCATCGGCATGACAACCGCACTTCAACTCTGTAGAAAGACTTACCAGTATCAAGCAATCATTCTTCTGAAAGATATTAATCTCATGCAAACATTGTGGAAAGTAAAACCTTTTAAAGAATGGACGTCGAAGAGTATCTGTTTCCTTGTTTCGCGAAGTAGAAATGGGAATGAGTTGAAAATATTTCACCACGCATATGAGCACCCTTTCATTCTGGTATACAATTCAAGAATGTTTTGTGATATTTCTAATAGTCCGTGATGTCCATTTCTTCAAATTGAAAATAACAAGAGGAAAAAGACGGAAAATAGAAATTATGACAATTTTAAACCTTGCATATATAATTCCTAATGGTCGAGTTAAGAAATAAGTAAAAAACCCTTGGTAGTTTATACACTATAATTTATACATCTGAGATCATCAGGACACATGTGTGGGATTGCCTTAATAATTACAGTGCACCAATTGATCCTCTAAATTGCATTAATAATGATCTAATGTATCTTATTAACAAGTAATCAAGTATACCCCCTTTTTTTAAACAGCAGATTTCCTGGTGATACTACATGTTTCATATCAAGTATTCATCAAAGAAATCGATTATTCACGCGCTGGTGAAGTGGTTTTAACTGGCAATTTTAAAAATTAAATGATTTTGTGTTCTTAATAGCGGGCATGCAACAAAGGGTAATTTTCTCCTCTTAATTTTTACAGTTCACTTTTTTTTTCTGTTCTTTAATTTTCTTTATTGTATTTTACTTTTGATTAGAAGATAGTTCAGATTTAGAAACAAGATAACGAATGGTTCAGTTCATATGTTAGAGCTCTACGATACTAACAGTTGACTTACTAGTACGTAAGCACATGTATATTATACTATTCGAGTCATTAGGGCACATAACTGGGCTGTTTTTCCGACAACATCAGAGTAAAATTTTCATGTGTACTCGGGTTTATATTGCATCACAGTATCGATATTTTTGCTTTATACTTTAGTGAATTTTTGTTGCACTTGGATTTTTTTTTTGATTAATTAGCTCCACAGGTGATCTACTATCAAACTTAAATGGCCAGTTCTAGAACGTATATTTATATCTTACAAATGCAGAATATGATCTTCTCATGCTCGACAGTAAATCAATAAATAGAATCCACTCTGAATGTGAATGCAATCCTCGATCGAAGTTTTAAATACAAATTGAAAGAGTAAAAGTTATCCAAATCAAAGAGAATACATACCATTCATGTGAGCTTTTGCGTCTTGGGTTTAGTCACAAATGTAGAAAAGAAAGGGTTTCTTTTTTTATTGAAGTCATCACAAAATTGAAATTCAAATTTAATCTTCATTTTACCGATATTTGATGCTAACGTTTCAAAAAGTCTTTTTAGGAAAAAAAAAATGTATTTAAGGAAATCAAATCACTGTATCATTGATGAACCTATTAAAAACGATGATTATCCAGCAAAAGTTTCATTTTGATTTCCCTCCTTTCCTAGTTATTTTTATTTCATTATATTAAGAAAAGGAATATCCTCCTGGCTTGTTTATTTATTATTATTCTTTTTTTTTCACAAAACTTTGCAAGGATTTGTTTGCATAAAAAACTGGTTTCAAATCTTTTCAATAATCTTTACAAATATCACATATCTATTAAATTGTAATGATATATTAGAGGAACGTCTGACTTGTTCTACTCACACTTCACATCCGGTACATCATATTATTACTCAAGAAAGTTTAGTCTCAAGTTGTTCACCTTCTTTCTAATTAGTATCAATTTCAACATCGTATCCAAAGTGCTATCAACAATTCTGTCTACCAAGAAACTATTTGGGATTTCTTTCAATAGAAAGCAAATGCAAAGACCACTTTATGAAGAAACCTGGGACCAAATAACTTATGACTATCATAATCTACAAAACTTGGCTGAAAATTCCGTATCCATTAGAAACTTTGCATTTAAGTGTCAAGAAATTGTCAATAATAAACTAACAATGGATAGAGAATACTATAAATCTGCTAAACGTTTCTTACTCATAACAAAGCTACTAAATATTCAACCGGAAATAAGAATCAAATTAATTCGAGAGTTGCTACGAATTCCTAATTTCAACCAATCATATCATGATCTACCCCAAGAAAAGCAGGTAAATTTATTGAATCGTGTTCGAGCTATTCTGGAAATGGCTGAATATAGTAACTTACATCTAAATTTAGGGTTTCTACTAGAGTTGTCAGGTTATATTTTTACGAAACGGTTCAAGTATAATGCACATATTTTGTATCAATTAATGAAACGAGAAAATGACAATAGAACTCGACGAATACAAAGTATGCAACTTGAAGAAGAAAGTGATTTCTCCTTCGAAGACACCGACGACGAGTTATAGAGTAAAAAAGTAAGATTTGAAAAATTTACTAATTGGCTGCTACTAGAAATTCAAAAAATAATACACAAAACATCGAACGCAGATCAACATTTTAATTTAGATGTACCTGTTTTAAATTTTAAAATTTAGCTACTTGTGATTGCAGGTGAGTTATGTCTCACAGTGTCGATCAATAATGTTATTTCAACTACTGTAAATTCTTGTATTGGTAATTCGAACTTATAGATAAAAAAAAGTGCATATAGTTTTCCAAAACCTTGAAATATATACTGTATTACTAATAATTTGTTGTTAAAGATTGAGATGTTGCAATAATATTGTTGAGACACATGAATATTTTCCATTTATAAATACTACAAAAAGGATCAATCTGTAATTACAAGGGTCTAAAATGATTTTTTCACAGTTAAAAAGTGGACTTTTTACACGACTGCTGCAATTCCGCTAAAAAAAAAGGAGGGGAAAAAAGGCAACATAAATTTGATTACGTAAAATCATCTGCGCATAATGAGCAACAGAAGTAGAAATGACATTATTATCTAAAGATGAATCAATAAATAACTGGCTGCAAAAAAAAATATCAGTTTCGAAAAAAACAGTCCACTTTTATGACTCTATGATCTGACGTACTTGTTTGGACTCCCGCGTTGGTAGCAAAAAATGTGGGGTAAAAGTTTAAATGAAAAGAGAAGGAAGAAAACAAAAGCACCAAAATTTATTAGATTATCTTGAAACTTAACGGTATTACAGGGTATAATAGGGGAGAGAATTAAAAAAGGATAAATATTCAACTGAAATCAGGCCACAATTTAGAAAAAGTTTTACCAGGGTCATTTCACTATCAATTATCATGCAATGTTTCGCTTGTGGGTTTTCAATGTGGCATCTGATATTTATCCAAATATCCAAACTTGTTCTGCATATGATCTGTTTGGGTAGAAATAGTTATCAATACCAGACAGATGTTGCTTTGTCAGCCAATTATAATCTACTTTATAAGAAACCTTGGTAGGCAAATCTAGCGGTATCGTTGAAATTGAAGATAGTGTAACAAGTGTCTAATTGTTTTGCTCACGTGTCTATACAATGTACCGAATAGCGCGAACAAAAAAAAAAGACTTTAGTCCTCGGTAAATTCGAGATCATTCATGTGAACTGAGTTACCTCGGTAACAAGAAAAAATATATGTGAGAACCAGAGGAAAAACGAAAGAAAAAAAACTCCATCATGGATTAATTTGTTCTACTTCTATTTAATCTATTTCCTACCCCCCGCCCACCTTTGATCTACTGTGCAGTAGGTTTCCGACAAGGTTTCTTATTCTACGGAGTTAGTATTGACCATTTTTTGCAACAGATTTTTCCATTCGGTATCTAACTATTTTTTCAACCACTGGAAGGCAAAAAAATCAAAACGGAAACTCCACACAATTTTTCTTTTATCGAAGTAGATAATTTTTTGCTCAAGCAATAGTAATCTCAAACATTCACACTTAACAGTACACATAACGACCTAGTTAACTACTACTGTTACAAGAGAGTTGAAAAATCATTCGATACGATGATTACGCACGGTTATTCTATGATTTGTGGAGTAAGACAGAAACTTTTGTCTGGGAATTACATAAAGAAGGTGCCCCCCCCCCCGCGATAACCTTACAATAACTTGTGAATTTTTGCACACAAAAATAAAGTAGGAGAAAAAAAATTTTTTTTCCTCACTCTGACAGAAATTAAGAACACTTGCCTCTTATTTTTATTTTTTCCCCCTCCTGTGACTTTTTTAAGAAAAAATAGTTATATAAAATCAAGTAATCCCCCAGATTTCATTTCCAAATTTTTCTAATTCTGATTTTTTTTTTTTGTTATATTTATTTATATTTTATTTTTATTATTATTATTGAATACTATACCATCAATCAATTGTATTCTTTGATATCCACATATTCATATTAACGACATAATGACTTTTACAAAGAAAAACGTGAGCGTATCACAAGGTCCAGACCCAAGAAACTCCATCCAAACTGAAAGAGCCAACTCCAAGTTTGATCCTCAAGTTATGAATTACTTCTTGGAAGGTTCCGTCGAAAGAAGTGAATTGATGAAGTCTTTGGCACAACAAATGGAAAGAGACCCAATCTTGTTCACCGATGGTTCCTACTATGATTTGACTAAAGAGCAACAAAGAGAATTGACTGCCGTTAAGATTAACAGAATCTCAAGATATAGAGAACAAGAATCCATTGATACTTTCAACAAAAGATTATCCTTGATTGGTGTTTTCGACCCACAAGTCGGTACCAGAGTTGGTGTCAATCTCGGTTTGTTCCTTTCTTGTATCAGAGGTAATGGTACTGCCGCTCAATTGAAATACTGGGCTGGTGACAAAGAAACCGCCAATATCAAGGGTCTCTATGGTTGTTTCGGTATGACCGAATTGGCCCATGGTTCCAACGTTGCTGGTTTGGAAACCACTGCTACCTTTGATAAAGAAACTGATGAATTTGTTATCAACACCCCACACATTGGTGCTACTAAATGGTGGATTGGTGGTGCTGCACACTCTGCCACTCATTGTTCTGTTTACGCTAGATTGATTGTTGATGGTGAAGACTATGGTGTTAAAACTTTTGTTGTCCCATTGAGAGATTCCAACCATGACCTCATGCCTGGTATTTCTGTTGGTGATATTGGTGCCAAGATGGGTAGGGATGGTATCGATAATGGTTGGATTCAATTCTCCAACGTCAGAATCCCAAGATTTTTCATGTTGCAAAAATTCTGTAAAGTTTCTGCCGACGGTGAAGTTATCTTGCCTCCATTGGAACAATTGTCCTACTCTGCTTTATTGGGCGGTAGAGTCATGATGGTTTTGGACTCTTACAGAATGTTGGCCAGAATGTCCACCATTGCATTGAGATATGCCATTGGTAGAAGACAATTCAAAGGAGATAATGTTGACCAAAAGGATCCAAACGCTTTGGAAACTCAATTGATTGACTATCCATTGCACCAAAAGAGATTGTTCCCATACTTGGCTGCCGCCTATGTTATCTCTGCTGGTGCTTACAAGATTGAACAAACCATCGACAGTACTTTAGCTCAATTGGACGAAGCTGTTGAAAAGAATGACGAAAAGGCTATCTTTAAATCCATCGATGACATGAAATCCTTGTTTGTTGATTCTGGTTCATTGAAATCTACTGCTACTTGGTTGGGTGCCGAAGCTATTGATCAATGTAGACAAGCATGTGGTGGTCACGGTTACTCCTCATACAATGGTTTTGGTAAAGCCTACAACGATTGGGTTGTTCAATGTACTTGGGAAGGTGACAACAATGTTTTGGCTATGAGTGTTGGTAAACCAATTGTTAGACAAGTCATCAGTATTGAAGATTCAGGTAAACCAGTTAGAGGTTCTACTTCCTTCTTGAACCAATTGAAAGAATACACTGGTTCTAATGCTTCTAAAGTTGTTTTGAATAATGTTGCCGATTTGGATGATGTCGAAAAGGTCATTAAGGCTATTGAAGTTGCCATTATTAGATTATCTCAAGAAGCTGCTTCTATTGTCAGAAAGGAATCCTTTGACTATGTTGGTGCTGAATTGGTTCAAATTTCTAAATTGAAAGCTCACCACTACTTGTTAACTGAATACACCAGAAGAATTAATGAATTTGATCAAAAAGACTTGGTCCCATACTTGCGTACACTTGCTAAATTATATGCTGCCACTATTGTCTTGGATAGATTTGCTGGTGTTTTCTTGACATTCAATGTTGCATCTCCTGCTGCTATTAGTTCATTGGCGTCTGTTCAAATTCCAAAATTATGTGCCGAAGTCAGACCAAACGTTGTTGCTTATACTGATTCCTTCCAACAATCTGATATGTTTGTTAACTCTGCTATTGGTAGATATGATGGTGACGTTTACGAAAACTACTTTGACTTGGTTAAAACATTAAATCCACCATCCAAGACCAAAGCTCCATACTCTGCTGCTTTGGAAGGTATGTTGAACAGACCATCCTTGGATGAAAGAGAAAGATTTGAAAAATCTGATGAAACTGCTGCTATTTTGTCCAAATAAGTGGTTATGAGATTCAATACATAAAGTTCAAAGGGAAGAAATAAAAAAAAAAAGATATATGAAATAGAATATAAGTGGATTCCGTTCTTTTGATAAGAATGGTCCTTGATTTGTTTAATTTTTATTGCAGGTAAGTGGTTTTTTTTTTTCTTATTATTTATAGTACATATTTCCTTATGTAAAGTTTTTAATGAAAGCAATCCATTATTTATATTTAATTGTGTAACAAAGACGGGTGTTGAAAAGTTGTTGATCTTTAGTAATGGTTACGTTATTCGCAGCAATATGTGCCGACATAACGTGACCCACAAACAACTCAAAAAAAAATCTCTTGGTCGGTCATTATTTCACCGGTAAAAGAAGCATATATAAAGATACCAGAGTCTAGCAATTCATTTGTATTTTCACTTTCTCTTTGTATATCTAGTATTCACTGTTTTTAGTATATTGCGATGTTTATAACACTTTTCAGAATTGGTAATTTGATATTGTTAGGGTCTGGATTAGCTCGATCTTTGGCTACAAAATTACCCCCACATATAGTTAAAGCCGGTCATTTACAATTCATTACCAATTGTTCATTATTAACCACGGTGATTTATTTGATTTCCACGTTTTTCCATATTTCTCCATGGTTTTATAATTTAGCATGCAATTTAGAATTCAATGTTATTGTAAGTTATTGGACAATGGCATTATTTTTTTCATCTATGGTTGCAGAAGCCGATGTTGATAGAGATTTGTTTTTAGATTTACAAGTACATGCTTTCCCTTATATTTATTTAATTATTGATAATCAACCAACAATTGATTTGAAAACTTCTTGGATTTCAACGTTAACTTTTGTATTCCTTTATTGGGTTTATATTGAATGGGAATGTGGTAAACATATTCATGATGGGGTAAGTGGATTTCCTTATCCATTCATGAAAGGATTGAACAGAATTCAAAGATTTGGATGTATTTCTGTATTTGCATCCATTGCTTGTTTCAATTATTTTGTTTTATCATTAAGAAATATGTTTTAGAATATATAGTGATGAAGTATTATATGAAATATATAAAAATTACTTTCTTTTTCTACAAGTACTAAATAAACCCGCAAAAATTTCACCCTAGTCGGCTTTAGAACACCACCACCACAAAAACAAAGTAGGAAAAAAAAAAGAGAGAGAAAAAAAAAACATGAAAACAAAAAAAAAGGGAAATATCTCCAGTTGCTTTCTCCGGTTATATTCAATTTACATTAATACGTCTTCTTCTTAAGGAGGTGTGATACTGCTACCAATGGCAAGACAGGGTTTGATTAGTATCCTATCATTAGTCATTTGTTGTTATGGTCTTTATCAATGTTTTCAACATGAACTTCCTCCACATTTAATTAAAGGTGGTCATTTTCAATTCCTTACAAATATTTCATTATCGCTAACTATTCTTTATATTTTACAATCTATTCTTACTCCAACTAGTCCTTATTTAAGAACTCAATATAATATTGTCTCAAATTTAGAATTCACAGTAACTGTATGTTATTGGACTTTACATTTCATTTTACCACATTTTTTAAATCCAAAATCTCAAGTTCATAGAGATTGGTCAATTGATTTAGCTATTCATTTTTGGCCATATTTATATCTATTAGTTTTTGATAGTCAAGATAGAATAAGAGCAAAAAAATCATGGTTACTTACGGCTGCTGTAATTGTGGTTTATTGGTGTTATATTGAAAGAATTGTGTCTGTTAATAATGATGGAATTACAGGATTTGCTTATCCATTTTTGAATAATAAAACTTTGACAGAGAGATTTGTATGGGTGCTTTTAATATGGTTTATCAGTTGTTTAAATTATTACATCATTGGTTTCAGAAATATGCTATAGTATGAGTAGAATACCCTTTCTGTGCGTGTGCGTGTACTACATGGCACTCGTCTAAGAAATGAATAAATGATCTTATGTATATATTCACATTCATAACAAGAAAAGTTAAACATTGTAGAGAAGTATCTATTTAGATAAAATATTAGCAGCCTCTTTACTTCTTTCGAATCTTTCTCTTTCTTCAATTGAAGAACGGGCCAACATGGCTTCCAAAGCTTCCGAGTATGGTGCTTTGTAGTTGAATGGACTGTTGACATCTTTAACTGATTCCAAATAGTTGGTGTAAATGTTACCATCATACTTACCAATTAATGAGTTGATAAAGTTATCTGGTTGCTGGAATGAATCAGTCAAACCAATGACATATGGTCGAACATTAGCACATAATTTTTGTGGGTATTCCAATGTGATGTACTTAGCAACTTGTGGGGAAATAACACCAAATCTCAAGAATTCATCAATGAATGGGCCTAAAATGTTTGTAACGTAATACAATTTGATAATGTTTTCTAAATGAGGTCTAGCTGGTGATTTAGCTTTTATTCTATCGTTCAATCTTTCACTAAAAGTTTCCAACAAATAGTAGTGACATCTCAATTTAGACAAGATGACTCTTTGTGGAGCAATAGAGTCCCAAGATTGATAAGAAACTGGAATCAAATCTTTGGACAATTTTGAAATCAAACCAGCAATAGCTTTCAAAACACGGTCAACATCATCTACGTGGTCCTTGATTCTAATAACAGCTTTCTTAGCTTTGGATAATTCTGGAGCATCATTAAGGAATTCCAAAGTTGAATCTTGCAATGGCTTACCGTTCAAAACTTGTTGAACAGTCTTAATAATAGTCTTACCAGCAGACATAGCCAAAACATTGTTGTCACCTTCCCAAGTACATTGAACAACCCAATCATCATAGGTCTTACCAAAACCATTATAAGCCGAGTAACCATGACCACCACAAGCTTGTCTTGTTTCGTTGATCAAATCAGCAGCTAACCAAGTCAACGTAGATTTCAATGAACCAGAATCAACAAACATGGATTTGGTACCAGTAATGGTATTCTTCAACAATAACTTGTCCTTCTTGGCCAATGCAATATCCAAGTTAGATAACAATTCTTCGTGTTGACGTTCCAATCTGTCAGTACCAACGGCTGCAGCGTAAGTCAAAGCCAAATATGGTAACAATCTTCTTTGGTGCAATGTGTAATCAATCAACTTTGTTTCTGGTTCACCTTCCTTCTTGGCAAATTGTCTTCTACCAACAGCGTATCTCAAGGCAATAGTGGTGTATCTAGCTCCAATTCTGTATGAATCAGTAGCCATACCAACTCTACCTTCCAAAAGTGAAATGTAGGACAATTGTTCTAATGGTGGCAAAGTAACATTACCTTGACGGTCAACTTTACACCATCTTTGCAACATAAAGAATCTTGGAATTCTAACTTCGGTAAATTGAATCCAACCATTGTCAACACCTTGTCTACCCATCTTTGCACCGATGTCACCAATAGCAACACCTGGTAATAAATTGTGTCCTGAATCTCTCAATGGGACAATAAATGTCTTGACACCATAATCGATGTCTTTGACAATTAATCTGGCATAACAGACAGTGTGGGTGGCAGAATGAGCTGCACCACCAATCCACCATTTAGTAGCTCCAATGTGTGGAGTATCAATGATGAATTCATCAGTTTCTTCATCAAAAGTGGCAGTTGTTTCACAACCAGCAACGTTGGAACCATGACCCAATTCAGTCATACCAAAACAACCATAAAGTTGTTTAACAATACCGGCTTCTTTTTTCTTAGACCAGAAGTCAAATTGTTTTTGAGTACCATTACCTCTGACACAATTTAAGAATAAACCAATGTTAACCAACATTCTAATACCTAAAGATGGATCAATGACAGTCATTAATTGTAATCTTCTTCTGAATTTTCCATATGGTTCAGTTTCCAAGTATTTAGACATTTGATTGATTCTATTGGCAACCATTTCTCTCTCTTGTTTCTGGGTGTTATCAAATTGTTCTGGTCTAGTTTGTAAGATTGGATCACGTTCAATAGATTGGTATAAACGTAAAATTTGCTCAGATTTTGCTTCATCTCCTTCCAAAAACTCGTGCATTTCCTTCAAATCCCAATCAGTACGGTTTCTTTCTTCAGCAACATCTTTGGCTGGTTGAGGAGGTTCTCTTGATGAAATAACATTAGCAACGACTTTTGGGTTAGTATCTGGGTCTTTCTTTTCTGGATGATCAAGACCATCACTCTTGGACTTAGTAAGCATAGCCATGGTTGTAAAAAATAATTCTATTGATAAATTAACGATGTATGGTTAATTGAACAAATATAAATAGGATCTTTCAAAATGGAATTGAAAAAAAAAAAAGATTAAAAAAAAGGCAAAAACCTGGAGATTTATAAATAATTCACAGAAACCTCCCCCCCACCTTGATTCTTTACTTTTGTGATTAAAGTTCGTGCATGCCAAAATTCAATTCTTCAGACGACTCCTTTTTTTTTCCTCTCCTTCCTCGCTCCCTTGGGGTTGCTTTTTCATCCCCACCTTTGAGGGTAATAAACTGAAATTTTTGACACGTAAAAGATAGACTAGTCGTTAGAATGATTAAAGATTACTCCCAAGATCTTCTCACTCGTCTTGATAATCTTGTGTAATACCAAATAGTAGTGCTTTTGGATATTTTACTTGAAGATTTCACAGCCAAATTACTGTTTACTTTCCCACAGGAAAATTTAGAGTATCGCATTTTTTTTTTGTGGGGTAAAATTCAGAAGACAAACTGACATCACAATAACCATGGAAAATCAAATCTGTGTACCCCAGAAAAGGACATTAGAAAAAACTACTGACTTTTAGGAAATATTGTCAGTTGTGAAATATGAATCCTTTAAAAATCATTCGATTTTTTTTCATTTTTCCTTTTTCAATTCTTTGGCACTGTATTTTATAAGATTATCTGTCAAAAAGGGTTGTTATTACAGGTTGACGAATCACAGGATGATTATAACTTGTGGATACACATAATACTGTCAAAAACAAATCGTATAGCAAATCATGTGTTCTTTTCTACATATATAAGTCATGCTTAAGAGTATGAAATGGGCAGTTTGCCGTTTTTTGAAACCTGGTTTAAGTAGTTAATTCACTTTACACATACATCATATTGCTGCAAAATCATAGCGGGTATCAATTATAGGAACAAAAGAACGGAGAGAAAAAAAAAAAATAAATACCGAGGTTCTATACATATAGTGACTGACTCTTTTTTTTCCTGTCTGCATCAATCTAAGATTTATCTATTTCACCACTTTTATCCAGATAGCACATTACGGGAAACGAGTAGGAATTGAAAAGTGCTTCGGAGTTGTTTCTAAGCTATGAAGATAGTTTATGCAACGGCCTGGAGTTTAATAATGTGGGGATCCCCACCAAGAAAAATCAATCTTATATAGTTCATTTACAAAACTTTGCTCCATTCAGTGTATTCCTAACTCTAATAGTCTCTCTAGTCCCTTTTCAAGTGTGGATATTTTGTTACTGAAGTTATTTCATACATAGAATTACACGCCTATTCTAAATCCTTCGTTATGTATTTCATGGTGTAATTATCTCAAAGTTTCACATTGTCAGAAATCACCTCTCGATAGCTCAGTTGGTAGAGCATTAGACTGTAATGGAATACAATTTGTTGCAATTCAACCAACCTTGCCATCTAATGGTCGGGTGTTCGACTCACCCTCGGGAGATTTCTTTTTTTTCAACTGCAAAAATATGTGTCTAGAGAAATAGCGCATTTTTTTTGTGCCGCATACCTTATTGGCTTGTTTTATTTTTATTTATAGAGAAGAAGCGATGTACAATCATATTCGGTATTCTACTCTAAATAAAGTATTTGATTCGTGTTGTAAGAAAAACAACTTTCATTCTGAAAATTCCTGTAGTCTAAAGTAACGAGGTTACCTCTCGTGAGCGTTTTGAGATGAATAAACCTATGGATCTTTATAGTAAACACTTTTACACAAGTTTCGCCGCTATCCCTATAAACGCATTTAGTTCGCAATTTTGTGAATTTTTAATATAGATAATGTTATCGTCGAGACGTGAGAATTGGTTGTTGTTGCTGATTGGGAGAGATAAACAGAAAAAATTTACATATATTCTATGATAAATCTGATACTTTTTCTTCTTTTTTTTGAACATCTGATTTTTTCATATTCAATCAAGTAACCATGACAGTTATCGATTTAAATACTGGGAAACCACATGAAAACCCGACCAAATTCAGTCGCAGCAATAGCAAAATCTCAACTAAGCAAAAGGATACAGGTATTCGAATTCAATGGATATATGAACCTGACAAGTTACTTCCAACAAAAGTTGAACCTGCTCCGATAGCTGTTAATAATGTACTCGACAGAGGTGAATATTACGAACGTCCAGAAGCTGTGATTGGTGTTCTTGTTCATTCTGGTGAAGAACCTGTTGCTGTTGCTGCATGGTATGGTAATGATCATAAAGGTGATTGGAATATTTACGGAGACCAACCTGAACAATCACAGCAGGTATATTTCTTAAGTGGTGCAAAGACCATATTCGTGGGACGATTCTAAGTCTCTTATAAAAAAAACAAATATAACCCATGCACAATATATATTTGAACATTGTCAATACAAATATTGTAGGACCTTACCACTACCACTCTATATATGGCTACACCTCGTTGGGTAGAATCCTTGTTGATCTACATCAAAGACATAGATATGCACTACTAATCAGTCTATCTTGTGCTCAAACTCTACATAGGTTTATATTTTATAACTTTTGTCATACGTAATTTTACTCTTACTATTCTGATCAACCTTCTTAGAGTTGGTTGAGATCAAAGCTTTGAAAACGGCTGTGCCAAAGTGCATCATTATTTGTGAGATATCCACGCATTTGTTAAAAATATGCTACCTTGTTGATATCTCTATATTCTTTAGTCTTTGAATGATCCAAAAGAAAAATGTTCCGATTCTCTCATAGACAATGTTCATGGTTGGTTTGCAAAGACTAAGATTATGTAATAATAAGTTTAAGTTTAAACTATGGTGATTTCCAATACATTAGTAATGTCGTTGATAAAGATCACATCCCCAATTATTATTACGGGCTTAGCTACAACACTAACCGTTTGGTTTGGTCTATGGTGATACGCCTTGTCCCCTTCCTACATCTCAAAGATTAATATGAGCGCAATACTTAAGTACAAAATCCTAACTTCGGAATTAATTGAACTGACAAAAAAAAGATACAATATTATCGTAAAAGTTGAATTTCCACACCGGAAAAATTACGTCGATGATCTTGAAGCCGTCGACGAAAACAAAATAACAAGAGTGTGGGCGAGGAAAAAGGACTGACCAGGGAGTAAAAAAAAAATGCTGGTGCTGGAGAGAACTAAAAGAAAAAAAAAAATAACCCCCGAGTCATCACACTTTTTTTTTTCTTATTAATCCCGATTAATCCTTGATCAATTGTTATAAATACTCAATTGAATTCCTGAATTTGAATATTTTCTTGTAATTCTCCTCCAATCCTTGTTTCATTTGTTAGTCTATTTTATTTAATTGATTTCGTTTATTTACAGCCGTTAATCTTACATATTCCACATCAAAGAAATTTACCATGAGTGCCGATAAAGTTATTGAAGTTCTTCTTGCCATTTTCATTCCACCAGTTGCTGTTTTCATGAAATGTGGTGCTACTACACCATTATGGATCAACTTGGTCTTGTGTCTTTTCATTTATTTCCCAGCTATTTTACATGCTTTGTATATTGTCTTGAAAGATTAGATGAAAAAGCGGGAAGTTTGAACCCTTGTGCATTTGTGGGTCAAGTGTGTACCCACTAATTACATTTTTTTTTATTCAATGAGACTATGAATGGTTGGAACCAAAAGGTATTATTACAACTCATTGAATATTTTATGATTAAAGAAAAACATGGTCTCGTTAACTAATACATTTAATTGATTTCATATGTGTTTATTTCAGTTTCTTTCTCCTTTTTTTATTTTTGTATAAGTAATATATTATTCTAGCTCACGGCCAATTTGGTTGTTGACATTTTCCAAGATTTTTCTTTTTTTTTCCGCACATATTGTTGGCGGCGTTTAGATATCTTAAGTTTGTTCTTAATCTTTATCAACATACTTTTAAGCAACTCGAACCCTAATTATACATGGATAAGTTACATAAGAGACATGACCGACACCAATATGATGCAATAACTAAGCAATGCTATCTAACGGCTATAACAGTTAGATCTCATAGCTGCAAAAAAGAAAAATTAAGAATCAAAGCAAAAGTCAAAATACAGATGAGATTTGATGGCCTCAGATCTCTGACAAGAAATTTTACAGAACTCTCAATAAGCTGTTTCAGTTGTTGTTTAGTTGAGTTGCTATGGATTATGCATATTCTCATGCATAGTAATTTCATTGGTTTGGCCAATCATATTTCAGAATTTAAATTGATCAGGATGTTTCCTGCATATATTTGCCAATTTTTTTTTCCATTGTTTCTCACTTTCTTCCACAAAGTCCAGCCTGGTCTTGAGAAATCTTAGATTGCAAAAAAAAAATAAAAAATAAGACCATCACGATTGATTGAATAATATACTCGAGCTAAATAAGACATACTTTGAGTAGCTGAGAGTAGTAAAATGGAAAGAGAAGGGAAAATATATAAAGAATAAGAAAATATAATGTTGAATGCGCAGTTATCTAAACTGCTTCGGCTAGAGTGATCGTTGTTTATCAGGGTTTTCTGAAAGTTTTTTTTTTTACTTGTTGATTCGTAAGTGCTTTGTCATTTCGCCTTCCAATTAATTTGTAGTCAACTTAAGAAACAATGCATTATTCATATTCTTTATAAAAACAGAATAAAGGTGCAGACGATAATAAATTATCAAAGCAAAGATTTTCATTCTTTCTCACCTTAGATTGAAGAGAAAACTGAATCTTTGATAATGTCCTGTATGAACATTTTTCCCCTTATCTATGTTTTCAATTTCTAAAATTATTACACAAACAAAAGAAACAAAAAGAAAAAAAAATTACACTAATATTTTAAGGATCTTCTTCTTCCCTATTGCACTGTATGTGAGTATTTATATAAGAACATGTAAATTCTCTCTCTCCCTTGTTTTGCTTATCTATAAAAAAAAATCAACACATCCACCACCTGTTATTTATATCATCCTAACTTGCCCCTTTATTTTTAACATTCATTTTTTTTATTTTCTTTTTATTTTATTTTATTTTATTTTGTTTTGGCTGGTTTTTTTTCTTTTTCTTCATCTTAACTACCTAAGAAACAACTGCATTACTTGTCGGATAGTCGTACTACTATTTAAATCCCAAATTCTCCGGATCAGTTTATTATTACTGTTATTGTTGTGTTTTTTTCCCTCGTCATTTAATACTATCTTTCTGTTCCCTTTTCTTTTTCAGGTATTAGCAAGCGTTATATGTCTGATACTAAAGTTCTAACACCAATACCTTCTCAAAGAGAAATGAATGGTCCTCATTTGCAAGAACAACAACAGCAACAGCAGCAACAGCAGCAACAACAGACGGCTCAGCGACTGCTGAGACCTAGAAAATCTGTCACTGCACTCACACCATCCGCATTGTTACAAAACGACGAATATCACAGCAATTTGTCATCTAATGAACAACCAAGAGTTGTTTCAACTGCAGCAACAACCCCTATCTCAACCAACGTCTCCCCAAGTAAAGAAAATCCAGAGGACTTTTCTGCTTTCTCATTTACCAAGAAAGCAATAAGTAAAACAAGTTCATTTGCATCCGATTTAACTACAAGTATCCACAAGTGCGAGAAGTCAAGTTGTAGAAGCAGCACGACTTCTAGTAATACTACACAATCAGAGCCAGAGCCAGAGATTGTTAATTTTGACTACAATGAACAAATTAGATTTCCTAGATTGAACAATCATTATACATACAATAAGAACAAGACCTCATTCAGTTCAGATGAAGACAAATCAGTGATTCAAGACCTAAATCTAACGGCTGTGTCGACTCTTCAGGAAGAAGTACATGAGCAACAAGGATCAGAGGAATATCAACCTGCATTATTTGATTTGAATCAACCATGTCGAAGGTATTCTGTTCCAACTCAACTAAATGGTTCACCAGATGAACAGTTGTTACAGGAGTATACAGAGAATAATAAAATCTACCAAAAACAAATCGAGAAAGACTCTGAATTACAATCAGAAATGCAAACCATTAATGATTCTCAAATTCGACCAAGGATAAAAAACAGAACTAGTTTCCCAAAGTTGAAAGATATTGATTCCCACAAAAAGCTAAAACAGTTGTATCAATTTAAGAAGCCACTCCTAACTCCAGCTGTTTTAAGACCAACGGCAACTAATGAAGAAGAAGAAACCCCTGAACCACCCATGTTGCCATCAACTTCATTGTATACAATTACCAAACCAAGAAAAGAAGATCTGCTTCCTGCTTGTAACATTGAACCCGTTAGGTCTCATTGGAAACCAGATAATATTACTTCTAATTGCATGTGGTGTTTCAAGCCATTTCATAATGCACTTGTGTCCATAATATGTGATGGTCCAAAAAGACATCATTGTCGTTTTTGTGGGTTGATTTATTGTTCTGATTGTTTAACTCAAGATAAGGTGTTAATTGATGAAGGGGCTAGATTAATAATCCCAATCACATCAAAGAATCCTCTGATACCGAACTATAAAGACTTTAAGATCTGTAAAAAATGTGGAATCACTTACAATAACTTGTCCAAAGAATTGAATAATGTTCCTACAATTTCTTCCTTTGTCATGATTGAAAACCCATATCTCAGACACGATCCAAACGAGCAGTATAAATTTAATTTTGATAGGTTGCTGGCAGCTCAAAAAAGCAATTCAGACAAAAGAGCTAGTGTTGCAGACGTGCCTAATGATTGGGTATGGAGCTCCTTTTAATATTGTACTATTGTTACTCAACTTGCTTGATTTTTTGATTCTTGTCTATTTTCCATTATTTCATTTCTCTTATATGCATTTGTGTTTACTCATTTTCAAATAATAGACGTTGCTTTATATATATATGTATATATTCTGGTTTCTTTAATTTACCTTAACTTTTTGAATTAAACACATAATCCGGGAATAACGCCTCCCAATCTTCGTTGAATAAATCTGCAGTCATCAACACCGGAGGACCACCAAGGAAATCAATGTTGTCGTCAAACATCATGTTTTGTTGTTGTTGTGTATCAGACGTGGATCCAACACTCGACAACGGTGTAGGTGCATCAATTGTCTTGTTGTTGCTATTGTTGTTGTTGTTGCTGCTGCTGATGTTGTCATTATTGTTGTTTTCTTGTCTCTCATCTTTCACTGACACCTGTTGGATCTTTTCCTTGACCAAATTGTACGATCTTTCTGCAAGTTTCCATGTCTTGGAACACCCATGTAAAACCCCCATAAAAAAATGCAACCGGTCTCTTTGCTCGCTCACCAACTGAATCCTTGAGTTCGTCAACAACAAAATGGAGATCGACAATATCGACGAGTACACAATGAATATAGAACACACTCTGTATCCATGCTCCCGCTGGAATCGGTTGATGGACTCATACAAATCGTCAATCGCTTCGAGACAAACCGACAACGGCGACAACTCATCTTCACCGGTCCCCTTGTTGTCGTTCTCAATACCAACAAACGGACGGTTGAGACAAAGCAATAGTATATAGTAGTAGTATCTGATACCAGAATACGTCGGGTTCTCTCCCGTCTTGCTCAAGCTCTCGCGGTCCCATTGCAAATCCTTGGGAAGACTCTTCTTCCACGAAACAATCTGTCGGTTGTACTGGAATAGCTTCTCCCATCTTGAGTTCAAGTTCAAATCCGTATCGTCGTTGCCCTGGTGGTCACCGCCAAGGTCGTCTGACTTGGTGAATATGTCGTTCAACATGTTGTCGGAAATATTGATCAAGTTGATGATCTGATTGAGTGGGTCCGAAATGTAGCTCGTCACGGCAGTCGTCTGGTGTCTCCCCTTTAGTTTGAGATACCCTGCGTATGTATAATCATCGATCCAGCTGAGATCTGGCAAGTCGCTGGTTTCTGGGATCGACGCATCCGATAATTTCAAGATCGATGGACGTCCAAGCAACAAACTTATAAAATGGTCTGCCATATAACACCCCCAGTACACTCTCGATCTGATCGCAACATCGCCAACGTCCCCCTTGGATTTGACAAACCAGAGTTCTGGGTTCAACTGGAACCCAAGATCAAACCCCATTCTGATCGCACTCCCGGAAAGCATCCAGCCACTCGAGTTGTGGCCATTGCAAATATCATAGAATGCCAACAACATGTAACTTTGCAACGACGTGATTGACGGCTTGCTCAATGTTGCGAGCAAAAGATTCTTCAGCTGCTGGTAAAACTCCTTGGACTTGTTGTAGATCCTCCTGTCATCAGACATTCGTGCTCCCAAGGCACAGATGCTAAGCACAAGTATCTTTGAACAATACAAGCTGTTGCTCTTTGGAGCAAAGAAATCAATGAGGAACGCTTCTCGAAAAATAAACATGTTGTGGTCCGGATACTGCCAGGTGAAGAACAAGTGCAAGCATCGGAGTATGTCTGGGTCCTGGCTCATCTGCACGATAATGTCCACACTGTTGTCCCTGTGTTTACTCAGAGACCCGGCATTGTTGTGCAAGATAGCGTCATCGTAGATTGATGTGGGTCCATAGATCGCACTGGAGTGTGGCGCCCCAGCGTCATCTTCATTGGTGTAAGTTGTTGATCCCGCTGTTGGTGCACCTCCACTTTGTTGTTGTTGTTGCTGTTGTGATGGTGGCGGTGGCACCTGAAGGGTCGACGTTGCTTCATCTGCTTCTTTTAAAAATTGGTCTAGGTTAAGTTCAGCAACTAGTTTGTTCTTCTCCTCCATACTGTTGCAACTCTTTAATGTATTAATGAAACCAACCAAAGAACTTACTCTGGTCTCCAATTTCATAACATGACTCGCCTTCGGACGTCTGCTTCTCATATCCACAGGCTGCACACACTCGACCCCGTCCTTGACACAATTGGCACATGGGACTTCGTAGCTGCACTTGACTTTACGTAATCGACATCTTTGGCACGATAATTGTTTTCTTGGACGTGAAATGCCCACATCTGAGCGTCTTTTCTTTGTTTCACTGGTGGACATTCTGTTGCCATAAAAATAAGTGTGGAGTGTAGAAAGTGGTTCTTGTTGTTGTTGTTGTTGTTGTTGTTGACTAAGATGTGATGTCATGGAGATTTGTTTTTCTTTTCTCGTGCGCTGGAACTTTTTTCCCGAACATCTTGAGCAGTCATCAATTAGTCAACCACCGCACGTTAGGTTTGCATGCAATGCAACAGCTCTGAACGTCCATCTCGGTCATCTCTATCTGAATGGATTCAGCCATGTCGTTATTAGAGGATTACCGTTCTTGCTGCAAAAGAAAACGAAACTTCATCTTGCGATGAGCTGGGCTACAGAAGTGCACAAAACGAGGCGAAGAAGAAGAAGAAGAAAAAAAAATATGGCAAAATCAGAAAAAAAGAAGCTGAGCCAGAGCAAAACAACACAACACAACACAACACAACACAAACACTGGTGCTGCCCATCAACTGACTCCATCCAGAGGTTGAAAAAAAAAGTCAAAAAATTGATTCCGCCCAGGATCGAACTGGGGACGTTATGCGTGTTAAGCATATGCCATAACCAACTAGACCACGCAACCAATTTGATGTCTGCCAAAAGCACCCTTCTTTGGCGAGTCGTGAATCCTGCAATGAGCTTAATTTCCAGGTAATCGTTCTACCAGTTACACACGTATATGATGATGTCTTGTGTGAGTAATGTCTCCATTCAGCTATTGGAAACCATGCTAATCACCAATCGTTTCTCTTTTCTTTTATTTTCTTTTCTTTTATTCCACAACGTTCTAACCACTCCAGAACTAATCCAGCACCGAAGCACAACACAGGTACTACAGCCTCCGCCACCACTACCACTAGTTATACGCTTGAACTTGCTGCTATAACAGCAGCAGTTAACCAGAGTGGTTATATTGCCATTAAGAAGCATTCACTGTAGGTAGTACATGTGTTCTCCCATTCAACTCTCCTGGGTACACCACTGTGCTTTATAGCACTGTCCACACTTGACAGCGTGCACAACAACTACAGACATGACCATTAGGACAGATATAGTCATGATATTAATAGTTTGTTTATTCAAAATATCCTCAAGTGAGTAGGTTGTTCAATCTCAATTCGGAAAACTAGTCTCTTTTTCTTTACTTCTTTTTGCTTTATGACCGTAACGTAGTGCAACGAGAAACTAACATGGATTGACAATATACATGCAAAACAAAAAAAAATGAGTGTACGGAAACTACTAATGGACAATTGTCTGGTCTGGCATTCCGGCTGGTTGCCTTGAAGGTGCAAAAATAAACTGCAAAAAGAAAAAAACAAATGATTCCGCCCAGGATCGAACTGGGGACGTTATGCGTGTTAAGCATATGCCATAACCAACTAGACCACGGAACCGATCTGTTGTCCGTTGGAGACCCCTGCTTTGTCAGCTCTCTAACTGTGTGCTAATAAGAGACGAGGAAAAAACAAAAAAGAAGAGGTCCTATCCGGATTCGAACCGAAGTTGCAAGGATCAAAACCTTGTGTACTAACCAACTATACTATAGGACCTGTTGCTTGATGTCTCGGGCACCACCCATTTCCACACCGTATCGGTCCTGGTAGAAAACCTATAGACAAGTTGTATTTATATCCTGTGTTTTGGTACGAATCTTGTCCGCTTCTCCAGTATCTTGTCTCTGGGCACTTCTACAATGCTTTGTGCAGCTACTGAGGCATTTTCTGGGAAGATTGTCAGCATACTGGTTTTCGTCGTAACATTGACAAAAATCTCCACGAAAACCTTACTCTACAGCAAATATCTCTAGTTCATTTTGTATTTCACTACCATAACAACAACTACTATTACAACCACTACTACGTTTCGGCGTCCTGCTCACTCCAAATAGAGTCGTCAACAAAATACAACCAACAGAACCCGTTCCAGCTACCGATAATACCGACACCACAGTACACACTGTAGACCATCAAGTTCAAAAACTCAAAGTTTTGCAAAATCACATACTTGGACTTGAACATGTCAATGACTGTTGTCACAACGACAACCAGAATAAACAACAAGACGTACCAGTCCGCCATGCGTCCCAACACATACCTGCTGGTTTCAACTGTCTTTGGCAACCTCGTCACCTTACGGAATACAAAGTAGAAGATAAAGTACCATGTGAATGAGTACGCTACTTTCACCAACCATTCGTTACTCGTGAATATCAACGGGAACAATGATCCATATCCACAGCACACCAACAAATTGAATGGCGTTAACAATCGTCTATCACGCCCAGCTATTAATGTCATTGGAAAAATAACTAATAAAATTGCCTTTTCATGAACATGCCATCCAAATAAGAATGATGCATAACCACACAATGTGAGTGCTCCTACGAACCTTCTGTAAGTTGGTTGAATGAATAATGGTATTAGAGCCATGATCTGATAGAATAAAGTTAATAAAAATGTAAGGTTTGGAGTGATTGTAGGAAGTATAAAGAACTCAATATCACCAACTATTCCTCTTGTAGAAGTACGTAATAATTCATCATTGGCTAACAAACTTGCATCAAACTTAAAGACTTTTTGCAAAGGATATTTTGTCATAGGAATTTTTTTATAAACTTGAATTAACATTCTATCAATAAATGAATAAATCGCCCATACATTAGGTGCCCAATATGCATGGGTCAAGCCACGACTGAATGGGAATAATCTGGAAATTAACTGTGGGAGAACATTGTAGAAAGGTGCAAATGCAATTAAGAACACTATAATGACAATGCTACCTAACTTAAAAAGATTTGTCCATTGAACAAAATTAAAAATGTTGACTATGAAGTTCTTCTTTTTATTCCAATTGAACTTCAAACAATAAGCTCTTAGAAGAAAGACAAAAACTGCAGGTGCCAAGTATAAATAAATGTGCTTGAAACACAACAACACTGCAAACCAGAATCCACATAATAAATATCTCTCTAATCTAGCACTATTGATGCATAGCAATAAAATACCATACATCATACCATTGTATTGAAAGTGTATATGATCAATGAGGATTAACCCTGGTGACAATGCTAGTGAAGCAGTTGCAACATACATTCTTCTTCGGATGGCATATGTAGGGGATGAATCAATCATCCATTGCAAAGCATAAAACAATACCAATTCACTAAGAATAACCGTAATTCTTTGAAAATAAATAGTAGGCATGCCGTAGATACCCTTTTCTACAATATCTAAACATCCATCATCTCTAACAAATTGTGGAACAAATAACGACAAAATATATTCAAAGTATGCAAAAAAAGGAGGATAATCTAAAGTCCATTGAGATGTGTTTTCAATATACCATTGGGAGATTGGGAGATTGTTAGTTATTGCTAACCAATTTCTGTGAACATCGAAATCAGTGGAATGATAGCCCTCGAAAAGTAAAACTTTTAGTGCCAATGAAACTATCCAAATGTTTAGAAGTGAGTATTTCTTTACATTGTGGTTCTCTGGTTGGATTGACACATTTACTGCAGTATTACCCAGTTTCTTTTTCCCCATTTGTATTTACGCCTATTGTTGTTGGTTACGTGTGTGTTGATTTTTCAACCAATTTTTTTTTTCTTTCACGTTGTTTGTTAATTTTTCAGTACTGTCAATATCAGAACAGTAAATTAAATAAAACTATTCAAAAACTGATATGTTCTTCTTTAAAAAAAAAACCAAAAGACAATTTCTATATATACATATAAGACAACGTAAGATATATTTAATTATAATTTTACATCCGTAAAAACAGAACTATTCGTATCGTATTAACTAATATCAAAAGTTGGAATGTCAATTTCTTGGAGGTAACTCTTTCAACAAGAACAGCCTAGCTAGCTCAATCGGCTTAGAGCGTGAGACTTTTAATCTCAAGGTTGCGGGTTCGAGTCCCGCGTTGGGCTTTTCTTTTTTGCTAGCAATGCTGAGTGGAGATGTAATTCTTCAATTAATCAGTTACTTCTATATTGCTATTCTTTTTTTGATTTAAACTCAAGTAAATAGTTACATCATTAAACTATGCAATATTATGTATGGTGATTAAGATTTACCACGGCTAGTCGTGTGTAGCTGTTTAAGTTTGTTTTGCTTGTTACGATGTTTTTTTTCTTTTTTTTTTTTTTTTTTTTTTTTTGAAACAACTCTTGATATCCAACACACGAAAGAAGCAGGAGAAAAAAAAAATTTCAAATCGATTCACTTGTACAATAATTCATCAATCAATCAACATCATAGATGTCAGACGATAAAAACAAGAGAGACGCGTTGGATGCTGCTGATTTGTTAGCCAGTCTTGATTTGGACAAAGGAGCAAGCAAAAAGGAGGAACTTACTAAGGCTTCTGAAGAAAAACCAGCTGCCAACCCTTCATCAAATTCTGACGAAAAGAAAGAACAACCAAAAGAGGAACCAAAAGAAGCTACTAAAGATGAAGCTAATGACAACAAACCAAAGGAACATACTGAATCCAATTTGATTAAATCTACCTACGAAGTCAAAGTTAAATTGGCTGATTTACAAGCTGATCCAAATTCTCCATTATACTCCGTCAAGTCATTTGAAGAATTAGGGTTATCACCAGAATTACTAAAAGGTTTATATGCCATGAAGTTTAATAAACCATCCAAAATTCAAGAAAAAGCTTTACCATTGTTGCTTTCAAACCCTCCAAAGAATATGATTGGTCAATCCCAATCAGGTACTGGTAAAACAGCCGCGTTTTCATTAACCATGTTATCCAGAGTCGATGAATCAATAAAATCACCTCAATGTTTATGTTTAGCTCCAACTAGAGAATTAGCAAGACAAACTTTGGAGGTCATAACTACCATGGGTAAGTTCACAAACATTACTACCCAGTTGGTTGTTCCAGATTCTATTGCCAGGGGTGCAAGTGTTACTTCACAAATTTTAGTCGGTACACCAGGTGTTGTCAATGATTTGATGAGAAGAAAACAAATTAATCCTAGCAAGATGAAAGTATTTGTTTTGGATGAAGCTGATAATATGTTAGATGCTCAAGGGTTGGGTGACCAGTGTGTTAGAGTCAAAAAATTGTTGCCAAAATCAACTCAGTTGGTTTTGTTTTCTGCCACCTTCCCAACAGAGGTTCGTAACTATGCTGAGAGAGTGGTTCCAAATGCTAATTCTTTGGAATTAAAACAAGAAGAATTGAATGTTGATGGTATTAAACAATTGTACATGGATTGTGATTCTGAAAAACATAAATTCGAAGTCTTGTGTGAATTGTATGGTTTATTGACTATTGGTTCTTCTATTATTTTCGTTGAAAAGAAGGAAACTGCGAATCAATTGTATGCCAAGATGAAGCAAGAAGGACATACTTGTTCTATTTTACATGGTGGCTTGGAAACTGCTGATAGAGATAGATTGATCGATGATTTCCGTGAAGGTAGATCTAAGGTCTTGATCACTACTAATGTTTTAGCTAGAGGTATTGATATTGCTTCTGTTTCCATGGTTGTCAATTACGATTTGCCAACTGACAAATTCGGTAAACCAGACCCATCAACTTATTTGCACAGAATTGGTAGAACTGGTAGATTTGGTAGAGTTGGTGTATCTATCTCATTTGTCCATGATAAAAGATCATTTGAGATTTTGATGGCTATTAAGAATTATTTTGGTAATGTTGAAATGACAAGAGTTCCAACTAATGATTGGGATGAAGTTGAAAAAATTGTCAAGAAAGTAATTAAGAATTAAAGAGTGTACAGTAATTTACGATGAACAGTTCTATAGATTTACAAAGTGCAAACAAATAAAAATTTAAATATATATTATATACAGAGTGACAAACGAATGTCAGTTGATCCAATTTATTTACACAGTGATAACTTGTTTGGATCTTTCTGGTAATCTTCTAGATACAACATCCCAATCGATACATTCCCATACGTTTTCCAAGTATTTTTGTTTACCATAGACACCGTAATCAAGCAAGTAGTTTCTTGGTGAAACATCAATAGCTAATGCAGGAACCAATCTCTTATTGTGGAAAGCGGTTTCCAATTCAGCTTGTTCAGTAGAGCCCAATTCTAATTCAGAGTTTGCGTTAGATTCTTTCTCTTGTTCTTGTTCTTGTTGGTTCTTTTCTAAAAGAGTCTTCATTCTATTAACTTGACCAGATCTTTCGGCATCGTCAATCATACCACCATTATAAGTGTTAACAACAGCCAAATTGTGAAACATTGGAGAAGAAAAGTTGCTCTTGTTCAAATAGTTTTCACTCATCGTACTTTCAGCAACTAACCAAACGGTACCGTCACCTTTGATACCCTTTGCGGAATTGATGAGCAAATTTCTCAATTCTTGTACCGAACCGAATGAGTGGTTTATCCAGTCAACTAAAGATACATCCATTGGTTTATTTGTAAACTCATCTGATGGTGTAGCTAACAAAGCTTCTTTAGTTGGTGGGACTATATTTGCAGGTGGTGTATCCAATTGTCTAATATTTTCAAAAAAGAATGTCAAATTGTACAAGTTAGAAGCGTTCTTGTGAATGTGAAATAATTCTGGTCTGTTCATTGATAATGAAATAATTTCATTCAAAGTATATTCTTTATCACTGATGGTATTTGTTTGAGCCAAATATTGGTTCAAATTTTGAACTAATTGTTGTCCTCTGTCAAACCATAATTGATCCACTGCTTTATGAGAAAACAATCCTTCAAAATTGGCATTTGTGGCCTTGAGAACTTCCAAAGTTTTGTGAACTGGTAATGAAAATGATGTAGATATACTACGTCTAAATACAAGTGATCTTCCAAGCATATTGTAGTAAAAGGATTGTATACTATGGTAGTTGAAAAATTTCAATCGATCAAATGAGAGAAAAATTTTCTTTTCCATAATGAACTTTTTCCTTTTTTTTTGGGCTCTCACTCGTTGAACTAAAAAGATTTGTTTCCAATTAACACTCTCAAAACTCATACATAAACCAAAAAAAAGTGTATACAATACTAATAACAAATACAAGCTACAAAATATACATAAAAAAATATAGAATACTAATAATAAAATAAAATAAAATAAAGTAAAATACTGTCTAGGTATTAATAGCGAAAAGAAAATTAATCAAATTTATCATCTTCTTACTTTCAAACTTTTAACCCTCCTTATAAAGGAACTAGTAGCAGGTGGTTTTAAGTCATCATCTTCATCTAAATCCAATGTGTTCAAAGAGCCCCTTCTTGGTGGATCTGGGGAAGCAACGCGCAATGCATCACTCGAACTTCTTCTGGAATTAGAATCGGAGTTATTTCTTAATCTTTGTACCAAACTCTTCTTTCTTCCCTAAACCATTATTAGTGGAGTTGGCACTTACACTGTTTTCTAAAGCTTTAGGTGCTGGTGCACCATCAACAAAAGTAGTGGTACCAAGACCAGCTGTTGTAGGACCATGAACTGTTGGACCTTTGGTATTTGAATCAAAGTTCATCACTGTTTGTTTTGAAGCAGCGTCATTTTCAGTATCGTAATTTCCAAAAACCATGTTAAAGTGGTCGACACCAGCCGCAGCACCCGAGATAGAATTATTAGGCCCGTTAATTGGGAAGGCATTGACAGGTGATTTGGATTCATTGATATTACGGAATCTGGTACAAGCATCAAATGGACCGTCATGGTGCATTCCAACAAACCCTGTAACGTCCAATTTATCGATTGTGTCCATGTTTTTTGGTTTCACTACTTCTTTTGGCTGAGATTTCTTCTTGGATGAACTGGAGCTTTTATGATGAGACCTGTGTGATCTGTGTTCTCTTTCTCTATCTCTATCTCTTGGTCGTTCACTTCCATCCTTTGGACGGTCTCTACTTCTGTGCTCATCTCTTGGTCTGTCTCTATGTCTGTGTTCGTCTCTAGGTCTCTCCCTGCTTCTTTGCTCACTAGTGGATCTTGATTCTTTCTCTTTTGGATAGCTATTTGAGTTTTCTGAAGGGGTGTATGGTGGTGGTGGGGCATTAAATTCTTTTGGTGGACGTGGCGGTGGTGCTTGTTTCTGACGGCGAGGGGTAGAATCTGATTGTTGTGTCAGATTTTTTCGTTGTGGTGAGCTTTCCATTGCAGAAGCAAATGGATTTTTGCTGGTTTTGTTAGTAAAATTCGACATTTTCGTTGATGGTATATTGAAATGATAGAAACTGGTTGGCAAAAGAAGAAGTAAATGAAATTGTGTTGGGAATAATCTCCCAGTTTTTTTTTTTTTTATCATTCAGGGGAAAAATGGTTTCAACGCCAAAATTAAAATTGCCAAACGACAAAAGAAAAAAAAAGAACATAAAGCAACCTCGATGTTCCGTTATTTCAGGTGAATGGGGGCTATGGAATTTCACAACCAGATTCTTCTTTCAATATATTAACATCTGGATGTGATTTATCAAATGATTACTAATACATACCTAGAATAATTCACGCTGGAATCGCTATCTGCTCTGACAATTCTTGGTGGGATGCTTGGATTAGGGAAGTAATCAGTACTTGCATTGCTTCCCCCTCCCTCATAGAACCCTATAATTTCAGAGTTTGGGCTAAGTTCCAGATTAGGACTGACAGTATTTGAGTGGCTCTGATTTTGAAAATGAGTTCTGAACGGGTTGTTTGATCTTGCTGGCGCCTGAAATGATTGGTACAGCGATTGGTTGTACTGCTGTTGTTGATAGCTCATTCTAACTGTACGATGCTATTGATTGTAAGATGGCTGAAGTGATTGTGGGATATCAAAACAAATAAAAAGAAGAAGTTCAGAAATTTTGGCGTCTTGGAGAGACGAAATTTTTTTTTTTTTTTTTAATTAATTTTCTGCTTTTTTTTCTTTCCTCACACTCTGTTGATTCTTCTTTTTTCGGCTTATTTTTTTTATATTTTTTTTGTTGATTTTTTTTTCACACTGTACACGTATTTTTTTTCTCTCTTTCATACAATTTAATAAATCACTTGCAAAGTATCGTTTCATATTAGGAACATGTAATGAGGATGTGCAATGCGCAATTTCGCCAAAAGGGAAATGATTATCAAATCAACTCAAACACAGATGAAGTTCTTTTTTTAGAATTTCTACAATCGATCTTATAAAGATTATCGTCTATCCCAAAAAAAAGCACAAATAAGGGTGTAAAACTATAAAGTCCTAGTTACGTAAAAAAAAAGAAATCATTCCTCAACCTCTCGTTCTTTGTTTCCATTTATTATTATCGCTTAAATTGAGGTTTTCTCTCTTGGACTGAAATTGTAATATTCCCTAATCGAGCTAGTTAATACTGGCAAATTACAACATTCCATGCGATATATTATTATTGTGTTATAAAAAAAACGAGACGCTAATGCTTGTGGCCATAGATTAAAAAAAACCTTAATGTGTGGAAAGCCTTGCACATTGGCTTTGGTAACTGTCGGCAATATGTCAAAAAACGAAGTATTGATACCTTAAAAAAAATATCAAGAATAATGGGAACAACGGGAAAATTATGAAGCTGACGCGTTTATGTGTCATTTTCTATATTTTGTGTAACTGTTGCATGGCAGCCATGCGGGTTTTCATTGCCAAAATATAAACTTTTTCCATCTTTTACCATTAATAGCTGGGCGTGATAGACGATTGTTAACGCCATTCAATTTGTTGGTGTGCTGTGGATATGGATCATTGTTCCCGTTGATATTCACGAGTAACGAATGGTTGGTGAAAGTAGCGTACTCATTCACATGGTACTTTATCTTCTACTTTGTATTCCGTAAGGTGACGAGGTTGCCAAAGACAGTTGAAACCAGCAGGTATGTGTTGGGACGCATGGCGGACTGGTACGTCTTGTTGTTCATTCTGGTTGTCGTTGTGACAACAGTCATTGACATGTTCAAGTCGAAGTATGTGATTTTGCAAAACTTTGAGTTTTTGAACTTGATGGTCTACAGTGTGTACTGTGGTGTCGGTATTATCGGTAGCTGGAACGGGTTCTGTTGGTTGTATTTTGTTGACGACTCTATTTGGAGTGAGCAGGACGCCGAAACGTAGTAGTGGTTGTAATAGTAGTTGTTGTTATGGTAGTGAAATACAAAATGAACTAGAGATATTTGCTGTAGAGTAAGGTTTTCGTGGAGATTTTTGTCAATGTTACGACGAAAACCAGTATGCTGACAATCTTCCCAGAAAACGCCTCAGTAGCTGCACAAAGCATTGTAGAAGTGCCCAGAGACAAGATACTGGAGAAGCGGACAAGATTCGTACCAAAACACAGGATATAAATACAACTTGTCTATAGGTTTTCTACCAGGACCGATACGGTGTGGAAATGGGTGGTGCCCGAGACATCAAGCAACAGGTCCTATAGTATAGTTGGTTAGTACACAAGGTTTTGATCCTTGCAACTTCGGTTCGAATCCGGATAGGACCTCTTCTTTTTTGTTTTTTCCTCGTCTCTTATTAGCACACAGTTAGAGAGCTGACAAAGCAGGGGTCTCCAACGGATGTGAGAATCGCGAAAGGATTCCCACGCAAGCATGCAAGCACGTGATGACGCACGGCACGACCGTGTTCCGTTGTTGGCATCTAGTGAAAAATTTGCATGCTTCAAAAAAAAAAGTACGTAGTTAGTATATAGTTCTTCAGTCTAAAATAGATAGAGAGACGTTTACCCTAAGAGTGGACCGTCTCCTTATAAAAACCTTACAGTTGGTAGCTCCGCTTATTTTTACGAAAACATAATCCTGATGATGACCGAACCTATTACTACGGATGGAATCATGGACAGTTTTGCTGAGATGAATACCGGTAGTTCCAATGATGAAAGAGAAAGAGTCGCTCAAATTGAAAGCCTTATGCAGCAAATGACGGCATGGGACAAGAGCCAACTCTTCCAAAGACTCACTAATGAAGCCAAGTTGAACAATCCATTCTTGTCCCCACTCACATTCCAAACGGAGATCAAACAAGAAGTGAAGGTGAATCCACCAAAACCATATGACGGATTAATGGAGGAACCACAAAGGACATTGTTGGCAAAAAGTTTCTTAACAGATGCTCAACTATTCTTCAGTACCACAAACCTTACTGAGGCTGACAAGAAGATTCTCTTCGTCAACTGGTTGTCTGGCTTTGCAAAAAGCTGGGCAATCGAACGGTTTGGTACCTTGACGTTAGAGGGTTTACTCGCTGCATTTAGAGATGAATTCATGCCGGAGAATACAGTGTTAGCCAGTATTGAGCTGTTGCGTCTGATTATTCAAAGAACTGACACGGTGGTTGAATATGCTAAGAAATTTAGACGTCAAGCTACGTTGGTTAATGGGGCTATTTCAGATGAAATCCTCGCTGGTTTTTTTATAACAGGTTTGAGGAGAGAAACGAAGATCCACCTCATTACCCGCGGAATTACTTCGTTACATGCAGCCATTAACGAAGCAATTAAGTATGACAAAATTAGGTTCACCAATGGAGAGAAGAACCCCTTTAGGAAAAATGAGGAAAAAGACAAGAAGGATTTTTCCAAGGACCATTAGTAGTTAGGACCTCGTCTAATGGTCGACGTATAGGAAATTTTAATAAAAATAATCCATTTAAAATTCCTAAATTCGAGGTTAACTCTCTCGCGGCAGCGAGACCAGAGATTACCAAAGCAATGGTGATACCAGTTGAACTAGGAGAGACAAGGGTCGAAACAATAGTGGATTCTGGTGCAGAATCTGATTTTATCGACGCCAAGATGGCAGAACAGTTGAAGTTAGAAGTGAAACCATTAAAAGGATTCCAAGTAGGAACTGCTGCTGAAGATGAACCAGGGCTACAAATTCAAGGATTTGTTCAACTCAAGTTTAAATTATGTGGCATGGAACTTAACAGGTTGTTGTTTGTGGTTCCTAACTTGCGGTATGATATATACCTAGGATTGGGATTTTGCGCTGAATTCCAGGATTCTATCGATTTCCATGCCAGAACCATAAATGGGGTTTACATAGACCACCTCCGAGAAGAACAGAATGAAGAACAGAAGGAGAAACAAAACGAAGAAGAGAAGAAAAACCAAAACGAAGAACAGAAGGAAAGAACAGTACCAGATGGTACCATTAAGGAAGCTGTGCAAGTCGAAATCAAGAGAAAGGGAAAGATTTGGAGACAGCAGAGTAAAAAGAAAGTGCACAACCAGCACCTTACCGAAGAGAGTCAAGATAGAGCAAAACTCGTAATTAAGGATCACGATAGGATCAAAAATTTAACAGATAGTAATAAAGAAGCTCCTGAATCAACGAAGGAGGACCACGATGATAAAATAGAAGAAACCGCAGAACCAGGCGAATTAGCAACCACCATCATGATGAACAACATTGAATTGAATCGTTGCTTAAAAAAAGCAGAGACAGACGTTGCTATTGTTTTAGTGAAAGCTAATTCATTACCCATCAAAGAGGAACAGGTGATTCCAAAATTCATTGAAGAAGAATTCAGTGACGTAGTTACAGATGAACTACCAAGAGGATTACCCCCAGAACGACCCATAACTCATACTATCACATTGATTCCGGGAAAACCACCACCACATAAAGCACCCTACCGGTTAACGTGGGAGGAGAAGCAAGAATTAGAGGTCCAGATTAGCGAATTACTTGAGAAAGGGTTCATTGTTCCACAGGCCAGCCCATATGGGGCTCCCGTTATTTTTGTAAAAAAAAAAGACGGCTCAAAGCGCCTTTGCGTTGATTATAGGGCTCTCAACGATATAACCGTCAAAGAGAGGTTTCCTATTCCATTAATTGATGAATTATTTGATAGTCTTTCTGGTGCTACGATATTTAGTACTTTGGACCTCCATCTGGGGTATCACCAGGTGGCTATTGCAAAAGAAGATCAGGAAAAGACAGCATTCGTCACGCGGTTCGGACAGTATGCCTGGAAGGTGATGCCTTTCGGGCTCTGTAACGCGCCCGCGACGTTTCAACGTCTTATGAATGATATCTTTATGGATACTTTTGATAAATATTTGAACATTTACTTAGACGACTTGATTATTTATTCGCGCGACAGGGAGTCACACGAGAAACACGTGCGTGAAGTGTTGACACGTTTGAGAAAAAATGGGTTGATCGCTAAAAAGAAAAAATGTCACTTTTTCCAATCCAGTGTGAAATACCTTGGTCATATCATCACAGATAAGGGAATCGAGCCAGATGAAGAAAAGATTGCAGCTATCAAGAACTGGCCACCAATCAAATCTGTGAAACAAGCTCAATCATTTTTGGGTCTAGTTGGCTATTACCGAAAATTTATCCCACAGATGTCTGCCTTGTGTGGGCCTATCCATGACTTCATTGCAGGAAAGCTGAATTGGGGTACTGATCAGCAAGAAGGTTTTGACAAGTTAAGAGAATCATTAACTAAATCACCAATACTCATTCTACCATCACAAGAGGATACATTCGTTGTGTTCACAGACGCGTCTAATCTGTGCTCGGGAGCTGTATTGCACCAAGTGGATAGTGCCGGGAAGTTCAAGGGAGTTGTTGCATATGATAGTTACAAGTTTGGGGTTCACGAGTTGAAGTATACTGTACGAGAAAAAGAATGTCTTGCCGTTGTTAAAGCGTTACGGAAATGGAAGCATTACTTGGCTGGCAGACGTTTTATCCTATACACGGATCACGAATCATTAAGATCATTACATTATAACAAGGATGCCTTTGGTAGAATCAATCGTTGGATCGGTTTTTTAGCCGAGTACGACATGGAGATTAGACATATTAAAGGGTCACGTAATTCAGTAGCAGACGCTATTTCGCGGGCTCACATCAATGAAATTTGTGTACAACCAGTGGAAATGGGTATTTCGGTGATGCTGGTTCAAGAGTTAGATCCCGTTAATGTAACAGAGATCAAAGAAGGGTACAAAGCAGATTCAGCGTTTAGCAAGATTTATACCGTATTGAAAGATAAGTTAGAGATTCCCGTGGAATTGACAAATATTGTGAAACACTATGTTCTTGTGGATGAACTTCTTTACTTCGGGTTACTTCCATCAGAGAAAATCCGTTTGTGTATCCCTGCAGGGAATATCCGAAATCAATTGTTATACCAAGCTCACGATACTACCGCAAGTGCCCACCAAGGCGCACTCAAGATGCATGAGTCGATCAGTCGCAACTACTACTGGCCAAAACTATTCAGGTCTTGCCGTCAATACACCGACCACTGCACCACGTGTCAACGCTCAAAGGCAAGTACAGTGAAAACTGCAGGTCTTCTCAACCCACTTCCTGTTCCGAAAGCAAGGTGGCTGCTGATAAGTATCGACTTTCTCACTGGCATCCCAACCACTGCTGCTGGGTATAATATGTTAATGGTTGTGGTAGATCGCCTTACAAAACGGGCTCACTTCATTCCGACCGTGAAGACGGCTACCGCCGTAGATGTGGCCCAACTTCTATTGTTACACGTTGTGAAATACCATGGAATGCCCCACTCAATTGTAAGCGATCGTGATGTTCGCTTCAACAACAGTATTTGGCGTACTTTAACTGAACGATTGGGAATTAGTTTAAAGATGTCAACCTCCCACAACCCTCAAACAGATGGTCAAACCGAACGGTTGAATAGGGTAGTGAAACAGACGTTGCAAGCTATCTGCCAGAATCACCCACAAGACTGGGATTCCTGCCTTCCAGCTGCAGAATTTGGGTATAACAACTCCTACCAAGCTAGCATCAAGTGTACACCGTTCTACGCGGATCTCGGCTTTCACCCCCGCTACAGTGGAGTGTTAGCTCCTGCTAGTTCCTTCGATGCCCAGGCTAGCGTATTGCTCGGCGAGGACTTTGCCGACCACCAACATCAAGTTATCAGAGTTGTCCAGGAACGCATGTTCGAGGCTCAACAGCAACAAATGAATCAAGTGGATCCACACCGTGGTTATGTGATCTTCCAAAAAGGAGATCTCGTCCTTCTTCACCGGGATATATTGGGAGGGGGAGAGCAGGACAAATTTAACTTTCGCTATATTGGTCCATATGAAGTTATCGAGAAAGTAAATGACAACAGTTACAAAATCAAACTCCCACCAGGTTCCAGGATGCATGATACAATCAACGTTAGACATTTACGGAAGTATAATCCCCGCGTGAAGGACTACATAAATGTACCACCTACAGAAGCTGAGGAAATCAGACGTAATATCGAGGAAGTGTCCAGCATAGTCAGAGTGTTTGAAGATGGAAGTTGCGAAGTAACCTGGACAGATTGTGATATAAACAACACCTTGAGAATTCCGCTAGTATGGTTACAACAAGACGACAAGAAATGGAGAAAGTTAAAGAAACAGTTCCTAGAGACATATGGACAGAGTTTGGAATGTAATCCAGAGGAGGAGAGAGAGAGCATTAATCCACCGGTTGTAATTCCAGAGGAAATCAGGTCTAGATCTGAACTAGACTTTGCGTCCAGAAGAGTACATGCACTTAGCCAAAAGAAGATGGCCAGTGGTGATCCCCGTTTCCAACCGAAGCCAACCCCCCGGAGAAGAGGGCCTGGATAGGAGGGGGAGAGTGTGAGAATCGCGAAAGGATTCCCACGCAAGCATGCAAGCACGTGATGACGCACGGCACGACCGTGTTCCGTTGTTGGCATCTAGTGAAAAATTTGCATGCTTCAAAAAAAAAAAGTACGTAGTTAGTATATAGTTCTTCAGTCTAAAATAGATAGAGAGACGTTTACCCTAAGAGTGGACCGTCTCCTTATAAAAACCTTACAACGGACAACAGATCGGTTCCGTGGTCTAGTTGGTTATGGCATATGCTTAACACGCATAACGTCCCCAGTTCGATCCTGGGCGGAATCATTTGTTTTTTTCTTTTTGCAGTTTATTTTTGCACCTTCAAGGCAACCAGCCGGAATGCCAGACCAGACAATTGTCCATTAGTAGTTTCCGTACACTCATTTTTTTTTGTTTTGCATGTATATTGTCAATCCATGTTAGTTTCTCGTTGCACTACGTTACGGTCATAAAGCAAAAAGAAGTAAAGAAAAAGAGACTAGTTTTCCGAATTGAGATTGAACAACCTACTCACTTGAGGATATTTTGAATAAACAAACTATTAATATCATGACTATATCTGTCCTAATGGTCATGTCTGTAGTTGTTGTGCACGCTGTCAAGTGTGGACAGTGCTATAAAGCACAGAGGTGTACCCAGGAGAGTTGAATGGGAGAACACATGTACTACCTACAGTGAATGCTTCTTAATGGCAATATAACCACTCTGGTCAACTGCTGCTGTTATAGCAGCAAGTTCAAGCGTATAACTAGTGGTAGTGGTGGCGGAGGCTGTAGTACCTGTGTTGTGCTTCGGTGCTGGATTAGTTCTGGAGTGGTTAGAACGTTGTGGAATAAAAGAAAAGAAAATAAAAGAAAAGAGAAACGATTGGTGATTAGCATGGTTTCCAATAGCTGAATGGAGACATTACTCACACAAGACATCATCATATACGTGTGTAACTGGTAGAACGATTACCTGGAAATTAAGCTCATTGCAGGATTCACGACTCGCCAAAGAAGGGTGCTTTTGGCAGACATCAAATTGGTTGCGTGGTCTAGTTGGTTATGGCATATGCTTAACACGCATAACGTCCCCAGTTCGATCCTGGGCGGAATCAATTTTTTGACTTTTTTTTTCAACCTCTGGATGGAGTCAGTTGATGGGCAGCACCAGTGTTTGTGTTGTGTTGTGTTGTGTTGTTTTGCTCTGGCTCAGCTTCTTTTTTTCTGATTTTGCCATATTTTTTTTTCTTCTTCTTCTTCTTCGCCTCGTTTTGTGCACTTCTGTAGCCCAGCTCATCGCAAGATGAAGTTTCGTTTTCTTTTGCAGCAAGAACGGTAATCCTCTAATAACTACATGGCTGAATCCATTCAGATAGAGATGACCGAGATGGACGTTCAGAGCTGTTGCATTGCATGCAAACCTAACGTGCGGTGGTTGACTAATTGATGACTGCTCAAGATGTTCGGGAAAAAAGTTCCAGCGCACGAGAAAAGAAAAACAAATCTCCATGACATCACATCTTAGTCAACAACAACAACAACAACAACAACAAGAACCACTTTCTACACTCCACACTTATTTTTATGGCAACAGAATGTCCACCAGTGAAACAAAGAAAAGACGCTCAGATGTGGGGATTTCACGTCCAAGAAAACAATTATCGTGCCAAAGATGTCGATTACGTAAAGTCAAGTGCAGCTACGAAGTCCCATGTGCCAATTGTGTCAAGGACGGGGTCGAGTGTGTGCAGCCTGTGGATATGAGAAGCAGACGTCCGAAGGCGAGTCATGTCATGAAATTGGAGACCAGAGTAAGTTCTTTGGTTGGTTTCATTAATACATTAAAGAGTTGCAACAGTATGGAGGAGAAGAACAAACTAGTTGCTGAACTTAACCTAGACCAATTTTTAAAAGAAGCAGATGAAGCAACGTCGACCCTTCAGGTGCCACCGCCACCATCACAACAGCAACAACAACAAAGTGGAGGTGCACCAACAGCGGGATCAACAACTTACACCAATGAAGATGACGCTGGGGCGCCACACTCTAGTGCGATCTATGGACCCACATCAATCTACGATGACGCTATCTTGCACAACAATGCCGGGTCTCTGAGTAAACACAGGGACAACAGTGTGGACATTATCGTGCAGATGAGCCAGGACCCAGACATACTCCGATGCTTGCACTTGTTCTTCACCTGGCAGTATCCGGACCACAACATGTTTATTTTTCGAGAAGCGTTCCTCATTGATTTCTTTGCTCCAAAGAGCAACAGCTTGTATTGTTCAAAGATACTTGTGCTTAGCATCTGTGCCTTGGGAGCACGAATGTCTGATGACAGGAGGATCTACAACAAGTCCAAGGAGTTTTACCAGCAGCTGAAGAATCTTTTGCTCGCAACATTGAGCAAGCCGTCAATCACGTCGTTGCAAAGTTACATGTTGTTGGCATTCTATGATATTTGCAATGGCCACAACTCGAGTGGCTGGATGCTTTCCGGGAGTGCGATCAGGATGGGGTTTGATCTTGGGTTCCAGTTGAACCCAGAACTCTGGTTTGTCAAATCCAAGGGGGACGTTGGCGATGTTGCGATCAGATCGAGAGTGTACTGGGGGTGTTATATGGCAGACCATTTTATAAGTTTGTTGCTTGGACGTCCATCGATCTTGAAATTATCGGATGCGTCGATCCCAGAAACCAGCGACTTGCCAGATCTCAGCTGGATCGATGATTATACATACGCAGGGTATCTCAAACTAAAGGGGAGACACCAGACGACTGCTGTGACAAGCTACATTTCGGACCCACTCAATCAGATTATCAACTTGATCAATATTTCCGACAACATGTTGAACGACATATTCACCAAGTCAGACGACCTTGGCGGTGACCACCAGGGCAACGACGATACGGATTTGAACTTGAACTCAAGATGGGAGAAGCTATTCCAGTACAACCGACAGATTGTTTCGTGGAAGAAGAGTCTTCCCAAGGATTTGCAATGGGACCGCGAGAGCTTGAGCAAGACGGGAGAGAACCCGACGTATTCTGGTATCAGATACTACTACTATATACTATTGCTTTGTCTCAACCGTCCGTTTGTTGGTATTGAGAACGACAACAAGGGGACCGGTGAAGATGAGTTGTCGCCGTTGTCGGTTTGTCTCGAAGCGATTGACGATTTGTATGAGTCCATCAACCGATTCCAGCGGGAGCATGGATACAGAGTGTGTTCTATATTCATTGTGTACTCGTCGATATTGTCGATCTCCATTTTGTTGTTGACGAACTCAAGGATTCAGTTGGTGAGCGAGCAAAGAGACCGGTTGCATTTTTTTATGGGGGTTTTACATGGGTGTTCCAAGACATGGAAACTTGCAGAAAGATCGTACAATTTGGTCAAGGAAAAGATCCAACAGGTGTCAGTGAAAGATGAGAGACAAGAAAACAACAATAATGACAACATCAGCAGCAGCAACAACAACAACAATAGCAACAACAAGACAATTGATGCACCTACACCGTTGTCGAGTGTTGGATCCACGTCTGATACACAACAACAACAAAACATGATGTTTGACGACAACATTGATTTCCTTGGTGGTCCTCCGGTGTTGATGACTGCAGATTTATTCAACGAAGATTGGGAGGCGTTATTCCCGGATTATGTGTTTAATTCAAAAAGTTAAGGTAAATTAAAGAAACCAGAATATATACATATATATATAAAGCAACGTCTATTATTTGAAAATGAGTAAACATGTAGATCAAACATCAAGAACAAATATTCATAGAGTACTATATGTGTATATAGAAGAAATCAAACTATCTATTTATTAGTACTAGCAGATCTTTCAGCTTGTTTAACTAAATTCTCTGGAGCATCAAGAGTGTCTAATTTAATTTCAACCAATCTAATTTTATCATTAACTGCGAACTTTTTATCTTTGAAAACCTTATCAAGCTCACCAACTGTCTTGACAGTGAAACTTTCATAATTTGTAGCTTTAAAGGTTTTCAATAATTCTGCATTTTCCCATTCTTGAATACTATTGTAAACAGCTTCAGGACCATGAATCAATCTTTCAATAGTGAAACCATTATTATTCAAAACAAAAATATAAATGTTATTCTTATGTCTTGCCATGGTGGAAATTTCTTGTACAGTTAATTGTAAAGAACCATCACCAACAAATAAGATAACTCTACGGTTTGGATCAATTTCTTCAGCAGCAATAACCGCACCAGCAGCAGAACCAACTGAATAACCAATGGAACCCCATAAAACTTGAGAAATTCCAACAGCATTTTTTGGAAATTTGGTTTGAACTATACCAAAATTGGAAGTACCAGTTTCAGTAACAATAACATCACCTTCCTTCAACCATGAACCCAAATTACTCCATAACCAAGATTGAGTAAGTTTATGGTCCGGTGGCAACACCAAAGGTTCAAAATTATCAGTGACCAATTTCTTAGCTGGGATTTTGGAACAAGTTTTGATCAAGTTTGGATCTTCGACTAATTTACCCAATAATTCTTTCATTCTGATACCTGGATATTGGGCACTCTTAATTTGAGTATAATCTGAATGGAATTCAACCACTTTTGCATTATCTAAGGAATAAGAGAATGAACCAGTGTTAAAGTCAGATAAAACAGCACCCAAAGATAAAACCAAATCTGAGTTCTCAACCAACTCTTTAACTCTTGGATATGATAAATCACCAACATAACAACCAATAAATTTTGGATCACTTTCATCAATATCTTTTGATCCTTTAGCCATTGGTGTAACGGCAAATTTAAATTTAGTTAATTCTATCAACTTTTGAGCTTCTGGGGTAGCATTATGTCTTCCACAACAAGCATCAATGATAATAACTGGATCTTTGGCAGATTCAATTAATCTAATAATATCGTCTAAAACTTCAGATTGAATTTTTTGATTGTTAGGAGGTGGAGTTAAATTCAATGGTTTTTCTAATTTGCTAACTGGGACTTGGACGTCAACCATATTAGATGGGAACCCCAAATAAGTTGGACGTTGGTTAATATAAGCAGATTCAATGACTCTGTCAATTTCATCGGCAGCAGTATCTGGATCAGTTAATCCTGCAGTAGTTGCACTAATAAATGATGAAATCTTATGGAAGACTGTGAAATCCCCATTACCCAAAGTATGATGCAACAACAATTGTTTTTTGGCAGATTCAGTAGAAGGTGTACCAACAATATGAACAATAGCAATATGCTCCAGGTATGCTCCTGCAATTGCATTAATAGCCAGGCTAGAAATAAGGTTAGTAACACAAAATGTTCAATTTTTTTTTTCGCAATCTTTTTAATAATACATACAGTTCCCCCACACCAAAAGTAGTAATCAAAGCAGATAATGAACCTTTGTTGAATCCATTTTTGACTCTAGTATAGCCATCTGCAGCATATCCAGCATTTAATTCATTAACAGAACCAACCCAGTTCAATCCATCAACATCTTCGATTTTATCTAATAATGCTAAATTGAAATCCCCTGGAACACCGAAAATGTTTTTAATACCAATTGGATCTTGGTTAAGTCTTTTAAATAAGTAAGTACCCAATGAGATTGTTTCTTCTGGCATGATTGCTGTGTAATAATTATGAATAGAATAGTAAGAACCAAAATAAGATAAAAAGAAAGAAAGGATAAATCAATTGATAAAGAGATAAAATTTTTCTTAATTTTTATTTTCTATGTTTTCAAACGGGTATTTATAGATTTTTTGTAATTGCTCTGATACTGTCCGATAGAAAAATGCTAAAGATTATGAACAATGGGATAATTAAAATCAAAATTTTAAGGATTGACAAGTTTGCGTTTTATTCACTCCTTGAAACAAATGTATTATAAGAAACTATTACGTATATACTTTAAAATCAAACCCCTTAAAGGAGAAGGGTCACCCTATTGGTGCAATACATCATTTGAAACATATATCGGACGGTTTTTATTACATCAAATCCATACGACAACTCAATTGAGTAAAAACCAACCAACCAAAAAAAAAAAAAATAGGGGGGTTGGATAAATCTGGTGTTTAGCAAATTGAATCATAGTTTAAGGACAATGCAATTCCGGTTATTATTCCATACACACCGAAAAAAAAAATTATACAAAAAGTTGTAATTCTTTAGTAATTTCAAGAACAAATTATTTTTTAAATAATAGTTATCCCCTTTCGACTCTCTACCATTCAAGACGATCGAGCGCCAATAATTGTCTTTTCTACTTCAAAAACCATCTGATTGAAAAAGAACAAGACGGGAAAACCGGGGAGAAAAGGGGGTTCTTTAAGTTTTTTCTGCAAAGGAGGTAAATTGCAACAATCAAATGAAGAAAAAAAAATTGATTCCGCCCAGGATCGAACTGGGGACGTTATGCGTGTTAAGCATATGCCATAACCAACTAGACCACGGAACCAATTGGTTGTTTGTTGGAGACAAACCTTGTTTATGGATTATGATATTAAAAAAAAGTAAAGATCGTTAAATTGGTTAGATAGTTCTTTTAGTAACAATAGCGGTCAAGAGAATAAGCTTGTATCGACCCCGACTTGACTCCGGCTTGGTGAATTTTTCTTAGCAAACAAAAGCTCTGTATATCTTCAACTATAGACTGAAGGTTAGTTTTTACGTAAACTCTTTTCACTATACATTAGATTGATTGTTTTCTTTCATATACATAACTGCGTATAGAAGTTTATTGTATGATTTACCATACATGTATACTTTTGGATGACTAATTAGTGTAGTAGTTTGTTTTACGTATTTGACAAGCGAACAATTATTGGTAACGCAATTTTGGTTATTTCCAGAAACAACTGTACTTGCGATAATCTTACGAGGAGTATTTTGTTGCAATCACATAGAAATACACTATTTTAATATTTTCAAAAGTGATCTATTGGAGGTTTAGAAGTTATCGTTTTGGGTTATTAACGATAAATCTTAATTGTAGTAATGTAAATAGAAAGGCGAATCTTTAGATATGAAGTAAATAATATATTGATACTTTATAAATGTGGATTAAAGATTAATCCCTATAAATCTAGTTTGTATAAATTATGTTATCTCTGTGTCTCTTTATATACTGAAGATGTCACAGAAAGACATCAACTGATGCCATTTAATATATATAATTTGATTTGTTGTTATTATTGTGTAATTTGGTAATCACGTGAAGCACGTGCTCTTGTTTATAATACATTGTAATTTGGAAATATTACAACATTAGACATCATGTATGAGTAGAGGCTATTGTTCTAGAGGAATTTGAAAGTATTCTACACAAACTATATCTGTGGGTAGAATAACCAGATTCTGGAATGATGATGGATAATCAGGTACGTGCGAGTAGAAATGCTGGTGATCCAACAAAAAGAATTGACAAAGTCGACAATAACGAAAACAGAAAGCATGATGAATTGTTTGAATTGGGGATTATTAAACGTGATGGAAATGATAAATATACCGAAGAATATAGGATCCTTGACAAGCATAATAAATATGGAGCTATGGTAGTATTGATGAATCATGTAATAATGGTCATGATGGTGGTGACATGAATAAGCTTAAACTATTATGAAAATTAACTATTGAAACTAAAATCCAGAATACAATCAATAAATAAGAAAATGTGCTTTAAATTAAAAAAATAAAACAGGAGCAAACTTTTTATAAAAGTTTCAAAAAAACAAATGATTCCGCCCAGGATCGAACTGGGGACGTTATGCGTGTTAAGCATATGCCATAACCAACTAGACCACGCAACCTATTTGTTGAAATTTGAAGATCCTGAAACTAACCCGACTACGTCATACTGGTGAAAATACAACAGGCGAATCATAAAATCAATTGATTTGTTTTCTAGATGTATAAATTAATTTCTATTAATAACTAATAACTATCCTATAACTTTTTTTATATGTGTGTTTCTTTCTCTAATTTAAGAAAATAATTTGATAACTTGAATAAATAACGGTGATTATACCGACCACGATCAAGAAATAATCAGCAACTGTAAACCAACTTTTCTTTGTTGCTGTTTTCAAATGAATCATTGGCGGATAAATATAAACTAATGGAATACATGCAAAACAACCATTAAATGAAACAAATTTATCAATATTATCCGCATTCAAGTAAGCAATAGCACAAATTAATATTACAGAAACCGAACGGAAACCATTCTTTAACCATTTGACAATTGGATTAAACTTACCTGAATGATGATATAATTTACCGGCATCATCTTCATCACCAGCAGTTGTCTTTTTACGTGATCTTCTATTGAATATCAAAGATTCCCCGATTTTAATAGCTGGGAACAATTGAAGTGGTGCAGTTAAGAAAACAGCCACTGAATACAACACAAGAATTGATTTAACAAAAATGTTATCTTGCGGTAAGTTCAAAATAATAATTGATTTAATTTGATCTCCAAAAGACATATATCCAATGGTACCAATGGCAACAAAAATCACAGTTATGAAAAACATACTGATGGATAATACCATTGGGAATTTTTCAGGATGGGACATTGAAGATTCAATAGGTAAAATTAAACCAATACCTTCAAATGACGTAACTGCAACACCAATTAACATTGTCCAACTATTTGGATTGAAATTTGAAATATTTGGTCCGATACCATTAGTAAACAAATTGAGTCCTGAGAAATAGAAAATAATTAATAATCCAATAACAATAAACAACGATGAAATTAAAGACACCATGGATAATTTAGTTAAATTTCTAATAAGAACCAACGGAATTAACAAAATGCATTGAATAATTACCAAGTTTGCTCGATTCAACCATTCTGGAGTAGTGCCTAAAAATTGCTGCAAAAAGGCAATCATATTCTCTGAAGTGAACAAGATATAAGTGGCAACAAAACCAACTTGAGATAAAAGGATAGAAACAAGAATAGAATATTTCAATGGTTTACCATATGTTTTATATCCCAATTCACCAAAAGACGACAATTTGAGAGTGTTTTTTGAATCAATTAAACCAATGTAACAGAAGAAAGTCAATGCCCCAAATAAACTCAATGTAACTATCGAAAATAATAACCCACCATTATAAAATGCTCTTGGTAAAAACAATACACCTGATCCAACAAGAGCTTTAAATAATAAAAAGAAAGTTTTAGCAACTGACGCGGTTCCCTTTGGTTGAGGTTCATGTTTTCTTTTGGGTAATTGTTTAGGCAAATTAGGTCTTCTATCGTGCGTTAACAAACTACTTTCTTCATCAAATACATCATCGTCATAATCATCACTATGACTAGCTGAACCTTCTTCATCTTCTTCATCCTCATCATTAAAATCTTCACCCGCAAAATGACCATATATACTTAAGAATTCCATAAAATTTTGGGTCAAAAAATTAGGTGGAGTTTCATTTTTCTTCAATGCTTTGTTAATTAAAAATTCCCTTCTAAATCCACCAGGAATATTTATATCACTTGCTGTAGAACCTCTTCTTGTTTCTTCAAGATAACTTGAGAATGAGGCACTTCTTGTTCTTAATCTTCTTGGATCTTGTACTCCGGAAGTTCCTTTTATACTACTTCCATCGTTGACATTTTCCATTTGATGATATAATCTTCTAGTTATATCACCCCCTTGAGTTTTCAAACTATCTTCTTGATTTATTAAATGTTTCCCGATAGTTTTCAAATCTAGATTTTTTTTACTTGAGAAACTATTCAATTGTGAAATTTGTTCATCATAAGCATTTTCTAGATCATTACTACCTGGAGTGCCATTATTGCTATTACGAAGGGAATTACTAGAAGGCATTTGAGGAATTGTTCTAGGTGAAGGCAGGCGGAATGAAGGCGAATTTGATACTTGTTTCAATGAAGGCGAATTTTGAAAAGCAAGGTTTGTAGACGAAGACATTATAACTTCAGTTGAATTTCTTATTTATGCAAATAAACGAACCGGTGAAAAGTGAAAACAAAATACAAAAAAAAATGGAATTTATGCAATAAAAAAGAAAGAAAGAGTTGTGGATCTAGATCTAATACTTTGGGTATATTAATCCGTCGTACCAAAGTGTGTATATGTGTTTGAATCAATGATTACCTTTAAAATTTTTCTTTTTTTTCAGTCATTACTGAGAAATTAAAGAACGTGAAAGAACGGAAAAATTTGTGCCACACACACACTTCAAACATTTTCAGACCTCCGCTTGGTCTAGGCCCGTAGTCGACGAGATGTAGGTCGAAGAATTTTCGTATGACTTATCTTTTTTTCAGTCTTCGTGCCGCGTGGATCTTTGGGACATTATCGCACGCGGAAATATTAAGTGTGGCACATGATTACAGAACGGAATTTACCAACAACAGCCAGCCGCTAAACTAAGAAAAGAAGTAAGCAGTAAGAAGGAGGGGAAGATAATGATTATCATGAAGAAGAAGGAGATAGAAATAAATCCAGACTGCTGTTGACACTCACACACATATGCAAACAAGGAATCATTAAAACCGAAACCGGAACTATCTTTTATTTACTTGTAGTTCGCCTGAACGGATTTTCAGGATTAATTTAATTATCTGTATAAACTAATACGAATTTTTTGAAATTCATTTCTCCAGATTAATACAGAGTGAATTAGTCTAATTTCCACATGCAAGTGCTAAAAGAACTCTACAAAACGTTCACATTCAATTGTGAATCATTAAATGACTTAAGTTGTAATAGGATGAGGGAAAAGTTCGTATCGCCGGATATGCACTCAATCTGTTTTACATGACATGCTAGAATAAAAAGATTCCGAATATCCAAAGGCTATTGTTGTCGGTGAAACAAAGGCAATGGAGAACATCCAGGAAAATATTCCGAACATGTGAGCAAATGCATATGTATCAGAGGGATGTACATATGCATATAGGTGGGCTTGTACAATTGGCGAATTACTTAACTTGAGTCATACCGCTAGGAAATGGAGAGAATTCAACAAAGGTATTCCGATAAATGAATAAAAAAAAAGAATCCAACCACGAGGAAAATTGCGAGAAATTCACCGAAGCCATAAACAAAAAGAAAGAGAAAAAAAGAAATAAAGGACAGTGAATGGACAATATAGAAATAAATGGAGGATCTGTTGAGAGGTAATAAGATGATAAGTGGGACATTTGATTGTTGCTATATGTGAGTGCAAGAGTTGTTTCTCCAAGACTTTTCATATTCAACAATCAATATGTTTTACAGATTAATTTTTTTTTTTTGAATTGTGGGGTGAAAAATAATTTGCGATTAGGGCAAGTCCAATACGAAGATTATACCACAAAAATACAATTTGTCCTCCAAAATTCTCTCGACTAACATCACCAATTTAAGAGAAAGTACCAACATAAACAAAAAAAGAAATGTAAGTAAAACACAGATGGCAATTCGAAGTTGAACTGTAGGGTACATTTTTCTATTGCATTGAGTGGAGAGAAATACAACGTCTATTAAGCTGACAAATATCAGATTAGTAAAAAATTTCTATATAAATTACTTAATCGGATATTGAACAACGGTCATTTGCAAGGAGATATGTATTTCAATGAACTATTTGGTCTTTTAGATCAATGGACCATACCTCCTTCCGCAAATTAAATGGAAACTCAAGAAATTCATCATCCAACGTCTGAACGATAATCCGTCAGTTGACCCACAAATGAATTTGATGAACTCTTTTTTTTTCCTAAAATGCACGACACTTTTTTCTTCTGTCTGTTTTTTTATTCCGAAGGGAAATGGACAATTAAACAATGAAAAATCCAGACATTTTTTCATTGTAGTTGTTCTGGAAGAATTTTCTATGAAACAAGCAGATAACATTCTATGCATAATTTTAATTTTTTTTTTCTTTTCTATTGTTTGTCTAAAAACCGAAATCTCAAGTGGAAATTTCGACACAGGAACCAACATACACATCAACAATCCAAAGTGTTCCGCATAACTAGTTAGCATTATTCTTTCGTGTTGATGCAACTTAATTCCTATCAATATGAGGCATTTTGTTCCATACAAGATATTGGCAATGTTTGTAAACTTTTTCTTTTCTTTTTCTCTTTCAGTTATTGTTAACAATGATAAGATCAAGAAAGCAATTCACAGCATAGCCTTTTGGTTCATTTATACTCATCAAATTATGAGAGTATGAAATAAAAAAGAACGTGATAACACGAACTACTTCCGACCAATCAGAATTAATAGACACCTGTTTTTTTTAGGAAACCAACAGTAATAGCAATGGATTAGCGGGTATTATCAGTATTACGTGTAACTGATTCTTTACTTGCTAAGTCCTATACTAATTGTAGCGAAGAATATTCCATGTGAGATGATTTTCGTTTTACATTTATTACATCTTGCTTTCTTTTTTCATTGTTCGTCTTCTGGTTATATCATATGATATAACGTTGATGTCAATGGGTTAGGTAGAGTGTAATATAATGTTCTATTTAGATATTTGTAGATTGTAATTCAGAAACATAAATAATGATTGCAAATTTTTAAAGGCGGATTTCTAAATTTGCTCAGCAATTTTTAACTCGTGATAAAGTTCATCAGAATGAACAAATTATGTGGGAAAACACCTAAATTTGTCATTGATAGGCATTTTTTTTGTATTTCAACACTTTATCTAAAATGAATTTTTCGACGAATTCTTTTGTGATTTACAGTATTTCAAGTGAATGTTCGTCGTATATGGATGCCAAACAAGTTCTTAGTCTCTAGAGAGTATCACAAATTTTTATAAACACAAAAGCTCATCTCAAAAGCAAGGCAATATCATACTGCGCGTGTCTTGAACGACATATCCAAAATCAAACGTACGTTTTTTTTTCTTACTTTTTCCTTTATGATTTCTTGTCTCTTTTAGTTCTCAACGGACGAAGTACCGGCAGATTTGTTTAAGACATTTGGCAGGTTTGATTCAGACTGGACGCCACTAGGTAGAGTACAAATTCGCTCCTAGGTGAATTCACATGAAGAAGTCTTGAGAGAGAAAAAATGAGATGAGCAACTATCAAAAAACGTATTATCTTATGTTCTAGTCTATTGTTAAGAAAAACGCTAGTAGGGGCTAGAATGAATGCAACAATTAACAATGGTTCAGAAACAAAGATTAAAAATCTGGAGTTAAGAACTACCTCTAATGAACTCCGGGAAACAATCAACGACAAAAAAAAAAAAAACAGAACGATTCTCATTAGGACTAATGATTCAACTAAAATTAATAGTTTGAGAGAAGAAGACAGAAACCACGCCTAAAAAATTCATATAATCATGTCATGAGTACATTACTATTTTGTTCTATAATTCAGTTCTAAACTAAACTATTTCCCCACGCATAATTCATAAATGAACAGGTCATTCATAATCCAAAAATAAATCAGAAAAACTCGCCCTTCACCTTTACCCCATGTGGGCTACCTGTTACTCTTGTGACCTTATAATCTCAGCTTACACTAATTTGTTTTCAGTATTTTCCGGAATGGAGAAACTTTGAGGCTATGGGATTTTGTGATGAGATGAACCGATTTTTTTTTTTTTTTCATTTTCTTTTTTCTCTCTTGGTGCATTGTTTGTTTGTGTAGTGTTCGGAATAACTAATTATTCCGAACGGGGCGTATGCAGCACTTGAAAGGGTAATTTACATAACCACTACATGATACGTGCAGACAAAGATACACCTCACAGAACCCAAATTGCCCAAGCACTATTTATTAAACAAGTGATAAAAAGATCTATGTCGGGGAAACGTACTTTGTATCATACACTGTCTTCATTATGTGTCAATAAGAAATAAGAATAACAGAAACAAAATTGAATTCAATATAACGTATATGTAGTAAGTGTTGAACCGAGGATGAACAAAATACGTTCTAAAATAAAAGAAAAAAAGTTACGTACGTACGTAAAAATAAATATCTGGTAGAAAAAATTTTTTTATTTAATGAAGAAATATTGATGAATATCAGATACTGCGTTGAATTTGTACTTTGGAATTGTTGATTACGATTGGTAATTAATTAATTGTAAGTGAATAATAATTCTTCGTATTATTGAGAGAAGGAAAGGAGTTATGAAAAATGTAATGCCTTTCAGCAGATAAAGGAGGGGAAGAAAAAGATTGTGGATAATAATATCCCTCTTCTTGTAGTATTAATATAGAGGTTCCCTTATAATTTATAGCATTACGATAAGATTGTAAACATGTGGTATTGAATATTATACTCTCGATATCAAAAGATGAATTCCCCGCTTATTTATGTCATAATGTAATTATACAATCTGGTGATATTCTTGAAGTATCAAATGTTTTATAATACCATTTGATTGACCAAGAGAATTGGAATTGCAAAAATAATAGTCTGAAGATGATTTTTATTATTTTCTATTATAATTCAAGTACGGGGAAGAGAGAAAGAAGGTTTATTTTTTTTTTTTTTTTGTCTTTGAAAGTCAATTGAAGGTAAGAATAATACGCCGTGTAAAAATAATACGCCAGGGAAATAATTTTAATCTTTCAATTGGAATGAATGTTACATAATAATACCTCAAAATGTGTTTTGGTTTTGTCAAATTATCATTTGATGTGTATTATTCGTATTCTGTAACCTTTGTGTGAAAAATTGAGAAACCAGTTGCTTACGTAATACTGAATATTTCACTTTTCTTTTTTTTTTCTTTTTTAGTTAGATTTTTCTTTTTTGCCTAAATTGGGAATTAGAGCGAGAATCTTTCCTTCAATACGATAACCTAGTGGACTTAAGAACTTGACCATAACAATGGAGCACATTTACTCGGAAGTATGGTGCTGTACACTCTTACTCCTCTTATGATCACCAACAATAGGAAATCATAATAGTTGCATCTAACTCCCCGTTAAATGCGCCGTGGTTTATCGCCAGTTATTCACAGGTGACAAATGTATTGTAGAATCAACAAAACATGATTAATATTAGAAACAACAGTACACCTTTTTTTTTTTCAAGAAAAAGAAAAAGAAAAAGCAAAAAGGAACATCAACACCAATTGCGATATTTTTGTTTATAGTTTGTAGTAGGGTATTGTGATAAGACAGCATAAGAAAAAGAAAAGACATCTGTAATCAGTATATGGTTAGGAGGATAGTTTAAATTGCCTTAGTTAGGATACATCTAGTGGCGGTGGTGGTGGTGGTAATGCGTGGCCTGTGAGTGGATCGGTGGTGACGAGACCATCTTAAGCCAATGAGTGGAGAGACAAAAATAAACTTCGGCGTAGGAATAGGCATAGGCGTCAGTGTAGGCTTAGTGAGTATTGTTTAATGTGGTTTTACACAGGAATGGAAATTTGCACACTCGCGGGGAGTAAAGGAAAAAGCTTTGGCGGTCTTTCTTTTTTTCGAATGTCGTTGTCTCCAGGTGTAATGAAAAATAAAAATATAATTTGTGTCTGTCACTCCCACATCAGTAATATGAAGAAGAGTTATTCCGGGGAGGAAGGAATGGAATGGAAAACAAAGAGAGTCAGCTGAAAATATAACAATGAGGGAGTATTATTGGGGGCATGACCGACAGTTGGTGGAGGGTATACATATTTTACTACCTCCTCCATTTGCTGCCCCTCCTCCTCATTCTGATTTTCCTCCAGTAGAGTATGAAATAGTTAATTTCCGAATTGCACACATTTCCACAGTGGAAATAGATAAAAGTGTCAGCGCGGAAGACATTTTGTCGGACAAGAGAGAAAAGAAAAAAAAAGAAATGAACTTCAGTTATTATTGCATGCACACTGGGTTAAAGGAATAATTTGAATTTCTGATTTGTGTAACAGAAATAAATATTATTATGCATCTTTGTGGTAAAATAATTTTGTGTTACTCCCAAAAGTTAAATTCCACAAAACCACAAAAAATAATTTCTCCTTTTCTCCTCCTTTGTTCAAAAAATTTTTTGTTACCTTTTCTTTTTGTTGTCTCTCTCACTCTCTCTCACTCGCTCTAACAATATAAATACACCAACCGATTTCCTGGATTTTGGGATAATTCCAAACTTGTTTTAAAATTTTATTAATTCTCTTTTTTTTTTTCTATTATCATTTTCATATCATATTCCATATCAACAACTATATACCACCAAAGCAATGTATTTCTACGACGACATGATCTTAGGATCATCTTTAACTACCACACAATTTCACAACAATGTGGACTATTTGCAATATGTTCCTAAAGGTGAAAAGGAAACTCACTATTTAAACAATAATCTTAATTTAATCAACTTTATCAAATATATCCAAGCTAATCCAGAATACAGTATCCACAACCAGTTCTTGTGCCGAAGATTAATGAATATCTGCTGGAGAAGAATCTACAAAAACCATCACAATTTAACTGAAGTCAACCCATTGACTATAAACTGGGACAAAAACTCAGATATCACTTGGTTATTTGGTCCAGAAATTGAACTACCTGAAGAAAAAACTACTCAACAAGAACAACAATCATCCATTGATTTTTATGACAATTCAGATAATATTAGCATTTCTTCTTTTGAATCCTTTAGTTCCATAGATAGTGAAGATTTCCCAAGTTCATCAAGAAGAAGATCAACCACATCTACAAATTCATCAGTTGTTTTAGATGAAGATGAAGATATAATTATGAAATCAGGCAGTCATCATGATTTAACTAAATCCATTCTTAAAAAGAAAACCAGTGTTCATAATAATAATGTTAATAATAAGAATAAAAAGAAAAAGGTGTCATTTAATTATATTGTCAATACTAGAGAAATCATCAATGGTATGTCTGTTGATTATGATTTCTTAGATAAGGATTGCTTATAGACATTTTCATTTCATAAAAGACAATAATTTGCATTTCAACTAAACAAAAAGTTCTATTGGGTAAAGACAGGCAGGTGTTTCATAATTAAGCATACAAAAAAAAAGTTATTAGCATAATATATTATTATTCTTAGAGAGACAATTACAATTACAATTACAATTACAATTAGGTATAAAAAGGTTTATTAAGGTTATTTTTTTCATCATTACGTTATAGCTGGTTCTATAGATTTTCTAATTTTTTTTTTTTTTTGCATCATTAAATTTAGAATGTAAATATATAAATATTCTTGTATCAGTTTAAGTTCAATGTGTTGTTGTAATTATTAAATAACAATGTAAGCTTGGGCTGTGCCCTGCTATGTTTAAGATTTTTATTTAAATCAGATGATGTGATAAAGGAAGATAATTGTAACTTTGAAGACGATGACGCTTGTGGCTTGCGCGCTAATGGGTTGAGGTTTTCCTTTCATTGTTTCTCTTTATTCTTATATCTTTGCTTGTTGTAGACCCGCTCGCCTTATCAACACCTTAACCTTTTTTTTGTTTCACAGTCAAATTGCTTATTGATTGTATCAGCTTGTGTGTGATTTGTTTAATGTTGCTCTTTGCCCTTGCCATGTTGTTTATTTATAGATTACATAATAAAATACATATACACAACGAAGAGAGAAAGCTAAAAACAAAAAAAAGTAGATCTCATTGATTGCTTTCGCTCACATGATAATGATAATAATAGCCGAACTTAACATAACTTAACTTGGCTTACATCACAGAAGTCAAACGTATACGAAGCAAAATCACACATGAAAGAGCAATGAAAATGGGTGACAGGATGTGTTTGCTATAATGTATAACACATTTAACTTACGAATTTCTACCAAAGGGAAACAAGTGAAACAAATTCTTTTTTTTTTTTGAGTGTAAATCACAGGGAAGATGTGGGTAACAACTCATTTCCTGTCGATTTGTCATTTTCCGTGGTTACCTTTTTACTATCTTTACAATGTTTATGTTGAGCAGAAAGCAAACAACAAGAAGCCTCAAGTCAACAATACGTACTGTAATGAAGAAAGATTTCGTAATTAGGGTAATATTCTTCCGGTGGACATACCGGTTCAGTATAAGTGGAGACAGATACAAGATACACCTAGGATAGGTAGTTAGTCATCCGGTTGAACAGAACAACTAACTTACGGCACTAAAGGAATAGGGTCATTGCAATTAGGTAGCAGATAGGATAACTTTAAAACCAAACCAAACCAAACAAATAATACTAAAAAAAAAAGCCATATTTCTGCTTGAATGCACGTGCTGTATGCCATTAGTGAATACATTTTATTCCATTTTATGCACATCTAGTTTATGATCACAAGCGATCATTATTGTGCTATGAATCACATCCCTTACCCGATTAATCAATGATCTAAAGTGGAATTCTTCTATTTTATTGTATTTTTTTTTTTTTTTTTGCGTTTAATGACTAACCCCCGGATTTTTGTCCCGGATTTAGTTCGTTAGTTAGTTTTGGGGGCGGCGGCTGCCCGGATTTTGGAGCCATGGTGCATAAATTATACATTATGACACACACACACAATTAATTGCATACGGCGCCATTTCTCGGGAGAATCATAAATACTCTACTAATGTGTTCAAGTTTAAAACTGGTTTAGTCTTCTGGTTCTTACATCCGATTTCATCCATTTCAACTTTCTCTAAAAGCTAAAACAAGACAATTATTTTCATTAGAACCAATAGAGAAACAGCAACAACGGTGGAAGCAAGTTAGATGGAGAGAAAAATAATAAAAAAAAAAAACGAGGCTTCATACTACGTTGAATTAATTCGATTCCGGTTTAAGGGTTTTATTAAAATCTCGTATCGTTGCTTGAATTTCCTACCATTACTCCTATTTCTATTCCTATTCCTATTCGTCCTCCCCTCTTCTCCTTCAGTAGATGCATATCCAACCAATACATTCACAGAGATTTTTTTTTTATTATTCTGCATTAAATGCCAATCAAATAATTTGCCTGTTTTAAGACAATAATCTTAAATATCGGAGATTTATTACCTATTCTATAAATATCAAAACCACTTTCACTCTGCCCCGTCCGCCTTTCCTTATACATTTTCAAGCCATCTTCCCCCCTCTCCTATATCTGACTCTGTCATTGTAAGCATATTAAAGTTTAATTCATAACCATTGGGTTTCGCCCCCTGATCACAATAGAGTTAAGAGAATCAACAAACTAAAGTATCTAGGAAAGTGAAAGCAAACAAAAAAAAATAAAAAAAAAAAAACATCTGATGGTGGAGGATCCATACTAGACCCTCCAAAAGTTTCCTCCACATTTCGTATCACTTTTCTCCACAATTCAAAGTCGACTTGAACTTCCTCAGATGTTTTATAACTCTTATCTTTCTCCCTTTCTTTGCTTTCTTTCCCTCATTATGCTTAATTTTTCATTTTTGGGGAGAAAGGGAAATCGGTGTAATTATCGCTAAGTAAACTTGTTGGTTAAAGCAAAAAAAAAAAAAAATCCCCTCTTGATTTTCTATCCAACGATAAGGAAGTTACAAGAAGTCAGAATATTTTTAATCTACCATTTATTGTTTGCTGTTTTCCGGAGCGTTTAATCGTTTCCATTGCCCGTTGCTTTTATTCTGGAAATGTTGTGGTTTTCATTATTAAAGGGAATTTACTCCACTGTACATTTCTTTGTATAACATAACTTTTAAGTAAAAAAAACAAACAAACAAAGTCTCATGAAACAAACAAGTTGGGAATTATTACTCACAATAATAATAATAATAATTGGCATTTGTCCATTGGACTTACCTGTCCCACTTTCTCTTCTAAAGTATAAAACAATACGGAACCCCTCCTCATATCCTCATGCCGTTCCTCCTCTTTATCGTGACACTTGTTTTTTTCTTTTGTACGCGCGAAGCTTATCAACACTGGTATGATATGTTTTTCGTATCTCGCACTAGAACGATAAAATTAATTCCACTGGCATATGACATGGAATTTCAATATCACTACGAGATGACCTCATGGCGGGGAGTAAAAGACTAGAACTAAGGAGTAGGAATTGCATTAAATGTTTATATAATCTATGTATTAGGTAATCATCCGATATCTATCATAACTGACCAATAAATCATGCAAAAAAAATGACGTAGTGGTATATGTATCTTGTGAAAACAAATCCTTTTCTTTGTCATCCTTCTTATTCTGCCCCCCACATTTTGTTTCTTTTATGTATAGACCAATCTAAACGTGGAGGATTGATAGTTAATTTTCTCATTAATCGTTTGCTATTGCCTTCAGGATTAATATCAATTAATCCCTGGTTTTTTATTTTTTTGGTCAGTTCTTGAATTGTTTTTTTTTTGTCTGTCTTCTAACCAAATGGAAAAACTATCTCCATTGTTTAGTAGTTCTGCTTATACACTTTTTTTCTTCTCTTTATTAATTATTCTTCAGAGTTATAATATTGCTTTTGTGTGATTTATAGTTTAATTGGCAATCTCCACTTTTTATCCGATCCAGACAAATTTTATGTACCGATTGGGAAATAACCATCGATTAGTTCATAACCTCTCTGCACCAACCTTAAATCCAACAATAGGCGGGAAGAGATCAAAACACAATGATGACTTCTTTGTGGAAATACCATTTCGCCGTTTGATGCATCATGTATTTGCCTTAACGTTTATTGGGTGCCATTTTGTATTTATTTCATCTCGGATTAATTTACCCACCCAGTCTAATACCAACTTTCCGGAAACAATGAAAACAAACTACAAAAAAAAATATACAACCATTCAAGAGGAAGCTAAAAAAAGGGATAAACCCATGGTTAGGTGAACAATATAACCATTAATTAATTATTATAAATTATGGATCTATTATGAGGCATTTCCAATCAGAATGTGTATTAAATGAATATTCAACATACCCGCCTTTTAAGTAGATTCTTTCTTTTTAATAAACTAGTAATTTAGATCCAAGATGATGATGCTGATTATTGGATTCTTACTGAAGTTTCAGGTGAAAGGATTTGAAATTTTCATCATCTGATAGAAGTCCTTAATTAATCATCATCATCATCTTCTTCTTCTACATCTTCCCGCCTCGCCCAGTATTCGGTACTAAGAATAATTCAATAATATTAATATTATTATTATTAATAATAATACAATAGTATGACGGGATGAAAAAGAAAGAATCCGTTTTCTTTGATTTAAACAATGATATCCGTTTTTCGTGCATTAATCTTTGTTCATTTCTTCGGCCGAATATTCTTCAAATAAGAAACAGGAAGCGACTATTAGTAAAAGTAGAGAAGGGAATATATCGAGAGATCTGAAATCGTATGCAATCACTATAGATACAAATCGCGACGGAGTTGTTTCATACATGAATAAGCATTACATATACTCCCATGAGTAGGTCATCTATATTTTTCTACTTCGTTGTCTTTTTCTTTGACAGATATGAATATCTCCACTTAGCACGTTATCACATATCTTGACATAATCAAAGACATATTACATATTCAAACATATCAAAGAAGAAAAAAACGACAGGGGCGAGGGGGGTAGGGAGACAAATTATGAGAGATATAATGAGTATACATTTGATATCTTACATGAGTTAGCATATCTGAATACTTTACAGTATTATTCTGATTTGAAAGCAATAATTTTATTCACTGAGTGGAAAATCTTGCAGTATCGTACACATCTTTTGATATCTCTCGAGAATTGAACACAATCTTTTCTTTTTTGACCGTTGATATTGCCGCTAGTAGATTAACAAATCAATACCGGCTATTAATTAACCACTAGTTTCTTTTTTAGAAACTATGGAGAAATCAATTTACGATTAATCTAAACTGTTTATCCTTACTTCTTTTTTTTTATTTTCAACTTTTTATACCTCGGTTCAACTTGTAGTAATACATATGTGATCTATAGGCTACATGATAACGAAATCAAGAAAAAATGTAAATAAGAGTTAATAGTGACTATTATAAATTAATCTCAACATGGCTGGTAATAATAATATGTCTCTTTTCTTCTTCTACTTCTTCTTCTTCTCTTTCTCCTTCCTCCTCCTTTCTTCAGTGTAATATTATATCAACGTAAATTAAATTTCGTGTTTTCTATTTTTTTGTCTTGCATTATTTTTTTTTATTATTATTATTATTTTTGTTTGCAGTCCATTTCAAAATAATATTTAAATGTCGTCGTGCACAACGTACCAATAATAATAATTGGACATATGAAAACTTGCATAATTCCAGAAACCAACTTTAGTCCATTTTCCGGTTTCCGACATTGTTATATGCATAGATGGGTAAAAAAAAATTAAAGAAGTACTTATAACGCGGATATGAAAGTTAAGTTTTTCCGAGAGAAACAAGTTTTCCCAATTGATGCTTTTTTTCCTAAATATATAAACGTTTGTAGAGATTCTAACGGTACGTACGTATGTTGTTAGTTTTTAATAGTAATGGCATGTAATACATTACTGCGTATTAATACTACGATCCTACCCCCTTTTTCATTTTTACTCATGTAGTAGTAATGAAATTTATCACCATTTGTTAAAAATAATTACCAGAATGCCCGTTCCTTCCTTCCATTGAGAATCACCCCGTAAATGCAAAGGGAGTCCGTTCCAATGGAAGTGTGGAAACAAACGGGGATAAACATACCCATGTGAATAAAATGAATGATCGTTTCAACTTTCCTCTTTCTATACAATGATGTGTCATCATGACATAACATAGCAATGATAGGTAGACACATTCCAAACGATAAATGCATTCGCAGACTTCACAACTACTTTCTTAATTACAGCAATAAGAAAAATAGAGTTCAGCAAGATTTCCTCTTACATGATAACAATTGTAACTGTAACACCAATGATCATGAATCACTCAAAGGTATAGCGGTTTTCATTAACCGCCAAACAAAGCAAGAGTTAAAAAAAATTATTTTTACTTTTATCTTTTTAGTACCGTAGTTGCTTTGGCAATTATCCATCTTATTGTAACGTAAATGTATTTAATTCCTATTCTACCTAAAATTTTACTTAGATTCAACATTTAAATCCCCACGTACTGTCCATTTTATTTCTTCTCCCCCACACACACACTTGTGAAAATGAAAATGAAAAAAAAAAAAATTAGACAAATTGCGGATTTGAATCATCTACACAGTTTTTTATTTATCCTTGGTCTTTTCTTCTGTTTTGTGTCTGATATTCCATTTTTTCCCCACATACACAAAATGTCAGAAACGGATCGTTGTCCGATTGTTGTATTTAATTGTCATTTCCGAACCTCACGTGTAATTCACGTGTTTCACACACGTGACATTATTGAATTTTAAATTTTTTTATCTGAGTGTAATGAGAAATATGGCAAAAAAAAAAATTTTCGATACTGATTATAGGTTGATATACTCCAGTGAATAGTCAGACGATATGAGTTTAATATTTAGAAGAAATTTATCGACATGTTTGAAACTATTTCAAAGTACTGGGAAACCAATCAATAGATTTCAAACACTATATGGGAACAAATCATCACCTAAAAGTCAAGGAAATCAAAAACGAACTAAAAGGATGATAAATGGGAATAAAAATCATCATCATCATCATCAACAACAACAACAACGTAGTGAAAGAATTATTGATCCTAGAAAATTTGAATTTAAAGAAGGTTCAGAAACGTCCAAATCTGCTATATCTAGTTTAATTTCTAAAATTTATTATCAATCTTCAAATTTTATGGTTGAACAAGTTGGCGAATCAGGATTAATTAAAATTCATTTATCTAAAATACTAGAAAATTTAAATCTATCTAAACAAGGTATTCAATTAATTGATAGACCAAAAAGTGACGATGATGAAGGCGGTAGATTATTACCATTAATTAAAATTGTTCCTATACAGGAAATGAATTCATGGTATAATGACTTATTAGCAAAATCTAAACAAATTGAATTATTAGAAATTGGAAGTGTTAAAACTTTGAAAACTTTAGAAATTAAATTAAAACAAGAACAAAAGAAATCAGCAACTAAAGAATTTCAACTTAAATGGAGTATATCAATAAATGATTTAAAAAATCAAAAAAAATTGGAAATTCAAAAAATTATTCAAAATTCAAAAACTCAAAAATCGTTTTTAATTAATGTGGTTTATAATAAATCAAATCCTGGTAGATTAATTGATACTATCTTTAAAGATGAAGAAGATTTAGAAATCGAATTTAAAAAAAGAGAATTACTAAAGAAAATATTAGAAGAAGAGATTTTAAATGATTTGGATTGTAAATGGTCCGTTGAAGGTGATTTGAAAACTAAATTGGTTTATCAAGTAACTCCAAAACAAATTCAACAGGAAACAAATAAATCGGTTGATAAAGAAGAGCAACCAAAAAAGGAAAAGAAAAAGAAACAGCTACATACACAAGCTAAACCAAAATCTAAAACATCAGAAGAAGATTTAGATGATCTATATCTGTTTAAAATTGAAGATTAATCTCATGTACATAACCATTCTGGACCAAATAACTATATATATGTATATATATCCTTGTAAATACCCATCAGAATTCATTGTATATTATTTAACATTCACACAATACTACCATATCTATAACTTTCATTTGATTGTAAAAATGATTCACTTTGTTCTTCTTGTCTTGACCGATTAACTTGTCTTAATAATTGACGTTGTCTTAGTTTTTGAACTTTATAGCCATAGACATGACTATCAATAACTTCATCAACTATTGGATAATTTAATAATTTTTTGATTTGATTATCTTCTAATCCATAATTATTAATAATTCTAATGGATTCCTTATAAAACTCTTCATCATTTTCAAAATCTTCATTAGAATAATCAATATTGTTTAATTCCGAATCATTAATCAATAAATCATACATGGAATTACCAGGTAATTTCGGTGAGTTTGGTGGTGATGTCTTTGGTGAGTTGGGATAAATTCCTTTCATTGATGATGTATTACCTGAATAAATGGAGGAATTATCTAATGCATGAATTTCTGATGTACTTGGTATTATATTAGTATTACTTGTAATACTTTGATTATCAGGTAACCAATGTTTATGTTTCCCATCGTAATGATATCTTAAACCTTGATGAATTCTACTCATTCTACCCTTTGAATCAGGATGAGCAACATTTGCTTCAACCGAATAAAACAGCTTATAATCTTTATAATGATCACCATGAAATGTTAATTTAAAATCAGATAATAAATCTTTAAATCCCAAACAATCTTTCAAAGCATATTTAAATTGAAATCTACCATAAGGTAATTGAGAAATTGTAAATGGATAATAAGAAAATGAAGTCCAATGACCAATAGCAAATCCTATTAATTCAATACATAACAAAGCATTTTGTATGCATATACCAATGTTTTCTTTCTTTTCAGTACCATTACCATCTTCATCATCTTCACTTCCTGGTAATAATTGTAGAAAACTTAAAATTGCAAGTATAACCCCTTGCCAATAAGATGCAAAAATAATTAATTTAACACATAAAAATTTCCCAACAGGTTTAAATGGTTTCAAATCAACCCATAAAATCTTCCAAAATATAGCTAAGCAATAAAGTGATAAAGTAACACTAGCATTATAAATTAAAGTTAACCAAAAATAAATAGATTTAACACTCAAATCGTTAACATCATACCAACCAATCATCTCAAAAAACAATACACTAAAACAAATAACTGGTTTCAACCATACATATTGCAAGATTCCTCTTTTAATTATTAATAATGTTCTTGGATCAGAGATATCTAACTTGGGTAAAATATATTTCAAAAATCCAGGATGTGGAACAGGTGGTCTACCACTAGTCATAATAATAATTTGTCTTTCACCACCCAACATATCAGTTAATAATGAAAAGAAAGTATAAATAACAAATGCTTCATAAACTTCTCTAGTAGGTTCAAGAAAGAATTTATTAAATGGGGAGTTCTGATTGAGCAACATTGAATAGCATGATATTGCAAATAATGGTACTATCAACTGAATTCGAATCATTAGCCTTTGTTGGAATGGTTTACGATAATTAAGTAGATGTAATGTTATACTGATGAATATGATAATAGCTGATATTACTGACGAATAAAATGATAAAGTATACACCCATTGCGGTAGTAGTAATGTTTTCTCTTCCATCGTGATGACAGTATGTATCTATTATGTGAATTGAATGCTGCTTGCTAAAACAGATGTAGTTGTGTGAGTGTGTGTGTGGTAATATCTGAATGATCTTTCTTCTCTTTTTTTTTTTTGTTTGTTGTCTGGGTTTGCTTGTTTTTTTTTTCTCGTTTGTTTTTGATTACGCTAAGTTTGGCCGCCATTTTTATGCTTTTGTGTAACTGATTAGTTCTATCCCTGAGGTTTACAACTGTGGCAATACCAATAGAAGTGACACGTGATACAGGTACATGTGCATCATATATACATATATATAGTCACTTTATTTGAGTCTTATGTAAATATACATATACAATAATTGCACTTACTAAGCCATACCGGCATCTTTTAAACGTTTAAGTCTTTCTCTTTCTTGAGTTATTTTAGATAACTCCTCTTCACTTACCAAATGATGAGTATGATTTTCAGCACACTGTTCACCAGTACATAGTTGTATACTTTGAACAAATGGATCTTCAACAACATCTTGCATAAGATATCTTTTCTTTGGATCCAAAATCAACATATTCTTGATTAGATTTCTTGACTCAGCTGGTAATAATCTTAATAATCTATCAGGACCAATTGGTGGATGGTGTGAATGTCTATCTAGTGATAAATCATTCAAATCATCTTCAACATTGTTTGAGTTGAATTGTTGTTGTTGAGGACCAGCAAATGATTTATATGACGGATCAGACATTTTAGGTAATTTCCAAGGAAATCTTTTAAGAACCATGCAACAGTAGATGATTGCAATTGACCAAACATCTGCACCTCTTGGATCATACCCTTGGGGATCAAAAACTTCCGGTGATAAATATGGATCCAGTCCAACCACACCTCTGGCAGGAATTAATTTCATAGTTGGTGTTAACATTATATCACTTTCATTTATAAAATATCCTTTAGGGATTTCTTTCTTAAAATGTACTGCACTTCCAAAATCTATAATTTTTAAAATTCCAAATGAATTAACCACACAATTATCCAATTTTAAATCTCGATGGGCCAACCCATGGCTATGCAAGAAATGAACCCCATTAATCATTTGTTTGAAATAACAATAAATTTCATTAGGTTCCATTAATCCACTCATTACTAGATTAAAGAAATCAAATTTACAATATTCCATGACAATGTAATAATCAACAGTTGGGGAATTATTTTTATAATCTTTAATCAATTCATAGGTTTTAATTAAATTTTCATGATTCAATAGTTCGGCAATTTGATATTCATTATAAACTTTAACTTTATAATCAGATTCTTGTTCATTAGGTAATCTTGCTCGAAATTTTTTCACGGCATAAATTTTACTAGGATCAGTTTTAGAAGTTAATAAATTAACTGACCCACTAGCACCTGTTCCTAATAACTTTCCAGGAAGTCCATATTTGGCAAATATATTCATATCTACTTGTCTATCATGGCTCTTATGATTATTATGACTGTTATTATGACTATGTGGTGAAGATGACGAGTCACGTGGCTTGAATTTTTTGAGGAATCGACGTAATGTATGATGTTCCTTATGACTTGAAATGCTATTGGTGCTCTGACTTATATTCATAGGTGTACTATGGTTATTCATACCATTGCTGACACTATTCACTTTTACATGACTATTGCTTCTGTTTGGAGGAGTGCTTGATCTTGGAGAAATTGAAGACGATGAATTTTTTTGTTTCAAAAAAGAACGATGTGAAGAAGTTGATTTAATTGCATTATCGTCATTTAATGAATTTGATGAGGATGAACTAAATAGTTTCTTGAATGACATTTGGCAGTAGTAGAATATATACAGAATGCGGAATGTAGATGTAGATAATGGATAATTGTAATTGTAATTGACCAACTAAAGGATAACTCGGGTTGTACACGTTACTCTTTTTCTATGCGTGTAGCAGAATTGCTTACTTCCGTGGGGACTTGAACAGGAGACAAAAAAAAGAAAATAGGAGGGAGGATGAAATACGTTTAGTTGACGGTACTAGTCGTATGAGAAGTATATGCTAAACACCCGAATGCTGTCAATTGGTTGGCTAGTTGGTTGGCTGTGGAAAAAAAAAGGTGAAGATACAAGATATGAAAACCTTCGTCTTCTTCCGTGATCTTTTATTTAATTAGAAATGCAATGAAATGAAATGCAAGGAAAGAAGAAAGAGAAGAAAGAATGAACAAAAAAAAAATAAAGCCGAATTTTTGTTCCATTTTTTTTTTCTATTCGGATTTGGAAATATTTCGTTTTATTTTTTTTTTTTGTTTGTCTGTTTGTTTGTGGATTGTGAATTATTCAGAAAATTCAGTAAACGAAGGTCAGAATATTTCAAACAAGTAAGCTATGTAACTTATGTACTTGTTCATTGTACGTTGGTTGCTGGTGGGTTGTCATCACAGCTATACATTCATTTGATGTAAAAGAAGCCCTTGATCTAACTTTCTTAAACTTTTTATACTTTGATTTCAAAACTGGCAAAAAAAAAAAAGAAAATTATAATAAGAAGTTTAGCCTTCCAATATATGATACCATCTCTAGACACTCCCCCTCCATTTCATTGATGCTGAACCCACCATCTACAGATTTACTGCCGATGGTAATGGTACACGTAAATTTTAATGCGTGTATTTATACACAGCAATCAAGCACTCAGCCCCTACTCATCGTGCCTTCAACCAAATAACAACACGAGTGTAGGCAACTATGAGTGAAACGGAGAGCGGAAATAAAATTATTACTTAATCTGGTTATGACGTAACCCTCACTATTTATCATTTCAACGATAACAACAAAGATCTAGTTGCCAGTACTCCTCTTCTTTCTTCTTTATCCCATGTGACAGATAGATCTACTTCGTATTATTTAGTGAAATTCATCGTCACTATACTAAGACCCAAACATCTACTGCTGAATCATCCCCCTGTCAAAAACACATTGATGTTTCAAGTCTAAGCGAAGAGAAAAATAACGCTAAACGATAATCACAAAACATAATGGAATTTCGTGTTGCCAAAAATTGTTTTGTATGTACAAAATAATGATAAACTATGGTATTAAAACAACTATACAGTATAATGAAAACCAATCAAACTATAAATAAATTATCAACAATTTACAAAAAATAGATCAACAAAATGTAGAAAGAAAGAAAAAAAAAGAACCTTCTACTATAAAACTTGTAATTTAATAATACACCCAGATTCATCATCTCTTGCCATTGCTACTACTTGTAACTGAGGATTTTCTACTGTTATTCTCAGTATTAAGTAAAGATCTACTTTCTTCATCCTCATCATAATCATCATCTAAACCAAGAGAATCTGACCTAACGGATCCAGATTTAATTGAACTTGGGGAATCCTTCTTCTTACACTTACTCTTTTTACTCTTCTTCTTTTTCTTTTTCTCCTTTTGGGGCTCTTCAATATTGGTATCAATCATAAACTCGTGATCTTCAACATCACTGACATTCTCAATAATGGTTTTCAGAACACCTTGGACATTAATGACAGACTCAACAATACCTCCAGTTCTGTAACTTCTGGATTCTTGCTGTTCTGGAACCGGAATATTAATAGCAGAACTTCCATTAGCATGTCCATTTCCATTTGAATTATTCAATGGAATATCAATGTGATAATGGGATGCATCGTCTTCACTATGATTAATTCTTCCAGAAATTTCAGAGACATCTGCTTCTCGTTCATCAGGCAATAAAAACTTTTGGTTGCTTCTTTCATCAAATGATCTTCTTTTGGCTTCTTGAAGTGCCCCCTTTTCAGTTGAATAAATGGTTCCAATTTGCATTGGATTGCTACCTGAAGTATGAGGATTGTACGGAGGCGGGCTTCCCGCAGTAGCAACTCTCTTCATTGATTCGATTTTGTCTTGGTCTGGTCTCTTGATGGTAACAAATTTCTTGTTGGTCTCTAATGGATTCAAAGCAGGATTCATTGGCTTCCATTTTGATGCTGGACCTATAGGTGTTTGGAATTCATGACCAGTTCCACTAGTACCAGGCACAGAATGGGAATTCGCGCTAGTAGAAGTTTTCTTGTTCTTGTTGTTAGGGGTATAGGAAATGGCACTTGAAGTAGATCCTTCTCTCATTCGTTCAGTAATATCCACATGAGGCTCATTTGATTCAAGTGAGTTTCTTTGGGAATTAGGACCACTGCCGTTTCTTTGATACAAGTCATGCAAATAAGCAGTCAAGTTTCTCTTAGCTAATGGACCGGGTTGTTTTCTCTTGATATTCTTATTAATATCAACATAAACATCAGATTCATCAACAATTTCTTCACCAATCAATTCTTCAATAACATCTTCCAATGTTAAAACACCAACGGCTCCAGTAGGTTCACCTGGATTTTCACTCACAACAATCATATGTGATTTACCTTCTTGGAAATAATTCAAAATATTCAAACATGAAGTATCCAATCCGGTTTCCGGTAAAGTGGCCAATGGGAAGGCAGCAACCGGCAACGCATCTTCTGGGTCATAACTAATCAAAACTCTAACCAACAACATACCAATGAAATTAGTTGGTTCGTTTGGTAGAAAAATAGGAATACGAGAAAACCCGGTATTGAAAATCTCTTCAACTGTTTTTTGATCCAAAATAGTGTCGGCACTCATGGTATAAACTCTATCCATTGGGGTCATAATAGAACTAACTGGTTTTTCTTTCAAATCCAAGACGGCACCAATGATGGTAACTTCATCTTGGTTCAATCTTTCAACACCCATGGTTCTGTGTAATGTAACCAAAGTTTTCAATCCAGATTTCTTATACACAGTACCGTGATCTTCACCCAAGATATGATCTAACAACATCGCACATGGATAAGCAACTGGATACATGATATACATCAACACCAAAACAAATGGAGCAAACATAGATCCAACTTGCAAACCGTATCGAACACAAATAGATTGTGGAATAATTTCACCAAAAATAACAATAGAAACAGTGGAAGTAACAACGGCTGGCCAACCACCACCCAAACAATTATCTAAAACAATTGGCAAAGTTTCATTAGTTATAACATTGGACAATAACAATGTAACTAAGACCCAATGTTTACCTCTTCCAATCAATTTCAAAACATTTCTTGCTAGTTTTCTTTCATGAGGTTCACCACTAGTAGCAATGACCTTCAAATAAACTTCATCTTGACCCATCAAACCCAAAGTTAAACCGGCAAACACACCACCGGCTAACACCAAAAACACAGAAGTGAATAAGTTGGCATAAAACTCTTCCGGAGTCAATCGGGGTTCTTTATGAGCATTAGAAGTGGCTTCGGTGGAAGCTGCATGGACAATGCTATTTATGGGTAAAGATTTGACAATGTTGGTGAACATTAAAATGATTTTAATAAGCGAGGATGCGACGGTAGTAGAAGTGACATTACGATTATATGAATATAGCGGAGGTTTGGACATTAAACAGTTTAATCAGATGATGTAATCAAATAAATAATAATACTAGGAGTTGATATCTATTCAGTAAAAGAAATACTTTGATCAAACAGGAGTAATCAAAAATTGAAAATACGTAGTGGTTAAGAAATAAGGAGAGCAGAAAAGAGAGGTGAAATTAGTTTTTTTGGTTCTCTGTTTTTTCTCTTTCTTATATAAACAAACCTGCAATAGAAAAAAAAAGCAGTGAGAGAGAGAGAGAGAGAGAGAATACCCATTGTGGTTGAAAAACGCCAACTGGGTACAAAATTAATGCGGGTCGTGTGTAGTGTACAATTGTGGTTGATGGAAAGAAAGAAAAGTACTTAACGGTAATGAAATATCAATTTGTGTTAGAAATAATATTCTTTCGGTGGCAATTAATGGAATTTAATGTAAGAGTAGAAGAAGATGGAGTCGTGTGAATATTAAGAGAAGACAATACGAAGTCTATTATTTCGTGTAGTTTATCCATTACACTTTTTATTACGTTCCTGGATATTCTACATCTTATGGTTTTGATTAATTGATTGTTTGATAAAAGACCACAATTGTATTCAAACACTACATAAGGAAAGTCATGCGGAGAAGCAAGGAAAAAAAAAAGGAGATGGAACAAAATCAAGAACCAACCGCAAGCGACAAAGAAGATAAACCATAAACTAAACTTGCTACGGCTCAAGTCTTCAGCCATTCACTCAATTGACAAGAACAACAAATTAGGAGATGATACGGCATGATCCAAGAAAAAAATAATTATTAGTTCCTTTTAATTTATTTCTTTATGAAAGAGGCAAATTATTGATTCATTTAGGGAACTCTGGTTGAACTTGTTGCACCTGGAACGAACAATTTCCGTTTCATCATCATGCTTTTTGCGCCTCGTTAATACTCTTTTGTGATTCTTCTTGTTAGCAGCACACGTTCGGTTTATAATTCCGACACGACGATAGAACAATTGATGCCATGATGCAGCTTCATCGGTTTTTACCCGCGGGAAAGTAGTGACATTCAAGAATACCCACTACTGTTCACATGAAAGATATAAACTTTTTGCATCAAAGTAATCTTATCTTGGATCTTAAACACCATTGTAGTGTAAAAATAGACTAAAAAAAAACCACTCACATATTGTACTGAGAAAGACTTCAAACTACAGATTCTTGTTGGTCGCGGTGGTAGTGTTGATTATTAGGAGCCAAACAGTGCTACTATATCGAATTTGCTTGTACGTATTCTGTACCAATTATTTCATCTTCCTACCTTGTTACTCTTCATATTGTTATCATTATTGTTGCTTCATATCAAATCCATTGATTTTGGTAGCCGCACGATTTTATTACTTTACACGACACGATCTTTTTTTTTTCTTTACTTCATCGTGTCACTACACTCCTCCATTACCACTACTACTACTACTACTACTACTACTACTACTACTACTACTACTACTAATATTCACGGTTGGTAAATGCCCATTGTTGTATGAATTTTATAATCAACAATTCTGTAATTTTAAGATTCCTAATAGTATTTTTCATATTATTGGGGTTATATTTGTTAGTATCGTTTTTAATTCAAAAAATCATATTTGATCAATATCCATTCATTTTTCACAACCCCAAGGATTCATTAAAAAGACACAAGGTATCAAGGAAAAATAAAAACTACCCTTAAAGTATTCATATGGACATTGATAATCCTCCTATTCAAATATATTTTTCAAATGATTTGAAAAAATCATGGTTTGAAGAGGCATATTTGTTAGGATATAAGTTTAATAACATTTATATTGTATTTTGTTTAATTCATCAAGATAAATTACCTAAACTACCTCAAGAATTAAACGATTTGAAAATAATTGGATCATTGAATAAAAAAACAAAGTATGATTTGATTTTAAAATATGATAAAAAGGAAAATTTATTAAGAAGTAATGAAAATGTATATTTAATATATTTTGATCCACCAAATTTTAAGAATTTGGAATATTTTTCAATTAATCCTATTCTTTTACAATCTATGGGCAATGATGATCAACATCCAAATGAAGATCTTGAGTTATATCAAAGATTAGAAAAAAACGAACCAAAAAGAAAAGTCAACAGGAATCAATCATTTATATCTGATGATAAAGTACTTGAAAAGATAAATCATCTTTACAGAAATAGACTACGTTACAAGAAATTTCAAGCAACAAGAGGTAGTGACTCCACGATTAATGAAAACCTAACAAAACCTATTATTCATGGAGTACTCATACCATTAGTCATGTTGATTCAAAAATTCCTCATTATTATCATATCACTCATTAATTATAAATTTGTCAAGTCTTATAGTCTAGTTGAAATATTTAAAGTCTTTAGACATTTGGATTTACGTTTAAAACAATTTAATTATTTTCCAACACAATTTTTATGTTATTATGATAAAAGTATATTATATTCACCATCTGATTCGGTAAATATTGTTGGTGGGTTGAAATTACCAATATTTAATAGTAATTTAAATATTAATAATTCCAATTATATTAATTTATATAATTCAATCTGGTTAATTATTAATGACATTCTTCTTGGAGTCACAATCTTTGGTACAATTGAACAAAAATTCCCAGACATTGTACTATTCATTAAAGAGAAGTTAATTGAAAAATATCTATTTAATGAAATGTTAAAACTAATAACTTGGATAACTACAAAAAATCCAGCAGGTTTTAAATTAAACACGGATTTGGGTAAGTTTCTCGGTGATTTATATATATGGACCATGTGGTTTTGGAAAATAGTAGTTGATCAAACAAATACTACTAAGAATTATCAATATATTTTGAGTATTCTTAAAATAATGTGTTATTTTGGTGGATGTTCATTGTTGATAAGTTTTTTACTTGATTTAATTGGATTAATTACAATTCATATTTATGCATTTTATTTTTGTTCAGCAAAAGTATATCGAAAACAATTGGATATTATTAAATCTTTATTTCAATTATTTCGAGGTAAGAAATATAATGTTTTGAAGAATAGAATTGATAATTTGAATAATTATGAAATTAATAATAATGATGCTTTTGAAATTGATCAATTATTATTAGGTACTTTAATATTCATGATTTTGATTTTTTTATTGCCTACTGTTTTTGCATTTTACCTTGTTTTCAGTTGTATTCATGTAATTATATTGATGACTTTTAATTTGTTAGAAAATTTATCAATTATATTATGTTTCACTCCTTTATTTGTGGTATTGTTGAAATTGAAAAACTCAAAACGTTTACAAGGTGGAATTAAATTTGATTATTTGGATTATAAACATGGAATGACAATAATTAAATTATCAAATAAATCATTAACATATCTGGAGATATTTAAGAATTTTATAAAATTATTCAAGAGGGCAAAGAATTTTCGTAATTCCATATTGTTGAAATTTTTAACTGGTCGTATTATTTCAATTGAATATGATTATAATTTGAAGTTTAATTATTTGATGTTGCCACAAGATTATAGTGAAACAATAAACGTTTGGAAATTTGTCAAATAGTTATAAAACATATAAATTAGAATATATAATTATCAATGATAAACAATTGTAAGAGAAGAACTGAATAATTAACGATAAACTAACATACTTGAAATCATCTAGAAAATGAAGATGAACTATTGGCTCTATGCATTGAAGGTGTTGAATTTGGATATTTTCTGTTGATTGAAACAGTTGAATTACTCCTAACAAGTCTTTCATTGGTAGTCGAAGAATTCAAATGTAAAACTCTTTTACTAATAGCAAGAAGTGTCACTACTATTAGCATGAATCCCGCATATAATAAGAACACGGCACTTGGGAATCCCTTTGTCAATGAGCTTCTGTAAAAATTCATCACCAATATAGGAGCAATCACTGCTACCACATTGTGCAATAAAGAATTGGCACAAAATACTACTCCTGTTTTGGAAGTAGGATAAAATTTCAATAAAGAAGATTGTGTTGCTGGACCAGAAATTGATCCAAAGGCAAACAATCCAAGTAGTAAGTAAACTTGATTGGTTGAGTTTGCAACCACCATTAAAAGATAGTATAACGTGTCAATGCTATAGCCAATAATCATCATGGAATAATCTACCATATCTAATTGTTTTTTCAACACTCTAAACTTGAATATTTTAACCAACACTTTATTTTGAAAGATCGGTAAAAGAACAATCAATACTATTGCTTTAGTAGATGCTAAAATGGTCAATAACAATCCAACATCCTCTGTGGCCCAATCAAATACAAATATACCATAGTTCATTAATATTTGACCGAGTGTTAAAACAATCATCATATGAACACATTGAATAACAGTCAAGGAAATAACAACAAATCTAAGTTTGGAAGCTTTATGCTTGTTATTTTCACTTATAAGACTTGTAGGATAAGCCAAGATCAACAATGGCGAAAAAATATCGAAAAACTTTCTGAAAAAACCAATCTGCTGTTGCTGATTTTGCAATTGACTAAGGGCCGTAGCAGAGTCGGACGTTGAGCTGACAGAATTGGCTCTTGATTTTTGTCTAGCTTTCTCATTTCGTGATTCTGGGAATAATGTCACCAAATAAATACAAATGATTATATTGACGACAATTTCAAATTTCAACAATAAATATTCACTTTGTAAAATACGAGAGGCTTGGGTTATGGCACTAATACCGATCTTACCAGCAGTATCGCCATCTAATCTTTTACCCAAATCACTAATCCAGTTCCCAATAATAGGTCCTGCTGATTGACCAATAAACAAACTAGACATACCCAAACCTAAAGAATAAATTCTGGCATGTGATTCAACGATATCAGAAATATAACTTCCAATTAAAGCAGATATAATCATTGCACCTCCGGTGATATTACCTACCCAATTTGCAGCTAATAATAATTTAAATTGAAATGTGTCATAATTTCTGAATATCAAATACAAGAAAATATGGGACAATGTAAATGAGAAGAACACAAGAATGAAAAATGGTTTTCTTCCATAAATATCACTCAATTCACCAACCTTGGCCACAGGAATTAATGATACAATAGTACTACCAACCATTGAATACATAGTATATGATGATACTAACAATTGTGTGTCAACTGGATCACAATATCCTTTTGAATCAGTAACCGAGTTGCATGCCAATTTGAACAATATAATTTGCTTGGTTGCTATAGTCGATGACATAGCTAACATAAATAAACAAATAACCAACCCCAAAGTATAAACTGAAGGACGATAAATAAAAGATACGGCTTTATGGTTCTCAATCTGTTCTCGCAACCAAACAATATCTTCATCTGGGGATTCTTCTCCCTCATCCTCTTCTTCTTCTTCTTCAATGACTATGGCTCGATAAGCATCATTAACTGCTCTTTCCAATAAAGCTTCGCTTTCAAGGCTTGGGGGTTCAGCAGAAGAATCCATGTTTGAGATAAGATATCCAGGAGGCGATCTAACAAAAACAGAAACAAGGAAAAAATAAAAAATAAAAAATAAAAAATATCCTAATAAAGCCGTGACAGTATTTAACTCAGGGCAATATCACACAACAACGAAAAATATGAAACTATTGAAGATGAAAAAAGTCAAACACTGTTGAATTATACTAAGAAAAAAAAAACAGAAGAGACAAGACTTGAGAGATAATCTTATAGATTAAATACTAAATATGTGTGTCTTGTTTTTTTTTGATTAGAAATTTTAGTTTGATGGGAACGGCATCAAAAGGAGTAACAAAGAAAATGTTAATCGCACATTGTGGGAAAACCGAAATCATGAACTAAAAAAAAAAAACTTGCGATTATGAGAAATCTATCATTGCTATTACCACATCTAACCTTAGTTTGTCATTCGGTGCCGAAACAAACACTCATATACAGAATAGTGACAACATCTACAGTTTATAATGTTTGGAGGAAATCGTGTATTTCGTGGTAAAAAGGAGCAAGAAGCGTATGATAAAACCCTTGCCGGGAAGTATCTTAAATTAGTGAAAAAAAATCATTTTGTATTTTTTGGTTTACCATTCTTATTATCCATAGTAGCAGGTTCAATTTATCTACAAAATTTCACCGCAGTTAAATGGGAAAGGTATGATGAAAAGTATCGTCAACTTGGAGAAGAAGAAATGTTGAGTGTGATTGAAAATAAACGTCCAGTTGATAAAAAGAATGATTATTATCGTTTACAAGGGTTTTTACAAAATCAAACGAATGATGATTATGAAATGGTACGTGTTCCAAGAAAGAAAGAAGATGAACCAGTATGGGATAGACAATAATGATTCTTGTATATACTTTTCAGCCCCCCTCCTCCATCGCCTCCTTTAAATTCTTGTAAATAGTGCAATTCGTTCATCCCTCGATCAAATATAAAAATGAAATGTTTGAAATTTCGCCGTGTATTAGAATTGGGAAAACCGGAACAATATCTCATCTACTCCTCCCTATTTCAATCATTGGTTATATTGTAGATGTAGTAATAATTTGCGCACGGGTGAAACACTTTTGTTTACTTTCCGTTATCCTTATCAGTGTACTTTTTTACGATTATTGCTTACGGAGTTTGCCACGTTAAGTCCGAGAAAACACATCAACTGGTATGGTAATATAAAAATGAAAAATTAAATAAAAAAGAAAAACTGTGGCAAGAGAAGTAAAAGTTTATTGTGGATAGTAACCACAACCTACATGACTATTAGTATAACCACATTTAAGGAAGACATCCACACAGTGGTTGTGTAAACTATGGTGTTACTCTTTGTAGATAAGTGGTATTCTCAAAAGAAAATATGGGGTTTGATTACCATACAATAAGCAATAAACAAAATCTGACACTGATCAGCTCAAGTGAGGTTAGGGTTGTTGCCCTAATCAATCCTGCATGTATGGCTTTACACCATAATAGTCTTTTCTTTAGTGCGCGCTGGCACCATAGATTTTGTTGCTTTGTTATATTTTTTTTTCTCGTTGTTGTCGCACTAAGTGGGAATGGTAGTGTAGAAATTTTCTTTTTTGGTGCGTGGGCACGTACTGCGTATAGAGAGTATTCTTGCTTCTCTCAAACTTTGATTGTACCAGAGACTGAGTGAGGAAAAAAAAAGAATATTTTCAAATTTTTTCATAGTTTACTAAGTAATTTCCTGTCCTACTAATCAACAAGCATATTGAGAAGATGTCATTACCAGCTTCATTTGACTTAACTCCAGAAGACGCTAAATTGTTATTGGCTGCCAACGTCCACTTAGGTTCTAAGAACGTTCAAGTATGTTTTTAAAATAATCAAATGAAATGGAGAATAGGATTATTGGGAAAGAAAAGTGTGTGAAAAAAAAAATGAGAAGAGTGTAAGAAGATAACTAGGAATAAGAATTGATGGATTAAAACAAATAAATGAGATATAGACAATGTAACAAGATCATGATAGTTAGGAAAGATCAGGTGAATTTATAATATTTGGAATTGACACTTTATCATGGAAATCTAGTGGGAATAATATACTAGAACTTTTTCTTTCAAGAATTTCACCAATATCCTTCTTCATAGATACACACACATGGGATATGTTTTTAATACTAACATTTTTTTTTTACTTTAGGTCCACAACAAACCATATGTTTACAAAACCAGACCAGATGGTGTTAACATCATCAACATTGGTAAAACTTGGGAAAAAATTGTCTTGGCTGCTAGAATCATTGCTGCCATTCCAAACGCCAATGATGTTGCTGTTTGTTCTTCCAGAACTTTCGGTCAAAGAGCTGTCTTGAAATTCGCTGCTCACACTGGTGCCACTGCCATTGCTGGTAGATTCACTCCAGGTAACTTCACTAACTATATCACCCGTTCTTTCAAAGAACCAAGATTGGTTATTGTTACTGATCCAAGAACTGATGCTCAAGCCATCAAGGAATCTTCTTACGTTAACATTCCAGTCATTGCTTTGACTGATATGGATTCTCCATCTGAATACGTTGATGTTGCTATCCCATGTAACAACAAAGGTAAACACTCCATTGGTTTGATCTGGTGGTTGTTGGCTAGAGAAGTCTTAAGATTGAGAGGTATCATCCCAGACAGAACCACTGAATGGTCTGTTATGCCAGATTTGTACTTCTACAGAGACCCAGAAGAAATTGAACAAAATGCTGCTGAAGAAGCTAAAGCTGAAGAAACCGAAGAAGCTCCAGCTGCTGAAGCTGAAACTGAATGGACTGGTGAAACCGATGATGTTGATTGGGCTGATTCTGGTGCTACCCCAGCTGCTGAAGATGCTGCTGCTTCTAACTGGTAAGTATCTTTTGAAGGATTGGAAGAAGAGTAATTATATATAAAGAGAAAAATAAAATAAAAAAACATTATTCATTTAGGTTTAATGATGTATACTAATCACATAAAATGAGGATGTCATTTAACAACATAAACTACGAAAAAGGGGTTAAAGTGTATTTTACATACTTTTTTTATCATTTTAAATTCATGTTTAATATTATTGTAAATATTATTTTGTATTTGTAAGAGTTAGAATATAGCCCTAATATTGTATCGACAAGAAGTTAATTTATCTGTAGTAATGGTTGAAAATTTTTTGCAGTTGTCGTTTTATTTTCTGTATTTTATTTTTTTTTTAGCTGTGAGTACACACATTGATCTCTTCGCAGCACACACTATTTAAACTCCCACCCAAAAAAAAAAAAAAACTTCATATCTTTGAACACTTTTTCTTTTTCTTCTTCTTCTTTTAAAATCAACGGATAGTGACTAAAAAACTTGTTCAAAAAGAATTATTAAAAAAAAGAAATAAGTAAGTGGGAACTTATACTATGAGTAATTGGATTGAAAACCTTACTTGAGGATATCAGGAACTTTCAAGGGTTTTCCTTGTTAGGTCCGTTCATTTTGATTTCTTCGTTTTCCTTTTTTGTTTATGCCTTTTTTTTATTTTTTTAAAAAGATCCAGTTGCTCGTATTTGTTTCTACTTTATTTTGAATTTTTTTAAGGCAATTTTTTGTTTTTTTGGTTCTTCCCAAATTAAAACACCTGGTTTATCGTATACTTCTTTTGATTTATTTAATAAGATTTTGTACTTCATGCCCAGGTGACATTTTTGTATTCCTCAACTCTCTTTCTCATTTATAAGTTTATCTGTTTGTAAATTGACTACAATATTGAGCTTATTACTAGAAAAGAAATCAATCTATTTTAAATCTATATCTTCTAAAGTCTTATCTATATCCTGTTCCACGGGCTCATCGTCTGATATTGCTTCCGTAACTTCATGTGACAACGGGCTCTTCATTGCAGCTCTATGCACCGGTTGTGATTGTGGTGGATGATGATTAACTTTAGTTGGTTGTGTAATCTGTGTTTTCACTGGTTTTGGAGCATCCTTGACACCATCAATGAGGGTTAAATTATCATTGATAAATGCATCTATCGATTGGAATCTCTTGCTATTCAAAGTCAATATCGATACTTCATTATTCTTTAATTCTTCAAGGAGTTGTTGTGCATTTGAATCTGTTGAGCTCTCCAAAGAATCCAACCAATGTTTCATACTTCTTCTTTTCAACATTTCCAAATACGGTATTTCCAATCCACCATTGTTCTTGTCAATAAATACTAATTCTCCTTCAGTACCAATAAATAAATCACCATCATTATTCTTGACATTCTCTTTAATATCCCAATTTCCCAACTCCAAGTCATTAGCAAAAATCAAAAGAAAATCACCCCAGGAATCAGATACTTTATATTTGAAATCAAAATCTCTTCCAAAAAGTATTACTTGACCATATTTACCTTCTGAAGCAGGTGATAAATCGATTCCAATATAGTTCCCCACTTCATCTGTAACCAATGGAATCCACATTGGGTGTGCTAAGGTTTCATGGATCGTGTTTGGGGGAATAGATCTTTGTTTTGGCATATAATTGGCATGCCTATTACTAGACGCAGTTTCCATTGTTGATAGCGAGGTAACCGACAAATCAAACGAAGTTCTAGCCGAAGACACCTCACTGCTAAAGTTACGATGAAGGGTGCCACCAGAAGTTGAACCACTTGCACCACTAACACCACTTAATTTCTTGGTATATTGATTTGTACTTGTATGAGAAGTTGGCAATTTTGACATTTCACTTTGAAAATTCTCACGCAATTGTTGATTAAGGTAAGCAGCTACTTTTCTCCAATTATCTGCAGCGATAGTAATTTCATCCAATGACATTAGTTTCAATCCAAATATCAATCCGGAAGATTCATAATCAGCATATTGTCCATCGACTAATTTGAAATATTGTGATACACAATTTGGTAATTTTATATTCAAATCTTTCTGAAAATCTTGTAAATCAGCATCAGTGCATTTGCTTTGTAATGATTGGTTTATATCTGACGAATATTTAGATAACCAGTTCTTTATATGTCTCCAAGCCAAATTAACCTCGTGTACACCTTGTAAATTATTACTATCTTCATTAATATTCGATACTAATTCCAAGGATGAATTATTGTGATGATGTCCTAACAAATTTTGGGAATCCGGTTTATTGACTCTGTTGAATGATTTTCTTGAGTCATATTCTGAGTACTTGTCACTAGTACTAAGTGAATATATAAACTCTTGTAATTTCTGCCCGAGTTTCATAGTAAATAAAAATTGATATTGAAGTTATTTATCTGATTTCGTGGTGATTCGGTGATTGAACAGGATTTTGTTCTTTCTTTTAAAAAAAAAAAATTTCTACGTAAACAATCTGAAGGGGAAAAAAAAAGACTGAGTACTAAAAATTCTCTTTTTTTTTGGACTAAAATTGAGATTGTTGCAAAGGGAATCTAAAAAAAAGGACGCGTGTTGTTTGTTTTGTAAAGCGATTGAACAAAACAGTATTGGTTGAAGTTGTTGATAATTTTCTTGAATAAAAAGAAAAACGATAACTACAAATAGAATAAAATATAAATGTCAGAATATATGAAACGTATTTAAATGACTGGGGAACGTCTTGGGGTGGAAATTATGTTTCAGTAAGTTTTTTTTTTTTCTTTGTTCTTTTTTCTTTTGTTCCATTGTTTTGATATTTCCATTTTTTCCTTTTTCGGTGTTTGCTCAAATTGTTGATATTCTCATGGTGGTTAAAGGAAAAACCTACCAGTATGTCTCTTTCTCCAGATAACCAGATATCATTAATCATGAGTCGACAATCAAGAAAATCCTCATTTCCTGTAAATATTGATTGGTTCATGTTTTTTACATCATGAAATTTACTAAAAAAAATTATGCAGGTTTATGCCTTCAATTTCACTTTTTGTTTTAGAAGAAAATTAGCAAAATTTTATCAGTAAAATTAAAAATGCAATAAACTTTTTAATAGACTTTTAACGTCAACAAGTTGTATTAAAATTTTAACTCGTCTACTCATCATTGGATAGCAGACTAGACTTCATATCACCCTTGAATACTATCGCTTATTATTCAATAATCACAAGTTGTTCAATCTAGAAATTTGTACGCGTATGCACGTCTACTAACACAGGTAGAAAATTATTTACGTCACGGGATTCTTACAGGTCGTGTCTTGCATACATACATAAAAGATTTACGAGATTTTGGTCCCTTTAATATCGGCAATATATATTTACCAGATGATTTGTTTGTTTACAAATACATAAAAACAAACAACACTTATAGCATTTAACCAAAGGAACTCCAACAAACTATTATTATGCTCTATGAATAAATTGAAAATAACCACGGGAGTCAAATAATAACGTGGTTCGAAAAGCGGCGAAGGAACCAAAGTACCAATGAGAGCAACAAAGAAAGCAAAGCAAGTCATGAAGCTACCCTTCCACAAGTGACCAATAGTGAAACTACTAAAATGGTGAGGAACAGTCATTATAATAGCTGGCAATTTCTTTATGATTCTTCTATATATGTAAAAAGCAAAATGTCTGTTATCAGCCAAAAGAAATGGGTGTACTATGGTGGTATACTTAATAGCAACAAATATGATAGCAAATAAGCAAGCACTAACAGTGATACTCTGAGTAATGAATGTGAAATAACTTCTAATAGATGCAATACTGCCCGAAAACAACCCAAAGAATGCAATGAATGAAGTGCAATAGAATAGTTGCACCAAATGGATTTTTATTTCATGATTACCCGAATCACCCAATGTTATTCCTCCGTTTACTTTTAAGAACACTGCAAAAAGCACCACATTCAAAACATATCCACATAAGTTGAACCAATTTCTGAATGCCGTGGTGGTAAATTTCATAATTCTATCCATAATACCAGTTGTATTTATTACTTGCTTATCAATGAAAACAACCGCAATAAAACATATCCAAATGATGTTAGTTTGTCTGAACCAAAGGCTGAAGAATCCAATCAATGCACTCCAGAAAGGATGTTGGGAACGTTTATTGTTTACCAATGCCAATGAGAAAACTATCAAAATTGTAGACCAAACATCTGTATAGAAAAGAAAATAATAAGTAAACATTAATGGCTGTGACATAATATTAATACTCCAAAATTGACGAGGGTTTGATTTCTTGAATAATTGAAGAACCAACGGCAATACCACCAACCCTCCAATTAGATTAACTGATCGTAATATATTTGAATCCATACACGCTGGATATCCTGAGACCAATTCAATTAATTTTGAGTAAACAAATCCAATTATGTATAAACCAGGTGGAGTAGTGATCTTATCATCCCATTGAGTAAATTTGTAATCACAATATGTTTGACATTGTCGAAGATGGAAAATCTCATCAATGTATGGTTCAGGGATTGTATTCTTGATATTTTGAAAAACAAATACCGTGAAACCAACAAATAACGCTATACATAAATATTTAGTTAAAGGGAACACATTTTGTGGAACGACTAATGGCATGAGTGAAAAAGTTGATAATTTGGATGTGATTCAATGTTGATAAATTTTTTTTTTCTTGATGTTGTTTTGTTTCTCTCACTCTTTTTCTCCCTGTCTCTCTCAAGGTTGTCATGATTCAAATCGTTGTAACAATTTTCTGGTTGCAAAAAAAAAAAAAAAGAAAAACAAAAAATAGAAACCAATTCCATTTTACAACACCTTCTATTAAATCAAATAGTTCTAACAATACCTACTTTCAAATGGATATCAAATATTACTGCTTTTGAAAATTATATTGCTATAACACCATACTAGTTATCTGCCTGTTATTCTTACTATTAGAGACATATCCGAGTATCTGTTTTCTTCCAATTGGTTGGTTTGTAAAGTTTACTTTTTTCTTTTCTTTTTTAAGTTATGTCCAGATCATTGATTCCAGAAATCGGGAATAGGTTTATACCATCGTCTTCATCTTCCCTGGTTTATAGAACAAGCCATAATTATGAACTTGACGAATCCAATTCCAGTTTTTCCCCTGTTGACTTATCCCTTCGTGAAAATGCTTTGTTTAACCATTCAAGTTCAAACATTTCTTCTGGACATCAAGTATCTGTAAGTTCAGATAGTGAAAGTATACATGCAAAAAGTCCTATTTCTCATGTAGGAAGTCCATTAGATTTGCATCAAGAAATAGTTGCTGAAGCGTTGGATTTTGTGCATGATACTAAAGTATTGAAATTTGATACCGTTCCAAATTTGAGAACAAAGAAAATTCCATTTCATAATAGACTAGTTGGTTCAATGGGGGATGATGTTTTCACTGAAATGAACAAAAAACCACAAACTCCAGTAAAAACTATTGTTGCTACTGATATTCTCCAGGCACCGGGTTTGAGAAACGATTATTATTCAAATCTAGTTAGCTGGTCATATAAAACCAATAAAGTAGCTGTTGGATTGGGTTCAAAAGTGTATCTTTGGGGTGTGGATAACAATGTAACACAGATAAATTATAATAATGAAGAATTGATAACTGCAGTATCATGTTCAAATGAAGATTGGATATTAGTAGCTACAGCTGCTGGGAAAATATTATTAATGGATCAACAAGAAAATGCTGTTATTGCAGAATATACAACCAATGAAGGAAAATGCGTGTTTTGTTTCACGTGGTTTAATAATTCAACCATGTTTCTTGCTGGTGATGATTTTGGAGAAGTTTATATTTTTAAAATAACCAAATTGTTTACTGCTGAGATAAAGCTCGTGAAAATATTCAAATGTCACCAGCAACAAATTTGTGGTATGTACTAAATTTTTTTTTTTTCAACAAGGAAGTCTGTCTTGTTCTGCGATGTACTAACAACATTCTAGGTATTGCTTTAAATGGAAATAACGATGAAGTAGCAGTAGGTGCAAATGACAATTGTTGCACCATTTGGAATATCAAAGATGTGACTGAACCTATCTTGAAATTTGTATTGCCTCATAATGCTGCAATCAAAGCATTAAGTTATTGTCCATGGACATTATCATTATTAGCTACTGGTGGTGGTAGTAAAGATAGAAAAATTAGGTTCTGGCATACAGCTAGTGGTACTCTACTTAATGAATACTATACTGATGGCCAAATAACATCGTTGATTTGGTCAAGATTCAAAAAAGAGATTGTGGCCACCTTTGGGTTTGGCGGTACTAGTAAGTCAAATTTGTTGTGTGTCTATTCTTACCCTAAAATGCAACCTATATTAGAAGTTAATGCTGCTTGCAATTTGCGTATATTGAGTGCTACCATTCTGCCAGATAATTGTTCAATATGCGTAGCTACCAATGACTCAACAATACGTATATACCAGTTATGGGAAAAGACATTGGAGATTATGCCTGGGGCTACCCAAAAAATCACTGGCACGTATGGTAGTGATATCATTGAACTTGTAGAAGGAATATCAAAGAATGGCGAAGTCATACGCTAAGAAATCTGATCGTTTATATTGATCTGTCGTCGTTTTTATGTTATAGTTTCTAATAAGAATGTCGTGCAGTAGGCTCATTTTCAGATTTTGCCAACTCAACGCAACATTCAAATGAATACACACACATTACAGCGGTCTATTTTATTTTTTGTGCATGACACATTGCACACTTAGAATTCGGTTTCTCTCTCTTTTGTTTTTTTCTGTTCCCCTAATTTAATTTATAGTTTCTCCTTTCCTTACTTTTTCTTTCTTCTACTAACCATCAAAAGTATTTACTTCGTTCTTTTTTCTTTTATATTTTTCGTTTTCAACTCTAGCATATCGATATAGATTTGAAAAACTACTACGGATATCTACACAACTATGTCTGCCGCATTAGTCAACCGTTCTTTAACTACCATTAGAACAGAATTAGAGTTTTTGAAAGATTCTGATGTTATAACTGAGGGGTTATACGAGAAGTTAATTGAATCATTACCAGTTAAATACCAAAAGGACTCAGCTCCATGGGATGTCGACAAGTTGGCTACAGGAAGTAGTGATAATAACAATGGTGCAATTGTACCAAAGGTTCAAAATAAATCAAGCACTGATGTCTTAGCCGATGATTTAGCACAAACCAGTATTTCAGTGCCACCCCCAGCTTACCCACCAGCACAGCCTCCTCGTGAATCTCCAAGTGCACCAAGACCGCTTGGTTACTGTATTGCTACCTATGATTATAACGCACAACAAGATGGTGATTTGAATTTAACAAAGGACGACAAATTGGCCATTGTGGAACATTTGTCAGAAGATTGGTGGAAAGGTTACAAAAGTACTACCGGACCAGAGAAGACTGGGGTATTCCCATCAAATTATGTCAAGACCATTTCTGAACTGGAATATGAGAGTAAAGATAAGAAATCCGAGGCACCATATCAACAACAAGCTGGATATTCTGCATACGGATCACCAGCACCATATCAACAAGCTCAACCACCAATCCAACAACAACCTTCCTATGGTGGTTATGCGCAATATCCACCACCATCTACTAATTACTACCCACCTCAACAATACCAACCACCAGCACAACAACAACAACCACAACAACAAGTTGTTCAACAAGAACAACCACAACAACAGGGACAACAACATTCTCATGGTGGAGAACACCTCAAGAAATTTGGTAGTAAGTTTGGGAACGCAGCTATCTTTGGTGCTGGTGCTACCGTTGGTTCCAATATCATTAATTCAATTTTCTAGAGGATTTGTAGTCTAATTTGAATCTGACGTTTGATTTTCTATGGTTTGTGTGATTTCTAAGATTATGGTTCTTTTTTTTATTTGGTTTATGGCAGTGGTATGTTAAGATACATTTAATATCTGCGGTAAAGTATGTAGTGTTAATGGATACAGATTCAGTTATAGATAAAGATACATTAAAATGTAAGCACAAGTACAAATCTACTTCTATACAATGTTACAATTTACATTATTAAAGGTTCTCTTTAGTTAGGTACTCCGCAAATTAGAAGAGTTGTTATGCGGAAACAGCAGCTCATGATGTACCGGCACCTAGCAGACCATCCATTACATTAGAAGAGGTTAAGAACAAACTCTACGTTGCATATACCAGCCCTACCCACGCAAAATTCATTTGCAATTACATTAATGGCTTAGATCCACAAAACTGCAACCCAATGGTTGCCAGGGCAGTCGGTATGTTAAGGGACTTTTCTTGAGGTCCATTTATACAATGCCGTTCAACATCACTATCAAGGAGAGAATCTCTTATCAACCCAATGTTGAAACAGTATTTGAAAAAGGAAGACATCTTAGATATTGGTACACAACTTAATCAATTTTTGAAGTATGACTTAGCAGCAACTATATTAAACAACCAATTTATGGTAACTCTCTTTATCAGAATCCATCTCACTAAGGATTCAAGCCGCTCTATAGGCATTCATGTTGAGTATATATCTCTTTCCTAATCTTCTGTTAGCACACAAGCGGAATAGAAAAAGAACAATAAAAGGTGTAAGTGTCGATGGATTTACTTGTCGTTATTCATTTTCGTGGATAACTTCTATTTTTGAAACTAAAATTCCGTAAAGTTTTGTGTACTGTACAACAACAAAAACAACGAACTAAAAAAAAAAAGCTCAGAGAATCCTTTGTTGTCCTTTGAGTATTTTTGGTTACAGTATTTTCCTTTCACATTTTTTTTTTACTTCTTTTGTATTATGTATACTTTTTACTTTTTTTAATTATTTTTTTTTTTATAAATCCTTTTCCTTTTGTTAATTTAATTCAAACTACCACTGCCTTCCTTATTCCGATTCAATTGATTTGATATTAAGAAGCAAGATGTCTAACCAAAACATTGACGATGATTTAGTTCCTGAAAAAGTTGAAGGATACACTGTTGGAGAAAAGAAAACCATTGACGAATACAACAAACTAGATGCTGAAGATGAAAGTTTAGCTAAATGGAAAGCTTCATTGGGATTGGCTGCTGATACTCAACCATATCCTACCAAACCAGGTGATAAAAGAACAGTCGTGGTTACTGAATTAGCCTTGGAATTCCCTGATCAACCAGATTTACAACCAATCAGAATCAACTTGGAAGATCAAGATGGAAACACCATTGCCAACAAAGAAGTCAAATTTAATATTAAAGAAAAATCTATATATCAATTGGTTGTTAAATTCAGAGTTCAACATGAAATCATCACTGGTTTGAAATATTTGCACCTGGTTAAGAGAGGTGGTATAAGAGTTGATAAAGTAGAGGAACCATTGGGCTCATATGCTCCAAATACTCTTGATAAACCATATTATGAAAGAAAATTCACAGAAGTTGAAGCTCCAAGTGGTATGATTGCTAGAGGAACTTATAGTGCTGTCAGTAAATTCATTGATGATGATGATAATGTCCATTTGACAGTTCCTTGGAGTTTTGCCATTACCAAATAATGATAATAAAATATGACAACACGTCTAATATCTATTTTTTTTTTTTAGTTTTTGTTTTATCAAAGTTGGTATCCTATGTAGAACTTCCAACACTTATGCATATTTAAAGTGAAATTAATTCTATATTTTAGTTTTTTTTTTTTTTTTGAATCATCTTTGCTCTTCTTTTTAGTAAGATTAACTTGTTGTTGATATAGCACCTGTATTACTATGTACAACCAATTAATGATTTAAAGGGTGGATAAATCAAATTTATTCTATTGTCTGATTCCTCTAAAGTACAAAATTGCGTGTACACAACTATTTACGTAACCCAACCGAATCAAACGAGTAAAGTGGAAAAAAAATAGAAAATCAGTTTGTATTGTTCTTTGGTGTATCACATCTAAATCATCACGATTTTGTGACAATTGATAAATTTTGTGCATTTGCGTGATTTGCTTTTCACTTGCGATATATCTCCTTTCACGTCTCCCTTTACTCTTCATCCGACAACTCAAAATATCCAATATTGGATGTATTCTCCACAGGCTTATCAACTTTCTGATCTCCAGGTTTATGCACCTGAATTTTGACAGCCATAGAGCCAAGACGTAAACTTTCAACAATATCAGGCTTATTCACACCAGAATGGGAAACTAATGTGTTTGTGGAGGTTGTAAGACCTTCGTTTCTTGTTGATGACAGTCTATTCTTAACAGCAGCTATCCTTGCCTTTTTCAGTGGTCTACTAGGAATATATGGAGGTGCCTTGTTTAGTTTCGTTGCAACGACAGCTTTGCGTTTGTTTGATATTTGAGGCGTAACATTATTGGCAGTCTGGAACCCACCAAACAAACTGACGTCCAGTTTATTTGTTAAAGTATCATACTCCTCTTGTTTGATTACAAAATTCATAGGAGCACCGCGTCTATAGATTTTGAACGCTGTCCTGTAGGTTTTATAAAATTTATCCACAGGGAAATTTTTGTCAAAAAGCTCATCCTTCTTTAAAAGTTTATATAACATCTCCAAATTGGCCATGTTCTTGAAAGCTAATTGATACTGCTTCATCTGTGACACAATATTGTCGCCAATATCTGTAATAAATCTAGATGGTGGACAATGAAAAGTTCTTGAATAATTTGAACCATACAGATAACCTGAATCCAGCAGATAACCTGAAATATAAAGAAGCGTCTTAGCTCTAGTAGTAGCAACATAAAAGCATCTACGTTCTTCATTAATCAGCTCTGCTGACTTTGAAGGGTCGCCATTAGAATTGACAGCAAACCTAGCTGGTAAAATTCCGTCAGATAAACCAGGAACAAAAACAACTGGCCATTCCAACCCCTTTGAGCCATGAATGGTACTCAATGATATTCCTTTGAATTCAGGAACAACTGAATTTTCACCTTGCTCTTCATTTTCGATGCCTTTGTTTTCCCCCAGCTCAGTCACAGCACTAGAGTCAAATAATCCAATAGATTCAATATACTGCATAATGAAATTACGCTTATCTGGAGTAAATTCCCCATCTATTTCACCGTTGTAAGGAGGCAAAGTCTCTTCCCGAGGAACAAATTCAATAAACAGTTTAGAAAGTTCCTCAACATTCATTCGTCTTTCCTCATAGTCTTTTGCATTTTTCCGGAATTCCTTATCCAAAGTTGAACCATCATATATGTCTTGAAATAAACGCGCTGCTTCATGTCTTAAACTTTCACCTGAACACGTTTCCATAATCTTCATCCTTTCTTGAGCCGTATCAATTATGTTAACATATCCCTTAAGAATATTACGGGTTCTAGTAGATAATTTCAGTCCATCTTTCCCGTTAGCAACCAATCGCAAACAATCATGTACCGACAAACCATTTTTTATGTTCTTCTCAATAAAAGCAATAATTGGGCCAGCTGTTTTTTCCCCTAACAGTCTTGCTGGGAAATTTATAGTTCGAAGAACTGAAAACAAGTCATTTTCATCACCACAAACCTTCAAATAATCCATAGTTGATACCACTTCTTTTCTTTCCCAAAATGATCTACCTTGAATCAACCGGTAAGGAATTTTGCGCAACCTCAACTCATCTTCCACTATCTTGGTTTGACTAGAAGCACGAAATAAAATTGCAATATCTTCAAATTTAATAGGTGAGTTTGGTAATGCCAATAATTGCTCGATTTCATATACTATCCATCGGGCTTGTTCGGCTGGTGTATCAAGTACCTTGTAAACAGGTTTGAAAGATACATCATTTTGGGATCGCAAATTCTTCTGGTGTCGATCTTTCTGTTGACGCATAACAGACTCTGAATATTGCAAAATATCCGAGGTTGAACGATAATTTTCATTCAACGTAATTTGAGATACAGAAAGATTCATTTTTTCATAATATTTTTCCATTTTTTTAAAGTTTGCCGATTGAGCATGACGAAATGCATAAATACTTTGGTCTGGATCGCCAACAATAGTAACATTATGCTGAAATTCCGGATTTGATACGTGACCTTGAGCAAATCGATACATCAATTGCAACTGAATTTCATTTGTATCTTGAAACTCATCCACCAAAACGTGTTTGACGTAATTTAAAACGGGGTATTCTTTAATCAATTGAAAACACTTCATCAAACAGTCATCAAAATCAAGCTTTTGATTCTCAGTCAAAGCTGATTCGTACTTTTGATAGAAAAAAACTAGAGCCTTATTTCTCTTAGGGCTCTTTGCATAGGCTTCCAACAGTATTGCCTTCGACTTCAAACTTGATATTTGCTTCGAGATTGAATCCAAATCAAAATCTTTGTAGGAATTAAGAACCTTACCCGATGTAAACTGTGATGTTGTTGCCAGTGACATTCTTTGTAACATAGTTAATTCTGAAGGTTGTAAACCAGAGATAATTTTTTTCATAATCAGTCTTTTATCTGTTTCATCGGCAATCGTATGCTTCTCCAAACCCAAAAATTTCCCGTACCTTTTGATGATCCTGTAGCACACACTGTGGAAAGTACCAATTATCAACTTATCAACACTTATGTTTGTGCCAGCCAATAATCTGTGCAAACGATCAGTCATTTCATTTGCTGCTTTTTTAGTGAATGTGGTAACAATCATATTATCTGGCCTAACTTTATCAACTATCAACAAATGTGCAACACGGGAAACTAAAACTTTGGTTTTACCAGTACCTGGACCAGCAATAATTTGCAATCTTCCATTACACGGAGACGTGACAGCCTCTCTCTGGTTTTCATTCAATGATTCTAAGATCCTATCTAAAATTTCTTTCTCAGAAACAATCATTCTTAAAATGACACAACCCAAATATCTCTAGAAAACTCAAGAATGAACGCGTTGGTGGTGAACCCCCTGCTCGTCTATATTTTGGCTGTTTTCACTTCGTAAGAGAAAGATTGAAAATAAGGAAGAAAAAAAAAAAAATAAAAACGAAAACAAAAACAAAACAAAGAACAAGCAAAAAAATTCTGAGTGTGAAATTGTTTGACAACAAGAAAGGCTACCAAATGACTCCTAAAACTTTTTCAGTACGACACCAACAAAGTATCCGTGAATCAGTATTTCCCAGTTAGATAGCTTGCATAAATTTTGTATTGGCTGTAATTCTCTAAATTTTAACGTGAATAACTAGTGTAATGATCAGAATAACTTGTCAAAATCATTCGTTCTGTGTCATTATAAAGAATAATACATATAATGTGACCCATTGTTATCTATACTGCAACTGTATGGTACATGATATGAAGAAAGAAGAACAACTAGCTTAATCAAAAGAATATTTCCTTCCTCGATGAACATTTTAACACCATTCATTATGAATTATTCATTCCTCTAACTATGAAATAAATTTGTCGCACTCGTATTAATGATGTCCTTGAACTTGGGAGGAGGAACAAAAGTTATAAACATTTTAATACACAGCAAAAAAAGAAATACCCATTTCAAATAGAATTGGTAACGTTACCACAATTTCAATAGCCATACAAAAAGGCCTTCACACACATATAATATATTTCATGATAACAACACTATAAGGATGAAGCCAGTATATTGTTTTAGCATATTGGCACTTCTACAGATTTTCACTGTCGTTGTTTCAGAATCCAACTGGCCCACTTTGAATTTCACTTTAGAAATAGCGTCCCGAGCTCAACGTGATATATCAAAATTACTACCCATTAGTCAAATTACTACTGTTGGAATATCGTTAAGTTCAATATTTAGAAACAGTGGCTATACAGTTGATGCTCTATCTCCGTTGTATGATTTATTGAATGGTGGGAACGAAGCCATCATGATTGACCTTTATTGGAATGAGTTTACCTCACAATGGCAACTATGCCCAGCACCATTTCCTTCAAATACAACGTACAATATGAATGATGTAGTGGATCTACTGTGGGAAAATAACGATTACCAATGTCAGCCCGGTTTGTCTACTGAGAATATCATGGGAATTATAAATTCATACATCAGAGATACCAACACAAATATTGGTGCCAATTTCCTACGTATATTGTTTAACTTAAAGTCCATTCACTACGAAAACTCAAATAGAACCATTGATTTACAGAATATTTACAAGCCTTCCATTTTAAACCCGGTCAATATTGGTAACGATACATTGAATGATACTATAGCTTCATTGGGATCCTACATTTTTACACCGACAGTGTTATCCCAATATCAAAGTGATGCCAGCCATGTGGAAAAGGCTTCCAGTGGAAGTTCTATAAACAGCACACAAGCCATAAGTTATTTCTACAATCAATCGAATATAATCGTGCCGTCTTTGGATACTGTTTTGTTATCAGAATACAAACGTGTATCAGCTCACATTCTGTCCAATGAATTAGTAAATTCCTCCCGAGTCTATCAATTCACTTCTTATGATACCGATTTGATATTTTTTAATGATGTGGTACCCTTGGTAGTTGAAAACACAACGACAGGCGTAGCCGGCCGATATTGCAATGAATTGTTTAATGCCTACAATAGTACCGGGGTAGATATTGAAACGTTTAACAATTTATCATTAACAACGAGACTCAGATTTATTGTAGACAGTGACGAAAATCCTTTCACAGTGGATACGTTGTCAAAATTTGTCAGATGTGGATATTCGGCAATTTTCAATGGCACTTATGATGTTGGTGTTAATTCTTCGCTGCTTGACTTTCTGGATGAAGTAGACGAGTTTATTCCTTATGGATTTTGGTCATGGAGCCCTGGTCAGCCAGTTGACCTTAATGACACAAATAGTGACTCAATCAACAATGCTTCCATGAGTAGTAACAATACAGATGATAGCAATGGGAATAGTTTGGCTTTCAAATGTGTGGTTTTAACTGAAACCGGCTGGTCAGTTGCAAATTGTTACGATCGTCATGTAATTGCTTGTCAAAACCTGACATCGAGAAATAATTGGGTTCTACAAGAGACAAATAAGAGAAACTATTTCGAAATTGATAAGGGTGACTGTCCTGAAGGGTATACTTTCAGTATCCCACGACTGAGTACTGAAATGCTTTCATTACAAGCTACAGTCAAACAACGGAATGTTCCATATCCAATATGGCTTGACTTGAATGATATCACTGTACCAAACTGTTTTGTATCTGGAGGACCATATGCACAATGTCCCTATCAAAGAACAATCACAACTAATAAATTTGTCAGAATGATTGCTCCAAGTTTTGCTGTGGGTGTAGTGGTGTTGGTATTGATCTTGATTGAAAATATTTTTCGAACTAATCCAATTCAAACCAATAGAAAACGGTATTGGAAGAAAGCTATTCAAGAATACTATAACAAGAACGATTTTGAAGGTGTCCCCTCGTAGTATTTTTAATTTTTGCAGTAAATATTTATGTGTAGTTTTACACGACCTTTCATGATCTATTTTTTTTTTGTTTGCCCCATCATTATTCCCGTTTTCTTTCTTCCTCACTGATTCTCAATTTTCAAAACTTTTCTATAGACAAACCAAACCCCCTCAAATTACAGATCACGCTAAAGACAACTATTCACAATGAACGACCAGAATTGGAGAAATATATCAAATGAATTAAGACGTAGAGCAGAACAAGCTCGTTCTTCATCTGGAGGTAAAATGCCAAAGTCACCAACGGGTATTTTTGGTGGTATTGGTGGATTGCTTATTCTTGGGGGAGCAACCATGTTCCTTCAAAATGCATTATTCAACGTTGATGGTGGTCAAAGAGCAATTTTGTACTCCAGAATTGGTGGTGTTCAATCCAAGATTTATCCAGAAGGTACTCATTTTGTCGTTCCATGGTTACAACGTCCTATTATCTATGATGTCCGTGCTAAACCAAAGGAATTAGCATCATTGACTGGTACTAAAGATTTACAAATGGTTAACATCACTTGTCGAGTTTTATATAAGCCTGATGTCTGGCAATTACCAACAATCTTTAGAACTTTGGGTTTGAACTATGAAGAAAAAGTTTTGCCATCCATTGTTAACGAAGTTTTAAAATCTGTTGTTGCCCAGTTTAATGCTTCACAATTAATCACTCAAAGAGAAAAAGTTTCCAGATTAGTTAGAGAAAACTTGGTTCGTCGTGCTTCTAAATTTAACATTTTATTGGATGATGTTTCCCTAACCAGTATGTACTTTTCTCCAGAATTCAGTCAAGCTGTTGAAGCTAAACAAGTTGCTCAACAAGATGCCCAAAGATCACAGTTCTACGTTGCAAAAGCTATTCAAGAAAAGGACCAACTTATTGTTACCGCTTCTGGTGAAGCTAAAGCTGCTGAGTTGATTGGTGAAGCTATTAAGAAATCCAAAGATTATGTTGAATTGAAGAGATTGGATACTGCTAGAGAAATTGCCCGTATCTTAGCTTCTTCTCCAAACAGAATCATATTAGACAATGACACTTTATTGTTGAACACTGTCACCGATACTCGTAAATAAATGTGGGATTTATAGGCTTTTTTTTTCTTTTAGTTCCCATTAAATAAATTATAGTCTTGTATATGTTTGGCTCTCTTCTTTCCTTGTGAAAGAATACATTCTCATGGCGCCGATTTCGAATGATAGACAACCACGTATCAACTCAAGCGGATTCATGAAATTGGGTGAAATGTTTACGGATGGTAGCGTGCACTTCGTCAGACCCATTTTCATGAAAAACGTTACAGCTGATGTATCATCGTTATCTTCATCAAATCACAAAGTAATACCCGTATATATTAATCACTATACACATCATTAACGCCTGTCACCTGGGATAATAATATACGGATTGTTCAAAATTCTTCTTTCTAGTTCTATTCTATCAATGTAGTTAGATTTGTTCTCCTTTTGTACTTCTTGTTCTTCTTCATCTTCATCTTCGTCCTCTTCATCCTCTTCATCTTCTTCGTCATTGTCAAAAATCTCTTCTCTTAATTTCATATAAAGAAGAATTTTGTTCTCTCTTTCACTTTCAATACTTCCAGTATTCTCCGAGGATTCTGACACTGGACACTCTGATGACGGACTTTCTGGAGTGCTTGGTAATTCCTCATGTAAATGCTTTACCAACAACTTCTTCTTTTGAACTGGTTCAGGCTTGACAGAAGGTTCATTATCAGTTGTATACTTGTGTGCAATACTAGAAATCTTAACAAACTCTCCGACTTCCTTATCCTCTGAACTTTCAATTTTTTGCACGAATTCCTGGTAGTTAAAGTTTAAAGTCGGAGTAACTCTAATTTCATTAAAAGTGTTGTTCCAATGTTGTAAACAATAATAGTGACATAATTGATGGCTTAACAATCGGTAATAACTATTCTTCAAGTATTGTGCTTGGATAATATATTCAGGCTGTTTGATATTTCCCAAAATTGAATTCTTAATAAATTTTATCAAGTCTCTTTCTAAATGCAATATATATAGTTTGTCTTGTTGTTTTGAAAGGGCTGTGACAATACAAGATGGGATCGGATTTCTCTCACGAGATCGCGTGGTTTGATTATTGGTCGGCATTTTGAATTAGGATGGGGGAAGGCTAAATTGCAATAGGATGATACTTTACTTTAAGATTGTACAAGGGAAGAGGAACTGCTATTATTTACTCTATTGTTAGAAGTTGGTGTTTGATTCCTGATGAATGAATGAATGAATGAATGAATTAAGAAAAAAATTGTTTTGATTTCATATTTAAAAGAAAAAAAAAATCTTTCTTGTGGCACTATGGATTGAAAAATAGAGTGAGACCAATTGACGTGGGGAGTACTAAATAAACTAACCTGTCTGCTTTTAATTTAAACTTTATTACCTATATACACATTCATCCGTGGGAAGGCGGGTCTAGTAAGCTATTATCTTTTCATTCATAATAAGTTTAAATTAATCACTTTTCAGTTTATAATTGAATAATGTGATAACTCCTTATTTCCGCTTCATGGGAAGGGGGAAGAGGAGGAGTTTGTTAACGCCTGCATGTAATTCTCCTTGTGTTGGAAGTTCGTTCGCATTTTTTTGGTGTGCTGAGCGGTAGTAGGCTCGGCCCCTATAAAGAAAAAGTAGAACAAGGAAAAGGAAAAGGAAAAGAAAAAAAAAAACACGATCAGCAACAACGAACGATAGTGCTTTTTGCCATTCACATTGAAAATACGTACTGAAAATTTTTGTTGATGTCAAGTGCTGATGAGATCAGGGCCAAGCGTTTGGCCAGATTAGCTGCTATGTCAAGTAGTAGCTCCAGTTCAACACAACAATCGCCTGCAAATCAAGAATCAAATACTCAACCAACGAATCAACCAAGTCCAACCATTGACAGTTCTGAAAAATCCCAACCAATTGTCAAGCCGGAACCAGAAAAACCAGCTACTCCTGTTAAGACACCGGTAGATCAATCATTACCAAAAGAGGATCAGATATCACAATGGATCAGATTGGAATTGGAATACATTTTTCAAGCAACTATAAAATCGTCTGATAGCAACACTAAAGGACTAATATTTCTACCTAATTTGGCTTATGAAATAACTGAAGCTAGCGTCAAGTTGAACGAAGATCACATAGAATCTATTTTCATGGAAATTTTAACAGAAGTGGGAATACCAAAAAGATACAAGATCCCAATGGAATATTTGTACACTGTCTACCATGGTGCATTCAAAGCCAAGAGAACATTACCCGTAAAAGCCTCATTCTACGAAGACAAAATCGCTTTCTTGAATAAAGTTATCAGTCTCTCAACCTCATATGCCAGCATGGGATTCCAGGTCCCTGATATGTTTCTCAATAATGATTTACGCCAATCACTCGATTTTTTCATTAATAGGTTTGGTGACGTTTCTTCATTTTTAATGGACATAATCCAGTTTAGTATCGAAGATGAATCCTTGCTTGAATTGTTGAATTTATTTTTCCCTTATATAAGTGCAAAATTGCAAAGAGCCAATTTAGGTGAACGTACTTACTTGAATTATATTTCAATTTTCCAATCTTTGGTTTCCTTAAAACCAGTGGCTGCAATTTTTTCCCAAATCCAGGGTTTCCAACCTCCAGATATAAACAATCCATTGGACTATGAACAAAAGACATTATTGGGACCATTGTTGAGAATTTCTCCACTATTAAATGAAATGGGAATTTGCTATTTCGAGGGTGATGTTTCATCAATGACTCCTGCTCAATTGAACAATACTTATGGCTCAATTGTGAGTGAACTAAAAGTTATTATTGATCATATGTTGGCTATTGTCGATAAGTTAATCAGGGGGTCTGCCAAAACTAGAGAAGATTTATTGAAATGGTTTGCTAAGTTGATTAATTTGAGTCATTTGAGAAGAGGTAGTCATGCAAATTTTGAGAAATTACCAAGTGATGGTATAATGTATAACATCTCAATGGTGTTGATAAGATTAAGTTTGCCCTTCTTGGATCACCCAACATTCGGGAAGATTGATAAGATTGATGTCAATTATTTTTTGAAAAGTAATTTGATTGACATTTCAGAAGAATCCAGAGTTAATTCAACTATTGAAGAAGCCAATAATTACTACTCTGAGAAAAAGGCTGCAGCAAGTCCAGAGGAGTTAGCAGCACCAAATTTCATTTCTGATTGTTTCAATTTAACTTTAGCGTACTTGCACTATGGTATGGGTGGTATTTTCAACAAGTATGAGCGTATTAGTCGTCAAATCCAACAAATGGAACCCAGATTGGCTACTTTAGAATCTGGTGGGGCTATACCAGGCGTTACTCCTGCTATGGCAAATTCTATGAGAAGAGAGCTTCCTAGATTTAAAAATGACATGCGGTTATTACGTACCAGGAAGCAAGTGGTTAAAGCTGTATTCAATGACAGAAGCTTGCAGTTGGAAGTGTTTGATTTTGTTATTGGGGCAGTCACATTTATTACCAGAATGATTGATTCGAAACACCAATATCCACTTGTGAAGCTTTCTATTCCTATTTTTAAAATTTCCAATATTTCACAATTGGATGATCATGAATTTTTGAAAACCAAGACCCCTGAGCCTTGGAAATACTATCCTGAGTTTATCTTGGAAGGGATCATCAATTATTGTAAATTTTCTGCTAATTATATAGGATGTCCTTTGGTTTCCAATGAAGATAAATTGAACATTTTTGTTGAGCTTCTGACAATATTGTTGAGATGTCCCGAATTGATTGGTAATCCACACATGAAGGCAAATTTAGTTGAATTATTGTATATTGGGTCCCTTCCAATGCAAAATGGTAACCCAGGTTTTATGGCTAATATTTTCAATGGTAATCGCATGGTTATGGATAATATCTTATATTCTTTACTTGACTTTTACGTCATGGTAGAAAAAACCGGTGCTTCATCCCAATTTTATGATAAATTCAACAGTCGTTATTATATATCTGTCATTTTAGAAGAATTGTGGAAGAATCCTCGCTATCGTTTCCAATTGACTGACTATTCCAAAAACAATGTTGATTTTTTCATCAGATTCATTGCCAGAATGTTGAATGATACCACATACTTGTTAGATGAAACATTTAATTGTTTGAATTCAATCCACGATTTGCAACAAGAATTGAAAAAGAGACAAGCTCAAGGTGAAGCTGACGAGACAATGGGTACTGATGAGGAGTTATCTAATAACTTGGAAGAAAATGAACGTAAAGTCAAGTCGTACATGGGATTGTCCAATAAGACAATGGAGTTGTTTAAATTGTTTACCGAGGAAGTTCCAAGTGGGTTCGTTTTGCCAGAAATAGTTGATAGATTAGCTGGTATGTTGGACTATAACTTGTCCATTATGGTGGGACCAAAGTGCTCCAACTTGAAAGTTGCTGAACCAGAGAAGTATGGCTTTGAACCTAAGAAAATTTTGACCGACTTGGTTCAAATCTATGTCAATTTATCAACTCAACCAGCATTTGTTACTGCTGTTGCAAGGGATGGACGATCATTCAACATTTCTTATTTCAAGAAGGCAGAAAACATATTGAGAACAAAAACTTTTGTTAAAAATGAAGTTATTAACACTTTGGTTGAATTTGCTAATCAAGCTGAAACCACAAGGGTAGCTGAGGAAAATGAAGAGTTGGAGTTGGGAGAAATTCCAGATGAATTCTTGGATCCATTGATGTTTACTTTAATGGAAGATCCAGTTATTTTACCTTCTTCCAAGATAAGTATTGACAGATCAACTATTAAGGCACATTTATTGAGTGATTCGACAGATCCTTTTAATAGAATGCCTTTGAAACTCGAGGATGTAATTGATGATGTTGAGTTGAAACAAAAAATCACAGAGTTTAAACAACTGAAGAAACAAGAGAAACTTGATCAAGAGGACGTGGTAATGAAAGAGTAAGTTAGCATGATTTATGTGTATAGAGTGAATAGTTGTGAACACTAATAAAACGAAAATTTTCAAAAAAGAAATGGTATACAACGAAAGTAATGGTCACAGTAACTTGGACAAAGACTTTCTTAGCAAATCATATGGAGAGGGTATTTGTTCTTGTTTTTTTTTTTTCTTATTAAGACTATTTATATATTTTTTTGTAACAAAATGCTATATTATACAATAAACCCGGAAATCATATACAAAAGTTGTATTTCATACTTAAGCTTTGATGGCGAATCTTCTTTGTGGGTAAGCAATTCTTTGTTTTCTAGCCTTTTCGGTTTCTTGGGAAGCTTCGAATTTAGTCAATCTTCTTCTGATAGCTCTAGTTTTCTTAGCTCTTAAATCTTTTGGAATGTATTTTTTACCAGCGTAGAAAGCTCTAACGTTATCTCTTTGGTTCAAGTTAATAACAGTCAATACTCTAGCAATGTTCTTTCTAACAGTGTTGATTCTTGGTAAACTTGGTCTTTGTAATTTTTGAACCTTTAAGGTGGCTAATTCTTGTTTCAATTCAACCAATTGTTGTTCTAATTGTTCCTTAGATTTAGTTCTCAATTCGAAAGTTTTAACGCCGGCCTAAACAAAATAAAAATGTTAGTAATCGAAGTTATTAGTCGTATATATAGATATACCGATCTACTATTCCTTTTTCCCTCGTACATATTCCTTCCTCTTGAGTGATCAAAAACTAATCCATACATGAACTCTATATTGGTGATCATGAGTGATATCATGCTGGTCTTTTGTTTCAATATTGTTATTGCAGGCAAGTCATTTTCTTTTTCATTTTCAACTCATCGACAATTTTTGATTTTTCTTTATTTAATCCTCATTTCTTTAATTATCCTTTAATCCACATCTAATAAACGGTTTGTATCATTATATCTGAGGGCAGTAACAGTTGGATCGTTCTCATTTAATGCTGTAGGTCAAACATACCATTGTTGATAATATGAACTTTACTATGTTAAAGGTCTCTTTAGATTATACTTTGAAAATTTTTTGAATAATTTTTCTTTTGTTAGAAAAGACGACTGTGTGAGACTGAGAGAAGGTGTGCGTGTGTGTGTGCGGGATTGTTCGTGTGCTTGGTACCAATACTCGCGCACTCAGAACACAAAGGACAGTTTCACCCATACAAATTTTTGTTTTCGCGCTACCATCACGGCGTAGAAAATGGCGAGCATCGCACTAGATTTTCATTTTTTTTCTTGTGGTATTATGCCCACAGTAAATTGATCAATTATCTGCAGTATGTCACATGATAGGGTTGTAACCCTAAGAATGAGAAACCAAAAAGGTATAAAATGAAAACAGACTTTTTCTTGCGCTTGTCTTTTTGCACACTATAATCTCAAGAACAATAAGGGAACAAAAAGAATCACAACTGACTTTTGATTTCGTTATTTTTTTGCTGTTTTCATTGTTACATCGTATATTAGTTGATCATTCAAAAAAAATCAGTATCGAGTGGACATAGACGATTATTGGGGATAGTCCCATTTCTAATTAAAGTTGATTATGACTTGGGACCAGCTTCTAATAACGACTGTTTCTAGTCTCTCTCTCTCTATAGACCGCCTCGTGGTTTACGATTAGAAAAAACGAAAACAAGACGCCACTTAGATTTATAGTTTTTACTTTACAGCCCGGTCGGTAAGGGACAAAAACCTATGGAAAAGAAACAAAAGAAAAAAAAAAAATAGAAAGTTGAACACGCACATAAACGATGTGTCTAATAATTTTTTTGATCTCAGTTATCTAATAAATTTGATCCAGAAGAAGATATGACCCTGGTATTTTGTTCCCTCGTAGCTAATGGTTATAAGCACAATACTCTTTTTCTTTAATAATTTGTGTATATAGGTGTATATAAGTTAAAAACTAATTGTAGAGAGAAATGAACTGTATTTTATCTCGACTTATTTCGAGACAGGACACACACATATACAGAAAGTCAAAATAAAAATAACAAAATAAACTTATCAATAAAAAAAAACAAATATAAATATGGTGTCCAAAAAAAAGGGAGTTATATGGTGTACAAAATAAAAGATCAATTTAATAATAATAATAATAATAATATTCAGTTTCAATTATTCTTTTTTTTTTTTTCAAATTCCTTTATTATTCTAAATAAAATAAAACAAGAAACAACATAACTTTCCTTAATCAAATTATGAAGAGTTTTTCAAGTTGGTAGACAACCATTCTAAACCTTCGTATAAACCGTCACCGGTGGTGGCACAGGTGGCTTGAATGTACCAAGGTCTTTGTCTAATGGAGTGCAAACCTAATTTTTCGGTTATTTCAGCAGCGTTCATAGCATTTGGCAAATCTTGTTTGTTGGCAAAAACCAATAATAATGCATCTCTCAATTCATCTTCGTTCAACATTTGTTGTAATTCTTCTCTGGCTTCAGCAATACGGTCTCTATCGTTAGAATCAACAACGAAAATAATACCTTGAGTGTTTTGGAAATAGTATCTCCACAAAGGTCTGATTTTATCTTGACCACCGACATCCCATACGGTGAATGAAATATTCTTATATTCGACAGTTTCAACATTGAAACCGATAGTTGGAATGGTTGTGACAATTTCACCCAATTTCAATTTATACAAAATGGTGGTCTTACCGGCAGCATCTAAACCAACCATCAAAATTCTCATTTCTTTGTTACCAAAGAGATTAGCAAATAATTTGGAAAATGATAAACCCATGACGTTAAAATATTAATTATGACAAAATAAAAAGAAAGTATCCGTGATGTAGGAAAAGTAAGATAGTAGTGAACAAATGATTAATTAAATATATAAAAAAAAGTAAATGATCAGTAAATCTAAGAATCTAGTATGCTAAACAAATAAAAAAAATTCTTTATTGTTGTTTGATGATAAATTATTGATCTTCTCTAAATAAATTTCTTGCTTCAATTAATCGTACGTAAAATGACTTTTAGATCGATTAACTGGTTGTTGGATAATTGGAAATATAAATAAATCAACAATTAATGATAGATTGATAGATTGATTGATAACACAAACGGTGGGATTGATACTTTGATGTGCTAAAGAAAAGAGGAAAAGCGAAAAATAACAACAAATCAAATTTTTCTCTCTCAGTTTTTTTCTGTCTCACTCAATCAATTGGCAAAGGTTGTTGGAAATTGGACAACAAATTTTTTTTCTTTCTTTTTTTTTTTCCATTGCTGTTAAACACGCACACGCACACAGCGTATGCGAACAATAGGTGTTAAAAATAAATGAATACGTGTACTACGCGCTTCTATTTTTTTAATCCAAAACTCACACGCCAATTAGTATTTGACAGATTTATTTCAAATTTCAGTTATAGCGATGTAAATCGCGATTCAACGTGTATATCACACATATACTGTAAACAAATAATGCAAATAATTATACAGAGCCTATGTATTAGTAATATTAAAGCAAGACATCTAAAAACACTCTTGTAATACTGATATTCTTTCCCTCGGAGATAATCACAAGTATTTTTTTTTTCCAAAAAACCATACCTTGTCATTTCTCAGAATCACTTACCAATCTTTATTTTACAATTGGAGAATTGCTGTAAACCACGAAGGAAAACGGCATAGTTCACGTCTTTGTTATCTGGTTCCCAGTAAATCTCACTCAATCTAATTTGCCATGGTGGATAATCCTCTAAATTCAAAGAAGGTGCAAAACTAATCAATAAATCTGGCTCTGGACCAACAAGCTCTCTCAATTCTTCGTCGATCAATTCAATAGTAATATCCTTTATCAGCAATTCCTTATTAGCAGCCAATTCACTCATAGTTTTGGTTAACTCAACGACTGTTGGCTTGCCATCCACACGGCTAATCAAATCAATTTCCAAATCAACATTTTGATCCTGTTCACTTTTGTAATTATCGCTATAAATAATCATATTCTTGTGTGGAACTCGGATAGAAAATTTTGGAATAGAATCGGTGCCAAAGTATAATGTCAAGGTTTTCGTTATTTCTTTCTTTACATCTGCAATGCAATCGTTAGTCTGGCCCAAACACCCAGTAAATTCATAAATAATAAGTTTTCCAATCCCAGCACTTAAACACCATGCAGATAATTCACCAATCGATGCGATCAACCCATCCTTGCCACCGTTTTCGTCATCGTCATCCTTCAAGTCTAAAATGCAACTCAAGATTTTTGGAATCTTCGTTAATCTATTAACATCATCTCTAATGACTTGTGGTGACTTGCTTGGATAATAGGTCAACGTCAAATACTTCAAATACAAGCGACGATAGATGTATTGGAAATTCTTGTAAATGGCAATGACCAAAAATAAACTTAGTAGAATAAAATGACTAATGTAAAACGAGGTGATTGACCACGCGGAGCTGGAAGCAGCACTACTTGTCTTAATCAAGCTATGTGATAAATCTAAAATGATGTTGAATATGTTGTATATGCGGTAGGTGCTTGGAGGTGGTTTAACTATAGATTGATTATCATGGGACTGACTGACCTCTTCACTAATATTTTTCAACTGGATATTTCCGTTATTTTTTAATCGAACATCTTCAGTTATCTTCGGTGACTTGATCATATTTAACCGCCCAATAAAATCTATCAAATTAAAGGAGTAAAGTGTGAATGAATTTTTCAAGTATTGGAATTGATTCTGCTTCTTTTTTTTTTTTTTTTGACAACTCTCACATTAACACGTTATTGTATTTTTTTTCTGCTTCTCTGCAACTTTAGTAATATTCGTTTTCGTTTTTTTTTTTTTTTTTATTTTTTTTTTTTTTTTTTGGCGATCTTGCTCCCTGGATTCAACTGTTGCATATTAACTGTAGAAAAACGCCAGACATGAAAATCAGCTAATTATGATTACTTCTGACTTAAATGTTGCAACTGGCTACGATGATTATACAAACATCTGATTACTTAAAGGGAGTTAAGCACTCATCCCGAGCACACTAAAAGATGTTTTTAATATAATTTAGTAAAAAATGTCGACTAAAAATAAAATAAGTTTAGGATTTTAATGAATTCTCGACCTTACATGGTCAAAGATTCATAAATGCTTCTCTAGAAATTCGTATCGTCAAATAAAAGAAACGACATTTGCTAACCTAGAGCTTCCAAGACTGAATAATTTACATTTGTTTTTATAAATATGATAGGTTATGTATAGACTACTAACCATCTAGCAGTTAATCAAACTAAAAAGCGAACTTCTAACATTCATTTATAAGCGTATAAAACATAGAGGCTTGAAAGCTTTCAGGAACAGTTTTCATGTTTTCCTATGTCCAGCTCGGTTGCATAGAATAATTTGTGGGGGAATGTAGTAATACCAGTATACAGTCAGTGACTGTTTTTTTATCTCTCGCTCTCTACTTGTTCCCCCTCTGGATCCTCACTAGACCGCTCATGTCTTCATGCCGACTGCAGTGCGAATTGGAGGTATAAAGGACAAATGGTTGATGGCAACAAGAAAGATCCTAGATCCGGATGTCACTAAATCTGTCATCTTCACCAAAGAGAATGAAAAAAAGGAAAACTTTGTGAAGCACATGGAGAAATCCAAGAAACTGAAAATGTCGTTTAGCTACCCCCTTGACACCTCCTCCCTCCAAATAGCAAAAGAAGTCTATATCCCCCACTATGGAGAATAATGGATATTGCTAAGAAAAATAAAAAAGTTTAATAGGCAAAGAATGTACAGGAAGCGCGCGACATTTCTGATTACACATAGAGAGGGAAGAAAAAAAAAAAGAATCAACTTAAATAAAAATCAACTCAAAATGCTAGAAAAAAAAAAGCTTATGAACTAAAGTAATCAAGTATAGAGAGAAAAATTTATTGATATTTTTCCAAAACACACACACACACATCCCGTTTAGATTATTTGGGAGTATTGGCTTAGGATCCGTTTGGCTTTTACTATTAGATAAATCATAAGATCCTTTCTTCCAGTTTATATCATCATTTCGTTATTTCCCATTTCAAAGGTCTGCGGAGATACACACAAATTAAAGAAAAATTAATTTAGGAACACATAATCCGTCAAGCTATCTTTAGGATATTCACCCCTTTCTGTACTCATCTTTTGGTTTTCCATATTAATATCCATATACACAATATAGTGCCCGTTCTTTATGTATAACTACACATAACATCATCTATTCACATCATGTTTCCATTTCTACATCGAATATTCACGGGTCAGACCGCAGAGGAAGAACATCATCGAAATAAACAGCAGAGAGTATCTGCTTTCAAAATCATTCTAGTGACGGCGATGGGTGGTTTCTTATATGGGTACGATACAGGTATAATCAACGATATATTAGAGATGAAGTACGTGTATACAAATTTCCCAAGTAGTGGCAACGGGTTTAGCACACACGAAAGAGCAATCATTGTAGCGATACTTTCGCTAGGGACATTTTTTGGTGCATTAACAGCACCCTGGATATCTGATACATATGGGCGTAAGTTTACAATAATGGTGGCGTCTGGTATATTGTTCAACATTGGAAACGTACTTCAGATAGCAGCAGCAGAAGTGGCATTATTATGTGTCGGGAGATTTGTTTCAGGAATTTCAATAGGGTGTCTATCTGCTTCCATTCCACTTTTCCAAGCTGAGGTAAGTCACAAGCGATCGCGTGGTAGTGTTGTTTTCACGTATCAGTTTTCTATTACTTGTGGATTATTGGTTTCAAGTGCGATATCACAGGGAACAAGAAAGTTGCACAATTCTGGGTCATATCGAATTCCAGTAGGACTACAATTTGCATGGGCACTTCTATTATTTGTGGGAATGCTTTTCCTTCCAGAGTCACCTCGATTTTATGTTCAGAAGAATGATTTACAAAAAGCACTTGATTCCTTATGCAAACTACGGAGATTGCCCCCGGACGATGAAGAAGTTATTGAAGAGTTGGTTGATATTAAGGCAAACTACGATTATGAGTTATCATACGGGAAATCTACGTTATTGGATTGTTTTAGAAGTGGAGGAGGTCGACACAAGCAAGGATTAAGAATGTGGACTGGTATGGGGGTACAGTTTTTCCAACAGTGTTCTGGTATAAACTTTATCTTCTATTATGGAGTCAACTTTTTTTTATCCACAGGTATTCACAATTACTATCTCATGTCTTTTATTACCTATTTGGTCAATGTTATCTTTACAATCCCAGGTATCATGCTTATTGATGTCGTCGGTAGACGACCATTATTATTTTGGGGTGGTGTTGGTATGGCCATTAGTAATTTCATTATTGCCATTTGTGGGGTCAGTATAAACGATTCCCAGATCAATGCTATATTATGTGTTTCTTTTGCCTGTGTTTTCATTGCATTTTTTGCAAGTACATGGGGTGGATCCACATGGGCTCTTTGCTCTGATATTTATGGTATATCCGTTAGACAAAAGGCTTTTTCTTTGACTGCTGCAACTAACTGGATTGTGAATTTTGTGTTTGCATATATCACACCTTATCTTATTGATACTGGCGAACATACGGCGGCAATAGGAAGCAGAATCTTTTTTATGTGGGGTAGTTTGAATGCCGCTGGGGCTATATTTGTATTCTTCACCGTATATGAAACAAAGGGTTTAAAGTTAGAAGAGGTTGACTTTATGTATGCTCATTGCAGCAATGCCAGAGCATCTAAGAAATTCAAGTCAACAAAAATCGATTTTGCCCATCTTGATGAAAACTACAATCCTATTCCGCAAGAACATGTACCAGATTCGACATCTTCCAATGACGTCTACAACGACAAGACTTCCAGTGAGAATCCTTCTCCACAACTGTTGCAACCATTGTATTATAACAAACAACAAAATGATTTGACTATCATTCCATACAATAACATAATTAGTCCTACAAGTACTGCTTCCACCAATGAGCAGGAATCTAGAAGACAGTCAATACTTTCTCAACGTGAAATGTCATCTATTCAGTCTTCCAGATCCAGGTCTACTGCCCAGAGAACCAAGAGTCGTACATCGGCTATTTCGAATGATTACCAAGAGTACTTAGACTCAATAAAGCGTGAGTATTCACAGCATTATCAACACTCAGCATCGATGATCAAACAATTATCACAAAACAGTAACACTAATAGTAGCACCAATAATAACATCAATCCAAGTTACGAAATACATCCATCGATTGAAGATGAAAAGAGGTCAAGTTTTAACGAAATCCCGTTGACGGTCAACAATATTCCGACCACAATCATTGCAACTCCATATTTTGATCAGCCTCCTAGTGATTCCGATTCTACAGATGAAAGTGAGGATGAGCATGAAGCTGATGCAGACGATGAACAAGAATCAGAAGACAGACAGTCATTAAACAGGAATGTTACAAATTAAAAAAGTGGATAGAACTCCACTAAATGAAAAAAAAAGATGTTCAACAATTATTCAATTCTTTAATTAGTCTTTATTATTATTATTCTTATTATTTATATTGATATTTATATTTTATATTTTAAATTCTATATTCTATATTTGTATCTGAATATATTGGTTATTAATTATAGTTTATCATTTTGGTTAGATGAGTTTCGATATTCTTTTTTTAAACCATGTTGGAATTAAAATGGTTATTACAGAGCTCCAAATTAATAGTCCAATAATTGCACTGCCTTGTGATAAAAACCCCAACTTAAAATGAAGGACTATATATCAAGTCTAGATCACTTCAAGTCTATAAAATAAAAGTCGAAACAGTGATGAACATCGATATACATATACGAAATTATAGGATAATAACTACAATGCTACATAACCACCGATGTAGCTTGCTCTCGGGATAGCTGGATCATAAACCAGAATCTCATGAATTTACTACATGTTAATGTGTTGATTTTTTTTTTCATTAAAGGTAGTTCCGGGACACGTTGGTTTGCTAGACACAAAAAAAAAAATTGGCAGCCAATCATGAATACCAATGTTTTTTCATTAACAAGTTGTGACAAATGACAAGATAGGAATTCTTATCCTTTGGTATCAACTACTTTTCAATCTATTCTTAACTATGAGATTAAGGATCTTGAATAGTATCCAAGAAAATAAACAGTTTAATGTACCCTTGCCAATCCTTTAATTAATTGCTGCACAAAGGAGAACGGCAGTTCTGGAATTCCTCTTGAATTGAACGTTGGTTTTATTCCGATTTCTTTTTTTTTTGTTTTACGATTCTGCTAATCAAGTTTCAATAGGCTATTTGGGACAATGAATGTTCATATTCCGCCTCCTTTGACGGTATCATGTTATCACTGAGATAATCACCATCCATATTATAATTAGTGTTCGTGAAAGTTATCAATACATTGATGTTCAAGACAAGACTAAGTTGTTGTTGCAAACAGTCAGGGATTTAATTGACTTAATTTTGTGAATGAGAACAGCAAAAATGAATAAATATTTATAATTCAGAATTCCGGATGCAAATGGGAAACTTGCCCTTTATTTGATAACACAAAGATGTTCATTATAAATACCTTACAGAATCCATCAATTTGATGAAAATAAGAATTTGCTTCTTTCAAAGAAGCGACAGCGATAAAGAAAATGGTAGAGTCTCTAATAACTATTGCTGAAAGGGCCATAGAGAAACAACGACACGAAGTGCCATTGGATGAATCTTCAGAGAATGTGTATAATGGTTTCGATGCTCATATATCAGAAGATATCCAAAATCTAGCCAGAGAATTCTCCCATGATTCTACAACCAACAGTATTAATGATTTACAGAGATTGCATACAAATATGTCAGAAGTACCAGGTATTAACCCATATACTGATGAAGCCCATTCCCGTGGAAAATTGAATCCTGAGTCAGATAATTTCAACGCCAAGTTTTGGATCAAGAACTTGAGAAAATTGTATGATTCAGATCCAGATTATTACAAACCTTCAAGATTGGGTATAGCATATAGAGATTTGAGGGCTTATGCGGTCGCCACCGATTACAATTATCAACCAACAGTAGCAAATGTCTTCTGGAAACTATTAAATGATGGTGTGCATTATTTGAAGAAGCACGATGATTCAATATACTTTGATATTTTGAAACCAATGGATGGAATAATGAAACCAGGTGAACTTACAGTTGTTTTGGGTAGACCAGGAGCTGGTTGTTCTACATTGTTGAAAACATTGGCTTCACAAACATATGGATTTCATATTGGTAAAGAATCAAAAATTAGCTATGATGGAATATCATCAACAGAGATTGAAAAACATTATCGTGGTAATGTTATCTATTCAGCAGAAACCGATGCTCATTTTCCACATTTAACTGTTGGTCAAGTTTTGGAATTCGCTGCTAGAATGAGAACACCCCAGAACAGAGGCGAGGGTGTTGATAGAGAAACATATGCTAAACACATGGCTAGTGTTTATATGGCAACCTATGGTTTGTTACATACAAGGAATACAAATGTTGGAAATGATTTTGTTACAGGTGTTTCCGGTGGTGAAAGAAAAAGAGTTTCCATTGCAGAAGCATCGTTGAGTGGTGCTAATGTTCAATGTTGGGACAATGCCACAAGAGGCTTAGATGCCGCCACTGCATTGGAATTTATCAAAGCTCTAAAAACATCTGCAGTTATTTTGGAAAGCACTCCTATAGTTGCCATCTATCAATGTTCACAAGATGCTTATGATTTGTTTGATAATGTTGTTGTATTGTATGAAGGATATCAGATCTTCTTTGGTAAAGCCAATAAAGCCAAGGAGTATTTCATCAGAATGGGCTATGATTGTCCCCAAAGACAGACAACAGCTGATTTCTTGACTTCCTTAACAAACCCTTCAGAGAGAAGGGCATTACCAGGATATGAAAATAAAGTGCCACGAACCCCAGAAGAGTTTGAAGCGTATTGGAAGAGATCACCGGAGTATACTATGTTGATAAATGAAATTGATTCATATTTCATTGAATGTGAAAAGTTAAACATCAAACAAACTTACCACGAGTCCCATGTTGCAAGACAATCAAACCATACTCGTCCTACATCACCTTACACGGTGTCATTCTTCATGCAAGTTAAATATGTTATGCAACGAAACTTTCTTCGTATGAAAGCTGATCCTTCCATTCCAATTGCAACCATTTTATCACAATTAATAATGGGCCTTCTTCTTGCCTCGGTATTTTACAAACTCAAGAAAGATACAAGTACATTCTATTTCAGATCTGGTTCACTTTATTTTTCTTTAGTATTCAATGCCATTTCTTCTATTCTTGAAATTTTAGCACTTTTTGAAGCTAGAGAAATAGTTGAAAAGCACAAGAAATATGCTCTTTATCGACCATCTGCAGATGCTTTAGCAAGTGTCATTAGTGAATTCCCTGTCAAGTTTTTTCAATCTTTATGTTTTAATATCCCCTTTTATTTCATGGTTGATCTTCGAAGTGATGCTGGTAGATTCTTTTTTTATTGGTTGATTGGACTTACATGTACTGTTGTTATTTCTCATATTTTTAGATCGATAGGTGCATTATCAACAACAGTATCAGGAGCAATGACGCCAGCTACGGTTATTCTTATTGGGTTAATTTTGTATGCTGGCTTTGTGATTCCATTTCCAAACATGTTGGGCTGGTCAAAATGGATCAAATGGATAAATCCAGTTAGTTATATGTTTGAATCTCTTATGGTTAATGAATATCATGATCGTGAATTTCCATGTGGACAGTATATTCCAGCAGGTCCCGGTTTCGATGAACTTCCAATCGAGAACAAAGTATGTGCAAGTGTGGGTGCTATTCCAGGTAGTGATTTTGTTAAAGGTGATGATTACATGAGAATCACATTTGCATTCTATAATGCCCACAAATGGAGAAACTTTGGAATTGCAATTGCTTATGCAGTTTTTTTCTTGTTTGTTTATATTGCATTAACAGAATTAAATAAAGGTGCAATCCAAAAGGGTGAAATGACTTTATTCCTTCGAGGTTCATTAAAGAGATATAAACGAAGAAATGGAATAATTGGAGCACCCAGTGATATTGAGCTGGGAAATATTTCCCCATTGCATGAAAAGGATCAAAGCTTTGATTCGGAAAGATTTGGTGAAGATACTACTGCTGGAAGTATTGAAGTTTGTGACAACAAGGAGATTTTCTTCTGGAAAGATTTGGCTTACCAGGTTAAGATCAAGAAGGAAGAGAGAGTTATATTAGACCATGTTGATGGTTGGGTTAAGCCAGGTCAGATTACTGTATTGATGGGTGCATCTGGAGCTGGTAAAACCACATTATTGAACTGTTTATCCGACAGAGTAACCACTGGTGTTATAACTAATGGTGTACGAATGGTTAACGGACACGAGTTGGATTCTTCCTTCCAAAGATCAATTGGTTATGTACAACAACAAGATGTTCATTTACAGACATCTACAGTTAGAGAAGCGTTGCAATTCTCCGCATATTTGAGACAATCAAACAAAATATCTAAGAAGGAGAAGGATGAATATGTTGACTACGTCATTGACTTGTTGGAGATGACTAACTATGCGGATGCATTGGTTGGTGTTGCCGGTGAAGGTTTGAATGTTGAACAAAGAAAGAGATTAACTATCGGTGTTGAATTAGTTGCCAAACCTAAATTGTTGTTGTTTTTGGATGAACCAACTTCTGGTTTAGATTCGCAAACCGCCTGGTCTATTTGTAAATTAATGAGAAAGTTAGCTGATCATGGCCAAGCTATCTTGTGTACTATACATCAACCGTCTGCAATTATTATGGCTGAATTTGATAGATTGTTGTTTTTACAAAAAGGGGGCCAAACTGTATATTTTGGTGAATTAGGTGATAATTGCCAGACAATGATTGACTATTTCGAAAATCATGGTGCTGACCCATGTCCAAAAGATGCAAATCCAGCAGAATGGATGTTAGAAATTGTTGGTGCAGCTCCAGGATCTCATGCCAAACAAGATTATTTTGAAGTTTGGAGAAACTCAAATGAGTATAAATGTATTTATAATGAAATCAGTCGTATGGAAACTGAATTACTGAAATTCCCACGTAAAGAAGATCCAGAAGCACTTTTGAAATACGCAGCACCTATTTGGAAACAATATTTACTTGTAAGTTGGAGAGCAATTGTACAAGATTGGAGGTCACCGGGGTATATTTATTCGAAACTATTTTTGGTTGTTGCTTCTTCGTTGTTTATTGGATTCTCTTTTTTTAAAGCCAAGAATGACATGCAAGGATTAGTTAAATCAGATGCTTGCTGTGTTCATGTTCACTGTTCCATTGACTACGATTATTGACCAAATTGCTACCTTTTTTTGTGAGACAAAGAGAAGTATTTGAAGGTTCGAGAAGCACCTTCAAGGAACATACAGATTGGTTTGCATTTTATCACTGGCCAGATCACTTCAGAGTTACCTTATCAGATTGCCGTGGGAACATTATCTTATTTGTGTTGGTATTATCCAGTTGGTTTGTATGCTAATGCAGAACCCACCCATACAGTTAACCAGCGTGGTATTTTGATGTGGATGTTTTTGACGTCATTCTATGTTTATTCAGCAACATTTGGGCAATTGTGTATGTCATTCAACGAGTTGATTGATGTGGCAGGTAATTTGGCATCAACATTATATATCATGTGTTTAATGTTTTGTGGTGTAATTGTGCTGCCAGATGTCATGCCTGGATTTTGGATGTTTATGTATAGAATTAATCCATTTACCTATTTGATTCAAGGAATTCTTGCAACAGGTTTGGGGAATAACAGCGTGACATGTGCTGATCGGGAATTGCTCACACTTAGACCACCACAAGGATTGACATGTTCCTCGTTTTTGAATCCGTATATTAAAGTGGCGGGAGGATATTTTTATTCACTAGAGAATGGATCTTGTTCCTTTTGTATGATGGATGACACTGATCAGTTTTTGACGGCTGCAAATTCTCCATACAATAGACGATGGAAACATTTTGGAATATTTGTTGCGTTCATTGGAATAAATGTTATTTGTACGATATTTCTTTATTGGCTATTTCGAGTTCCAAAAAGAGTCAAATTCAGTCGCAATAAGACAATTTTTTAGATATGTTTATTTATTTACTATTAATTAGAAAAAGTTATTTTATTCTATTGTAAAGTGAAATGTCGTAGTGTTAAAGATTGTATCGCGATAACCAATATTCTTCTCACCATCTCATCTCTCGTGAAAAAAAAAAGTCTTTAAAAAAAAAAATTCTGGAAAGACACATCTCTTCATACAGCGTATTAACAACCACGACGAAGATATGGCAGGATCTCAGTTGAAACAACTTAAGGCTGCTCTTAAAGAAAAAGGGTTAATTGGACAGACCAATACTTCAAAGAAAAACAAAAAATCCAAGACTAGTAAGCGTAATGAAACCAATAGAGATGATAGACAACAAAAATTGGAAGAAATTAGAGAACAATTTAATAAATTTGATCAAAGAATAAATAGATCAAAACATGATATTTCTATTGTTCATCAAGGTAAATTTGTTAAAGTTGGTTCTAAACAACATAATGCTATAGCTACTAAAAATGGAGCCATGCAAAAACAAATGAAAATGCAATATGATTTGGAAAAACGTCAAAATGGTAAAACAGGTGGTATTTTGGATAAACGTTTTGGTGAAAATGATTCTCATTTAAGTAAAGAAGAGAAAATGTTGGCTAGATTTACCAAAGAAAGACAAGCTGCAAGTTCTAAGAAAAGAAATGTTTTCAGTTTAGCAAGTGATGATGAACAACTGGATGATGACTATGATGATGATGACAATGGTGGATTTCAATTGACCCACGGTGGTAATGCATTATCATTGAATGACGAAGAATCTGTCAAATATGTAGATGAAGATAGTTTGGAACCACCTAGAAAGAAGAGTAAGAATGGAAGTCCATGAAGGGAAATTATTGCCAAATCTAAATTTTATAACCAACAAAGACAGAAGGAATTTGCCAAAGACACAAGATCAAATTGATGAATTAGATGAAGATTTTGGTGATAATTATAGATGATTTAAGAAGCGTTCAAGGAAAAATCTCCAACAATAATGCATTTTCTACTAAAACACCAGAACAAATTGAATATGATAGTAAAGTTAGAGAATTGACTTATGATAGAAGAGATGTTCCAGCAGATAGAACCAAGACTGAAGAAGAAATTCGTAAAGAATACGAAGAAAAAATGAAGAAATTAGAAGCTGATAGATTAAGAAGAATGGAAGGATTTGTTGAAGATGATAGAGAACAACAAGGAGATGATTTGGATGATGATTTCTGGGGAGGTGACGACAGTGAAAACGAAGAGAATGGATTCAGTATCAAAGAATCAGACAATGAAGGAGAGGATGCAGAAGGGTCGGAAGATGAAGGGGAAGGACGTGCCAAACCAAGAAAGTTGCAAACTGTTATCATGCCACTTACATTTGATGAGTTCTTACAAGAAATCTCAGCTGTTGAATCTACCAAACAGATTGAATATATTAAAAAAGTATGTAATACTTACAAACCTGGCTTGGGTCAAGGGAATAAAGAGAAAATGGGAAATTTTGCAGGAATTTTGTTGGATTACATTTTACACCTTGCCGATAAGTTCGAAGACTTTGAACCATTCGTAAAGATTCTCAAAAAATTAGCTGAAACATACAATGAGTCGTTGGTAGAAAAAGTCCGTGAACATATTAAACAAATTCAATCCAGAATCAATAAACCTTTGAAAGCAAGTGATTTGGCGTTTTTTGTCATTATTGCTTACTTGTATTCATCATCTGATCATTATCATATTGTCATTACACCATGTTTGATTTTGATGAATGAAATACTAAGTACCATTATTTATCACCCAAGGGATATCACAACCATTGGACAAGGTGTATTTTTAGTAGATGTTTTATTGATGTATCAGAGATTTGCAAAGAGATATGATCCTGAAGTGATTAACTTTATAGAACATGCTATTTTCATGATTGTTCCAGAACCAGAAAAGTTGGATATCTCAAAGTTATTATCAATTTCAGAATCGGTTGCCAAAAACGTCAATGTTCAATTTTCTATGAACAAGTCTGAAAAATTTGATGATTCTGAAGCTAATGTGTTGTCTATCAAAGGGTTATATTCTGAAGATTTGAGTAAACCTTTATTGCTTGCCAAGTTGGTATCAATCATGAATAAGTGTGTTACATTATGGAAAGAAAAATCTAGTTTAATTGAAGTTCTTGAATCATTCATTAGTATATTGAAACACGTCACCAAATATAATGCTCCACTCACTGGTCCACTATTGACTAGATTCACAAAACTACACGACAACTTAGTTAAGGACCGTAAACCATTGACATTACAACACCACAGAGCTCTTGCAATTGCTACATTTGCACCTAAATTCGAAGAGAACTTCAACCCAGATAAGAAATCATATGATATTAACAGAGAACGTCAAGAATTGAATAAGGTTAAACATCAATTGAAGAAAGAAAAGAAATCTGCTCTTAAAGATATTCGTCAAGAAAACAGATTCCTTGCTCGTGAACAAATTGCTGAAAAGAAAGCCATGTATGATGAATACCACAAGAAAATGGCTAATATTTACAACTCTATTCAATCAGAAGAAGGTGCTGAAAAGAATCAATATGAAAGAGAAAAGAAGCAAAGAAAAAGAAGATAAACATCAGTATGATAGTATAGTTTATAGACAAAGTTCAGTAAGAAGACAAATGCAAAATAGGATGGTCGCAAAAAAGGTTTAAGATAATCACGAGATTTCTGAGATGACATTTCTTTGATTATACCATTAAGCTTATTGTAGAAATACTGTTTGTACATTAAAACATCGATCATAACAGTCTAGACCAGATTGTTGTTGTTTCATCTTTAGTCTACAAACCTGTAAATCCACCTCACGCGTTGAGATCTTCTCTAGAGAAATGGTACCCCCCCCTGAACTGATTCATACGATATACCTTTTACACCTACATAACCATGGAAAAACCCATACCCCGGAACAGGATCAATTGAATACATCCCGTGATGCGAGAAAGAGTTAAAAATCACCTAAATTGAATCTATACGTAAGCAGCCAATAGGACGTCAAAACACCATTTCACAAAAAAAAAAAACCCTCAAGATATTCATTTCGCCTACTTCGGAACTGAACCACCGAGAATACTAATCACAAAACCTTACATAATCAAGCTTCATTATTGGTGAGTTGTTCCATACTTTCTCTCCATGTTAATAATATAATGGTGAATTATGACTTTGACTGCGCGGCAAATTTCCCTTATCTGGAAAATAGATTGTTTTATTTTTTAATCTGTTGATATTCTTCGGACGTTTATCCCCAGAATTCAAATTTTGAACACTACATAAACGACCAGAATTCCCTTTGAATGATAATTGTTGTAAGAAAATCTGGTGATTTTTTTTTTTTCACTTCTTTTTAATCAATCTTACATTTACATAAATTCAACTTCAATTGTGGGGTTTATAATTTTGTCCATCACCTTGGTAAGAATTTAATACAGTCAGTGTTTTTTTTGTTTACGGTTTTTTTCCCCTTATCTCAGAAATTACCCTCAAATCTTCAGCAAACAACAGGAGATTATTTTTTTTTCTGACTTTTGATTGTTCTCCACTAAATCATTTGTTCGTCTGAGTCACTGCGCACATCAAACCTCACCCACACCCACATTCTCGATTACGTCTGCTTTTTTCGTCCCCTCCTTCGCCCTACAAGCAACCAAACGGAAAAAAAAGAAAGAAAACCCCCCGAGTAAATAAAAAGAGAGAGAAAAGTTCTTCACAAGACCTTTGAATATTTAGAGACCATCTTAGTATCATTTATTTATTTATTTATTCATTCATTCATTCATTCATTCATCAAGTAAAAAAGTATTTCATTGCATATCGATTTACAAATACAACATAGTGAAAACAATTATCAATCATGCTCAGTACAAAAAGATTACCAATTCTAACACTTAGAGGACTTAGTACAAGAAGTTCATTTAGATCAAATATTCTAATTCGTTCTTTGGCTACATTCAAGCCAGCTGAACCTTTATCAATTCATGATGTAAATCAGAATACCGTTGAAAGCTAAATACGCTGTGCGTGGGAAAATCCCAATTATTGCTGACGGATTACAAGAATTAATCCATAGTCAACCAGAACTGCATGGTTTACCGTTCAATAAAATTGTCAATGCCAATATTGGTAACCCTCAACAATTGGATCAACGTCCATTGACTTGGTATCGTCAAGTATTATCAATTTTACAATACCCAGGAATTTTGAAGACAGATAATCACGGATTCCCAAAAGATGTTGTTGAAAGAGCTCAAAAGATTTTAGGTAGTATTGGATCTATTGGTGCCTATTCTCATTCACAAGGTGCTGCTTTGTTTAGAAAATCCATTGCTGAGTTTATCACTAGACGAGATGGATATGCTGCCAATCCAAATAATTTGTTTTTGACTTCTGGAGCTTCAACTGCTGTTTCTTATTTATTACAAATTTTATCTGCTGATGAGAACTCAGGATTCTTGATTCCAATTCCACAATACCCATTGTACACTGCTACAATTGCTTTGAATAATGCTGTTCCTATAGGCTATTACTTGGATGAACAGAACCATTGGTCCACTAACCCAGAGGAAATTAGACAATTGATTGAAGAAAATAAAGCAAAGGGAATTAAGATTAAAGCATTAGTGGTCATTAACCCAGGTAATCCAACTGGTGCAATTTTGTCACCACAAGATATTGTTGAATTGATTGATATTGCTGCTGAATATGGTATTGTTTTAATTGCCGATGAGGTGTATCAGGAAAATATTTTTAAAGGAAAATTTGTATCATTTAAACGTATTTTATCAGAATTGCTTGAAACAGAACCAGAGGTTTACAAGAATGTTCAATTAGCATCATTACATTCTACTTCCAAGGGGGTCAGTGGTGAATGTGGACAACGTGGTGGTTATATGGAACTTGTTGGATTTAAGCCAGAAGTTAAAGATGTTGTTTTCAAGTTGGCTTCAATTAATTTGTGTTCAGTTGTTTCAGGACAAGCATTAATGGAATTAATGATTAATCCACCAAAGGAAGGTGATGAATCATATGAATTATACAAGAAAGAAACTAATGCCATTCATAGTGATTTAGAAGAAAGAGCTGAATTATTATACCATGCTTTCCAAGAAATGGAAGATGTTAAATGTAATAAACCAATGGGTGCTATGTATATATTCCCAACTTTAGAATTTGATCCTGAACATTACCATAAATTATACTCAAGAGCTAAGAATTCAGATTTACAAGTTGATGATGTTTATTGTATTGAATTATTGGAAAATTCAGGTATTTGTTGTGTACCTGGTAATGGATTTGGTCAAAAGGAAGGAACTTACCATTTAAGAACAACATTTTTACCACCTGGCAAAGAATGGATAGATAGATGGACTAATTTCCATAAATCATTCATCAAAAAGTACAAAGATTAGAGATAGAGATCTTATATATATATTGTAGTAGTAGTAGTGACTATGTATTTATATTTTGTCCTTTATATACAAATTTATTTGTAAATATATATAATGGTTGTGTGTCATATATGTCTATTATATCTATTTAATGGTAAACATTTCCTAAAGTGATTGATTTGACAACAGTATAGTCATCCATACCATAAAGGGAACCTTCTCTACCAAATCCAGATTCTTTAATACCACCGAATGGTAAAGCGGCATCAGTGAATAAACCAGTATTGACAGAAACCATACCAGATTCTAAGTACTCTGACATATACCAAACAGTGTTCAAGTTATCACTAAAAACATAAGATGCCAATCCATATGGAGTATCATTACACCAGTGTAATACCTCTTCCTTGGTGTCAAATGGAGTGATGGCACCTAATGGACCAAAGGTTTCTTCTTGTACAACTCTCATATCTTGAGTAACATCCTTGATAACTGTTGGTGCATAAAAGTTTTTACCCAATTCAGGAAGTCTACCACCTTTAACAACCAATTTGGCACCTTTTTGTAAAGCATCTTGTAAATGATCTTCAACTTTTTGAATTGATTTTTGATTTATAACACAACCATGAGTGACACCTTTTTCAAATCCATTACCAATTTTGAAATTTTCCACTTTTTCAGCAAATTTTTTAATAAATTCATCATAAACACCTCTTTGAACATAGATTCTGTTAGCACAAACACAAGTTTGACCCAATGATCTAAATTTAGAAGCAATACTTTGTTCAACGGCAAGATCCAATTTGGCGTCTTCAAAAACAATAATTGGTGCATTACCACCCAATTCCATGGATAATTTCTTCAAAGTAGATGATGATTGCTTCATTAACAATTTACCAACTGGCGTGGAACCGGTGAAACTGACTTTTTTAATCAATGGAGATTCACAAAATTTCAAACCAACCATTGGTGTACTTTCAACAGAAACCAAAACTACATTGAATACACCATCAGGGAAACCTGCTTCTTTGGCCAAGTAAGCTAAAGCTAAAGAACTTAAAGGAGTTTGAGCATCTGGTTTCAAAATACAAGTACAACCTGCAGCAAAAGCTGGAGCAGCTTTTCTTGCACCCATTGCACTTGGAAAATTAAATGGACATAATAACCCAACTGGACCAACTGGTTGTTTATAAGTAATGACTTTATTATTTGGATTCAGTGGTTGAATAGTGTGACCATAGTTACGCTTGGCTTCTTCTGCAAACCATTCAAAATAACTAGCAGCATATTTAATTTCACCAATGGCATCAGTTAAACATTTACCATTTTCCCAAGTGATTAAAGCTGCTAAATCATCCAAGTTTTCCATCATCAATTCATACATTCTTCTTAACCATTTAGAACGTTCATAAGTTCCTGTGTGTTTGTATTTATTGAATGCTTCTTGGGTAATTTTGATAGCTTCGTCAATTTCTTCTGGGGTTTGATCTGGCAATTCAATGATAACTTCTTCAGTTGCTGGATCAATGACTTTGAAAGTCTTGGTTGATTTGGAATCATACCATTGACCATTGATGAATGGTTTGTTTTGGAATAACTTTGGGTTTTTCAATTGTGGAGCCATGTCTTGATTTGATTAGTTTGATGAAATAAAACTAGAGAAAAAGAATGTATTCAATAATTATAAAAAAAAAAACATAAAATTGCTTCTTTGACTTGATTTATAAAGCAAGCAATTTCTGTTGATGAATAAAATGATAGCGGTAACCGGGGGAAGAAAAAAAAAAAATTAGCGGGGACTTTCCTAATTTGGAATTGGCGTAAAAGGTAATTTAGATTGCCGGGTTCAGATCTCCGAATCATTTGATAGGTTTTTGAAAGATCTTGATACGATGGTGATACTAGTGCCACCAGTTTGAATAAACAGAACAGGGTGGTACTTTATGCTTCTTATTCCCAAAGAAAAAATCTACCATTTCTTACTTGTGGGGTTCTGACTTGTATAGGCTCTAGATTGGCGTCGCTACTTCTTTTTTTTTTGGATTTCACAAATGAGTGAATTATGAATACGTTATTGCAATGAATAAATGTGACATTGCCACTGGTTTATTGGCATCCTGGTAGAAGGTTATGAGTATGCATTTCAAGTTCAACAAGATATATGTCGCATGTGTTAAGTTCAAGGTATTGAGTGAATTCATTGAAAAAAAAATGACATGATTTGAGCAATGACAGTAATGACAGTAATGACACCAAAAAAACAAAAGAAAGAAAAACAAATTAAAAATGAACGAGGAAATCGATTGGTATATCGACATTTCTTTCATCAGCAGAATGTATTTAATTATGAATAATAACTATACCGACCTTTTTGAATAGTTTGGCTAACTAATGTTCATAGCTCCATTCATTGAACTAAATTGGTATTGAACATTATTGCACATAATCGGGACGGGTATTTTTTTTTTTGCATCTCTCCGATTGTTATTGAAGATTCTTCACAAACAGAAAAAAGAATGTTGACGGTCGGAGGAAAGACGACCCAGTGTTACTGTTATGTCCGTGTGCAATCTTTGTTCTTTAGTTAGGAAATAAACTGCTAATCCTGAAAGAAAACAGACACATTTATAGTGTAAATCAAAAACTAGAAGAGTATTAATTTAAACATGAAAAGCAAACGAATACGACAAAATACAGTTAGGAACTATAATCCAAGAAAATGCTTATAAATGAAAATGATTTATTATTACATGATTAAATCTTCGTTCCTCTTGGAAAGTTTGCCATTTTTTTTTTTTTTTTTTTGCAGCAGCAGGAGCAGGAGCATAATTTTTTGGGTGGAGCGAGGAGGAGGAGGAAGATGAGTTCTTTTTAGTATGGGATGAAAAGTGCATGGATATAAGGAAATTGACCACGGACATTAGCTTATGTGCGGCTCTAACAACGCACATTTGACTAATTCCCGCGATTTTCAATTCAATTCAACTCAAAAAAAAAAGAGCTCAAGTTTTTGTGAAGTGAACGACCAAACGAGACACTAACAACAGCGAACGAAAAGAAAGAGAGAGCAAAAAAAAAAAAAATAATATTGCTCGTACCAATTAATAAGCGTAAACGATACAAAGGTGAATAGAAGCATGGGTTACAAACAATATTAAGGGCACAATGTTAGATTGAAAATGAAAATCGTACACAAAGAATCTCATTAATTAAAGGATTTATGTTTTGACTTTTTTGGTTTTTGGTTTCTGATTTCCGTTTCATAGCCCATATTTAACATGAATATAATGTTTAGTAAGCAAATTGTGAAACAGGTAATTGAAGCGTAGTTATCGAAATACCAACATCATATTTAACAAAGTTGAATTTCACAACACGCGACTGTGGATAGATAAATACGGCTCGGAAATATTCCATTAGACTCCCACACGGATGTTGGTGTATCCTTCCATCCATCACACGGTTGCTGGCCATCCACCCCCTCGCGCGCAGTCGCATTGTCTACCCGTTCCAAATATGTAATTCCTTTTCTTAATTGTTCAAATACCGTCACACAAAACCAAACTTCCAAGAAATGTTTTTTTAGAACATTTGAAATTCTCACACTCACTCACACAAACTAAAAGAAAAAAAAAATATCCCTAACAAGTTATCAAGCATGAGTAATAAGATATAAATACCATGTAAAAAGATCATCTAATTTTTCGTTTTTGTTTTTTTGTTTTATTTTCATTTTAGTATAATGAAGATTTGTTTATTTTGCAATTATAATTTAATATCAACTATTTATTCAAATTTTTGTTTTTCTTACATATATTTATTCATTTACTAATTTGCTTTATTGATTCATTCTTAACCATCGCAAGTTCTCATTATTCGGTCCCGCAATATTTCTCATCAACCATGATTGCAAAATTAATGGGTGTAACCTACCTCAAGAGCAAATTTCACCGCTCTTCAAATACAGCCCATACAAATGATGTTAATTTAGAATCAACAGCAGATGCGCCTTTCCCCAAAATCAAATCATCAAACACAATAGAGTCTACTTCTACAATCAAGAGAAGTAAATCTACAAACCCTTCCTCGTCTACTAAAGGAAAACAAAAGAAGCATTCAAATTCACACGAAATAGTAACACGATCACAAGTCCGTCGTTCAAATACAGTACCATCAGGAATTGCATTGAAAAACTTTTCCCTTAATAGAACTTCAGGAACACTGTCAAGTCTACCGAATTCACCTAGTCTTCATAATGGTCTTTCTTTAATTGAAGAGTATGGTCCACCTTCACGAACATCAAGTCAAGACAGTACAGCTAACTACAATTTAACACCTAATAATAGTGGCAGTAATTTAATGAGTCTACAACACGGCTATTTAACGGTAGATTACAATGTTAAAGATGATTCAAGTAGTCTCTACACTGGTAAATCAAATAACAGACCTGACGATTATTATGATAGTGATTATGATAGTGACAAGAATGAAAATGATTATGATTCTGTAACAAATTTGTGGGTTTTCCCTAGAACTTCAAACAATTTCAGTATCCCAAGAACACATGGAACAAAGAAGAAAAATGTACGATTCATGTGAAATGATAGAGCTATAAGGGGTTAATCATTACAAAGGAGGACGCGGTACGGTAAGAAAGGAAGTAGAATAATATTCTACTATTATAATCAGGGCATATTTTATTTTTCTTTTCTTTTATATATAATAGAGTGATTTTAATGTGCAACGAAAGAAGAACTTGATAAAAAAAAGAAAATAATATTTAATTTGTTTGGTGCTTTTATTCAATGTTACGTTCTTTATAGAAAGGTACACATATGTTACAATTAAAATAACTGGTTATTTTTTTTGGTGGAAGACGGTATTTCTATAATAGAATGACTTTCTTTGTTTTTGTATATAGATATAATTAGAAGTATTAGGGTTATAGGGTTCATATTGGTTTTGATGAGGAGTAATGATTATGAATTTATTTATTTATTTATTTTAGTTAGTCAATTAATTAATTATTTATTTATGTTTAAACTTTGAACTGATAATTGCAATTAGAGTTTTAAGATCCATCAGTGGTCCAATGGCACTATTGTTTGTTAATGCGTTGGTAAGCTAGATAGACAATGCGAACTACACTCTGGAGAAAACAATAGAAGTGGAGTTAGCCTCTCGCTATATTTTGCACATGACTCGTGGCTAATGTAAATACACCTTGTGTGTTCTTCCTCTTTCACTTTAACTTTGTGAGCTCTGACTATGATAAATCAAATTCTTTTTCTTTACTCTAACAAGCAAATGTTAAAACAAAACAAACAAAAAAAAAGAATTTCCCAGTATGGTCATTTGATTTTTTCACATATTTTGATAAGACTGCCATGCCGTACTGCGTTTAAAACGGTTGATGATTAAAAAATCATTCTTTAGTTCTTCTGCTCTATTTTAGTTTCATGCATCTGCGAAATGCCAGTACTAATAGTTCGTGTCGATATGTTCAAAAAAGCAAATACTAAAGTATAGATGAATTTTAAACCAAACCCCACAACTGAATTAAAACACCGATCTAACCACAATGAAAATGATGACCTTTAGATAAGTCTTCCATTTATTCTTTTCTTTTTTATTTTATTCATTATTTTCTTCATCCACATTTATGCTCTAATTTGAAAATTATCTAACGGCTATGATTTAAAGGCGATATGAAGGGTTCAATTGAATATAATTTGAAATAACAACACAAAGTTAGTTATACGAAATAGTGCCCTTTATAGATGACTAAGCATGTTAAATCCTTCCTTACTAATCACTTAATAAGACTTCAAGGAACCACAGCAGTCAACGACATCTTTCAAGAGACATTAATAATTGAGAATGACGTAAAATGAGGTTTTCATTCTTTTTTAAACTTACGCACGACCGATATTCTTTTTTCTTTCTTCTTCTTCTTCTTCCCATCACGTTTACTACGCACATAACCCGTAGGAGATATTCTGTACTGCAAAATAATAGAAAAGTGCGAAAAAACTACAGCAACATGAAAAAGAAAAGGAAAAAAGAAAAAAAAAAGCAACGGGTTGCACAATGCTTATTTTTTGTTGTTGTTCCCATTATTGCCGAAGCACTAATTGTACAAGGAATCTAACTGGATGACTCAGCATGAAGGGATTTGACCATCTATTTATCTCCTTCTTTGACTTGTTTCCGCTTAAAGTCGAATTCAATGTCGCTTTCCCCAATGAATATAGATTGTTTTTTTATACATCCTTCTCATTACTTGAGGCCCGGAGCACAAAAGAAGAACCCCATGATGTCGGCATTAGTGGACTTGTTTTTTTTTTATTACTATTATTTTAATTTACTTTTGTTGTATTGAATTTATTATCAATTACTAACCAGTTACTACCGAATAAAATAGCTCAAAACTGAATCTTCTTTGAATATATATAAATATATAATTGCCCGATCTATTCCGTGTATTACTTCAATGTGTCTTGAACTTTGAGTTTACCTCTACTTTTCAATACAAATTTCAACTCATCCATTATAATGATAGTTTTAAAACAATCAAAGTCAATCTTAAATAAAGTATTACCAATTGATCTTTCGCATGATGATAATAACAAAAGTGACATATCTCGGAAATCAAGTATTCATGATGCTAGGACAACGATAAATGAAATTCAACATAACCACAATCATACTAATACTAATGGTCATGGTCATGGAATATATTCACCACTACCTGGAGATAGTAGAAGAAATTCAAGAGAAATTAAATTTAATTTAATAAATCCAGATATTTCATCACCTTCACCACCTTCATCAGTTCCTAGTTCCGGAGATGAAGGAATATCACCAACACGAAAAAATTCATCAAGAAAATCAAGTAGAAAGAATTCAGTTAGAAGGCCAAGAAGAAACAGTGCTACAAATAAGTCTGATACAAATGCTGCATTTAAGAAAACAAAAGAAGTTTCACTGGATAGTAAAATAGAGCCTCCAGTCGCTGATAAGAATGCAAAAGACGTAGTAAATGAATTAACAAAATTTGATTGGATTTTAATTGGTATTATAATTTTCTTAGTACTTCTAATCTACTATTTCTAAAATAGTATTGGACCGTTTAAATTTCAGTTCTACTTTGAAAAATTTTATTTCATTAAAAATTTGTGTATAACTATAAATAAATTTACAATATAAAACCTGATTATAGAAAAAGTTTAAGCAAATGTATTGATTAATTCTGCACTGAATCTAATCTTGTATCAAGCCACTCTAACATGGAATGTATTTTAGAACCAACATACGACCATTCTACAACTGAACTTATTATTCTTTATCATGCTGCCAACCAATAACCTAAATACCAACACTACACCAAATACTAATATGAACCTACACCTCATCAGATTCACAACATTCTTGGTTGCTCAAACCTCAATGCAGATGTTAGTCTTCGTTTGTGTTTTCTTACATCCTTCTGGTTGCTCTCTGGCATCACCTGTACAACTGTACTCTGATCATTATTCTCATTTTCATTACTTTCTTCACCTTCAGTTACATTCGGCTGAAGAAGGCTACAATCATCTTCAAAATTGTGCAAATCGTAGATCGATACTCGTCTGTTGCTCAGTATGTGGTTGGGAAGTGGGAGTGACCAACTGTATGCGAATCCATGGTGTCCGTGGTTGTATATAAGGAAAGCAGTCAAGGGTGTGTTGGCTTGTCCTATGTCTGGGCACTCAATACCTATGGAACATCGTCTAGTAAACATTATTGCTCTGTGTGGATCTATCTGTGATTAGAGTTCAAGTTGGAAAATCGTGAACCGAAATGAAATGAAAAAGAATAGAAGAAAATGTAAAAATATACATAAAACTGTGGTAAGATGAAAAAAAAAGACGCTCTTTTAATAATTATGAACTTGTAGTGAATTGCTCTTCGTAGAAGCTACCAATAGGGATAGCAAATCTAAAATTATAAGTTGAATAAAATCTAATCCAAAACTAGTATATTAGCAAAGAAAAAGGAAAAGAAAAAAAAAGAGACTGCTGGAAAAGTCGGTGAAATCAATAATGCCCAAAATGGATCATATTTATATATTTCTTTCATCTGGATTCAGAACCATGTGGAATTTAACTAGACACGGTTTCGTAATATACACACACCGTAATAATATTTGTTTATTATCATTCCACATAGTGACGAAACATCTTGCATATTGCTCTTGACACGAAAATAATATATTATATTTTATTTTTTTTCTTATATTACGGTGTCTGGTCTTTGTGCTACATTTAACCTGTCGCAATCGTGCCAGACGATATACACCATGAGGCGAGGAGGACAAATTTTTTGGTTTCACTACTAGTCCTCGTCAACTGGTAGTTCTCCCCACATAACATCATCACGCTCTAGATCAGACATGACACCATCAACACCAATAACTTGATGTATATTCCCGTTTCGTATACACACATACACAACACTACACTATACTACACTACACAACCATCAACTTCAAGAGCGAGTCCACCACACTTGTGGCCGCCAAACTAGTGATCCCGCTGTTGGTGTCATATGGCGGACTCACTTCAACAACATCCGCACCGATCAAGTTCACATGGCCCTTCAACCCGTCAAGGATACTCAACAACTCTCTGGTGGTGAACCCCCCTGCTTCCATTGTTCCCGTACCTGGAGCATACGCTGGGTCCAACACATCGATATCCACCGAGATGTAAGTAGGCGTGTCAGGGTCGTGGGACAACTCACGGATGATTCCATGCACACCGATCTTGTCAATGTCATTTGCATGGATGGTGTTGAATCCACACTCATTGTCGTGGTTCTTGTCGTAGCTGGCATCAATGTATGGTGCTCGAATACCGACATGGTAGTTACCGCTTCTCTGGATGTACCCCAACTCGTGTGCATAGTGAAGGAACGTGCCGTGGTTCAACGACATGTAGTCCGTTATGCCGCCACCAAGCACCTTGGGATCCCACGTATCAATATGTGAATCGAAATGCAACACCCTGACTTTGGCTCCCAACAGCTCATGTGCATTCTTGATTGCCATTAAGGTGATGGTATGGTCGCCTCCTAGAGTGATGATCCTAGGCGTGGAGTGAACATTACCAGTGTGCTTCAGAATACTTCTGTGTCCACGGTACAACTGGTTCAACGCAATCCTATTGTCGAACGGGGTCATGGCCACATCCCCACAATCAATGATGGAATAGTTGTGGGTGTTGCCGTCGTATGGATCAACAGGGTAACCAGCTCTCTTGTGTTTTGATTTCAGTGAGCCTGTCAAACGGGCAGCAGCGTTTCTAATAGCCTGTGGTCCAAACCGTGCTCCTGGACGGTACGATGTTCCCGTGTCGAATGGTGCACCCACAATGGCAATGTCCATGGCTGGGTTCTCATCCTGGCTGACAAAACAGTTGAAGTGGTCCAAATGTGCAAATGTGAGAATTCCACCAAAGATATTTTGGTCAGCAGCAATGTCCGAGGTGTCGTCCTTGTCTGGCAAGGTCAACTTGGATCTCATAGCAAGAACTCTGTCTGTGTCGGCACTGGTGGTGTCGAATGTCGGAGTGAGGTCCACGATCTCACCGTATAGTTGGTCAAGGAGTGATGACAGTGATGTTCTGAAAATTGCCTGCCCCGAGACCAAGCCAATCATGGATAGGATGAGTAACTTCATTGGTGTGTATACCCAGTTTGTTCTATTTTTCATTTCAGGAAAGTTGAATCCCATTTTATATTCCTGGGGGATTGCGCTCCTAGCGATAAACTCTCTTAGAGGAAATTTATTCCGCTCCACACAAAAAATTATAGACAAAAAAAAATAACAATAATAATAAAAAAAAAAGACAATAACAATGTATATTTCTGAATAGGTATCTGAATTGTATATGTAACGCAGGGATCGCTTATAAGTCGTTGCATTTCTCCATCTTGTAGAGCAATTCGTTCAAGTTGGTGGAAAAGTTGGGGTGGAACTCGATGAAATAGTAGATCAAGCCCAATAGTAAGATACTGAATAGATTTAGTGAGATTAAAATCTTGTAAAGACTGGGCGTCCGTCCTGCGATTTGCTTTTCTTGATGAGGTTGTAGTGGTTGCTGTTTCTCAAGATCACGAGTTGTGGTGGATGATGTGGTGGTACTGTTGAGCTCGATCGTGTTCATAGTCGTCGTTGGTGCTGGCATCTCTGGCATCGAATAGTTAGGTCTGTTCATACACATTAAAGAACAAGGGATGAATTGGTTATCAAAGAATGAAAAGAAAAAAAAAAAATAAAAGAAGAATAAAAAGAAGTGACAAACGTATTCTGGAATTTTTGTTCTAACGGTAGTTTTATTTTTGTTTTTCTGTTGTGAGTCGCGAAGGGGTTGAAGAGAAAATGACAATTTTCATTTAAAAAAAGGGGGCGTTTTCTGTGTGTGTGGTTTGTTTGGTTGGATAGTTGGGCGTGGGTGATTGGATGTCGATTTTGAACGAATTGTGACAGCTACATAAGACCGTCTCTTTCAATGTTTATTTAAGGGTCTGGCCAGTGGTGAACGTTTCGAAATTAAGTTTATTGATCAATCTGTTAATGATCATAGAGATAATCCTTAAATTACGTAATCATACACAAAAACACGAGTGTTTGATTTTCTCACAGTTACGAAATTGCTATTAAATTGAAATTCTCGAATCAACGTTCTTTACAGAAGGTCTCTGTAAGATAGCTGTAAGTAAGACTTGATTGATTGCTCATCTAACTACCTTTAAGAATTTATTCCAATATATAAAACAAACATCCTTTATTCAAATAAAACCTATGTAAAAAAATACCTCCAAAAATGAAAAAACTTCCAAAATTACAATACCTAATCTAACCATCTTCTTCTCTTGGTAGCAGCACTAATAGTAGCTTTGCTCACTCTTTCACTTGCAGCGTACCAGTAAGTTGGATATGGTGCAACAGATGCGTAATTGACGGCTGATTCAGCTGTGTATGACCAACCTGGAGTGATAGTTGATTGCACGATTGGAGATGCAAGTTTTGTACTATAATATGTGACTGCACTTGTAGGAAATTTCATACTCCAAGTAGTGGCAGTAACAGTTGAACCTGGTTGAGTTTGCATTGGTGCATATCGAGTTTTACCGGTTTGTAAAGTGTAAGGAACAGTAAAACTATCAGAATTAACTGTTGCAGTAGTGAACCCTGAAACATATGATCCTGGAACAGATCCGGTTTCAGTGACATCCAATGTACCAGTGGTACCACTCATACCAGTTAATTTAAAACGAGGTGAGTAGTGAATGGTGACACCCCCAGAATTGAAGACTGTGTAAATTTGGAAGTAGTAGTAACCATTTGGTACTAAGGTGTTATCGATTTTAACAGTGGTTTCATGAGAATCGATAGTTTGCAGTGAAACCAATGCTGTTTCTAAACATTGAATGTTATTATCTTCATCTGGTCCAGTACATAATAAGATGGTATAAGATTTGACATTGTCTAAGGATTTATCAGAATCAGAATCATCCGAATCATCCCATGCAATTTTAACACTCGCAGAACCGGAACTACCAGAATATGAATCTCCCAGAGATGGTGAAGTAATATCAACATCAGCACTAACCTTACTAAGTAAAGTTGAAAGGATGGAAAAATAGACAATATTAAAGAATCTCATGATTAGATTCGGCTGTGCTAACTAAATTCAAGGTACGGAAAAAAATAAACGATAGACAAATAAACAATAAATCAATACAATAATTATCCACTTTATCGAAAGATGATTGATAATTATATTAATGTAAAGTGTAGTAGCTGTGAAAAGTAATGAAACGGACTTGAAAACACAAGGGATGTTAAATGTTGCACTCTGAGGTTTTGTCGAGATGTTCAAACAAAAAGGAAAAAGGTGTTTTTTTTTCGAGTTTGCTTTACTGTCTGCTAGAAAAAAAAAAAAGAGAAGAAAAAAAATAAAGAAAAAGAAAAAAATAATTGTTCCGTGCACTACCCCTGAGAATAAATTTTTCTGCTGCAATAGTCTATTTTTAGAGTTGCAAATTATCTAAGATCACAACAACCATCAGATTATCAAACACAAGAGACCCGCATTATAATTATGGAAAGAATTAATAAGCTTTTATACTTATACATTCACCATGAAACTACTGTATAGATCAAAGACTACTGTTTTAATTTTATTTATCAATTTAAAGGTTATTCTAATGAAAAATAAAAAACTACAGTAGCAATCACCATGTCTTCAATAGAATGTGAACACCCAGGGAGAGAAGAAGGATTAACTTTAAGCTATGGAAAGGTAGACATGAATTCTTTTTGTTACTTAAAGCATGGGTTTCTATAATTACATAGTTATTATTTCAACTGTATGTTCAGTCATATAAATAGCAAAATTGACGATAATTAGATGATCTGAAAAATTCTCTCTGATAGTTTATGAAATATCAAGCAATTATTAAAAAGCAATCGACCTGCAAACCATTAGTTTGATTATTCCAACCACACCAATATTGTGAGTATTCCGTGGATACTTACTGAAAACTGACCAGGGTTTTCCAATGAAGGTATAATAACGAGAAATATTCCTTCGAACATGAAGTCAATTAATAATTGATCAAGTTTTCAACCTCAAAGAACAAATATAGTACTTTCCAAACAAGTACAAAACAAAATCATAATTATTCTTCAGCAATATTGGAATTATCTTTCCAGAAGTGGAAGATGTTATCACAATGAAGAAGAAAGCTTAAAATCTGAAAGAGAACTTGCATCGAATCTTGAGCTTTTCCGATCTTTCCTATACGCTCATTATCTCAATTCCAATTATGTGTCCAAACAAATGCCATCGTTAATTGATATCACTCCTGATTACAACATCCAATCACCAGCACCACCCCTCATCACTCCAATCACCCACGCCCAACTATCCAACCAAACAAACCACACACACAGAAAACGCCCCCTTTTTTTAAATGAAAATTGTCATTTTCTCTTCAACCCCTTCGCGACTCACAACAGAAAAACAAAAATAAAACTACCGTTAGAACAAAAATTCCAGAATACGTTTGTCACTTCTTTTTATTCTTCTTTTATTTTTTTTTTTTCTTTTCATTCTTTGATAACCAATTCATCCCTTGTTCTTTAATGTGTATGAACAGACCTAACTATTCGATGCCAGAGATGCCAGCACCAACGACGACTATGAACACGATCGAGCTCAACAGTACCACCACATCATCCACCACAACTCGTGATCTTGAGAAACAGCAACCACTACAACCTCATCAAGAAAAGCAAATCGCAGGACGGACGCCCAGTCTTTACAAGATTTTAATCTCACTAAATCTATTCAGTATCTTACTATTGGGCTTGATCTACTATTTCATCGAGTTCCACCCCAACTTTTCCACCAACTTGAACGAATTGCTCTACAAGATGGAGAAATGCAACGACTTATAAGCGATCCCTGCGTTACATATACAATTCAGATACCTATTCAGAAATATACATTGTTATTGTCTTTTTTTTTTATTATTATTGTTATTTTTTTTTTGTCTATAATTTTTTGTGTGGAGCGGAATAAATTTCCTCTAAGAGAGCTTATCGCTAGGAGCGCAATCCCCCAGGAATATAAAATGGGATTCAACTTTCCTGAAATGAAAAATAGAACAAACTGGGTATACACACCAATGAAGTTACTCATCCTATCCATGATTGGCTTGGTCTCGGGGCAGGCAATTTTCAGAACATCACTGTCATCACTCCTTGACCAACTATACGGTGAGATCGTGGACCTCACTCCGACATTCGACACCACCAGTGCCGACACAGACAGAGTTCTTGCTATGAGATCCAAGTTGACCTTGCCAGACAAGGACGACACCTCGGACATTGCTGCTGACCAAAATATCTTTGGTGGAATTCTCACATTTGCACATTTGGACCACTTCAACTGTTTTGTCAGCCAGGATGAGAACCCAGCCATGGACATTGCCATTGTGGGTGCACCATTCGACACGGGAACATCGTACCGTCCAGGAGCACGGTTTGGACCACAGGCTATTAGAAACGCTGCTGCCCGTTTGACAGGCTCACTGAAATCAAAACACAAGAGAGCTGGTTACCCTGTTGATCCATACGACGGCAACACCCACAACTATTCCATCATTGATTGTGGGGATGTGGCCATGACCCCGTTCGACAATAGGATTGCGTTGAACCAGTTGTACCGTGGACACAGAAGTATTCTGAAGCACACTGGTAATGTTCACTCCACGCCTAGGATCATCACTCTAGGAGGCGACCATACCATCACCTTAATGGCAATCAAGAATGCACATGAGCTGTTGGGAGCCAAAGTCAGGGTGTTGCATTTCGATTCACATATTGATACGTGGGATCCCAAGGTGCTTGGTGGCGGCATAACGGACTACATGTCGTTGAACCACGGCACGTTCCTTCACTATGCACACGAGTTGGGGTACATCCAGAGAAGCGGTAACTACCATGTCGGTATTCGAGCACCATACATTGATGCCAGCTACGACAAGAACCACGACAATGAGTGTGGATTCAACACCATCCATGCAAATGACATTGACAAGATTGGTGTGCATGGAATCATCCGTGAGTTGTCCCACGAGCCTGACACGCCTACTTACATCTCGGTGGATATCGATGTGTTGGACCCAGCGTATGCTCCAGGTACGGGAACAATGGAAGCAGGGGGGTTCACCACCAGAGAGTTGTTGAGTATCCTTGACGGGTTGAAGGGCCATGTGAACTTGATCGGTGCGGATGTTGTTGAAGTGAGTCCGCCATATGACACCAACAGCGGGATCACTAGTTTGGCGGCCACAAGTGTGGTGGACTCGCTCTTGAAGTTGATGGTTGTGTAGTGTAGTATAGTGTAGTGTAGTGTTGTGTATGTGTGTATACGAAACGGGAATATACATCAAGTTATTGGTGTTGATGGTGTCATGTCTGATCTAGAGCGTGATGATGTTATGTGGGGAGAACTACCAGTTGACGAGGACTAGTAGTGAAACCAAAAAATTTGTCCTCCTTGCCTCATGGTGTACATTGTCTGGCAGGATTGCGACAGGTGAAATGTAGCACAAAGACCAGACACCGTAATATAAGAAAAAAAATAAAATATAATATATTATTTTCGTGTCAAGAGCAATATGCAAGATGTTTCGTCACTATGTGGAATGATAATAAACAAATATTATTACGGTGTGTGTATATTACGAAACCGTGTCTAGTTAAATTCCACATGGTTCTGAATCCAGATGAAAGAAATATATAAATATGATCCATTTTGGGCATTATTGATTTCACCGACTTTTCCAGCAGTCTCTTTTTTTTTTTTCTTTTTCTTTTTCTTTGCTAATATACTAGTTTTGGATTAGATTTTATTCAACTTATAATTTTAGATTTGCTATTCCTGTTGGTAGCTTCCACGAAGAGCAATTCACTACAAGTTCATAATTATTAAAAGAGCGTCTTTTTTTTTCATCTTACCACAGTTTTATATATATTTATACATTTTCTTCTATTCTTTTTCATTTCATTTCGGTTCACGATTTTCCAACTTGAACTCCAGTAACAGATAGATCGGCACAGAGCAATAATGTTTACTAGACGATGTTCCATAGGTATTGAGTGCCCAGACATAGGACAAGCCAACACACCCTTGACTGCTTTCCTTATATACAACCACGGACACCATGGATTCGCATACAGTTGGTCACTCCCACTTCCCAACCACATACTGAGCAACAGACGAGTATCGATCTACGATTTGCACAATTTTGAAGATGATTGTAGCCTTCTTCAGCCGAATGTAACTGAAGGTGAAGAAAGTAATGAAAATGAGAATAATGACGATGATGATGTTGAGAGTACAGTTGTACAGGTGATGCCAGAGAGCAACCAGAAGGATGTAAGAAAACACAAACGAAGACTAACATCTGCATTGAGGTTTGAGCAACCAAGAGTTTTATAAATGGTGGAGTAAGGGTCTAGGTAGTCTAGGTGGGCTTAGTTTTGTCATTCCAGGAAAGACTAGATATTAATTTACAATTCTTAGAAAAAGAACAATTAAAAATGATGTCACTTGTTTAGAAATCTCTTAATCAGTACCAAAATACAAAGAATCTATAAATCTATTTCTAAAATGCCAATGACTATCCAAAAACCTTTCCTTATTATACCATTGTTGATTGTCTCCGTCTTCCATACTTGATAATTTACCAATTACAATCTTAACTTTAGGGAATACATTAACAATTCTTCTAATACCAATTTCTGTAGACAAGTAACTGATCAAAATAATATCACTTTCTTTGACCCCGTGATCTAATAAAACTTGAATTGCCATAATGGCCCCTGCACCACTTATGATTTGCGAATCAAATAACATTATTTCACCTCTAGTAGTCAAATTATGTGGTAAGCTTTCAAAATGCAATTGTGGTTCACCAGTGGATGAATCACTTTGAATCAATAATTTTCCAATTGAAATCTCAGGGAATGATCTTTTGATGGAAGACATAAAACAGTCACCACTTCGGATAATATTAACAGCTATGTATTGATTTTGAACAACTTTTTTACCATGGTAGATCCCTTTACCAGTTTCGATGTCCACTTCTTTATATTCAGAAATAAACTCTTGTGCCAATTCAATCAACAATCCACAAATTCTATTAAAGTAGAAAATAAAGTCATTTCTTGATGTCTCAGTATCAAATAAAATTGAATTGATTCCTCTAACTTGATTAGTATCTCTTAATAGTTTGATGTTAAATTGATTGACATCAAAGTCGATATTTAATCCCAATTTCTTCAATCTTGAGATGTGATTTCTTGATTTGTTTGCTAATTGATTGTTGATATGGTTAATCATTAAATTTATAGCAATTGAATTATCCAAACCTCTAGGAATAACCAAATCTGCATTATTCATCGTTGGATTAAGAAACTTTACTGCATTTGGCTTGACAAATCTTTCCCATTGCTGAATAGCACCACCCAAATCTCTACCACGGTATAGAATATCACGAGTTAATCTTCTTGCTAAACAGATATCCAAATCAGTATCGACATAGATTTTCAAATCCATCATATCCAACAAACGCTGGTCATATAATGCATATAAACCTTCAACAATAATCACATTGGCCCCATAGATAGTATTGGTTTTATTGGTTCTGTTGTGTGAAGTGAACGAATACACTGGAATAGTTGCCTTTCCACCTTTTTTCAAGTTCTTGATAGTTTCAACTAACAATTCAAAATCTAAAGAATCAGGGGTGTCAAAATCAAAGTTATTGGCAAAAGCTTGTTTACTTTCCTCAGGAGTCAAAGGGTTATAAAAGTTGTCAAAAGACAACAAAACAGTCCATGGCTGGTTGATTTCTTGAATAATCTTTTGAGAAATTGATGTTTTACCTGAACCCGAATTCCCAGCAATCCCAATAATGTATGGTTCTGTCCAAGGTGGAATATATGAGGCTTTAGGTGTTGCAGTTCCAGCAGTTGTTCCAGAGACAGAAGTTGGGGTAGCAGTACCAGATGGAATAGTTGCAGTGAATGAGGATTTACGATCAGTAGAATTTAAACCAGTCATGTTTTCGATTGAAGTATCAATACTTTCAAATGGAGATGCCTCTAGATTCTCAACGGATGAATTGATGAAGGATAAGGATTCTTCGTCAGCAACAGGTGCGATCCTACTTGATCTCCTTCTTGGTTTTGAATTTAATGGCATTATATCAAAATTGAAAGTAAGTCCAGGAAAGGTATAATCCAAAGAAGAAATAATTTACTACAAAAATGTGGGTATATGTTTGATTATAAATTTTTTTGTTCAGGGTTGTCTAAGAATTCGGGATGACGTTTCGATGCGACGAGGACATCATATGGGGAACACAAAAAAAAAAAATTTACCAACACAACTGGAATACAAATTTCAAGTGATTTTGTTTTTTTAAGGTTGTACAGAATAAATGAGTCTACAAACAGGAAGAGGTACTCGAAGAAGACGTGGTGAATTAGATGATGATTCCGATGATGAAATAATTCGACAAATTGAGGAGCAAGATGAAGTATCATTCGAGCCACAACAACAACAACAACAGGCATCGCCAGAACCGGTAAAGGTAAAGGTAGAACAACAACCGAAACCTCATTATAGACAACAATATAAGAAACCTCGACTGAAGTATCACCAATTTAAACAAGAGTTAGATGAATTAGAAAGTCGAGAATTTCTCACGCCAGCTGAACAATCAAGATTAAATTACTTGGTGGATAGATTGAATAACTGGAACAAGTCTTCAGATAAGTATACTCTTCCATCAGAACTGCAATCGAAACATGACATCCTTCATAAAAAGTCCAACGAATATCAAACTATTAATTGGGAAACTGAACAATTTAATCGTGCTAATCAATTGGTATTACAAAATGATGACAAAATCCATGTGAATGATGATACGGAGTACGAATTTGTATTTGATCAATCTCAGTTTGTAAACTACGATGACGTGGAGGACTTGCCCGGGGATGATGATGATGATGATGACGATAGTGTAGGAAATGACGAGTCGGATCAACCTCGAACAACTCAATCTAAAGAAATAGATGATGTTAGAAAATCATTACCAGTTTATGGCTACCGAGAAGATTTCCTCAAGTTGTTGGATGAAAACCAAGCATTAATTGTTGTGGGTGAAACTGGTTCAGGTAAAACCACACAACTACCACAATATTTGCATGAATCGGGATATTCAAAAAATGGTAAAATGATTGCCTGTACACAGCCGCGTCGAGTGGCAGCAACAAGTGTTGCGACAAGAGTGGCGAGTGAAATGCAGGTGAAACTAGGGAAAGAAGTAGGTTATACAATTAGATTTGATGATAATACTCAAGATGGAGTTACTATTATCAAATATGTTACCGATGGTATGCTTGTAAGAGAATTCTTAAAAGACCTGTCACTTTCACGATACAGTGCAATTATGATTGATGAAGCACATGAACGTACACTTTCCACTGAAATTTTACTTAGTTTATTGAAAGATATCATGGTCACCAGAAAAGATTTGAAGATTATAATTGCAAGTGCAACAATTAATGCTGAGAAGTTTTCAAAGTTTTTTAACAATGCACCTATTTTGAATATACCTGGTAGAAGATTTCCTGTTAAAATCCATTATACCAAACAACCAGAAGCCAATTATATACAAGCCGCTATTACAACTATCTTTCAAATTCACATGACACAACCATTACCAGGTGATATTTTAGTTTTTCTAACAGGTCAAGATGAAATAGAAACTGTGGAAGAAATTCTCAAGGATCTGATAATCAAACTAGGTGATCAAATTGACCCTATGCTTGTTTGTTCCATTTATTCGAACTTACCACAAGAGTTGCAATCAAAAATTTTCCAACCTACGCCTTCAAATACAAGAAAGGTTGTTCTTGCAACCAACATTGCTGAAACCTCCATCACGATAGATGGTATATCATATGTTATTGATCCCGGTTATGTTAAACAAAATGTATATAATCCAACTACGGGTATGGAAAGTTTGGTTGTTGTTCCATGTTCACGTGCTAGTGCTGATCAACGTGCAGGTAGAGCAGGTAGAGTTGGGGCAGGTAAATGTTTCCGATTGTTTACTAAGTGGTCTTTCTATAATGAATTAGAATTGAACCAACAACCGGAAATCCAAAGAGTTAATTTAACGTCTGTGATATTATTGTTATTGTCCTTGGGTATAAATGATTTGCTTGGGTTTGAGTTCATGGATCCACCTTCCAAAGAATCTATAATCAAATCTTTGAATTTATTGTATGCTTTGGGTGCATTGAACTCTCTGGGGAAGTTGACTAAAATCGGGAAAAAGATGAGTGAGTTCCCATTGGATCCCATATTTACAAAGTGTATCTTAACTAGTGAAAAGTTTGGTAATACAAATGATATGATTAGTATGATTGCAATGTTGAATGAATCAAGTAATTTATTTTATAGACCCAAGGATAAACAAGAATTGGCAGATAAAAGAAAGCAAGAGTTTTTTGATGCAAAAGGTGATCAATTTATGTTGTTAAAAATATGGAAGCAATGGGTAGATACCGGTTATTCTGTTCAATGGTGCCAGGATTATTTCATTCAGTATAAGACAATGAAGAGAGTTCGAAATATTTATGAGCAATTGGTTAAATTAAGCAGAAAGATTGGCATTGAATTCACGACTACACCAAAAGACAATGATGACGGTGATTCCATAATGCTTACAAAGTGTTTAATTAGTGGGTTTTTTAACAACATTGTAAAGCTATCGCCTATGGGAGACTGCTACTCGAAAGTTACCAAGGGCAACAATACTCCTTGTTATGTTCATCCATCTTCTTGTGTCTATAAAATGAAGCCTAAGCCAAAGTATTTATTGTATTATGAATTGGTGCTTACAAGTAAAGAGTACATGAGAAACTGTATTATATTGGATGAAAAACTAGTTAAAGAGTATCTATAGTGTATATATAGAAATGTATATCAACGTAAATAATCTTGCCGAGAAGATTCCTGACATATACGGAGACATATCTCAACGGAGAGGGGGGGGAAGGTATGAGATGTGATGACTCCATTAAAACGGTTTGTGGATCCGTATTTCGATTATTATTTTAGTGTCTATTTTGAAACACACTTCGGAGATTTCACGTGTCCTTGTGAGTCTAGATTCGATATGTAAGACATGCATAATTAGAGGGAATACACACAAAGATCAAATGTCACGAAGTAGGGGGCAAAAAAAAAGAAAGTTCACGTCGCGGTTTCTTGTTTATTCTTTAATTTTGTTCTGCACGATGAAAGGGGGAAATAGAGAAAGAAAGAAAAAAAATAGATGATTGCGTGTGCGACGACTAGGGCGACGACAAGGGGGAGCGGGCCAAATAAAACACGGCAAGAAATAAAGAAAAAATTAAAAAGCCAAATTTAGATGCGCGTAATAAAATGCAAAATAGTTTAAAATTATAATAATGATTGAATTGTTGATGAGACACAAGAGTGTTTCACATTCAAACATCAAACTCGATGATAATTATATTTTTCTTTTTCTTTTTATGGTAAGTTATAATACCCTGGGGGAGGGGATGGTAAGAAATTGAGTAGTAGGGGAGTATCTACATTTATATATAGATATAATCAGATTGTTGATAGATTGTGTATCAGAAGATGATGAGTTTGATATAAGAGATATTTTATGTCATTTGTAACCTTAAATGGGATGAGACATAAAAATAAATTCACTTGATCTAATTAGATTTGTTCATTATTGTCTCTTTTTTGGCACTTTTGAGAGTGGTACATAACAGTCTGTTTAATCAAATCGTGAAATTTCACGATTAACCAAATGAAGTGTATAATTGTAATTTTTGTATTATCCAATTTTATTGTAGATCCATGACCACTGAAACTTGAGTTTTGATAGATCGGAAATATAAAATCGTGATTTGATGAAATTGAATTTAAGTTGTGTTTTTGGTTGTAAAGGAAACACGAAAAGCTTTTCCTGTTTCTGTATGTGCAGTAATAAAATTCTTGGATCGGGTCGTGCAGATTGTGTGTTTTCAATTTTTTTTTTATTTTAAGCGTGCTCCCAGTTTTCGTTTATTTTTTTTTTTTTATTCGCTGTTTGGCTCATCCACAAAAACAGAAAAATCCATAATAAACAGAAAGTTGTTTTACATTAAATTAACAAAAAAAAAAGACACACACATTTCCTCTAAGGCAAAAGGTAAAAAAAAAAAAAAAATCATATTATACAAAATACACCCACTAACCTTCACTTCTACTTATACCAATACATTCACATTCATCTTGATATCCAGTTCATAGATATACCTTTTGAACTTTTCCATTCTTTACAAAAATTCATTTATATCAACAGTCAGTATAGTTTGATTTTAAATCCATTAGACGATCTTGTATTTTTTTTTTTTCCTTCTTTTCTTTTGGTTAATAACTGTCAACGAACCCGTGTTTGAACATATTCCTATTACCAATCTAGATTCCTCCAAGGTCCTTGTTATTATTAGTTGAACAACCGTTGATTTGTTCATCTTTTTTTTCCTATTGTTTTCTGCAAGTACATATCCCTCCCTTCAAGTCATGTTCAAACTACATTATATTCTCAGTTTATTATTCATAACTACTTCAGTCGTTTTGGCAGTTGACTCCTTAGGTTGTTATTCGTCAGTACCAGGAGGAACTTCTCAAGGTGACTACCTTTTTCAAACATCTGGTTATTGTGCTGACCAATGTCCAGATTCCCAATACGTTGCAGTTCAAGGTGAAGAATGTATATGTTTAAGTTCATTGCCAGCAAACTCATATAAGGTTGATTCTTCTAAATGTACAACAGGATGTCCCGGTTATGGAACCGAGAAATGTGGTGGTTCCAGTTACTACAATGTTTATTTGGGACGTGGAACTAGTGACTCGAGTTCAAGTTCAAGCACTTCATCATCAGGAAGTAAACAATCATCATCTTCGTCGAGTCAAGCCTCATCTTCTTCGTCGAGTTCAACTGGTGGCTCGCAATCTTCCAGCACTGATAATTCACAATCTTCAATCACTAGCTCGCCAACAACTAATGATAGCGATGAAGAAAACAACAACGCTACTGAAACAATTGTCAATACTGTTACTCAGGATGGTGGAAGTGTTATAATCCGAACAGTTACACAGGAGGCATCATCAAATGAAACAGGAAGCTCTCAATCAACATCCCCATCATCGACCTCATCGTCGTCGTCATCATCATCAAGTGAAACTTCTTCTGCTTCTAACAATGGTTCTTTGGGTGATAAATCCCAGAATAAATCATCGTCTACATCTGTTGGCGCAATTGTTGGTGGTGTGGTAGGAGGTGTCGGTGGTTTGCTAGTGTTAGTTGCTGGTGCTTGGTTCTTTATGAGACGCAGAGATAGAGCTCAAGATACTGATGAAGAAGAATTTTTTGATAAACCACTCAGTAGATCAAATGGTTCCAAGAATGGGTCAAGAAAAGGTCCAAGTGCTTTGGACATGCCTATGGTGAATCCATTCCAACATCCAGCAGATGATTTGGTAAGAAGTAATAGTGAACGCAAGCCTGAATTTGTTGATCCAAGATTGAACCCAATCATGATGGGTAGAAGAAGACTAAGCGAAGGCTCATTAGCAGACGAAACCGATTATTCAAGAAAAGTATTAACAGTTGCCAACCCTGATGACAAATAGATTATATCTAGGGTACTAGGATGCTTCTTTGATTATTATTATTATTACTATTATTAACTTTTACTTCTACTACATTTATTTTTATATATTACTATTTTGATTATTACTTTTGAATACCAAGGTGTTTTGAGATTTTGTCTATATTAACGGTTTTATTGTTTGTTTTATCAACGTTTTTTTATTTTTATTCTTTTTATATTTATTGTTTTCGTTATGAATTTTTCATTTTTTTTTAATCTTACTGATTGACAAGGTGTTTAGTTTTTTATTTTAAGTTTAATTATTATTCATAAGAATAATATTATAAAATCTTTATTATAGTTTCTAGTGATTAGAAGGTATCCGTAAAGTTCCCACTTTGATCTAAGTGTCTATGGAACCTGATATTGATTAAACTATGACTACAATATTAGTCGTGCTTGAATGCGGAAATTGCCTCAGTAGTGTACTCCAGGAAAAAAACCCACGGAATCCAAACAAACAAAAGAAAAAAAATCTCTAATCTCTCCTTGTAAAGAGAAAAAAAAGTTATCACAATAATTACCTGTATTTTGGTTCTTTCTCTCTTTTTCATTCTTACTTCATATTACATACGATAAGTTTACTTGTTCATATATATATATATAACAAACCAACTATATGAAACCTTACGAAAGAGTATGTTTAACATTGGTAGTGTACCATTTCTTTTGTTGTTAAAGGTGTGCTGTTATTGATTAATTTCCAAACTTGCCCTTCGATTACTTGTTTTTTTTATTTTATTTTATTTTATTTTGCGACTGTGCCTCCTTACAACAAAACAACGGTATACGAGCAATTATCTATTTAGAAATTTGTTTTTACAATACTAACAATATCTTACTTTCAGCTATCATCACAGGAATCGGAAGATGATTCAAATGAAACTTCACCAAAAAGTGATCTCTTAGATTCCTTCTCGGGGTCATCAAAAGAGCTCTTTTCGGTTGATCAGGATATCGACAATGGCCACGACATTGAAAATTCTTCACAATCAATACCGACAAATTCAAGTACAGAGGAAGATCGTCGACTTTCTACATCAGAACCAATCGAATCAACTTCAGCATCGTCGTCATCGTCATCAGCCAATGCAACGACATCGGTATTAGATTTGGAACTGCAAAGACCACCAAGATTGACTACAAAACAACGAATAGAAAGGGTCTTGCACCATTTTTTCCCTGTGAAACAAACATATGAACGTATTAATAATGGATTATCCACGGGAAGAATGCAAACAAATAACGGTAGATTCATCGGACAAGGCACTGATGGGGTTTTTAGAAATTTAATGGCAAAACCAGACACTGAAGAAATGAGACAAGAACAAGAATTAAATCCTCCAAGTTATGAAGAAGCGGCAGCAGATGCATCCCCAGAATACTGGGAGTCCACTATGATATCTCCAATGTATGAAGATGAAGTGTTTGTTCAAGGTCTACCAGTTGGTAATATTGCCAACTTTGTCTGGAATGCTTTGGTTACAGTAGCGTTTCAGTTTGTTGGTTTTATTTTGTGTTATTTATTACACACTTCTCATGCCGCTAAGCAAGGTTCTAGAGCTGGTTTAGGGGTGAATCTAATAATGTATGGATGGAATTTAGTTCCGCAGAATTTTGGTCATCCAGATCAATTACCTAAAAAATATCAACCAGATAATCCAAACGATTTTGACATTGACAGATCTAGTAAGATTAATGGGAAAATTGACAACTATTCATCAGGTATATTTATTCAAAATTCTAAAGATGATAATCCTGATGAATGGTTGAAGACTTCAGTTAGTGCTCCATATGTGGCATATGGATTAATTGCATTTGGATTATTCATAATATTGAAATCATTGGTTGATTACTATAAAGTGAAACAATTAGAAAGAGCCATTTTGAACCCTTCTAATGGTGTTCCTGTGACAAATTCTGTGACTGGTGTAGTTGAAGAAATTGATGAAGAGAATCGTCGTTTAGAAGAACAACTGAGGTCTCCAAGATCAAATGAACCCCAACATTAAGTTACATATATATATATACATATATAAAAAAAAGAAACATACATAGATTATATTAATTTTTTTTTCTTTCTTTTTCCTGTCTTTTTATTTTTAATAGATACATATTTAATTTATTATTACGATGTATGTTTCTCTTCAAAAACTTGTCTATTTCTTTTGTCGAATATTCTCTATATATAATGTACAAGGTATCTAGTTAAGCAATATCATGATCTTTTCATAACATAAGAAAACAATACCTCCAGATAATACCAATCTTCCTAATCTTGGGGTAGCACCTTTCCAGAAAGTCAATAACCCTTCTTGTTTAAATATCTTAACAAAACAATTCAAAGTAGAAGTATACAATTTATCAGCACCCAAGGCTTGCATTCTAGTTTTGACAGTATCAATTGGCATTGTTGTATACACAGTGATAATACCAGCTAAAGCACCAACAGCAAAAGTTGTACCTGAACTCAACGGATCTGTTGGTTTTTGACCTGAAGCTTGTTGAATCATAGTTTTCATGGCATTATAACTTCCTAATCTAACAGCTTGATTAGCAGCTTGTCTCATAGAAACAGGAACAACCCCAGCATATATTCCTTTGAACCCCATATCACGGACCAATTTAATTGATCCTCGTACTATACCATTTTGATATTTTGGATTTGGCAGTTGTTTATCATCAATTAAAGCGGTTTTAATAGCTTCAAATGGAGTCACAGCAACAACTGATTCCAATAACCCAGCACCTAACCCAGCAATAACCCCTCTTGGACCTGATAATTTGCCGTTTTTATCCAGTAATACATTTTTAATCAGATCAAACCCAAGAAATCTAACTGATGCTTTAAGAGTATTTCCAACAACAAATGCAGGACATCCAACATATAATGAAGATACACCTTGAGTTTTTGCAACATTATAAATTAAAACTAATGGGTTTCTTGATGCTGTTGAACTTTTAGAAATCAATTGTAATCTAGTCTTAGCAAATTCAAAAGGATATGTAATAACACCTTCAATTGCCCCAGCCGTACCTCCAGCAACGAATGATTTCCATGGATCTACTGATTTCTTTTGAAATAGAATGTTAGTAACTTGAATTATAGATACTAGAAATATCATACATTCATGTAATACATACTTTATCTTTTGACATAATGCAATTTTGGTTTAATGAATGATACTGGTGAAAAGTAAATAGTAAAAAAAAAAATTAAAATAAAAAAAAAAAATTTCATATACACTTAAAAAGCGGGACAGAAAGAATTTTTTTTTTTTCACCGGGTATTTGATATTACTCATTCGAGGCAAGCTCGCGCGATAAAGCGATAAAAAAAAGAAGAAGACCGCAAAGCCGATTCAGGAGACTGTATTTTTTTTTTTATTTTTTTTTATTCTTACAGTTACTTTTTTCGCAACAACTGATGGTCTATGTGTTTGTATTCATGAGACTAGTTTTGATACTTTTCTCTGATATTCTTAAATGGTGTCAACTGTTTGAAGATAAGTTGCATTAAGAATTCAATCAACCATAATGGGAAATATAAACCTACAAGATGTAAGAGATATCCATGAGAACCCCCATAAAGATTGAAATTTTTTGATCTCTTAGTAATTTTAGCAACCAAATCTTTTGCATATCTATCTGGTGGTATTCCTCTTTCCATTGACATATTCAGTGTAGAAAGTACACTATCAATCATACCATCAACATTATAAGGTGAAGTTTCAAAAATTTTTTCAACATCATCAAGTTTATTATCATCTTTACCAATTGGAGTTTGAACCCCACCAGTAATAACACTATGTACACGAACACCAAAAGGTTCCATTTCTCCATGTAATGTTTTTGCATATGCGTCAATAGCTGATTTTGTTGCAGAATATGCTGAAATCCAAGATAATGGAACACGAGCAGCCACTGAAGAAGTGAAAATAATTGAACCTTTTGCTTTTATAATAAAAGGTGCAAAATATTGTGTCATATTAATATGTCCTAATACATTAATTTGAAAAATTTTATTTAATTTATCAACAGGAATTTCAATTGCTGGATAACCAATAGCAATACCAGCATTATTATATAAAATATCTAAATATCCTCCATTTGTTTCTTTTTCAATGATTTTTTTAGCATTTTCAATATCATTAACATTAGTGATATCACATGCAATTGAAATTAATCCAAATTCTTTTTCTAATGGTTTTTGTAAATGAAGAACAGATTCTGGTGAAAGACCAAATACTTTGTAATTATTTTTGGAAAACTCTTTAGCTAATGAGTATCCAATTCCTGATGATGCTCCAGTAATCAAAGCGTACTTTTGTTTTTGTTCAGCCATGGTTTTTAACTTAGGGGTGGAGATATAAAAGTAAAGACAAAATAAAACAAAACGAAAAGCTAAATATAATTGATTTGACTTTTTTTTTTTATGGAGGGAAAAAGGGGTCATCATTTATATAGGTTTCCCCCAAATGTAAAGAAATGTAAAAGTTCGTAATTAGCTGTAAGATAAACAAATATGCATGTGGTTAGTAATCGCAAAACTCCCCAATGGGGAATTCTTCCTATTGGAGAAACAAATTTGTTAGTGCGCAGCAACTTTGATTTTAATACAAACTAAGGTTTATTGATAATATACATTGTGGTAATATTACATAATCGAGGTGTTTTTTTTTTTTGTTTTTTCTGTTTTAGTATCGTTTTGCATATTTTTTTTTTTAGTTATCTCTGGTAAAGCTCCTTTAAACTCCGGGAATTAAGGTAATTTAATAGTTACGATAAATGTACCATCTATTGGATCGTGGTCATAATCAACAAGTCCATTATCAACAGGAACAGGTGTTGGTGGTCTATAATTTGGATTTCTGACTTGTGTTCGATTAATTATTACCTCATTGTATTCATAAACATCAGCAGTACCTAAATCAGCTGAACCTGGAAGAATTGAAGAAGGTGCTGGTGTTCTAAAAGTTTTCGGTATATCTGACAAATCAGGAATATTGTTTCCCCTGCTTGCATGGGCAGCAATTCTTCTAGAAGTAAAACCTCTCCCTCCTCCTTGTGGAGCATCTTCATTATAATTATGTCTTCTTTTTCTTCTACTTTCTCTCTCCATCTCCTTGTCCAATCTTTCAACTTCCAATTGAGACAACTTGTTCAACGATGGTGAAAAATCTGGTACATTTGTTGGGTTTCTTAATATGGAGAAAAAATCATCGACAATTTCATAGTCGGATGAAACTAATCTCAATGATGGCAACAAGTGATTTCTAATTTCATCTTCATTAACCGGTGCACCACTATAACTGTAACCAACAGTATTCAAAGCTTTAATATACATTTGTGACTGTTCTCTGATTGTGTGTGCAATAGCTGTACAAAATTCACCAGGCAAACACAATTCCTCACACATTGTGAAAGCAAATTCTTCCGGATCACTCTCTAGACTGTTTAGGATATCCCATTCAAACTGATCTGTCAATTGTGTGTTGTTTATGGTAATGTCGACTTTGATTGGGATTCTCAATTCTCCCATGGTTTTATTTGGCTTTTTCAGGTAATCAGATATTTGCTCCTTAATACTAGCCAAAATTGTTTCATAATGTTCCTTCGGGATGAACTTATAATCGTCAATTAATTGTCTAGTAAAATCTTCTATCTTGATGATTTCCTCATTCAAATCCCAAAGAAAAGTATCTCTCAACTTAAACTGGTCTCTTTCTTGATCAAACTCAAGACGTATCGGAACATAGTGCTTTGACATCTTGAGATTTTTCAACACACGTTCATTAATCATTCTATCAGTTATATCTCTTCCTGGAACCATCAATTTAGTACTAGAATTAGTAATACCATTACCATATCCCTGATAACCTTCACCCCAAATACTATTATTAAACTGATTTTTATTTGACAATGTAATGGAATTCATTCTCAATTGCTTTATTTGGTTATATGATTGTATATCTTTTGCTAAACCTTCCATAGTAGATTTATTGTCAATTAACTGTCTAGATAATTTGCCCATAAATTCAGTATCTTTCCGAATCATCTCTTCATAAACTTTCAAATCTAGAGGGATCTCTTTTCCTTCTTCTTTCAATTTATCAGACCATTCATGGAAACTCAATAACGGCTTTGAAGGAAGTTTACTCAAGATTTCAGGAGTAACACCAGGTGGTAAATTTGACTGAGGCATGGCTCCTGGGGCACTCGGAACAGGTCCGGGTCCAGCTCCTGGTATGATACCAGGTCCCATAGATGAAGATGGTGGTACTGCGGATGGCGGCACTCCTGGAATACTATTCGGTCCACTTGGCTGAATAGCTCCACCAACAACTGGGGAAGGTGCTCCTGGGCCTTCCACTAAAGGTGTTGCTCCTGGAACACCAGTTAAAGGTGGACCCATGGCTCCAGGTGCTCCTGTGATTGATGGAACTCTTCCTTGAGGTGGTGGAGGTTTATTCATTCCCGTAGGAATTTGTTGATGTGATTGTTGTTGTACAAGATGAGGAGGAGGAGCTGCATGTTGTTGTTGTTGTGATTGCTGTTGTGCATTCATCATATCTGGTGACATTTGGTTAGGCATTTGTTGTCTGTATGGCATTGAAGAGGCTCCAGGCATTCCATTATTTATAGATTGGGGACCATGAGATCCTTGTTGAGCTTGTTGTTGTTGTTGAGCCATACGCTGTTGGTTAAGCATCATTTGCTGTTGTTTTAAAAACTGCTCACGAGCCATTTGCATTGTTTGAGGTGGTGGTTGTTGTTGTTGTTGTTGGAGTGGAACCTGTTGCTGTTGAGGCTGTTGTTGTGGTGGTAGTGGTGGAGGAGTCAGCGACATTCCACCAATTATACCGCCTGTTGAATGTTGTTGTGATGGTTGCGGTTGTTGTTGCTGACGTTGCTGCTGTTGTATTAACTGCTGTTTTTGCATATACTGTCTCATCATTTCTTGAAAATGGGGATTAGATTTGAATAATTCAAATTGTTGTGGTGTTAATGATTGTAACATCTGTGGTGTCAATGCTGGCAAATTACCACCTCTCTGTTGAGGTTGTTGGTTCGGATTCATACCCGATAGTGATGACATGTCGGGAGACTGTTGATTAAAATTCATTTGCTAACACGAAAACAAAAAAAAATGATAGAGATAAACAAATAGTTATAATTACCAAGCTTAATTAACCAAATGGAAAAATAAAAGAAAAATTGTTTTGAACGAGTGTAAACAAAAATTCTGAGCAAAAAAAAAAAAAAAAAAAAAAAAAAAAAGTATTTGAACACGACACGACCTTCTGGGTAGTGTTTAAGCATACTAGCAAAGGGTGTACATTTTTGCAACTTGATAATACAATACATTAAAAACAAAAAAAACTAACTGATCTATAAATTCATGAAATCAAAAATTGAACCCATATTAACATAACGACGACCACATTCTCCCAAGTACTTTTGAACTACTTCCTGACAATTAGCAAATAATTCTCGATTCTGTTCAGCTAAAGCATCCACCTGTCCAGATGGTAATTTAGGAATAGCTTTTTCACCATCTTTTTCTTCTAAAACATCTCTAATTGGTCTCAAGTTACCTTGTTTTGTTTTGTCAACATCAAATATGGAATTGAAATACAATAACTGGTTGTAAAGTTGTTTGTCACTGTATCTATAACGCATCATACCTTTACAATCCATAGCCTTACCAGATGCTCCAATACATCTTTTACCATAAACGGATATTTGCCTTGTGGTGATTCCACATGCCGGATCATCACATACTAACCAACCAGCATAGTACAAAGCAATATGTTTTCTTATCATCGATTCCAATTGAGATGTCAATTTGATCTCAGGGAATGTGTATTCACATTTTTGACAACAAACACCATTGAATGTGACTTTGTAATCTGGCGATGCCAATATTCCCCCAAATCTGAATGAATGACCACATTTACAATTCAAAACCAAATAACTTGAAGTTCTGAACCTTTCTGAGTCTGGTATACTCGATTCCATTGGTAATATTTCTCCATTGGCACCTTCGCTATTTTTAACTCTTAAAATATAACGCTTAGTGTCAATTCCCAAAGAACTGGCAACTCTTACCATATCAATACCTTCAATTCTTTCCAACAATCTTTCGACCGGTGCAAATATTTGTTTTTCCAAATAGTAAGTTGGATCTGGTTTCAAGTTTGGGTTCTTCTTAGATAATAGTTCTTGTATACTTCGTGCTCGTTCAGCAGGAGTAGATTTATCTTCTTCATTCTGTGGTGCTGTGATAGCATACGTTATCACACTTCCGGCTTTAATAACCTTACCTTGCTCCCTTAATTTCAAAGCAACTTGGACTTGTGGCATACTCTTACCATTTGGATAACTTTTAGGATCTTTTGAAAGTTTGGTATTGATTTTGTATCTATCGACTGGTATCTCGTTGTTTTGTATTTTATTCTTCATTTCTTCCAAGTAATTATAGACATCAATTAAAGCTGCTTCTGGATCCAGATCCGATAATATTTTCATTAACACATAGGTAGAAATATCCTTCGAAAGCTGACAATATTCACGTCTTCTCATATCCAAACCTTTTACCTCCAAAGTGGTTGATTCTTCACCCGTAGCTCTGTCAATTGAAGCGTTCATAGCTGCATACTTCTTCTTGGCATGCAACAATAATCTCTTAAACACATTATCAATATCTATTTCCAATAATCTATAGCGTTCATTGACTTGTACTTTGAATTCTTCCCCAATCTTGATAGCTTCTTTAAAACTATTGGCACCCGTGTCGATCATAACCGAATCAGTATCCCCATATACGACTCTCAAACTTGAAGATTCTGCCAATTGTCTAGTGTCCATTAAGATTTCACGACCTTTATTGGTGACCAACATGGCTAAAGGTTTGGCATAAAATCTAGAATTCACATAACCCAAACAACCATACATAGAGTTAGCTGTCAATTTCAATGCTTGTTGTTTAATATCATACTGAGCCTTTTGGAAAGGTGTATTTTTAGGATCTTTCAACAACTTTTTGACTTCACGACGACGAGAAACCAATGTATTCAACAATCTCGGTAAAACACCAGGCGCTGATTCCTTTTCTGGAAGAATTGGCATATCTTTGTTTTCATCGTGAGTCATATTAAACCTGTCTCTGTCAACTGTGGTAAAACAAATGTTGAATTCTTGAATGATACTTGGATACAAAGAATTAAAATCCATGACCAAAACATAATTCTTGTGCAAACCTTTTTCTGGCTCAAAAACTAAACCACCTTGATACTTTGGTTTTTTGTTTGATGTAGCTGTAGTTGCATCTTCCTCGGCATTCTCCAATCTAGCTTCTTGTTGATACGACGTATTCTTGTGGGTTTTATCTTCTTTATCAGGAACGATATAGTTGTTTCTCTTGAACTCGTGAAGTAAAATATATTCATTTCTACCAGCTCTTGTACCACTCAAAGTATGTGACCAAGCATTACCGGCAATATTAGTCAATTGTTTAGAAAGGGAAAGAATCTGGATGCCAAAGGCAATTTCAGCAGTTTGCCTAACGTTGAATTCGTTTTCCTTCAATGCCATAAGGAAGAAAAATGCATCTTCTGCATACTTGATGTTTTGATAATTGATTTCAACAGGACCGTGCTTCTTATGGCACACCACATCGTACATTTCATGCAAATCCCAAGATTGACACTTCATAGTCAACGATTGCCCCATCTCATTAGCAATATCACACAATAATCTCCCTTGGAAAACGTCTCGAACAAGAAGACTGTTATTATAACTAGAATTGTGTTTGTTGATCATGTATGGCCATTGTTTTCTACTTCGACGACCAAGAGCAGACCAAGTCATAACTTTATTTTCATTCATACGATGTACAAGGACATCCAAGGAAATGTTCTCTAATCTATGGCCAATGTAAACATCTGGATCTAGCGATTTGATTTTAGCAGCAAGAGCATTGAGAAGGACTTTTTCATTTGGACAAGTTCTCAATTGGAATCCCTCCTTATCTGCTAGCTGCTGCAATCCCGGTGGAAATGAAACAACACCTACGGGTCTTGCCAATGTTAAAATGTCATTTGGTTTTATAGATTCCAGAATTGGTGCATCCTGAGGAAGGTCAAAATAGGTTGCCAATGATACAGCCACCACTTCTTGTTTATTACTCTTGGTATTCATGACAGTCTGAACAGAAATAGCAGTCACAGTTAAGTTAGGAGGTGGTGGAGCATTCTTGTCTATTGGAACAATGTTACCCGGTGATCTAACAACTACTTCAGCTTGACAATGTGATGCGTTTTGCATGGCACGGAAATCACCATTCTTGATTTCTAACCAGCAAGGTCCCATGATGTTTCTTTGAGTTACAAATGCTTCAAACATGTTGGTATTGGTACCAAAAATATGTCTGAAGGTACGACCCTCTATATTAGATGGCATAATATTTTTGTTGGTTTCGGCAGAAAAAGGGAGCAAAACTTTTAAATACTCTGCCTCTTTGGGGATATCGGCCAATTCAAATGCATATTTCTTTCTTTCTGGTTTTGCTCTAATAGAATCCAATTTATAGTTAGACAATAATACTGGGTTGATCTCCTCTAACACATCTGCTGGAGTAACAGTTTCATTCTGGTCCTCCTCACCATCTACCAATGGATGGTCCCTTGGGAGGATATACAACTCACGACAAAGACCTTCAACTTTGACAACACCAGAAATCAAGCCACCTTCTTTTGTCATAATTTTTCCAAATAACAATAAGGAACAATCACTTTCAGAATAGTCAAGCCAAAACATTTTAAAAGAATCAGATGAATCTCTAATAATATCCTCGTCAACCTTTTCTGTATGATTGGCAAACTTTGCGTGAATTGGTTGTGCAGTGACAGCCGATGGTAGTTCACTAGCTTTGACAGATGATAACGTTTCCAAATTGGCTTTCTTTACAGCAGCAGCCCTAGGTCTTCGAGAAACAATCACATCTTCATCGGAATCATCATCTACCTCGTCGTCTGCTTCTTCTTCGGCCTTCACTTGAGGTTTTTCTTTGTGTGCTATTTCATCGACAGCATCCTTATTTGGAATTGGATCAATATTTTCCTTTTCAACTTCAGGTTCGGTATCTGGGGTGAATTCATTTTTGATTTTTACAGGTGATGAAGGTTGATTATCAGCCATGTCAAAGTCCACGGTATAGTCTGATGAGTCATTGAATGCTTCAACCTTGGTATTTCTTTTATCAAATTTTGATGCAGTAGAAGTGGAAAAGTTGAATGCACCCTTTGCCTTCTTTTTATTGTTTGATGATGTATTTCTATTGGAGGAATTAGCAAACGCCTTTGGGATGTTTCGTTTTTTTGGTGTATCGTCATTAAAATCATCAAGGATATCATCAATATTTGTATCCAACTTCTTTCTAGCATTAGCAACACCACTAGCAGGTTTAAAGAAGTTTCTTATCTGTGAAGTTTTAGGAACTTTCACAGCTTTATCATCCTTTTTTCTTCTCTTTTTTTCATTGACTTCTTCATCGGAGTAGTAATTTGGTCTAGAAGCATCATCCCATTCATCAGCCCCTGTATCAACATATCCTTCTCCGTTGTCATCAACAATAAAATCATCATTCATCAATTGGTTTCTTTTGTGTTCTCTGTAAGTCTCTTCATCGACCTCGTCATATATTTCTTTGTAATCATCATCATCTGATTCTATAACGTTGATATTCTTACCAGTTCGCCTGGCTTCTTTAAGTTGTTTTAATTTTTCACGTCTAGTGGATCTAGACAGCATGGTTTGTTCTTTGGTTATTAAAGATACTAAACTAGAATATAACTCGAAAGAAAATAAAAGTAATATGTTAAGGATTCACGGTGATTGGTAAAAAAAAAAAAGAAGAAGAAAACGAAAAATAGTAACGCCAAAACGCCAAACAGAATTGATGAAAAGAGTGAGAAAAAAAATGTAAAGCTACACAAAAGTGGAGACGTGTTTCATTATTATTTTCAGAGGTAAAAAATCGCGATCAAACGAGACGCGTTTATCATATTGATAATTCATTGATCAATTGGTGGTGTGAAAATCATTGAAACAAACATAATCAAATCATAATTTGTTATTCTTATTTAGCGTATATGAATATGTACTATAAATAGGTGTAAACAGTTTTAATAGAAGTATTGTATAATAGTTGTTGAAATTTCACCAACGTTAATTTTTTCAGTTATAATTGTGCCAAATTTCATTAAAATTTGTGGTCTTGCCAAAAGTTTCCTCAACACATTCCAGATTAAGTTAGATTTCTTCAAAGCATCATACATGAGAAGTAATGTTTGAGCTTTAACAGTTAACAATTTGTACATAATATGTGCTGCCGCTGGAGATAACAGCGGCGTAGTTAAAATATGTATGACAAGCGAAACACCCAAACCAGAATCATCCAATGATGTTAATAAGAGGTTTAAAACAGGGTCATCTCTTTTTGAAATGTTAATACTGTTATCATCGGAAACAGATTTTTGTATTTGGGTGTTGTCTCTTTTATTGAAAAAGTTGAACAATTTTATTCCACTCTCCTTGATCATATCTTTGGTGATACTTATCAACCCCGGTAACACAAGCGGATCTTGTAAACAAGCAACTAGAATATCTAACTGTAAATTAGATTTGTCCATTGCAATAAACAAGTTTGTTATATTCACTAATTGAGCTTCAATGGCCCAAATAGTTGTGTTCAACACAAGGTCGAGTAATGGCGGCTGCAACAACACATAATCAATCATTGAATAGCATGCTGATGAATCCTTAAGTAACACAAAGACAGAATCCAAGATTGGTAAGTCTGACCGCTTCTCTAAATTAGTCAAATCCCGTTTCTCATATTTGGAAATCAGTCCTGAATTTTCATATCCTGGAACAAAGTTTTTTGCATTATAATCATGTAACTCTTTTGCCAATGCCTTAAATTTTTTCAAGTTTGACCCCGAGATACCAGTATCGCTTGTCTTATCTTTCTGGACTGGAGTTGCTAATCCGCAACAAACAAGTGCCAAAATTCCGAAAAAGATTGTAAATTTCATTATAATTGTCTAATGTTGTGGTCTCTTTATGGAAATTTCATAATAAGTTTTATCGACAGGTCAAAATAACAGGTCAATCTAGTACAGATTTATACTAGAATATCCTTGAATTAAAAGAATCTCCTTCCTCGATGGGTTATTGTTGCTTAGTTTAGAATACGAGTATTAAGATAAACTTACAGAAAACTTTTAAACTTTCATGTATCACCAAAGTCTAGCTATGCAATCCACAGCTATTCCAAATCGATAGGAGAAGAGCTTTTTTGAATCAATTCATTTTTCACTGTACAAATAAAATAAGATTGCAAAAACTGAAAAAACTCACCACAAAACCGAGCAAGGGAAGGCGCATAGCATAAGCGCACGACTACGATGTCAAAACTTCTAACAACAGCAAAAAAAAAAATAATAAAAGACGAAGGTATTTGCGTATACGACAATTATTGGGAAGAAAATTACTATAGTTTCCTCTTAGAGAATTTTTCTTTTGTTGATTACGAATATTTTGGCTGATTAACCAACAATCATGTCATTTGCTAATATAGATTTAGAAGCCCAACGACAACCACTTTTGAAAGATGACTCAAATCCAAGTTATACATCGTCCAATGAATTAGATATTATCATTAGTAAAACATCACACCAATTGCAAGTGTTTGGTGGTTTAATATCCCAATTTGATAACCAACGTAAACAGGTTGGTACAAAGAGAGATACACTTGAGTTGAGAGATGGTGTGGATTTATTGATTGAAAAAATATCCAATATGGACAAAGCCATACTGTCATTGATTACCAACTTATCTGGTTTAATCCATCAACAAAGCAAATCTAAAACCAATACTGGAGTATCGAATCGACATATGGTTATTGAAGAAAGATTGTCTGCACAATACAAGGAATTGGACTCTGCTTTCAATCGATCAGTCAGAATTTATCAAGAAAAGAAAAGAAATACGCCTATTGTTGCAAGATCACTCGTACCCGAACAAGAACTGGAACCAGATAACCAGGGAGAACAGAGTCCCAAGAAAAATGACATCCAGCAACAGACTCAGATTGATCAAGACGTAATTGACCAAACAGAACTACAGTATCATCTATTATTAACCGAGGAACGTAATAGAGAAATTGAACAAGTCACAGAAGGAATCATGGAGGTGAACTCAATTTTTAAGGATTTGAGTCAACTAGTACATCAACAGGGGGAGCAGTTAAATACAATAGAGGATAATGTTTTACAGCTACATGGAAACACACAGCAAGCATCAAGTGAGTTAGTCAAAGCGAATGAATATCAAAAAAAGAAAGGCAAATGGACTTGCATTTTACTTGTTGCGCTTTGTATTTTTCTACTCATAGTAGTTCTTGCAGTCATCAGTTAATCAGATTCAAGATAAGTAGATGTATATTTGAATGATATAATATACTTATTATTATTATTATTATTATTATTATTATTAAAAATAATAATAAATGGGAAAGAAATATAAACACAACAAACAATCGAAACAAGAGCAATTTCATTCTAATTTCCAGGTGGCAAAAAAAATGAAAAGAAAAACACACCCAGTAAAGCAAATAGAAATATACTCTTTAATCTAAACTAACGGTATCAGGTTGGGTATTCTCCAATTCATCATCATCATCATCGTCTTCATCTTGATAATCGGTTTCTATTTCTGAAAAATCAGTGGTATCAGGAGTGCTTATATCTTCATAATCACTTTCGTCTCTCAAATTTGAACCAGTGGTTTTACCAGTACTAAACTCTTTATCCTGGTAAGTATCTGCAAAATGAGACTGATTGGCTATCTTTGCTTCCTCTAATTTTGTTCGACAGTATTCAGCACCTTTATTAAACAAGCTTTCTGCAGTTTCATAAAGAGCTTCCTTATTTTTTATCAATGCCACTGTTGCACCCACAACAGTTCCAACTCCAAGCGCAATTTTAACCGAAACAGGAACTAATATGCGTGTTAGCTATGGAGTAACAAGATAATACGCCTGAAATGAACAATACATACTCAAGGGTGTCATTTTAATGACTTTTGGTGGTTCAGGTTGACTAAATCCAAAGAAACCATGGATGCGCAGCCCAAAATTAGAGAACACAGTCATCAGAAAAACTTGATGTTTTGCTCCATAGTGAACAAAACTCACTCAAAACCAATTGATTATCCCTGTTATATATAAAAACTTTCAGCACCAATGTTTATATAGACACAACAACGAGGAAGTGTGGCTACCGACAAACAATTTACAAATGTAATGGTTAACCGTGTTGAACCAATATTTTATTCAATTATGATGATAAAACCCAGAGTTTAACCTAAAAGGTGACAATTACTCATTCTTATATCCCTAATAATAGCCATAAAATCTGAGAGTCAACTAAAGTTATAGAAGTCAAAGTTTAAAAATCTAACTCATGCCAGGAAATGAGTAATACCTTTTTGTATAGTTGAATGTAGCCACATTCAAACATAAAGCTACAAGTTCCAATCCACACATGTGAGCGATAGTCACATGGCAAAGCATAATTGCTGGAATTTCAGCTTTACTACATTAAAACTGGAAGTCTGTCATGGAACAAAAAAATAAAAGGTATGTATTTCATTACTCAAATCATATAAATATGTCAGTGAGAGCAACAGTTAGATCCCTCATCTTACAAGATGTCTTACACGGGAGAATTAGTTACGAAATACTGGGTTTCTTAAAATTAGACAGTTTCAACCGTCTATAGATTGTTTAAATCATTTTCCGATAAGGCTAGCTTTATCTCTACTAAGTTTCGAAATTAGTACCCTCCCTATTATGGCAATTAATTCCGAATTGAATTTTGTGGCTGAAGATAAATTCAGAGCCCATTGCTAATTTTTCTCTATTCAAACCCGCACTTAATGATTCATGTCTCATTTTATTAGTCACATCTGAAGAAACCAGTAAAGAGGTGTTATATACTCTTCTTTAAGGATTTTCATTAGTAATAAAGTAGCTGGAGATATACCACCGGAATTATGGTCACCCAAGTTAACGTAGAAAAATTAAAATAAAATAAAATATGCGATTTAACTCCATCGGGTTCATGCTGCCGGGCCGTTTCAAAAATTTGACTCATTTTGTGTTTAGCATGGCAGAGATCTTAGCCACTTTGAACTTGTGATTATAAATTGGAAGTAGAATCTTTCAAGTCTTAATAATCTATTGTTTTCATTTTTTTTTTTTCATTTTCTTGAACAAACCATTCAACTCAGTGATAGCACGAAAATGACTATTGAAGAATCAATAGCAATCTCAAGACCATTAAGTGTTTCCGAACATTTTTTCAGATCAAGAACTGCCGCTAAAAAGTATACTAATTTTCAAGTTACTGCAACCTACAACAACGATTTAACTGATGACTTACGTTTGTTCTTTAAAGCATTGAGAAAAGCTTTGTTAGAGTATCACATGCTTGCAACCAACATAAAACTAGATAGTTTAACCAACCAATATGCTTTCATTCCTGTTGAATCATTAAAATTGAAAGACTTGTTGTTTTTGGAACCCGCAAGCAAAGAATGGCTTACTAATGGCGTCGTTAATGAAACATTTCTTAAATATTGCGATAAGACTTCTTTTGAATTATACGGGGAAACTCCCTTGTTCAAGTTGATTTTAGTTGGCCAAAACAATTTATCAGCAATTTTTGAGCACACCATCGCCGATGGATTGGTTGCGAATTACTTTCATGAAATATTTTTGGAAAATTTGGCCTACTGTGATTCAAAGGATGAAAAGATATTTATAAGTGAGTTTGGACCTCTTCCTGAAACAGTTGAGATGGACAGTGAAATATTCAATGCTCAAAGGGACCGTTTATATATCAAGAATTCATTGCCACCACCGATTGATCCATTCCTTGAAGATATTGACTTGGACTGCTCATATGGTGATCCTAATTTTCACGAGAAAGTTGTTCCAAAGGAATATCCAAATAAATGGCCAGGTAGATTTGATACGATCGATACTCATGAAATAGGCTTCAAATTGATAAACTTCACTCCAGAAGAAACCAAAGCAATTTTAAAGAAATGTAAAGAACATCTGGTGGGGTTGACATCATATATTGAAGTTATACACACATTAACATTGAATCCAATTTTTGGAGATAAACATCACACAACCCATAGAGCAGCAATGACATTAAGAAGACATTTTTCACCAGAAATAGCTGAACCTTGTTATAAGAAAATCTTGTCTAAACCAAATTACAAGATTTTAGGGTCTCCAGCTCATATGGGGTACGTCCAAAACCTTCCACCCGTGAAGGAGTTTTCCTGGGACTTGGTGGAAAAAATTAATGCCGACATACTTGCTGATATTAAAAATAAAAGGTCATTACATCCTATTAAGAAATGGAAAGATACAGCTGACATGTCACACCCAACAAATAATGCATTTTTTGAAAGTCAATTTGGAAAACCAAAGGCCGATTCTGTAAAGATATCCAATTTGGGGTTTGTTAATGTACCGGAATATAAAGTCAGCGATAACAAAAGTTGGATCATTTCAAACATGGTGTTTTCACAAGATTTGGCTCCGTATGCTGCAGAGTTTGTCTTGAACGTCATCAGCACACCACTTGGTGGAATGAATTTTGTGTGGAGTTTCTATGACTATTCATTTGAGGATTGTGAGTGGGATAACTTTGATATATTTGTCGACCAATTGCATGATAATATGCTTAAATATTCAAAATAGATTGTATATAGAATAAGATTAATTAACTATTATTGTTGTTCTTGTATAGTTGAAAAAGTGTAGCCAACGAGAGATATGAAATCGGTTTTTTTATCAGATTCTTCTATTTTGCACAGAGTTTTCAGTTTTTTTTTTTTTTGGAAGTTCTCGATTTTCAGTTAACATTAACAGCGATAATACTTGAGAACACCAACTACAACAACCAAACATGTCCTCATATTCTCCCATAGATCAATTGGAATATGATGATAGGGAGAGCAATCCTACACTTTTAAATGAATCAGTTAGGAGCAAATCGACAGGATCATGGATAAACCAGGAAAATATTCGAGAGGTTCAACGATTCAACGAATTTAGAACTATAGATTGGGTAGAAGATGAATTAGATGCCCAGAGACAAAGATTACTTAAAGTTAAACAAATTACATCCAGAGGAAATAATATGATGGATAAAATATTCTCACAAACTCAGAACTGGGTAGTGCTAGGGATCATGGGTTGTGTGATTGGATTAATTGCTGGGTCATTAAATATCATCACTTCGTTCTTGTCAAATATCCGAACTGGCCATTGCAAGAAACATTTCTACTTAAGTGAAGCCTTTTGCTGTTGGGGTGAAAAAAGTAACCACTGCCCAAATTGGGTGGAATGGACCCCGCTTGTATTTTTCAATTATATTGTTTATGTTCTAATTTCATTGTTATTTGCTTTTCTGGCAGCAAAATTAGTCAAATATTATGCCCCTTCAGCAGCTGGATCGGGAATATCTGAGATTAAATGTATTATTTCCGGGTTTGTTATGGACGGGTTTTTGGGATGGCCGACATTGTTCATTAAAAGTTTGGGATTACCACTAGCAATCGCTGCGGGATTGAGTGTTGGGAAAGAAGGACCCAGTGTTCATTATGCAGTGTGTGTTGGAAATTCCATTGCAAAATTAATTACCAAGTATAAAAAAAGTGCACTGAGAGGAAGAGAATTCCTAACAGCAACATCTGCTGCAGGTGTGGCAGTTGCATTTGGGTCACCAATGGGAGGAGTCTTATTTTCTATCGAGGAAATGTCTTCGGTATTTCAACTTAGTACCATTTGGAAATCTTATTTCTGTGCATTGATTGCAGTGACAACATTGGCTGCAATCAACCCATTTAGAACTGGTCAGTTGGTTCTTTTTGAAGTAACTTACGATACGAATTGGCATTATTTTGAAATTCCAATTTATATCCTTTTAGGTGTATTTGGCGGTGTTTATGGTATTATAGTGTCCAAACTTAATATTCGTGTTGTTGCATTCAGAAAGAGATATTTGTCTAATTTTGCCGTTAGAGAGGTGTTATTTTTAACATTGTTTACAGCAAGTTTTTCCTATTTCAACCAGTTTTTGCGTTTGGACATGACTGAAACAATGGAGATATTGTTTCATGAATGTGATAAGAACTTTAATCATGCAGTGTGTGATCCAAATAACAAGAAAGTGGGACTTATTGTTTCCTTATTGTTTGCGACGGTTGCCAGAATGCTTTTGACAATTATTACATATGGATGCAAAGTTCCTGCAGGTATCTTTGTTCCTTCTATGGCAGCAGGTGCAACTTTTGGAAGAGCTTTAGGAATAATGATTGATTTGTTCTATCAAAACCATAAGGGGTCGTTCTTGTTTCAAAATTGCCCGAAAGAAGGAAAGTGTATTATTCCGGGAACATATGCCTTTTTAGGTGCTGCTGCAGGGTTATGTGGTATTACTGATCTCACAGTTACTGTTGTCGTCATCATGTTTGAATTAACTGGAGCTATCCGTTATATTGTCCCTACAATGATTGTTGTTGCAATAACCAAGGCTATTAACGACAAATGGGGAAAAGGAGGAATCGCGGATCAGATGATCAACTTCAATGGTTTGCCATTGATTGAAACGAAGGAAGTGTTTTCATTTGGAACTACTGTTGAAAGTGCCATGTCCAATGTTATTGTTTCATTTTCTAGTGACGTCAGTGATGCTATCACATTAAAACAATTACGCACAACACTTAACAAAACAAGCGTTAGAGGGTTCCCTATCATTCGATCCGGGACAAACTCAAAAGTGCATGGCTACATTACTCGTTATGATGTTGAATACATTTTAAAGAGCCAAGAAAATGTTAATGATGATGTGCTATGCAATTTTAATGAAAGTGAGAGTGGTAGTGTTGACAAGGTCGATTTCAGTAGCTGCGTTAATAAATCACCATTAACCATCAGCATTGAAACGTCTTTGGAATATGTGTTAGATATATTTGCAAAATTAGGTGCCAGATACATTTTGGTTGAAAAGGACGGATTCTTAGTTGGAATTATAACCAGAAAAGATGTTTTGCGATACGAATATTCTGTTCAAGAACATAAACAGGATGCAGTAAAACAAGCACGACATGATGCGTTTGATGCTAAAGTGTGGGAGTTCATGAATTTAATATCAACTTCTATGCGCAAAAACGTGGGCAAAATCTTACATAATGACGCTAATAGATATTTGTAGATGTAATACAGCATAACTATATATATATAAATAGAACTATATCATCAGTTGTCCTTCCATTTACCATGTTCTTTGTAGTCGTTGTAAAGAGTCTTGTACAATGATCTACCACCGTAATCCAAGGAAGCGTTAACAATTCTCAATTCTGACTGTGATAATACGTCAAATACACTATACATTCCCAAAACGATAGCATCATTGACTGTACGACTGAAAGTGTATTTTAAACTAAAATGAATATAATTGCTTAATAAAACAGGTAAATGCTTTCTTAAAACTTTTTTAAAATAGTTTGACGAAGTAGTTAAATGTGTCATTTTGTCTCCGACTCTTTCGATTGGTTCACACAAGTTACTTAATAATCTGGCATATGCTGCAGCAGCATTTTCGTTAGCAGTCAATTTAGTGGATTTGTTAATATTAGCCAATGGTTCCAATAATGACGATATAAAATTCAAAATAAGATGATGTCTAGTAGCAATTTTGAAACGATGATACAATAAAATGTGTGAAACAACTTGTGATGCTAGTATGTAAATTTCTTCCTGGTCATTAAAGTCCATAAGTCTTTGTACAACAGAATTGATTATCACTAAAGTGGTTTCCAAAAGGTATTGATTGAACATCCAAGATTTGCTTGTCAATAAATCACGTAAATTCGACAATACTAACAATATGACATTTTCATTTTCAGACTTAATGGAATCAATGAAGAATGAAAAGCATTCTGTATTGTACCTGTTGCAATTAGCGACATCTTTAGTGGTCGAGTTTAAGAACCCACAAGCCATTTGCACAAAACTCTTTGTAAACTCAGAAGGAACATCTTTACTTGATTCAGTGAAATAGTCGTATGCTTTGGAGAATAGTTGAGTGTCCAGGGATACCTTTTGAAGGAACTCATTTAAGCAATCATATAATTGCAAGTCGCCTTGAGATTGTAATGCAATGAACAATCCCAAGATATAAATAACACCTTTATAATCGAGTGGCATTGTTTGACATACCAATTGGAATACAATTGTTTGAATATTGTTATCATTGAGTACCTCTTCATCAAGACTAGTCAAAAAGGCTTTAACGTCCTCATAATTCAAGGTGTCAGTTGAACAAACAACCAATGCTCTGATCAACCAGTTTGTAGCTGATATGTTATTATTATTATTACCAGATTTCAAACCGTCAATGCAATATTTCGTGAAATTCGTCTTTAACTCAGTAAATGCTGATGTAACTTCTTGTGGCAACGACTCTTCACTTGTATTTGAAAGAATTACTAATGCAAGTTCAGTTTCTGGTACTTCAGTTAAATTGTTCTTGCCCAAAGAGAGATAGTCATTCAAATATTTGAGTAAGTCAATGACATAATCTTCAATATCTTCTCTCTTGATTTGTTGCACATTGTTTCTCCAGACAATCTTAACAATCTCAGTAGTAATATTTTTAGTCTTGGTATTAGCCACTGCAACCAATTTCAATAAACTCTTTGAGTCGGTTTCTAATCGAGACAGGAGACTTGGTTGAAGAAGCATGTACTTGATAGTTTGAAGTATTCTTTCATCGGATTTGGCAGTGGCAAGTTCAAGTAAACTATTGATTATCTTTTTCTTTTGGGATTTGTTGAAACAAACTATTGGGATTTGTCTAAGCAATGGTACCCGCTCATTGATATCATCAATAATGAACTTGATTAACGCGGTAGTCAATTTAGTTTGTTCAAAGAAAACATCATTGAAATTTAATTGAGTATGAGCCAATGCTAAAAGTTTTGATAATGTTTCTCCGTCAAAGTAATGGTTGAAAATAACTAGCCATCTTTTGAATATTTTGGATAATGAACTAGTGTAATCCTTAATGGTAGCCATAAAGTATTCTTGATTTGACTTTGAATATTCTGTAACTATTTGCAATTCCAACAATCTGAAAACAGTAAAATGATAATATAAATCAATATCTGGAACAAGAATCTTTTCAGGAACTACAAATTCCTTACCGTAACAACAAAGCAAATGGTATCGAATAGTCCAAAAATTCTCCTTTGAGTTAAAGTATGTATTCTGGTCCAACAAAGTTGACTTGACAGCTTCGACTAACCTTGGAGGAGATGATGTGAGACCTTTGGTAATAGCAGTGAAGATAGCCCTGTGGCATCCCAATTCAAGGGTATAAGATGTTTCAATAACATTAATCAATTGTTTCCCGGAAAATGACTTGACTGTTTCTGCAACGGTATCTATGAAACTTTCACTTTCCCATAATTCATCTCTTTTAATTGCTTTTGGCCAGATTTTGGTAAAGAATTCTGTCAACTCACGGTTTTTTAAATAACCCTCCACAATAATTTTACCAACTGGTAATACCTTGTCATCTAAACCAAAATGAGTCTGGTATGTTTTGAACAAGAAACCTGATCTTTTGGATGCTAATTCACTATCAATTTCAAAAATATGCTTAACCATTTCCCAGTTTAACTCCTTGAAATTTTTATCTCCAATTTCTGCTTTGTAAATTGTTTCAATGAATTCATGTGATATAGTCTTGTTCGAACCAGCCAATATGGATAACAACTTTTCAGATAACTCCGGATATTTGGACGATATCAAAGAATATGATTCTTCACACACTTTCATATTTTTTGAAGCCAATTGATCCACTGCTTTTTGGTACAAGTAAATTAAGATTCTACTATCTACGTCTTGTTTCTTCAATGATCTTTCAAGGTTAGATTGGAAGTAGTGGATGGAGTCTTCATTAAAAATCCCGTGGACTAACAACTTTTCAACTATGTGAAACGATAACTGCTGATTTGATATTAACAAGAAGTTGGTTAACGAAAAGGCACACTCTTCAAAGAATTTAGTATACAATTTCTTTGATCCTTCAAGACTAATTTTCAGTGTAGCTCTTGTAAATATATCATATATTAATTCAATCCATGTCAAAACTTTCTGTTGATCTTCTGGTAAATCCTTATGTTCAACAAAGCTTTTCAATAATTGAATCACCAAGTTTTCGTCTGATTCAATGTATGATTCAGTGACTAAAATCTGAAGAAACTTAAACATGTGTGACAAAACATTATTGTCATTACTCTGATTGAGAAGGATAATAGCAGTTTCAAGAATCTTCAATTTTTGAATAGATCTCTGTCTTTCCAGTACATTTCCATTTAAATCATACCAAGTTTTAATCAATAATTCCCACACTTCAGAGTCAAACTTCCATTTACCAAATTTTCCCTTTGACTTGTCATTTAATCGATCACACAATAAGTTTAAAACAAATAGATTTTTTCCTGGTAAATATATATCCAATGTACCATCTAATAAGTTATTTGCCTTTTCAACAACATCAGAAATAGACGCATCCTTGGATCTCAAGAATTTCGTAACGCCTTCAGCTGTATCCAAAGTTGACATATATGATTATTGATTGTTGTTGTGCTTAAAGATCACCTTGGTTTGAAAGATGAACCAAACAAAAAAAGAAGCGTGAAAAAAAAAAATAAAAAAATTAAATCATAATGACGCTGGCGATGAGTAACGAACCCACAGTGATGAATGCTTCACGAAGTCTTCATAATGTAGAAATGCATAACTTCTTACATCAGAGCATTAATATTTTTGATTGAAATAAATTATACATTATTAGAATTTGGTACGACTGCTATATAATTATCTACATAATTTTCAATAGCAAAAGAAAACAAAATTAGATCAATAAAGTTTCAATCTTGTCTTTAATACCGTAGATTTGGTTCTTAATGGAAGAAGCATCGTTGGAAGTGACTGAAGCAGCAATAACTGGTCTAGAAACACCACAAGCTCTACCTAAAGCAGCCTTAGAAGGAACAAAGACGTATGGGACGTTTTTATCTTCACATAACAATGGCAAGTGCAACAAGATTTCAATTGGTTCGGTATCAGCAGCCATGATGATGAATTCAGAAATACCTCTGTTCAAGGTCTTAGTAGCTTCATTGGCACCTTTCTTCAATTGTCTCAAGTTTTGAGCTTGTTGAACAACATCCAAGATTTGTTGAGTCAAAGCAGAATCAGATAATGGGAAAGCTTTTGGGTTTGGGGCAGACATGTCTAGATTAAAATGAAATTTCTTATTATAAATTTGATAATTTAGGCTCCTTGCAATGATAACTTAAAGCTCGCCAGTAACAAGTAGTTTGTACTTAATAAGAAAAAGGAAAAAAAAAAAGAAAAGGAAAGCAGAAGAAGAAAAGAAGAGAAGGGGAAAAAAAATTCAGCTTTTCATGAACTCGACTGGTGCGATGAGACGCAAAATTTGCGATCTCAAAAAGAGAGAAAAGAGAGAGAGAAAAAAACAAACAAACCTGTTGCGACATGTGTTGCGACATTTAAAAATTAAATACGACTTTTGAGGGTCGTGCGAATGAGTTAATTAGGTAGAAGATTCAAAAAGTGATAGTCCAGCGAAAGACAACAGAAAAAAAAAAAATCTTTCCAAATAAAAACTTTGTCCAACTTTAGTCTTTTTCAGTTATAATCAATAACCCATTGCAACTATCTTTGTTTAATCACAACTACATTCTTTAGTTAGTTACATTAAATTATTGCATATTAATAGAATCCTTTATCATATCAATTAACTACAATGTCTGATTTATGGTATGTAAATTTTCATCAATTGATAAGACAAAACGGCAATGAACAAAAGGTGACAGTGAGAGAATAGAGGAAAAATAATTCAACGATACTAGACCAGTCAACATCGTGGGCAATTACACAGTTACCATAGTTCTTTCAAAATATCTAACCATCAAAGAGGATAATAGAGATAGAATAGGTATTGAGTGTCAGATAAAGTCATACCACCCAATTGATATAAACGGCCTCGCTCAACCCACGTCATTTTGAGTTGCGATAAATTAATTTTTTTTTTCTATTGGACTTGCATGGTCGCTACTTTAGAAATTTCATGTTTTGTATTATTGCTTTGTTTTTAATATTATTGATTCTAATACTAACAATGATTATTATTTTATAGTCCAGTTTATGCTCCATTCTTTGGTTCTATCGGTTGTGCTGCCGCCATTGTTTTCACATGTTTCGGTGCCTCTTACGGTACTGCTAAATCAGGTGTTGGTATTTGTGCCACTTCTGTCACCAGACCAGATTTATTGGTTAAGAATGTTGTTCCAGTTGTTATGGCCGGTATTATTGCCATTTATGGTTTGGTTGTTTCCGTTTTGGTTTCTGATTCTTTGAGTCAAAAACAAGCTTTGTACACTGGTTTCATTCAATTAGGTGCTGGTTTATCTGTTGGTTTGTCTGGTTTGGCTGCTGGTTTTGCCATTGGTATTGTTGGTGATGCCGGTGTTAGAGGTACTGCTCAACAACCAAGATTATTCGTCGGTATGATTTTGATCTTGATTTTCGCTGAAGTTTTGGGTTTGTATGGTTTGATTGTTGCCTTATTATTGAACTCTAGAGCTTCCCAAGATGTCACCTGTTAAGGGGGCTGAAGCAGTCAGTGTCAATGATCTCTTACATCTACCTTAATTAACTTTCTCAATTGAAGTGTCAGATGAAGAAATTAACAAATTACAAATATATTAAAAGAGAGAGATAGTCTGTATAGTTATCTTTATTTCTGTTTAACTTGAAACTTCAAAACAAAAAAAAAAAAAAGAAGTAAAAATTTTCGATATACATTTAAATTGTTTTTTTTTTTGTTAATTAATATGTTGTGGTTCGTATGCTTATACACTCTAATTACTCTATGAATACTTTAGCAATCTTTGCAGTTATTTGATTTCTCAAAGTTATAATTAAATTTGTAACGTCTGTTGGCAAGTTATCTTTTCCAATAATTCTTCTCCAGTCATGAACAGAAACATCATTTTCCCCAACTTTGCTAATGGAATATGAATACAATTCAGCAGCTTCTTTAGATTCCTCATCATTACAATTAGTTTCAAAACTATCTATTAATTCAATAATAACCACTAATTCAGGTAATTTGAATTTGTTTTCACCATTACCTAAGAATGGTAAAAATTGAGCAAGCAATAAAGGTGCAAATCTTTTTGGTAAATAATTAAACTGTAATAAGTGGATCAATTTTGACATTTTACTAGATACTTTAATGTCTTTGTCTGGTAAGGAAGAATAAAATTCCTTCAAAACAGCATACGGAGCAAGACATTGTTGGATCACAGGATGGATCTTGAAATTTGGATCAACTTTCCTATCAATTATATTATTTATCAATTCATCATTTACTGGTCTATTATTGACAATACTGTCAGCAAATATCATATCCCATATGATGTAATGGACCTTTTTCATTCCTTCACTATGATTTTCACCACTCAATAAAGTTGGGTCATAACAGTTAACAAAATTATTCAATGCTTCATAGTTATAACCGTCTTCTAATGATTTCACACCTGCTTGGTAATACAATTCTCTAGCTGTAGAAATCAAATTCAAATTAGCACATATCGTAAGTGCCCATTCAAGGTCATCATTGGTTTTACAATAATAATGAGGTAAGTAGCCAGCAATTACTTTTCTATTGGTGACACTTGCGTTTGTGGATCTGCAAACAACATCATTTAGTAAAAGACCAATTCCAACAGGTGCTAAATCATGAACATTCAAGCAATCAAACGCATGTCTTGTAAGGAAATATTCCGAAATGGATCTTCTATTAAGCAAGTCTTGGAAACTTGTGTTTGAAGTTATTGTCGAGTCAAAGTAGTAACTACGCAATACCAATTTTAACTCTAGCAATTCTGATACATAGGCTGCTGTTGGTGGATCTAACTCATGCAAGGTTTCCAAGGCCTTAAGATAGTTCTTCTCCAAGATGTTGATGAAACATGATTCACTTAGTTCATCAAAGTTTTCTGCATCTTCACCAAGAGTTACACTAGGTGGATGTTCAGTAATAGACATCTTGAAATATTCATCATAAACTTCGTCATTGTCTCGTATTTGATATAACGATAATGCCAAATACATTTCATACCAAGAATCACAATAACTCGAGATTGTTTTAGGAAGACCAGTGAAAATACACGCCAAATCATAAATCTGACTGACCATCAATTTATGGGCTGGTTCAGTAATTGATTCATAGCGTTCACCAGATAAAGAATCTCGGTATTCACAGGCAATTACTTTCCATTGAGCAAAGTTCCCTTTAGACGCAGATGATGTATAATCCGACAACATGATATTCATATCGTTAATCATTAAAAACAATTCGGGGCACGATTGTTCCAACTCTTGATATCCAGAGTGAGCAATTACTTCTGAGACTTGCTCAAATAATCCTCTTATAATAAGTTGACTCAAACAGGTATTCCAAAACTGTGGATGGGTATACGGTTTAGGATTATTGACCATAACATCATTAAGCAAAGAACTATCAGGTTTAGGATCAAATGTATTTACCCATGCAAGAATCAACTCCGGTTTGCGTCTCAAATCAAAATAGAAGTTATTTGCTTTAAGACATTGTAAAATATACAATGTATGTTGTAAGTTTTGGAATTCAATTGATTCGTGTTTGTCTTCTGGTGCTGAATTGATCAAAGCTTGTAAATTTTCAATAATTTTTTGAAATGATTCATCAGCTTTTTTAAACTTATAAGCCTGACTGGCGCGATATCCTGTTTCATTTGTAATTAAACCAATTGGTGAGTCATCTTCTTCTAAATCTAGTCTTGTTATATCGTCACTGGTAAGTCTTTCAATGGTTTTATACATTGAGTTGACATAGTCGATGTAACTTTGGTCAAATGAATCAACAATATCTATACTTCTCTTATATTGATCTTTATCAAACTTGAAATGTAATGAGTCAGTAGAATCCAACCATTCAGGTAAGTCAACATATCCATTATCAGCCTTGAAAATCCCTAATGGACTGGATTGATCGTTTGAATTGTTGCTTTTTGAAGACTCTTGTGAATCTGATATCCCTTCAGTTTCTGATGAAATCGAAATATCATTGCTAACTTGTTCATCTTCATCATCAGGAAGTTGAATCATTTCAATATCATCAAATTTACTGTCCAATCCTGACATTGTTGCTGTTGTATGCCTTTGTCTTGTTGATGGTTGTGCTTACTATGTAAACAAAAAATTTTCGATACCAGTCTGAAGAAAAACCAAAAAAAAAAAAAAAAAAAAAAAAATATAAAAAGAAAATCAAACAAATGAGTCGTGTACTATACAAGAAATTTCTATGAGAAAACTTCTACATACAATTGCTGCAACTTATACTTTTTGGCAATCAACTTTTTATGAGAAGAAGATATGCCATGGGGATTGGCAATAATTTCTTTCAAAATACTTGAAATAGACCTTGCATCAATAATATCATTACATTCGGTGCTTTCAGTTTCTAGAATGTTATCACTAGCCGGTTGTCGGAAACTTAACGATGGTAAGTGTGATTTATTTGAATATGATTTCAATTCATCCCAACATTCCAGTATATCATTATCATCATGGTTGGTTTCATTGAGAATATATAATTCTCCCAGAAGTGTACCAATAGCACAAATTTTTGTGGTTAATGATTGCTCTATTCCGAGTTGCACAATAGTATTAATCTGATCACCAACATTGAACCTTATAACTTTTTGGTCCAGCGAGTCTATAACACTCGTTTTCACCAAAACAACATTTCCATGAGCGTCTCCCGTAATAATATATGAATACTTGGCCTTTGAAAATGTTGAAATTGAAGTCATCTGGCCATGTGTATAACCGTCAATATTTACTTTTGTGAAACGCAACTGATTTTCAAAAGACATGTCGTCATTGACTTTAGCACGAAACAAGCCATCAATTGCATCAACTATATAAATATCATTGAATAGAACAGATTGAGACATAGTGAGTGTGGTACTATTGGTGACTGTCTTTGGTATAACCTTCCATTCCAAATCGTCATCTAAAGTCATCAAAAAAGATATGTTACCAGAACATAGATAAATGTTTTCACTCTCATTGAAAATAGATAAAGAATTGAGTTTGAATTCATCTGTTAATTCAAGTCCCATGATGCTATTGGTTTGGAGTTTTACAATTCGTCCTTCTTCAACACCAAACATAAAAACAGGTGTGTCCGAACTAGACATCAAACAAACAAAGCGATTCTGGGAAACATCAGCCGGCAACTGACAGATATCTAAAATTTCTTCCCCATCTCCTAATTTATACACATCCATTGGCTCCAATGAACCAGAATCAAACAAATGAAGTTCATTACGACAAAGCCCGTTATATTCATCCATTTTATTGTAAAGTAAACCTATCAAATAATTAGTATCCTTGATCAACAATGACTTGATGAAAAGGTTTCTTGAAAATATGCTTTGGTGTGTGCTGATATTCAACAGTGATTGGTGTTTGATATCTAATTTGTCAATTAATCCATTTGAATATACCACCACAACTTTGTTATCTAGAAATACGCCAATATCATCAATACCAGTTGATGGAAAATGACTTGGCAAATAAAAACCCAGAAGAATATCTCTCTTCAATGGGACTAAATACCTGTCATTGAAAAGGACAATATTATCTTTCCACTTGCGTACCAAATAAGCATTTCCATAAACTTTTTGTGAATGACGGTTAACTTCTCTGAGGCCATTTTGAATATCTCGACTAAAGTTAACTTGCCACCACGATTCTATCGTCAGAAGAATGATTGAAACATTTCCACTTTTATCAGCCAAAACTATCAGTGAGTCGACTATAACGTGATCTTCTTCTAAACACCCTTCATACACTTTATGTATATCTCGCGTTCCATGTCTCCAAATTTCAAACACGCCCAAGCTGCTTGTTACAAGAACTAGGCATTCATCCTTAGATATTGTAACCGCATCTACTGATGAAGGAACAAAATCGCCGTTACTGGTAAACTCTATAATTTTGTTATCGCTTTGTAATTTTATATTCTTGGATTCATTCCAGGAGATACGTGTCTTCATTTCCGGTATATATTTCTCCTGTTCCCCATCAGCATGATCTTGAAAGTACATGATTTGTTGTTCAGATAATTCCTTTATTCCCTGTGGTGGTTTAAGATCCGATGTATTGAGAATATGAGTTCCATACAGAGTATTTTGCAACATTATGGTTTCATCAATAAATCGGATACTCTCTGGTTTGAATCCTAGTTTGATACTTTTAACAATTACAAAACTACTCATTCCTGTAAAGTACTTGCGAATTTCACTACCCAGCCATCCACCTTGACATGTGTACACTTCTTTTGGGCCGGGAGTAATATCCAAAACTGGAGGACTGCCATCAATAAAAGCTTTAATATGAATATGTGGCTGAATGGGAGAGACCAGAAACAATACCGATCTAGAAAGTCTAGAACTTTGAAAAAACAAATCGCCAGTTATATGATGCAATCCATTTGAATTTGGAATGGTAACATCACCAAGACTTATCATTGATACCTGGTTGATAATGATTGTGCTAGTTGATGATGACTCTAAATCAATATATAACATATTTGATTTTCCCGATTGGGAAGTTAATAAGATTCTATGTTCATCAATTATCTCGTATGAAATATAATTCTGTTCATCGACTTTGCTGTTTCGTAAAACCAATGATTTGACAAAGTAAAGTTGATTCGACTTGTCTGAAACGGTTACATCCTGGACTTCCTTGGAGACGGTCAAGTTGTGTATTTTCTTTTCAGGGAAATAGAATATGGCTGATCTTGTCAATGCAATGTGGCCACCAACTGTCATTGGAATAATCAAAAGTGGCTCCTCTTGAAATTCAGGGAACTGTCGTACCATTCTAGATGGTTTAGAATCAGCGTTGATTTGCCAATATCTTACATAGAAAGTCGATGATATGTCTTTGTAAAGAATTGCCAAAGTTTTCTCTGGAATGCTGAGACTGATTATTTGTTTGACAATGATTCTCCCTATCGGAATGGTATCAATTGACCACCAGGAATCTGGATTACCATGTTTACGTTTCTTGGATGTCTTTGTTTCTATGATATCGGTAACATTAATTGGGTTTTTCAACTGTAGCACATGTATTGTTGAATGGAAAACGTGAAACGCAATGGAAGTGGGATTCTTTTGTTTATCGGGAATTATCTGTGGGGGATACTCAAATGCTTGTACTTGACCTTTTGTTGAAAGCTTTGACATAATCTTAATGACAACTTTCAATTCAGGGTCCACCACAATCAACCCGATGTGGAATGTTTCGTCGACGAATATTATTATATCTTGTTCATCAATATTAACTGTTGTAAATGCCAACACTTTATTTTCTAATGAGATGGATTGTAAATACTCTAGATTATTGATCTGAACTTTGTACAAATTGAATGCATGTCTAGTCCCCACAAGTAATGCAAGACATAATAACTCATTGTTGGGATGGATCACCGCTGAACCATGAACTGCGCTTTGGGTAGAAATTTCCGATAGTATTAGCATTGCAAATACTTAGATAATTTAGTGTGTTTTTATTTCTGCCTTTATAGAGGGGTCGCGGATTTCATAGATACGTTTTTTTTTTGTTTCATTGCTTCTTTCATCACTCTCACGCACACTCTCCCTCTTGCTTGCGTACACACATTTGATTTATTATTGTTTTTCTTCATTGAGCACTTTACATAAAGAGGCTATGAATATTATACACAAAAATCACCACCGCAGTATGAATTAGATTCATCTCGCAAGATAAAACTAGAATGGGGAACGATGAAAAGATGATAAAAACAAAACAATTATCATTTTGAAATACATTGTTTTCAAATGTGGGTGGGTGATATTGAGAATCAGTCCAATTCATTAGCCACCTTCCTCCTACCCCTCAAGAGATAGCCTTATTGAACAGCTTCATTTTCAATGGTGTGCACATTTACGTAAATAAAAGAATGTGTTTTATATTGAAAACCGGTACAAATGTGTACGTCAATGCGCTTATTCTATTTTTAAACTACAATGTACAAGTGAGATTTTCACTTACCATCATGGCATATCAATTCCGGATTCGATTTCTTTTTTTTTTTTCTTCTTCTTCTTCTTCTTTTAGTCTCTCAATCTTTCCCCCTTTCTTTGTATTCTTCTCTATGTGTGTCTCTGTATGTGTGTATAAATATTTCATTATCCACACTATCCCCCTTTTTTTTTCTTCTTCTAATTAATTCATTCGCTTACTTCGACACAATTTGAAACTCCGATTTGTTTAAAATAGGGTGAAAATCAAGGAGTGTGATAATCTGTTGAACTTGTCTGTATACTATTCATTCATTTCTTAGTTCCATCACTTCGTTACAGTTCTGTTCAATTTGGGTTAGTAATTGTTTTTTTTTTGTTACGTCTTTTTCATTTCCCATTTGTGTGTTTATCATCTTGCGAGTTTTTACTTTTTTGTATTTATATGATATGTCAAGACATAATAATTCCTTCAATTATTTAATGAAATCATTTTAACTCCTTGATCAGCGTACTATAATCATATATATCCTTCACTGATAGAACAAGAAAAAGTAAAGAAAAAAATAAAAAATCAAGTTGTATCTAAAAGCACATTATCCCTCGACAACAATAGAAAATGCTGCAACCGATTTCCAACTCGAAACCAAGGTCAAAATCAAATCCTAAGAATACCACGATAAACCTGAAACCACAACCAGGTAATAGTAAATTGAATTGGAATTTCAAGGACTTATTAAAACTCCCAGCAGTGTCTCCACCTGTATTAAAATCCAATAAACCAGCAACAACCCCCAATGCCATTGAATATGTCCCATTTGTATCTGATGCAAAGACTGTGTCCTCAGAGTCATCAGCAGCTTCGAATAATTCCCAATCTCATAATGTAAGCAAATGTTATTGTTGTGGAACAATTTTGACTTTCCCCAATAGAGCCAAAAAATTTAGATGCTCGGTATGTCACACAACCATGATATTGGAAGTCATCAAGACTCGAGAAAGTCAGTCACCAGCAGATACTCCCTACATGTCATATAATTATGTCAAATCTTTAGCAGATGAATGTTTCAAGAATGCCAGTTCTAGTCGAGGACAATCGAAATCATTGCATGAGATATTTCAACCATTATCAGACTACTTGTATAATGCATTCAGGCACCACGATATACTCAACAATTCTTTTAAACTACGAGCACATAGTAAAAAAGCACATCATTCTACTTCAAATATTTATTATGCAGGTGTTCGAGATGTAATTACCTTGCTTACAAAACTTCCCACAAAAAAACCACTATATTCTGCATTAAAAGGTACGAGTGAACAATTGAAAAGAATAAATGTCTATAAGAACGATTCAAACCCCTTGGACTATAGTTGGCTATTCATTGTGTTTGAAATTCCAATCTTATCACGATCATTAGTTATCAGTGATCCACGTTTGAAACTTATGAGTGACGTTCCTGAAATAAAAATGTTGAGCTATGATATCTTGAAAAGATGCATAGGATTGTTGTCATGTATTGATAGCTCAAAAGTTCTCAGTTACATGTCGAGTTGGTTTGCCAAGTTAGATCAACAGGAGTTTATAAAGAAGATTGATTTAATAAATCTTTACATTACTTTTCAGTTGAAAAAGTACTTCTATTTGGCAAATAATCCACAGATAAAGTTAGGAAACCCACCAACAGGAGATGAGACATATGTCGACAATAGTGAAACCGAATATTTCCAAAGTTTGCATTTGAAAAATCATATTGAGTCGAATCTGGATTTGCTGTCTCCTTGTCCTTTGTCTTTACCTACGGGCCAAGTTTCGACTAATCCATTCCCTCTGAAAGGAAATGGAAAGAAAAATGGTAAAGAAACGAAGGTTAAGGTCCATCAATATGGGAATGATTGGCATATCAGAACTGCATTAGTGGTTCAAGCATTATTATATCGTGCCAACAAGCTTCGTGAAGATCCTGTTCCAGTTTCAGTGTTTTATAATTCGTTGGTCGATTATGTTAACATAAAGTTGGATTTTGATTCGTGGCAAAGCAACAGAAAAACAAGGAACAAAGTTAGCAAAGCTCAGCAGAATGACTTTTGGGCTGTTATTGAGTATATCCATGGTACTGGGGTGAATAAAAGTCTCTATGATGATGCGTTATTTTACATCTGTCAATACCCATTTTTGATTTCATTAGGAAGTAAAATATCTGTTTTGGAATATGAAGCACGAAGACAAATGGAAAGAAAGGCAGAGGAAGCCTTTATCAACTCATTGGATAAGAGGGTTGTCATTGACGTTTATTTCCGTATCAGAGTAAGACGTGACCATATTGTACAAGATTCATTACAACATATAAAGATGAATCCAGATAATTTAAAGAAAAGTTTACGTGTGCAATTTATGAATGAACCAGGTGTCGATGCAGGTGGATTGAAAAAGGAATGGTTTTTATTGTTAACAAAGGAGATTTTCCACCCCCAGTCAGGAATGTTTCACAATGTGGAAGATTCGAACTTGCTTTGGTTTAATGTAATCCCAGCTGAGAATCCCGATATGTATTATCTTTTTGGGGCTATATTGGGTTTAGCTATTTACAATTCAACCATATTGGATCTACAGTTTCCAATTGCTTTGTACAAATTACTTCTTGGACGACCATTGGATCAAGATGATTATAAACAATTATATCCTGTATCATATAAGAATTTGCTTAACTTGAAGACCCTTTCAACTAGTGATTTGTTACTGTTGGATTTGACATTTGAGGTGAGTTACTCTGACATATTTGATAAAACATACACTGTTGAATTGATTCCAGATGGGGCAAATACCAAGGTGAAGATGCACAATTTGGATGAATATATTGAAAAGTATACATCATTTTTTATGAAGGATGGTATTAGAAGACAGGTTGACGCGTTCAAGACTGGTTTCAACAATGTCATTGGTGGAAATGCGTTATCATTATTCCTGCCTGAAGAAATCCAATTATTGTTATGTGGAAGTGAAGATCACGGAATAGATGTTGATGTATTGAAGTCGGTGACGAAATACATTGGTTGGAGATCACCAGAGGATGCTGCAAACTCAAAGATTATAACCTGGTTCTGGGATTACATGACAAAAATATCCAATAAAGAGAAAAAGAAATTGTTAATTTTTGTTACTGGTTCAGATAGGGTTCCGGCTACAGGTATTCAGAATCTACCATTTAAAATTAGTTTACTTAATAATGGACAAGATAGTACTCGTCTTCCAATTGCACATACTTGTTTTAACGAATTGGCTTTATATAATTATACTACAAAAGAAAAATTTGTGGAGAAATTGAATAAGGCAATAAATGAAAGTGCTGGTTTTGGAATCAAGTAATTTGATACCTTGTTGTATGTATAAATCTTACATAGTCAAAATTATATCTCAACCAGAAATAAAAATTTAGACGATAATGTGTTTTAGTTCTTCGTAAGCCTAAGCCCCCTTTTTCTTTTTTTTTAGAAAGAAAAGAAATCTCATTTTGTGGGGGACGATGACCAAACTTGTTATCTCGATACTAGACCACATGAATATCATTACTTTACTTAATTCTCTAGTTAAACAACCACCTGAAATCATCAATCTTGTTTTAGCATATATTCCGAAACCTTTTTTACCTATTTTTTTAGATTTTGCACCACTCGTTCCTTATATTTTGCCAATCATCATTCATAATGTTCGAATTCAAGAAGGATATTATAGATCTGAAGATCCAATTGATTTCTTCTCATCAGAATTTTATAATTCACCACCAGTATTTGATCTGATGGAAGATCTAGCTGAGATGGTTCAAAAATTTGACGTATATCCTAAAGATCTCGAAATGGTGAACGTTTTGGGGAAATTAGCGGAAAAGTTTCCAAGCAAACAAGATGAAAGGAGGGAAACTACATTCATGGTATGGGGTCATAAATATAAAGAAATACTTCACAATATTAGTTCAATTCATATTCTTGATCCTGTGACTGGCTCAAATTGGAATGATATGTCATTCTGCTTGACACACAGGTTTACACTTGGTTCAATTACTTATCTTTCTGAAGATTTAGAAAACATTATGAGAATTTGTCCAGAAACTTTACAAATTTTACGGTTACCTTATTACAATTTTGCTCCAAGTGATGTGTTTTTGAGATTTTATAATTTAAAGACATTAGAGATTAAGAATGCTGATCTTCGTATATTTAATTTCTTACCACCAACCACGGAAAATTTGATTATTGAAAGACTTGGTACATTGACAAATTTTGATTATGAATCAATACCTATTCTTTATAAATTGTCATATCTTGAGGTTGGAATTAGACATATTAACGACTTCCCACTTGTGACAATGAAGTTTCCAAATTTGAAATTATTCCATATTCAAAACTCCCACCACTTGTCTGACTTTGATAGCTTACATATACCAGATACTATCAATGTTCTTAAAATTGCCAGTTGTCCCAATTTGGTTAATTATACGTCATTGAAAACCTTTCACGAGTTGAGGCAAATATCAGTGTTCAATGTTCCCGTTTCCTTTGACTTGTTCAACAGCATCGAATATATTCCAAATCTAATTGAATTTTCCTTCATTCATTCATTTGAGTATGACTATTCTGAAATTTATGACTTGGACTTGATAAAGTTCCCAAAGTCTTTGAGGATTTTAGAGTTTCGAGGCAATTTTTGTATTCAATCCTGGGAACCACCAGAAAATTTGCAAAAACTTTCATTAAGAGGAACAACTTTTACTAATGGTATTAATTTTAAATTTCCAATTAATTTAAACAATCTAGTTATGTCTTCAACTAACTTGTCTACTATGGATGGTGTTCAATTTCCTCCTGGTCTAAGAGTATTAGAGATTAGGGAGAACCAAAATTTGACAACAATGATTAATACAAACTTACAGCAACTTACTCGATTGGTTGACGTCAAGATTCTTTCTAATCAAAAATTATCAAAGCTCGATAATTTTAACGAGGACTTAAGAGAAGGGGTAGTTATGGTGTATAATAATGGATGAACGATTCCGTCTCTGTTGAAATAATACTTGTTGCAAAATAAGTGTTCTCCCCCTTTTTTTTATTTTGTGTGTGTATGTGTTTATATGACCGAGATTGATCACGTGACTTCGTAAAACTTGCTGTGATGATAATAAGAAGCTTTACTCCACAATTTTTAAATACAACCCCCTGGATTTCTCTTCTCTCTTGTACCGATAATACTACCTGAAAATGGATATTAGTGATATTTTGAATAATTTGGCTAAGCAGCCTGCAGAAATAGTTAATTTAATTATTTCATACCTCCCTAAGCCGTTTCTCACTGTGTTTCTTGATTTCAAGTCTTTAGTCCCATACATAATCCCAATACTTCGTACAAAAGTTCGTATTCAAGAATGTTGCTTCGATTTGAAGGAGCCCATTAGTTTCCTTAATTTTCGATGGTATAGTGTATCTCCTGTTTTTAATCTGATTGAAGAGCTTGTACAAACCATTCAAAAGTTCGAGTTTATTCCTAGAGAAATTGAATTAGTCAATCTTTCAACTCCTATGATTACGAAGTATAAATTGTATCAATCAGGAGTTTTGGTAAATCATGAACTTGATCCTCTGGTGTCAAAATTAATGCAATGGGCTGTAAAGTATGAAGATATTTTTAGAAGTGTTTCTTTGATACACATTCTTGATGGGTTTATGAATGCAAATATTGAAGAACTTGTATTTTGCATTCAACGAGGATTTAATATTGGTACAATTGAATATTTAGGAACTATCAAAGAAAGTATCATTGAGATGTTTCCTCCAACTCTTGAAAGTTTAACGTTACATAGTTATTCTTTCAAACCAACTAAAAGTTTTGATAATTTCCAAAGTTTGAAATCAATAAAAGTGGCAAATGCAGATTTGAATATGTTCTACCACTTACCCCCTTCAATAGAGGAAGTGATGGTCTCAGATCTTCGCACACTGACGGTACATAATCCGATGGATCAACCAGGTGTTAGTCTTGTCAAGTTACGAAATTTAACCGCAGGCATTCAAGTTGCTGGTGAATTTTCACTGGTTGCAAAAATATTTCCAAATTTGGAATCATTTCATATACGAAACTCCCGTATTGATGATTTTGATGAATTGGGTTTATCTAATGATATAAAGGTTTTGGAGATTGATAGTTCTCCCGGATTGGTTAATTGTTTAAAAATCGAAAGATTCACCCAATTAAAACAATTAGCAATGACAAATATGCCATTTCGAAGCAACATATTTGAAAAAGGGGTTAACTTATCAGTATTGACTAAACTTTCATTTATTCAATCATGTGATTTTAATAGAAACTTCAAATATGAATTGGATCCATTGAAGTTTCCAGAAACATTAAAAAGTCTTGGGCTTCATGGTCATTTTTACATAAACACCTGGACTCCACCACAAAACCTCCAAGAGTTGATACTAAGAGGAACATATTTCTCCAATGGGTTCACCATTTTGTTGCCTCCCAATTTGAACAGATTATTCATAGTTTCAACAAACTTACATGATTTAGATCATATCGAATTTCCAGGAGGTTTGAGAGAACTTGATATACGTGCTAATGAATGGTTAAAATCAATGGTTGACACTAATTTGCATCAACTTACTCAATTGGTTAGATTTGATATATCATTCAATCCTTGTTTGACAAAATTTGACGAACCTGATAGGAACTTACGATGTAAAAGACTATACAATCTTACTAGCGTATAAGAATTCTCAATCAATATATGTTCACGCACCAATATTGAACTTAACAAAGTAAGCCCAAGCAGAAAAAAAAAAAAAAACCAGTAACAATTAAAAACAGTGCGACTCCAGCCAATAGAAACAAATGAAAAAAAAATTGTATTGTTTTTGGGACTGCACAAAGTGACAAATTGTTAAACAGACAAATAAAAAAAAAGGCTTCATTCAATGAAAAAAATAAAAATTAGAAAAAAAAAGGAAGAACCTGTTTCTCTAGCTTTGATTATCATTCAACGTACCTATTCAACACACCAATAATAACAAGATGTCTTCTCTTGCTTTCAGATCATTGAAGAACGGTTTAGGTTTAAAAAGTATGTTTCATAAAGAATATTAATTGATAGAGATGTGTGTATCTGTTCTGTTGATTCAAGATGGAACTGGTGTATTCAAAATCTCGGGCAATCAATGTGATTAATTTTGGTTCAATTAAACTAACTATTGATATTTAGGTTCTATTAGAGCTTTGTCTACCACTTCCACTACTTTGTCTAACTACCAACAACCAGACTTTTCATCATACTTGAACAACAAATCTCCACAAAGCAGCAGAAACTTTACCTACTTCATGGTTGGTTCTATGGGTTTATTGTCTGCCGCCGGTGCCAAATCCACCGTTGAATCTTTCCTTTCTACTTTTGCCGCCTCTGCTGATGTTTTGGCTATGGCTAAAGTTGAAGTCAAATTGGGTGCCATTCCAGAAGGTAAGAATGTCATTATCAAATGGCAAGGTAAACCAGTTTTCATCAGACACAGAACTCCAGATGAAATTGAAGAAGCCAACCAAGTTGATATTAAAGCTTTAAGAGACCCACAAACTGATGCCGACAGAGTCAAGAAACCAGAATGGTTAGTCATGTTGGGTATCTGTACCCATTTGGGTTGTGTCCCAATTGGTGAAGCTGGTGACTTTGGCGGTTGGTTCTGTCCATGTCACGGTTCCCATTATGATATTTCCGGTAGAATCAGAAAAGGTCCAGCTCCATTGAACTTGGAAATCCCAGAATATGTCTTCAGTGATGACGAAACTTTGGTTGTTGGTTAGAAATAAAGATCAAACAATTACATGAAAAAACTTTATTAAATAAAAAAATAAATGAAAAAAAAAAAGATGAAAACCTATTCAATAAATAATGATAAGAATAAACAAATACTTTTTGAAAACACGTTATAAATGATATAAAGAGAACTTGTATCAGCTTTTTTTTTTGATATTATTATTCACATGAAAGATGACTGATACTGAAAAAAAAAGTTTGTTTATTTCACATGTATATTTCGATTTAATATATATTATAAACTGCATCTAGATATTTGGGTTCTTTTTAATGATCTCTTCCAATTCATCGGGTATTTTCTTCCAGAAATCAGACTTCCAATCTTTTTGAATTTTAGCAATGGTCAAATCTTGAGCGTATTTTCGGATATCCAGGCTTTTGAATTCTTTGAAATTTTGTAGCAGTCGTACGAATTGATCACCGAATGATTTTGTGGGTATATTCTTCGGATTGTAATCCCAAATGTAATGTAATCTGTAAAATATACTCCAGTGAAGTGAACTTGATTCAGAAATTGTTCTACTACGACCAAGATTTGGTTGAGGAACTCGTTTCCAATGACCCAGTTTATCTTCCATGGTGGTGAAAAATGGAATAAATTCTAACAACCACCAGAGTAAAGAATAAAAGCACCCATCCTCAGCTCGACCAATGAATCGTTTTAGAGGAGTTTCCGGTAACCCGCTTTTTGGTGTACGCTCAGGGCATTTCTTGATGGGTGATAAAAGATCGTGGTGATAGGCTAAAAAACTGGACACAGAAGGAAAATCAGAAGACCATTGATGAACCGCACCTTTTTGAAATCTTACACCAAACTTCACTGCTTGTGCCAACATCCACCTGAATGAAACATCTGATAAAAACAGTCCCTCTGGGGTAGGTTCCCATCCACCACCAATATCACCATGATTTCCTGGAAAATAAACTTCTTCTAGATCGTTGATACTAGCAAGTGGTCGCTTTTTCCATCCAGTTAATGCATCTATTAAATACCTTAAGAGTTGACCCCATGAAAGTGCCATGACAAGATGAATATAGCTCATACTGTCATCCACGTGGTTTTCCTTGAATTCAGTAGGAGCAAAGAGTTGTTGTTTAAACTTGGCTCGTCTTTCATCTAAACTTACTGCGTGTCGGACGTGATCAACATTTGATGTCCTGATGGTATACGGGAAGATTCTATCCCACAACACACCAACTGAATTAACAGAATCCCATAATCCCATGAAGAATATTCTTGTATTGGTGCGAGAAAATGTCTTCTTAAATTCATTGGCCATGACAGCTGTCATGTGTTCAATTTGCACTGGTTGTCCATGATACTCCCAACTAGTATAAATATTCCAAGCCAAAGGAGTCATTTCGTCCAATCCCGTATTAACCAATCCCACTAATTCAATCATGCCGGCAATTATTCTGGCGGTAAAGCTCCCACGACTTAAGTAAAAACATGTTAGAACATTTTCTTCCAAGGACAATCATACTTTATACAAACATACCTGAATCCAAAAAGGTAAATTTTGTCATTGGTGTTATAAACCTTGGAGAGAAAACTATATGCTGTCATCACATGGTTTTCAAGTGTGAAAGCTACAAAGGCATCAAATCTATTACTGATCCTGGACAAAGTTGTGCTTTTAAAACTTCTTTCAAATGAATCATCTAAATCAGCATGATAACTTGATCCGATACCTGGTTGATAATAGCATAACTGATTTTTGTTGTCTCTTTCTAAAAGTCTAAACAATTTAAGGACATTAGTAAACGGTTTCGGGCCAAATTCATTCTCGGTACCATCAAAACATAAAATTATATTCTTCGACTGATCATCCTTTTTGATATATATGTTATCATCTTGTGTGTAAATCTCTCCATTATAATTGACTATTGGTCCATCTTTTGAACTTGCTGACATTCTCTGTGTTCCTTTTCAAATGAAGTTTGTTGCAAAACTCCAAGAAAAAAAAAATATGTTCAAATGAGTAGTTTTTTAAATATATTATGAATAAACAATATTTACCTATATATAAGCGAGTGAATAATATACATAAATCAAACAGAACTTATCTTAGACTATCAAAGAATCCAAGATATGATCAAATCAAAACACTTCTATTCTAGCTTTAGCATTGTTCATGGCAGTAACAATACAGTAGTCAGCACCAAGTGAATTTCCAGAAGATGGTCCTTCTGCTTTTCCAAAACCATTCTTTGGATTAATTTCACAATCCAATCCATTACATTGGTCTGGGTTATCACAAACAATTCTAATTCCAAAGTCGGGAAGTTGTCCGTTGAAATCATCAATATACTTTGGATTATAGCCAATAGTAATGAAAGTACTTCCACTCGAATCTTTATTCATACCAGCAATATATGGTGACCAGTTTCCGATTGCTTTATCAGAACTACCCCAAACACAAGCTTCAGATGAAGACACACCTGGAGGATTGATATAATAATGAGCAGCAGTTCCAGCCCAATAATTAGGACCAGGAACAGCCAAGGTTTGTTCTGAACCACCCTTAATATCATTAGGAATCAACATGGCTTCATTACCTGGTAACACAGTTTGACAAAAGGCAACATTACCTCCAGCTTTATTCAGAACTGTAACTGTTCCTTCACCATCAACACATAATGATTCACCATCAAAAGGAACCGAAACTGAACCATCATCATTACAATATAATCCACCATTCATTGATTTAGGAAAGGCATACGATGTAGCTTCTTGATCCCATTGATTCATAACCTTACCTGGTGGGCAAGCATAAGGACAGTATTTACCTGGAATGCATGGCTCATCTGGACTCATTGCCCATCCATTAGCACCAACAGGAACAATGTCAGCATCACTTGGTAGCGAACATGTAGTGATTGGACTACCAAAGCTCAAAGAAACCAAAGTAACTGCAACAGAAACTAACAATTTAAAATACATTTTTTTTTAAAAAAAAATTCAAATAAAGGAATTGAAATAAAGTTGGTATTTGTTAAAGGAGAGACTCTATAGTTAGTATATTATCTTAAAAGGAGTGAACTATAGTTAAGTTTAAAATGAAAAGTAAATGGTATTCTAATGATGGCAATTATCCATCCTCATTCTTGGTATTTATAGTCTCATGAGAGTGAATAAAAATGATTTAATTCTAGTATTAGTTAATTATTTTTTTTTTCAGTTTATTTCTTGATCTTATATTGCATCCTTTAATTGTGATTTGAACTGTTCAAGAATTGTTAAATTTTTAAACTTTCACACTTAAGGAACATAGACAAGATACAACTAATTTACGTGAATTCAACGGTCAAAGTAAAGTAAAAAGGAATATGCATTGATATTGCATAAATAAACTACATCATAGAAGAATGAAAAAAGAAAAAGTAGAATAAAGGTTCTATTATGCCATATATAGACGTATACTGGTGTAATTTAATGTATCTTTGATGGAATTGAACAAGAAAAAACTAACACAAGTCACGTGTACCATAATGGAAACATTTCAAATCTGTGGCCAAACATGGAAATATATAATCTGGAAATATGAATTCTACAAGAAAAAAAGTAACTATTCAGTTCTAGACTCGAATATTTTGTCAAAAGATATTGCAATGTTAATCTTACTGAAAAATCAGTTGATAAAGGATAATAAGATTAACTATTTGATCAGAATAAGCCTGGAAAAGAAAAGTAGAACAAATAAAAAAAGAAAAAAAAAAAACAAGAAGCCGAGAGACTGAAACTGGCAAAATAACATTCTGATAAATTGCAATTATCACCGACATTTCAATACAACATTATTACAACGAGATGACTGGATCAATAACTCGTGCATTGAGCTGGGACAATGTGTATGAGCAACAATTTATAGCTGTGACACCAATGGGTGATGAAGTTCTTTTATATCAAACCAACCATGAAGATCCCGGCGTGGAGTCCAATTCAATGTCAAAACTTTACAGTCGTTCTGGATTTGAGAACATTCAGTGCTCATCTTACTCAGATATTAATAAGGGTATTGTTGGTGTTGGCTCAATAAATGGGAACATTTCTATATTTGATATCTATTCTCCAAATTCAACAATTTTAAACTTGCGTCCAAAACAGAATCGTCCATGTAATTCCATTTCCTTCAGCAATAACAACCTAGTAGCTGTGGGGTTTGATAAAGGTCGTCAGGATACGTCATTACAAATTTGGAATATTGATGGTTATTCATCATCCGGAAATAATAATCATTTGAAAAGACCAGTCACGTCACTTCTACCGAATGAAGCTATTTTATCTACTGTTTTCTATCCAGACCAAAACTCCAATATCATTTGTGGGTCGTATAAATTTTTAAGAGAATTTGATTTAAGAACCGACCAACCAATTTATCAAATGGCTACAAAATGTACATCGGGTTTGAAAATTGATTATTTTCAAAGCCATTTGTTTCAATCATTTAGTGAAGATGGATCTTTGGCAATTTGGGATAGAAGAAAGTTAACGTCGAACAAATACAAGCAACTGGGTTCAACAAATGTGATTACAGAGACACCAATTTTACAATTTAATAGATTGTTAAGCGATGCCTCGTCAAGAAAAGTAAGTAATCCATGTGTTAGATACTCGACTGTCAGAAAAGGTGAATTTGCATCCGTCTTCAACGGGGACTTGATTAGAAGATGGCAAACTGATATTGTTCCTAGTGATGATAGTATCGTGGAACCTTTCAAAAGCAAAGATGTTTCTACACTTCAAAGCTTAAAGCAACAGGCATCTCAGCTATACAAGCCAAGAGAAGAGTCATTGTTTGTATCGTTGGTTCTCGATACCAAAACAGACTATGAGAAAGTTGTTTCATTTGACTATTCTCCTGATATAACTTCCCACACTTCTACAAATTTTGTATGCATGAGACAATCAGGTACTGTTTTCAGAATGCCAGTTGTGGAATGTATTGAAGCTTTGGATTTCAATCCAATCAACGAGTTCTCAATAGCTGGTCCTGAAGGTACAGCCACCAATTTCCTTGATAAACAGTTTGTGGAAGCAACACAGCCACTTGATCAAATAAATGTAGCACATCAAAGACATCGATCATCGTTAGTAAGGCTCGGAGATTTGACTTTGAACGACGATCTTAACAAACTCGATAATGCTACTGTTACTTCTTCGACTGTTGATGACGATAGTTTGGCACCATCAAATATGGTAGATGAAGGTAAGAGATATTCCTTTGATAACAATTTTGATGAGGATATTCCGTTGAATAGATTTCTAGATTCGTCTGATATAATCGGGAACGATATCTGTGTGACTATTAGAAAACGTGCGCAGATGGGGTATGGTGTGGATTGTGACAAGAATGTGTTGATCTTGGAAACTTTAGACGCTGGTGATAATAAATTATTTTTGAAAAACACTTGGAAATGGCTATCTTTGGCCAAGAAATCATTGGATAAAGGGTCGATGGTTTCAGAAGGAATAGATTTGGGCTATCTAGGTGTATTGGGTATTTGGAAAGGTGTTGAAGAACTTAATGACCAAAAGAGAACACACGATGGAGAACCTATTTCTGAAGCTTGGATGTCACAAGCGGTTAAGAATATAATTTCATTAAAGGGTAAGAAAACTGCAGGTATAAGTATACCAAACGATAGTGAAAAGAAGGCACAAAGAAAACTTTGTTTAGTGGTTTGTGGTTGGTATTTCACTGATGCTGAATTTGAAGAGAAATTGAAAACGCTAATTAGTCTTGGTTACTACGAGAAGGCAGCAGGATGGGCAGTTTTCCATGGTGATGTTCCAAAAGCGATTGAAATTTTGTCAAAAGCCAAATCTGAGAGATTAAGGTTAATTGCAACTGCAGTTGCAGGTTATTTGGCGTATAAGCATTCTCACGTTAATAGTCCATGGAAGGATCAATGCAGAAAAATGGCGCTGGAACTTGATGATCCGTATTTGAGAGCAATATTTGCATTCATAGCTGACGATGACTGGTGGGATGTGTTGGACGAGTCGGCATTGTCATTGAGAGAAAGATTAGGGGTTGCGTTGTGTTTCCTTTCTGATAAGGATTTAGGAGTGTATTTGAATAGAATTGCCGATGCAGTTGTTACCAAAGGAGAGTTGGAAGGGTTGACATTAACAGGAATAACACCAAGAGGAATTGATTTGTTACAGAGCTATGTTGATAGAACTACAGATGTTCAGACTGCATCATTAATTGCTTTGTTTGCTTGTCCTAGATATTTCAATGATCCAAGAACAACCCACTGGATTGATTGCTATAGATCTTTGCTAAATAGCTGGGGGTTATTTGGTGTGAGAGCAAAATTTGATGTTGCCAGAACAAAATTATCGAAAACTTTTGAAGGCCAAACAACTGTGAAGGCTGCACCTAAACAAGTTTATCTACAATGTAATCGATGCAACAAGAATATTTCAAAAATCAAATCAAGCACTACCAATAACCAAGCGTTGTTGAAACAGCAGTTCAACAAATTAAACAATCATAATACCAATGTTAAATTGACAGATATTATCAATGCATGTCCCCATTGTGGTGCTCCTTTGCCAAGGTGCTCAATTTGTTTATTGTCCTTAGGAACTGATTTGTCGTTAGAATCAGATGATAACTTAGATGGCGGTACAGAAACTAATATTGCTGCAAGACTTGAAAAGAGGTTCAAAGACTGGTTTAGTTTCTGTCTTACTTGTAATCATGGATGTCATGCGCATCATGCTGAAGAATGGTTTTCAAAGCATTATATTTGTCCTGTGCCAGATTGCAATTGTCGTTGCAATAGTAAATAGAGTGTAGGGCAATAAGTACGAAATCTGATGTAATCAAACAAAAGAAAAAAAAGAAAGCTTTTCCTTCTCCGCGTTGCAAATCTCAACACATTTAGTTTTTCATTCTTTGGCTGTTCTATTTTTATTATGGTATGCACTGTACATTGTTATCTTGTTCGTAAACCCAAAACAATCATTGTAATATATTTGTACCAGAGTGGGTAACAAATTGGTATGGTGAAGAATGGCCATGCCTGTGGGTTTATATACAGTAACATTAGAAACAATTGAATTTAACAAATCAAGATATTGTGCAGATAACAAATTCGTCTTTATGTATCAAGAAGAAGAAAAGGCTAAAATAATTAAAAAAAAATTTTGGAAAGTTAGAGCCGCATTACGTAATCATTTGCCTGAATCAGTTACAGCAAAATCTCTTACACACTACAGTGACAAAACAGAAAAAATCTTAGCAACAACAACAACAACAACAACAGCAAAAAAAAAAACTCGTTTGATCCAAAACAACAACAAAGTTTTTTTTTTCCTTTCCCTTTAAGCATTCTCTTTTTTTATTTTTTTTTTTCCTTCATTCTCCTTCAAATTAATTCTTGTATTCTTTTTAATTTTTGTTGGTTTGATTTGAATTGGTTGTCAACATTTACAAGTTGTTATCCTTCTTCTTAAGTATTATTAACTAAGTTTTCATCAGATCATTCAGGAACTAAAAATCCAAACTTGCCTCATTATAAAGAAAAATGTCACATCCGCCCCAACAATCTCCCGAGCAAGTTGTTGAAGAGATCAGACAAAAAATCCAAAAAGAGCGTAAGATCATTCAAGGTTTCAACAATGTTAAAAAAAACACCAATAATCCAGAAGTCATCCAAAAATGTAAATCCAAAATCATCGAATCACAGTCGGTAATTGACTATTATGAACAGACTATGAATAAATTGACAAGACAAATGCAAAGATTAAATACACATGGTAGTAATGAAACGGCTACTGCTGATGGTAGAAGTTCTGTTGTATCTGAGTACAAACAGAATTATTCCAATTTTGATTTGATCAAATATGAATGTCCCTCCCTTGGAAATAAGATCCAGTACATGTTACAATATTTAGAGTTCAAACTTCAAGTAGAAAATAAGTATTCCGAAGCAAACAAAAAGTTGTCACACCTTTATCTCATGGATGGTGACAAATCATCAAGTAATGCTGCTGCAGGTGGCAAAGCGGAAAGTGACCAAAGAATCCACTTATTGGAAAAGGCATTGAAGAAGTATCAAAAATTTAGTATCAATGATCATGAATTTGATCGTGATTTTGAGATTATGGATGGTACCAAGCACTCAAGAAAACTTTTGACAGGTAGATTAACTGTTTCTGTCACCTGTATTAGAGATGTTGATCATATCGCCACAGCACCAATGAAGAAACGTGAGACCATAATAGTGGTCAAAATTGATGATTTGGAAAAGGCACGAACAAAACCATCGAAGAACGACAATTGGAATGAAGAAATGATTATTGATGTTGATAAAAGTCATGAAATAGAATTATCTGTGATGGATAAACAAAATGGAGTCTATGTTCCGGTTGCCGTCAATTGGCTTTCTCTTTTTGATTTGGCAGAAGAAATTCGTAAAAGGAAAGTTGCCAAAGACCAAGGTTCAAGTGGTTGGTTACCAGCATCCAATTTCCCACAAAACGGTGGATCTAGTGGTAATTTAGGCACTATTGGTGGTAGTTATGGAGCTACATCACCATTACCTCCAAATGATGATTTGACACCATCAAGATCTCCGAATCAGGAAGCCAAGGATGCCAATATTCTGGTCAGCACATGGTTGAGTTTGGAACCGGGTGGTCAAATGTTGGTCAATTTGAATTTTGAAAAATCGCTTACCCAAGGAAAACAATTTAGAGGTCCATTGGGCCGTCATGGTGCCATTCGTCAAAAAAAGGAAGAAGTTTTCGAGAAACATGGTCACCAATTTGTCCAGAAACAATTTTACAATATTATGTCTTGTGCCCTTTGTGGGGAATTTTTGCGTTATACTGGTTATCAATGTCAAGATTGTAAGTTCTTGTGTCATAAAAAGTGTTACCAAAAAGTTGTTACGAAATGTATTTCTAAATCTGGTTCTGATTATGATGCTGCTCAATTAAACCATCGTATTCCTCATAGATTTGAACCAGTTACCAATCATGGTACAAAATGGTGTTGTCATTGTGGTTATCTTTTACCTTGGGGTAAAAAGAATGTTCGAAAATGTACCGAATGTGGCGTCATGTGTCATGCTCAATGTACTCATTTAGTTCCTGATTTCTGTGGTATGTCTTTGCAAATGGCTAATGAGATCCTTGCTACGATTGAGTCTACCAAGCTTTCACCGAAGAAACCGGTTACTTCTAGACAGAGGTCACAACCACAATTAGGAAAACAATTACCACCAAGACCTTCAACCGAAGTTGAAAAGAAGGAATCATTGGACTCTGGTGAAACATTGCACACTAATGAAGAGTCATATAAGTCATTAAGACCTGCCTCAATTGCTCATGCAGATTTGGATTATGTTTCAAAGTTGCCAACTACTGTACAGAACAAATACCAAGAACCGGTTGAATTACCTCAACAACATCAAGTCACAAAGCGTCGTGCACCAGATACATCTGATCTTAGTTTTGATACCAGTTATGTTCAATCATCCCAACAACAGCAACAGCAGCAACAGCAGCAGCAACAACAAGACTATGATCCTCGCCGCGTTCTGGGAGAACAAAGACATGGAATACCTCCTGTCGTTTCAGAAGATTATTCTATGGAACAACAACCTCAACATGAACAAGAGGTTGAAGATGTTGTGATGGAAGATGTAAAGAATGATTTTAGTGACTTTGATTACCACAATAAGCATACTAGAAATGAAATTCTTTCCAATGTACAAGAAGAAGATATGCGCAGTCCATTTGCGGATCAAGTCGAACCACATGTTCCACAAACAGCTGTTCACCATCAAAATAAACAAGTCCAACAAGTTCAACAGGAAGAGATTACACATCACAGAAGTCACTCTAGTGGTAAATCCGGAAAATCCAAGCGTCGTAAGAGAAAAGTTGGGTTGGATGATTTCCAATTTTTGGCAGTTTTGGGTAAGGGTAATTTTGGTAAAGTTATGTTGGCTGAATCAAGACATACCGATAAATTATGTGCAATCAAAGTTTTGAAGAAGGATTTCATTGTTGAAAATGATGAAGCAGAAAGTGTCAAATCAGAAAAGAGAGTATTTTTAACGGCTAATAGAGAAATGCATCCATTTTTGTTGAATTTGCATTGCTGTTTCCAAACGGAGAATAGAATCTATTTTGTTATGGAGTATATTTCCGGTGGTGATTTGATGTGGCACATCCAAAAGAATAGATTTACTGCGAAGAGAGCCAAGTTTTATGCTTGTGAAGTTCTTTTAGGTTTGAAATATTTCCATGATAATGGTATTGTTTATCGTGATTTGAAATTGGATAATATCTTACTTACCACTAAAGGTCATATCAAAATTGGTGATTATGGTTTATGTAAAGAAAACATGTGGCATAAGAGCACCACTTCCACCTTCTGTGGTACTCCAGAGTTTATGGCTCCAGAAATTGTTGCAGGTAAGCCATATGATAGAAGTGTTGACTGGTGGGCATTTGGTGTGTTATTGTTCCAAATGTTGTTGTGCCAATCTCCATTCAAAGGTGATGATGAGGATGATATTTTCAATGCCATTGAGAATGATGAAGTTAAGTACCCAATAAACTTATCTAGACAAACAGTATTGGTACTACAAGCATTATTAACCAAGGATCCTTCTCAACGTCTTGGTAGTGGTCCACGAGATGCCGAAGAAATTATGGAACATCCATATTTCCATGATGTTAACTTTGATGATGTGCTTCATTGTAGAATCCCAGCACCATATATTCCAGAAGTTCAATCTGAACATGACTATTCCAATTTTGATCAAGAGTTTACTTCTGAGACTCCAAGATTAACTCCTGTTGAAACTGTTCTTACTTCTGAAATGCAAGAACAATTTAGAGGATTCTCCCATATATCTGAGCATGCCCAGATATAGAACAATGATTGAAAATCCAATAACATAAATCAATAGTAATGATATCACAGAAAATATTTTAATCTATTAACTGATTATGGGTATTTCCTTACTTGATTTATGTATATAAGACATTACGTATGGGTATATATAAATAAAAAGTTAATATTTAGTATACTAGGAAGAAGCAAAAAAAAAAAGTAAAAAAAGCTCTATTTAAACGTATGTAAACATAAAAATATGGTAAGTTCTTAAATGCAATCAAGTTATGACACAACATCCATGTTTTTTAGATGATGCTTTCAATGACGATGAATCTCGTTCTATAGATTTTGATCTCATTACATGAATTGGATTCCTTATTTTTTTGGTAGTTGATGTTGTAGATGACAGTTTAGAATGTGATGATCTTGGTAATGGGCAATCATTTGGAGATTGATCTTGATCTAGCAGTTGTTGTGGTTTCTTTGTTTGATTAATTTGTTTTTCTTGTAGTTCTTGTTTGTCATGATGAAGATCATCTATTGGATCTATTTTATCATCTATAATATCATGTGCTACACCTGGCAGTGGGAAATCTGAATTCACCGAATCATACGTTTTATATAATGATAAAACATTTGATTTTGGTAATTCTAATTCATCATCACCAGTAATTGAAGTTGTTACTCTTTCTTTCTTATCAAGATCTAATCTTATTTTAACAGCTAAATCAGTAATTTTTTCAAATGAATCTTTAATAGCAAAAGATTCTTTAGATGAACATTCATGAAATGCAACAGCATTTATTTTCTTAGCAAAATCAGCTCCATCATAATATGATACCTCTCGACTACTGGATTCCAAATCAAATTTTGTACCTATAAGACATATTGGAGGGATATCATGAGGACCTCTTAATTGTATAATTCCTGAATAATAATCTTCTAAATCAATAAAAGATTTTAAATTTGCAATGGAATATACTAGAATTAATGTATTGGCATTAAGAATATGCATCTCTCGACTTTCACTGTATAAATCTTTATTATAATCACTTTCAAATATTGATATCTCTTGAAAACTTCCCCCTGTATCTGGTGTCACCACTCGTTTGGTATATAATGCATCTAAATCTTCAATATCTGGAATAAATCTGTCATAAATGTAATGAACTATAAGGGTGGATTTACCAACTCCGTCTGACCCAACAAGACACATATCGTATCTTTTGGTTAATGCTTGGATTCCATCTCGAAATAAAACCATTTTTATACACTAAAGAAATTTACTATTTTAAAAATCAAATAAAAGGAATGGAATTAATACAAGTTTTGAATTGTATGAAATATTAATTATTAAGGATTGAATATTAAACGTGTATACTTATTAAGAACCCTGAGGAGTGAGGGAAAAAAATTATTGACAGGTATTGACAGGTTGAGGTATAAAACGTCAAAAATAAAAAATGGTTAAACTATTTATTGATCAATATATTGCTTTCAAATGATAAATAAGATGATGAAGAAAGAACAAGATGATGATGATAAATAATAATTTTTTTTAAAAAAAGAAGCGAAGAGTAGAAAAGAAAAGAAAAGATATCCTTGTTGGGTACATTTACGATTTGAAAGGAAAATTTTGCTTGAGAGGTTTCGGGGCTTGATGAAAAAATTGAATAAACAAAACGCCTGCTTGCCCTGTCTGTCTGTCACTATTTAGTTAAAAAAAAATCCAACTGAAAATCTTGACTAGTTTTTCTAGAAACCACGGAGTTATGCACCCTGCAGCAAAGCTAGTTTCCTTTTTGCTAGTCAAAACTAGTGTAGAATGTAAACGAATAAGGAGACATTGACCGGAACCCTTCTTATTGTACCAAGACTTCGCTCGGTAACTCGGTTTTATTTGAAATGAAAGTAAAACTTGAATGGAATTTTCAACCTCAGCAGTTAAAGCGAAGCAAAGTCATAATGCAATGCAATGAAAAAAAAAAAGACTGACCTGTTTTGAATTGCACAAATTTACATGAAAGTACCAAAAGACATGAAATACAACAATGCTACAGAATTCTGTAACTTTGTTACTCACCACCACCAGCACATCAAAAGAAAAGAAAATAAGCAAAAGAAAAATCAAAAATGGCGCTATTTATTCTATAGACATCCAGTATCTTGCATGAATGGATTAACCGTAGCTGTAACAAACCACCCATAAATCCATGGGGGATTTGAGAGGAGAAGAACAAGAGAACGTGTAAAGGTATGACATATTGAATTCCAAAAAAAAAAAAAGCAAATTCATACGTTGTGTTGCGTTACATTACTATGGCTTTCGGTAAAAGCCCTTTAACCGTTTCCTTGACCTAAACACAAAATTGAACCGAACTCGGTGTTTAGCACCTTTTTCTTTATGTTTTCATTCAAATATTCATTTGGTGATTTCTTTTTAATTGTTATCCAATGCATACTCAGGTACGATGAAAGAAACAACAAGGATTTTAAATGAACGTTTCTGCATGTTTATACTATTTGTTTGATGTCTCTGTTTTATGCTTTCAACTTGCATTGAGTTGACATTTGGCTACCGTTTTATTTTTTTCAATCAGCTGGTAGAAAAATATGTATTAGTACATTACGTAAGAATTATATACTTAAAGTGTTTTACTTCGGCCAATACAATTGAAAGCCCGCTGTACATGGTGATCGTATTTTTGTGGCCTACAAGAATGGAAAAATCTTTATTTTTCCGGTTGCCGGTTGCGGTTACTAATAATTATAATTGTGTATTATGTGAAAGAAAAACGACAAAAAGCAAAAAAAAATTATATGCTTTATGTATTCTTTTTAGACAATTTACGTTTCTTAGGAGCTGGTTGTTCTTCTTCCTCTTCCTCTTCTTCTTCATCATCATCACCTAAACTTAAATCTGCTTCATCAAAATCAGAAGCATTTTGGAAAACATCTTCGGCATCATCGAAATCTTCTGCATCTTTGAATACAGCACCATCATCATCGCTTCCTTCTTCGCCTTGTTCACCTTCTTCTTCGTCTGAGCCCGAGTCGGACATAAAGTCTTCCATATCTAAGTCATCTTCGAAACCATCATCCAAATCATCATTCAAATCATCTTCAACACCTGATTTGGTTAATGCTTCCCAAATTTCTCCTTCATCTTCCTCTTCTTCTTCATCATCATCTTCATTTTCACCGTCACCTTTATCTTTGGTGTCTTTCTTTGTTCTAATCTTGTTTACTTTAGTAGTGAAATATTGATGGAAGAATTTTTCATCTGGTTTGATATCATCAATCTTCTTATTGAGCCAATTTTCAGTGTTGACGGGAATATCAGTATCTAACAAGTTTGTAGCTTTAACTAATAATGATCCAGTATGAGCACCACCCAAAGGTTGCATAATAGAGGACCCTTTGGTTTGCGGCTTTTGTTTAGCATTTTTATAAACAAAACGATCCAAGAAATGGGACAATGTGTATAATCCTAAATCTGGTTTGGCTTGTTTAGAGCCATCAATGAAGGAAGATGCGTAAATAGAAACTGTTGGATGGTAGTGGTTAACAAATTGACCAATTTCCCATAATGATGATTTATCAGCATTGGCAAATTTAGGATCACGTTTTCTTGGATCATAGTCTTCATCGGCAGAAGTGTGTTTTTCTTGTTTCTCCTTTTCGGCTTGTTCTTCTTCATCATTCTCTTCTTCTGGTCTAGAGGCAACATCAATTAACAAATCAGAAATTTCAGGAATGGTCTTGGATAATTCAGTCATTAAGTATAACATACCAGAAATAGCACCAACATTCAACCAATGGGAACAAATTTGTAACATTCTCTTCACAAATGCCAAAACTCTTGATTTGTTGTTGATATCATTCTTTAACGATTTGAATAATAAGTTCAAATAAATACCTTGTTTAGATGAATTGGCCAATCTTGGATCCAATAATGACTCATACAATGTTCTATAATATCTGTCGGAATTCAATCCTTGCTCAGAAACAATGTGATTGACCAATACTAAAGCTTGAATGGAAGTGTTGAAATTACTACTGTGAGTAATCTTGAACAAGGTATCCAAATGATTTTGGAAAACATCATTAGGTAATTGAGAAAATGGGAAAGCACGATTCAAACCAGTAAGTAATGCAGAAAACAATTTAGCATTCTTTTCTTCGATGATTTCTTTCTCGGATTTTTCTTCAACTTTAACTGATTTACCACCTTTTTTACCCTTTTTGAAATTCTTACGGTTGTTTTTTCTTCCTCTTTGTGATTCTCCAATTGACTTGTCTTTATTTGATTCTTTGTTGATTCCATCACTTTCCACTAAAGTCTTTTCAAATAATGCAAAATAGGTTTTAATCAAAGAATTGGCCAATTCATGTTCTTTTCTGGTCAAAATTGTTTGATTCAAAGTTGTAACACCATAATATTTGGCATGACCATCGTCATTACTTTGAAAGATAACATCAATTACGGAATCAGTAACAATTTGTTTCATAGCAGGATGGGCTTGCTCTAATTGTAAAATCAAGTAGGAAGCTTTAGCGGAAACTTTATTATCAATATCACCCAATTTATTAACACCTAATTTCAACAAATTAACTTCTTGTTCCGGTTTTGCACTCAATAAATCGAAAATATGATTAGTGACAGTCATTCTAACATGTACAATAGGATCTTGAGATAATTTTTCCAATATTTGAATTAATTTAAAGTAAACTCCTTTCAAGTAATCTTCATAATAATAAATAGCTAATTTTAAATCTGAATCTTCTTTGGTTAATGGTTGCTTATCAAAAGTGAACAATTTACGATCTGGTAATAAACTGTTAATCAACAAATCTTTCAACGCAGCAATAGATTGTAATGCAGCTGTTCTTGATTTCTTATCACAATATCCTAATAAAGTGTCCATGGCTTTCATATTATGTAATGGAGCTTCTTGAATCAATAATGTTAAAGCAGAAATTTTATCGTTCAAAGTACCATCAGATAAAATTTGAGACAAGAACTTCTTTTGTGAAGTATTAGATGCAAATTCTTCTAAATAAGTCTTGTTGTCTTTTTCAATGGTAGATTTAGCTCTATCTAATAATCTTTCTCTGGCAAATCTATCTAATTTCATTGGTGTTTCAGCAGGAACTTCAACAATGTTAAACCAATCAGTACGATTTGGAACAATTAATTTTGAGCTCGAAACAGATGAAAGATCAGTAACTTTGTCTGGTTCTTGTTCTTTAGATTTTTTGTTATCAACTTCAACTTCTTTAAATAAAACTTTGCTTTCTGATTCTGATTCTGATTCTGATTCGGAGTCAGAGTCAGAGTCGGAGTCGGATTCACTTTCTTCTTCTTCTTCAGATTCTTCTTCAACTTCAGATTCTTCTTTATCTTCTTCAATGTTGTCTTCATTTTCTTCCTCTTCTTCCTCTTCATCTTCTTGATCTTCATCGACTAATTCAGGAACTTCTTCTTCTTCTTCGTCACTTACGACAATGGCTTCACCGTCACCCAATCCAATTCCTTGCATAAATTTACTCAAATCGTTATTGAAAGATTTATCCAATTTAGTATCATCAACTTCAAATTCTTGTTCACTTTTCTCATCGTCACTTTCAATTCCTTCTAATAATTTCAAATCTTCTTCAGTTGCACCTAAGGCTAAAGCTTCACGACGTAAAACATCACCTTCATTTTCTGATTCTTTAGTTTCTTTCTTCTTATTATCACTCTTTACATCATTATTGTTTGCCTGAGTACTCTTCTTCTTATCCTTCTTGGAATTACTTTTCTTCTTGTCATTTTGCTGACTTAACTTGCTGGATATTTTATCCTTCAAGGAAGCTAAGTTTAAACTCATTGTGGTAGTACAGTGTTTAACGATGATACAACTAGGTGGAGCAAATCTACTATTTAGAACTTTTAATTTTATTTTTATTTTTTTTTTTTTTCTTTGTGAAGTGATGAGCTCCAAAAATTTTCCAGTCACGTGAATATTAACTAATGAAATATTAGATTGATGTCACATTCCCAATTAGGAAGTCTACAAGTCGGAGCAACTGAAGCGAAAAAAGCAACGAGTAATTTTCCGAGTTACGCGCCCCGCAGTCGCTTGTTCAATCTCCAGTTGGAACCTTACTTCATGAACCCTGATGTTTACCATGTATAGTATGGTTTGAAGGAGTATATGGCAACAACAATACTCTCTAATGTAAACTCCCTAAAACTAAAGAGCTGGGTTTCAATTATTGAATAGGAGATAGAAGGTAAAGAGAACTTTTGGGACAACCATTAGGATCCCCCCTAATTTTCCGGGGACAAAAGAAAAAAAGAAATGAAATTACAATGGGGTGACGAAACAATGCTTTACAATTCATCTCGGAACAATTTTAAATTTTTTTATTCCCCCAAAATATAAAATCTAAATACAAAACCAAAGCAAACCAGAAAAAAAAAGTACGCCGATTATTAAATTTAATTTTTAGATAAATCCTATCTACTTTATATAAGATCGTTGAGAAATCCCCCCTTTGTTTTACTAATTTCTCATCATTTTTTTTTGTTTCTTTCTTTCTTTAGTTCGTCAAAGTATATTCAAATGACTAGATTAAATCTTACACCTTGGGAACAAGATGGTGATGCCAAAACCACTCCTAATAATACATCCTATATTTTATCCAAGAAACCTTTAGGAGATGGTTCATATTCAGTGGTTTTTGAATGTAAGAATAGTACTACTGGTAGACACTATGCAGCAAAAAAGTATAGTAAAAGATTAATGTATGGTAATGAAACCATGTTAAAGAATGAATTTGAAATATTAAAGCAAGTATCTTTATCTCATGTAAATATTTTATCATTGATTGATTATTTTGAAACTGAAGATAATTTATACTTAATTACTGATTTAGCTCGTGGTGGAGATTTATGGAATAAAGTATCAGCTGAAGGTAGACTTGATGAAGATACCGTGAAAAGAATACTTAAACAATTGGTTAAATCTGTGGAATTTTTACATTGTCATAATATAGTACATCATGATATTAAAGCTGAGAATATTTTCTTTCTTTCTTCAGATCACAAGAATATATTATTAGGTGATTTTGGATTAGCTAGAATATTGAATTCAAATGAAAAAATGCATGATGTTTCAGGTACTTTAAGTTATATGGCTCCTGAAATGTTTGATCGTGAACAAGGATATAGTTTTCCTATTGATATTTGGGCTATTGGTGTTGTTGCTTATTTCATGCTTGGTGGATATATGCCATTTGATTGTGATGATGATGAAGAAACTAAAGATGCCATTAAAAATAGAAAATATTTATTTGAACCGGACGATTATTGGACTGATCTTTCATCTGACGCAAGAGAGTTTATTTCATCATGTTTACAACTCGATCCATCTAAAAGACCAAAAGCCGAACAATTGTTGTATCATCCATTCTTGAAGACAAAAACAAGTAGTTTCTTGAGACTTTCTCAGAAGGATCACCTTAAGAGATCAGTTACAAATTTATCTGCTTTACAAAGAGATCAAATTACAAGTATATTTTCTAATGGTAATTCTCCAAGTTTACACCATTCCAATTCAATCAGTAGCAGGTTAGAACGCGGGCGTTTTGAATCCTTAAATAAAGATTTTACATTACATGGTGCTTATTGTCTGTCACCAGAAACAGTTTCACTTTTCACTTCCCCAGTTGGTTCAGCTGCTGTTTCAAGAGAAGGATCAGGCGTCCATTTGTATGATGAACTCCGTAGGTATGATGCATCTCCTCATAAAAAGGGTTTATCATTGAATGCATCTCGACAATCAGCAACATTCGTGTTGTGAGCCCCTTTGCTGTTGGACAGAGACACACCAATGAGGTGAAAAAAAAAAACGCGCTCCCCAAAAAAATAGTTGATGATAACAAAGCAAAGCAAAACGAGAACTAAGAAGAAAAAAAAAAAATTCTCCTTTCTCTCAATCAAAACCTAAATAGTTTTTATATTGTATGATTAGTTTTTACGCCCACCAATATATCCATAGTATAATTTATGTCATTTTCAGATCGAGTCACATTTGATTTTACATACAAGCCACGAGAAGAAACTGATTTTAAGGAAATATATCCTGATCTTGATGAACATGAACAACTTCCTGTATTTGTAATTGATAATTCAAATAACAACAACAATGATGAAAATGATCCTAATGAAATAGTGGAGATCACCAATAATGATAAACATCATGTAAACTTAGCAGATCTTAAAACTCCTGTATTCAAGAAAATAACTCCTAATAAACCAAAAGCAAATCTACGATTCAATAGGCAATTGTTAGACTATGGATTCCATAACCCTTCAGCAACAACAACAACAACAACAACACCAACAACGCCCAGTGTAACAACTACATCTGCATCCAAGGCAACTGGTGGAATTAACACCTATATAAGACCGTTTCAACCTGTCTCATTTAGAAACTCTACCAAATCAATAGAAAAACTTATCGAGATGAAAAAAAATTTAGTTGAATATGATATGGATGAACAAGATTTTTTATTTTTGAAAAATCGAAACAATGATTCTAAAAATGTAATTAAGATAACTCCGGAAGTTTTTGAAATTATCATGACATCTTTGGAAAACCAATGGGATCATCTTGAATATCGTATGAATTCAGTTATTTCCAGTAGTGGAGGAGCTACTAGTATTTATGATATTTCCAATGGTAATTCTTCAAAATTATTAACCATGGGTCATAATAACGCTAAATATGGTAATGATGATGGAATAGTACCGGGTTCTATTTATGATCAACGTTGTGCTATTTGTAATGACAGTGATTGTGATAATGCCAATGCGATTGTATTTTGTGATGGATGTGATATTGCTGTACATCAAGAATGTTATGGTGTAGCATTTATTCCTGAAGGTCAATGGCTATGTCGTAAATGTATGATTAATAAGAATAGAACAACTCAATGTGTTTTTTGTCCAAGTACGACAGGTGCGTTTAAACAATTGGATAATAGTCTTTGGAGTCATGTTATTTGTGCATTATGGATCAATGAATTGTATTTTGCCAATCCCATTTATATGGAACCTATTGAGGGAATTGATAATGTTCCTAAGAGTCGTTGGAAATTAACATGTTATATATGTAAACAGCGAGTTGGTGCTTGTATTCAATGCTCAAATAGAAGTTGTTTCCAAGCGTATCACGTGACGTGTGGTAAAAGAGCAGGATTATATATGAATATGACCCAGGGGATTAAAGGAGCCATTAGTAACAAGTTAACATTGAAAACATATTGTGAAAAGCATAGTCCAGATGATGATGCTGATTATGATGAGGCTACAATTCTTAAAGGGATTGATAGAGTAAGGAAATATTACCGGGATACCAAGTTGTTGAATGAACAGAATGCTAGATTGAGTAAACTGAGAAAGACGGCTAACAAATTGAATATATTTAAATGGACTACTGAATCAAATACACCTATTGCTCCCAAATTATTCAGTGATACACTCATGGGGATTTTGTATCGATTGAAAGTTGCGAATCAGATCAGTTTACCTGAAGAGTCTACTAATCAAGTGTTGCATTTAAATGTGTTGCCCAATAGAAGCAAACTAGAAATCGATCAAGATTTGAGATCTATTGCCGATGAAATGTGTCGATATTGGTGTTTGAAAAGGGAGCTGAAACGAGGAGCACCGTTAATTCGAAAGAATAATAATTTGATTGCCACAAGTTCTATATTGTATGATTCCAATACATTGAAAAGTGGTGGGCTTTATGAACCAAAAACTAAATTAAGATTTGCAGAAATGTTGATTAATGACATTGATCGATTGACAAATATGAGTGAAGATTTATTAGAACGTCAAGAATTGGATAGTCATATTAATCAGTTGAGTTTTGATGCAGTGGATGGGGTATATTTTCCATTAAAACAAGCCATTGAGGAGATTTTGACCAGATTGAATGGTAAATATGATGCTCAGGAGACGTTGCAAAATTATAAACCAAAAATGGAAGGTGTTTATTCACTTTCTGAAATTACCATGAAGAATTCTCAATATGGGTACTGGTCGGTCGATGAATTGGTTCTAGATTTGAGCAACTTACAAGAACAAACAATCAAAGATCAGAAACCAACTTCTCATATATTCAAGAAAATGAGAAACTGGATGAATGAATTTCGTAATAAAGATCTACCGTCATTGAAACTATTTGAAATACAAATGAGGCATGGCGTTGATGATGGATTTCCTAAAGTCAGAAGTGATGGATTAAATACCAACTTGGAACCATTTGATTATCACGCAGTATTAAAAGAGAATGATCTAAGTGAACTTGATGATGTCGATGACGATGAGATTGAATCTCCAGAGAATAAAGCAATCTTTGATAAATTCTTACATGGATGAGTAAGAGAATGAACACGGGCTAGACTTTTTTGCTGAGTTCAAACCTTAGAAGTTACAAAACGAATTGGGGGTTTTTTTTTCAATCAAAATACTAACAAGTAAAAAACAAAAAAAAAAAAGAAACTCAATATATTTTAACAAAGGGTTCGTAGTTTGTAGAAGGATAAATCAGGCGTAGAATTGAATATATATATCTGTATTAGTTTGTGATTTTATTTATATGGTTATATCTGAAATTTCAATAACATTAATAACAATGAATGAGAAGGACGACAAAAAAGTGAAACATTATTGGATGATGGCTTTATGGCTGAGGTTATATCTCGTTGAATAGTAGTAAATACTATGCATTGGTTAAGGGTTTTAATTTTTTTTTTTTTAGTATTCACTTTTGTGATACGTGATAATATTGTGCGAAACAGGTTTGGGGTTTATGGCGGTTTTTTACATGATGCACAAATGAACATTTCCAAAAGTTTTGTTCTTTATTGTTTTTAGTATGTCATACATCATGTGGACGTACTTACGTACTTACCTGCTTACTCATTATCTACTACCCTACAGTCTTTTTTTTTTGAATTCACTGTCTGTATTGCAGATCTTTGCGATTAATAAAAACAAGTATCGGATAGAATTAATGAGATAACAAATATTGCTTTTCTTTTTTGCTTCCTTCGTTTGTAACTAACTCAAAAGTAATAAAGTGAAACAACTTTAGGATGATTTGGTTATTATTATTATTCTTCCTTTTCTTCTTCTTTGTTGTAGTTTGTACATTGTTAATTATTAATGCGACAGTAAAAATATTAATCGCACAAACTGAATATCCATCTTTCTTCTTCCTATTATTATTAAAACACAATTGAAATTAGTATGTTCTGACGAATTGACATTAGATAGCCACAATTCATTTACGTGCATGGTATATATTACTTCCCAGATACGGAAAGTGGTCGCGGGAAACTGGAAATAGTAATTTTCCGCTTGTGGTCCATTGTCTCTAAATTATATTTCTATGGGTGGTGTGTGTGTGTCTGTGTTCATGTGAATGTTGAATAATATCAATACATCATTTAACGTCTAGACTTTAATTGATGATTTGGTAATCGCTTTATTATTAGTCAATATAGTACATTAACGTGAAATTACTATTAAATCAAGCAACTACATTACATGAATTGATTTTTGTTTTCTATTTCATTTAAAGAATATCATAACTATACCAAAGCCACATGTCAAAAAGAAAATTAAAGATTACAATCTATTGATTCTATATCTGTAATTTCAAGATTTACCTCTTTACTATTATTATTATTATTATTATCTCAACTCTTCATCTTTAAGTTTCATCAGAATATTTGTCCGTTGTTGATTAGTTTAAGGGGATAAATCATGAACGAACATTATTTAATAAAACCCGCCGATCCGAAATCACCCAAATTCATTTGTTTTTGAGTTCCTTTTTTTTTATATATAAAGAAGAAATGCATGTCTGAACCTAAAGAAAATTTTTAGATGGAAAAGTAACAAAAGAATATTCATTTCTTGTTTGTTGAAGTGAAATACAGTACATGATGCATAATGGACATTTCCCTGTGAAACGCTTAATTTGCCACATATAGTTAAAATAAAAATTTCGCATCTTTTTCTTTAGTCGTCTGCTCGTTTGCTCGTCGAATTAGTCCCGGCCTGGCTAGCTTACATGGTCCCACCTATGTCCAACGTGCTACATCCAACATCTTACATCCTAGCTATATTATAAAACCACAAAAAAACAGGAAATGTAGCACAAGAGTCAAAAGATCAAGAGTGAAATTAAACATGCTGGGCACGAATTTCATGATATTATTTTTCTTTTCATTTATAGTAGTGGTATTAGTCTATTTTGTCTTGACTATATGTATAGAACAGCTTTAAATGGCGCAGATTTAGAGAACATAGTTTAAATATGAAATCCATCACAAATATCCCGCCCCTACTCGTTTCGGATTCAAGGTATTAGCTTTAGTCCGCCTTGGTGTTAGCATCATGCGGATTTCTTAAACACAAAGGGTGCCCATTTTTTTATTTTTTCTTCTTTGTCTTTAATCAAATTTATATTGTCTCGATTATTGTAGACATAACTTCTCATCAACAAACAACAAACCACAACCCCCCAAACCATATACATTCTTACAGTAGTTAGTGATAATAATAAAGAAAATTTGCGTTTTTTTTTGTTTCAACGTATATATTTACAGTTTTTTCCTTTATTAAGGGAGAATTAGCAACAATCAATAGATTGGCGTGTAGTTGGTATTGTGTTAACCGTTTCAATACACAAAATGAATGGTTTTAGCAGAAAGTGTCAAAAAATAATAAGTAAATGGAAATGGAAGTATCAAAGTATGGAAACTTGACAAAAAAAAAATATCAAGGACACAGGAACAGGTATAGAATCCAAAATTTAAAGGCGGTATAGAAACGTATACTTCCGCCTTCTTTTGTACAATCAGGTGTGACTATAATCATCATCATCATCGTCATCTTCACTGAAAAGTTGATATGAAACAAGCTATACATAATCGAAAATAAAAACCTGCAAAACTAACTCAAACTTAACTCAAAACCTATATCTTTAACTCCATTCTTTTTGCGGGTTAGGAGTGTAAGATTTGATATCATTGTTGCACTATTCTCCGGATTGCTTATTATCTTTTTTTATTTTATTTGCTAAGCCAGACTCTTCTTTGTCTAAGGTTATAAACTGCATTTGTATTTTCCATTATTCCTACTAATTGCATACTTTTTCATGTTTGTTTCTGCCTCGGATAAAGCTGCAAATGTAGTGACGGATTGATTTTTTTTTCTTCTTTGTCTTATTGTTAGTATTAACAATATCCACGGTCTGTGTGACATCTAAAAATTCTTGTAACCTTGGGTTTTATATCTTTTGAGTTTCTTTGACTATTAGCAATCTTTTGAGTTTCTTTGACTATTAGCAATCTTGTCGATTTATCATTTTTAAGTTGTGGCTTATGCAATTCTAGTTCACTCTGATTACGATGCAACTAAAAAATCATTGACTAGTTATATCGTTTTCTTACAGTAGAGTTAGCGGGGAATAGAAAGTAAAGACGATAGAGATCAGACAGTGGATTACTTTGAACAGAAATTTAAGGAAAGATTTACCCTGTAAATGTTGTTCTGTAAAGTAAAGGGTAGTTTAAAAAAATAAAAAGTATAAACTAGCAGTTTTAAACCTTTCCCAGCTGTAGATCAATATTGTTTGTCACAGGAATAAATATTCCTCTTGCATAGTATATTAATATGCAATACGATTTAAAAATTTTAATAAGAAAAATTAAAAAATAGGTAGAAAGTGAAATGCAGTAAAAGAGAAACAAGACATGGAAATAGATGATAGTTTAACCTTATTGACAAATGTAATAATTAAATTGTGGTCTTTATTATACTGTCAACTTAGAGTAAATCATTAAATGTGAATCAATAAATATATGTATCATCACTATTCATATATGATGAGTGTCTGTGTCCAATTCACTACCTTTAGTCATTTAGTTCTTTCCCTATTCTTCTCTTTGAACGACTCTACTTTAAGGCTATGTGATATCGTTAGTTACTAACCATGCAAAATACCTCCTCTAAACTCCTCCTGTTGCATATTTACATGCCATACTTACAAAATCCAGATGAATAATAAAATGAAAGAGAATATAATATAAATTGACAATTAATAATCATCTATTTCTACTATAAATGATGTGCACAAATATGACTTTTTTTTAATGTTTGTCATTTTTGCAAATGATGTAATACTTCTAATGCATGAGTTATTATTCTTTTGAGTTTATTTCATTGAATAGATAAATAAATATGCAGTGTAGAATGGTGTTTTTGATTATTTTTTTTGGCCGGTAGACGAAGTTATTCAAGATAATACAAAGTCGTACGTATGTATCACCGCCGTATAGAGATATTAACTTTTTTCTTTTGATATAATACTTAAATATGCAAGGATCATCCAATTCATAAATGGTCTAGTCTTAGTTATTTTAGAATATTTTTTAAACAAAAGAAAATCAAATGGACCCACCCCAAAAGAAAGCTTCATTCTCTATCTGAAATTTGATTACGACGTATTGACTAATAAGCCGAACCCCGTGGATCAGGGGTGAAAATCAAAAAAAAATCAAACTTCATAGTAACTCAACAAAGAAAAAGAACAAACTATTTTACTCAAAATAATAGAACAGTGGTTAACAAACCATTTGTTGTTTAAATGAAAATCAGATTGTTATTGTATCACAAATGCACGTGACTCTATTCCATCCTTTTTTCTTAGAAAAAAAAAACCAACCATTTTGTCTCCTTTAATTTTTGTGTTTGTTACTCTAAATTTGAAAGAAGAGAAGGAGGGGACTAGGATGCCATTAGCAACTTCATCACCCTTACAATGTGCAGTCGTATATGTTGGCTTTTTGAGGGTGAAGAGCTAATGCAATATAATTTTGTGGAAATTCATTTAGATAATGAGTTAAGTTAAAGGTGTCGCAGTTTAAGACAAATTTCACAAAGAAAAAAGAAAAAAAAGAATTGTCATTGGAAAGTAGTGTCTGACACAAATACAAAAAAAAAGTGTCGTCGGAAATTCTCCCGTTGTGCACGGGGCACGCACCCACTCACAAAGGAAAAGCAAATATCTACATCTCGCCTAAACAAAATAAAGAAAAGTAAAGGGACTTTTTGTATTTTCACCTTAAAATCTATCTGGTTTACGTAAGCGGTTGTATATGTTCTTTTGCGTTTATTTTTTAGTCCTTTCATAGGAGTCTTGATACAATAGAGTCACCATTTAACGTAAATGTATTGTCTAAATGCAAACTTACAGGTTGAGAGTATGGATGGATGGTGAGAGGATGAATCATTGTTGATGATAATTTACAGTCTCAGAAGAAAATGTTTCTTGTTTTGAATGAATATCATCATAATGAACATCAATTATAAATACTTCATCTGAATGTTGGTAAAACAAAGAGCAAATCCCTCCAAAAAACAAAAAGGAAGATAAAGATAAAGGAAGAAAAGCAACTTGGGATAAAATGGCAAGTACAAGAGAACAGACCAATGAAAAATAATGCTGTTCCATTTTGTTCAATCTTTATAGAACAAAAATTTTGATCTGTTACACAAGAGAAGACAAGGGAACAAACTAACCATAACCAAAGACCAGAATGTAATGATATTATTATTAATATTATTATTGTCGGTGGTAATATCGGGGTAAAATAAAGCGAGTAGAACTATTGTTTCAGTATTATTATATTCTTTGTCTTCCGGTACAGGCGCTCATACGAGGTAGCTTGTTTAATTGAATGAAATTTCTATTGTCATGGTTTCTACTCGTGGAAGCAAGTGAAATGATAACGGCCCTGGTGTTAGAAGTTCCTTAAGCAGAACAATATTCAAAAAAAAAAAAAGAACAATAAATTTATCCGCTATAGAATAAAGAATATTATAAGCCTTGATTTGAGATTACACAAAGTCGCTACGGTAAAAAAAAATCAGAGATAGAATGATGTATGAAGTTAAAGGGAAAGAGAAATGAACCATTAAATAAGTTGCTATGAATAACCTGGTATACTGATATCATTCTGATGAATATTATATTATCTCTATGTTGGTTGTTTAGTGTTAATTATCTCTTTTGTTGGTAGGTTTTATGTTTGTATTTTTAGTCGAATTTGGTAATAAACTAACCCCAAAAAGATAATAATCTTCCAGCATTTAGTGAATAAGATAGTTAAAAGATAAAATTGAACACGTTTCTAATGGATATTGCAACAAATAATCTGCTTCTGATTTTTATTTCTTATCAATACATCATTATATCAAAGTAAGAAAGAATCACAATACAATTTACGTTGTATGATCACCCATAAGCATATAATGATTTTCAACATACATCTTCAAAAGAAAACGTTTTTTAAACTTTTATTCAGAGAATGTTTGTTTGATCTGTTGTTAGTGTGTTCTCCTTCTCTCTGACCACCCCCTCCTTTAATTTATTAATATCAATTAATTCTTTTCTTTCCTTTTTTCTTTTTTTTTTTTAGAAACTTTTCAATGTAAAGGGTGATTTCGGGATGAAGCGTGCACATTATCGCCTTGATCGACCTAGGCGATTCTTGACAATTATTAAAGGGCTAATATGTGCATTCTTACTCTGTGATCAGCGCAAAGTATCCTTGTCGACGGATATTGAAGTAAAAGGATAAATATAGACAAGACAAAGAATGATGAAAAAAAGAAGGTAGGATGTTGGTGATAGATACAGATGAAATTACATTGATTAACAATGTATGTTGAAATGAATCAATGAGGTAATGAAAAAGTTTACATTACTGGTAATTTTACACGGATATTTTCTATTGATGACGATGATGATGTTGATGTTGATGAAGTGATGTTATTACTTTCCGATTTGAGTAGAGACAAAAAAAAAGGTCGTGCATATGTATGGTGTTAGCTGCAAATTTGGTTACATATTAATGGGACCTAATGTGAACCAATAAAAGAAGAGAATTCTTTTTACAACTGAGATCTCCTTATGGCGAATGAAATTGAATATGTGGCATTTTTTTTAAAAAAAACGAACTCTATCTCATAATTTTGTGCCTTCGAAGAATAAGACTTTTTTTTAGTTAGAAGTTGTGAAAAGAAGAACACAAGAATTGGAACTAGTCATGGAAGGTAAAGAATCCGAACTCTTGCACAAAATACAAACCCAAAAAAAGTGCAAAACTTTAGGCTAGCATTTCGGAACAAATAAAAGTTTTCCTTTTATTTTTTATTTTCTTTTACTATAGTCAAATATCCTGTAAGTGCTTTTTTAGGCTGCAATCGAAGCCTTGTTGTTGGTACTCGATTTATAAAGCAATTACGAATTTGTTGAAAATATCTAGTACAGAATAATAATAATAAAAAGAACTCATTGGTTAATAATGCATATGATTAAGGACAACAACAACAAAAAAATAGAACATTAAATTTTTGATAATGATTGTATAGGTAGTTCGAATAAGTTCCAGCCCCCCCTCCCCACTCCTTCTTCTAGAGTTGCTGTTATTCGTTGAGATAACAATAGATAAGGTGAGCAATAAACAAAGAATAATATTATTGAATAAATAATGAGAAAAACTCATACAAACAAACTTACAAACAAAATATTCTAATAACCAAAGAAAAAACCTCCTAACCTTTTCACTAATTGACGAGGTGAACATATACTTGAAATAAAAAAAAAAAAATAGATGGCGTGTCCAAAGCTCAATTTTTTAAATTGTACGATTGGTATTTTTGTGTAAACTATTAAAAAAATATTATTGGTAATCACACGTCAGACAAAAAAAACTGCAGATTATATTTTTTTGGGACCCTTTCCACGACCCTTTTTTTTCCATTTCGTTTTTCACAGTTTTTTATTTTATTTTATTTTATTTTGCTATTTTAAGGAACCAAATACAACCCACCAAAAAATAAGGTACCACAGGCTATTTATCACCCAAGTCATTACATATGTATTCATTTGGGTTACTTTTGTCTCAGCATTTTCTAACCATATCATTTTATTATACTTGATGAGAGTAAAATTGACGACATCATATTTTCTCTGTTGTTTCTTTTAGGGTAATAATAAAATTATGAATTGTGATTAACAAGTAAACGTTCTAGATAAAAGCGTACCCTCATTTCCAAAAAAAAAAAAAAAATAGAAAACCTTAATCAATGTTTAACTTCTAGCTTTCAACTCTAATAACAATCTTCTTGGAGATACGCGTCTAAGATAATAGATACAAATAAAAGAAATAAAATAAACTGGGAGGGAGGCAGACCAATAATTATTCTGGTTCCGCGGATACTTTGAAATAGGTGGAGGAGATAGAGAATTAGATATCTTATTGACAAAAATCAGACAAATTTGTGCTGTATAAGAACATGAATTAGACTAATTAGTTGTTGGGTTTTTCTTCTGCAAATCATTTCCATTTCCATTTACATATACAGTGAAAATTGGTTATTATTTTTTTAGTCTTTCCCTTCCAGTCGTACACACAGTCTGTGTCTTGTTAGTCCTTGTAATGTTTGAAATCACAAAAATCAAACCACTTGGGTTTAAACCAATTTGCATTATTCTTTTGTTACCCATTGTTCTTGATATTCGTAGTAATATGTACATCTGTTTGATGGGCAAACCTCTTACTTTTGTGGCTCCCCTTCTTTTTCATCACTTGAAATGGTTTGCAATATTTTTAGTCCGAACAGTAGGAAGGGTTTTTGTGAATTCCACCTAAAGGTAAAATACTAAAAAAAAAAAAAAATCATTTTCCAAAAAAAAAAAAACAACTAAAATTTTTTTTTTTATTTTTTTGAATATTCTAACATACATGAAGAAAGATATCAATTGTACATATTGGTAGAATTCCTTTTTTCTTTTTTTTTTTTTTTATTTAATTCTATACACCACCAGTGTATTTCCTAAATAAGTGAACTACCCCCCAAAAAAGTATATAAATACTTGGGTATCCATTTATAATTTTTTGGTTTTTCTATTTTTGCAATTCCAGTTCCATTCAATTGTTTACTGTTTCCCAGCTTGCGCAATATTTTGTTTGTATTCAATTGTCACAATACACGTTGCTATCGAACCCTGTATTATAATTGATATCTACTACATACTACAACAAACCCATTGCTTTCTTTTTGGTTTTCACAATAACATATCAACTTCTAACTTGATCAATTCCCTTCACATTCCTTCAATTACCACCTCATCAACTCATTTGCTTCAGTCCAACATTCCTGATTTTTACAAATTCCTCCCTCCTCATCCTCCAATCTCATTGACTGAAAATCTTTCTTGTAACCAAAAGAAAGAAAAAAAAAAACTAATTAAAACATAAAATTTCAATTTGATTCTAGACTGACAGTTACTATTCTCCATATATACTACTACCACTACTCAAATCATTGAAGATCTTCATTCACTTTTGCTATTATTTTTTTGGATCCCTTCAATCGTTTACATTAAATATTCCTTTAAATCCAAAAGATCACAAAGCAAAGCAAAGCAAAAGAAAAAACAAAATAATATAAAGCACAGAATCTCACATATTACTTATAATTCTGGTTTTGACGATGATATCTCAAGCTACACCTGCTTCTACTCCAATGAGAAATACTTCAAGCAATCAACAACAACAAAATAAGAAACTTCCACTCATTGTCGATGTTGCTATTGATACCAATGGTAAACAACTTTACCAAGTTCATGAATCTTCTAAATTGGTTAGAAAAGAAATGCCAAGGTCTACCAATTTTGCTATAAATAATGAAATTACCGATCATGATGCTAGTTATTTTGTAAGTCAGCAACAACAACTGCAACAAGCCGCTTCTGCTGATGATAGATCTACTCCTGTTAGAAAAGTCTTGGGTACTTTATCTCCTTCTAGTCTTAATCAAAAGAGAACTCATGATGATATGCTTCATCATCATCATCACCACCATGACGATGCTAATAATAATAATAGTAATAGTAATAATATTGATGGTCAAATACATGACGATAAACACAATGGTGGAGGTATGATGTCTCATAATAATCACTTATATGGAAGTATGGTTGGTGAAAATTATAATGGTAGTGCTATAGCTAACCACAATAATTATAATGCTCATGAATTACAACATATACCTACAGGTGCATTTTCACGTGTTCAAGATAATGACATTTGGTCCGATGATGTTGAACAAGCTTTTGAAGAAGTCTTGAGACTCATCCCTAAAAATGGTTTAAATAAAATCAAGATTGCTGGTAGATCATGTGGTAGAAATGAATTGATTTCTGATTATATCTTCACCAAGACCGGTAAATACAGAACAAGAAAACAAGTTTCATCACATATTCAAGTTATTAAGAATTTGGGTCAAAAACTTGATATTATTCAATTGATTAATGATGGTCCAATGTTTGCTAGCAAAGAAGAACAAATACAATCTGCTAAAAAATTTGAAGAAATTTTTTCTAAAATCAATTTAAACAAATCATTAGGTTTCAGTGATTCCATGAAGAGAAAAAGTCCTCATGATGGTTCTTTCGGTATGCATTTACCAGCTACTAAAAGAATTAGAAGAAAGAATTCTGGTAATCCTTTGAACAAAATCAAGTTCAGTAACTTTTTCATGTCGGTTAATGATCAATATTCCATGAATCCAATTGTTTTAACTATTCAACAAAATAACAATGATGTCAAGAGCTTGAAATTAAAAGACAATGCCAATATCTCCAATAGATTTCCCGGTTTAAATGATTTCAAGAATTGTTCACATATTCCAATTATTCACAACATGGTTAAAGTGTTGTTGCCACAATTACCAGCTACATACAATATTGATTCTGGTTTCAATTCAAGTTATGCTTTGAAGTATGAACAACCAGGTAATGTTACTCCAACTCATGCTAGTATTATTTCTACTGCTAACACATATAGCTCATTCACATGTATTTATTCCTATGGTAAAGAAGTTTTGAAATTTGATGAAGATGGTATCAAGTTGAATCAAGATCGTGATTTCTTGACTAGATTCTGGAAATTTTTCTTTGGTACTTTGGTTGACAAGAATGAAACAGATATTAATGTTGCTTTTAAAGGTATCACCATCAAGCAAATCATTTACGAAGCTAGTCCAGATAGTGTCAAACAAGAAGATGATGCAAGTAAAGTTTGCAAACTGAAGGTTAAATTGGTTTTACTTTGGGAATTTGCTAAAGTTAATGAATGTAAAGATGCTTTAACTACTACTACAAAGATTGTCTTGCCACCAAGAATCCTGTCTTCAAACTCTGATGTCACTCAACAAGTTTTTGAATATTCTCAACCTGCCATCAATTCCATTGAAGCTAGCAACACCACTACCAATACTACTTCAAGCAGTGCTCCAAGTTCTTCTTTAGATTTGAACAACCATAATATGAGTGCATCCACTGTTCCTTCTTCTGCTTATAGTACTGGTTTCCATTCTGCACCTGCATCTGCTGTTGGTGAAACTGTTCCACAACAACAAGTATTCAAACCACAAGTCAAGTTGCAAAAGAAGTTCCAAACTTTACAACATTTACAACCACAACATATGGTTCAACCAGCACCACTACAACAACAGCAACAACAACAACAACAACAACAACAATTTGCCGTTAGAAATGGAGGTTATGGTACTCCACAAGCTAATATTAATACATCTCCTTATGCACAATATTCGATGCCGCCACCACCACCTCCTCCAACTCAAGCTCAAGTTTATGGATCTTCATACACTCATCATAGTAATATGGATCTTATGATGCTTTCATCTGTTCAAAATGGTACTTATACTGGAGCTATTGCTGTTGGTGTTTCCAACGGTGGTGCAGAATCTAGCAACGGTTCCGAATACCAATTAGGAGGATCAATTGGATATTCTGAAGGATTTGCTGGCGAATTTTAAAAAAGAAGGAACAGAGATAAAGTCTGTTTACTACTACTACTACTACTACCACAATTCTTTAAATACCTTAACTTCTTCTCCCTCCCATTAATCTTGCATTATTTAATTTTTCTTTTTCACCTTTTACTTCTTAGAAGTACATTTTGCATTTCATTTTTTTTTTGTTTAATATTCCTTTTCCCCCCAAAAAATTTCCTTAATTATTTTCGTTGATTGTTATTATTGTTTTATATTTTTAGTTCATTTAGATATCTTCAGTTCTTTCGTGATTATTTTCAATAATTTGTGTTTATAGTATTTTATTTGATCATTTTTTGTTACAAATTAGAAAAAAATATATATATATAAAATTTGTATTGTTATCTATTAATCATTTTTTATCAGCCGCCCATGATACCAAAAATTACTTCTTTGGTTTTAACCATTCAAGTAATGAATAAATGTTCCTTTTTTTTTTGTAAAGAAATGAATTCATTGTAAATCATTTTCAATGAATTGGGGTTTCCTTTTTATTGAATTGTTTGTTAATGATTTTCCTTTTTTTTTACTTGCTTTATTGTAAACTGGTCTTGGGCTATGTACTCCTTGCATAAAAAGGTGAATATTTTGTTTGAATTCTGTTTCATTCAGGTATTTGAAAAAAAAATAAAAAATATTATTCTTTATATGTACAGATAATTTGACTATACAACAACAACTACTGTTACTACTGCTACTACCATTGTTCCAATTGGTTAATTGGTTGGTTGGTTGGTTAGTAGTAAATTAATATTTGTTCAATTACGTGGACATTAAATGGAAACAAGATGAAATTCCTGTATTAATAAATTGAAGTTATGGTGAAACAATTTAAAAGGAGAAATATGTATAGTTTGTAATTCAAGTATAGATGATAACATCCCATTTCTACATCATTTTCTTATATAAAAAATAATAATATACAATATTCATGGTATGATATGATTTTAGTAATTTAGAAATAGATTACATGTTGTGCTCCTTCTCTGCTCTTTTCTTCTATTCCCCCCTACTTATTCTTATTCTTCCGAGTCATTACAGCGAGTTTTCTTTCATATTAAATCCTTTCATGTAAGTCTTCACCTCTAAATAATTGATGTGTGAGAATAACCGTAATGTGCAGAAAAGAGCCAAAATCAAAAATCAATTAAAGATTGAAATTGATTTTATTAAAATGAGATGGTACAAAAGTATGTAGAATTCAATACTTGGTAATTCTTTTGAAAGATTGTCATTTTTTATGTTTTTGTTCTTTCAAATGCAATGATGGTTAGATCTTTTGATTTGAAAGATATTTCAAATATATAAAAATTCATCCTGATACATTCCTTCTTTGAAACAACTTTTGAAAAGAATTTATCAGAATAAGGAACTAGTACACAAAGAAAAGTTGTTTCCAATTATTCCATAGGATTGGCGTTTTATTTCATCAAGTGTATCTTTATTTTCATTGAAGATCTGCTGAAGCACACCCATAACTTCTACTGTCTTGATGAATTAAATCGTACAAAAATGAAGTGAAATAAATCAACTTCATAAAGATAATATGTTTCTATCGGTCTTTTAGAAAGTAATGAACAATAATAATAAAAATACCTCAGATATTGTTGATATGACAAAAATTGTAATCCACAACTTTCCGTGATTTGCTTTCGAAAATGTTCAATAACTTGTGTATGTTATGTAGACCTATTCTTGTAATTGTCTTTTGTATTTTGTTACCTACATATACGAAATGAGTTCTAATATTCAAAGCGATGTTTTTAATGCCTTCGTGTCTTGTGTAGTACTAGTAGCAATAATAGAAGTATCTATTTCTTTTACTGTTTTTGTCATCACATAACATAAGCATTTAGATATTTACGAAACGTGTGGTTAATGAATCAAAATAGTGTAGACTATGATTACTACATCTCATGTTGTTTTTTTCAGCCCCAACTACGATTATTACTATTAAGGTTAGACAACCTTATTACAGATGTGGCGTAATTTAAAAAAGTCAAAGTTGTTCTATTCATACATATAATTTTGGTCAGCTGATTGGTTTTTCATCTAATTGTCTTGTCCTTCATCCATCCATCCATTCATTGATTCATCCATCCAGTAGACCCTGCGCCTTAGAATTGTGCGCACATTTATTTTGCCTTCTTGTTTGCTGCTTGCTGCGTGTGCGCCGTATTGTACGTCGTAGTACATCTTTTTTAGGCGAGACCACACCGTAATATGTTTAAGCATGAAAGAAATCATACAGTTGAAACTCTGTAATTTTCTTTTTGTAGTTGATGATTATCCCTTGAACGATGTTGGTTCTTTTCTTTTCTTTTTGTTATTTTTTTCTTGTCTTGATATTTTCATCAGTTCTGGATTCATCTGATTTCTTAATAGGCGTCAACTGAATTGGTGGGTGTTTTTTTTTTCATTTATTTATTTTATTTTAATTCAATGTTGTGTTATTTGATCTAAATTTAAACCGGTTAGGAATTTACATATGATATCCTACAAAATACCCAAACCTCTTCCCTCTAATAGAATATTCAAATATATTCTCTCCCGTTTTCCCTTTGGTATCCCCTATTATCATTATTCGATTGTTGCGGTTCCAACAATCTCCAACAAGTGCAGTCGCCCCTCCTTTAATCTAAAACTATTATTGTTTGCCTAGGTCTTTCAAAGCAAAATGAATAATCCATTAGGCATCAGTATACGTTGATACAATTGTGAATATTATTTTTCTTTTTTTTTTCCTTCTTTTGAAAACAAAAATTAAATTAATAGAACTCACAGAATAATTCGTTAATACTTGCTATCTCCCATCACCCTGGTTCTTACTCATTGTACATAACACAAAAGAGAAAGGACAGTTTAAATTGAATTTGTCGGATACGTGTATCGATTGAGTATTTTGTACCTTTCATGAATTCCATGTACCTTTATGCCTCGCAAATCTATAGTAATGTTAACAAACCGTGCACATTTTACATCATTGCCTTTAAATGCACCTTACAAATATTCAGCTAAAGTGAAATGGCAAAAATAGATTTCGCATGGTTTTGATAATTTTTAAATTTTGCAGTAATTTAACAGCGACTGCATACGACGCAGACATTTTCTTTTTTGTATTTAAACACAACTTGTTGTTAAAGTGATTCTTCAAGTAAATGTTATTTTGATTACCAATATGTCTTGTTCCTTTTAAAATTCACAATATCTTTTTGTAAGAATGCTTTTTTTTTTTTTGCAGCATCATGAATAATGTATGATGTTCTCTTTTCTTTTCTTTTCATTCAAGACACTATCAATTAAATTACCTATCTTTAATATTACTCCCCCACATACAGACAATTTGATTTGAAAATCATTCTTTATTTACAGAAATACAACAAAGATCGTCAAATTAAAGTAATAATTAATATGCAAACAAAACCAATTCTTGCTTACTACTATCACCTTCACCACCACCACCACCACCCCCCGCCTTTCAAGTATTCAATAATGACAAGGATGCCTAAAATAAAAAAAAATGGAAAATCATGTATAATCTTTAACATTTTCAAGTAATTTCAGGTATAACATACTTCGATATGAAATAAACCTCTTGAAGATTGATTTTAAAGACAGTAAGGTATATTATTTACTTTAACAACAATAATGATATCTAATGTAGACCATATGACTTTTGTTTGTTCATTATCTATCCATCTATCAATTTATAGATATTATTTCTCTACGTCTTTTGTGTGCACTATTCATAACCTGTACACCATTGTACAGATATCGCCTGAAGTCAAGTCACACTCATGCAAACACACTCTTGTTCTTGCACGTGCTGCAATGTAACTTTTAGGGTTAGAAGCGATGTCTAAGAGTATTATTCTTTATTACCATTTGAAACTGAAATGATAATAATTTTGTATCTTTTGTAATAGTTGTCCTGTGTAGCTTGGATGAAAAAAAAAAAAGAGGAGAAGTATACAAATACCAATGTTCATACCAAATTATCATAACATATTGATGAATATAATAAATACCGTCGTGTAGTTATGAGGTATCAATGGTTCGACTTTTATTATTCATTTCTGTACTTTGTTCTATTGGTAGGCTTTGATGTGGGCGTTAAAATTTATTGTTGAGATTTTAGGTCACAAAATTTGCGTGTACATTGTTCAAATAACGGATATTTGAAGATCAACAAAAGGATTAACAAGCATAATTCCGCAATGGCAGGTATAATCACCAATATTTGTAATATCATTATTCATAATCTCAATTCAGCAAAATAAAATAGGGGGAAAACAAGCAGAAGAAATAAAGACATTTATTCAGTGTTCATTTCAGTTTATGTTCTTGAAGGAGGTGGAAATCTTTTTCCGACATGTGCATACTCTCGCAGAAAATAGATATCTCCGACTGTTAGAGTTATTGACACATGATAATAGTAAAGCACCCTCGTACAGGACATTGTCCATTTGATTTAAAAATAAAAAAAGCAAAAGAAAGAAAGAGAAATTTGCTACTCTTCATCTCTTTGTGTGAACTAAACCAACGGTTGTACAGTATTACATGTTGGGTTCTATTTTAATTATCATATTTGCATTAGTAAGTCAAACGTACAACTTACAGTATTCTGTTACAGTTACTGAACTGTGGGTTATTGTCCAGCTATATGTGTATTAATATTTGTTTTTTTAGATTAAACATTGAATGCAGTATAGGATGTATGTCGATCCGGGGAGTATTGAAAATAACTTGATTAGTAATTGCTATATATGTACATAAATTGATGCCGTTTATTGAAAATGACCATTCTGTATTATATCAATTGGGAAGAATTGCCTAATACTGAGACAAATCCGTAGTGTCCCCACGGTAATTTAAACCCAATAAAATTCATATATGGTTAGCGGTAACATACTAATGTCTTCAATCTCATCGACTTGTCTTTTTTTTTTTCAATTCTCCTAACTAAAAATAATTCAGACATA